CCCCAACCCCAACCCCAACCCCAACCCCAACCCCAACCCCAACCCCAACCCCAACCCCAACCCCAACCCCAACCCCAACCCCAACCCCAACCCCAACCCCAACCCCAACCCCAACCCCAACCCCAACCCCAACCCCAACCCCAACCCCAACCCCAACCCCAACCCCAACCCCAACCCCATGTTTAATAACTTTCTTGTTCTAGAATTTTAATTTTAAGTTTTAATTTGTGGTGGAAAATTTTAAATTGTAAAAAGATACGTCAAAAAATTAATAAAAAAAAAAGAAATACAAGAATAAATAAGGATATAAAAAATGATCAAGTTTGGCTAAATTTTAAGATTTACTTTCAAACAACAAACTTTAAATAAACTTAAAGCATCCAACTAAATTTTAAGCAAGAATAATCTTTCTTAAAACATCAATTACAATTTTATAAAGATATTGAAAGATTCAGGTAGTAAAGAAATAGTTGATCAAGATAAGCTAATATAAGCTTTAGAAGAAAGTTTGGTAAGCATGAGTGACCCTTAATAAGGTTTAGAGAATGTTAATAATTTAATGAAAATGAAGAGTCAAAAATATAATGGAAATACTTAATATAGTAATTATGAGCAAGACTTATTCACTAAGGCTAATGTTTTTTACTCCTTAAAATAATTTGATGACTGTAAAAAAATTATTTAAGAAATTATGGATAGCTAGACTGCAACTAAAGAGGTTAAGACAAGAACACTCATTTTAAAATCTTCACTTATTTAATTCGAAGAAAATAATTATGAAAAATCTTTGATAGTTGCCAAATAGGCTGAGTAAATAATAGAGTCAGAAAATAATTCAATAGCCAAAGAGTTAAAAGTTATTATTTATCACATGATAGCAGAAATGTAGGCTTAAATCTTCTAAAATAAAAATATAGCATAAGTATATTTAGAAAAGGCTATTTAAATTATAAATGATGAGATTGAAAATAATTATTTATTAAGCGATAAAGCTAAAGGTTAATATATGCAAAGACTTGCAAATTGCTATGATAGTGTTGCTGAAATATACCATTAAGAGGATAAATATGATGAATGTAAGTAAATTATGGGTAAATGCATTGAGCTATGGAAATCAAATTCATATAAGTAACCTTTATAATACTCTAACAGTCTACTTAGACAAGGTAAAATCTCAACAGATAGAGGAGAATATACATAAGCAGTAGAAAAATTTAGTAGAGCTATCAAGCTAATGCAAGGATACGAAAACACAGATCAGTTCATTGTTTTATGCATAAATACAAGCAAGGCTTATAGTGGATTAGAAAAATATGATAAATCTTTAGATGTGCTAAAATAGGCTTTAGAGTAGATTCATCACTTAAATAAGCTTCAATAAAATTATTATACTAATTAACTTCTTGAAGAATTCGTTGATTTATATCTTAAGTAAGGAAAGTTTGATGAAGTATCTGAGATTTTTGTATCTTTCAAGAAATTAGGAGATAGCGATTACATGAAATACATAATCCTTAAATAGGAAATTATAGTTCTACTTTGTTAAGAAAAATATCAAGAGATAGATTCAGTTAGTTCGGTAGCATTTGATTTAGCAAAATAGCTGTATGGAGAAAATAGTAAAGAATCAGCTGAAATTCTTTCAAGCTGGGGTATTTCGCTCATATATTTAAATTAGCTTGAAGAAGGGTTTAAGTAAATTTAGTATTCTGCTAATATTTTATAAGATATTGGGTCAATTGATGAAGTTTAAGAAATATGGAATCAAGTTGTTTCTATTCTAGAATAATAGCAGAATTCTAAGTACATAGTTAAAGCCCTTGGATTTTTAAGAAGAGCCATCTAACTTTATGTTGAAAAACAAGGAGGAGAAGCAGGAATAATTATAGATTACATTGACAAAAGAATATAATAAGCAAAATAATAAGCTTAATAATGATATTTATTTATCTACAAATAATATTTAGATAATTTATGTAAAACTATTCTTCTTATTAGTTGTGTCTTTGTTTATTTAACTATGAATATAATTTCTTTTTGAATTGCTAAATTCATATTTTTTTGTGTAGAATACAATAAGTGTCATTTATGTTTTCATTTCATTTATATACCAAAAAAAAAGATATTGATAATGTAATTCACATCTAATTGGAATTCATTAGAATTATTAAAAAACACTTGAATGCAGTTAAATAATTTATTAGCTCATTATTATATAAACATATTATTTGCTTATTCCTAATTTTAATGAAAAAACGCATTACTCAATAACAAGAATATAAGCTAGGGCATTTATATTATCTTTATTATCAATATAAATACAAACTTTATAAAAGAATAAAAAAATAAAATAGGAAAGTATGAACCATAATAGTGTTTTAGGTGCTATAGTTTTATTAAACCTTCTAAAATTTTTACAAGCTTAATCGATTATTGATTTCTGTCAATAGTATCTCCCTAATAACTAAGGGTGCTCTAAATGCTAAGAGGGTTATAATTTATAGTAATAGATTACTCAGGACTAGAATATTTCGTAATTGTAACCCCTAAATTATTGTGTTTCTTAATGCCCATATCTAAGCTATAGGCAGTCAACATTTAGTGATACTTTAGATTAATGTTAACCAACATGCTTGTATAATGAGATAGGAGATGACTACACAAGAACTTGTAAGTAGATAGATGAATGCCCTTAGTCATCTGAATTTGGTCAATAATTTCATTTAGGATATGTTAGTTCTATACTTTTGTTTCCATATGACCAACAATAACCTGTAACAGAAGTAATAACTTCCAGTTAAAACGATACCCAAATCCTTGTTTGGGATAATCAAAGCGGTGCACTTAAAGCAAAATTAATTGGACATAGCTCAAATATCATTCAAATGTACTTTCTTCCATCATAAACAAACAGTCAGATCATGTTATTAAGTTTTTCATTTGGTGGTGAAATTATAATATGGGATTACATTAAAGGGTAAGTAATTACAAATATGTTAATTTAGTCAGGACTATTAACTTAAAATAGTGTTTTGAATATTTAAATGTCTCTTATCATATCTTATGGATATTAAGGAGATTTCTATGTCATAAACTATGTAAATCAGGAAATTAAAGCATACATAGGACATGAGAGTATAGTTAAGTAAGTTATTTTTGTAGAAAATAACTATTTTGTTTCTTTTGCAAACGATTAGAAGGTCATATTGTGGAATATTAGCTTACCTGATAACCCTTTAATTTTAGTGAACTAAAATGTTTTTTAAATAAATTCATTTACAATTTAAAACGAAGTAAATTAAATTTAGCAATAATTTCTCATATTGATGGGATAGACAAATTTGTCCTCTCAAATATCAATAAGCATTTGCTAATTGTCAGATTAATATGGAAATATGATTCAAAATGTCATAAATCTATAAATAATAAGTAAAGTTGATAATCAGTTTGATTTGATAAATTATATAATTGATAGCTAGAATAATCTGATAATAACATACTCTCAACAAGAAATTTTTATTTATAAAATAACAGTCAGTGAGAGTGGTTTTCTGGTAGATTTATCAGAAAAAGTTAATAATATAGAATAAAATTAGAGTGTTCTGATTCAAAATTGTGTTTTATTTTAAACAAATTTTATAATATTAACTAATTAAAAGTAGTTGCTACTTTATTAATTTATGGCTAATAATTAACCTAATTAAAGCCACTTATAATAAGAAGCTAGTAATATCTTAAATATAGAAAGATAGCAAAATTTTAATTATTAAATTGTTTTTGCTTTTTCAATTTATGATTAAATTCTTTATGTTGGCTAAGACTATCTTCTTTCTATAAGCTATAATAATAAAAATACTAAATATTTAATTAATAACTGGCTTCCTCCAGTATTAAGTCATAAATAAACTAATATTGGTTTGGCCTACTCTAAAGTTTCCTAAATAATATGTGATATTTCGAAGGACGGGAAATCATTTGTTTATGATTTTCTTTCAAAATAACTATTAAGCGTGCTCGTACATCCTCAAAATACTCAAGTTCAAATAAATGTGCCTTTGAGAATAACTATTGTTAAAAACTTAAATGTTTGCATTTCATATGACAATACTTCCATAGTTTGTTTTGATCCTATTACTACAAATGCAAATTTTATATACACAAATGGGATTGAAAATTATATCTCCCTTAGCTAAGATCCATAATAAAATTTTTTAATTGCTGCTGGCATAAATATGTTATAAATTTTTGATTTGAATTCAAATAAAATTCATTCTTAGTATTCAAAATAAAATTAATTTTATATAATTAGTTACAGTTTTTAAGGTAATTTATTGTATTCAAGCTCTCCTAATGGATATTTTATGAAATTTAATTACCCTGATTTAACAGTTGACAAAGAATTTGATTACACATCTATTGCTCTTAATCAAAAAATAATAGGCTGGAGTCTTGATTTCATATATTTTAAAGCAAGCGCTGCCAATTTTGATGGAGGCTTAATTCTTATTATCAAATAAGATTTATCATTAATAAAATAAATTTAGAACACTATCCCAGCAACATTAGTAATATATTAACTTTAATTTCTAAATATTCCATGCGAAAAGATTCTATTTTTAATAAAATCTTAATTAAATATTTAACTTATAATTTATTATTTTAAGTATTATCAAATTTAAATTATAAATTAAAAAAAAATTAGTGCGGTCTTCAATACCCTTCAGTATTAGCTTGTATAAATTAAGAAGGAAAAACTTAAGTATGGTCCATTTTTACTAGTTTTTATATTTCAGCTATTGGACTTGAGTTTCCTGTCACTTAAGGAACAGCATCTATGTATGGTCTGTCTATATTATAAATGAACTAATAAGCATTTGGATCAGGAATACTTGTGGTAGACATGAAGCAGTTAACTTTTTCCCAAACATTTTCTACATCAAAATAAATTTAAACTATCAGAAATGAGGATTTCATGATGAGAGTTTTTGCTTGCATGTAAAGCGGAGAAATACAAGATTACCATTATACATATCAACCCACACAATTAATTAACTGGTAAAATCAAAACGTAAATGATACCATAAGCAAACTAATTCTTTTTGAGGAAGATTACAAGCTGATTATACTAAGTTCAATTATAACAATTTATGATTACTTAAATCTAAACATTTATAAGTAAAATTTTTAAATAATTTTCAAATTAATTAATAATTTTTATCTTTTAAAAAAGAAATTAACAATTTCACAATCAACAAATAACGGGTGCTGTTATCGATAAATTGAGGTATGTTATAGTTACTTTTAATTAAGATGTAAGTAAAAATTTATTTATGTGGCAATACAAAGTTGATAACTATCAAGAGTTAATTGGTCACACTTAAGGTATAAATGGAGCTATATTAATTAACGATACTACAAACTTAATAACATACTCTAATGATGGACTAATAATATTATGGGATTATATTAAAGTGGTGTGCTTAAATAAATTTAATTTACATAGCTCTTAAGCTGTAGTTAATGCATTTTACACTTAAATAACAAAAGGGAGCAACATTTTAAATGTAATTATATCATAAGGAACAAATCAAATGGTATAAATTTTTGACTTTTAGAACAAGTAAACTATTTCATAAATCTAACTTAAGAATTAAAATTGTTCAGTTGTAATAGATATCAGTACAAATATTTTATTTGCATATAATTCGAATGCAATATATGCTTACAGCTATATTACTGGTTTGCAGATTTCTACTTTACTTGGGTTTGATGGAGCTATAACTAATTTTGTATTTTAGGAAAATTATATAATAGCTACAGCAACCTTCGTTGTATAATCGTACGATAGAAGCACCTTGATGCTTCTTAATTCGGATAAATATTCCTAGAAAATATACCAAATAGATATTCTAAATGATTTAGTAGGAATGGTTAGTAATTTAATAAATGATAGCATATAACTTTGGAATTATAAAACAGGAATAATGCAAAAAGATATGGATAACAATTACTATCCTTATCCTGTAAATGGTATTATAGCAGATTAAGATGCAAAGATTTTTTTGGTTTGGAACAACTAAAATTAAATTTTTTCATTTAATCCTTTTTCATACTCATTAAATAAAGTCGAAAATTATGTTATCTTTCCTTTATTTAATTAACATCTTATTAAAAGCATAGTTATAGATTTTTAAAGTAACATTTTTTTTGCATATAATGATCAACAAATTATAATATAAAAATACTACTCATTCCTTGGAATTAGTGGTCAATAAACAGACATGCCTTAAAACAACGTTAGTAATTTGTCTTCATATAATGCAGAATTGGGTAAATATTTTAATAATTTTTTAATTTGTTCAATAATATTTTAATTAACATACATTATAGACAAATTAATTTACACCGACTTAGAGCAAAATGTGTGGATGATGAGTTAAAATAATTTAAAGTTTGCTGGTAAACTTTCACTTATACCATAGTAGTCTATATAAATTGGAAACGTTTTAGTGATTAGAGATAAAACTTCAATAAAGAGTTTCAATTAAAATTTTATAATTATCTCTCAATTAGACTTAATTAATTCATAGAATATAATATTTGATTTACATGAAACAGGCAATATTTTTATTATAGACGTAAATCAGAATATAATTTAAATGGAAGTCAATTAGCAAAGTTATTAAATAAACTTTGTTTTTAAGTATTATTTGAATGGTAAACTAGATGGAAATAGTGCTAGCAGAATTTACAAATCTTTAATAAATTAACCTAATAAGCACCTCATAATATCTACTATTTAAGGATAAGTCATGATTATAGATTATTAAAATTAATAAGTAATATCCAATCTTTATGACCATACTTAAGTAGTCACATGCATTGAGTTTGATAATTAATATTAAATGTAATTATTCTTTTTATTTAATTATTTTCTAAATAATTTTATATGAAAAGACTCATTACAGCTGCAAATGATGGACTTATTAAGATATACTCATACACATAATAAAAGTTAAATTAAATCGCTTCTTAGTAATTAATTGGATAAGTATAATAGGTTTTACTTGATTTGATAAATTAATAGTTTTTTGTTTGGATTAATCTTTAAACAAAGGTCCTCGTTTTTTCACTCTCTTAATAAGTAAGCTTAAAACAATTTTTTTTGAGTCCAGGAGATGTTTTTACTGTGCTTAAAAAATCAGATGATTATGACAGATTTATTGTTTTTAATTTATTTCAGATTAATATTTATCAAAAAAGCACTTTATTATTTCTTTCGAAAATAAGAAATCCATCTTCTTTATATGATATTCAAGATGTTGTATTTTTAACTTCCTAATTAATTCTAGTCAATGCAAAATCAAGCTTAAGCATTTACTAGCTTAATATTAATTCTCCTGCAAATTTAGTAAATTAGTTAGTTATGATAAACAGCGTTATATTTTAATTTAATTTTGACTAAACAAATAACTAAATAACCTTAAAAGGCATCAATAATTACAACAGCTTTAACTATTAATTTACATTATAATAACCTGATATAAATGTACAAACCAGCACTTCATATAAATGCTATGTTTCTTTTATAAATTCAAATGACTATTTTACATTAAGAACTAATCTTGAAAAAGTAGATCTTGCTATAAAATAATTTAGCAACAATTTTAATGTTACTGAAGTACTTTACAATTTAATCTTCAGTCCTACAACAGCTATAGCTAATCCATCAGTCAATATATTTTTCCCAGAGTTTTAATCAGTTTATTAGTTTAATTATTAAAGGAGCTTTTTATATTAAATGTAAAGTATTTAAAGCACAAAAAACATCGAAAGAATAAAAGTGAATATCGAAACTGCTTTTAAGGAATACTCATTGAGCTTTCTAAAGCTTAAGAATTATTAGATTTTATAAAATGATTCTACTAATTAAAAAACAGTAAACTTTAATAACAATACTAAATATTTCATATTCTAGGATGGATTAATACAAAATAATATAAATCAACCAACTCTTTCTCCAGTTTACACTTTCCAAAATATATCAGAAATCATAATTGATGAATTGGTAATAGAAAACTCCTACTTTTAAAGCTAGACTGGCAACTAAAATTAATATAATAGCTTGATTAATATTACTAATGCTTAAACTGTTAGTATAACAAGTCTGACAATTAAAAATTGTATATTTGAGAATTAGAATTTAATAATGCTAACTAACGTTAATTAAGTAATCATTAATAATTTGATTATTGAAGAAATTAATTTTAGAAGCACCTAACAAAACGATCAAGCTATTTAATATTTGTTTTAATTCTAAAATTGCATAAATGTTTAAATTTTTAATGTCACAATATCAAACATTCGCTCTGAAGCACCTTTCACAATATTTAACATGTTTGGAAATCTATAATCATCTTTAAATGGATTGTATGCTAGTAACTTACAAGATAATTAAATTTTATTTTATAGATAAACATACACACAATAATTTTATGAATTTAAAATTACTCAAGATTAAATCATGGTTTAAAACTTTTTAATAGAGCAAATTAAAAGTACGAATTAATCTCTATTTGATATACAAAGTTTTAATGTTACAGTATTTAATTTTTCATCATCTTTTGTTTAATGCAATGATTGTAATGGTGCAGTTGTTTAAGCTTAAGCAAGTAATTTCTTATTAGTAAATTCATCTTTTTCAAACAGCACAGCTTTTTAAGGGGGAGCTATTTATCTAAAGTAGTGTACTTAAAGTTGCTCTATAAATTCATCTAAATTTTAAGGTAACTCTGCTATAAATGGTGGGGCTTTATATCTTGAATATTCTTAAATCTTGATTTATTCAAGTTTAATAATTTATAACGAAGCTATTATTGGAGGCGGAATAAGATATGTAGGGATTGTGCCTTCCTAATTTTAACAAGATTAGCAAAGACTTTTATAAAAAAGTAATAACACTATCTAGAATAATAAAGCCTAAGTTTTTGGAAATAACATAGGATCTTATCCTAGGAGTCTTAATATCATATTTAAATAATAGGATTACACAGTTTAAAATTAAGGTAAAAATAATTATAAAAATACATTTTTTATTAATATTTTTTATTTTATTTAATACAGGTTTATTAAGTGGAGATTTCGGTTTTGTTTACACCATAAATAATTTTATGAGTGGAGCAAGTTTATAATGCTAAGTATAGCTTATAGATGAAGAAGGAGAGTACATTAAAATTGAAAAAAATAATTTCCCTAAGATAATTTAATAAGAATTGAATTCTTATTAGATATAGATTTAAGGATAAAATAACTAAATTTAATTGGTTTCTGAGTCATTGATTGGTTTAAATAAATATGATATTACTTCTCATTCTTTTGTATTTGATAAGCTTTTAATTAACTCAAAACCTCTTACTAGTAACATAATTTATATTTTTGCTAATAGCATATTGATACCATCGAGCAGTAATTAAACTTAGCTGATTACTCCATAGATTTAAGTTAAAATTAATATGAATTTTAGAAAGTGTGAAATTGGAGAAATTATAATTAAAAAGTAATTTTTTTGAATTTTTAATATATTAAATTAAAATATGTATATATAGTCAGGCTGGCTCTTTAGAATATTGCTATCCATGTCCTTTAGGTATGTACTCACTTGTAGATACTATGCTAAATTAAAATTAATTAAGCTGTAGCTCCTGTCCTGCAAATGCTGTAAAGTGTTAATAAAATAAAATGACTCTTATGAATGGGTATTGGAGAGAAAGCAATACAACAGATTTAATAATAGAGTGCTCAAACTAACCACAAAACTGTAAAGGAGAAGATCCAAATAATTTAAATTATTGCAGTGAAGGTTATTTAGGACCTTTGTGTGAAACTTGTGACTTATTTGGAACTTACTGGTAAACAAAATATTCAAGAGTTGCTAAATATGTATGCAAAAAGTGTGAAGAAATGAAATCTGAATATGTTATTCAATTGTTTGCTTACTTTACTATTATGATTTATATACTTTATGGTGTTTATTCTGCACATAAAATATCTATAAAAAGAGCAGTGGGTTATTATATCCGCTTGATGGGAGCAGCAAGTATTGGAGTAAGTGATTCTGATGATTATACTAGTGTTTATCTAAAATTCATTATGCATTATTTGTATATTTCTTCAATTATCAAAATTTAACAGTTTAAGTTTCCTGGGCTAATAGACTTCTTTAGAATTCAAATTTCTTCTCCTATAGACTCAATGAGATTTGTACCTGATTGCTACTATTAATAATTCAATTTAGACTTAAAACCTGTCTTTTTAAGGTAGATTATATCTTAAATTCTTCCTATACTCTATCTTTCAGGAATGGGATTAATTTATTTGTTTTTAGTTATCTCTAAAGTTACAAAATTTAAGAAAAGTGTTATAATTTCAGGTCTTGTTTTTATTTTTATTTTCTTGCAACCAAATGTGAACTCAAGCTTGATATCAGTATCTTCTTGTAGAAGCATAGGCACTTAAATTTATATCACAGATGATATTTCTGAAAAATGCTTAACTGAAGAGCACATAGTTTTTCTTCTTTCATTTTGTCTTCCCTTTTTTATTTTGTGGTCAATCTTTATTCCAACAATTTTATTATATAAAATTTACAAATAAAGAAAATTCCTAAATTCTGTATTTAACCGAGTTAAATATGGTTTTTTATACCAAGAATATAGACTTAATTCGTGGTACTGGGAATTTACTAAAATAGGAGTTAAACTATTAATTACATTTTTTGATAATTTCTTGAGTGATCATTTGATACTAAAGTCTGTTTCAGCTAGCATAATAATAATCATTTATTTATTATTCTTGATAAAGTTGTAGCCTTATGTTTCTCTGCAGTTTAACAAATTCGATAAAGCATCTCATACAGTGTTATTCGTTATTATGCAAATTAGCATCCTAATTTAAGCATCTCCTATAGCTGTTATAGTAGATTTAGGAATTATTTCTTTCTATATAATCCATTTTACTTATTTATTAATATTATTGTTATATGTACTAAAATCTTAAATAGAGTATATTTTTATAAGGATGTTTAAGTTATTCCCTAGCTTATAAGAAAATTTGTCCTTTCTAAAGCGTTATCTTAAATTATCTAAGAAGAATAGTCTTGTTTTTAAAAGATGGAGATTTATTTGGAACCACCTATTTGTTACTAAAAGAATTTTTTAATTGAATGGCGAAAAGATCAATACCTTATAAAATAGAAAATCAATATTCTCAAAATAATTGATCCACCCAACCTCTTAAAGATCCATATTCAATTCAAATAACAATATATTATCTGAAGCTAAAATTACATATGATTCAGCAAGTAAATAAAATTTATTTTTAATATTTTCAAAATTCTTAATTTTTACTTTAGGGCATTTATTCCAAAATAAGCTAAGTATAATCAAAAAAGAAACATGTGATTATATGAAAGATTCAAAAAAAAATAAAGTGAATAGAGAAAGCATAATTTTAGATGTCGAGAATTATGGTAAAATAAATATCTTATAATAAAATATTTATAACTTATATTTAAATTAGAACTTAAAGATTCACTAAACTTTCCAAGTTCAAACAACAACATAAGATCAAAAAGTAACAGCACAGGCTAAAATTTATTTTAGTATAACTTTAATGAAATTATAAAGACATAGTTATTTTTCTCTAAGAATACAAAATAAAAGACTGAATCTACTATATAATGAAATAAATTTTATATTTTTGTTCAGATTTATTTAAATTAAGCTTTGAATAAGTTAAATTTGTTTTCCATTCATTTTATTGAAATTTTTTAAAGTCATATGCTCATATTAAATTTTATATCTAGAGAATAAATAACGTATATGTTATATTTTAGGGTCTGATAAAATCAAAAACTTGGGAAATTTACTCAGTTTCGTAATGACCACAATTTTACATTTGGATTCCTTACCGTGTGTATTTATTTTAGAAAAGAATTGGTAAATATGATTCTAGATAGGGAAATCTAAATTAATAATATATGAAATTAAAAATTTTTATTAAACCAAATACAAATTTTACAAAAAAATTAAAAAATCAATAAAAAACTAATTATTTTTCTTAATAGAATTACAAATCTTTATTTATCAAAATGTGTATAAGATAAAACTAATCTATTTGAGATATGTTTGAGCCATTTGATTATTCAAAATAATTAAAATATTATTATGCATTTTCTAAATTATTAAAATAATTAAAGTATTAGCTATCTTATTGTTATTATTTTTTAATGTAGTATGCTACAAATAGGAGTTGACTACCTTCAAAGTCTTTTAAAGTACATGGCATATCCATATAGCCTTCATAATTTTTATCATCCTACAAATATTTAATCTTATTTTTTTAGAAGGTTTTAGATTTAAATAAGTCTTTTTAATGATTTTTTACATCTTCTAAACTAAACTCTATTAAACTTAAATTTTCAATTTCTTTAAGAGGAACAATTAGTAAAGTTACATTGAATTTACAATTAAAACGCTATTCTAAGTAGCATTAAGTAGCTATTATTTGTTATTAAAAATGACATTCAGACTGTTTAAATATTTCATTTAATCTTGATTTACAGAATTTCCAGTCTACAATAATACATTTTTATTATTAAATGCTATAACCTAAGTAATCTATTCTCTTACTTAATTTATCACTTATAACATCTTTTTCTACTTTAAGTTTTTCCATTCCACTTTTTTTTAAATATTCAGTAATAATATCAACTTAATTAATAATAAGTTACACATCTTCTTAACTCTTTAATTCTTTATTAAGAAACTATTTACTTCCTTTCTTGAGGTACTATTCTATTCCTGCATGAACCTTCTTTCCAATTTATTTTCTAGAATTTGGATTTGAATATTCAGGTGATTAAAAATATTTTGTATTTAATTATATATTAGATTTATTTTTTTTTAGTTGAGTTTTATTAGTGTTTAAATCAGTCTTCTTCCAGCTAAAATTGTCCATTTTAAAAGGTCCTTCTATTTAAGTTGGTTATTATCCTTCTTTTTTCTTTTTTTTTGTTTTGTTGGCAATTTCTTCTTCTTATTCTTTCTCTTTGTTGTAAGCATTTAGATTTTCTTAAATATCCTCTAAATATTTATTTTATTTTTAGTTTTCTGAACATGAAATCATATCAAATAGACTCTCTTTTTACTTTTCGACAGTATTTATCAAATCTTATCCAATAAACACATCATTAAGCTATTATTAGTCAATAAAATCGCTTTCATTTTCAGGTTAAATGATTTCAGTCATTTGAGATTAATCACTCTCAATATTATCTAGTAATAAAGTATTATCACTTTTTTATTCAGGCGAATAAAATGTATCATTTTATTATTTATTACTGCTGGAATTCATTTTGGAGTTGTTGAATTATTTTTCTAAATTTTCATCTTCTTCGGTTACTATTTTATCAATTGAATTTATTTCTTCAGTATTTATAGGTTGAAGTAGATTTGTTTAAAGCTAAAATTATAAGGAAGATAGCTAGCTTTGATTACTTTATTCAAAGATGTTATTTATACAATTATTTTTATTTTAGGATGTTTAAAAAATATTATTATTATTTAAAATTAATACTTCATTTATATTGCTATCATCCTCAATTTCAGTTACTTCTTTATTATTTAACTTTTTATTTTCATTAGTTTGCTAATTTTGATTGTTTTATTCAAAAATGTTATTTATACTATTGTTTTTATTTTAGGATGTTTAAAAAATATTATTATTAAATATTTATGTTTCATTTTTATAATTATCATCCTCATTTTAAATTACTTCTTTATTATTTAACTTGCCATTTTAAGTAGTTTAATTATTTTAAAATAAGGCTTTTGGTAATAGATTATGGGTAACAACTTTTTAATTTTAATTAAATTTCTATTAATGGTAATATTAGTTACTTGGAAAATCATCTATATTTAGGTAATTATAGAAACCAAATAAATCTTGTTAACTATTAACATCTTTAACTTCTTATATTTCGATTGAATTGACATCTTACCTTTTATTATTTTTATCATCATCTTCTTCTATAACAATGACATTTTAATTACAAATTTATTTTTTTTATTGAGTGATGTCTTCTTCTATAACAATGACATTTTAATTACAAGTTTATTTTTTTTATTGAGTTATGTCTTCTTCTATAACAATGACATTTTAATTACAAGTTTATTTTTTTTATTGAGATATTCTTGTATTTTGATTTTATTATATCTAAATTAATTATTGTTCGCCAAATTTTTAATTATTATTATTATTATTTTATTTGTGATGATTTTATTAATTTTATAAATCCTTCCTTTACAAATAGTTGTCAATAAGACTTAGTCCTGTGATAAATTATTTTTGTTGTTAAGATGAAGCTAATTTGTCATTCTCAATTTCTATGTCTATTTTTTCACTCTAAATATTTTATCGATTGTGAAATTTTTAGTTAATAACATTTTATTCAGCGCATCGCATTTAATTTTAAATGCAAATAAATTTCTAATTTCCATTTTTTTTTTAGATATCATAGTAATATTAGCTTCGTTAAATCATTTATATGTCACTATCATCGTCATCCTCTAGATCTATCAAAACAGGGTTGTTATTTTTTTATATTTATTGATTGTAAGATATAGAGTTTAAATTTTAACTTGTCATTTTTTTGCTTCTTTTTCATAACTAATTTAAGAAAACTTTTATTATTAAAAAAAATATCTGAAATGATTAGCTTAAAACTCAATTTTACATAAATATGAAACAAGAATAAAACTCTTTTATTTTATTCAACTTAAATAATAGAAACCAATCAATTCAATTCAATCTATTCTTTATGTAAATATAATATTTTCTTGAATTTATTCTTAATTAAATAATAGTTAACATGGGAAAAATTATCTATAACTTGCAAATACAATTCAAAGAATTAAAAATTTTTAGATCAATTTTAAGAAAGAGAGACGATTTTAATTAATCTTTGTTTATTAATATTACTTTTTTTGAGATAATTTAAAAAAATACTTTTATTTTTAAAATTTTTTATTATAAAAGTAAAATTTAATAATATAATATATTTATTTCCATATACTATTGATTCTCATGTATTAACGCAATCTCCCTCCAAACTTAAAATGATGTTTTAAGTATTCACTCAAAGTTTTTCCAAAAATAGGTGTTTATATATTTGTGCACTAATACCTTAGAATTTATAGTATATTATTTTATTATCTTTTAAAATTTTTTAAATTTTAATGGCAGCATCTGCTTAAACTCTTTCTATTTTATACTCAATTTATTTCAATTAAATTTAATAATATATTTTTTTTTTCGGTTAAGTATTCTAATTGTTAATAGAGACTAATAAAATTTAATTGTAGACAAATATATCTTTCTTATGCTGATCAGTAAAATAAAGTAAATATAAATAACAAAGAAAAATAGATTGATAAAAGTTGCCTTATTTTAAGTATACATAATCAGAAATTAGATAATTTTGATTTTCTTTCAAAAATAAAAACAAAGTTAAGTAAATTATAGCAAATAAATAATAGTTTTAAAAGCCCTTCATCTATTTATAAAATATTAATTAAATATGTTAAATAAAATTAAAATTAATCTAATAATATTAAATAGAGGCATTTTAAATAACCAATTAATATATTTTAAATTTAAATAGTAATTTTAAAAACATTTATATGAGATTAAAACTATTATTTTTATTTATACATTTGGTTATCCTTAAGATGTAACAAGTTAAGCTAAATAGATCAACAAGATTTAAAATTTAAATTTTCATAAGATTGTGACATTAAATTGTTTAATTGAAAATCGAGTGCATTTCTCAAAAAGCTCTTAGTTTTGAGTAGTTAGAATTTAATAAATACATTTTTTCATTTATTTTCATCAAAAATCTAATTTTATTGAGTATTTAAATTAGTTTAACAAGAGTTTATTTAAAAAATTTTATTGATTTATGACAGTTGCTGTGTTTGGAATAAATAAATTTCTTCTAGCTTATAAATTTGTTGGTTTTAAAAAAGAATACTTTTTAAAAATTGTAAATGAAATAGTTATCATGACTTTGAGTGCTAATAACTATATTAGCATAAATTAAAGTATTTCATAAAAAGAATTTATTTTTATCATAAGCCAAAAGTTTTCATTAAATTATTTCATATTCATAGTAATATATATTCTCTATTTTCATCTAAGCTTAGATAATAAATAATTATATTTGCATTAATTAAAATATTTCATAACATTTATTAATTTAAAAATAACTAATGATAGTCATATGCTACTAATTTTCAATACATTGTTTTATATTTCTAAGTATTATATTTTTTACTTATTTTAAGAAAATAGGGTTTTAAATATTACATTTTTTATGGCATTAACTAACTCTTTTTTAACAAAAATACAATATTCTAAATTATATTTATCTTATAAGTAATTAGATAAAAATGCAATATTCTGACAAATTATTATCAAATGTGTAAATCAGATGAAAAATATAATATAGATGGTTAAAACTAATTTTATAAGAAATAGTACCAAATCAAAGGTTTAATATTTTGCATTTTATACAAAATAAGTAAATTGTTTGAACTTTTGACACATTTGCTTATAAATATGTTGAGCTCTTACTATTAAACTCTATTATCCTATCAATAACTGCTTTTTTTGAGTTTCAAGAAATAAATGCTAAATTAAGAGTAAATTAGGAACTTTAAATTGTTCATACAAAAAGAAATCTATAAATATTGAAGCTAAAAGTTCACATATATTTAATATTCAACAAATGTTTAAAGAAAGGTTACTCAAATTTAATTTGTTGAGTAAGCATTTTAGATATTCAATTTAGTGTAAGAAAAAACTAATAATTACTTTTAGAAAATTAAAAGAAAATGTAGAGAAAAATTCGTACTAATTTCAGAAAATTATTGGTGTAAATGTAGTGTTATTTTTATGAAATATTTGCATTTCGTATTAAATATATTATTGCTATGACGATATAAAATAAGGAATCAATAAATAAACTAAAACCTGATTAACTTATTTTTAGTGCTCATTTAAATATCCAGAATTTACATTCAATAGATATATTAATAATCAATTAATAAATTAGATATAACAATAATTAGGTTTTTTATATATTAAGTAAACTATGTTGAATCTAAATTAAGAGAGAGAAAGGTTGGAGATGATACTTTAGACAGAAGGTGATTAAGCAATCTAGTCAGAGACATCTTCTCAGCTCTAAAAGTATACATCAAATAATATTAATAACCTCAACTTAAATGAAAATCTATGCACAGATTAAGAGATGGTTGAGATTGATAATATAAAAGATCAAAATTAAGATCATATTGAAAAAGACTAAGAAGCAGAGGAAGAAAAAAAACATATAGAAAGGGAAATTATCTCTTTTGAATCTATGAATAGGATAGATAAAGAAAGACAGCATGCATGGAAAAAGTTTAATTTCAACTTTAAAACAAATTGGTTTTAGCGCATCTTTCTGATAGATCTTCTTTACCTTTTATTCCATTGCAGAAAATCAGTTAAAGATCATAAAGAAATCCATTTAAATGATATTCCTCACTTATTCCCTGAGGATTAAATTAGCAATTTGAGTAAAAAATTCGATGTTTATATTTAAAGGGAACAGGTTGAGCTGGATAAGAAAGGAAAGGAGATTGGAGCGATAACTATGCTCAAAGTTTTTTTATTGACCTTCAGATTTTCTTTTTTTATGGAGTTTTTTTATGTCTTCATGTTGAACGCATTTAAGATTGTTTCTTCTATTTGCATTAGAAACCTAATTAACGATATCGCTTATTAAGAACCTGCTTCAAAATAATATATGTGGGCTGCAATTATTGCTGTCAGCAATTTTATCTAAGTTTTATGCATGCATCATGCAAATAAAATTAACTATTCGCTATTCTCTTCAATCAGAGTTATGTTTATGAAAACTCTTTACTAAAAAGTTTCAAATCTCTCAGCCTATACCATAAAAGAAGCAAATGTAGGAAAACTTGTTAACATTGTATCAAGTGATTTAACTACTATTGAAGTTAAGAGCTTTTTAATTATATCCCTGATGGTAATACCTTTTGGATTAATATCCGTTGCTGTAGTATTATACTTTAGGTAATATTTAATTTCAATTTTTCTTAATTAATCAATTTACTGATAGTATTTTTTTAGACCTACACATGTTATTTTTTTTAATTTTACTGATTATTGACTCTACAAAAGCGCATAAATGATTATTTGATTACACTTAACATATAAAAATTAATTTTACCTATTAATTTTTTTTTACAATAGATTTGGAAGCTTTGGTGTTCTAAGTCTTATTTTGATGATTTGCTTTATACCTATTTAAATATATGTTGCTGAAAAGAGTTCCAATGCCTTCGCTTAAAAAACAAACTTAGTAGATAAAAGAATCAATCTAACTAATGAAGTTATTGAAGGTATTCGTTTAATTAAAATGTATGCTTGGGAAGGCGCATTCAAGAAAGCAATTGTTGAAGTTAGAAAGTTAGAACTTAAAAAGGTCTTGACAATTTTAATGTATTTCATTTTTGAACACTCACTGTCTGCTACATCAGGTGTTTTGGCTACATATTTTGTCTTTGCTTTAACTCATAGCTATGGAGATGCATCTTAACTAAATATAGGAAATATGTTTTCCACTCTCGATTTATTGTAGTACACTAAATAAGCTATGATATCATTCGCAGGATTCGGAATAAGTGGTGCTCTAGAGTTAAGAGTAGTATTTCAAAGAATGGCTAGCGTTTTTAAAATAAAAGAAAATCTAATGGCTTCTGTAGACGGTAATTTGATTTTCCTTTAAATTAATTATTAACATTTATCAATAATTTATGTATTTTTTTAGAAAACTTTGAGTTAATTGATTAAATATATTCAAATTAGGAAAAAACTAATACGAAACAGCTGTACTCGATAATGGAGAAATTAAAATGAAAAACTTCTATGCCTATTGGAAAGGTGATGAGCCTGTTTTGAAAGATATAGATTTACACATATAATAAGGAGAGTTTGTCTCAATAGTAGGAAAGATAGGTTCTGGTAAATCTACATTACTTAATTGCATTTTGAAAGAAGTGCCAAGGTTTAGAGGAAGTTTTTCTTATAAAGGTAAGCTTGCTTATGTAGAATAAGAACCTTATATATTTAGTAGCTCTGTTAGAGATAATATTGTTTTCGGTAAAAAGTACAAAGAATCCTTTTACAATTAAGTTGTTGAAGTTTGCAATTTACTTGATGATTTTAAGCTCTTATCAAATGGTGATTTAACAGAGATTGGAGAAAGAGGTCTAAACATTAGTGGAGGTTAGAAAGCTCGTATTTCTTTAGCAAGAGCTTTGTATTCTCAAGCTGATATATATTTATTTGATGATCCACTATCAGCTGTTGATGCTAAAGTAATTGTTATTATTATTATATTTCAAAATTAAATCTTTTATAACTAATAATAGGTAGCAAAATCTTTATTCTATGGAGCAATTAAAAAATTTTTAAAGAACTCAACAGTAATCTTGGTCACCCATTAAATTCATTTTACAAAAGATTCAGATAGAATTATTATCATGAATGAGGGTTAAATTACTGATTCAGGCACTTTCAATGAACTTGAAGAAAAATTAAAAAACCTAGCAAATTATATTTAATTAAATGAATCTCACAGTAGAAGTGTAAGCCGTATTGAAGATTTTGAATAATTAAAGTAAATTATAGAAGGTAAATATAATTTATAAATATTAAATAAAATAATTTTTGTATTTAAATAATGAAATTAGAAGAAAATGAGGAAAAAAAGTAATTGGAACATGTCACTGCTTAAGAAAATTAGTAAACTCAATAAGATTAGAAAATGGAATCATAAATTAATCATGAAAAAAAAATGGATGCTGAGAACAACACTCCTTTAGAGTTAGAAAATAAAAAAAATGATGAAGATCTTGCAAAGGTTGATGTTGAATTGAAATTAGAAGAAGAATAGAAGAAAAAGGAGATTTAAGGACTTTATACCAAGGAGTCAAATGAAAATATTTCTGTGACCTTTTAAACTTATTGGAATTTTATGAAATCTTCTAAATATATAGCTCTTGTACCTTTGATGATTATTTTATTTTTTACCTGTGAAGTTTTAACTACTATTTTTACAAATGCAATTGGATACTATAATTAACCTGGCTATATGAATCAAAGTGTTATAGATGCTTTAGGTTATATAACACTTGGTTATTATCTTAATGCTGTAATCAAATATTTAATTATCATAAATTTCTTAAACTCAAGTAGCTAAAGTCTTCATAACAAAATGATAGAATCATTAGTAAGATCAAAAGTTCTCTATTTTGATTAGACTTAAAGTGGTAGAATTATTAATAGATTTTCTACTGATTTAGGTAAGTTTTTATTAATTTAAAATTATGAGTAAAAATAATTATTAAATATTCAAAAATAAAAGTTATTGTTGACTAAAGTTTACCTCTAACCTCAATAGACTCAATTGAAATTCTTTGCACTCATATTGTTCTTCTTATTATGCTGATTATTATTAATCCTTATTTTATTATTGTAGCATTCTTTTTGATCTTAATTTTATACAACTTTATGATAATTTCTAAAGTTTGCCTTATTGAATCAAAGTAAACTGACTTGAGAAATCGTTCTCCTGTCTTTAATTATTTTACTACTACGGTATAAGGAATTTTACCTTTAAGAGTTTATGAATAAACCAAGTTATTTTAATACAAATTTGATGAACTCTCAGATGCTTCTCTAAGATCTTCTTGTTGTTATTGGTATATTACCAGAGCATTTGGTGCTTACGTACATGGATTCTCTTGCATAGCTGGTATTATTGGTATTTTTATGCTTATTGCTATAGGTAAAAGTGGTTCATAGGTTGGATAATCTATTGTTTACTTTTTAACGATGAGTGATATTATTTAGTGGGGTTTAAGGTAATTTTTTTTTTTCTACTTATTATTATTACCTTATTTATTTTTTAAGATAAATGATCTAAACTGATGTCACTATGTCTAGTGCATAGAGAATACATAACATGTGCTAACTTGAACCAGAGCCAGCTCTAGAAACTAGCTATGATTAATAGCATATTAAATAAAATCTCTAAGCTAAGAAAACAGATTAAGGTGTTGTTTTATAAGAATAAAAATTCCCAACAGATGGTAAAGTGGAATTCATAAATGTTAGGATGAGATACAGGGAAGGATTGGATCCTGTACTCAATCAATTATCCTTTACTATAAATCCAGGATAGAGAGTTGGATGTGTGGGTAGAACTGGAGCTGGAAAGTCTTCTATCATAACAGCATTATTTAGAATGACAGAAATCGATGACCCAACTGATGAAAATGAAGAAATAGCCATAAAAATTGATGGCCACATGACTAAATAACTAGGATTGCATACTCTTAGAGGCGGTATAAGCATGATTCCTTAGATTCCTTTTATTTTTAGTGGAACTATTTTGAGAAACTTAGATCCTCTTGGGGAATATACCGAAGAATAAATTAAAGAAGTAATTGAAGAAATAGGATTATCAGGTAAATATATTTTATATTTTATCCTTATTACAATAAATAAACTTATATTTAGAAAAAATTCAATCTTTGCCGAAAGGATTGCATACAGATATGTCAAATGCAAGTGAAGTGTTTAGTGTAGGCTAAAAGTAGTTAATATGTTTAGGTAGAGCAATCTTAAAAAAGAGTAAGCTTTTAATTTTAGATGAAGCTACAGCCAATGTAGACATGGTGACTGATGATTTAATTTAAAGAAAAATCAAAGAAAGATTCATAAATTCAACTGTAATAACTGTAGCACATAGACTTAATACTATTGCTGATTATGATATGGTAATAGTAATGGATAAAGGTAAAGTTATTGAGTCTGGTGATCCCTACATACTACTTTAGCAAGATTCTAGTTACTTTAAAGCTATGGTAAACCATACTGGAAAGAAAAATGCTAAAACTATTATGGATATTGCAAAATAGGCACATTTATAAAAAAAAAAAGATTAACATTGAGATTTAAAAAAGAGAGAAAAAAAAATTTAAATTAAAAAATATTTATTAAAATGAATAAAAATAAAAATATTTTTTATTATCCTTATATTAAAAAACAAATAGTTAATAAATAAAATTGTTAAAATATATATTTATTTTACATTTTAAATTGTAACTATCATTTCAAAATTTTTTAATTTTAAAAAATTTAATTTTACCAAATGTTTTTAAAGTTGGTTAAAGTTTATTAAATATAAATTTGAATAAAAAACACTTGAATAGCAGAAAATTCTTTATTTATTAATTAGTAATAGTCATATTTTTTATTATTTGTGTATCTTATCACATCTATTTACTAATTACCAATTTTACTCCATATTTAAAAAATTGATATCAAATATGTATAGATTTATCTAAAATGTAGATATTTAATTAAGATTTTGATAAATTCAAATTTATTAAAATATTAATTATATTTATTTAAATAAATCAACATTCATGGTTGAAGTGATAAATGATGATATTTTATTTTCTCATTAAATTAAATATTTTTAAATCTAAAAAACCAACATGAATGATATATTATAATTATTATTTTAAATATAAATTCAACTCATACTTAAACAAATAGGAAAATTGAAGAAAACTTGTACTTCTTTATTCAAAGAAATTTTCTGAAAATATCTATATATATTTTTCCTATTTGTCAATTTTATATACTGCTATTTATTCAATATATTCCAAATACTACTTACTATTCATATTTTTCATAATCAAATTTTTATTTAATAAACTATAACCATAAAGTTAAAAATAATTGAGCAAATATTTAAATTCTTTTCTTATTTTTGTAATCTTTAATTATTAATTTTAAGGATTTAAAGAAATACTTTAAAATTCCACTGTAATAACTATAACAAATATACTAAATACTAATTATGATATTGTTTTATTAACAGAAAATGATAGATTTACTTAATTTATTGATCCTTATATACTGCTTTCACCAGATTTTAGCTTCTATAAAGTAATTTTAAATTATAAAGGAGAGAAGAATACTAAAATATGATGGGATATTGCTAAAAAGCTAATTTTGAGAATAAAAAAATCAAGAAATAGGGAAATCGTGAATAGTATACTCCTTAAATTTTAAATTATGAATATGTTTAAGAGGTATGATTAGTAAGGTTACTTGAAATTGATTTTTAAAGTAATTTTAAGTAAAGATTATTTATTCTTAAAAATGTTTTTCATTTTTTTTAATCAAAGTTCTTACTTCTAAGTCAGAAAACTTCCAGTCAACAATTATACATTCTTTCTATTCATTATTATAAGCAATATAATCCATAATCTTATATGAATCATTGTAATAAATTTTTATTTCAGCTCTAAAATTCTTCATACCTCTAAAATTCAAGTATTTAGTAGTGTTATCAACTTAATTTATTATTAAATCAACATCCTCACCTTTCAAAAGAAGTTAAAGCTTATCTTATTTTTTAGATTCTAAATATTATCGAATACCTGCATGAATTTTTATTCCTAAAGTCTATGTTTAAATGTATTCAGATTACTAAAAGTATTCTCTATTCTCTTAAGAAAAAGAGTGGCATTTTTCCTAAAACACATAAGTTTTTTTTTTGGGTGAAAAACTAAATTAATTTATTTAAAATGGTTCTTTCTCTTTTATGCATTCTTAATGAAGATATTATTTTTGTTTAATTTATTCTTTTGCATTTGTTTTTTATCTTTTTTTACTCTCATATTCTTTCAAAATTTCTTCATTTTAAATCAAGCTTTCTAAGGAATATTCACTCGATAAACTATCTTAATTTGAAAATATGTTAGTTTATTTTCTTTTTAGATTTGCTTTATTAGCCATAAAATGTTACTCCATGTTATTTGATAAATTATTCATTTTATTTTGAATGATAACATCATTTGTTATTTTTAAACTTAAATACGGTTTTTCAGAATCAATAGTATTTTTTAAAGCCTGATCAATTTTGTTTTTAACTAAATAATGCTATTTTTAGTTTACTTCTTTTTAGATGATGAATTAGAGTTCTTTTTCTAATTCTATATTTTCTTCATCACAATTATCATCAATCATTATATAATGATTATTTTTCTTAATACTTTTTTGATCAGGATTTTCCAATTAATTATTAATAAAATACTAGTTTTAGCTTTAATTATTTTCATTAATAGTAAATTACCCATTTTATAATTTATGGTTTTATTTATTTAAATTTATTATTTGTATTTGATTATTTTATGATTTATTGCTAGTTTAGTTATTCTGAGTTAGGATTTTAAAATTCTGTTAATTAATACAAGGCTATTAAGAATTATTTGTTTTCTATAAATTATTAATAAATAAAGTTTAATTAATGTTACTTTCTTTTTAATCTTAGTAAACTTCAATTTAAACTTAATTATTATTTTAGTCTTTTTCTGCATTTTCATAATTGAAATTATCGTCTATCACAATACATTTATTCTCCCATATCACATAATATTTAATTTAAACACTTAATTAATTATTTTAATGTTATTAATTCTGTTACTAAACATTTTAAGCTTAGTTAAATGTATTAAAGAAATTATGTGAATTTTGTTTATATTAATTTTAGATTTATTTTTCATTTACAAAAGTTGATCTTTATTATTATTGATTATAAATTTAGTTACTTTAGGATTATATTAAATATTTTTATTTCTTATAATCATCATATATATTTTCATCATCTTTAATAATGATAAATTCTTTTCTTGATTAAATTTATTAATTTAAATAATTTTTTTTATTTTAATTAGCTCTTTTATCCACATTAAATTCCATTCCTTATATTTCAATACAATCTGAAGTCTAATCAAGAAATTAGTTATTTAATTAAATTCCAAAATCTTTTTTAATGCTTTGAAATCTTTTTTAGCTTTAAATCAATTAAGATTAATTTTCTAGTAGATGACTACTATTATTGTTTGTTTATAATTCTGTATATTCATTATCTTCATCCACAAAAATAAATTATTGCTTTTAATTTTTTTCTATCTTAAAATCAGATTATGAATTTACCTTTTTTTCATAATTATTTTATACTTTATCATCAATTTAAAAATCTAATTAATTAGGAATACTATTCACTTAAGCGCATCCAGCATTCTAAATAAGAGATTGAACGTTATAATTTAAATCTTTAGGTTATATAAAAAAATCATTATCTTCAATCATTACTTCTTTAGTTTTCTCCTTTTATACTATATCCTTATTAGTATAAATATTCTATTAAATATGTATGTTTTGTCGTTTTTCAGACATTCGATTTTAAAAATAATTGAAGTTATCAAGTTAACTTTAAGTTTATTAAGATAAATTTTTGGTATACTCTTATTCTAAATCTATTAAAATTTAGTTTCCATTCTCAAATACTTATTTTTTGTTTGGTGATTGATTTATTTTTTAGTTTTGCATTTTAAAAAAGTTAAAAACAGTTAATTAAATAGTAATAATTTATTTTTCCAGATAACAATAATTTATTTATTTATGATTATAGTTTGTTTTACATTTAATTTCAAAAAGTATTAAAAAAAACAAAAATAGGGTTGATTGATATAATATTTTCCTGTATTATTTTTAAATAAATTAATAAATTTGATTATAAATTTTCTGATCTTATACTCAAAACTTAAAAATAAAATTTACCTTAAAAAACAATAAAATTATTTATTTAAAAATACATTAAATTTTTTTTTCATTAGTTTTAAAAATATATCAGTAGTAGAATTTGATTTTTTTTAGTTTTTTATAATTGATAAGTTTGTAGTATTTATAAAAATTTTATTAATTATAATCAAATAATAAATCTGATTTATAATAAACCATTTAAAAAATATTTAATTAATATATTTATTTAATATTTAAAGTTTTGATTTTAAAATCAAAAAATATTTTTAAAAGTATATTAAATAAATATTATTTAAGTACTTATAATAAAACTAAATTTAGTAGTTTAATTTAATAATCTACATAATAAACTAATAAACAAAATTCTACAAAAAAAAATGTAAGTTTTTTATTGTAGTTATAAAACATTTTAATTAAAAATTCTAATAATTTTATCTTATTTCAATACTTATTCATTCATCTAAATGTTTATAAAAATAAAGTCTAATTTAATTTAAATAAGTATAATTAATTTTTTCTGATTTATTTCAGCAAACATTTTATAATTAATTCTACTATATTTCTTTTAAATAAATTCCTAACAGAAATAAAAATAATTTTTGATCATAAATAAATGAAATAAATAAATAATTAAATTATGAATGTAACTTGGCTGATAGAATAATTCTAGAAAAATTAAATACGAATAGTCATATTAAATTACTCAAAAAATCATGTATCCAGATCATAGCTTTTTTATTTATTTAATCTTTGAGTTAAAAAATTTTGCATGAGCGCGCGCATGCAAATAAGAATATTTGTTGATTTTTGATTAAAATCCAAAGTTTAAAAATAATTAATAAATTTTTATATCGTTTAAAAAATATGATATCTGAAATATCATCTTAATTCATTTTTAAATTTAAAATATTGGCAAATATTTATTTAAATTTAAAATCAATTAAATATAATCTAATTAAAATTTACTTAATAAGAAATAATCCTATAATAAAACTAATTTTTCCAAAAAGGCTAAATTTGCTTATTATTTGGTCAAATAAGATGATGGATTAAATAGTTAATTAAAAATATTAAGAAAGTGTAATGTTGCTATTAGAATAATTCTGGAAAAATTAGAAAATCAAATTAAAGTCTAAAAATAACCTTTGAAGTAGGAATAGTTAGGTAATATTTATATTATAATTTATTAGAAATGTAAAACTATCATTAAGTGATTTAAATATAACAAAAATATAAATTTAGAAACAACCTTGAAATATTTAGTTAAAAATAATATGTTAAGTTTTAAGCAACAACGAGAGAAGCTTTAGACTATCAATTAGACTGAAGGTGACTAATATGAGGCATAATTAGAAACATCCTAATAGCTCTAAAAGAACTCCACTAATAATATAAATTTTATCTTGAATGAAAATTAATAGACAGATAATTAAATCATTGATAATAATATAATAAATGATTAGATTTAAGCTACTATAGAAGATGTAGATGGAGAGCAAGAAAAAAAACAAATTGAAAGCGATTTTATTTCTTTTGAATCTACAAATAAAATAGATAAAGAACGCTAAAGTGCATGGAAAAAATTTAATTTTCATTTTAATACTAATTGGTTCTAACGAATTTTTCTGATTGATCTTCTTTACCTTTTATTCCATTGTAGAAAGTAAGTAAAGGATCATAAAGAAATAAATTTAAATGATGTGCCTCATTTGTTTCCTGAAGATTAAATAAGCAATTAGGTTAAAAATTTCGATTTTTATATTTAAAAAGAAGAGTCAGAATTAAAAAAAAAAGGAAAATAAATTGGAGCTTTTAGTATGTTAAAAATATTTTTATTGACTTTCAAATACAAATTCTTAATAGTATTTTTCCACATTTTCTCCTTAAATGCTTTTAAGATTGTTGCATCAGTTTGTATTAGAAACCTTATTAATGATATTGCTGATGAAGAACCAGTATCTAAATAATATATGTGGGTTGCAATTATTGCAGTAAGCAACTTTATTTAAGTTCTAGGCATGCACCATGGAACAAAAGTTAATTATTTAATTTTCTGTTCTATCAGAGTCATGTTCATGAAAACCCTTTACTAAAAAGTTTCAAACCTTTCTTCTTTTGCAATCAAAGAAGCAAATATAGGAAAGCTAGTTAGCATTGTATCAAGTGATTTAACTACTTTCGAAGTTAAAAGTTTTCATATTATATCATTGCTGGTTCTTCCTTTCGGGTTAGTTGCTGTTGCTGTTGTACTTTATTTTAGGTATTTATTTATTTATTATTGATGATTGATTCATTAATTTTTTTTCAAGCAACAATCAAAAAGTTTTAAAATTTGTTATCTTTTTATGAATTTAACTTATTTTGCTTTATCAACTAATTTAATTAATTTTTATTTTAGATTTGGAGGTTTTGGTGTTTTGGGACTTATTTTAATGATGTTCTTTATACCTATTTAAATATATATTGCAGATAAGAGTTCATAGTCTTTTGCTTAGAAAACTAATTTAGTAGATAAAAGAATTAACTTAACTAATGAAGTCATTGAGGGTATTCGTTTAATAAAAATGTATGCTTGGGAAGGTGCATTCATGAAAGCAATCATGGAAGTGAGGAGATTGGAACTTAAAAAGGTTTTTAAGATCTTACTATTTTTCATATTTGAGCATTCATTATCTGCCTCATCAGGTATTTTAGCTACATATTTTATTTTTGCTTTAACATAAAATTACGGTGACTCAGATCAGCTTAATATTGCAAATATGTATTCTACACTTGATTTATTATAGTACACCAAATATGCTATGATATCTTTTGCAGGATTTGGACTAAGTGGAGCTCTAGAACTGAGAGTGGTATTTAATAGATTGGCCAGCGTTTTTCATATTAAAGATAATCATATGACTTGTGTAGATGGTAATTAAATATTGATAAATATGATTAAATTTTATTTCCATTTTTTTAAAGAATTTAATTTGAAAATGAACTTATTTTATAAAATAGGAAAAAACGAATTTTTGAATACTACCCTTTAAAATGGAGAAATTAAAATGAAGAATTTCTGTGCTTACTGGAAAGGAGAAGAGCCTGTTTTAAAAGATATAGACTTACACTTATAAAAAGGAGAGTTTGTTTCAATTGTTGGTAAAATAGGTTCTGGTAAATCTACTTTACTAAATTGTATTTTGAAAGAAGTACCAAAATTTAGAGGAAGTTTTTCTTTTAGTGGTAAGCTTGCTTATGTAGAATAAGAACCTTATATATTTAGTAGCTCTGTTAGAGATAATATCCTTTTTGGTAAAAAGTATAAAGAATCCTTTTACAATTAAGTTGTTGAAGCTTGTAACTTAGTTGATGATTTCAAGCTCTTAGCAAATGGTGATTTAACTGAAATAGGAGAAAGAGGTTTAAATATTAGTGGTGGATAAAAAGCCCGTATTTCTTTAGCTAGAGCTTTGTATTCTCAAGCTGATATTTATTTATTAGATGACCCACTATCTGCTGTAGACGCAAAGGTAATTTTTAATTTTATTATTATATTTTAGTAAAAAAATTTTTTTATTAGGTTGCTAAGTCTTTATTCTATGGAGCCATAAAAAAGTTTTTAAAGAATTAAACAGTCATTTTAGTGACGCATTAAATTCACTTCACTAGAGATTCAGACAGAATTATTATCATGAATGAAGGATAAATTACTGATTAGGGCACATTCAATGAGCTTGAAGATAAATTAAAAGACTTAGCAAATTACATTTAATTAAATGAGTCTCAAAGTAAAAGTGTAAGCAATGTAGATGGAATTTAACAAAAGCAATAAAACTAACCAAAAAAGAGTAATTTAGATAACGAGAACCTTTAAATCTAAGAATCTTAATAAAAATAAAATGATTTTTTAGTAAACCAAAAAACACCATTAAATTAATAAGAATAAATAGAAGATGTTGACGAAATTAACTAAGAAGTGATATAAGAAGAGGAATAGAAGAAAAAATAAATTTAAGAACTTTATACGAAGGAATCAGACGAGAATATTACTGTGTCTTATAGAACTTATTGGAAATATATGAAATCGTCTAAATACCTGATTTTAGTTCCTTTGTTGATTGCATTATTTTTTACTAGTGAAGTTTTAACGACTGTTTTTACAAATGCTATAGGATATTATAATTCCTCGGATTACACAAATTAAAGTGTAATAGATGCATTAGGTTATATCACACTTGGCTACTTCCTAAACTTACTCGTTAAATACTTTATTCACATTAAATTTCTTAATTCTAGCAGCACAAGTTTACATAACAAAATGATAGAATCTTTAGTTAGATCAAAAGTTGTATATTTCGATCAGACTTAAAGTGGTAGAATTATCAACAGGTTTTCTACAGATTTAGGTAAGAATTTTATTTTTTTATTTATTATTAAATATTATTATATTTAAAAAGTTATTGTTGATCAAACTTTACCTATAACTTCTATTGATACTATAGAAGTTTTATGCAGTCACATTGTTCTTCTTGTTATGCTTGTAATTATAAATCCTTATTTTATCATAGTTGCCTTCTTTATGATCTTGGTTTTATACAATTTTATGATTATTTCTAAAACTTCCTTAATTGAGTCAAAATAAACTGATTTGAGAAACCGTTCTCCTATCTTTAACTTTTTTACCGCAACAGTTTAAGGAATTTTACCTCTAAGAGTTTATCAATAAACAAATTTATTTTAGTAAAAATTTGATGAACTCTCTGATGCTTCTCTAAGATCTTCTGTCTGTTATTGGTATATAATTAGAGCATTTGGTGCTTATGTTCATGCTTTCTCCTGTATTGCAGGTATTATTGGTATCTTTATGCTTATTGCTGTTGGTAAAAGTGGTTCATAAGTAGGATAATCTATAGTTTACTTTTTAACTATGAGTGATCTTATTTAATGGGGTTTAAGGTAAAATTTATATAGCTTAATTAAATTATTAATTAATTAATATATTTTATTAAGGTAAATGATCTAAACTGATGTCACAATGTCTAGTGCTTAAAGAATACTTAACATGTGTGAAATTGATCCAGAACCAGCCCTTGAAACTAGCTATGACTAGCAATATATTAAAAAAAATCTCTAAGCTAAGAAAACAGATCTTGGAGTTGTTTTATAAGAACAAAAATTCCCATCAGATGGAAAAGTAGAATTCATCAATGTTAGAATGAGATATAGAGAAGGGTTAGATCCTGTTCTTAATTAATTATCATTTACAATAAATCCAGGATAGAGAGTTGGATGTGTGGGTAGAACAGGAGCAGGAAAGTCTTCTATCATAGCAGCTTTATTTAGAATGACTGAAATTGACGAGCCAATAGATGAAACTGAAGAAATAGCTATTAAAATTGATGGTCATAAGACTAAATAGCTAGGTTTGCATACTTTAAGAGGAGGTATTAGTATGATTCCTCAAATTCCATTTATTTTTAGTGGAACAATTTTGAGAAACTTAGATCCTCTAGGAGAATACAGTGAAGAATAAATAAAAGAAGTGATTGAAGAAATTGGATTATCTGGTATAAAAATTATTATTTGTATTTTTATTTAAAATATAATTGAATATAATTAGACAAAATTTAATCTTTGCCGAAAGGATTGCATACAGATATGTCAAATGCAAGTGAAGTATTTAGTGTCGGTTAAAAGTAGTTAATATGTTTGGGTAGAGCAATATTAAAAAGGAGTAAACTTCTGATTTTAGATGAAGCTACAGCAAATGTAGACATGGTGACTGATGATTTGATTCAAAAAAAGATAAAAGAAAGATTTTAAAATTCAACTGTAATAACTGTGGCTCATAGACTTAATACTATTGCTGATTATGATATGGTAGTAGTAATGGATAAAGGCAAAGTTATTGAATCTGGCGATCCTTACATACTTCTTTAAAAAGATTCTAGCTTCTTTAAAACAATGGTAAATCACACAGGAAAGAAAAATGCTCAAACGATTTTGGATATAGCTAAATAAGCTCATTTACAAAGATAATTATAAAATTGATTTCACAAATGAAAAATCAAAAAAAAAAAATTAAATTATTTTAATAAAAATTCTATTAATTAAATTAGTCCAATATTTTATTTTTACATTATGTTTTAGATTTAATGTTATTTAATTTTTAAAATCAATATGCTTAAAATGAGTAAATTGCTTTAAAACACAATTTTATTTAATTTTAAATCAGAACATAGAGCTAATATAAATTTTTTAGAGTTAAATACCTTTTTAATTTTGGATAGAAAAATTGATGGAATCTTTTTATCTGAAAAATTATTTTTTATTTTTTTTTATTATTTAGAAAAGAATTAATTAGAATATTTACGGTATTTTAATCCTCTAAATTTACAGAAGGCTTAGTTAAATTATATCGATTGATTGTTCAAAGAGAAATAATTTTTAAATAATAATAATCATAATAATGATAGCTAATTAATATTACATATTAGATTTTTATTGTATTTAAAATATTTAACTAAAAATGAAAAATAACATCTTATTTAATATGATGAACAGGAATTTTACAAAATTTCTAATAAATATAAAATAAATAAAATGTATAAAATAGAAAGCTAATAGTAGTATTTACAAAAGTTAGGTAGTTAGTTATTTTTAGTAAGTAAGTTATTAATTATCTTTCAATAATTTGAAAATATTAATTTAGTAACTAATCAAGGCAAGTCTATATAATAGATTTTATTTGATTGAAAGAATTAAATGTATAGAAATTTCATGAAAGTACTTTATCTTTAGGGCTTGTTTATGGACTTTATGGAAGAGATTTAGTAGGTGATTGGTTATTAGGGTCAGTATTCATTCTGTCTTAATTTAGACTATCATTTAAAATATTGGTAATACTCTAGTTTGCATGCAAAAAAGACCTTGCTCGAGTAAGTTAACGGTTAAGCTTAAACTTAACTCTTATTAAAGTAGATAAATGTATTTTTTTAGTAAATGCCCCTTATAAATCTTTTAGTGAAATTTAAATATTTTTTTGTGCATTTTCACTGTTCTGTAACAAAATTTGACCATCATTAGTAAGCCAAGGATGAACCTAGTTAGTATAAATAAATAAATAAAAAATAATAAACTACTTTTAACAAAAGTTTTAATATTTACCAGCATGTCAGAAGCAGTTATTCTAGTATCTGGATTTTTATCTAGCAATTTCTTTAAAAGATCAATTAATTCATGGTTAAGATCATCAGGAAATTTAACTCTGTAATTTTTTAATTAAAAATAATAAATTAATTAATTTTTCATAAATATAATTTTTATAACTCATCATTTAAAATAGCATTTTTAAGTTTATTAGGATCTTTAGAAAAGAAAGGAAGTTCTCCAGTTGCCATATAATAAAGTGTTGCTCCTGCAGCCCACATATCTAATGGCTTCCCTTTAAAATTCCTACTCCAACCCTCAGGAGCAGTAAATGTTTTGGTTCCAGCATTATCATTTATCTTGCTATCTTCACTAGTTTCCATGATATGAGATACACCAAAATCTGCAATTTTTAAATTATCTTCTTCATCTATAAGAATATTTTCAGGTTTTATGTCCCTGTGAATAATTTGAGCAAAATTATGCACTAGATAGATATATTTAATAAAAAAATATTTAAAATAATTGAAATCTAAAAAATGTATTAAATAAATAAACAAAAAGCAAAAAAAAACTATTTTCAATGTTTAAATTATTTTTATAATGAAACTTATTGAACCAATTTGTTTAAAAAAATAGTAATTTTTAATATAGTCATTAAAGATTTGAAAATTAATGAATCAATCAATCTGAAATATTTTATTTTTAAATTTTATTAAATGTTGTTAATAAAGATAATTTTTTTTACTGTAGTCTATGGCCAGAGCAAACTATTAAAAGTATTTTTTGCACTTTTCTTCTGAGAGTTTTTTAGGAAGCATCTCCTATTTTTTTTTATTATGAGCAATATCATCATCTCCCCCAAATATTTTTTCATACTAATCAGGATCATTTTGCTATAGATCTTTTTTCCAAAATGTATTAGACATAATACTTCCTTTTTAAACAAATTCCATAACCATATATATTTTATCATCATCTGGATCATCAATAACTTCATACAGTTTAACCAAGTAGGGATGATCTATCTTTTTCATAATAGCTACTTCTCTCTCTAATAAAGTAAAAGCATTTACTTTCATGCTAAACAATTTTCTCTTTAATTTTTATTTGTTTGAAACTTTTATAGCAAATTATTTTTTTATAACTCCTTTGTCTGTAGGAATTTCAGAAGTAGCTAATTTTACTTTTCCAAAGCCTCCTCTTTTTTATTTATAAAAACAAAATAAATCAATAAATAAATAAGTAAATAAACTTTTATCATCAAAAATTTATTATTGAATTTTTAATAAGATTATTGTAAAAAGAAAAATGAATAGAAAAAAAAGCTATTTTTTGAATATTTTCTATCATCAAAATTTTAAATTCCAATAATGGATTAAAAGTTCAAAATTAGACAATTTTGATGAACTGTTTGTTTATGAAGCTTTTTTAATTTAAAACTCTTTTATATGTTAAATACATACCTTCCTATTTCTTAAAGCAAAGTATATTGATTAATTTTTTTATATCCTTATTCATCTACCTATTTCTTAACTTAAGAAGTTTCTAAAACAGATTATTCTGGATTTTTGTTAAAATAGGTAATATAAGAGTTATTATTGGAGATATTTGACGAGTTAGCACCAGTAGGTGTTTAGGGCTGCTAAAGAGTGTTAGAATGAAGAAATTTGTTAGGTTGAAGGTATTACTTATCTTATAATTTTTCTGATGTTTTTAATAGGTTTGGTGGTGATTTTTCAGGATTGTCTAACTTAACATAAGCAGATTATCTCTTTTAAAGGTACAAACTTTTTCTATCACTATTTGATGATGATGGAGATTTTCTTTCTAACATAATAGCAGGAGAGTTTTAGTCATCCATAGAGTTATTTTATTTATTTTCATTAACTGAATCTGTATATTAAGGAGATTAATTAAAAAAAATACTTGTTCTCTGTAAATCTTTCGTATTAATAGGCTTTAAGCTACTCGAATATTCAGAAATACGACTACTTATTTTATTAGAAGCAGGAAAATTACTAATAATAAAGCTATCAGTTTAATTATCGAAATAGTCTTTTATTAAATCTTCTTTTTAATCTTCTTTGCTCTCTTCTGATTATGAAAAAGTCATTTCACTTTCTTCTCTTTTATCTTATGATACACTTTTTAGAATTCCAGATGAAGAGTTTGTGTTTGTTTTCTTCTCTTTTGAATACAAATTTCTTTTTAGTTCAGGCGAAATATTATTTTGAGTAGTTTTCGTATTCATATCTTCTTCCTTTTCATCACTTTCTTTTATTTTCTCCAAATTGTTATTAGGAAGCATAAATCTCACACTGCTACTTTGCCTTTTTTAAATTAATCTGATTTCCTTGTTGTTTTAAATTTCTTCGTTACTAAATTATTAGTTTTAATTTGAATCGAATTATTAAGTGTTAGTTTTTGGAGATTCCATACTAGTATCACTATTGCTGTTTTAAATTATTGAGACCTAATCTTGATTTTTTTCTAGTTAAGCTAGTGAAGATATTGCTAAATCTCCAAACGTATTTATAGTAATTTACATAGATTATTTTCTTGAAATTGGAGACAAATTATAATCGTCTCCTATTCCTATGCTTTCTTCTGCTTCTAATGTATCTTTTATATTCGTGCTGTCACACTTTCTAATAAGTGGAATTCCATTTAGTATAGAGTGCTTTTTATTAACTTAAGGTGATAAACTTATTGACTTTTTCCAATGATTAGAATTAAAATTTTATTTGATAAGGGCAAGTAAATCAGTATCACAACGAATTTAATCTTACAGCTCTTAAATTTTTTTTTCATTGACAACCTTAGGTTAATTAATACTGAAAAAATCAAGAATGCTGCCTTCCATAAAATTTCCTCCACTTCCTCCAATAATTTTATCCTATAAGGTCTAATCATATTAAAGCTAAAAATCTCCAGTTTTTAATTCTTAAACAAGCTTCAAAAGATCATATTTAACTAGATTAAGATCAGACTGAGATGCTACTTAAATTGAATTACTTGTATTTTAATATTATTAATATTCTTTAGACTCTTAAACTGTTTAATTTCTGTTTCGATTTAAAATTTAATCTAATGATTAAGGAGTTTCTGATTTATTTGAGAAAACTAATTTTACGTTAAATTATATTTGAAATACTTTTATCATTGTTAATGTTTTAATAATATTTTATTTTTATTTGAACAAATTTACCTTAATTACTTTAAATAGTTGAGGATTTTTCTCTTGGCTTAATTTAAACATTTACGGTTGTAACAGGGCTGGCTTATTTTATATTTTCCTACTATTTATTTTGAATACTACTTTCTGTTTGCTTTTCTATTTTTTAATTTGTATCATTTATAGAAGGTTGATTGATGATTAGTTATGCATTATCTTTAAGCTTAATACTCTTTTAGGTAGAGTAAACTTTATGCAAATCTCCATTTATATAGATAGGGACTTAGTCTTCTAATTTTTAAGCTTGAGTAGGTGAAGCATCATAAAAAACTTTTTACTATTTATTGTTTCTTTATTAATCAATGTTTTTTTCTTAATCTACAGCTTATGAATTATTAAAAGTTGATTTAGGTGATGGTTCGGCTTGCTATATATTAGTTGAATTAGGATCTAGTTTGATTTATTGTTAATTTAAATCATTTTTCTCATTTTGCTTCTTCTTTCTAATTTAAAAAAAAAAAACATCATTCTTGAGGATAACAATAATTTGGTCTACTTAAAATTTGATTTTGTAAAAAAATGCTAATGCTTACTTTGAAGGTGAAGAACCCATCAATTAAATAAGAATATGAGACCTTTTAATTTATAAACTTATATAAAAACTATTTTTATTATTGTTAATAAATCCCTACTTAAAATTATATAGTAGTAAGAGTTTTTTATGTAGTGATCTTATACTTAAATTAGAATCTTTGTTTTAACGCAAAATTTATAATCGCTTCTTAAAGGAGAGATTACATCTAAAAGCTATATTAATTTATAAATGACTGGATTAACACACAGATTTTAATTTAAAGTTAAACCACCATCAAAAAAAAAAAATTAAAAATAGCTGCATTTGATGATTTGAGTAAGTTTTTGCATTTAAAAAAAAATGACACATTAAAATTGTTTAATAGCTTTAAATTAGTTAGTTAATTTAGAAAGAATTAAATTTATTTCATTTTTTTAACTTAAATAAAGGACAAATGTTTTAAAAATCTTCATAAAAGAAATTAATTGTGATGAGCTAAATACTGATCTTAAAAATTAAATAATATTCATTAATTTTTGAAGCATAAATAAGCAAGATTTAAATCTGAATTTCAAGAAAAATATTCAAGAACGGCTGTTTAGTTAAATCTTATTAAATAAATAAATAAACATATAATTGTTTGTTAAAAAATATATTATTTTTTAATATTCTTTGGCTATAAAATTTGATTTTATTTAACTTTTTAATGTCAATCCAAAAGCTAAAAAATTAAAATTAAATAGTTTGTTGCAAAATATTTTTTTTAAATCAAATTAATTTAAAATTGTTTTTAATACTTTGGATTGTAAAATTCTAAAAGTAAAACTTAATAAATATTTAATATTTGATGATATATAAATTTTCTTTGTTATTCAATTATCAGTGAACGCTAATAATTGAATTAGTTGGATTTTGATTTTGTATTTTAATTAATTATTTTGTTTGATTTTTAGATAATTAAAAAAGAAAAGTTATTTTTCAAGTAATTTGATTTTTTGATATTATCTAAGCAGCCTTTAATATTAAAAAACTAATTTAAATAGACTAAAGCACATACTTAAAGATAAAGTCCTTAAGATTCTTAAATTAGAATTTAGTATAATCAAATATATAAAAATTAAATTAGCTTGAGAAAATATGTCTCAAGAAAATCAATAAAAGTAAGGCCATCATGAGGAAGAAGGCTAAACATTAGTTCAACAAAAAAAAGAAATTGAATAATATGCAACGGATAAATAAATTATTGCATAAATCGATAAAGATTATGAAGAAATTATGAAAGATTTCTCTGGTGATGCGGAGTTAAAGGATTTTAAAATATAATACGAATCACTTTACAATACATTTAAGCAGTCAATTAATTCAGAACATGGATCTATCAAAAAGTGAATATATTCTTCAATGTTTTTTTAAATTAAATCTAACAAATATTCTTAAATTCGAATTACTAAATTCTAATTGATGTTTAATGATAATATTTAGATGCGAATAACATGCTGAAGAAATCGCAATATACTCAGCAAAATTAGATGGAGTTGTTAAAATGATATAAGCCAATGAAGAAAATCTTGAACTTTCAAAGAAGGAACTTGAAGATAAAAAAAAGTTAATTGAGGATTATAAAGAAAAAAAAGAAGAGATTAAAGAAAAGATAGAGCTCACCAAAGATTAATTATCAGAAGTATTATTGTTGGGATTATGCATGTATATATTTAGAATTTTATGTAATTTATTAGCTATAGAAGAAGACCGAGTAGAGACTTGAAAAAATAGAGTTATAAAATTAAGAAACTATTAGAAATCTCAAAAAATAAAAGGAGGAATAAGAAAAAAGTAAACCTTTTTGGTGTTAAAATTTAAAGTAAAATATTTTTTTTATATAAAAGACTGTGAATAGCTTGGAAATAAAATAAAGTACTAAAAAAATGAAAATGAACATTATTAAAATGAACTTTAATAAGAAGAAAAGTTCAACAACAAGTATCAAATGGATGTACAAGAGTTGCAAGAAAAAATAATGAAATATAAAGAGGTTGCCAAAACAGAGGAAGAGAGAAAATAAGAAATGGACAGGAAGATGGATTTAATCAAGGATAAAATTGATAAGGCAAAAGAGGAGTAAAAAAGAAAGATAGAATAAATCGCGTAATTGCAAAAAGAGTAAAAGCAATATGAAAACAAAATCATCAATTCTAAAAATGAAAAGAACTAAAACCAAGAAGACTAAAAGAAACACAAAAAGTAGCTCGACTAAATTAATGAAGACTTGAAAGTTCAAGAGGAATAATAAATTGTAAAATATTTATATCATATATGTTTATTTTTTTAAATTTATATTATTTATCTAGTAATTAGAGCACGATATAAAGAACTTAGAGGAGTCAGTTGTTAATGCTGAGAAAGAGTTACTAAAGATTAAAAAACCTATTTAAAATCTTGAAAGAGAATATGATAAGATAACTAAAATGAAATCTAAGCTTGAAACTGAAAATCAAATTTTAGAATAAAACTTAGAAAGACTTTAGTCCTAAAATAAAATCGAAGAAGAACACGTTGAAACTCTTACTAAAATGAGAAACGAGCTCAAAGAAAAAATAGATTCTATTTTAAAATAAAGAACTTAAAATAATAAGTCTCTCAAAAAGGCAGAAGATGATGAACATAAAACTGATGAAGAAATTATTTATTAGCTCAATAAGTTGAAGAAAATAGAAAATCAGATTTTGGGTTATGAAGCAGAAAATGAGAAATTAAGGAAAATGATTACATAATTATAAAAAGAGTAAGAAAAATATGGTATAGAAGCTTCTCAAGCTCATGCAAAGTATTACTAAACTTGTGAAGAAGTTAAAATTAAAATTAACTAAATTGCAGAATAAAAGTAGAAAAATAATGCAGTTCTTGCTAAATTAAAGCATTAACAACATTTATATGAAGCAGTCCGCTCAGACAGAAATTTGTATTCTAAGAATCTCCTTGACTGCAAGAAAGAATTAAACGAGCTTCAGGAAAAGAAAAAAAGAAACAAATAAATGGTTGATCAATATAAAGAAGAAATTAAATAAAAAGATAACGAATTAATTAACTAGGATTTCGAATACAATAAAATTGTAGAAGAAAATAAAAAAACTGAACTTGAAAAAGAGCGTGTTATGAAGGCTATTAAATCAACTGAAGAGGTAATTTTTAATTAGATTCAAATACATTTTAATCAATAATATCTTTAATTAAGGTTATCAAAAATTAAGAAAATCATATCTCGAGATTAAAATACATAATTTAAGAATTGAAGGCTGAAAAGTAAAGACATGACAAGGATTTGGAAATGGTTATAAATGAAAGAGATATATTAGGAACTTAATTGATTAAGAGAAATTAAGAATTATAAGTTCTTGAAGAAAAGATTAAGCTTTAGCAGAGTAATTTGACCAAAGGTGAGATTGTTTACAGAAAGAAGTAAGAAGAATTGGCAAAACTAAAGATTGAGCTCACAAACTTAGTGAATGAGCTGAAGAGTACCTAAGAATAAATTTCCTGCATCCCTGATTTGAGAAATGAAATAAACTCTTTATAAAAGGATATTCTCGCAGAAAAAACAAAGGTCAAAGCTCTCTAAGACGAACTTGAAAATCCCCTTAATGTTCACAGATGGAGAAAACTAGAGGCTACTGATTAAGAGAATTTTGAGAGAATATTAAAGATTTAAACTTTACAAAGAAGACTCATTGCAAAAACAGAAGAAGTAGATAAATAGCTTTAATTTATTTTTAATGAATGTAATTAATATTTTTTATGTTTAATTAATAAAAGGTTCAAGAAAAAGAGAAACTTATCAAAGAAAAAGAAAAGCTATTTATGGAACTTAAAAATATCCTTGCTAGATAGCCAGGTCCAGAAATTTAATAACAATTAGCTACTTACAAGGAGTCTTTGAAAGAAAAAACTGCTTAAATGAAGAAAATGCTAGGAGAATTAAAAAATTCTAGAGAATAGGTAATTTGTTTACTGATTTAATTTAGATTAAAATAGAAATACTTAATATGTTATTTTCTTTTTACTTGAAATTAAGTTAATATAGAAATTTGTAATTAATCAATTTTACTAATAAATTACGATAGGTGAACATTTTAAAATTCGAAAATAATAGACTAAGGGAAGAAATGAATAAATTGAAAAGAGATTATTTCTAAAAAAGAAAAGAGTAAGACAAATCATAAGAATTGTAAAATAATCCTGCTATTGGAGATTTCAATATTTCCAGTGCCCAACCATAGTAGCTTCAATAAGAATAAGTAAAATTTAAAATATTTAATAAAAGTATATTTTATATTTATCGACTTAATTTATTGATTATACAGGCTATTTAAATTGCAGCAGGTGCACCTAGATGAAAAAAAATTATTAAGTTAAATAGTTAAAAGCATTAAAACAGATTTTTATTACTCAAACTTGTATGCAATATTCACCAATAAATAACTTTAAAATTCTATCAATAATAAATTATTGTGTGTAACTTTGTTTTTATTTTTGGAAAATTATCTTATCCAATCGACTAATTCTTAATTGTATGATTTATAATTTTATGAAAATTAATTAAGATTATTTAGCTTTAATAACTTTTTAATTATGATTAATAAAAAAATAGATAATTAATTTTGGAGTAAAGGTAAACATCTATCACTTAATCATTTATTTTTATGTAACACTGACTGATTCACTAGTTTTAAGAAGGAAGGATTATTTTAATCTTATAAAATCTAATTAAATTTGTGAATTTAATATATTACAATTTATCAATAATTAATTTTTAGCAAAAAAAGCGTATAAATGAAATTATTTGGTTTTTCAGATAAAGATAAAAAAAAAGAAGAAGAAAAGAATTCTAACAAGGGTAATAACTCTGAATAGGATCAAGAAATTTTAGATTTTTAGGCAATTAAAACAGGAGAATATAACCTTCACGTAAAATAATATAGTAAAACTAATAAATATCACAGGTATTTTTTACTTTTACTGTACATATAGGTACTAATACAAAAAACAAGAGGGCTAGTTAACTCTTCGGTTAAGAATCATACTATTGATCCTATAATAGAAATTTAAGCGTTTGGTAAAAAGAAATACTCTTAGATAAAAAAGAAAGTTGGAAATGAAGATTAGGTATGGGGAGATCATATTTTTATAGAACATTTTGTGAAATCAAAAGAAGAGATAAACAATGGCTTTATCACTTTTTTGATAAAAAATCACCATAGCTTACTATAAGATGAGATAATTGGTAAATTAGAATTAATAATCTGCAAGGTTTAAAATTGTCTATTTATATAATCATATTGAAAAGGAAAATACTAACTAGATTTAACCTAAATATATCTTGAAAAAGATCATTTACTAGAACATAAATGGATAGGAATAACAAATGTAGATTAAGACTTTTCTAAAATTAGAGGGTTTATAAAAATTAGTGCAAAATTAATACACCAAGATGATAAAAATCAGATTTATTTGAAGGAAGAAACTGATCAAGAAGAGAAATAGCGAACAAAATAAAATATTTTGAAAGTATTATTTTCTCCTTCAGTATAACAGGAGTCGCATATCATAAAGGTTAAATTATATAGAGCTCTTAACTTAAAAAAAATGGATATAATTGGTCACATTGATCCATACATTGTTTTTGAATGTAAGTCTTAAACTTAGCAAATTGCTTTTTTAATTACGCATTTTATAAAAGCAAAGAATATGAAATTTTAGAGTTTATTTGTTTGTTAAAACGATGGTTATATTTTAACTGCAAAAAGCTCAAGCTAAAAATAGAAATTAATTTTCATTAAATTAAAATTTAGGTTTTTATTTATATTAAATATGTTTTAATTATCAATTAGATGGAGGCATAGAATATAAAACAAAATGGATTGATAACAATAAGAATCCTGAATGGTTTTTAGATATTTAAGTAAATTTTTAATTAGTAAACATTTAACAATAACAAATTTTTAAAATTATTAGCTACCTTTTTATATGCCAACTCTCAGTTAATATTTCTATTTAAGAGTGTTTGATTATGATAGAGGAACTACAGATGAATTAGTTAGTACTTGCAGATTTAAAATAAATGATATAATTGAAGGAAAAGTAAGTATAATATTTTAATTAAATAATCAAATTAATAAATTAATTTAGTATAAAAATGCATTTTGGACTAATCTTTATGGCAGCTAAGAGAAAGTTAACAATAAAGAAGAAATGAGTGCCATGGATAATCATCCTAACATTGCTTCTAATTGGTGTGGAAGCTTGATGATTGCTTTAGATTCTGAAAAATCTAAAAATCCTATAATAAAAGAAGAATAAATGGACCCTTTATATCGCAGAATGTATTAAGTGGTTTAGGTTGAAAAGCTTTCTCTAGTGGTAATTTAAAACAAACAAAAATTTTTTATTTTAGAAGATTTTAAAATAATTAATTTATTATTTAATTTGTCAATTCTAACAAATATTTTAATCTTAAAGTTAGATGTTTTCTTTGGAATCGATCTTCCATATAACAATGGAAAATTTAAAATTACAGTAAAATGGGGACATGCTTAAGCTGAATCTAAATATGATTTTGCTTATAATTGTATGATAAATTGGAATGAAGTAATTAATTAATATTTTACTTGATTTATTCAATTATTTTTAATAAAAATATCATATATAATTAATAGAGATTAATTTTGAAGGATGTAGAATTTCCAATCACAGAATTCTAGCACAACATCCCTGATATATTTATTTATCTAACAAATAAAGAAGAGGAGCACATAGCATACTGGAGAAAACCATATTAATTTTACTTGAATTAAGAAAGAAAGTAGAAGTATGTATATTTTAATCCTGACAGAGCTGTATCTAATCTTAGACAAGACTAAGCAGGAATTTTAAAAGTTCACTGTAAAGTTGCTTAGACTGAATATCATATTCCTCCTAATCCTTTTGTCGCTAATCCTGTATGTAACTTAATATTAAAAAATACATTTTTAATATATTTTAACTATTAGGAAGATTTGTAAATGAGTAAACTAGGATCAAAAAGGCTGATATGTAATTTATATTAATGCTAAAATTTAATTCCATCAAGTGATTTTGGTAATTGCAACCCTCTTCTTAGGGTAAGCTTTATGGGTATAACTGCACATTACCCAGTCAGATTAAATACATAAAGTCCTGTAAATATAAAAATATTTAACATACCTTATAGAGTAATTTGAATTAATTGTTTTAAAAGGTTTGGTATCGATCTATGGAGATTAATGTTCCATATTTTTATGAGTCTTAAGAGCAACCACCTATCATAATTAGAGTGTTTGATTAAAGTGAATATGGTAAAGTTCTTTTTTAAAATTTATTCCATTTAGAGTTTTATCAAAAAAATTCTATAAAAATAACAAAATTATTATTTGTTAATTTTTAAAGGTTTAGGAGAAAATTTTCTAGGGAATACTATTATTGATATAAATGAAGGAGTTAAAGAAAAATATATAAGCTTTTCAAAAGAACCTGCTGAGCCAAAATGGCTAGACCTTTATTTCAGTAACCTCAATTTAATATAAAACAATTTTTTAAAGTAAATATTTAAGATAAAAATACAGTTTCTGGTAAAGTATTGATATCGTTCAATGTTATAGATGATGATAGATCTCCACTTACTCAATTAAGGATTATGCCTGAACTTGAAACATATGAAATTTCAATAAAAATATTTGGTTTGAGAAATCTTAAATCTAGTGGTTTGATGCCTGTAAAGAAGCCTTTTATTAAAATAAATAGAAATCATTTAACATAAGTTTAAAAGTACCTAATGAATATGCCAGCACCTAAATAATAAACAAAAGCGCCTATTTTTAACAATCCTATTATAAAATCTTAGACTTCATAAACATAGATAAAAGCTTAACACAGCTATATTGAGTAAGAAGAATATATTATAGAATCTCATTCTGTCGGCGAGAATCCTAACATCAATTAAATTATAGTTTTTCACTAAGAGTTACCAAAAAATAGTTCTCTTGTGCCAACTTTAAGTGTAATTTTATTTAATCAGAAAATCGTTATTTAAATTTACATACAAAATAAATTAGTGTACAGTTCATGATAAAATATTTTATGGTTTGTATTAACCATTAATAGGATAATTCACTATTGATTTGCAACAATATATAGAAAAAAATAAAAAATTACTTCAGAAAAGAATTGAGAAATCATAAAGATTTTTAGAAGAAATGTCAAAATAAGAATCAAGCATAAAAATTGAAATTACAGATGTGACTGGTAAGCAAGAGGCGAGAGTAGTAAAAGAAGATTTAATAGAAAGCACAAACAAGAAACTTCGAGAATATAGATATTAACCTACAATGAAGCTAAAATAGAACTTTATTCAGGAGGTTGTTTATTCAGAAGAAATTTTGCAAAAAATAAATCCCAGAAGCCAAAAATAGAAAATAAACACTGATTTTACTATATTTTGGGCACGTTATAAAGCTATCAAAGATAAAGATAATTAAATAAAAGAAATTTCACCTATACCAAGCAAAGAATACTACATGCCTTTATCATATGATGGGATATATTCAAAATAGTAATATATAAAAAACACAAAGAAAAAAGAAAGTGGTCTCTAAAATGAAGAAGAAGAGGATAGTGAAATACAAATTGAACAATATAATCTTGACAATACCTCAGTATTTTTTTATTTAAATTAGTTAAATTTAGTTAAATAAATTTTTTGATTAAAAAGGCATATAAATTTGCATACTACAAAGGAATAAGAAAACACTACAGGTATTTTGTTAACGATAAATTAGAAGATACTCGTTTTGTTAGATAAGATGGGGATTAGAAGATCATTGATGACATCGATATTATATATTAAAAAAGATTTTCAGAAAGTGATTTATACACAGATGCAGACCTCTTAGAATAAAATTTAATTAAAGCAGGTACTTTTAAAGGCATTATTAATGTTACAAAGTTATCTGATCTCGATAAAATTGCATCAGCCTATTAAAAAAAATAAGAATTAGTTGAAAAGGATTTCTTAACTCAAAAAAATGTTTTAGTGAGAGTATACATACTTGAGGCAGAGAATCTACCAAAAACCGATGTTATTGGGTTTGATTTTTTTAAATTTAATAAATTTATTAATTAAACTTAAATGATTATTTAATAGATATTGTGATCCTTATCTTGTAGTAAAATTAGGTGATTAAATGCAAGAGGTAGATTTAAATGGTGTTTTGTTATTTCTTATATTTTTTCAAGAATAAAAAAAGATATAAATAAGAAGATGCGAATCCTTAGTTTTATGAGATGTTTTAGTTTAAAAGCACCCTTCCAGGAAATCCTATATTAAAAATTTAGTTGATGGATTATGATAAATTTAATGCAGATGATTTTATGTGTGAGACTGTAATTGATCTTGAAGAAAGATTCTACAGTAATAGATGGAGAAAAATTAAGAATCCTCCTATTGAAATTAGACCTCTCTACCATCCAGCTAGTTCTATTCCTAAAGGCTAAATAAAATTATGGCTAGAAATTATACCAGAAACGGATATTAGTAGGATAGGAACTATATATCACATAACACCTAAGCCATCTGAAGAATTTGAATTGAGATGTGTTATTTGGAGTGCTCACAATATTCCTTAAATTGAAGATAAAAAATCGACTGATTTATTTATAAGAGCAATTTTCGGATAATAAATTTAAATCACGGATGTTCACAAAAAATCATAACAAAATGTATGAATTAATTTAATTAAAAATGTTTATTGAATTCAAATAAATGATAAATACAGGCTAGTTTTAATTGGAGATTTAAATTTCCTATAACTTTACCAAGTAAAAACACAACCATTACATTCTAAGCTCTCGATGAAGATATCTTTTCTTTAGATGGATATATTTGTTCTGGAGTTTTAGATTTTACTAAAGAGGCTAAGAGAGCTTTTGAAAATGATGAGAGGGTGAAGAAGTATGGTGAACAATAATTCTATGAATAAAATGTATTTAGTTTGTTCTACAATTAAGAAAACTCAAAAGAAAAATTTGAAATTCCAATGACTGTAGATAATGATTAAGTTTCTCACAAGGTGACCTCCAAAAAGCCTTATCTCTTAGGAACATTTGAAATTGTTCCTAAAAAAATGTAAATTTATATTTTATGTTTAAGGATAGATTTAAATTATTTATAAATATTAAACTAATTTAAGAAATTAGTTATTTTTTTATTATTAGTTTGATAAAAATTTTTAAGATTTTAACTGATTTATTTAAAAATTTAGAGCAATTGAATAACATGTTGGAATAGGTAGAAGTGAGCCTAATCATAGTCCTTTTTGCCCAGAACCTTAAGGAAGAATACTGTGGTCATGGAATCCTATTAAATTATATGTATTATTACCAAAAATAATAAATAAAATTTAACAATAAAATAATTTATTTTTTAATAGATTCAAACATTTGCACCTATGTGGAGAAAAAAAATAATTTACCTAGTAATTCTTTTCTTTATATTAGAAATTATCATTTTAACTATCCCTGCATACATAGGAAGTTATTTTGGAACATCTAAGTATATGGGAACAGGTAAAAGCTGAAATTAATTTACTAAAAAACCAACAAAAAATGATATAACTCTTTGTTTATTTATTTATATAATTAATAACTTTATTTTGTAATAAAATGTTAATTTTAAAAACTTTAAAAAAAAATTAAAAACTCTAAAAAATAATTTCATACAAAGTTGATAATTTTAAAATATAAAAAACACACCAAATAAAATAAATTACAAAGAATACATCTAAGTTTGAATCTAATTTTTTATTATATTACTTTTGAATACATTTTTATGTCAATTATAAATTTGTTAATTTCATTAATTTTAGAAGTAGTTGCTCAAAAACAAAAACGGATTAAGTTTTAGTTACTAGATAAAAGTGATACCAATATGCTAATTTCTAATAAATAAAATTGATCATTTATGAATAGTATTGAAGATACTTTAGAATTTAATTGATAGATAATTTGACAATTATCAAAACAAAAACAAGTCGAAGAAAATAAGTAATAAATAAAATAGTGCTGTAATTAATATATAAGATATAAATAGTTTACTTTAATTTCTTGAACAAACAATATAAATGTCAAAAGCTCCAGAACCTCAAAAAGATTAAAAAGTTGAACCTCCTAAAATTGACCCAGCTGCTGATGCTGCAAAAGCTTAGAGTTCAGGTATCGACACAGAGAGTCTTCTTAACTTTTCTGAGTTGAAACCAGGCGAATACTCCATTCATGTGATTTGAATATCATTTAATTTATTACAATCAAAATTAATTTAAATCAACACTTATGATGAAATAAATAATTGAAATTCAATAATAAATAATAAATTTAATAGGTTTATGTAGAAAGAACAAGATGTTTAACTCACCCTGATAATGATACTGAATTAGTAGATCCTATGGTATGCATTTAGTCGCTCGGTAAAAAATAATACACAGGAGTGAAGAAAAGAGTAGGACCTAATGATAAATTTTGGGGAGAGCATTTATACATTGAAAAAAATGTTGCAAATAAAGAAGAAATTAAAAATGGAAAGCTTTTGATTGAAGTGATAGATTATAATAGTGTGACCAAAAATTGTTTAGTTGGTAATAAATAATATCTTCATTTTAATATCTTTTGCATTAACTAACTTGGTTTTGCTTACAAAAACATATGCAGTTTTGTAAAATTGAGTTGATTAATCTTTATTTAAAAATAAACGTTTTTTACTAATTAAATTAGTATTATAATATATATATATATATATATATATATTGTTTTTTATATCTTACTTAAAGGTAATTATGAAATGGATTTGGCTTCAGTATATTTTGAAAAAGACCACTGCTTATTATATAAATGGCTTGCTTTGACAAATATCAAAAAAAATTACTCCAAAATTATGGGATATATCAAGTTAAGTGTAAGCGTTTTAAGAGCTGGAGAGAAATAAGTCTTATTACAGGAAGAACCCCCTAGAAAAGCAAATAAATCTGAGAAATCAGAAAATCAAGTTATGCTCCCTCCTTAACTCTAGTAAAAGCCAGGTCAAATAGTTTTCAAGCTATTTAAAGCTGAAGCATTAAAAAAAATGGATACTTTTTACTCTATTGATGCTTACGTAGTTTTAGAATGTAAATTTATTTTAATTTTAAGCCTAAATTAATTTATTAAAGCATAATAACAAATTCAAAATAAATAGGTGGTGGATTTTCTTTGAAATCTGATACAGTTATGGATAATAAAAATCCTACTTGGTATAAGGAAATGTGGGTATATAAAATTTTGAATTTATTTTTTTATAAACAATTACTATATTTACTTTTCTTAAAATTTTTTTCAGAACCTTAGTTCGATTTAATAAATTGAAATTTTTAATAAATAATTATTACTGATTAAAGAAAAAGATATTTTACTAATTAATTTAAATTATGAGTTTACAGTTTTCAAAATAAATATATTAATTATAAAAAGGTTCCTCTATTTTAGCCTACTGTCAATAGAAACTTAACTTTAAAACTTTGGGATTACGATAGAGGTTCTGATGATGAATTAGTAGGATGCTGTAATTTCAATCTCAAACAAATTATAGATGGTGAAGTAAAATTTTTTATCGTTCTTTTTTTATTGATTCTCATTAATATTCAATATATAATATTTGTAAGCTTGAAGATCCTTTTTGGTGCAATATATATGGTAGTCCATATGACTGTGCTTACAAAGATGAAATGAATATCATGAATAATAATCCCGATTTAGGTACTTACTGGTCAGGAAGAATTCTTTGTGCTATTAGCTACTAAGATGCCGAAGAACCATAGTGTGCTATGAAGCCCTTAAGCAAGCAAGATGTTGATACCTACAAAGTCAATGATGATATGACCTATGGAATAACAGTAATTTATTTAATATCGTAATATAAGTTTATTAAGTAACACTTTTAATTAAATTAAGGTTGATGCTTTTTATGGAATAGACCTACCAGATAATAAAAAATACTCTCTAACAGTAAGATGGGCTGATTAATTAGTAGCGACAAAGAAAATTGAAGCTAAAAACAATCTGATAGAATGGAACGAAGTAAATAAAAATAAAATTATTTGAATTCAAAATAAATTAAACTTTCCAATTAATTATAAAGAGAGTGAAACTTGATTGTACGTTACCATACAGAAGTAGTGATACTCTTCCTGATGTTTTTATATACTTGACAGATAGTGATGGAAAATGCGTTTCATATGTCAGAGAAAAAGCAAAAAAATTCATGATAGCATAAGATATGAATCCTAAAAATTATTTCATGGTTCCAGATAAATCTATGACTAAAATAAGAGCAGATGAAGCAGGTATAATTAATGCTACTATAGTGATTGAAATTGAAGGATGCACTAACAAACCAAATCCTCTTCTTGAACAAGTAAAAATAAATATTTTTATTTTATTTTATATAATTAAATATTTTAATATAAAAAAGGCTAAGAAAATTAAACCAAAGCAAACTATGTTACATTTTAACTTATTTTAATGCTAAGACTTAATTCCAGGAGATACAAATGGTACTTCTGATCCATTTTGTGAAGTTCACTTTTATGGAAGTACAATTAAATTCCCAACCAAAAAAGATACAAACAACCCAGTATTTATTTATAAAATATTTTTTAACATATATATATATAATCTGCTTGAGTTTTTTCTTATATTTATTGTATATTAAAACAAGATTTGGTACAAGAGTTAGTAGATTCAAGTTAATTAATATAATGAATTTAATCCTCCTCCTGTTCTGATTAGATTTTTCGATGAAGATACAGTTTGTAAAATAAAAAAATTATTGTTTACTTAATATTTATTTATTTATAAATATATTTCAAATTTAGCAAATGATTTCCTAGGATCTGCATTAATAGATATCTAAGAAGGTATCAAATAAGGTTACATTGGAAAAACTGCAAAGGATACTATTTCTCCTAAATGGGTTGATCTTAAATTCAGTAAATAATAATTTTAAGATGATTTTATATAGAATAATTTAAAATAATTAAAGATAGAAACAGTTAATGCGGAAGGGCACTAGTTTCAATGTTTTTCGACGATACCGTTACATCTAAACCATAAATTTATGATTTAAGACCTAAGCTTGAAAAATACAGAATTTAAGTTAAAATTCTTGGTTTGAGAAACTTAAAATCCTACGGCCCTATGCCTGTTCGTCGTCCTTACATAAAATTTGATATTAACAGTTTGAAAGGAATTGGCGAGTCCAAGAACGCTTCTAAAAACCTCTTTACTGAACCTAAAGGATTTGGAGCAAACCCTACTATTTCTACTATTATTAAATTTGATTGTCTTTTACCAGAAGATCTTATTCTTATGCCATCATTAAGTGTATTTCTTTAAAATTAATGAATAAAATTTTAATTTTATTTTAAACAAATAAAAAGTGCACAGTCTATGATAAAATTCTTTTTGGACTGATTTAACCTATTGTTGGATAGTTTTCTATCAATTTAAGAGAATTTGTTTAAAAAACAAAAGAAAGATAAGCTCAAAAATATAAAAAAACTACTACTTTCTAAGGAGATACTTCCTCTTCTTTATAACTATCTATGGCTTTAAAATCTAAACCAGAATCAACCTAACTTGATAGCAAAAATAGTAAATAAGACATTACAATTGATGATAAAGCAAATACCTTGAAGGAAGGCTTACTCTAAGAAGTTAAAGAATAACATGAAGAACAACACGAAGAAGAACACTAAGCTGTTATTGAAATTGATAATTTAAAATAAGCAGAATCATAGTAAGATGAGCATATTTTGAAGATTGACCCTTACTAAATTTATGATGAAACTAAAAAAATTATTAATAAGGAAGGTTAAATTGTTAAGGATTATACTATTTTTTGGGCTCATTATACATTCGACAAGGAAAGCGCCGAAATAGTTGAAATTAATCCTCCAGATCCAGATTGTTATTATGCTCTTTCATATGACAATCGTATAAACAAATTAAACTCTATTCGTATTAAAGAAACTAATAAGCCTCTTCCAAGCGAAACTAATGAATCAGTAAATAATTGATTTTAATAAAAAAGTTTAATACTATTAATCTTATTTGTTAAAAAAGACTGGATTAGTAAAAGAAGGAGAAGTAGTTAATTATGCAACTAACAATTAAATCCGTAAACACTATAGATACATTGTTCATTCACCCTTAGAAGAAAGTATATTCATTGAAAAGAATGTATTTGATGTCATTGAAGTCAGCTAATGCAGAAGATTTAATGAAAACGATATGTATAATGATATGGTTCTTTCACATGGCAATACAAACATGGCTGGTAAGTTTAAAGGTATTATATCTGTTGTTAATCACAACGACACCAAGCTTATGGATTAAGTTCAAAGTGATAAACAAGAAGAAAGAGATAAGGACTTTATGAGTGAAAAGTATGTCCTTGTACGTTTATATGTCTTAGAAGCAGTTAATATTCCCAATGCAGATGAGTTAGAGTATTTATAATTAATTACATTATTTTTCTTATAAATTATTATGAAATTCTAAAAATTATCTTATTTAAAAGTGAGAGTGACCCTTATCTGATTGTAAGACTTGGAGATCAAAAGATTTCAGTAAAATTGATTTTATTTTTTGTTTAATTTATTTATTCATAAAATATGTTCAATTGAATTAAATTAAAACTTTTTTAATAGACAAGAAAGAGATTTATTAAAGACAATTGCAATCCTAAGTTTTACGAAATGTTTGAATTTAAAACCTGCCTTCCAGGAGATCCCCTTCTTAAAATCTAATTATGGGATTATGATGAGCTTTCTGCCGATGATTTCTTATGTGAAACTGTTATTGATTTAGAAGATAGATTTTATAGCAAAAGATGGAGAAAATTAGTAAATCCTCCTATTGAAACTAGACCTCTCTATCACTATTCTAGCAGCATGTAAAAAGGAGAACTTAGACTCTGGCTAGAAATTATACCTGGTACTGAATATGAAAGAGTTAAAACTGTGTATCACATCCAAAATAAGCCCACATAAGAATTTGAACTTAGAGTTGTTGTTTGGAATGTTTCTGATATTCCTGCATAAGATGTAGAAGATACAAGTGATCTCTTTGTTGTTGCAAGAGTAGGAAATTTGTCTAAATAGACTGATATTCATTTCCGTGCTCAAAGCGGAGAAGTAATTATATTATTTGTTTTATAACAATAGGAATAATATTTTAAATTAAATTAATTATTTGATTATATAAATAATAGGGTAACTTTAATTGGAGAATGAAGTTCCCAATTACTCTTCCAACAAAGGATCCTGCTATTCATTTCTAAGTATTCGATAAAGATATTTTCAGTCCCGATGATTTCATTAGTTCTGTTTCGATTGATTTCTAAAAAGAAGCCATGGCTGCTTTTGAAAATGATAGAAGAATAAAAATGTATGGAAATAAAGATCTTGATTCTACATTAAAAATGGTTAATATTTCTAAAAAAAAATATGATAAAATAGAATTCCCAATGACCAACATAAAAAAATCTGACTCATTTGTAATTAAATTCCTAATAATTATGTTAAAAGCTAAATATATGTTTTAATATAGAAGTTGTAATTCAAGCAGGAAGGAAAGATTGTTATCTCATTTGAATTAGTACCTAAATCTGAGTAAAATTCTAAACTATTTATGAAAAATTTTGTACAATTAAAAATATTTAAATAGAGCTGATCATGATCCTGTTGGAAACGGTAGAAGTGAACCAAATCACAGTCCTCATTTACCTGCCCCTGCTGGTAGATTTAAATGGTCTTGGAATCCTTACACAATATTCGTAAATTAATTCATCTAAATATTTAAAATTAACTAAAATTTATAATAAAGTGTTAAATGGTTGGTCCTAAAATGAGAGCCAAAGTTTGCTTTTTATTATGTGCTGTCCTTTGCTGCTTAATTTTTGTAATGACATTACCTGCAATTATTGGTCAAGCAATCGAAGATAAATTAAGTGAATGATAAATTTATAGCATCATAAATAAAATAAGTATTTAAAATTTTATTATTTGAATCAAATTCTTCAACTAGCCATTTTTGAGGATTAAATTCATGAAGATGTTTTTTTATGTAGAAAAATATTTGTGAAAATTGAATGAATGTGAATTAAAATATTTTATTTGTAAAAATCGATATAAAAATGGATATTCAATAAAAATTGATTTACTTTTTTGAATTTTTAATATTTAAAATAAAGCATTAATGTATTTTAAATTAAGAATAGCTTTAAAAAAAATAAATATAGCCAAATTTATTTTATTTTAAGATAGTTTTTTAAAAATTAAAAATTAAAATATAGAAATTTAAAAAAATTTTATTCTATTAAATCATTTTTGAAATTTCTTGTATTTAAATATTTAGGTGGTAAATGTCAAGAATTTAATATATTTATAAATTGTAATACAAATTAATTTATTTATTTAGCATTTCAAAAAGAAGGTACACGAAATGAAATATAAAAACAGTAAATAGTATAAGAGATAGATAGAGATTGAATAAATATTTTAATATTTTTATAATTTGTATATAAGATTTATTTTAATTATAAAGTAAGTAAGCAATTAATTAATCTTTGATTAAGTAAGTAAATATATGAGAAGAGAGTTTTTAATTATTTAAATTAGCTTGATTTTTTATTGAAAACTAATTCAATTTATTTGTGGCAGAGGCTTGCTATATTATTTTATAATATAGGTCTTACGACTGATTAAGTTTTTGCTTAATTAACTAAAATTAGCAGTTTAATTTAGCCTTTCTTATGCTTTAGTTTATTGATTGTTATGAAGTTTGCATAAATTATTGAATATTATATCACTAGAATTTTATATTGGTGAAAGATTTCTTTATTTTTTTTATTTTTATTCTATAAGGGTGGATGAGCTACTACTTTCGTTATCAAGTCCATAGAAGCTATTCATAGAATAATTTTTATCTTCTTCATATTTCTTTCTTCCTACAACAATTCTTTTACCATTCTTAGAAGTAGATGGTAAGACGCGTCTACCGTAATTTCTAGCATTGTCAACACTCAACTACGAGTTTCTAGTATTTTAAAGACTGTTTAAGGAAGGTATTTCATTAATTTAAGTAGATGAATTAATTATTGAGCTCTGATCTAATTTATTGTAATAACTAGATATATTTCTAACATGTCTGTGATTATTCGTTCTAGCCTTGTAAAGAGTTTAGAACGGTGTTACCGTAAATTTATCAGTAGCAGATGTAAAATTTTTGATGTATTCTTTTTCATTACTACTATAAATTCCTACAGCATTACTGCTATTACTGCTACTGGCAGTGCTTACTTCATTTAAGGTGCTGCCTTTATGGATGCAGGAGTTATTTTTAAGAGGAGTAAGCTACTCATCAGATTGATTAGAATTCGAAGATGATTATTTTGAAATCATTAAGCTTTTTACGCGACTACGAGGTCTAGGTTATTGCTTCAATGCATTTTCTTCTTACATTAAGCTATTACGAGGAATTAAATATTTTTTTTCGTTTTAAGGTTCGACTAGATGTCTTACACTTTCCCAAATTTAGCTATTACTTCCTTACTGTTCGATTAAAGTTTTTTATATATGCTAATTATTATATGTAATTAAAAATTAGTTAGTATAGTAAATTATATCATAATTCTGCATAAATTGATAAATGTTGATTGATAATTACATTTAAAAAAGGCTGTTAAGGTCCATGAATACTTCCAGGTCTCATAATGCGGATATATCCTATAAAGTCTTTAGCTGGGAAATGATAATGCTTAATTGCGTAGCAACCAATTAAGGTTCCTGTTCTTCCTCTTCCAGCCTTTAATTAAATTATTAAAAATCTATTAGAACCAAAGATATGATTTTGTTTAAAATTTTACTTTGCAGTGAACTGCAACCATACCATCAACAGATTCTACTAGCTATAAGAATTTATACATTATTTCCTATTTTAATTGAAAATTGTAAGTAAAGACTAGCCATTTTAAGATAATTTTTATTTACTTCAGATGGAGAAGTGCCATCAGGAAAGATGAGATCTACATGTTTTATTCCGTTTCTCTCATAGAGTTAAGGTGAATATGATGATTTATTTAGTCTGATTACTAATTTTACTCCCATTTATTTAAAAATATTTATGGATTAATCAACTGTAAGTTCGCAGAGAGTCTATGGTTAAAAGTAAAAATCAGTGAGTTTACAAAATTTATTTTAGTAAAAATTATATTTAAATTTGAATAAAATCATGATAAAATCAATGAAAAAATATATGATTCAATCATTTAATATATATGCATATCTTTTAGAATAAATGAATACCTCTTATTGGGAGAATAATTCTGGGTTTTAAAAGGCAATTAATTTATTAGGAATCACAACAGTAATATCGAATTTTTTTAATGCTTGATATGCTTTAATATTAAAATTTTGGATTTCTACCCATTTGAGCTTGTGAGCATATTCCAAGCCTTTCAAGCAATCTAAAAGCTATTTATTACGATAATAAATTACTAAAAAAAATAGAGATTGAATGTTTACTGTGCATTTGTAATCATTTTTTATATCAGAGGAATCTCTAAATGTGATAAATTCTGTGTTTTTGAATTTTTGATGAACTTCTTCTGCAGAACGGTTTAAGCAAAGTATCTATTTTGTTAAATTTCGTTTAAAAGAACATATAATAAATTAGCTTTTGTTTTATTTGTGATAAAAGAATAAATTTATAAAATTTTTTAATCTATTTTTGTGCTTAAAACAAAATTAATAAATGCGTTGATAATCTTAATTATTTATCATGTGTGTTAAGTAATTTTGGTATAAATAAAGGAGTTACCTAGTAAGCGCCAATTAAAAATGCTGAATTAACTTTTTTTTCAGAATCTTCAGATGTAGTATAATGATATAATTTAGAGGAAGAATATTCAGGATTATTCAAAAGTTCTTAAACACTCTATATAAATTATAGTGTATTTTCTATACAAAAAGGTCCAAAATCATTATTCAAAGGCTCATACACAAGTTCCTTTTTTTATATAGGTAAATTTCTTAATAATTCTAATGTAAACTAAAAAAATTTGGGTAGAGTTTTGAAGTAAATAAGAATAATCTACCTCATCTACGCAGAAATACAAAGAGTCTTAGCAGCTTTTAGGAGGCTAACTACCGCAAATCCAGTATAATCTGTCTATATAATTTATGTAATGAATAGGTTAAAATTTTAAGCAAACTTAAGGATTCAAAGAAAGCAAAAAGAAAAATGATTATTAATCATGGCCAAAGAGATTGATACTTTGGAATAATTAAGCAGTATTATAGAATTAACAAATTACCCTCAATAATAGGAATGAGAATTTCCTTTTTTTGTTTATTTGAAGTGGAGATTGATTGAATTTGGATAGGCATTTTCTATTTAAAGTGAGAGTAATAATCAGGTTATTTACTACTATTTTTTGTTTCAAAAATTAATTAATTATTAGTTTCTTGTTAAGTGGTTTCATATATTCTTTGAATCTTTGATTGATTTGATAATTACTGAGAAGAAATCGATTTTTAGAGGTGCTAGTATTTTTGATTAGGGAATGAGTGATTATCACGTTAAGTAAATTCAACGTTTAACAAAATAATTAAAAAGGAGTACGATACTCACAATAAGAAAAAAGGTGGACTTTTTGAATTAAAAACCTCATTAATAGAAAGTAAAAAAAAATAAATTTAAACAAAATTCAAAGTATATAAATCAATAATTATTCTTGTATATTTAAATTTCATTATATAAATCTTAGTAATATCTATTCTTACTTTTGGTAGAACGAGTTATAACTCTATATATAAAGTAAAGCCTTTTTGATAAGTAGTGGATATTGATAACCTGAAAGAAATTAAGCTGAAATTAAATTTTAATTTACATCACTTGATTTCAGATACAAATTTGCAAATATAAAAAAATTAATTAAATTTCATCTAGCTGCTTTGTAATTTAAGTATATTAATTTCAAATAATATTAAGGGCTAGTATGTACTAGATTGATTCCATTTTTTAGTATTTTTTGAGTTATTTTTAAATTGCAAAAATTAATTAGATAATTTTTAATTGCACTATGTCAATTAAAGTTAAATTACTTAATTAACAGTACTATAATAAATAAACAGCAAATATATTTTAAATATTATTAAATAATGTTATTATAATTGAAATAGTTGATAGTAATAACGCGATAAAATGTAATAAATGACGTTTTTAGTATTAGATCTTGATTTATTTTCTTAAAATTTTGGTAAATTTCTTTGGATAGTTAATCACCTTGGATAATGCGTAGTAAATAAATAAAACGTGATTATAAGACAAAAAATCTATATATTATTCATGAATGTTAATTCTTTTTTTTAAATTTTGTAAATATAAATTGATATATTAATTATTGATATAGCGTTTACAAGAAATTAATTTAGACATTTAAGTAAATACTTGTTATTTATTTTCTCTTCACTAATAGATTTTTTTTAAAAATAATCTTTTTTTGATAAAATTGATTTGAATTAAAAAATAAATTATACTATATTTGCTCAGCACTTTCTAAAAATACAAAAATGATCAAAATGGAACATATAAAAAATAAAAAGTATTTCAAAAAAATACATTTATATTATTCCTATCAAAAACTAAATTGAAATTCAAGCAAAGTAAATTAGATTTACTTCAAATTCAATCAATATTCGTAATGAACCGATTCAATTTAATTAAATATTTCAAATTTCATCATCAAATTGATTTGTAAGATTTAAAAATAAGTTATTAGTTTTACTGAAATTAGTTTGAGTAAATTGAAAAAAAGTACTTTTTGCTTCTAACAAATTTTAAGAATATTATTATAATAATATTTTTCTTCGACAAACAAATTAGTGAATAACGTATTTCTTCTAATACAGTTATGCATTGATTATTTTTTTTTGGGAGTTACTAGAAAAAGATACTTAAATGATTAATTATCAATCTATTATTGATCAATCGATAAGTTAATCATCTCATATCTATAAATCTATATATTTGTCGTACACCTTGCTATAATCTTGATTTGAATTTTTAATATCTGTCATTAATTGCTAAATAAATCTTCTATATTCTATCATTTTACTTTGAGTGAAGCAGCTATAATCAAATACTTTGCTATCCTCATAGTATAATTTTTATAAATATTTACAGCAAAAAACTCCACAATCTGGACCGCCTGATTAAGTTGGAACCTTTTCTGAAAGAATATTAAATTCTACTAAGCATTATTAGCCATACAAATCTTTAAAATCATTTAAAAAATATTTCTTTAGTAAAACAATAGCAGTTTGGTTTTCTACATTAGACCTCTACCCTAAACTATTATAAACTTTCATAACTATTTTTTTTATACTCTAGTTTCTTTTTTTCTCATATGATAGATCAGTGCTCTTTTCTTTAATATATTCACTAGTTTGTTAACTTAATTAATGACTCTATTAGTCATATAGTTATTTTTAGGAGTTACTATTATTATATTGTATATTATCTTATTATATTTCATTTTAAACTTTCTATTGTAAAGAAGACTAAAATTATCCATTCTATTCTAAAATACCTCGCTTTGAAGGTTTATATTAGTTTTTATTTTTTGATTAACTTTTACTTTTATTATTTGAAGATGTAGAATTTTTTAGAGAAGACTAAATGCTTTCACATATTTGTTTTTATCGAATTTTATTTGGTATTTTTTCATTCTAAATCTCATAATTTTGCTAATAGATATTTTCTTATAAATATATTTCTATCAAAACCCAATGGAAATCAGCTTCATTCACTACCAAATAAACTCTATCAAAGCACTCAAGGATAGATTTTTCGTTATTCAACCTAAAATATTTTTGGGGCTACTTTAAATCAAAAATATCGCTGTTATATTTATATAAATCTAGGCTCGAAAAAGCATAACTGCATAATATTTTACTCGTTTCATTTTAAATATTATTTTTTAGGTTGTTATATCTTTTTAATTATGTCAAAAACTCAACAAAAAAATCAATAATTTTGTCGTTTAGCATGTAGCCTGGCTCTAATCTATTGTAATCAGTATCATAAATATCTAAATTTTGATAAATTAGTAGCTTAGGGGTTGTTTTTATAGTGCTTTTCTTTAAATAAGATTTGAAATCTATTTTTATTATCTTATATTATTATTATTGTTTTTATGTCTAATCAGTTTCTTCAGGATCCATTTCTTCAAAATCAAAATTACTTTGCATTATATCTAGTATATTTTCTATTTAAATTTTTTATATTCTAATTTTAACTTTCCTTAAATCTTTTTTTAAAATTGCCTTCAGCTTTAATAATTTGGAAGTATCACTTTCAAAAAGCAAGTGAATTTACTTTAAATAGAGTTTAATTAAAAATAAATTAATTAATTTGTTTTTCTACTTACTTTTTAGAATATTCAAATATTTTTAAAATAATTTTTAAATATTTTAATAAAGATTTTAAAGAGTAAGCTTAAAAAATAACATAAACAAAAAATAAAAATTTCTAATACTAGTTTAATGAAAAATTTTAATATAATGTTGCTATATATGTGGATTTTATGTTTTTTTTATGTAAAAATGAATTTTTAATTTTTATGTATTAATTTCAATTTAAATATTTGTATTATTTCATATAAATATTTATAAATAAAACAATCTAAAAATTAAAATATTTTCCTTACTTTTTTTTTGTAAAATATTATGGAGTTGATTGCATTTTGTTAGAAAAAAAAAAAAAATTAAACTAAAATAATAAAAAACTATTGAATTATAAGTTAGTAAATAGCTTAGTTTTTAAATAAAAAAATATTGGCTTTAATTGTGATATCATATTAATAAATTTAAAATGTTATTCATTTGATGAAGATATTTTTCATTTTTTAGTTTAATTTTTTAATAGAATAAATAAGGTCTATATGCCATCATGTTTATAAATTCTATTTATTTATCTATGAATTAATTAATACTTTTTCTCTATCAAAAATGTTTATTAAAAAAAATGATTTATCATTTTTCAATTGATTGTAATTTACATTATACTAAATTTGAAATAATTGGAAAAATATAACAAAACAAAATCTTAAACAATTCTTGGTCCAATTATTTTGATATTAACCTATGAATAATATTAGATAGTAACTTATTATAAAAAAATTAGATATGCTAACAATAAATCTATTAAAATTTTACATTAAATTTTTCTGATTGAATAATTTGATGACCAAAAATATTTAAGTAATTAAGTATTTTAACACCACAAAGATTTTAATTCACTAATTAAGAAAGTAAGTATAATTAAAAAGAAAATTAAATTTAAAGAAATGCAATAGCAAAACAATATTTGTTTGCAGCACAAAAAGCAATTATTATTTATATGTATGGATCCTCTTTGCAAAAATATTGAGCTGTGCTCTTGCTGTGTAAATACTAATCACTTAAGCCATAAAAAGTAGTTATTTATTGGTTTTAATTAGAGTATTCAAAAGTAGAACTAAGAAATATAAAATGAGGTATCTTAAGTGTCTCCTAGTTTTTTGTCTGATGAAATCAATGAGATTCTTTCATCTTAATAAGGTATATCCTTTGATTACGAAAAATTTGAGAATAAATTTAATGGTTCAGCTTCCTATATAAGAGCAAATGAATAAAGCTGTATTTTTAAAGATAAAGTGACTATAAATTCAATCGGGCAATTAATTATATCTGAAAAAAATGTCTATGATATTCCTAATAAATAGAAAATTTCATTAAAGTTAAATGCTTTTTAATCATGCAGTTTAATTCAATAACTCCCAGATGATATTTTAGTTACTATAACAAATCGTAATCTTCTCACAATCTATGATTCTGCTGATATATCGAATTTAATTACATTAAAAAATGTATACATACCTTTAAGTAAAAGTTAAGTTACATTTGGAAATGATGATCTTCTTGCATACCCTAGCTATAATTCTATTTATATAATAAATTGGAGAAGTGGTAGCTTAATTACATAGATAGTTACAAAAGCTAGTCCAATAAAAAAAATTTAGTTTATGTTTAATGCCTAGTATATTTCTATTACATACAAAGAATACAAAAAAGCTCCAGATATTCATTTTGAAATCTATTTAGTAAAAACATAAAAATTGGTATTTAAAACAAAATATTCAAACAAATTACTATCAATTCATGAAACTGATATAGATTAATTTGTAGTTACAATAGGAAACGATATATTTATATATAAATGTTTCTCACTTTAAAATTTCATAGCAGACTGCAAGTCTATTTATCATTAAAACAGAATAGGAAAATAGTAGTTATTTATTCTAGCTGATTCTCAAATTCAAATTTTGAACACAAATTCTTTAGAAAGATATTCAATAAAAACTATGAAAAATCTCAAAAAATGGGAAGTTATAGGGTGTTTCTATACTTAAGAAGGAGAAGTATTAATTTTGAGTTAAAATATTAAGCAGCTTGAGTTATAATTTGTTATTTGAATATCTTATTTTATGAAAAAAAAAAATAATATATATTATAATAGCTACTATATAAAATTTGTTTGAATTAAGTATTTTAAGTATAATAATATCAGAAGCATTAAAAATTTTACTACTCAGTAAAACTTTTAATTAAGAGAATTTTTGATACTTGCATTTATGTTATAGTATAAGTGAGAATTGTTAGCAAGTTATTTCTATATAAGATTATTTATTTAATTTTTACTTTTGTTATGTATTTTGAAATTTTTTTTATATATTTTAATTAATATTTTGTAGAAAGAAATATTTATTTAAATTTAATATTTTACTTTTAAAATAAAAAAAAATATTAAGATTATTTTAATAAAAATATATTCTTAATAAAATTCCTAAAATAATTTTGAATCATAAAAGATATCATCAAAAATGAATATTTTTATAATTTTTATTTAACTTTTTGTGAAGAAAATAAATTGGATTTATTATTATTGGAATAGTTTAATCCATAAATTTGTATTTTAAGATAAAAATTATTCTTCTTTTATTATAAAAATGCATTTACTTTTTAGATTTTTAATTAATCTTAAAAATTAATGTAAAAGGATATTCCATATAAATTCAGGAAGCACTCACCTATCAATTTTAGCAATATCAATCAAGAGATTTGAAATCGATTATAAGAAAAATATTTTTGTTTTATTAAATACTTAAAAAACTAATCTAATAATTAAATATGCTTATAAATAAATTAAGAAAACCCTTAATGAATATTTTTTTTTTTTCAATTTTGCAAAAAAAGGGAAGCTATTTAAGTGAGAATACCTCTTTTATTTTCCCACTTTGCATAATTTATCTGAATTAATATTTAGCATTTGTAAATGCTCATGTTGTACTTATGAATCACTATCTTAATCAAAAGCACATGATTTCCAATAAAGAAAATAAACAGCTAAATATTTATTCAGCTTTAAAAGTGGTTCTTTCATGCAATTCTTCATGAATAAAAAAATTTAGAGTAATTTGAATGATTATTGCTATAATTTTATTTAGATGTACAAAATATTTTTCTATTTGGTTGATATTTCAATGAATCATTTATTATATGGCCTTTTATTAATCTGATAAAAAACACAAAAATATATTTCAATAAAATTCATGAAGCAATCATGAATCACTTCTTATGTCAACCAAATATGTGGACAAAAAGATTTGAAATAAATTATTAGTATAAAAGCATTCAAATTCAACATTTATACTAATAATCCATTGACTGATGATTGAAATCTTTATAAATAACCTAAAAAATATCCTAAAAATATAAAAATTATAATTTTTTTAATTATATTATCTAAAAGAAAGCTCTTTCAATCAGTTTAATCTCTCACAAATTTACAATTTAGCTAATTTATACTAATTAAAATTAATCCTTTAAAAAGCTCATGCTGTACTAATGAATCACTATCTGACAGAAAAACACATGAATTCCAACAAAACGATAAATTATTACATATTTATTCACTGAATATGTCATCAGAAAAATATTGGAAATATATTGAATTTTATAAATATCAATTAGAAAATATAAATTTAAAAAATATATTTAATTAATTACAAATTTCATCATAAATTTAAAAAATGAGATAAACTACCAAATAAATCATCCCTATATAAAAATATGTATTTTGGGGAAAGATTTGTTGTTGGATAACAATTTTCTACAATATTGGAGAAGGAGTTGCATCTATCGTTCTGGGTGAAGAAGAATCTTCTATAAGTCTTGTAGCGTTTGGGGTTTAATCCTTTATAGAAACGACTTCTTCAGTTTTAGTGCTAATTAGATTTTATTATTTTGAGAAACATGATATTAAAGAAAGAGTTTGCAATACAGAATCTGTTGAGGATAAAGAAACAAACGAATAAAATAATAATCAGTAAGAAGAAGATAAATAAAAAAAATTTTTGAAGGCTGAAAGAGGTGTAACAATTACTATTGGAGTGTTTTTTATAATTTTATCTATTGTTACTATTGTAGTGAGCTCTATTGCTCTTTACAGGGAAGATAGACCTGACTCTACAATCGATAATATTATAATTAGCATAATTGGCCTAATTGTTACAGTAATATTTTGGTATATTAAAAATAAAATCTCAAAGGTTCTTAATTCTTCTGCAATTGCTGGTGATGCAGCTTGTAATTTAGCATGTATTAAACTTACAATAGTTTTATTGATAGGTAGTATTATATATACTTTCTGGAAAGGTGGGTGGTGGATAGATTCTAGTATGGCTATAATTTTAGCTCTCTTTTTTTTAAAGGAAGGATATTAAATGTTAAAGTGGGGTTTATCTAAAAATTTTACAGGAGGATGTGGAGATTGCTGTGGTAGTAAGTAAAAGACATTAAACTAAAATGGTTAGTACTCTACTAATAAAGATTCTAAAACCAATGATTGCTGTAAGAATGATTCATGTTAAGAAAAAAATTTATAAAAGAATTTATGTTATCAGTAGGTAGAAAAGTGCAATTCAGATTAAATTTAATCTTATTGTAAAAAATAATGCTCTAGTTAAAGTAAAAATGAATGCTCAAAAACAGATAATATTTGTATAACTGCTTAATGCAGTGAAGAAAATCAAAAAAGAGATTAATTTTGTAAGGAATAAGAATATTCAGATTAAATTAAATCAGATACCAATAAATGATGCAATAGTTTAAGTAATAAATATATTTAAAATAGATGTATTATAATAAAAATGTAATCTAAATAGTAAACATTAGAAATAAAAATTGTAATATAAACTCAATTTACTAATTTAAATAACCATTTATTTTTTAAATTCTTATATCTTATTTAAATTAAATAAAAGAAATAATTACTATTTATAAAAACAAGAAATTAATAATATATCCTTAATTTATTTGATTAGTTGCTTAAATATTTACTTACAATTTTATTTTTCAATTGTAAAATTTTTTTAACAACTAAACTAAAATTAAAAAAATTTAGCACAAAAAAATTTTGAATATCTTTAATTTATAAAAGATAGATTTGTATAAAAATGATTATATTTTTTTTATTTTATTAAACTAAATTTATTTATTAATTAATTATATAAAAAAATTAATTTCTATATCAATTTTTTTTAATTAGTTTTATTATTTTCATAAAGCCTTTATAGCTCAGTTGGGAGAGCGTAAGACTGAAGATCTTACGGTCCTCGGTTCGATCCCGAGTGAAGGCATTTTTTATTTTACAAGTTATTTTTATTTATTTATAGTTATTTATTAAAATATTATTGGTTAAATAATTAATTTGCTTTTTTTAAAAAATAATTTTATTAATAAGTAGCAATAAAAAAAGCAAGCTAAATATGTTTTTATTTACAATTTTATAAATACATAATGGATGAATAATAGTCAAGTATTTAAAAAATAAAAATTCGTTAAATAATATCCTTAATAATTATCAATAATAACCAATATTTAAACACCTCTTTTTAGATTTCTTTAAATTTAAAAACAAAAATCATTAAATTAATTATATTAATTCACTCACTCACTTAAAGTGTTAAGACAATAGTTTATTACAGTAAAAATAAAAAAGAAGTTAAATTGCAAGTTTTTTTTTTTGAATCCATACTTATTAAATGAGTGAATAGAAAGAGCGATAGGCAGTTTTGAAAAATATGCTTTCATCTTTTGAGAACTATAAAAAATAATAGAAGCAAATAAAATAGTTAGTTAGTCAAGGATAAAAGTAAATAATTACATTACTAAATAAAAAAGTTTTAAAGCTCTTTCTAATAAAAAGAGAAGAAATAAACACTATAATATAATTAGCAGAAAATATATTAGAAGACCAGAATAAATCTCCAATTTTACTACTTAATTCGATAAGAGTATTTTTGAATTAGTTATTTCCTTTTTATTTAGTATTGATTTTAAGTTAATAAAAGATTGTTTGGACACAAAGAATGAATTGATGGTTGAAGGATTTTACAAAAGCAATATTTTATAAAAAATGAATCAAATAGCTTTATTTTAAGCTGGAAATGAAAATGAAGATAGAGGTGAAGAATATTTTGGTTCAAATGTAGGTAAAATAATGAATAAAAATTATGCGAATTTATAGAAACTAATAATTTACTCTTTATCAATGTAGAAGAAGAGGTTTAAGTAATAGGGAATAGTTTACTAAGACTAGTACTAGAGTGTTTTATGTTTTGGCCTTTGATGTTTGAATCAGATTAATATTAAAAAAGAAATAGTATAAGTTAAATATTTGATGATTTAAATACTAAAAATGTTCATTTTCCTGAAAATATAAATTATTTTAAGAGTTTCTACAAATAGCTAAATTTAGAATAACAGAACTAAGGAAGTACTATTCAAACACAAGCGAGTAACTCAAAACAATTGAGTTAAGAGGCTGTATAATAGATCACTGAAGGCGATAATAAATAAAATTAAGGTCAAAGCAATAATAATTCTCCTAAGAAAAAGAAAAAAGTAAATAATAAATTTATGAGTTATTGTTGATTATTTTCATTCAAAAATAGAAAGAAGTAAATTTAAAAGCGTTGGAATAAAAATTAGATGAAGAAAATTAAAAAATGGAAAAAAATATTTAGCGTTTAGGAAAACTCTTGCTTGTTCCTACGTATTTATAACTCAATAAGTAAGGTAAAAAAAGCAATTTAATATAATTTAAAAGATATTTTAAATATTAGTTTGTTTTTAAAATAATAGAGGTGAAGGAGATCGTAGATAATTTATAAACTTGTTCTTCATTAGCAAACACTATTTTTTAAGTTTTAGAGGAAGTGTAAGATTTAATAAATGTAGAGTTGTTGACTTAATATATTGCATTAAATGAAAAAACAGATGAAATTTTAGTTGACTATTAGTAACTTATAAGTAGTAATATGAAATTTGATGATTTTTCTATCAAGTATGGAATTACTCCTACGTCATCAAATGAAATAAAGTTATTATCTTAATAGGATTTGCAATTAGTTTAGTAAAAGTTTAGCGATTATTAAGATAATGAAAATAAAAACTAGTAATTGTAAGATTAGCAACAAGAGCTCTTAATAGTTGAAGATTTAGATTTTAATGGTGACTCTCCTGCATACAAAAAAAGTAACTTAGCGACAAATAATTAAAAGAATTTGTCATAGCCTTAAATAATAGAAAGTGCAAAGCACTCAAAGTAAAGTCACAGTGTTAGATAAAGTTTTGATGTTCCTAAGAAGCAAGATGCTCAATAACAGTAAAATAAAAATAACTATAATGAAAATTACTAAGATTTTGAAGTACCTTCATTATAATAAAAACAACCTTCAAATAGTAATAAAGAAGAATAATAAAATAAATCAAAATCATTAATCTAGCTTTAAAAAACAGATGAGAATAAAAGCTAAGATTTAGCAAATAAAATCTAAAACTCAAATGTATAGACCTAAAATTAGCAGAAAGCTTAATAATAAGTTAGTGATGCATTAATATAAAATGAATAGCAAATGACAAAAATAACAAATTAGTCGAGTTCAAAAATGGAACAACAACATAAAATGTAAGCTCCACCAAACAGCTTGCATAGAAGCCATAATAATTCTCAGCAAAAGCAAAATACAGATAACGATTATGAATATGATTATGAAGATGAAGATGATGTATATGAAGAGGAAGATGAAAATAAAAGAGCAGGATCTGTTAAAAAGGAAAGTGAAGTTAATAAAAACTAAAAAGAATAGTAAATTAATTAAGAACAAGAATTAAAAAATAATTAATAGCAAAAAAATATGTCATAAAATATTCCTCAAACTATTTAGAGAGTTTCTAAAGTGGAAAATAGTGATCCAATAATTGATAAAAATATAATTTAGCAAGAAAGTAAAAAATAGAGTAAAATAGAAGATAGTTAAAATAACATTTTAAAAGAAAAGAAAAATTAAATACAGACAAATAAATAATAAGGATAAGGTTCACAACATTCAATATATAATAATGAAGATGATTTGATTAAAAATATACAGACGTTAAATACCGAGCAATCTCAAGGTTTCACAAATGAAAATAAATAAAAAAAGGTAAATTAAGATTAAATGAAGCTCTCTTATAACTCAAGATAATCTCTTCATAACAACTCTATGAGCGGAAGCCAATATGACAGAGGAAGAAGTTCTTCTTTCAAACAACTTTTTGAAGACCCAGTTCATATTTAAATTATGTGTAAAGAAATTTCTTTTTATTGTTTTTTTAATATATTTAAAATATTAAAAAGTAATAATTTATTTGAAATAAATATTTTTTTTACAAATTAGAATAAAATCTGAAGCGTACTTCGATCCCTAGGGGTCCTACAAAAGATGATTAAGTAATTTATAATATTATAATTTTAAAGTACTAAATATCTTTTAATTTATAAAGAATAATTTGTCTGTGAATGAATAGAATAGATAATCAGGGTTTATGTCTGAAAAAGAAAAAAAAGAAATTTAAAATTTAAAGGAAAGGTTATAAGTTTTATCTAAATAGCTAATAGAGAAAGATTAGGCTATGAGCTTTAAAGACTAAGAGATAAAATAATTGAAAGAATAGATTTAAAATATGGATAAGTAAAATACTGAAAGAATGACAAAAATAGAAAATTAAAGCACTCAAATTCATTATCAGCTTTAGTTGATGAATGATGAGGTGTCAGCCAGAGATAGTGTTTTAGAGCAGAACTAAAAATAAATGATTGTTTTATAATAAAAATATGATTAATTGCATCACTCACATTAAGAATTGCAATTAAGATGCAGAGACTACGAATCTGAAATAGAAGAGAAGAATCAAGAGTTAAAATACTTAAAACTCTAAGATTAAAACAATAATGAAAATTTACTAGAAGATGATAGCATATAGCAACTGAAGATGCAGATAAATTAATTAAGACTTACCATTAATTAAAAAGAATAAGAAATAAATAATTTTAAAAATAAATTAGAAGAGTCTTAAGAATAGCATGAAATAGCTTTAGAGTAGGCTGAGTAAAATAATTAGGAGCTGGAAAACTAAATAGGTGTACTTAAATAGGAAGTATAAACCCTTCGTAATTCTCCTTAGTAAATTAATCTCTAAAGATAACAAAGTTAAGATAAGATTTAAGTTATTGAAGAGTTAAAAAATGCAAAGGAAATTATTAGTTCTTAAGAGAGCATAATGAAATAAAAAGAATCAACTATTTAAGATTTAATTTTTAAAAATGGATAACTCAAGGAGAAATTAGTATAATTAGAGTAAGAAATTAATGAAAATAAAGCTTCTTACAAAAAGAATTTAAAGTAATTACAAGAAGAAAACGAATAAGCGAAATAAATTTTAGATCCTGTACAAAAAGAAAACGCAGAAATGTTTGAGCTTCTCAATTTAGCTAATATGGAGCTAGATTAATTGAAGCAAAAATTATAATTTTATGAAGGATAAGAAATGAGTTATAAGCAAGAAAAGAGTACTACTAGAGATCAAATGGAAAAGCTATCCATGGAAAACGTTAGATTCAGTTGTGAGTTGCAATAGTAGAAAGAATTTTTAACATAATAATAATAGTAAATCAAAGATTTGACTTTTATAATTTAACAGCTTAAAAATGATAATTTTGTAATGTCTCAGTAAGTAAAATCAGGTAATTCGCTTATGCATTCAAATGACAAATTATTCCTTAATTTACCAGAAGGAGATAATAATAGCTCATAAAAATTTGGTTAAGTTGTAAGTTCGCACAGATCTAATGCTCCTATTGCAGAAAAATAAAATAAATAAAACTCAAAGATAAATAATTAATAGAGTAAAAAGGCTCACTGTGAGACTTTTGGCTAACAGTAGCTATAAGAAATGAATATGGGAATACAAAATACTGAAGAATAAGAAGTTTAGTACCTCTTAGACGCAGAAAAAATGAAAGAATTTTTAGATTAAAATTAAAATAATCCCTAATAAAAACTAGATTAATAAGAAAATATTCATTAAAATTAGTAGTAATTAGAAAGTTTAACTCAAATTTAAGTTGCTTGTGCTCAAAATTAACAAGATTAGGATTCTTAAAGCTATAAATAACTAAAAAAGAATGATTCTGATTAGAATTTAACATCTATCAAAGATAGAGAAGAGTCAACATAAAAAAATGCAAATAGAGATTATGTTTTGGAAAATCAAAACTCAAATAATTAATCTAGTTCAAAATCAAAATTAGCAGTTTCTGAAAAGTAAAAAAATTAAAAAAGAAATGAAAAATAAATGGAAAATTTAACTGATTATAAAAGAGACAATAATATTTATGGGTAGTACGATTCTGTTTAAAAAAGTAGCAGCAAAAAATAAAATTTGTAACATTCCAGCGATATTTCATAGTTTTATTCTTATTAAGGAAAGATAGATGAGCATGGTACTCCAAAAGCTCCTTCAGTAAAACCATCTTTTGTAAGAGAAATTCAAAGTCCAAGAAGAAGATCAATAAAATTGAGCTAATATCAAAGCAACTCTAAGAATTTAGGATATATGTCTTTTAATTAAGAAGAGTTTGACAAAAATAATTAGTAGAATGAAGAACTAAATAGTAATAGATAAGATATAAATAGAATAGAGCTTATTCCTGAAGTTACAAGTACAATTTAGAGTGGTTAAAATACTATTTACTATAGTAATAATAATACTATTGAGTAAGCAGAAAACATTAATTTAAACACTCAAAATGTTGAAGCAAATCACCTTAACTAATTAAAAGCAACTCCAATCAAAGAAAACTTTTAAAAGTAAAAAAGGCTCGATAAGCTTCAGTCTCTATCTGATTACCTAAAAACACAATCTAAAAAAAAAGGATTCTCTCCAATGAATACAGGACCTTAAGCAATAAAATTCTCATATAATTAAACAGCAGAGTTTGAAATTACAATGAATGTAAATATTTTTATTTAATTAATTAAACTTAAATCCATCTTCTTAATAAAATTGAAATTTAAGAGACTAAACTTTATTTTTTTTAATTAAACAATATTTATTATTTTTACTTAAATAATTTACATATTAATTTTTGATATTTATATAGAATGAATCTAAAATGAATACTCTTCAGTAAGATTTAAATACACTAGATAATCAATATTAGACAGAAAAAATTAAACTAGAGGATTATCAAGACGAAAATGATTATGAGAATGAAAGTGAATCAGAAAGAAATAATTTAAATCATATAGATTAGTCTCCATAAAATATTTAGTTAATTCAGTATGCTGAAGATGATAATATTTCCTAACATAGCATACCCATCAAAATTTAACAAGATGACTAGAATGAATTTGCTATGGATTAAAATTAATTAGTAGTTTAAAGGACTTAAATGGAGGATTTTTCAAGCAAAGTCAGCAATTATGAAGATACTTAATAAAATGAAATGAACAGATAAAGCTAGCTTTATTATTAATAATTGATATATCCACACTAGCCTGACTAGTATTACATACAAAAATCAATGGAAAGTAGCAAAATAAAAAGTGGATTAACAATTGCTTATGAAGAAGATTTCTTCAATAACCTGAAAATATTATCAAATGAAAATTTAAATAGATTTAAAAAATCATGTTTATCAGATAAATCTCTTCTATTTGAAAACGAGCATATAAAAATTGGTGTAACAAATCACAACCATGTTTTTTCTGGCAAAAACTTTGTTAAGCTCTAAATATATATATTCAACAAGGATCTACTTAACAATATTCCTTCTTTTAATCTGAAATATCTAATGAACGAAGGTAAAAAATTAATTAAAATTACTTCTTATTAAAAATATAAAATATTTAAATAGATATTTCAGTTTGGACTAAACCAGAAAAGTTAAGTGGAGAAATTAAAATAAACAAGCACTTAAAATAAGATTTGATAGTTGATTTAAATTGTATTCCTTTTGAATTCTTGACAGCCCATTTTTAACTTGAGTATTTTCTTTTATGCTATTTAAAAATATTAAATTTTTATTTTTTTTAAAGAGTTGAAACAAATGAGGGGAAAAGAGAGTTAAATGAGTATTTTGTGATGCTGCCTACAAGTCTAAATAGATTTATAAGCTTTAGTTTAATTAATGCTAATAACTTCAAAAGCAAGTGGTTAGTAAATTAAATCAATAGTATAAAAACAGAGGAGTTTGAATATAATACAAAGATAATTAAAAGTCCTTTTGTCTTTTTGAGTTACTTCCTCAACACAGTCGAACTGAATCCTCACATGAAAGAGGAGCATTTGGCTGGTTTACAAGACTATAAAATTGGTGGAATCTTTTAATTCTACCATATGGATAATTAGTAATTTTTAATTAAATTAGTTATAAAGCCTTTCAATAAACTTTAAATTCATTTATCGCCTTCAAATGGTTAATCTTTCTCAGTAGATTCATCAAAATGTTGCCATTATTTGCTTTAAACTCTATATTTCTTGTTTAAATACAATCCATTAGATGGTATTACTTCTGATTAAAATGTAGAGTGAAAAAACAAAAAGTATTAAATAAAATAGTAATAATATAAACATTAAACTAATTTTAATATAAAAAATTAAAATAAATTCTAATATTTTGAAATAATATTTGTAAATAGTTAATTATTTTTATTTCATTATATTTATCAATTATTTTACTTATCAAAAAACCTAATCATTGAAATTTCATACATATTTTTCATTCCTTAATGTCTTTTTTATTTAAACAAAATTTCTTAAAAAAATTTAATTCACAACTAACTTTATTTTATTAAGATCTTACAAATTTTATTTTTATTTTTTATAATTCAAATAATTATTTTAATTTAGCAATAAAAATATTTTTTTTTAATATACTAGCGATTCTTTCTCAAAGAATTTTGAATTTTGTAAATTTGTTTAACATAAATTTACTTATATTTAATATAGAGTGTAAATATAAATATTTTATTACAAAAATTGTAATAAATAATATCTATCTCTTAATAATTAGTAAATTTCTTACTTATTTAATATTATAAATCTAATTAATTTAAATAATTTTATTAGCAAATACTAATCCGTAAACAATCAATTCATTTATTAACTATTCATATTTTAATAGTTCTAAATTATTACTTTGCTCTAATTTGATATTCATTTATTTTTTTCTAAGCTTCTTAAGATAATCCAAATTTAACAGTAGGAGATCTATTTGATAAAAAATATTCAATTTTAATTGGATGATTTAGATTATAAAATATATAATAAATATTAATAAGCAACTTAAGATAAATATTATAATAAATTTATATTTTTTGTTAAGTTAAGCAAATATTTAATTCATTCATTATGATTTTGTAATGTCTTTATTAAAGAAATAAATAAATGAAAAAATAAAAATTTTTTTAGTTATTAAGGTGAGTAATTAAAATTTTATTAAGAAGTTATTGCTTTTAATTACTTTATTAATAGTTTTAATAAACACTCTAAATTTAATGCTATTGATATTCATGGAAGTATTTTTGAAATAGATCAGTAATTTTGTTTAATTAATTAAAAATAATACTTAGCTTACAAAATATTCAAAGGAGCTGAAAAAAGTAGTTTTTTATAATAATCAAAACCAAACAATTGAATATTACTTTTGTTTTTTGATGTTTAAACCTCTTGTGTCTTAAAAAAAGGCTTAGTTATCTTACACAGATTTTTAAAAATTATTCAACCTATTTTTCAATTAAAAATGAGCTTTTATATTAATAAAAATTTACTTACTTCTCAATGATTTTTGAATTAATTTGAGCTTAATTTTTAGGTATGTGGTTGTTAAACGTGAAATATTACTATTATTTAACTAATGGGCTATGCTAGCAAGGCTCTGTTTTAATATCTTACTGCGGTAATCTTTACATTAAACAAGAAATTAATTGTGGTATTTTTAATATTTATTTAATTCATTTACTTTTTCTTCGTCAAAAAATTAAAAATAGCTTTGTGTCTGTCAAATTATTTAATACTTATAGAGTTTTCCTATTTAAGTCCAGTATTGTTTTCAGGAGATTAATTTTCTTAAATATCATCAGAATTTTATTTAATTTGAATAGCTTCATCTTACTGAGATGTATTTAACTTTTTAATTATCTATTTCATATTATTTATTATTTTATTGTCATAATCTTCTGCTGTGTCTTTGGATGAGTCAAGCAAAGATGGCGTTGAATATTAAATGCTTTAAAATTGATTCTTATTATTTGCATAGCTATAAGAAAATTCATCTTCATCTTGAGAGTAGTTTAAATTATTTATTTTACCATACTACTTTGTATAATTACTGTTTAAGGCTTCAGAACTGCTATTAGTTTTAAGTTTAGGGATTTTGGTGCTTTTTAAGCTTGAAAAGTTTGGAGGAGACTAAAAAATAAGCTCATTATTCGAATAATTACCAAGAGATTAAGAAAATGTTTCGAACTCTTTTCTTTAATAAAGAGGAGTGTAATAATTCTAACTTATACTTTATTGCCTGCTATGCCTGTCAACAATTACTGATTTGCTTCTATGATGGGCGAAGTTAATTTTCTTTTATTTTAGGTTGCTTTGTATTTATTTCGAAGCACTTTTGATGATTGAATCTTCGTCTAAAGATTTAAGTGAAGACACATTATGCAAAATCTTATTTACAAATTTATCTTTTTTCTATGAAAAGTTGATATTGCTTGTAAAAAAGAAATCTCTTTTTGGAGTAGTCAATTGAGCCATAATTTTTTGAAGATTAGTCATGCTCTTAGAACTATTTGTGTTTGGTATATTGCTCATAGAATTAGATTAAGTCTTATTGTTGATAAATGTTTGGTAATTAGTTTTATTTTAAGTTGGAGATGGAGTGTTTAAACTGTTTTCAAGATTAGCTAAATTTTCAGTACTGCTCCCAGAAAAATATTATCCAATTCCTTTTTTATTTTACCCAGATTATTTATTTGCAGCTTTGCGTTCTATTTTATCAACCCAAATTTATTACTGTTCTCTTTTTAATTCATCATAAATTTTCATACAATCTTGCCTCTGCTTCCCAAGACTGCTAAATCTAATTTAATTTTATTTATCAAACAGAAGCTTATTTTGTGTGTTGATAAATAATTTTGTATAGTTAACTACAAATTCATCTTCTTAAATTGACTATCTTTATTTAATTTACATTTACTTTGATAATTATTTCTGATTAACATCTTTATTTTATTCCAATATCTTATTTTCTACCATATAATTTTACTCTTTTTATTCACCTCCTTTAACATCAAAAGGAGTGCTATACAGTCTTTAGGCTCTACCATTTGATCTGCTTTTCATAGTCAAAAAATATTTAGGAATCTTTAGTTTATCTGGATGAATAGTCCTTGGCTCTATTTATTTACATTTAAAAGAGTTCAAATAAGCAAACAAAAATATATACTGAATATTCTAAAATAGCAAATAAAATATTAAATAAAAAAACATATTACAAAATTTGTATATTTCGTTGTTGATATTTGGTTCTTTGGTTGTACTGCAATTATCAACAATTTTATTATACTGTTTAGCAAAGTCGAAAGGTTGCATATCATGAGAAATGAACTCTTTTTAACTAGAATTAAAGCTTAATTGATTAGGGCGCTTAATTAATCTTGAGTAACTTCCATCATGATCATCAATATAAATATAATCAATAAAATTCTGAGATCTTGGAGGTATAACAGCCATTCAAAATAATATTTGTAGATATGAATATCAATAAGACTTAATAAATAAATGAAATAGTTTTGTAGAATATTGATACAAAAAATGCCACTAAGTTTTTTTCTTATTTAATCTTTTTTTTTTGATTAAATTAATTATAAAATGCGCTACTTTCTATAGTTTTTTCTTAGCAAATTCAACTATTCATGCTTATAATAAAGAAAGCTAATAAATTAGCTCTAATTAAAGATCTTTTATTAAATTACAATCAATAAATTCTGTTTACACAAATATTAATATCTAAATATTTCTACTTACTTTAATTAATACTCTTAAAATTAAAGTAATACCCTCCACAATATAAAAAATATTAGGCCTTTTAAAAACAACATGCATTAATCATTTTTCTTTTAAAATATTTAATTTATTTTGTGCTAGACAAAACTATTGTTAACTAACTAAATAACTAACTAACTTACTAACTCATCATAAATTTATAATTTTTATTATTAAAAATGACAAAATAAATCATTCATTTCAACGCATTTTATATTTAAAATACTGATTAAAATTTTTGTTATAGAAAGTAATTAAGATGTCTTATATACAAGCCTAATTTTAGATAAGTTAAAACTTAGTTATAGATTATAAAAAAAATTAATTAAATCAGTAATAAATTTAGTGTAAATAGTAATATTAAATAATAATAAAATTTATTCTATTTAAACAAATATTAACTAAAATTAAATTAGTTTTACAAATTTATTTAATATCTAACTTAACTATTTACACAAAATAATGAATACCACTTATTTTAGAAGGATATATTTATTTTTTATTATCTCAAAAAAAATATTCACCTAATACTAGCTACTTACTAAGTAGAATTTCTGTTTATGAAATAAATAGCAGAAAAAACAATTTAAATTTATTTATTATTACATTTAATATTTATGATAAGCATTAAAATAGTTAAATATGAAGGGATTTAATTAACAATCAGAATTTTAATGATAGTAATTAGTGTAGAATCAAATAATTATCAACAAAAGTATTTTTATTGATAATTTTTAATTATCTCATGTGATTGATTCTAAATAATTATACACTAAAATTAATTATAAAATTGTGTTAAAAGTATTTCATTTTATAAAAGCATATCTGAAAAAACCTTCATCTAATACTAGTTTTTTACTGATATAATTCAAGTTTAAAAGAATAAAACTATTTAAATTTATTTTTAATTAAATTTAATATTTATAATAATTAGTACAATAGTTAAATATGAAGGCATTGAATTAAAAATAAGCTTTGTCTGTCTTAATAATAACTAATATTTTTAATAATAATATTAATTATTTTTATTAATAATTTTGATTTTGATTTTGGTATGCTTTATTTTAGTTTGATAATAGACAAATACATTTACACCAAAATGAATTTTAAAATAACTGTAAAAATTATTTAATTTGACTAAATATTAAAAAAAAATAATTAAGTAAATATTTTTAGATTTAAAAATAATATAGAGATAATAAGTATATTTGTTAACTTTGTATCGTTAAGAAAAGAAAAAATAAGATAATAAATATGACTAATATGGTTTTTAAGCTATTTTTAATATATATTGACAATATTTATTTAATTAATTATATAGTGGTATTATTAAATTATATTTTCGTTTTGGTAAAAATTGATGTTTGTTTGTTTGGTGAACTAATCAAAATCTTCTTTAGAATTTAAATAATTATTTTTTATTAAGTTTAATCAATCAATCAATTAAAAAACCGTTTTTATTAAAATCCTTCTTCAATTATTTTTATAGAATTTAAAATTACTAAAAGCCTTTTCTTATGTCTATCTATTTCTTTGTAACTTTAATTATTATGATGATGCAGATATTATTTTAGCTAATGTTAAATGGTTCAATTAGTAAAAGCATGAATTTAATTTGAATTATAGGAATTTATTAATTTAAATTCTATTTATGTATTTTTTTTTCATAAATAGTTTGAAGTTTTTTAGGAGATTATTAATTATTTTATAATTATTTATTTATTTATATTAACTCACTATTTCGGATTTTACTAATTTAAAATTCAAATTAAAATCTCATTTTAAATTATAAATTTATGCTGCGAATATTAATAAGTTAATTAGTTAGTTAGCTTTGTTATTAAGATGCTTAGTTATTTATTTGATTGATTATTAAATTAATTAACTAGTTAGTCAATTAGTTAGTTTTTTGTTAGTCCAAGTTTTAATAAGCTATTTATGTTTAGTTGGTAAATTTATTGACTTAGATTCAAGCAAGCAAGTAAAGTAATAAATAAATCAATATATTTACTTGTTTTGATACTTAAATAAATTGAAAATTTTATAGGATTTTTTGATTTACATTGAGCTAATTTTTTATTGTTTTGTTTCAAGAAGAGTTCTTTTCTTCATCTGCATTAAGATTGCATATCCAATCATATTGGTAATCTAACTCGTACCCTTCGCGGTTAAAGACTTATTCGAAAGTTCTTTTTATGTAATCATAATCTGGTATCTCCTCAAACTCTAAGTTGCGGATGTATTTGAATAGTTCCACAAACTCCTTTGGCAGGTCATTGAAAACCTCACTAATGCAAAGAGTCATTTTTTTCTCCATAATTTTATCGTATTTTTCTTTTTTTGTATTTGAGCGAACTCCCATCCAAGGTAGACTGCCTAGTAAGAAGTACAGGAGGACATACATCATTCCTTCTAGATCATCTCTTCTACCTTGTTCTATTCCAAGATGGGTTGTTAACGAAGCATAACGAGCAGTACCAGTAAAATTTTTATTTTCTTTATAAGGAATGTGGCTTCCATTTCGAGTTACTAGCTTTTTTGCAAGGCCGAAATCAACTATATAGACGATATGTGCATTACGTCCTCTACCCATTAAAAAATTATCAGGCTTTATATCTCTATGCAAAACATCCTTACTATGAATGAATTAAATACGCTCAACCATTTATATTCCTATCATAAGGACTGTTTTAAGAGAAAATTTCCTTCCACATTTTTAAAACAGATCTTCTAGAGAACTTCCTAAACGATCCATAACCATATAAGTAAAATCTCCTTCTCTTGCTGTGTAATAAACGTGAGGCAATCCACGATTATTAAGAACTGAGGCATCCTTGAGTAGACGTTTATAAAATTATGCCTCATATTACAATTGAGGGCAAGCTGAATTATTCTTCTCAAGTTTGATTGCAACCTCCAAATTTGATTTTGTATTTACACCTAAATAAATTTAACCAAATCCACCACTTCCTAATTTTTTAGTAAGCTTGAAATTTTTTCCTATTAACACTTCTGACATAATTGTAAAAGAGATGCTGATTTATATTAATTAGATATCTGTTTCTTTAAGATTGTTAATGCTGTAAAAAGTTTTGCTCTTTTTTCCTTTTTAAATGTATTTCCTATTATTCGATCAAGGGGCTATCGACTTATTTAAGTGAATGGAATGAACTTGTTTATGTTAAATCACTAGCTTGGTATTGCTTTTGGTATTTATAAACTTCTTTAATTATTAATTTTTTTAATTAATTTTCTTTATTTATTGTGGAGTAATATGTTGAAAGCATCTTCTTTTAACTCTATTTTATTTAATATAAAAATTTTTCTTTTTAAACTTTTTGCCTTTTTCTTTATTACTAAAGTATATAAAATGAATGAAAGAATCAATGAATTCATATTTACAATCAGCGAATTTCTAAGAAAGAAAAACATATACCCATAAATACATCTCCCTGAATATTTTAAAAAAAGTAAATAAGCCCAATTTAATATAAAAGCAAGCAAACGATCTATCAATCAATTATCCTTTGTATTTAAAAGGAAGCTGAAGATGAATGTTCTTTTACCAATCTAAATTAGTAAAAATTCATATGAAATTTATATTCTAATTATCGTGGAACTTCTTATTAAATTTCTTCTAGATTTCCATTCTAATCTGTCTTTGATTTTAAACAATAAATTTGTTCATAATCATAAATATCGATTAATCTATTTAGTTTTATTTAAAATTAAAAAAATTCACTTCAATTACCAATTAAGTATTTTGATTTTTCCAGAAATTTTAAATTCACCATTAAAAAGGCTTAGGTAAGTACTCTACGCCACCAATTTGATTGCCTCTTCTTTTCACCAAAAATTATCATTAATAAAATAATATTTAATCTTAATTCTAACTTTCTTCTCTTTCAACAATTAAATACAAAAAATAATTTAAAATAGCACTTTTATCTTACAGAGATTTAAATAAAAATATTAAATAATTTTATATTTTGAATTTCCTCTAAAAAAATATTTTGTTATTATTTTAAAAACCAAAAAATTATCTCAACTAATAACTTTATAAAAATAAAAATTTAAATATTTGTTTATAAAAATTAGATTTGTAGAATTATTATTTTAAAATTAAAAAAAATTTTAATATTAAATTTAATTTAATAAAATTAATTGTATTTTGTAATTAAGATTATAATATTTTATGTATAAAAACCTGATAAAAATTTTAAGATTTTATTTATTAAGCAAATTAAGCATTTAGAAATACATTTAGAATTAAAAAACCATTAAAAAGATTATCATAGAAAAAATCATCTCAAAAGACTAAACAAAAATGTGAAACTTTACTAAAAATCGAATTAGAAGCAGGATGACAACATTAATAATAATAAATTAATTTTATAGTAATATATATTTCTCAATTTATTTATTATATATTTTCATATTTTCCAATGATTCATTTTAGAATATTTTTGTATTGATTTAAAACAAAGTATTAAATTCAAAAAACATTAAAAAATTAATTTGTAAAGAAAATTAATGATCATAAATAGTTTTACTATTTACTATTTTAGTTTTTTAAATATATTTATTTCGAATTTTATCTTTCTTTTAATTTAAAAAATTTATGTGGCAACTCATAAATTTGCTGTAATTTAATTTTTTATTAATATTTTATAAATAATATTTTGCTAATTTTCAAGATATAAATAAAATTAAAAAGTTTATTAAATTTTTAGAGTTTATTTTTTATTTTTAAGATAATAATTTTTTATTTTTTAATGATAAATTCTTTTTAAAATAAAAAATTTGATCTATCTAATAAATATTTTAATTCATAAAAAGTTGAAACTGATTTAAAAAACAAAAATTATTCTTTTTAAATTTTAATGTTTTGTGAATTATGAATTAGATATTTTTTTCATAGCTTTAAGAAATAAAATATTCTTTAAAAAAGTAAATATTATTAATGATATGAATTGTTTTTTATATTTTAAAAAGAAAAATATAATTCATAATTCTTTGTATAAATCATTTATTAAACATTTATTTTTGCCAATTTTGATTAAAGTGATTATAATTTGCTAATTTTTTTAGTTAAAAAAAAAATATGTATTTTTTATAAATATTTAATTCTTAAATAACTTTAAATAAAGCTTGAATTCATATTTATATTTATTTAGCTTTATGAAGGAATAATATTTTCTACTACTGAATTAATTAAAAATAATCTGGTAAAATATAATTGAAGTAATTGAAATACTGAGTTAAGATGGATAAATTAATAATAAATTTACAAAATTTAACTGTTAGATATAAATAAAGCATTTAAATATTAGCATGAAAATTTTTTGTGAATTTTAGTGTTTTCAAATCGAAAACAGAAAGATATTTTTACATTTTGAGTGTAAGTTAAATTTGGTTCTGGCAAGGACATTGAAAATTTTCTAATACACAAGAAAGCATAAGATCCAAAAATCAGAATATATCGTTACCAATTTGAAAATTAATTTTTAGATTATAATTTTTTTGTTAATTTTTGATGAGGTTTTTTGTATTAAAAATCTATTTGTTTAGTAAGTAATTGCCCGATTTGTTTCAATAGAAATTTGATTATCTATCAAGAGAATTTTAAGATTAAATCAATATTAGATTGTGTTGCAAGGGATATAATTAATTTTAGCTATAAAATATGCTGTATGATTGAGAGAATGTCAATGCTGCAATAAATAGCCGAGAGAAGAAATAGCAGCAGTTTTCTTCAAGTGAGACAATTTTATACTTATTGAGAAAATTGAAATTGGAATCAATGTAAATGTATAACAGCAAAGTACCAAATAGCAGGCTCGTCATCATTTAAGAGAAGCAGGTAATCATTATTTTTTAAGATTAAATGCCTTTTCTTATCATCACCCAAGATGAAACACCCAACAAAAGCTCAATAAGCAGTAAAACACCAAGAATTTAGGTGTTTTGGTAATTTTCAGCTGGAGGAAATAAAAGAGTGAAGAAACTTGAGTACATACAAAGTGAAATTATAGCAATATTAATAATTGTGAATATTTAAAGTAAATTTTGTTTTTGTTCACTTTATTTAGCAGAATTTGTATTCATTAATTGTAGTATTGAAAATTTAAATATTTATTTTCTTCTTAATTGTGTTTGAAAGTTGTATTTAATTTCAAAATTAATATTATAACAAAAATAATTCTCAAAATTTATCTAAATAAATTATAATCAAATCTGATCATATTCTACTGCAATCAAAAATATTCTGTTTAAATATAAAAATAAACCTATTAATTTATATTTTAATCTGCAAGTATATTTATTTTAGAAATATATTGTTAAGAAAAAATTTTACTTTATAAAATTTTAATAAAAACAATTTATAAATTTTTAAGTAGAGAAAGACTTAAGTCGCTAATATAGTTTCTCCAAAAATATAAATAATTAAATTAATACTAGATTTATAGAAAATTAAATTAATATATTAAACAGTACCTTGTTATTAATTTATATTATTTACTAATCATTACTATGTATTAATAAGGTTTAATTACATATTTTTTATATTAAAATGTGGCATAATTTTGTACTCTTATATAAAAGAATTACAGAGCAATGTAGCCGTATTTTTTGTAATCAAAAATATTTATAAATGCTTTTATTAATTACTAGTACTTTTTTAGTATTTTATCTTAAAATTGTAAGTATATTGCTTCAAACTTTGTTTATTAATGATTTAAGGAATAAATAAAAAGTTCTATATGTTAAGTTTTATAGCGTGATTCCTTAATTTCTGATTTGAGAATAAAAAAATTTTTTTTAAATTAAATTAAAAATTTTAGAAGTATTTATATATATGTTTGAGCTGAATTTCCAATCTCTTGATTACTCAGAAATTACACTGATTTAATTAACCAAAAAGTTTTACATCAACTCAAAGATTCAAAAATTTTATAAACAAATGTTTTTAACATTAGAATCAAAAAAGAGAAAATGTTTATAAGATTTAAAAATACAAATTATTATAAATTTTATCATTTTTAATAACTCAAAATTTATTTTATATTTTAATAATTTTTTTAAAATTTGTTTTCCATATTCTATATCAAATATTGCAAATTGATTGCTTATTAAAAAATTTTAAGATAATTAATCTTCAATGAGAAGAATTATTGCTAGAAAACGACTCCTTTAAATTATTTCCTAATTGTTTATTCTTATATTTTTTATATAAAAATAAACCACCTACTATACACAGTATAATTACTCCAACTATAACAATAACTACTATAGCCCATGTAGGAAAGTAGTCAGAAATTGAGAAATCGTTACTTGTATCATCTTTAGGATCAGCGATAGATTAAGTAAAACCTTTTTAATGTAAAATTAATTTAATATTAAAAAGATATAATTATTTATTTATTTACTTATCAATTGCTTTGAATAAGAATAGCTTGATACATATCTTCTTAAAAATGGACTTCCTAAAATAACAGCAAAGTTTTCATTGTTTGTAATAGGAGATATTAAAATCTAGCAATCTTAAGTTGTGTTAGATAGGTAAAAATCTATAGGTAAATTAAGTGCCCTGTCTGTCTAGTTTACTTTTAAATAGAAGAACATATTTGCTAGATTTGGGTCTTTGCAGTTAACTTTTAGTCCATTTTTAGTCATATTTGCATGGCGATACATAAAGTATTCGGATACTTTTTCATAAAGAGACTTTTCTAGTCCTATATAAGGGTAACTAGAATCAACTAAGGCCTTATTATTAGAAGGATCAAATTTATATCTAAAAACACCCATATCGAATTAATTAATCTGCAATACCCATCTTTAAAAATCACTTTAATCATTCTGAATTACCTAATGAGTATAAACTTAGGCTTTATCAGCTAACTTTTAAGGATCAATACCTCCTAAGGTTAATTGAGAATCATCATTTTTAAATCCTAAATACAAAGAAAACATATCCTCTTTAATCAACCCTTTTTTATATAAGCTAGTCACAAAAGAGCTATTATCTTCATTTTTTATATTATTAATTCCTAATCCCAAAATACCATTCACCTTTAATTTTTTTAATTTAAAGAATAAAAAATTTAATAAAATAATAAAATATAAAATTTGATAAAAATATTAAAATGAAAATCAAATTATTACTTTTTAATTAGAAACAGTAAAGTTATTTGATTTGTCAAAAAGCAAAGCAGATTATTAAATACTTTCTAAATCGCCAATACTTACTAATGTGTTCACATAATTACCATCAAATGAGCCGTCTAAATAATTTTAGGAACCTTAATTATTTGTAGGGTTACATCCATCTTGTGGGAGACATTCATAGTATTTTTCAAAACCCTTTTTATAGAATAAATAAATGATTTATTTATTTAAAAGATTTGAAAATTTAATTTTAATTTACATTGCAATTATTTTTATCACTACAATTTTTGCTAGGAATCATCAGCTAATTAGTTCCTGTACTTAAGATGACTTTAAGATTTTTTTTTCCTTTTCCAATACTAATTGTTCCAGTATACCATTGCTTTTTGTTGTTTTACACATTTATTTGTTACTATTTTTGGTCTGTATTAGATTCTTAAGAGAGGAATCGATTAATATTTTCAATATCACTTGTGTTTTCTCTTTCGAGTTATATGTTGATTACACTGGCTTTAGTAAAAAACATATAAAATGCTAAATAGATGAGTATTACGAGCTTCATATTTTAATTTATTTCAATTTTTATGAATTTATTATTATTATTTACTATTTGATTATAATAATTATTAAATAATTTAAAAACCTCTTTTTAAATAGCTTGATGGGTTGAATATAATCTAAATAACATTTATTAATATCTTAAATTGCTCAAGTTTTAATCTAAATTTACATAAATAGGCTTTGACTCTTTGCTAATTTAGCAAAATTTATCGGTATATTAATAAATTAATCTTGTTTTTTTCTATATCAAGTTTTATTATTTATTTACATTATTTTTAATCTAGAAATTCCTTTTGAAATTTTTGTAATTGAATTTATTTAATAATAAAAATAAATAATTTATTATTCAAAAGAAGTTGAATTATTTTTGATTTAATTTGCGAAAAATAAAATAATTAATTTCTCAACTTATGGAAAAAGATAAATTGATTGATATAGATTCAATTACATTTTTTTAAAGCAATATTTATCTTTTAAAAATTAAGTAAAGGTTTAAATTTAAATTATAATAAAGATTTTAAAACTTTTCTGAGTAAATTATATGTTAATATTAAATGAATAAAAATCATTTTTGTTTTGAAAAAACTACAATTTGCCTGGATGATTTGTTTTTCTGTTATACAAATGTTTTTCTTGAATTATTATTTTATAAATTATTAATTAATTATTAGTATATTCAAAAAATATTTTAGTAAAATCAAAATATTTAATATTAAACTGATCTAAATAAAATAATATACCGTAGTTTCTCATTAATTAAGGACAAGCTCAAGTCAAAATTTTTGTAAAAATTTAGTTCTTTGAAGTACTTTATATTGATGTTTGAGCTGAATTTTTGATGCCTTGATTACTCAGAAATTACACTGATTTTGCTAATCAAAAAGTTTTACATCAACTCAAAGATTCAAAAAATTTATAGAAAAATGTTTTTAATATTAGAATTAAAAAAGAGAAAATACTTAAATATTTAAAAATACAAATTTATTTTATAAAAATTATCATTTTTAATAACTCAAAATTTATTTTATAATTTAATAATTTTTTTAAAATTTGTTTTCCATATTCGAAAACAAATATTGCAAATTGATTGCTTATTAAAAAATTTTAAGATAGTTAATCTTCAATGAGAAGAAGTATTGCTAGAAAATGACTACTTTAAACTATTTCCTAATTGTTTATTCTTATATTTTTTATATAAAAATAAGCCACCTACTACGCACAGTATAATTACTGCAACTATAACAATAACTACTATAGCCCATGTAGGAAAGTTGTCAGAAATTGAGAAATCGTTACTTGTATCATCTTTAGGATCAGCGATAGATTAAGTAAAACCTTTTTAATGTAAAATTAATTAAAAAATACAAAGATTTAATTATTTATTTATTTACTTATCTATTGCTTTGAATAAGAATAGGTTGATACATATCTTCTTAAAAATGGAATTCCTAAAATAACAGCAAAATTTTCATTGTTTGTAATAGGAGATATTAAAATCTAGCAATCTTAAGTTGTGTTAGATAGGTAAAAATCTATAGGTAAATTAAGTACTCTGTCTGTCTAGTTTACTTTTAAATAGAAGTAAATATTTGCTAGATTTGGGTCTTTGCAGTTAACTTTTAGTCCATTTTTAGTCATATTTGCATGGCGTTACATAAAATATTGGGATATTTTTTCGTAAAGATTCTTTTCTAGTCCTATATAAGGGTAACTAGAATCAACTAAGGCCTTATTATTAGAAGAATCAAATTTATATGTAAAATAACGCATATCAAGTTAATTAATCTGCAATACCCATCTTTATAAATCACTTTAATCATTCTGAATTACCTAATGAGTATAAACTTAGGCTTTATCAGCTAACTTTTAAGGATCAATACCTCCTAAGGTTAATTGAGAATCATCATTTTTAAATCCTAAATACAAAGAAAACATATTCTCTTTAATCAACCCTTTTTTATATAAGCTAGTCACAAAAGAGCTATTACCTTCATTTTTTACATTATAAACTCCTAATCCCAAAATACCATTCACCTTTAATTTTTTTATTTAAAGAATCAAAAGTTTAATCAAAAAATAAAATATTTGATTAAATGAAAATCAAATTATTACTTTTTAATTAGAAGTAGTAAAGTTATTTGATTTGTCAAAAAGCAAAGCTGACTGTTAAATACTTTCTAAATTGCCAATACTTACTAATGTGTTCACATAATTACCATCAAATGAGCTGTCTAAATAATTTTATGAACCTTAATTATTTGTAGGGTTACATCCATCTTGTGGAAGACATTCATAGTATTTTTCAAAACCCTTTTTAGAGAATAAATAAATGATTTATTTATTTATTTAAAAGATTTGAGAATTTAATTTTAATTTACATTGCAATTATTTTTATCATTACAATTTTTGCTAGGAATCATCAGCTAACTAGTTCCTGTACTTAAGATGACTTTAAGATTTTTTTTTCCTTTTCCAATACTAATTGTTCCAGTATACCATTGCTTTTTGTTGTTTTACACATTTATTTGTTACTATTTTTGGTCTGTATTAGATTCTTAAGAGAGGAATCGATTAATATTTTCAATATCACTTGTGTTTTCTCTTTCGAGTTATATGTTGATTACACTGGCTTTAGTAAAAAACATATAAAATAGTAAATAGATGAGTATTACGAGCTTCATATTTTAATTTATTTCAATTTTTATGAATTTTTTATTATTTGATTTTAATAATTATGAAGTAATTTAAAAACCTCATTTTAAAAAGATTGATAGGTTGAATATATTTTAATTATATTTATTAATTTGTTAAAATTTCTCAAGTTTTAATCTAAATTTACAAAAATAGGCTGTGTCTCTTTGATAATTTAGCAAAATTTATCGGGATTTAATAAATTAATCTTATTTTTTTCTTTTTCTAGTTTTATTATTTATTTACATTATTTTTAATCTAAAAATTCATTTTAAATTTTTGTAATTGAAATAATTTAATAATAATAATGAAAATAATTTATTTCTCAAAGGAAGATGAATTATTTTTGATTTAATTTGCTAAAAATAAAATAATTCATTTCTCAACATAAGGAAAATAATTAATTTCTCAACACAAGGAAAATAGATAAATTAATTGATATAGATTCAATTACATTTTTTTTAAGCAAAATTTATCTTTTAAAATTTAGTAAATGTTTATATTTAAATGATGAATAAAGATTTTAAAAACTCTCCTGGGTAAATTATAGGTGAAAAATAAATGAACAAAAATAATTTTTATTTTCAAAAAACTACAATTTATTTGCCTGGATTTATTATTCAATTAGCATTAAAATTTTTAGCGAATTTATATTTTTTCTGTTATACATATTAATTTAAATAAATTTAATCAATATATTTTATTTAATGGAAATATAAATACTATAAATCTAATTAATAGGAATGTATAGAAAATTTGATATTATGAAGAATAAAATATATTATTTTTTATTAAATAATATTTATTATTATTTCTAAAACAATAAATAATTTTCTGAGAATAGCTATATACATTCATAATAAAAAAATAAACTATTTACAATTAAATTTAGCTTTTTTATTAATAAAATTTAGTAAACACTATTTAATAAACTTATAATATATAGTAACTCCTTTAAAATTTTATAAAATAATAAATATTAGAAATTCAGCTATACTATACAATTCATGAATATTTAATTTAAGTATTTTAGGGATAATATTAACTGTTAAAAGAGTTTTAAATTATATTTTATTCTAAATATTAATAGAAGTTAAGATCACGATTATGTTAATTAGATTTGTCATAAATTTAGTTTTTTTGTTATATTTTCAAATTTATAATTTATAAAAATTATTAATCTATAAAAAAAGTGTAAGTTAAAGTTAGAAAAAGTTTGCTTTTATTATCTTTCAAAATATTTTTTTAAATTTATTATTCAGTTATATTATTTTTATCTTAATTATTCTTCATTTAAAGAACTTTATTCCTATCAATTTCATTTAGAGGTTTTGAAATTTTTTTTAAATGTAATTGTTTTAAACTTTCCTTAATTTAATTTTCTTGCTTTTCAGCCTTTTATTTTAATATTTAACAGTCAAAGTCAACTTCAATATAATCATTTACTTCAATATAATCCACTTCTTCTTAATCGGCTTATTATTGTTCTCCTTTATGTCCTTTTTAAAAAATTTCAAGACCTTATTTATTTTCTTTATCTTGATTACTATCTTATTTTCTCTATTCGTCTATTTTTTCATTTAATTATTTTTTTATTTCATGATCATCTAATATGTCTTCAACAAAGTTTAGTAATTTTTATTCTTTGAGACAATCTAAAAAACTCTCATCTGAATTTAAATTTTGAAATAACTATTTAATTATTTCGTCGTTTATATATTAGGATTTAATATTTTTCCAATTAGGTTTTTATTTTTCTTTGGGTTGTATTAAATTTTTAGTTTAATATTGAAACTGATTAAAAAGATCGCACACAAAGTCATAGAATATTTATTTTTAGTGATGCAATTTTGTTTCTTTTTCTTCCTTGTATAAATGCTTAAATAAAATTGTTATAAAAGCATGGAGTCTGAAACGAAATTAAACATAGTCTATTTTACATCTTTCAAATTATTTTTTTTCCTCCATTTTCTTTATTAAATTTTACAACTACTTTGGTGCATAATTGTTCCCAAGGATTTCTTTTATTAGTTAAGCAAGTGAGTATATATCAGATCTTAGAGTACAATTTTAATTTTATTTTTATTCTTCTGGTGAGTATTAATTGAACCCTTACGCCTTGTAAAATATAGTAAATAAAATGATGGAAGAAATGTTTAAATCTATTATAAAAATTTTTTTGTTGTTACCCCTTTTCAATAATATATTATTTAATTTTATGTCAGAGTGTGCTATGTTGTTTTTATGTAATATACTAATAGCATCAAGTATTTACTAGATGTAAAAAATTTTTTAAAGTTCGTCAATCTCTTTAAAATTTAATTTTGATAAATCGACTCCTTGCTTTGCATAGACATTAACTACTCTATTTTCATTATTTATAAATGCATTACTAATTTTTAAAAAATAACGGCTATCTATTAACTGTGCTAGGCATGCCTCATACTTTAATTTATTATCCTATTATTCATCCAAAGATTATTTTAGGATATATTCTTCTCCATTGTAAACACCCTTTTAAAGCTTGCTAAAATGAGTAGTTTAAAACTCTTATAATTCTTAAAATTCAGGTGATTTGGACTGAGTTAAATATTCAGAATAAATAGTAAGAAATAAGTTAAAATTAAAGAAGATTTTGAGTTATTTAGAGAAATCAATTTAGCAAATTTTAAATATTTTCTTTATCTTCTTTTTGGATTTTTCATAATTTTTTTCAATTCTTAGCAAAATACCTCGTATTAAGTAATACATTGATAGCTTACCGTCTCCATATTTATATTTCCTTTATTTTTATTTTTTTAAGTAATCATAAAATGTTTAGTACATTTCTATGAAAGTTTGTTCTGTTTATTAGCCTTTCTCGTAATTCAGTATTTAATTAAATAACTTAAACAAATCAGGATCGAATAAATCTCTATAGAGTGACTATAAGTTTGTTAGGTTTTCAGTTATCTAAAAGTTATAAAATAAGTGCAAGTAATCCTCTCTACTTTGGTCTTCGCCTAACTTTTTAGCTTTTTCTAAAGCTTAGCTTTCATTTTACTTAAGGTAATCTAAACACATTTCAAAAAACAATAAAATATTTTTCTTTCTTTCTTTAAATTACCTTTGAATGCTTTCTTCAAACTTTTAAATATTTGTATCATTTTAATTATTTACATATTTTTTTAAAATTTCAATATTTTATGACAAATTTTTTATATCATATTTGTCATAATAAATTAAAACTTCTAATTTTGAAATAGATTCTCTCATTTATAAAAAACTTTCTTGTTTTTCATCTTTTTTATTTAAATTTTCTTTTAGTTCTTTAAGAAAATCCAGAGCATGCTTTGTTTATCGATTTAGTAGATATAATTAGGCTATAATAAACAAGACTTCATCACTATCTTTTAAAGTTTCATCTCTTTCTAGATTTTAGTTGACTTAATTAATCATTCTATCAACGTCTTTTCTCATTAATGGTAAGCCACCTATTTCTAAAAACGGCAAAACTTTGTATGAAACTTAAAGATTTACCACTCTTTAGTGATACCTCAGTAAAGCGATGCATATATCAAATATTATTTCGTATAGGAAGGTTAGCTTTTCTTTATTTATTAGCTCCTTTTTCCATTTTTTAAAATTGTCTATACACAATTTAAACTTTTCATATGTTGATCTTTTATGCTATTTAAATTATAAATTATAAAAAACCAATTTAAAGTAAAAATATTTTAACTGCTTGATTCTTCTATTCTTCTTTAGGATAAAAATAATAAACAATTTGGTCTAAATCAAAAGAGCACGCTTAAAATATTTCTTTATAATTAACTTGATCCATACTAACTAATTAGAATAATATTTAATTTTTACTTCAAATTATTCCGTTTTAGAAATTAATTAAAAAATTAATGAGAAGAAAAGGATATTTATTGTATAAGAGATATTTAATTTATTTTTTTTGATTTAATAAGATCAGATAAATATTAGATAAATTGATTAATAAAATTTATTGTAAAAATAATGATGAATAAGTTAAGATAGAAGCTGAAATTCTGATTGATAAGCTTTAGTCATTACATGATACAATATCTTTATTTAAAAATAACATAAATAATAAGAAAAATAGTTGAAATTTATATATTAAAATATCTCTTTATTGAATTTGAGTAGAGTTTATACATACATCTTAAATATTTATTATATGTTAAAATACATAGTATATATACCAATCCAATTAAATGGCAATTAAATTGTTATAAAAAAAATAATTAGATGAGAAAAAGCTAATTTTAAAAATTTTAGATTTTATTTAAATAAAATCATTAATATAAATAAAGTATTTAAATTAACATATATTAAAACACCAATAAATAATTGATTAATATAAGCAATACCTATTTAATAGCTAATGAATTAAATTTAATTGTAAAGATATATTTAAATATACCGTATTTCCTCCAACCTCGTTCCAAGCAACACGCAGAAAAATAGCGAGGATTCGAGCAAAAATTCATAATTTTTATAAATAAGGCTTCTCCTATTCAAGAGGGAATATTATCCAAGAGGATACAGTAATAATATTTAATAATCAGAATTTTATCAAATATTTTCAGTTTCTAATGATGAACTGTAATAAGACTATTATTCAAATTAAATTTAAGTTTGAGACTATGAGTATTAAGTAGAATTAATTTGATAAGATTCAGAATTAGACTCCTAAATATATTCCGTATTTGTGTTTTGTGAATCTTAATTAATAATAGGTCCTAAAACTCGAGTAAAGTATGACTAACTGCTAGCTTATTCATGAAATTAATTTTGATACTAAATACTCTGACTGACTTGGTAATCTCCTGCATTTATATTTTTTATATCTGAATTTTCTGAAGAATGCTAAATAATGTTATAATCTGTAATATTTTTAACAAAAAATTTTAACTAAATACTTTTGATAAAAAAAGTTACATGAATTTGATTGCCAATTTGATTCTATTTCCATAGGTTAACTTTTATTCTGAGTATTCTAAGAAATCTAATTATTTTCTAAAGCTTTTTATTAATTAAATACTTTTGATAATAAAAATTACATGAACTTGATTGGATATTTGGTTCTATTTCCATATCTTATTTATTTTCTAAATCTTTTTAAATAAATTTAAGTATATATTTACCTGATTTAAAATAATATTTTACCCTAGAGCTGTTTTTCGATGTTATTTATAAGTTTTAAATATTCTTCATCAAGTTTTAATTCATCTTTAGAATATTAAATACAATCAAGTTTCTTTTCTATCTACTCATAGAATGTATTAGTTTCCTTAGAATTATCCTCAATTTTATTAATTAGATTATCAATTAATTCATTTTTTTCATAATTAGATTGTCTAAAGCACTCCTCAAGCAGTTGGATTTGAATTTCAATATTTTAATTCTAAGAAATTCTTTTTTCATAACTTAACAATTTTAAAACAAATAACTTAATGTCGTTATCTGCAAGACACTCTACAAAAGATTAATTTTATGGAGTAATATTTTCATCTAAAAGTAATAGAATTTATTAAGTAATAGCAATAATATTAAATTGCTTATATTTATTTTAAAATTCTATAAACTAAGTTTTTTTATTTTCGGGTTCTTGTTGAACTGAAAATGTACTGTAATAAAATCTTCTAAATTTTTCAAATAAAAAATGTATGCTATCTGCAAAATCTTTATAAATTTAGTTATCATAATTTTAAAATTTTTCTTCTTTTGAAATTATTTACATAAATATTTTATAAGTAACCATCTCTAACTAAAATTTGTGAGATGCCTACTTAATTGTACATCTATTTTAAATGCTATTATCTATCATTTAATTTATTAATTATTCCATTTACATGGATTTATAAAATTTATTATTTGCATAAATTTTATTTATAGACTTTCCTATTGAAAAGATGTCACTTTCGAACGTATATTTTTCTTCAATTGGTTCATAGCCTTTCGTGTATCCTAGAGGAGTAAAAAACTTATTAAATATTTTAATTTGAGAGAATCCAAAATCTATGATTTTAATTTTGGTATCATCATCGAGAACTGTCACAACGTTTTCAAGCTTAAAATCTGAATGTATGATATTCAAAGAATGTAAATAACAAAATGCTTTCATAATTTGTTATATATAACCCATTGCTTTCTCCTAATCAATTTTCTTATTAATTAAGAGTTTATTTAAGTTTTCTCCTTACATTTTTTGAACAATTACAATTTCGTTATTTGTAACAGCAAAGACTTCTTCAATATTCTAAATATTTGGATGGCATAGCAACATCTAAATACAGGCTTCGTTTAGCTGTTTAAATTTTTATAATTCGGTAGTTTACTGAATTTATTTTTTAAATATATATTTTTCATATTTTTTAAAAAATATATATAAATTATTTTATCTACTGCCTGGAGGCAGAAGATAACGAAAAAATTTATATTCCTACTTAAATTTGTTTGATCGCTCCATTTTGTATAAATAGCAAATTAAACGGTTATATTTAAAAAAGAGCTCAAGAAATTTTTAGAAATCAGTACTTGTTTATTTGCAGATTTAAAATATGAGATTCATGTTCTTGATAGCTTCATCATATTATTTTCCCAGTCTTAAAAGAATTGTGTAAATGACTGATAAAATTAAAATCAAACCTTTGCCATAACTATAATCTTTATCAATAATCTAGCTTTTGAATTTTTGAAAAGACTTTTTTATTTTTGTTATGTTAATATTTTCTCCTACCTCAAATAATTGCAACTATTTGAATACTTAAAACAGTTCATTACCAAAAAGGTGGTAATATATGGTTTCTATGTAGCTTAGCAACTAGCTGCTCTAATTTTAAAAAAATAAAAGAAGACTCTTTTCCAGATTATCGCCAAGATTTGTTAAATGTATTTTGGAGTTATTTAATTTTTGATTGATAAAGTAGAAATGAATGTAAAAGAGGTCAACATGGTTTTCTATTCTCTCTTTCATGGTTTCATCATTAATATGAGTTAGAAAATTTTTCAAATATTCTATTTAGTTTTTGAGATCCTTTAATTTATTAGTATATAAGTAGCACAGGGCCATATATGTATGCACTGATTCAATAAATCCCAATTGCAAATTTTCTTTAATCAAAAAAAAAAAAAAAAAGAGGATTAATAAATAGTTAATCAATATTAAACAAAAATCATCAAAATTTTTTTATAAACTAATACTTTCTTCATCACTCTGTGATCTATCTAGCTCATGTAAATTATAAAATTTAGAAAGTTTATCAAGCAAGTCTTTTGCATTAGAGTACTATTCCTTTTAAAGGTTATGATAAGTATTTGCAAGTAATGCTTTATGATAATTTATGTTTTATTCATCTTAATTATTGAAATAATTTTAAATCGTTTAATTTAAGAGACTTTGAAGTTGAATTTAATTTTCATAAGTTTTAGGTTAAAATCGCGTATCTAATAGAGAAATAACGCTATAGTTATATTCATGACCTGCTATGCATTTGTGAAATTCTAAACTTTCTTATAGCTAAATGCATATAAATTCTTCTTCTGTATCTTAATTTTTTCTAACTTAATTAAGATAAACCTTTAGCTACTTCATGATATCTAAAAATAATTTTTTCTTCTATTCCTTCAAATACTACATCATAATTGTAAAATAAAATATTTAAAACTATGCTCACACTTAAAGAAATATGCATGATTAATTACCTTTGATTCTAATAGTACATCTTTGTTTTTTTATTAATTTTACTAATTTTAATTCTTCTAATTTTTATAAATAACTAATGAATCTGTTCATAAAATGAAAAATATTTTACCTTTTCACTATCTAACTAAAGTAATATCTCTAAAATTAAGCTTCTACTAATCTTAAAAGGATCCCAATTATTATTTTTAAAAAGTTAACTGAAGTCTATCCTTTCCATCTTTATATATTAATCTTTAATATATAAATGTTTATAAATATATATTTTTTAATTTTTGATAAATCTAAATACCAAAAATCTTAATATTAAAAGAGAATAAAAATCAAAAGATAACCATAAAAAATATTTACTTTGAAAATACAATCAAAAATATCAATCAGCAATATTTGCAAATTTATCAATAATTAATATCTTTTAAATAATCTTTCTTTAAATAAACAACTAACACTAAAACTAAAAATTCTCTAAAAATAAAAATATTTTATTAATTATTCATAAATTAACAAAAAGAAATTGTTATTTTTTTATTTTATTAATACAAAATAGAATAATAATATATTTTAATTTAACTATTTGAATTTCAACTATTAAATAGGAACATGCATGTGCACTTATGGCTCTCCAATTTTATAATCAAATTCAAAGTATTTTCGAGTTATCAAGCTTTTCATTCATTTTTATTTGAGAATAAATGTTTTTTTGTGAAAAAACAAGGTAATGAGTTAGTTAGTTACTGTGGATTTTATAAAATATGTTCAAAATTTTTTAAATATGGAAAATTTATAGAAATACATTTTATTTGTATAAAGAGGGACTTATATTCATAATTTTTATAAGAGGGACCATTATCCAAGAGAATATAGTAATTAAATTTAACAATCAGAATTATTTCAAATTTTATTAGTTTGTTATGATGGATTTGGTAAATTTACAAATTAGTGTTCTGATTAACTATTTTGTTGTTGATTACTAAGAAAGCTGAGTAGAGTTTATTATTCTGATTAAGTTTAACTTTGAGACTAAGAGCATTAAGTATAAAAAGTTTTCTAAGATTATTAATTAAATCCTTAAAAATTTTGGATATTTGTGTATTATGAATCTTAATTAATAGTTTGTTATGAGGATGTAATAAAATTAATTTAATAGCTAGGGACCTATTAACTTTCATTGACATGGTATGATCCTACATTAATATTTTTTATATCTTGATTGTCTGAAACTGAATGCTAAATATCGGATTAAGCTGTAAATAATTTAAAGAAAAATTTAATTAAACACTTTTAATAATAAAAATTACTTAAACTTGATTGATTATTTATTTATTATTGCGTGCCTTGATCTATATTAGGATTATTCTTTGATTTCTATTTATCTTCTAAATCTTTTTTATATAAATTTAAGTTTATTTACTTGATTTAAAATAATATTTTACTCTAGAGCTGATTTTCGATATTCTTTATAAGTTTTTAATATTCTTCAGTATGATGAAGCTCATCTTTAGAATATTTAATTTAATCAAGTTCCTCTTATATCTACTCAAGGAATTTATTAGTTTCCTTATTATTATTCACAATCAATTAATTAATTAGATCTTCAATTTATTTATTTTCTTCATAATTAGATTCTCTAAAGCAGTCCTCAAGTAATTCAAGTAATTCGATTTAGGGATCTATAGAATTATTTTATTCCTAACAAATCATTTTTTCGAAATTTAACAATTTTAAAATAAATAACTTAATATCATTATCTACAAGACACTCTACAAAAGATTAATTTAAAGTATTAATTTTTGCATCTAAGAGTAATTTAATAGATTTAATAATACCAATAATTTCAAATTATTAATATTTATTTTAAAATTCTTTAAACTTAGTTTTTTCATTTTCTGTTTCTTATTCAACGGAAAATGTATTGTAATGAAATCTTCTAAATTTTTAAAATAAAAAATGCATGCTATTAGCAAATTCATTATAAATTTCATTATCCTAATTAAATTCTTATTATGAATTTATTTATATATATATTTTGTAAATAAGCATTTCTAACTAAAATTTGCTATAGGCCTACTTAATTGTACATCTATTTTAAATGCTATTTTCTATCATTAAATTTATTAATTAATCCATTTATATTGATTTATAAAAATTATTATTTGCAAACATTTTTTTTATACTCTCTCCTATTGAAAAGATGTCACTCTCGAATGTATATTTTTTTTCAGGTGGTGCATAGCCTTTCGTGGATCCTAAAGGAGTAAAAAACTTATTAAATATTTTAATTTGAGAGAATCCAAAATCAATAATTTTAATTTTGGTATCATCGTCCAGGACTATCACAACGTTTTCAAGCTTAAAATCTGAATGTATAATATTCAAAGAATGTAAATAACAAAAAGCTTTCAGAATTTGTTATATATAACTCATTGCTTTCTCCTAATCAATTTTCTTATCAATTAAGAGTTTATTTAAGTTTTCTCCTTACATTTTTTGAACAATTACAATTTCATTACTTTTATCAACAAAGACTTCTTCAATATTCTAAATATTTGGATGACATAGCAGCATCTAAATACAGGCTTCGTTTAGTTGTTAAAATTTTTATTATTGATTTGTTTCCTTCTTTTTTTTTATTACAAATTGTTCATTTCCTTTTTGGTATTTGAACAATTTATTTAATCCAGTCTCTCTAAATTAGCTACAAAAGTTATAATCTATTTCAAATTTTTCAGATGGCTTCTAAACAATTTTATATAAATAACAAATTAAACGATTATATTTAAAAAAGAGATCAAGAAACTATTAGAAATCAGTATGTGTTTAAATACAGATTTAAAATATGAGATTCATGTGCTTGATAGCTTCATCATATTCTTCTCCCAGTCTTAAAAGAATTGTGTAGATGACAGATAAAATTAAAATCAAACCCTTACCATAACTATAAACTTTATTGGTAATCTACTATTTGAAATCTTCAAAAAATTATTTTATTTTTTGTATGTTTATATTCTCTCCTTAACCCCTATTTTTTAACTCAAATTATTGCAACTCTTTGAATACCTAAAATAGTTCATTACCAAAAAGATTGTAATATATAGTCTCTATGTAGCTTAGCAGCTAGCTGTTCTAATTTAAAAAAAATAAAAGGAGGCTCTTTTCAAGATTTTTATCAATATTTCTTAAATGATTTTGAGATTTAACTAAATCTTGTTTGATAAAGTAGAAATGAATGTAAAAGAGCTCAACATGGTTTTGTATTCTCTCTTTCATTGCTATTGATTTTTAGCATTCACCAATTCTTTATTTATCATTAATATGATTTAGAAGATTTTTCAAACATTCTATTTATTTTTCGAGATCATCTAATTTATTAGAATATAAGTAGCAGAGGGCCATATATGTATGCACTGATTCAATAAATCCCAATTGAAAATCTACATTAATCAAAAGAAAAAAAAGAGATTAATAAATAATTAATCAGTATTAAACAAATAATCATCCACAAATTTTTTTTTACTAATACTTTCTTCTTCTTTGCACTCTGATTTTTTTAACTCGTCTAAATTATAAAATTTTGAAAGTTCTTCAAGCAAGTCTTTTGCATTCTCATACTCTTCCTTTTAAAGGTTATGATAAGCATTTGCAAGTAATGCTTTATGATAATTTATGTTTTTTTCATCTTATTTATTGAAATATTATTAAATAGATTATTTTAAGAGACTTTAAAGTTAGATTTATTTTTCATAAGTTTTAGGTATAAATCCAGTATCAATTAGCGAAATAACACTATAGTTATATCCATGACATGCTATGCATTTGTGAAATTCTAAACTTTCTTATAGCTAAATGCATATAAATTCTTCTTCTATATCTTTATTTTTTCTAACTTAATCGAGATAATCCTTTAGCTAGTTCATGATGTTTTAAAATTGACTATCCTTCTATTCCTTCAAATACTATATCATATAAAATATTTAAAACTATGTTCATACAAAAGTAAATATGAATGTATATTGATTACCTTTAATTGTTCATTTAGCTTCTCTTTGTTTTTTTATTCATTTTAATTCTTCTAATTATTATAGTTATTAATCAATCTATGAATAAAATGAAATATAGCTTACCTCTTCACTATTTAAGTTGTTTAAAATTAAACTTCTGCTAATCTTAAAAGAATCCCAATTATTACTTTTAAAAAGTTCACTGAAGTCGATTATGCTCTTCTCCATCTTTATATATTAATTTTTAATATATAAATTTTTGAATGCAGTTATTATGTTCTTTTTTAATAAATCTAATACTACAAATCTTATAATTAAATTGGAATAAAAATTAAAAAAGAACCTTCAAAATATTGATTTTGAAAATAAAATCTAGAAGATCAACAATATATATCCCTTAAATAGTCTTTCTTTAAATAAATATCTAACACTAAAACTAAAAAATTTCAAAAATAAAAATATTTTATTAACTATTAATAAATTATTCTTTTTTATTTTATTTTATTAATTAAAAATGAGAATAATAATATTTTAATTTAATTATTTGAATTGAAAATTTAACTAAGAATGTGCGTTACATGTGCATTTATGATTCTTCCAATTTGATAATCAGTAATATTAATTTAATTTTATAATTTTATATTTTTAAAAGAAAGATTTATCTTATTAATTTATTTCTTTCTTTCTTACTTAATAATAAAATGAATATTATTAAACTCTTTTATCATTAAAATAATTTAATTTAAAAGTAGTATAAAGTATTTATTTAATTAAAATAGTAGTTAAATTATCTTTTTAAAATATAAAAAAATTTAAACAATCAAAGTAGTAAATAATCATTTTAATTTTTCCTAAAATTAAAGATTTGCTTATTTTATAAGCATAAATACCATATGATTTATTCTTGCTTTTGTAAAAATTTCATAATATATTGTTATTAGATTGAGTGCTAATTTCATTTGAAATGCTCATTCAGTTTAAAATAATATATTTACTACAATAAAAGTTTGGAATTGCATCTAAAATTAATACTATTGATTTATTACTGTTACTAAGCTAATTTATCCATCTATCTCAGCTATCATGATATTAAGTATTGTAGAATTGAAAAAACTAAGATTTTAAACATTAGATAGCTTTAGAGAAAACAGAATTTGAATTGAGAGTCTTAGGTTTTTATAAATTGTAAGGAAAGTAAATATATGCATAGTACATTTCAAACTATCTCGTAATATCTACAATATTTTTTCGAGATAAGAAATATGTAGTAGAAGTTCATTCCATATCTATAATTCTTTATAGGTATTCCTACTTATAAATGTCAGAAATTGTATATGTTTAATTTTCTTTTACAGCATTCTTTATTTAAGCTTATTCTTAGCTAGTTAATTGAGGACTCTTAGTAAATTAAACCATTCTTTAAATTGATTGATATATCTTATGGAAGTAACAATAGGTTATAATTTAAGTTTTTTACAATTAGATTCAATCAGTTTACAAATTTTTTAATTATAAATTAAAGGTATATTTTGAATTCTAGTAGAGTTTATACATCTTAAATATTAATTGATATTTATTATATGTATTAAAATGGATAATATACATACCAATCCTATTAAATTGCTAATTTAAATATCATAAAAAATAATTAGAGAAGAAAGAGTTATTTTTAAAAATTTAGATTTTAGTTAAATCAATATTTTTAATATAAATAAGGTATTTAAATTTATATATTTTAAATACCTATAACAATTGATTAATATAAATAATACATATTTAATAATAGTAAAGAATTTAAATTTAATTGTATATATATTTATATAGATAAGGTATCATCTATTTGTTCTAATTGTTAAATAAGTTTTATTTTCAAATATTTCAAATCAATAATTTATGATTAATTTATTAATTCTAATAAATTATTAATTGTTTTTTATTTGAAAAATAAATTATTTAATTACTCTATTCCCTTTGGATAAACCCCCTTGAGGTTACTATTTATTGAAAACTAAGAATATTTAATAAGTACTATTCATAATTTTTATATAAGGTTTCTATTCAAGAGGACTATTATCCAAGAGAATATAGTAACAATATTTAACAATAAGAATTATATCAAATTAAATCAAAATATTAAAGGTCTATTAAATTAGTTTGTTTGATTATTAAGATAGCTGCAATGAGTTTAATATTCTAATTAAGTTTAAATTTGCTACTAAGAGTATTAAATATAATCATAAGTTTGATAATATTATTAATTAGATTCGTAAAATTCATAAGAAAATAGGTTATTTATGTTTTGTGAATCATAATTAATAGTAAATTATGAATATATTATTATATCTGGTTTTTCTGAAGTAAAATACTAAATATCATTTTAAGCTATAAATATTTTTAACAAAAACATTTAATTAAATTTTGATAATTAAAGTTACATGATCTTGATTGGTTATTTACTTCATATTCCATATTTTGATCTATATTCTGAGTATTCAAAGATATCTAATTATTTTCTAAAGATTTTTAAATAAAATTAAGTATATTTACTTGACTTAAATTATATTTTACTATCAAGCCTTCCTTAGATATTATTAAGAGGTTTTTAATATTCTTCAGTATGATTTAATGAACCTTAAGAATATTTAATATTATCATGTTCCTCATCTATCTACTCAAGTATTTTATTAGCTTCCTTCTTATTATACTCATTTATTAACTTAATTAGATATTAAATTTATTTATTTTTTTCATAAATAAATTCTCTAAAGCAGTCATCCACTAATTTTATTTTGTGATCTCTTTAATTATTTTAATTCTAACAAATCTTTTTATCCTAACTTAACAATTTTAAAACAAATAACTTATTATCGTTATTTGTTTAACATTCTAAAAAAGATTAATTTTAAGAATTAATCTTTTCGTCGTCTAAAAGCAATTTAATAGATCTAATAATAGCAATTATATTAAATTACTAATATTAATTTTAAAATTCTATAAATTAAGCTTTTTCATTTTCAGATTCATATTGAACTGAAAATGGATTGTAATAAAATCTTTTTAGTTTTTTAAATAAAAAATGAATGATAATTGCAAATTCATTTTAAATTTAATTATTTTAATTAAATTTTTGTTTTTAAATTTTGTAAGTAAGCAATTCTAATTAAAATTCGCGATTGACCTACTAAATTGTGCACCTAATTTAAATGTTGCTTTATAGCATTAAATTTATTAATTTTTCCATTTACATCGATTAATAAAATTTTTTATTTGCAAAAATTTCATTTATAGACATTCGTATTAGGAAGATGTCACTTTTGAAGGTATCGTGTGATTCATAGTTATCCGTATATCCTAGAGGAGTAAAAAACTTATTAAATATTTTAATTTGAAAGAATCCAAAATCAATGATTTTAATTTTGGTATCATAATCCAGAACTGTCAAAACGTTTTAATCTGAATTTATGATATTCAATGAATGTACATAACAAAAAGGTTTGATAATTTTTTGTATATAATTGATTGCTTTCTTCAAATCAACTTTCTAATTATCTAAGAGTTACTTTAAGTTTTATCCTTACTTTTTTTGAAGAACTATGGTATCAAAATTTTTATCAGCAAATACTTCCTCAATATTCTAAATATTTAGATAACATAGCAATATCTAAATACAAGTTTCGTTTAGTTTTTAAAATTCTTTTTGTTCGCTAGTTTTCTTTTCTTCCTTCGATTATTTTTTTATTAATTTCTCATTTTATATTTTGTATATATCCAATTTATACATGTTGGTCACTCCAAATTCTTTAAAAGATGTATATTCATTCTATAATTTGTCTGATGATTCCAAAAATGTTTTGTATAAATTACAAATCAAACAGTTATATTAAAAAATGAGGTCAAGAAACTATTCGAAGTAAGTATTTGTTTATTTGCAGATTTAAAAAATGAGATTCATGTTCTTGATAGGATCCCTCTTTTTTACCTTAAATTATTGCAATTTTTTGAATTCATAAAATAGTTCTCTGCAAAAAAGATTGTAATATATGGTTTCTATGTAGCTTAGTATCTTGCTGTTCTAATTTAAAAAAAGTAAAAGAAGACTCTTTTCAGGATTCTTACCAAGATTTAGTAAATATATTTTAGAGTTATCTAAATCCTTATTGATAAAGTAAAAATGAATTTAAAAGAGCTCACCTTGATTTTGTATTCTCTTATTAACATTAATTTCATCATTAATGAGAGTTTGAAAATTGTTCAAATGTTCTATCTATTTTTTAAGATCATTTAACTTATTAGACATGTATGTATGCACTGATTCAATGAATCCTAATTGCCCTATAATCAAGAGAAAAAAAAGAGGATTAATAAGTAATTAATCAGTATTAAACAAAGAATGATCAACAAATTTTTTATAAACTAATACTTTCTTCTTTGCTCTTTGACCTATTTAACTCATATAAATTATAAAATTTGGAAAGCTCTTCAAGTAAGGCTTTTACATTAAAGTACTCTTCCTTTTAAATGTTTTAATAAACATATGCATATTTCAAGCGATTTTAAAGTTAGATTTCATATTCATAAGTTTTAGGTTAAAATAGCGTATCAATTAAGGAAATAAAGCTCTATTTATATACACAACTTGCTTTCCATTATCTATTTCTTCATTATTTCTAGCTTAATCGATGTAATCCTTTATCAACTTCATGATATCTTAAAATTATTAATTCTTCTATTCCTTTAAATATTATATCTTAATTGTAAAATGTTTAAAACTAAGTAAATATGTATGATTGATTACCTTTAATTGATCATTTAGCGCCTTTTTGTTTTTTTATCCATTTAATTTATTTTAAAAAATAATGAATAAGTGAATAAAATGAAATATATATTACCTATTCACTATTTAGCTGTAATATTTTAAAAATTAAACTTCTACTAATCTTAAAAGTATCTGAATTATTTCTTTTAAAAACTTAAATTAAGTTTATGTATTTCTCCATCTTTTTATATTAATTTCAAATATTAAAAAATGCATATAAATATTTATATTTTTTAAGCTGTTATTTATTTAATTTTTTACTCTAAGAAGTATAAATAAAAGTGTTTTATACAAAAATAAATAGTTATTGTTTTTTTTATTTCGTTTTTTTTTTCAAAATTATAATTAAAAAATATTTTTACTTTATTATTTGAATTCCTTATTTAGGAAAGAATACTCATGAGTATTTATTTATAATAATTCCAATTTGTTAATCAATAGTAAGTATTTAATTTTATCATTTTATATTTACCATTTTCATTTATTTCTTTCATTGTTAATAAAAAAATAAGATTATTAATCTGTTTTACCATTAAAATTATTTAATTTACAATTAATATAAAATATTTATTTTATTAAATTAATTATTAAGTTATCTTTAAAAAAAAAATTAAACAATTATTGCAGAAAATAATAATTCTAATTTCTCTTAAGTTTTATCTTTAGCTTATTTTTTAACTGTAAATTAATACCTTAAAATTTCTACTTATATATGTATTTATTTTATAATATATTGTAGTTCTTTTAATTTTATGTTTATTATCTGCAAGCGACAGACCTTAAAAAAAATATTTTTTTGGCAAGCTGCAATAAATTAAAAAATATTTTGTAAGTAAGTTAGTAATCAATAATTCATAATATATATAATTAGTTAATTATTATTTGAAACACAATTAATGAACTTAATATCCATAACAAATCCTATTAAAATAAATATAAATTTTTTGTTTATTAATACATTTGAAGATATTGAGTTTCTTTAATGTAAATAAATATGAACCAATTCTTAGAATAATTATATAGTTAATAAATAAATTATTTTCAACGTTTAAAATATTTGCCTTATTAAAAAGTGGGTTCATCATAAGAGTGACTTGTTTTTATGGATATTTTCTATGTTATAATGGAGAATTTAAATTTTAAAATATTTATTTGAATGGCTTTTGAAATTTAATTTTGCGTTAATACGTCGAATTTAAATATCTCGTAATCTACCAAAAAAATTGAAAGTAGATAATATTTAAAACCCTTCCTTGATTTTCTTCTATTTTAATTAATATTAATAATTCTTATAAGGCACAGATAAATTTTGGCTGATTAATAGCTTTCGTAGAAATTAAATTCCTCTACTAAATTAATTCAAGTTCTCCTCTAAATTTTTGCTCAGCAAATTCTACTTGATTGTATCAAATAGACAAACACAAAAATCAAAAAATATTTTTAAAATAATTCTATTTGTATTTGATCAGCTTAGAGAAGATATAATTACACATATGTTGGTGAACAATAGAGTAATCTTTATTTCTAAGACAATGATGTTTATTTAAATTATTATCACTTGAAAGAAGCACATATGTTTCCTTATTCTTTATATTTTTAGCAACTCAAAAAACTATCAATTAAAATATTTAAAGTTACATCTCTAAGAATTATAATTTTCCATTACTTTTTTAGACTAAAAAGGGTAGTATTTCCAAACTGAAAGAAATTTTTAGTAGTATATTTGATATAAAGTATAAAATTTGAAAATCTTTCTTCTCCATTAATCAGTTTCCTTTATAACAAAACCAACTAAAAAAAATTTGTTTTCTCTTAAAATAGATAATTTTTTTAAAAAGTTTCATTTGTTTAAAATAAATGAAGAATCTTCTTTTAAAAATAGCTCTATTTAAATATCTTTTTTTATATTTAAAACTAGTTTTCAATAATAAAGCATCATTTAAAGCTTCTAAATTCATTTCAAGCATTCAAAAAATGTTTATTGTGTTATGTTATGAACTTTTTTGCGTTTGTTGTTGTGTCACTTAGGTTTAAAGAAATTATATAGAACGAAAAAATACAAAAATTAATTTAAAAAAATAAGTACATTTATTTAGTTAAAGTAAATATACTTACGTTATTAACTAAATAACAGTGTTATATTTAAAATTCCAAAGAAATTTATATGAATATAATAAGAAACAGTTGAGTTTTTGTTGGATGAAGTATATATATGTAGTAAATTGCATAACCAAAATGATAAATGAATTTAGATATATGTAAAGCAGTACAAGAATTAAGACAATACATTTAGAGAGCATATATTTATATATTTAAAGTAAAGTACTTAAAATTAAGTGCAATTTTTTATACAAAAATATTTGGTTAAGTGGTAAATAGTTTGTTTTTATTATAAATTTTGTTTGTTTGATTGATTGATTATGCTGGCACTGTAATTTAGTCAGACAGTTTTTATTGAAAAATCTTTTTATATATTACTTTATAAGCTACTTTTTTTCATTTTCAAATGTGATTTTTATTAATCGATGCATCGAGTCAGTCACATTTTTTAAAATGTGTTTAAAAGTAGTTTAAAATTTTAATGAAATTTTATTTTTTAAAGTTATTTCTTTCCTTTTATAAATAAAGCATTTATTTATATTTTTAAAAGCTTAGATTTATGATTGATTGAAATCAATAACCACAGAAATATTATCTCTTTAAGATAGGGGCAAAAGAGAAATCTCTGTTTAACTCAATTTATCCTGGCATAATGTTTTCTTCATTTTAATCCTCAGAGAAGTAAGATATTTCCATAGAACTATCGTTATCGGAATTATCACCTGCAACATTAAAGCTTATTGTGTTTCTTTTTTGTATAAATAAGATATCACCGTTTTGAACGCTAAGCTATTTAAGTGTTTTATTGTTATCTTATATTAAAGCACCGTTGATACTAAAATCACAACCAGAAACAGTGAGGTGGGATTAAGCATAAATTAATAACTTTAAGGTATTTAAATTATCATTTTCCAAAGCAATCACTTGGAACTTTTCACCGTTGTAGTTTTAGATATTAACAAAGAGTTCAGCTTCCATTTTATTGTTTAGTTTATCTTGGATATTTTTTTGATTTTAAATATTAAATTTATAGAGATTGAATCTATTTTTGGATAATTTGATTTTTTAACTTTTTATTTCTAAATTAATTAATTATGAGTTTGAATGAATGATTAACTACAACTTTAACTGGCAGTATTCATTCTTCTATTCTTTTACTAATTTTTTTTCTATTTTAACTTTGATAATATTGAATGGAAATTAATTAGACTATAGCCAGACTCTTGCTATTTAATAGGCTCGGAATGTGAGAGAAGCAATCAAATAAATAATATCTTTGGCAAATTTAGATCTATGAATAAAATTATTTACTTTTCGCATTAAAAATATTTTTATTCTCATATAATTATAAAAAGGAATCATATTACAAAATAAGAATAGAAATTTGAACTTTATAAAAGCTCATCAACGATACAGCGATTCAGCAAATTATAGGATTATCTGTGTAATGTAATATCTCCCATATGATTAAGTGAAAAGATAAGATGGAATAGACTGAAATTCTAATTAAATATCAAAAGCATACCACACAAAATAATAATTTCACATATAAAAGTAAATGTGTGTAATGGCCTTCTCAACAAAATTTCTATTGTTGGATAAATAATATAGTATTATTTAATTTTAGTTTACTGACATGTTGCCTCTACTTATTAAAAGTTGATTTATCAAATTGAAAAAAATTAAGCTTAAACATACATAGATAAATTGATTCATTTTAAATGTTTAGAAGTTTCTTAAAAATATAGATTTTAAATAGAAAATTTTCTATCAGATTTTCTTCTTCTTTCTTGTCAATTAGCCCCCAAATCTAAATAAATAAATAAGTAAATAAATAAATGAATTAAAAAATTTTCTTGTAATCATCTATACTAAAATTAAGAATTTTTTTGTCATTCAAAAATAATTAATTTTTTTTTAAAATAGAAGAATATTAATTATAATCGATATCATCGTTGTTTTTCTATCTAGCTAAATAGATCTTTTTCTACTTTAATCATAAAAGTATTGTATGATGAATTGATCATTTAATAAGAATTTATTATAGTCTCTTTATTCATTCACCAAATATTCTCAAAGACTAAATTTAAAAAGGTGTCTTTTTCACTTACTTCCTCGATTAATCAATCTATGTTTATAAGTATTATTTTATTCTCTTTTCATTTTCAAAGCATCATAAACATTTTACACTTGCATTTGATAAGCTTTTATTCTTGAATAATTTTTGTGTTTTCCTTTAATTATAATATCTGATAAAAGATAAAAAAACTCAAACATTATATATAATATTGGGAGTTTAGTTATTATAAATAAATATATTCTAAAAAAATTGCTAATTTTTAGATTTTACATTAATTTTTATGTATGAATTATGATAGAAAAGATATTTTGTTACTCTATTATGTGTAAAGCATTTAATGACATTCCCCTTAAATCAATTTATCTAATAATTCATTGGTTTGTTTGTTCTTATTATCCTGTCATCATATAAATTATTTAATTATATATGATTTCAATTTTTATATACAAAATTTATGAAATAATTAAAAAAATCATAAATGCTAACATTCATTACATCATAATTTGAAGCAAGTTGGAAAGAAATTGCTTATTTAAGCGGATCCATATTTTATAATTTACATTCTTAGATTTTTAATCTATTTAAATTTTGGCTTTTGAGTTTACTATTATGGTATGTAAATTACTAATTTAAGTGATAGTAAAAAGCTTTTATTAGTTTATTATTGTCATCTCTTACAGAAAAATAGATTTCTGTTATCTTTTTAATTTACAACTAAATTTTGTAAAGATTATCTCCTATTATTTGTGTTTAGAAGCTAACTTTATTGGTAATATCTGATAAATATTAACGAAAGTATTACTAAAATCTTTTCAGAAAATATTCATTCTACTAAAAATAAAACAATGGTTATATCAAATATTTTTATAGTAATACTTCTAATAAATTTGCAAAAGCAATTTATAATTAGGTTTCTAACAAAATTAATTTCAAAATTATATTTCTTTTTAATTCTTACAGCATTCGTTCCAAATGTAAAAATTATAATTCTATTCATTAGCTTCTAATTAATATTTTATATTTATCATTCACGACAAAAATAAAGAAAATTTATTATTAGAAAAAGTTTCCAAGCCAAAAGCAAGCAGAATTTTAATTTAGAAATTATCATCCTTAGGAATTACAATTAATTAAACACAAAAATAAATTTTAATGTGACAATAAGCTTTTGCTTTAATAATAGTAATATCACGTGATTTATTTTTATGCTTGTATAAATTTACTTTTGGGTAAAAATAAAAAGTATCTATTTATAAATGTTACAAATCTATATGTCTATATCTAAAACCTGATTAAAAATAAGTATAGTGCTAAGGTAAAATTAATATTTTTAGAAATAAATAAGTTCTAATCCATAAATTGAGCCCCAATTTTTTGGAGTTTACACTTATTTCAATTATTAATTTTTTAGTTATAAAGATTATAATTTTTTAAAATAGATAATTAATCTAATGATAAACTAATAGATAATGAATTTATCAACATTATTTTTGCATAGTTACTCATTAAATTAATTTATAATATTTTTTATTCCTATATAGAAAAAAAATTTCTAATGATCTACATAAAATGGTATGTTTTTCTGTTGATTTTTGGCATATTTAAATAAAATTTATTTTAAATGATGAAATGAGGGAATTTATTAATAAACTTACTTAAAATTTAAACAAACAAACATAGCATGGATATTTTTTTTATCATATATATAATAAATTGTTTAAAATTTATATTTAATATAAAATTAATTCTACTAAGATTAAGAAGATTTCTTTGCAATTAATTAATTATATAAATAAATAAATAATTTATCTCTCTTCATAATTCAATTGCAAATTATTTATTTATTTACTTACTTACTTACTTACTTATTTCATTTTTTATTATTTTATTTGTTTGTTTGTTTTATTTTTGTTTAAAGCTTTCTTTAATCATTCGCTTTATTTATTTTTAGAATAAGTTAAATTAAAGAATTCATTGATTCATTTATATAACTTTATCTGATTGTTTTTTTTACTCATTTTTTTCAGGATGAAGGAGGGATCATACCTTTATTTTTGATTCCATATTCTAATATTTGGTCTTGGTCTAGGTATTTTTTCATATCAATAGCTTCACCTCTTTAATATGCGTGCTTGATATCTCTTTTTTACTACTTATTTAGCTTAATTCCATTTACTTTTTTGCCTGCTAATAAGAAGACTATGTCATCTTCATCAAACTAGATTTTATCACCTATTTTCTAAGCTTCTTATTTCAAAAGCATTTAATCAAGTTTTTTTTCTTCTTAGTTGACCATTAATGCTTCCATATTTTCAGCTTTTTCTTCTTATTCCTACTCATTGACATCTCCTAAAATATTTCCTACTTATATGTCAATTTAGTTACTTTGCCAGATACCGCAGTTTTCTTCACAGGTAGGAGGCAATTTACAGTAAAGAAGCTTTCCAGAAACAAGTTCCTTTAATATAAGTTTAGATGACTTAGCCATATCAGGAACACCACTGCCAGTGTAGTAACCCTTAGCAATTGCATATTTAGAAAGGAAGTAAGAACCATCAGGAACTTCAACATCAATTTTTATTTTATATAACTTTTCAAGAACTATTTTAGGAATACGAGAGCAGAGTAAATCAACAGGACTGAGATAGTCTTTAAGTTTATCAATAGGCATGACACCGTTGCAAACCATTTCAGCACGAGTAGAAGCTGCATTGGGGAAAACGAGACCAGGGCAATCGCACAATATCAAATCTTATTCTAAGAAGTGAGTTTGGAAATTCTTTGTTTTACCAGGAAGAGAGCCAACTCCGACAAGTTTTTTGTTACACAATGTGTTAATAACTGAAGATTTACCAACATTAGGATATCCGACCATACCAATTTATATAGCCATTTTTTATTTGTTAAATTTCATATTTTCAGCTTCATCTAACTAATCTAAAATTAGTTGATCTTCAAGATGCTCATTGCCTACAGATTCTTATTCTTTCTTTTGCTTGATTTGGTTCTTCTTTTGCTTTACTGATTAAACTAATTCTTTCAATGTGCGAAGCAGTGTTTCTCTGTTGCAGATATTTGGAGTATTCAAGTATTATTTAGTTTTTTCGTTATCTTGATTTTTCTTTTCTTCTTCTTCATCATCGTTTAAGCCTAAATCCTTAGTCAAGAAAATATTATTTTTGACTTCTTGAGCATGATTTGCATCAATCTTTTCTTATTCCATCTTAGCGCTAAAGAACATGTGCTAGACATTCTATTCATTTAAGTAGGTAGACCATTCCTTTCTAATATCATCTGATATCAAATCTGACTTGTTAACAAGCAAGAAATTTAGCTTATCAGCATTGACTTCTTTAGAGTAAACTTCGACATCAGGACATCTATTTATTTATATTCAAATAGATTTGAAATATGAAAAAGTAAGAGAAAAAAAGTAATGATTGAAAATAAATGTTCTATTAGGTTTAAAATTGTCTATTAAAATATTATAATTGATTTGAAAATTAGCAATTTATTATAGATAAAATTAAATCATGCCAGCAATGAATGTATCAATTTTTTTATTAGAAATTTAATGCTTCTAAAGAATTTATCAATAACATAATTTGTTCATTATATACCATCAATCCTTATTAATTATGGTTTATTTATATTAAGGCATCTTTTAAGATTTTTTGGAGTTTAAGACCCTCAACCAATTATAAAATCTGGGAGGGGAAACCTTAATTAGTGAGGATTAATGGTATATTAATTTATCAAGAAATTGAGATGATATAATTTCTATCTTTTATTTATCTTTCTATTCTGAATGAAAGTATTTCTACCTTCTATTTTTTGGTTCTACTATATGATGTGAAAATAATTATGATAAGTTAATGTCTATAACTTAAATGGCAGAATAGATTGAAAGAGTATCAAAATATATTTTATTTTATTTACTATTTCATTTATTATCATTTTTTTTTGAAATAGAACAATAAGTATAATTTGCTTAAAATACTTTTGTTAGAAAAGCAAGCAAACATAATTAATTGATTAATTAATTAATTAACTATTCTATTCTATTTTATATCATTTTTTAGCTTAAAAATATTTTATCTCAAAGCTGATAAATAAATGGATAAATATGTCTCTGATGATATACCAATGTACTTAAGGATAAAAAACGTGTTTGTCCTATTTATCTTCTCAAATACATTGTGGATAATATTTTTTAATCTAATTAATTATTGGCTTTTCTTATCAAAATCTAAAATAGAAATTTTAAAAAGATAATAAATATGTCTCTAAATTTAACTAAAGCCCACCATTGAGTAAATTAATTTTATCAAATATCAGACAGAATTAAGAGATTAAAGTTATTATCAATTTATTTATTGTTTTTTTTGGGTTCCATAAAATATTTATTTTCAAAAATTTGTGCATAGAAAACAAATTTATACCTAAAAAAGAGAGGATCACGGCCATCCACAATTTATACAATGATGTCTGATCTTTCAATAACACGCCAAAGCTATTTCCAAACTTCAATGTTCTTTTCATAAGGGGTAATCTAAATTGTATAATGAGCTTCTTCAATTTTAGCCAAAGCTTTTCTCCATTCTACAAAAGATTAATTTTCTAAAGCATTTAATTAATCTTTAGTCATTTCTTTTGTCCACTTAGGCTTTCTTGGAATACGTAAATTTTGAATATATTAGTTATTTTCAATGTTAAAGGCACCATCATTAATAGCTTCTTAATCTTTGATAGCATCAATAACAACTTCTCTATCATTCATGTCAGTTTTTAGCTTCATACCACGCAAGGCTTCAAAGTTTTTATTTTGTAATTAAACAACCTAAAGGAAATCATCCAAATTATCTTAGTCAATACAGGATTTTAAGTCCTTTCCTTTTTCTAACTAGGCTTGATTGTTTTGAGCATGAACAAAACGAGGAACATCTACAGTCTTAGGCTAAAAAGAGTGGTTTTTGTGCTCAATTGCTTTCATTAGGTTACGACCTAAAGTACCTTTTGCTTTATGAACTCTCGGCATTTCTACTTTCTTAACTATCCTTTATATCTATATATCTAATTTTTTCTACCTATCTTCTTTCTTTTAACTTTTGTTTTGTTTTTGTCACTTTTGATCTTTAGTCTGTTTATTTTTTCAATTATTTGGCTTATAACTCCATACAAAAATTCTATGCTAAATTTTTTTTAATAACCTTCTAACTAATTGCTATTAATTCAATCTCTACTAACTTTGCATCCACAATACTATCCTTATCTATATATTAATTCTTTCAATAAGTATTACAAGAATTATAATATGGAAAAAAAAAAATACAAAATTTTAATTTATTATAAATTTTCTCACTAAATTATTAATTTGTTTATATGATGTAAGAAATAAATTAATAGATATTTTCGATTCCACTTATTACCAGCTAATATTATTATAATTCATTATAACATGACTGTTCAATGTTTGTTGGCTCTACTTAATTAAATTGAGTATCTAAGTAGAAAAAAATTATTATTTATTTGAATTGATTAATTGATTAAATATTTTAATTATTATTAATCTTTATTTAGCAATTTTAAAATTCACATAAAAAATTCATAATTATTTTTAACTTTACTATTAAATTTGTTTAAATATTTGAACTATCTAAATTATAATACTCGAATTGACTAAGTTGAGTTACTGTTAGGAAATGAACCAATCTATAAGATTTTATTGTAATATTTTTCAATTAGTACTTTTTTAAATTGAATACATAAAAGTAAAATTTTTTAATCTTATTTTTGAATTAGTAAAAAATTAATTTTTTCTTTTCTTAAAAATAAATATGCTTAAGTTATTAGAATTTTTTTAATCAGAATAAATAATTATTAAAATGATAATTAAATATTCACTACCATGAAAATAATTTCTCAAGATAATTTAAAATGATAAAATTTCATAAAAAAATAAGTAAATCTAAGTTTAAAATAAATAAAAATAGTAATTAATTATAAATAGGCAATAAAAAACAAATAAATTTATTTTATAATTACTTTTTTTAAATTAAATAATATATTTTTAACTTGAATACTTTAATTAATAAAAATTAAATTTATTTAAATAGAATTAAAGTCTCTTTATAATTTTATTAAATATTAAATTAAATTTATTAAAAATCAAATATGTTTAAGTTAGCATAAAATATATTGATTAAATTACATTAAAAATATTTAAATTTATAATAGACAAAGCTTTTTTTATTAAAAATAGACAAACAAAGATAAAACATATTTTTTCTCATCTTAAATCGCATTACTACATAAATTAGTTAATAAAGAAGCATTTAAATCTTTTTACTTAAATAAAGAAGAATATTTTGCATTAAAAATAAAAAAATGGAGGAAACAAAATATAATTTAAATGATAGTTTAAATACTATTACCATTTTCTAGTTTGATTTAACCTTTTTAGAAATGATTTATCCTTTGACAAGATAGAGAATAGTTGAATTTGATTTAAGCAACAACAAATCTTCGGAAACGTTTGAATAATTATTTACATATATTGAACTTCACTCTAAAGAGTGGAGAGGCATAGTTTTGAATTTTAGGTATTAAAATAGATATCTTCCCTAAAAGACTTTAAAAAATCTTTCACAGGCTATGAAGTAGATGGAGAATTTAACTGTATTAAAATTTTCTTTTGGAGGATATTATGTAAGCAAAAACTATGCATAGGATAATCAAAAAGCACATCATGAGTGGGAAAAAACTACAACTGGGTTACAAAAAAATTATGACAGCTATAAAGAATTGCTAGAGGTCTTCTCATAAATTATTTCTAAGTCACCAGATCTTAAATCTTTCTGCTTAGATTTTTAAGGATTATCAAATGACTCTACTTTTGTGCTAAGAGAGCTTATAGCTATTAATCAAAGTTTGTACAAGTGCCTTCAATTAGAATAATATATCCTTAACTTCAATCACTGCAATATATATAATTATTAATAGATGTTAGCAGTGTTTTTAAATACATTTGAATTTCTATAAAATACTAAATTTCTGAGAAAATTTGTCCTAAATATTACTGGATGGGAGTTAGATGTGAGCTGCTTTCAGGTTTTAGGGAAAATTTTGGGTGAATACTTACCTCATGAAAAAAGTCAATTTTAAATATTTTAACTTGACCATTCCTCTAATTAAGAAGTTGATAACTAAAACTAAACTTAAATAAAAATTTTAACTTCTAGTTTTCAAAAGCTTTTAGAAGCAACTTAATCTACACTAAAGACATTTTATCTCTCATTGGTAAATTATTAATGTTAAAATTAAGAATTGATCATTTTCAAAGATATTTTCAAACATTTGTCAATATGTTAAAAACTATAAAAATTGAGTCTAAGAATTTAGGGTTGGAGATGCACAAGCGTATTGATTGAAGAAGAATTTTACAAGAATTTAAAATAATTAAAAGAAATGCGTTCTCTTAAACTATTTACTTTTTCTACATTCCAATCAAATCTGAGTCGCCAATCCCCTTTTTACAAGTATGGCTAATCAGTGATTTAATTGATAGGCCAAAGTAATTTGGTTCATAAATAAAATTTAGTGTAATAAAGAGTAATATAGAAAGAATTATCTTAGCTATATCGTTCTGATATACTCATACATCTATACAAAATATGCAATAATTAAGAATGTAATTTAGATACTCCTAATTTTAAGATAAGTTTATACAGCTGAAAATAAATTGTATTTTATGATATTATATAACTAAAAGTATAAATGTATAAAATATTTGCAATTTTTTTATTTATTAAATTCTTGTATTCGAATTAGTCAAAAATAAATTATTCTAATTTAATCTAAAATTATTTATTCGTAAAATAAAACAATTACATTCATATAAATTTTAAATAACAGATATGGTTTATAAAATGCTTAAAAAATACTCTAGAATATGTAGTTGTTTTTATTTATTATTTATATATTTAGTTTTATTTCTATTTATTTGTATTTGTTATTAATATCTTTATTTTTATGCTTTTTATCTCTTAATATTTATTTATTTATTTTTCTTGTCTTTTTATTTAAATTTATATCTTTCTTTCTTTCTTTCTTTTTAAAAATCTTTTTAAATATCTTTTTTATCTTTTTTCTTTTTAATCTTTCTTTAATGAATCTGAGCTTGCAATAAAAAAAAATGTTCTTAGGTCTTCTTCAGGTATCTGCAAGAGATAAGGGTACCTAGTGGAATAGGAGATTCTAGTATATAATATTTTTAGATAAGGAGTTCATTCAACTCTCAAGATTTAAGCACTTTTTTTGATTTTTCCACAAAATTTACATTTTGAATACAATAAGGATATCTAATATTTATCTAGATTGATTTTTGGAGAGCTTTTTTCATTTATTTATTGATTTAAAATCATGCACGTTGAAAATATTCTCCTGCTTGATAGCTCTATTGGTTTAAAAACTTAGGGATATTGGATATGGGAATAGCTATCAAAGATATTTTTAAAAATTTCAATCTTAAATGATAAATATTAGCATTTTATTGTTTTTTTATATTTACTTTTGTTTTTTTGAAAAAAATAAAAATTAAATTATTATATCTTTTTTCTTTTTCCCTCTTTTCTTTTTTTCAAATTAATTTTTCCCCTTTATTAAGTTTTTGAATATGTTCACAAGTTCTTATATTTTATTAAGCTAAAAACTCCCCACTATTAATTTTCTTATATATCAAAAAAATAAAATACTCTTCTTTATTTTATCTTTATAATTAGTTCAATTAAATAACAAGAAATTTAAATTTCCTCTCCTCCTTTTTTACTTTCAAGAAAATTTTTTATTTTTTTATTTTTTTAGAAAGAGCTTGATGCAATATAATTAATTAAAAAAAAATAAATAAGATAAAAGGATAAATACTTAAAGAAGTTAATAATGTGAGAACTTAATGACTTTTGAAAAAATATAAGTTTTTAAAACCCCTTATTTCCAAGAACGAGGATTCAATAAAAAAACCAAAACCATATACATATTTATTTAATCCTCATATATGTTCCAGGAACGATCTAACCTAAATTTTTAAACTACTCAAAAGTCAGTCAGAGCACTCTCCATTATTAATGTTCATTTGATTCAAAAAATAAGAATCATTTGTAATATCAAAAACAATCAAACAAATTAGCATCTTTTTTCTCTTTATACAAAGATTGCTTTAATAAAATTATATTAGAATCTCTTATTCCCTTAGGTAAAAGACACGACTGAAGAGAAGACTCACATTATTTTTAAAATCTCCCAACATAAGCTCTCAATTAATTTTAAAAAGAAAAAAGAAAGAAAGAATAAAATTTTGAAAAATTTAAAAAGAAAGAATGAAATATGAAAAACTAAAAAGAAAAAAATACAAAAAAATAATTAAAATAAGACATAAGAAAATTAAGACAGAAAAGATGAATTAAAAAATTAAAACAAAATAATTGAAAAAAACATAAAATTATTCGAAAAAAAAGAAAGCATCTGCTTACTTTATGCTTTAATTCTGTTTTTATTTTATATTTTTTTAAGTAAAATATTTTCTAATTATATGGAAAATAATTTGAAAAATTTAATAACTTTGTTAAATTGTTTTTTATTTTATTTTTCTATTTTAAAAAATTAATTTAATTTTTATTATGTAAAACTAAAAATACAACTTCTAAAGAAATAGCAAGTGATTTTTTACCTAAAATTTAGTTGAATTACTTTGAATAGAAAGCTATTTCATTTACAAGAAAATTTAAAAAGGATTGATTAAACGAAAATAACAAAGATAAGCATGGGGATAAGAACATCTAAATAGGTTGAAGTTGATGATTTTTTGGAGGTTTTTGGAGAAGAGAATAAAAGTAAATATAAAATCGCATAATTATTTTTTAGAATTGGACACAAAAGCTTAGATTTATATTGTTAATTCTTAAAATTAAAGGAAGACATGTTAGTAGAGCCGATTTTAAAATAATCAGATAAATATCAAATTAAACTGGAAATTCAAAATTGTTTTAGGTTGAGAGTCTGAAAGATCAATAGCAATATTTCATGAAATAGCTTAGTAAATTTGAGTAAAAAATATATTTTTTAAACAAATAATTTTTATCAATTTGATATAAATTATATGTTTCCATATTTCAAATAGAATTTATGACTAAAGAGAAATAGAAAGAGTTCATAGAGAATTATCTATATGCTCTCTATTGATGAATACGAAATATGTTGTAAATTTGCACTATGCTTTTTAAGATCTTAATTATCTCTACCTTATCCATGACTATAAAAATGGTCCTAATCTAACACAGCTACTAAAAAATATGAAAGTCAATAGGGTGCAAATCGAGGAAGCCCATGCGTGTATTAATTTTTTTATAATAAGATTGATAGTATTATAAATTTAATTACTTATTTAATTTTCACATTCAATTTTTGATTTTTAACAAACAAACAAATCAAATTATTTATTAATTTCAAATAATTTATTAAATAGAATTCATTTTTTCTTACTTGCTTCTTGGCTTAGAGTATTTGCATAAAAATAATATTGTAGTCCTTGGACTGAGGCCTGAAAACATTTTGTTTGATGACGAGGGCTATCCGTGTATCTCTGGGTTTTAGCATGCAATTATTGAAAATCAAAGAAACAATAATAGATAATATGATTTTATTTAAAGTCAAGAAGATGATGATATAATTAACGATGATTTAATAACGCCTTACCTCGCTCCAGAAGTCCTTTTGAAACAAAAACCTAGCTATGAAGCAGATTTTTATTCTTTGGGAATGATTTTATATGAAATTATAACAGGAGAAGTAAATTTATTTTCCAAAAGGGATTTTGTATCTAAATTAAAATTTTTTATTAAAATAAATAGAGAGCATTTTACAACAACTTGAATGGTGCTACTTTGAAAAAAGAAGAGGAGAGATAAGAATTAATTAAATTTATTTTGTAGCAAAAAACATAAATTTTGAAAGCAGAGTTACGTGAAGAACTAGATCCAACAAGTGCAGATCTTGTCAACAAATTAATTTTAAAAAAAGTATTTAAATTCGAATTAAAAAAATATTTCTGAATTATATTTTTTAATTTAAATAGCCTGAAAATAGAACTGGTTTCTATGGAATTGAAGATATTAAGAAGCATGGGTGGTTGAAAAACTTTCCTTGGTAGAAAATTTGTAATTTGTTAATTAAATTAAAAAAAAATAAATTAATTTTATAATTTCATTAATTAAAAGAGGACAGATTCATTAAAAAGTATAGTTTAAAAAAGTAAAATTCTGCGCTAGCTTAAAAGACAACCAATTAGAATGTTTCTGATTTGCTGAGCCAACAGAATTAAGATATAATTAACACAATTTAATTTTAAGAAAAATTTGAAAGATTCTATTATTCTTCTGATGACCCAAACGATTTTTACTATAAAAGCAGAATTGAACATGAGAAAATTATTAAAAAATGATATTAAAATTATTAAGTTTATTGTGAATGCATTGATTGATTTATTTATTTTTTTTTAATTAGATTCAAATATTTCGTTTGTTTTTCTTGTTTATTCCAAAAATCTTATGAAATTATTTAATTTTTTCTAACTGATTTTTTAATTGTTTTGAAAATTCAAATTTTATTCATAATTAATTAATTAAACAAAGTTTTCGTATTAATTTAATTAGAAGTTTAGGAGAGGAAGCCGTAGGCCCATAAAAAGAAAGAGATGGGCACGTCAGAAAAGTGATCGAAGGAAAAGAGTAGCTTGATGACGAGGCAATTTAGAAGGAAGGCTCAAATGTATGAAAAAGGTTTTGTAAAGAGATAAGTTTTTAATACCAGTGATTATTTTGTTACCTGAGATTAATAGATAATTAACATGCGATTCTATCCCATAAACAATTGTATCTTGATCCTATGGCCACTTGATTTCAGCTTTTGAATAGGAAATGGCTTTGCTGCTATTCAAGTGAGAATCCAACTTGTTAATTATCTACTCAGCCTAACAATTAATCTAACCCAAACCCACCCTATTAAAAAACGCCATTACCAAAAAATATCTCTACAAACCGATTGATTATCAATGCCAAGATCCTTCTGGAGTTTTCCTAAATCTTCGATTCTCTATCTATTATTGTCGAAATTAAAAAAAAAACTAGTCTAATATAATCTGCAATACTTTTTTTCTAGCCTAAAAATAAATTTATTTAAAATAATATTAAAAAAATTAAAAAAATCATATAAAAAATTAAAAAAAATAAACAAAAAATATAAAAATATTCATATAAACTAACTTTAATATATAAATTAACCAAACATAAAATACTTAAAACAATGATATAAACAAACTATTTAAAAAAATACTTAAAATTAATTAGGAAATCAACTAAATAAATAAAATAAACAAAAAGATTTGAAAAAATACAAATAAATATATATTACATCTAACTAAGTTAATAGTTTTAGTTTATACTGAGCATTTCGTTGCTAATTTTAATATTTTTTAGGTTATATTTTGAATTTGCATTTCCTTTTATATGCACTTATTTATGTATAAAATTCTTTAGCCATAATCTATATATCTAATTGAATTAATTAAAAAGAGAAGAGAAAGTTTCTAAATATAAAATACATTCAAATATTTTTTATAATTTTAGTTGTTAATTTTGAAAGATTTGTATAATTTTTGCTTGGAATAATCAAAGTATGTATTCATTCCTTAAGTAAGTTTTATTCATATTTTTATTAGTATTAAATTACAAAATAAAAGGTATTTGTTTTACTTTCTTCATTGTGATGCTTTAAAATATAAATTTGAGAAATAAAAAATGCTCAAGGTGGGGGTCGAACCCACGACCGTTGGCTCATAAGACCAACGCTCTAACCAACTGAGCTACCTGAGCTGCACGAAATAAATGTCAAAAATTATGAGAATATAAAATGGCTCTCTTTATATTTCAATGTCTTTCAGTGTTAATCTCTACTTAAAAAAGGTTATTGAAAAATATTAATATATAAAATATTTTTGGCGATAAAAATTAAATTTAATTCTTTTTTATCTTAGAAATAATCTTCATTTATTTTTATAATTAAATAAATTGTGTAAAAATAAAAAATGCTCAAGGTGGGGGTCGAACCCACGACCGTTGGCTCATAAGACCAACGCTCTAACCAACTGAGCTACCTGAGCTGCACAATTTTATTAACTTCAAAAATAGACAAGTTTATATTGAGTAATTGAAGAATCAAATAAAAGACTTAGAAAAAATTTCACTTAGATTTCTATCAAAAACAAAAACTAAAGAAATTTCATGAATTATTTAATTTTATTTTTTTTTCATGAATTTTTAATTTTTTAATCTGATTTCTAAATAATCTAAAATAATTTTATCCAATTAAATATGCTAAGATGAGATTCCTTTTAAAATTTTTATAATTTTATGTTTTAAAAAAGAATAAAAAAGAAATGCTCAAGGTGGGGGTCGAACCCACGACCGTTGGCTCATAAGACCAACGCTCTAACCAACTGAGCTACCTGAGCTTCCAATTATATTAAATACTAACAAGATTTTCAATTTATGCCAGAATTGTGAAACAAATCAAGTTAAACATTTATACTTTTTAAAAATCATTATTTTTTGAGTAAAAAAATAAATATCAACGAACTAATAATTATCATCTTATACTTTAAAATCAATTTTTTTAAATTAAATTTAATTATTTTGGATCAATTCAATTTAAAATAATTTATTTAAAATAAAATTAAAATAATTTTGTTTGTGAAATGAAAAAAATATATTTCATATTTAAAAAATGAAATTAATTTTGTAAGTTATTAGAAATTATTTAGCAATTTTTAGTCAAATTATTTTTATTAGTTTAAATTAAAATCAATTTTTGAAAGTAAATAAGAAAAATCAAAATATCAAAATTAAATTAATTAATTTATCAGATATTAAAAGACCCAATATAAATATATTAATTTATGAAAGCAATTATGAACATTATTATCAAATGAAAAAATGCCAAAATATTAAGAAATATCAATAAGTAAATAAATTTAAAAGTTATTCATATATTAAAAGATACAATATAAATATATTAATTTTTGAAGATAATTTACATTATTATTAAATTATTCAATAAATCTATAATAAATTTATTTTAATTTACAAAATTAAAAGAAGAGGTAGAGGTAACAAAATATAAAAAATAGATGCGGAAGAAATTTAATAAATAATAAATTTAATTAATATTATTGTTAATATTAATGAATAACATTAAAGAATACTACAATAATTAGTTAAGATAGACTTAAATATTTTTTTAATTGAAAATATTTGTATTGATTGGTTTTTTATTTTAATTCATAATTATTATTTTCAAATGCTGAAAATATATTATTGCTTTTGTTGATTGGTCAGTTATTATATTTATACAAGTAATCATTTCTTCTTAAAGAAATCCCAAACTTTACCACCAATATCCTAATATTTGACATTTACAAATCAATAGTTGTTTTTAAAAAATATTTTTTAATTTACTTTGACAATATGTTCAGCTTTATTAGCAACGTCTTCTACTTTTTTACCAACATCTTATACGTTCTTTTTAAATTCTTGAACTTTGTCATCTACTTCTTTCATGAACATCTCCTATAAAATATATAAATAATTTAATTAATTTGTTAATTATCCTAATACAAAATTGTAATTATGTTTTGTAAATTCGAAAATTAGAGAAATCTCCAAAATTTATTCAGAAATTCTTCTATCAACAAGAAATTTTTTTGGTAGAAAATTTAATTAATTAATTAATTTACATCTTTCTTTTTTTACCATTCTTCGTATTCTTTTTGTCTTCTTAATTCTTCCCTATATCTTTCTTTCATTTACTCTTCATAAAACCTCTATGCCCTTTAATCAAAAGCATCGTTTGCATCTTAGTATCTGTTGGTGTTTGAATAATTAGCCTGATTTGAGTATTGCTACCTTTACTAATTTTATTAAGCTTGCTATTACCTTTGATTATATTAGTAGTAATCGTGAGGATCATACCCATACTATTATTGTTATTATTATTATTATTACTAATTCGGATGGTATGCTCTTCCTCTACCATAAGAGTTAACAAATTCATTATATCTTTAATTCTTTCCAGCATACATATTTTAAACGAAATCTTTCATAGCTTCATTCATTCTAGCCTCTTCTTATCTTCTTTCTTATTCACGTTGCTAGTGATATTAATTCGTCTATTAGTAGTACTGTTAATATTGATTTTAAGCATTTTATTGTCTAGGATTTTGAGACTCCCAGTAATAATAAAAGTTCTAATTTTAATTTTATCTTTCATTACGACTTTATTAGGCATATTTGTTGAAAAAATCCTCAGTTTCTGTGTATGTAGTATTCTATGAGTTTGGTTTTCTCTATGAATAATTATTTGCCTAAGAAGAAAACCCAAAACCACTGTTTGAAGAAGATGAAGATCTCAATTAATCATACTCACTTCTTTGACTTTCATCACTTAATACTTAATATGCTTCGTTGATTTCTCTAAATTTGTCTCCTGCAGTAGGATTTTTATCTGGATGGTATTTTTTTGCAAGCTTAAAAAATGCTGATTTGATATCTGCTGACTTTGCATTCTAGCTAACCCCTAATATTTTGTAATAATCTTTTGAAGTTTCAACTCTAGAAAAGAAAGACTTGCCCAATCGACTTGAGCCAAAATTAGCTAGACTAAAGCCTCTTGGAACTTTTTTAAACACTATTTAAAGTCCAATCATGCATGAAATGTTTTTACTTAACAAAAATTATAAAAAAATATATATGCAATTTCAATGATTAGCTTCTTATTTATTATTTTTTATTAATCAAAAACCTAAATATATCTAGCAATATTAACAATTATCCTAATTTTTTTACAATAAATCAATTTACATCAATTACTTAAAATTTAAAATTATAAAAAACATAAGTCATTAATTAATCGACTTAATACTCCTAAATATTATGTATAAAAATAGTTCTTTTATTTTTCCAGAAATTTATCTCTTTTAAAAAAATATTTATTTTTATGCTAGTTTTATGAACATCGAAATCAACAAAAGACTAACACACTCTAATAAAGAAGTAAATTTTTATGCACAAAATCAAATAATATAATAAATTCAATTATTATATTGTATCTAATACATTTAAATAAGTGGATTGTCAATAATCTAAATACTTAACAAGAAATAATTATCTAAAATAAAATCACTCAAAAAAACTTAGAGTGTAAAATTTGTATTTTTTATTCTAAAAATATAAAAAATTTATTTTATCTTTTTATCTTTTGCATTTTAATTACTATAAATTGAACAAAATAATAACTAAAAATATTAGCAATTTATTTGTTTATTTTAATAAAATAAAGAAAAATGTAGATTTTTTATAAATAAAAAAACTAAACAAACTTATTTCAAAATATATTTATTTATTTATTCTTTATAAGAATATTTCTTTAAAAACAATTTTGAGATGATAAAATTTGAAAAAAGTCTAGGTTTTTTCTGACTAAAATTTTACAGCTTAATTTAAATATAAACTTTTTTGGCATTTTTAAATTGAAAAAATGAATAAAACTTGAAAATAAATCTTAAAATTAAAATGAAAAAGAAGAAATATCAATTAAACAATATTTGATAATATGTTTTGTTTATTTTAATAAAATAAAGTAAAATGCAATTTTTTATAAATATAAAAATATATTTAAACTAATTTCAATCAATATATTTTCTCTTAAGTGTTCTTCGAAAACTTATATCTGTTAGAAATTAATTCAAAGTTTGTGAAATCTGGATTTTCTTATTCAAAATGCTTCTATAAATTATTTTAATTTGTTTTATTATTGTTATTATTTTGAGTAAAGAACCTTCCATTCAAGATTTTTGTATTTTCCTATAATTAATTTTATTAACTGTCTACTGGTAAGTCTTTTCTGAATGGACTTACATCCCTAACTTTATTTAAAGTAAGCTTTTAATTAGATTTAGAAAGTATTATCTACTAAATACTTTATTTTTTAACTACTTTATTTTTAAAGTTCTTTTTTGATTCTTCTATCTTTTCTTATTTTTGCTAATTTTGTGTGATTTGATTTTTTGGTGTTTCTCCATTAAATAACTCCTTCAATTTATTGAATTTATTTGTGCAAACATTGTTTTTGCTTAACCTTTGCTCGTATCTATCTAAATTATATCTACGGCCATTAGGTGGGCTACTTCTTTAATAGTTTGCATTTTGATTTGGCATAAACAACTCTCCATATTAAGGATTCTGTTAATAGTGGTTATTAGACCCCTATTCACTGTTGTTTTAATTAATAAATTGCTAGTTTTGCAATATTGGTGTTTATATAACTGCATCAGGTTGGGTTGCAAAATATTGTTTCTACTATTGTAATTACTACTCCAACTATATTTATTACTGCTACTAAAGTTACAATTACTATTACTATTACTGTTATAATTACAATTATTATTATTACTGTAGTTGTTATTATGCTTGTTATATTTAAATTTATTGTTATTATTGAGAAAATGAAAGTTATTGCTAATTTTAATTTTGTTGTTTAATAGCTTAAAAGTATTATGGTTGCTGAGGTAGTTAAAGTACTGGTGGGGCATAATTTTAATACTAGCTTACCTAACCATATGGGGAATAAAGTGAAGAGTTATCGAATTAAGATTAACTATAAGCTAAGAATTTTGGAGAGAGGTATTGAGGTTTGTTCAGAGACTAATTTCTTTAAACTCCAAAAATAGGATCATATTAACTAAATTAGAAGTGGTTGGAGCGATTTGATGGAGATGCTGAATAAGAATTTTATTGTCTTAAACCTCTATTAGACAAAGGAGGTAGACTAAACCCGTAGTGATTCAAAGGTAAAGGTTATAGATGCTCTGTATTTTAAGAATAAACCAAATTGCTATTTGGAACGAATTATTATGGTATATTACTCTAATTTTACTTGCTTTTTTTAACATCTTCTTAGATTTCATCTTGAGTTTGTTTTGAGTTAACATTGATTTGCTTGGAGCGACCCATAGACTGAGGAGAAGACATCTCTTCTTCAATAGGATTAAAGTGAACTTATTTATTATTTTATGCTTCTTTTGTTGCCTTTTCATTCTCAATCTGCTGGTCAATTTTAATGATTTCTTGTTATATGTTTTTCATTTCTTCTTCTTATTCTTTGCTTTTCTATGCTAATTATTCAAGTTCCTTTTATTTTTACATCAGCTTCTCTTTTTTCAAGTTACTGCTTTTAATGAATTCAGATAATGAAATAGATAATCCTGGCATAACTCTTTAAAGAATGTTTCTTGCCTTCTTCCCTTGTTATCCTACTGGACCACCTATCTTATTTGAATCCAAAGAAGAAATCTCATCATTTTTAATATTATTTTATGTGCTATCTGGAGTTTAATTATCATCCTCATCTCTGAAGTGACTCATGGATTAGTGATTAGATGGCCTATTTTCTTTTATTCCATCTATACCTTAAACTTCATCGTAATTTAATCTAGTAAGCCTTTTTTTATTCATACGAGGCTATTAGGGGCTTTCAACATCTTAACTGCGATTACTTTTGTGGTATAAGTGCTTGTAATCGCTACGCTTTAATATATATTCAATAAATCCAGTTTTATGAACAGGACAATCTTATATATCAGTAGAAGTTTAATCCTATAAAATTCTCCCCTTTAATTATTAAAAATAAAAATTATTAAATTATTATTAACTTACTAATTTTATTTTAAATAGAAAGAATTAATCATTATTAAAAAACATTTTAGCAATTTGAGTGAAATTAAAAATAAAATAAATTAATTCATTCATACGAAATTTCTCTCTACTTCTTCGTGAAGCTCATCTAAAGATATTCTTTTCTTTTATTCTTCTGCTGTCATATTGATGAGTATACGAATTAACTTTTTATTTTTGTACTTTGTTTGCAAATATTGAATTCTTTCTATCAGCTTTTCGAAGTCTATGCCTATTTCTGGTCCATAGTATTTGTATATATCGCCCTGCTCCTCTAGATAAGCCATTTCAGTAATGAGAATACCCAAAGCAAAAATATCGCTGAGGTAAGGATTTGTTTCATCATGTAAAGCCTATTCCCTAATAGCCTTTTCAAAATGAAAATAAATTAATAAAAATTTTTAAAGATAAATAAAAATTATTTGAAATATATTTGTTTGAATAAATTCTTTTGAATTCTACATAAAATTTATTAAAAATCGTTTTTTTTTACATCCATTTAACCAGGACTGAGATACATGTCTTTCCTGAATTATTTAAAGGTGATTTCATCAAATATAGAGTTTTCTTTTACAATACCCTGCTCGCATATTTAGTAATACCCTTCTTGGCTGATAAAAATAGTAGATGAGGAGATATTTTTGCATACCTTATCAATTTCCCTTAAGGCTTGTAAGCCAGATGTGACACTATATATGAAACCCCAAAGCTCTAATTCTGAGTAAGGTCTTGGAGGTTCCATGTGCTTTCTTAAATTAATTTCATCAGAAAGTGTTCCCGCAGGATGTTCTACAAAGTAATTACGAAAATAAGAGTTGCCACATATATTATCTTATTAAAGATTGCTGTAATATCCTTTTATATGATAATGTAGTATTAATTTAGAGAAAGTTTTTAATGCTAAAATAGTTATTAAATTACCGCAGATTCTAAGTAGATTAACTGTTTTCTCATCTTTTATTCTCTCTTATAAATACTTTTCCTGAACTGGATTAAAATGATCTATTTCGTTTTCTTTTTTAATCTATGCTATAACTTTTGTTCCTTCCCTTTCATGATAGAGAGTAACATTCTAAAAAAACACATCTGAGTACTCAAATAAGTTTCTTACTTCGTAGTTGTATTTATTTTAGAATTATTTAAAATACTCTTCACCCTTATTTTAGCTTTCCGTGTTTCCCATTCAATAAACAGAGCTTTATTTGATTCTTTAGTCTATTTTTATAAATATTTTTTCTGTCTTTTAATGTGATTGTGCTTGTATCCAACAATAGTTCAAAAATGTTTTTTAAAGTTCAGTCAAATCTATCTTTTAATTTGGTGAATCTTCTTATTACCTAATTTTTTTATAGTTTATGGGTGATCTTATTTTGAAGATAGATCTAATATTTTGGTTTTTGTATGTACTTTTATAAAAATAAATTCTTTATGCAGTCAGTTAAGATGAAAAAATTATTTAGCTCCCTTTTTATCTAACAATTTATTTTGTATTTGATTTATAATTAAGTTAAAACAATCTAATGCAAAATGCAAATTAATTTTCTTCATAAATTTTTAAAAAAAGTCAGTGACAATGCTCGAATGTATAAATTATTTAATACTATTTTTATTGAAAAACTCAAAACAAATAAAATAGCTATATATTTCTATCTATAATCTACTTATTAAATTGAATGAAATCTTTTTAAATTTTTATAAAATTAAAATCCTTCACAAATACTGAAACATTCTTCTTTATAGACCCATAAACTTTACCATATAAGTTCAGTTTTACTAATAGCTTTTAATACCTCTCTATTTTAAGAGCTCAACATTTATTTATTCCTAATTCAATTCATTTAGAATTAGGTTTGATTCTGTTGATCTTAAAATAAAAGGTTAATTAGTTGGTCGGTTAGCTTTAATGCTGATTTGACCTAGTTAGTTTTCCAACATGCTTTTTATAACTTTGAGATCCTAATCTGAATTAAATAAGCAAGTCTCTGTTTTTCTTAAATAAATTATTATAAATTAATTATTCAAGTTAATAATCTAATAATTAATTGTTATTTTCTAAAAAAAGTATTTGATGAGCATGAATCAATTTTATCTTACAATTAAAGATCTATTTTAAAAATGTTTCATTTTGAAACAAACACTTCCTTTTTTTACAAAATTAAAAAACTAATTCATATTCCATAGTATTTTTAATATTAATGTTAAAAGATTGAGAAATAAAATTAAATTAATTGTGTTAAAAATAATTTTCTATTTAAGTTATTAAAAAAAATGATTAAATTAGCATTTTTAAATTAATTATATTGTATATTATATAAAGCATTTATTTTATCATAAATCCTCATTAATCCTTACCAAATTTATTTTCTCCATTTTCTAAAATTAAAAATGAATTAACCTTCAACTTTTAAACAAGGATTACTAATTAAATTAACTATAAACAATGAAAAACTAAGATAATTAATTAATTTAAATTGATTTGATATAAAAATTATAAATTAGATACATTTTTTCATCTAATCAGGTATTTTTTAAACAAATTTAGCAAACAATAGAGTTATTATACTAAAAAAAATTTTTAAAACTTAATGTTGTAATATGGAATAATTTTAAATAAGCAGTAATGAAATATTTTTTTTATTGATAAAATAGATTTTAAAAGTTAAAAGAAAGTTATTAGATAAATAGATAGATAGTTAGATAGCAAATAAAAAAATTAAGATTTTAAAGATATTTTTGAAAATAATATGTGATTTTTATTAAAATAGCGAATTTAATTTGTGCATAATAACTATCAATATATTTATCTAGAAATCTATTTGAATATTCTATAGGTAGAAGACGAAAAAAAAACAAAAGGAATATTTCTAAAATATCTGATTAGCAAAATGTTTAGCAAGTTACTCTTAAATCAATACAAGAATCTAGCTCTTTTCAAGACAAAAATACCCTAACTTTACTAAAAGAGCTGTTTTAGATTTTGCACAACTCATAAATAGCAAAGAAAAATAGAAAAAGAAAAGGAAGAATAATTAGTTTAGCAAATTTATGAATTGGAAACTGTTGCCTAACAAGACCAATATACCGAAAAGGAATTACAAAACATTATTTCAGAAAGAAAAGTTTAATTAGAAAGCATATTAAATGAAAAGAAATTACCTATTGAAGCTATGCTTTTAGGTCTCACTTTGACCCTTCCAGTTTTGGGAGGATCAAGCTATTTATATTATTAATTAGCTTAGGGTATACCTTCTGAATCTTTTATTCCTCTTTTAAATTCAGTGACAAAATACATTGGCATCCATTAATGCTTCTAAGTAATCCATTATATTTTTGAATTAGCATTTTTACTTGAATTAAATTTATCACTTCAAATAAAAGAAATAAATTTAAGTTAGATCCTTTTTTAAATCTTTATTTTTATTATCATTAGAGTGGTATTCACTGGGGTTTAGCAGTTTCCTAACATGATTTATAGACTGACTCAATCAATTCGAGCTCTGAAGCAAGAAGACTTTTTATTTTATGTAAATGAAGCTATATTAAAACAAAATAAAATAATTTTCATTAATAATTCTAATTTATTTAGAATCAATTTATTATTAATTTTAATAGTAGTCGAAAAATCACTACCTTTTAATTCTATGATAATTGAATTCTATCTTTATTAGGGAAAAAAAACATTTTAAAATTTAGTTCATAATATAATACATTATACTAAGCTATGGATTTCGAAAATCCAAACAGTATTTAGAAATATAGATATTTATAATTATTTTAGTTTTATCAAATTTTAAAATAATTTAATTTTTAATAGCTTCTATTCCTGCAATTGGTGCTTTGGTTAACACATTATCATTAGTATATGGTGTTCCTACAGAAGGTTTATAAAATTTAGCCCCTATTTCTGTAATGGCTGGGTTATAGATATGTAAGATTACAATATGCTTTTCATTTATTTAAGATTTAATTTAAAATAGTTATTTTAGGACTTGATCTTAAAGTAGTTAATAGTAGATATGCCCCTCTTTGGTACATGAATTTTAAATACATAATTGCTTTATTATGCTTTTTATCATATGGTTTATACGCTGCTATGTTCTTAAACTACGGAGATAAAGTTAAACAGTTAAAATTATCCACAAATGATCCTTACAGAAAATATATACCAACTAATGCAGAATTATTAAAATAAAAGGAACCAGAATAATAAAAATAATGAATGATTTTCTAACTTTTTAATACATTTTAACAAATTGATTTGTAGTTAATTTATTATCTAATATCTTCAATTATTTATACTCTTCATTTGTAAAATAAATATCAGATTACAAAATATTTGTTAAATAAATTCATATCAAAATATTTTTATATTAAATTTGAACAAACATATTAACGACTATTATATTAATCTAATTTATTTTGATAAAAAATGTCAAACTATGATTACATTTTCATATCCAATTATTAATAAAATCGAAGTACAAATTTAATTTTTATTTATTTCATTTTAAGATTAAAAGAAACATATTAATAAAGATAAAATAAGCTTTTTTTAAATTTATTAATAGGAATATGATTTATTTTAAAATGTTTTTGTTTACTTGAATTTAACATAAAAGAACTAAATATTTTAGCGTTTATTTTGAGCTATTATTCTATTTTCAAATGTATTTATTTTTATGAGAAAGATTTATTAAACAAAAAATTCAAAAATTTAATAAAAAACAAGGAATAAATTTTAATAAAAAATACATAATTTTATTGCATAAGAATCTTAGTTGCAGAAAAAAACAAGAAACTATCTTCTTTATATAAATATTTAATTTTTCATTTGATAACTTAGTTATTTTAGTAAAAAAGCAAGTTAAATATTCAGCAGTTTCTTTCAATTATTTGCTTGCTTTTTAACAAACATATAATTTATTTAACAAATTGAAATATAAAATAAAATATTAAAGCTTAGAATATTAAAAATAAATCGAGTAAATTTGTTGCTTTTTAAGTAATAGTTTATATTTAAATAATAAGATATATTTAACATAAGATACCCATTTTTATGAAACCAATCTTTTTTGCACAAAATCAAAAAATCATCAAATACCAAATAATTCTTAATCCCAAATAAAAGATTTATAATCAATAAACAAAATTTAGTCAAAAAGATATTTTTACACTTTATAATTAATTGTAAAAATTTGTTTCTTTCTAAAAAAGCTAGATGGAAGAAAATTTATTTTAAAAATCCAAAATTTAAAGAAAAACAAATTAAAATTATTATTTAAATATATGCAAATCATTAAAAAATTTTCGGTTAAATTAAAAAGTTAATAAAATATTTGTAAATAAAACATACCTTTATTATTTTACTAAAATTTTTTGCGCTCTAATTAAAAGAATCAAAAGCATATTTGAAATGATAATGGATTGATATTTTAATTAAACTATATTTAATTTCAAGCTTGTTAAATAAGATAGTGAAAGTTTTTAGAAAAAAGAGGTGTAATTTTATTTATTTAAAACACATATAGTTTATTGAGTTTAATTAATTTACTCTAATTTCTTTATTAGAATTTTAAATTACTAAAGGAAAAAATGAGCTAACTAGATTAATATTTGAATTTAAATTGTTATTATTATTTAATTACCAAATTTTTATTTTTTCTGAATAGAAATAGATATTTTTATTGTAAAAATGCCAAGCATAAAAATAACTTTTATTTAATGAAAACGAAAAATCAGATTGAATTCTTTTTTAGCACAGGTTTTTCAAGGATTAATTGCGATGATTAAAAAATATTCTTTTTTAATTTTCCTCATAAATTTGATTTTTGGATGGTTTTGAATTCGCTTACAATCATTTTTAGTGCAAATGTATTTTCATCCAAAATGAATTTTTGAAAGTAAATTTATTATCTTAATATTTGATATTCATAAACAAAAAGATAGATAGATTGATAGATCTTCAATAATTATTGAATAGCACTTACTAATTTTATGTAAAACAATATTTAAAAAATACACTCAGCCTAAAATCAAACATAAAAAAAATTATTATAGAAATAACTTGCCTATTAACTTAAATTTTTTTAGAAAAAATGAACCATCATAATGAACTTTATACTTAATGAAACACATAAGATGGAAAGGTGGGTTGCAAATACTTATCTATTTAATAGTGGTCCTTAACTTTATTGATGTTTTTATGGTTTTTTTTAAAGTATTTTTCATAAATTAACAATAGATATCGATCGATCAATTTATCAATCATTAACTCCAGCTAAAAAATTTCATAAATAAATTTATGAATTTTTATTTTATGTTGGCTTTAGAAAAATCAAATTTTTTTGAATTCATTTTATGTTTTTTAGATAAATGAAGTAATAATAAATTGTACATTTATATAATATATAAATAAAGTAGTGATATGCAAAATAAAATAATAATAATAAGTTAAGATAGGATGAATATAAAATACGTATACATTTTTGAAGTCAAAGGTCCACCTCTATCTAGTTAGATATTCCTTTTTTAAAGGCAGAAATTTTAATTTTTAGCTTTGTATTTTTTGTTAACTTTAAATACTTTTTTAAGAAATTTATGGAATTTAATATATTGTTTAAAATGGTAGTATGAGAAACCAATGAGCAAAAAAAAAAATAAACATACGAGAACTCACAATTTTCTCTCAAATGGTTATTATCAAATATAATTTAAATAAATTGTAGAGTTTTTGCTCATTTAAAGTAAAGAGGTTTGTAGATTTTTTTTGAATGGTTATTTAGTAGTAATTTGTTCGATTATTCATTATTAAACGAGAATGCAATGGTTATCTTATTTTATTAATGGCAGTCTGTCTGAGAAAGTGTTAAAAATAGAAATCAATAATTATTTATTTTAAAAAAAAGCTGGGCAGTTTTTGATAAGTAAAAAATATTCTTATTTAAGAGGACAGCTTTCCGCCTTTTAGATGGTTAAGGGAATTTCTGAAGCTTTTATGGGGAATTAATTAAGAATAAATCGATATTGTATTTTCTTTTAACTATAATTATATATGAAGATGGATTATTATTTTTAATAGATGGTTTTGTTTTATTATAAATGCTTTGACTCAATTTAAAATGAGATTAATTATGTATAATATAGGTATAGGTCATTGGTGTTGATAGCATGCGATAAATAAACTTTTATTTTGAGATTGTTGAAATAACTAAATGGTGCTTAAACTAAGACAGTGAATGAAGATAATGAAAAGTATTTTAGGAAGGAAGAGAAGAGACTGATTTGGATAGATTTAGAGGTAGAATGAACTAATAATTAAATTCTCAAGAATTTTTTATGAATTTTTTTGGGCAATTTAATGAGAAATAATAAAGAATAAGAGAGGCGTCCAAATAAATTGATAATTAAAATCTTATCAAGCTAAATCAAAGCAGTAAATTATTGAAAAATTCAATAAGAAATACTACTTATTTATTTATGTATTTCTTTTTTTTTTTTTGATACCAAGATTCTTTGAAAACTTGTTTGTATTATTTATTTGTTTGCTTAGTTATTATTAGTGATTAATCAATCAATCAACCGATCAATCGATTAAATAATTGTATGAATGAATCAATGATCAAGCAAAAAGATTTTGCCTCGCTTAATTTTTTATCAAAATTTTGTTTGATTTTAATTAAAGGGTATAAAATACTCAATCAAAGCAGCATTTATTTATTCATGATATTTATTACATCGATATTTTTTATCGAACTTATTGATTACTCTTTGGTATTTCATATCTAAAATAAAATTCTAAATATAAACGGCTCTTTCATTCATTTTATTACCAAGGTATCCAAATCCCTCCTACCTTTCTTTCTGTCTGTCTGTCTTTTTCTCATTCTTCATGTCAAATTTTATGTTTTCAATTCTTTTCGTCAATTTTGTTGAATGGTAGAGTTACTGTCATTATTGATAGCCTTTTATTTTATGTCAAACGATTGCCAGTACTTGGTTGCATAACTTAGCTTTATCTTCTTTTAAAAAGACTTGAGCCGAATTTTTCCACACCCTCTATAATTTTCATGCTCTGGCTCTCTTGAGAGGAAGATATGGATGAAATTTTACTCAATAAATCATTTTAGTTAAGGCCGTTTGGAGGAGGAATAGAAGAAGTAGAAGAAGCTTAAGAAAATTCCATAGTGGGTATTTCATTTTGTTAAATACTCTCTTGCATTCTAAGCTACATTGGCAAACTATTGATTAGCAAAGTATTGCGTCTCTTTTCAAAATACAATTCCATCTTCTCTTCAGGCTTAGACATCTTAGGAATGTTCTCTTCTATCCAATTAAAAATACGATTTTCGAATTCCTCACAGCAGAAGATTGCTCCGTTTTCTTTGCAACACACTCCTGTGCTGATGTTTGTCAAACTCTCAGTTGTGTTATCTTCTGAATTATAAACGCTTTGAGCATTATTCAAAACATTGTTTATTTCGTTTGGAAAATCTGAACTACCCAATATGGTATTTGGATTATTTGAGGATGTAAATTTTGCGTAGGTTTCATCGGTAGGAGTATTATGAGTTGTAGAAATTTTTTCATTAATGTCATCTAAAGTAAAACTAGATTAAAATTCGCAGTCAATATTCTTGCATATATTATATAGGTTTTCTTCTGCTAGATTAGCTTTAGCGTTTATATGAGGAAGGTGTTTTAAATGGCACATACTAAGATGAGAAGATGCCTTCAAAACCAAAGGGGAGCACCTGTAGTGTCTTTCGCTGTTATTATCATCGTATTCGGAGTATTTTTCTGCCAACTTAGGAGGAGTAGAAGGTAATTAATCACAAACAGAGGTTTCCATTTTGTGCATTTAATTAGATAAATAAGGATTTATAATATATATGTAAATTATAAGTAGATTAAAGTTATGTAGGGCTTTTTTTGCCTTTGTTTTGTAAATTACAGTAATTAATTTTTTTTTTTTCAAAAAATTAATTGATTATCTTTTGTGTTAATGCTTCTCCTTTTTAATTTTTGATTCATTTCAAAGCTTTTGTTTCTTAATTCTTCTTTTCAAGAAAATATATTCTGAAAAATCTTGAGATTGTGCCTTAAAAAAGGAATTCGATGCTTTTTTTGATAAATATACAAAATAAAAATTAGAAATTGTTGATAATAAATCTAAGGCTTTGGTTGATTATTTTACATTACAATCAATAAATTTTTAACTCAATTACCTTGTTTTCTTTTTTAAACTTGCTTTAAAACAATCATCCTGAATTCGTTTTGCAATCACTTTTAATTTGCCTTCCAAATAGATCATTTTAATTCGTTGTTTTACCTACATACTGAATATTAAAATTAGCTTTACCTCCCCTAATTCTTGTTTTAAAATTTATTCGTTCTCTTTTATCATCTACAACACTTCTACCTGTACTCTTGAAACACCTTAGCTAAATATACATTGGAAGAGCTTATTATATAGTGTAATAGACAGGCTTACTTTCAAATTTTAGTGTTTGATTTCAAAAATCACAAACAGATTATTACAAATTCCTACTAAGAGATAATAAATATTTTTTACCAGACATTCAAACAATAGATTATTCTTGATTACCATAAATAAAAAAGGTCTTATCAAAGATCCATTAAAATTAAAAAAGCTATTTATTGTTGGATTATATGACTCTTAATAAAAAAAAATACTTTCAATTATTATTCAGAGGCTGACTTCTAATTTTTTCCTTTTGAATTGCTTTAAAGACTTACTCATTTACAAGATTAAACATGCTATAAAACCTTCTATAAAACTTGACTTTTAAATTCACGACAAGCTAAATATTTACTCTTTTAAGACATCCCATTATGCTCGTATGGTGGGGGATTTTATCCTTCAACCTAATTAACTAAAATCAAAAGCTATGTCTGCAAATTTTTTATAAAAATTTATAATCGATAAACTAGTTTTACTGTTTAATAAATTATTGAGCACTTTAATAAGCAAACATGCTTAAATGGTGCAGGAATGGAATAAGCTGTGAAAATACAATGAACTGAATATTTATCACAGTAAGAAATATTACTTAAATATTTAGTTAATTAAAAATTATGTAACCAGATTCCCTTTGATAAGATACAAGATTTTTTAATTTGATTTAATCCGTCACAGTATTAGTCTAAAGCTAAATTTTAGCATGTAATCTCAGTTTTTATAAATACTTACTTAATGCCCTCTCATTTTTTAACAAAATTTGTTCAAACAAATCAAAAAATATCAATTTTAAAAGTTGTAGAAATTCATTAAAAAGTATATAAGTAAAATTAATATTTAACGCATAAGAAAAACCATAAAAAATAAATGAATTATTTTTAAATTTTGCTTTTATTTCATTTTTAATATTTCAATTAAAATAATTTGCATTAAAAAAAATTACTTTTAATATATTGGGTTTTTAAATTGTAAATATTTTATTTCAAGTAAAAACTCAATTTAAGATTTAATAAAACTAAAACCGAATAATTTTAACTTCTTCCTCTTAAAATAGAAAAAGTGGAAAATTGTAATATTTTTGAGAAAATAAAAGTTTTTATTTATGAATTTGGATAGTTAGCTAAATACGCAGAGTAAACATATGCAAAATTCCTCAAAATTCAGATCAATAACAGCATTTAAAATATTTAGGAGTAATAGTATTATTTTTGTAATTTTAGTATTTAAACTTTTTAAGCTGTATCTTGGAAAATGATAAAAGATACAAAATAAATTAGATAGAAGTCGAATTAAATAAATAAAATTTACAATTTTCAAATTATTTGAATAAATAAATATAATAGACAGGATTTACTTTATTTAAAATTGATTTGTATTGATTTTGAAATTTTTTAATTTTGATAGGGTTTGTTTTGGATTTAGATTTGTTTACAATTTTTGTTGATTTTCTAATCTAAAATAATTAAGTGAAATAGATTTTTGATAACCCATAAGATTACTACAAAATAAATACAATTATACTCTAACAATTAAATAATTTTTCAACACTAAATTAATTAATTTTGTCCCCAAAAACTTCTAAGATTTAATCAAAATTAAATGTAAAATGCATAAATACAACAAATAGACAGAATGACAGACTTAATTAATGATTATAATAAGTTATTTTTCATTTAAATATTTATATTTCTGTTTTTTCAATGTTATAATATTTTTTTTGTTTATTTTAATTTATTATTTAGTACATTTTTAAAATGAGGAATGCTCCTTTTATCCCTTAGAATGCTTTACAAATAAAGCTTTTCAAAAGAAATTAGTTAGATACAATTCATATATAGCAGTAGCAGAATTTATTTTTTTTTTCATTACATTTATTATAACTTCTAGTAGATGTTATCTTTTAATTTATTTTCCTTTTTACCCTTTGCAATATTGCTTTTTTTAATTTCTTCTTATTCTTCTTCAGATATTTTTTTTCCGTAATATTCAGTGATGTCGTTTATACCAAGGATCATGCATGTTCTTAATTCTAATTCTACTATATTCTATAAAAAATATTTTTAATTTTATAAATCTAGGAACCAAAATTGAATTTTTATAGAAGATAAAATTATTTTTACAGCTTTGCCACTAAATTCGTCGTAATTGATTTCTTTCCAGTTTCCAACCCCTATAAAATATTAAAAATAGAGTTTTGTGATTTTAAAAATAACAATTGAATTTTTCAATCAAGCAAATTCTAATTCCAGCAAAATTATTAAAGCAAAGAATGAGTTACCAAATAATTCAATACCCCTTTGGAGTGCTTTTTAGTTAAGAGGAGTCCAATATTAACCCTTCTTAGTTAAGAAATATGAATGATTTAATGCTCCATCTTCCAAACAAATATCTTAGTTGGATAAATCCTTTCTCATATTTTTAGCATATTAAGTAAAATCTAAGGGTTGATTTTATGATTTTCCGTTTTTCTTCATTTTTATTTTCCTATAATATTCAGATAAACTCTTTTTTTGAACTAGCTTTAGTGTTAGTTTGCTTTTTTTATTTTAGAAAATGATTCCTACTTATTGAATATTTTGTTTTAAATAATTATAATGATTAATATTAATTTGTATTTTTTTATGTTTAAATGCCTCTTTTTTTTCGCGGTTTTTTCTTTAATTTCTTATTAATTTATTTATTTTTTTCGCGAACTTTAATAAATAGTTAAATATCAAATGAAATAATAAATGATAAAAATAGAATATTAGAAATAAATTGAAATTTAAAGGAATTAGCTGCTTACAAAATTTATATAAAAGTCTAAATAAAATACATTTTTATATATATTAACATGGTTTTTTAATTTGATGAGCTGTATTTATATAGTTTATTTTTACATTCAATTAATAACTCTACTTTCTTTTAATAGCAATAACTCCCATTTAATTCATTGATCAGTAAATAAAGAACTTAATTTGTCGCTTTATGATAGATGAATTAACTTTGAATATGTATCAAAATCTACAGATTTATAAAATTATTTTGTTAATTTTAAATATTGTAAAAGTAAGATAAAAAGTAAAAATCATGGAAGGTGCAATAATTATTTACCAAAAGGATCTTTTTATTCAAATTCAGTTAATTCTTCACAACTGACTATATTTTAATTCAAAACAACTCCTCTAATTTCAACAAATTTGGTGGTATTATTTAAATCAACTCTTCTATAGTTATCTATGACTACATGCTCTTTTAAAATTATATTTTTTACTTCTCATAAAAATTTTAAGTTAATAAAATTACAATTTAATCCAGTTGGACCAAATTCAATGACTAAAGAGTCATTTTGATCTTCGTTGCATACATTTCCAACAACTGTTACTTTTTTACCTCTAAATTAGGCCATTTATTCGAATAAAATTCTAGGATACATCACCTATTCTTGTTCAGCGTCCATCTTCTTGTATTAATTGGTCTTTTATTATAATTATAGCTAACTTTAAGTTGAAATTTTTTTTTCTATTTAATAGATTTGAAATATTTATTTTTTAATTTCTCTTAATCATCAGTTGAAGATTCTTTATATATCTATCTATGTATGTCTATCTATTAATAATATCAAATATTAATATTTAAGCCGCGAAATCATTATAAGATTTCATCGAAAAATCAATCTTAATAATCCTAAATCTATTACGATTAATAAATAGTAGGCGGGACTATTATACATTTAAAAATATTTTTATTTTAGACATAAAAAAATAAAAGTATTTTAACTCTTTTTTAGAAAATATTTTTCATGTTCTTATAATAAAAAAATATTTTTTAGATTTTTTTAATAATTTTATACTCAAGAAATTGAAGATTTTATGAAGTTAGCTTACAAAGTAAGTAGTAAAATATATAAAATATATTTAATTTGGATTACAATAAAATTAGATATTTTTAAGAATAAAGAATCTTGAGATATATTACTTTTATTTTATATAAATTTATTTATTTTGTTATTGAAAATGAGATATTTTTTATTTTAATTATTTTATTTACTTATTTTAATTTTTCCGTTTCTAATTTTAGAATATTTATTTATTTGATGTCATTAAAAGATTGTTTTTATTACACTCTGATTCAAGCTTTTTTAGATTTATTTTGGTGGAGAAACGGTGTCTTCCGTAAATTTAGTATTTGATATTATAATACTTTTATTAGTAATTGGTGGCAATTATTTTGCAAATTGTACATTTTTTGTAGAATTATATTGTTTGGTTTATTAATTTTTAATAATACTATTTTGTTAGGTATCTATTTGTAGATTTTTATTAGCTTAAATTAGATTAAGACAGAATTGCTTTCCACTATTCGATCTCTTTTATGAGCTTGTTGAAATATTAACTCGATTCTGTCCTATCTTTTGAGCTTAATTATTTGAACTCTTAGTATTCTCTGTAAGGTCTACACTACTTACTTAAAATTTAGCATTTATTATCCTTCTTCTAGGACTAATTAATTTATTTTGAATATTACTTTTATTTAAATTTGATGAATCAGATTCTTTAGCAGTCTCCTTAGATATCTTAAAAATCGCTGTTTAAGGCTTTTTTTAATTAATTTACTGATTCTTTGTTTTTATTTAAATCTATCTATAGCTGCTTATAGTAGTTTATATCTCTTAATCTAAATTATTTTGAGAAGAAAATTTCTTTTCAATCCCATTTAATATATCTACACTGCTTAACTTACTTACGCCAACTATAACTTTTTAGCTTTAAGTTTTTAAATGAAGGAGGTCTTCCATATTCTCTTAGAATGAATCAGATAGCATTTATATGTCGTTTGCTTTATAATTATCATTTTTTTCAAAACTTAAGTTGTTGTCTTCCTCTATGTAAATATCTTCTTAGTCATTTTTTTATTCTAAATCGTCACAGCTAATTATTTAAATTGAACTTGAGTTGCTCTGAACATCATAGCGATCTGTTTCTCTTTGATACAATTAGCCTATGTTGGCTCTAATATTATATTAAGAATTATTAATAACATTCTAAGAGTTATTAATAGCATTTTAAGAGTTATTTATAGCGTTCTAAGAGTTATTTATAGCATTCTAAGAATTGTTTATATCAAGCTTTAATTTGTTTATATTATTATTATTATTATCATCATTAATTAAGGCAATGCTGGATACATTTTTTCTATTATTCTAGATTGCAAATTGTGAAGAGACAGGACCACTTTTGCATATGCTCTTATTCCTTTGCTAATCTTAATTTAACTAATTTTATGAGTTACATTTTTGATGAAAAGGTTGAGGAGGTGGAATTTTGTTCTAAGTAATACCTCTTATGTTAAATTAAGACTTATTTAGAGAATGTTCAGTCTAAAGTGTAGTTTTAGGTCTGTATCTTAAATTAAAATCAGAAATTAATTAAGATTTACTGCTTGGATCTTCTTCTTTATTTTACTGTAGCAATTTAGTAAATTCATCTTAGTACTACTACTAAATTTTTATTTTACGATTTCTTTGTGCTGACATAAGTCTCTGATTCGCACAATTATTCTCAGTCTAAAGTGTTTGTGTGCAATCTTAAAGTATTTATTAATAAGCCCACTCTGCTAATTTCTAGCTATCTACCCATCTTTTTTCAGAATCTTTACACTTTAATACAATGACTTGAATGTCGATTCCATTTTTCTAATAGTGAGTAGCTAAGCATGGACCAGCGTTTGGGGTATTTCCTGTTTTAATTCCAATAAAATGTGAATTACGCAAAAGTAGTTTATTAGTATTTTCCCATTAAGCATTTCTCATAGTTTACACAGAAAGAGTCTTATTCTAATTTGTAGGAGTTTGAAGAGAATTTTTTTTATTTTATATTAAGTCCTTATTCAAGAGTATTTTACAAGAATACAATGGAGTTTTCACCACTTATCTAAACAAAGCGAAGGAAGACATAGCTGCATAGCAAAGTCTTCCATAATCTATTGCAGAGCTCTTGTTACCTTTATCGCTTAATCCATGTGGATTTGAGTATTAAGTGTTACGCATTTATAGTTTTTAAGCCTCTTAGTTCATTATCTTTACAAAGAATTTCATATTCTCTTAAACATCACCCTATTACTAATGAAATTTATAATCTTCATTACTGTTTTTGTTTTAATTACTTGGATTTTCACTTTAAGTGTTGTTCAATATTTGTTATTTTTATTACTCTAGGTTAATATGCATTAAATCTGCTTACTATGACAATTAATCAAATTGAATTTATTGAATTTAATTGCTTTCCTTTATTTTAACTCCCTATGAATATGTTGAACTCCTGCGTTCGTCTTCTCCACTATCCTTAGAATCTTACTCTTAAGCATCAGTAGAAATTTCAGATTCTCTAGACTCATGCTTCTAGCTGCTTTCTTATTGGTTAATTTCAATTAATCCATACAATTTTATCAATATTTATGCTGCTTATTAATCTAAAAAGGCTGAAGAAGAATTAGCTCTTCTACGTTCAAGTTATCCAAAAAAATTTGCTAAAGTGCAAGCAGCATCATTCCCAGAAGGAAGCATTAGAGCATAAAACAAGTCACAGAGTTTAATATATTCACCATTTCGAAGACACGCTGATGTGCCGCAAATAAATGCTGCAGCTTTTGGAACTCTGACATAAACACTTTGTGGGTCGAGTTCATGCTTAGCACTTAATTTTAGTGAAGTAAAAAAAGTCATGACCTTAGTAAGGGATGCAATTTCTAAAGCCTCAGATCCGTTTTTATTATAAATCAGTCTGTTTTAACAATAAACAGCTGCAGATAACGCACTTGTAAGAGGAGTATTATTGCACAGTAGTTAAGATAAGTAAGAATTTGATGCTGAAGCTATATACAATTAATTGCCTTAAATATTATTTTAAGACAAATTAGAGCTGAATGAGCCAACATTTGCAGTTTAAATCTATTCTATTTGGTTGCAAATCATATAATCAGGCACATGTATAGATTGTTTCTTAGAAATCACTGGAGTTGAAATATTTCTCTGCATCCAAATACACTAATTTATAAATTAATGGTAACAAGCTTTGCTACTTTTTATTGATAAGTTATACTGCTGTTTTGTTAATACTTATTTAAGAAATATATAAATAAAAAGATTATTTATTGTAATCTTGTCCAATAATTATTTATTATAATTTTAGGATATTACAAAATGATCATATAATTTATTATGTTTTTCACTCTATCAATAATTCTTTGATTTTTTCTTTTTTTTTGTCTTCCTCCTTAAATCCCCACCAAATCTACTTAAAAAAATACTAGCTACCAAATTATAAAATTTAGTTGAATGTATAAAATCTAAACCTCAAAAACCAAAATTAATCTTAACTTGACTTTTGCTTATTAATAAACAAATAAATAGTTAAGTCCAGCAACTTAATTACATAAGTAAAATTTCTTATTTCAAGAATGTAAAAGCACTAAGGAAATTTCTAATATAATTCCTATTTTTGTATTACCAAAGATTATAGTAGTATATATATAATAAACATTATTAAAAAAGTCTATCTATATCTTTCCTATTTATAATTTTAAGGAAACTGAATAACAAAACTAAAATGATTTTCAAAAAATAACAAAATTAAACTTTTATTTCATTTTTATTTTGCAAATAATAAAATTTTTTTATTATTTTAATATTTAAATAAAAGAATATCAGCATTTTATAATGTTTGCTTAAAATCTGTTTTGTTTTACTTGGATTTCAATAAGTATTATAAAAAGCTAATTTTTACTGGTTAAAAAAATGACAAGTAAAATCAGAAATTAATCTAGTTAATAAAATAAATAAATAATATTTGCATAAAAATAAATAATATTTTAGAAAAAACAACAAATCTCATTTTTATATAAAAAATTTAAGTTTTATATTTAATGTAAGCTCACTTAGCTGTTTAAAAGTAAAAAATAAATAATGAAAGATTTTAAAATTAAAATAAAACTAGAAACTAATGATATAATTTTCATGCTATTAAATGAAGAAAAATTTATATTTTTTTAAATATATAGTTAGTTATTGATTAAAAATTATAAAGAAATAATATTTATTTTGCACAAAAATAAGTAATAAAATTAGAAACAACATATTTTTATATCAAAAGATGTAAGTTTGATATTTAAATATTAGTTAAATATTTAATAAAATTTAAAAAGTAAAAACAAAGAATTTTGCATGAAGTCAATACTTTAAAAGTAAAATCTACATCATTTTTGTAATAAAAGGACTAAATATTACTTTTAATATTAAATATAATTAGTTATTGATTTAAATATGTAATACATTTATTTTTACATTAAGTTAAATTCTTTAATAGAATTAATATCGTCATTTTATATTCATAGATGTAAATTTTAAATTTATAAGTTTGTAATTGATATAAATAAATAAATAAATAATATTTTAACAAGAAAATATAATTTTAAAAGTAGAAAATACATCATTTTTTAATTAATAGAAGTAAGTTTTATATTTAATATTAAATTTAGTTAGTTGTTGATTTAAATATAATAAAGGAATAACATATATTTTTACATTAAGTTAAATTATTTATCATCATTTTATATTAATAGAAGTAAGTTGTAAATTTAATAAGTTGGTAATTGATTAAAATAAATAAATAATATGAATTTTAACAAGAAATATAACTTTAAAAGTAGAAACTACATCATTTATATATTAATAGAAGTAAGTTTTATATTTAATAGTAAATTTAGTTAGTGATTGATTGATTGATTTATTTATTTATTTGCATATACATTTATTTTAAAATTCGCATATAAAATTTAGAATTTAATTATTATTTTTAATTATATCTATCAATAGGTAGATAGATAGATAGATTCAATCTCCGTATTCGTACTGATCCTCATCATCATATTTTTTATCCTTGTTTAATTTAAAATTTTAATTCAGAATTCAGTTTAAAAAGTAATTAAATTTTTACTCTGCTATTTATTATTTTACTCCATTTTTCCACAACTTTGTTAGCTAATATTCTCAACTCTTTTACTTCACCTTTTGTTTAATTATGAATTTTAATAAGTTAAATTTATTTATATTTCAAGTTTAATCTACTCTTTGACGAGATCTTATAGATAACTTTTCCGAGACGAATTCCAGTCAAATTTGAGCGAGTAACATTTAATTCAAAAATGAATTAAAGTAGTTTCTTTCTTAAAGTGACACTTGGTTCTGGTCCATTTGGAATTTTATCAAGCCAGTCAGCTAAATAATCAATTCCTTTATCTTACACAAATTCTCTCTAGACGCCTAACTATATAAAAATTAGTAAATAATTAATAAGTAAGTTCAATTAAGTGTGTCTTTAAATAGAAAGCAATTCTTTTTGTTTTAAACTGAGTATATAAAATAAAAATAATTCATATGGAGCAAAAAAAAATTTGAATCCTCACTCACTTATTTTTCCTCTATCTTAAATAAATATATTCTATGTTCAATCAAAATTTCTTTGATAATTTGATTTATTAAACTATTTTTAAGTCTGACTCTGATTTATTGATTTTTTACAAAATTTTTCACTCTTTCCAAAAAAATATTTTTATGAAATTGCAGACAGACCTAATTCTATTGGATAAATAAATAAATAATTTATTTATTTACCTTGCTAAGCTTAGAAATTATTTCATCAATGTGCTTTATTTTATTGAGTGCAGGTTTTTTATTTTCTACAGCTTTTATATCTCTTTAATGAATCTATTTCATCTCACTTTTTATTTTTTTTACTTCTTCTTTGATTTCGAGCTCATTTTTTAATCTTTCTTCCTCTTTCTTACTGGATCTTGGTTTTTATTACTTAGCTTCTACATTATTTCCACCAGAAGAAGACTTTCTTTTTTTTTAAATCCTTTTACTTGGTTTATCATCATTTCCTTCTACATATTTTTCTAATTCAAGATCATCAAACTCAGCATCATCTAAATTTAAATCCAACAACTCATCTACTTGCTAGTCATCAAAAGCTTAATCGTTTACAGCATCTACTGGTTATTCACCTTCATTATCATCAAATATATCTAGTTTTTCTTCGTCTGACATTTTAAATCAAAATTAAACTAATCTTATTGTACCTTAAATATCTTCTTTATTAGAAATGTTTTTGGTATATTATTTTTATATATAATTAATTGGATATTGGCAATACATATAAAATTGCTGAATTTAATTAAAATATAATCTTTATTAATTATATATAAGCTAATAATAATAAATAATTTTTGATTAATTTTTTTTAAATAAGAAAAAAATAAAAATAAATTTCAAATTTTGAACAAAAATTTCATACAAAAATCTATAAAAACAGTCAGTCTATTTATAATTATTTTATTGGAGTTCTATTCAATAAAAGCAAATATTTATTTTTAAAATATTACAATTTTTAATCTATTTGAACTTAAAATAAATTATTCCTAATTATATCGTATTTGAGGGAGGTTAATAAAGAAGACATATTTATTTTAATAACACAATAAAATTTTTTATTTTAATTTTATCTAAATATATTTCATTATTAAAATATTTTTCATTAATTTGTTGAAGTAGGTTGGTTGTTCTAAAAGGTAAATAAAATTTATTTTTTTTGCCTAATGCATTTTTAGCCAATTTCATTGAATATTACTCCAAAAACAAATAATAATTATAAATGTATTTACAAGTAATAGAAATATTAAATTAATATTCTTTCTAAATAAAGGTAGACAATTAAAATTTTTGTCTAAATAATAATTAAACTATTTCAATAAAGTTAAATATATTTTCAAATTCTTAAATGCAACTTTTTATTCTTCATTCAAAGTAACAAATAAAGCTAATACTTAATTTAGCAAAAATTACTTTTTTAATAATATTTTTTTCTGATTTTTGTGTTTTAAACTAAGCTTTTTCTTAAATTAGTCTATACAATTTTGTTATACAGCATTCTGTAAATTTAAGAAATTGTTTGTCTATATTATTTTTCTATCATTTAGACCTTTTCCTTGAATGAAAAATTCTTAGATTAGTTCTATTAATTAAATATTTTATTGAAATAATGATTTTTATATCATTAAAAATAAAATTTAAATAGATTGGTCCTGCATTATTGTTTTCGTTTACATTCAATAATATATTTAAACTAATGATTTCTGCTATGATAATTAAATATTTTTAAAATTTATCCTAATTAATTTATTTCAAAAAAAAGAAAAATTAAATGATAAATTAAGTAAAATATTGATTAAATTTGATCTAGTAGATATCTTTTAATTTTTTTAATTTCTAATGAAATTTTTTGATATTTTTAATTATTTTTATATTAAATAATTTATTTTATCAAAATTAATTTAAATCCAAAATAGGAAAAGCAAATGAAAAATTAAGTAAGTACTAATTTCATTTGATTTAATAGATTATTCCTACTTATAATTTCTAATTACACATGCATTTTTTTTTCTATCTTACTAGCTTCTCAAATATTTATTGATCAAATAAAAAATTTTCCATAAACTTAAAATTTACTTCGAAGCTAAAAATACTTCTCAAGCATGAATTATAGCTAATTTAATTTTCTTTCAAAATAAATTATATTACCAAAAATATAAAATTCATTTGATCTTTAAAAGCATTATTTAAATTAACGTTGATAGGTAATAGTTATTCTAAATGAGCTTATAAAGATCTCTCAATCAAAAAATAAACGAATAGCATTCATGGAAATTTAATTTCTAAGTGAAAACACCTTTTATTTAACTTTAGATAACATGTTTTCTCCTTTTCAATATCTTTAAAAATAATCAGTTTAAATATTTTTCTTCTCTTTAAAATCTTTGTGAATTACTTACTTAGTATTTTGAGACTATCAAGACTAGACTAGAGTATAAGGTATATTAAATCAATATTAAACCCTAATATTATTATAGCCACAGAACAATTTATTAATTTATCTATATTTATTAAATTAAGCGTTTCCTTCGTTTAAGAATTTAAGTTTTCAAAATAATATAAACTTTATTTAATTAAAAAAATCAAACTTTTTCTGTAAATTTACTTCTATGTTAAACAACAATTAATAAAGCAAAATTGGTGCTTAAAATCTTGATTAGGTAGATGATAATGAAGGGGTTTCTTCTAAAATGATACCTTAAAACAGATATAAAAATATGGAACTAGGTAGGTAAAATGGTAACCAAAACTAATAAGGAGGTATGGGTGAACCAAATTATAACTATCCTCCGATGGCACAACCTTATTAAGATAACTTTTAGCCTACTCTTTCTCAAGTAATATTAACTTTTTAACTCCTAAATACATAGTTTATAATAAGCATAGCGTAATATTATTTTTTAAATTAGCCATAGTAAATTCTCTAAGTTTCTAACCCAAGTCAGTAGTAGCAAAATGCTAAAACAGATCTCTTTATCAATTTTGATATGCCTTAAATGTAAATTTAAGATTCTAATTCTAACGTTCCTAAATCACTTGAGCCATCTTAACCAAATCAGCATAGAATTATTGCAATTCAAGATGAAGAAAATAAACTAAGAAGTCCAAACCCAAACACATACTAAAATCAAGTTGAGTAATAAAATTTAGGTTATTAGTAGCAACCTCCACTACCATATAATTAATACCCAGCACCCTTGCCTTAAGGTTAACAGCCATAAATGCTCATGTAGAATTAAAACATGTATGCTAACCAAAATGGTGTAAATGCTTACAACGGATAAAATGGTTATGATCCAAATGATTTTGCTAAAATGCAACAACATGGCTAATAAAATAATTAATATCAAATGGATCCCAACCCTTAAATGATGAATTAAAATTATTAACAAGGCGGTTATCCATAAAATGTATAATAATCTAATCCTTATCCCTACTATCCCCCTCCTCCAATGATGAATTAACCTAACAATCCATATCCCCCCAATCCTTTAGCTGCTAATCCGAATTAAGTAAGGGTAGAAATTAAAGATTTAAGATAAGTTCCCTAAACCTAATCTTAGAGCATAGAGAAAAGACCATATACTAGGTAATAAACTAGAGGAAAGAGAAAAAATACATATGTCAAGAGAAATACTGTTTCATACGCTGTAGCAACTTCTACTAGCAACCAAGTTTATTTGTTTATAGATACACCAGGATACCATAGCAATTAATGCTGTTGCATGATGTTATATGCCGATGATTGTTGTATAAAATGGATGTGTGATCTCTTATTTTAACTTATATTTCTACCATTTAGGATTTTCAATTTTATTTTTAAATCTGTTGGATCACTTTGCTGTAAAGAGTCTTGCAATTTATGTGTAGAAGGATGTTAAAATTGTTTCTATGCTCCATTTAGATGCTATGGAGATTGGATGAATTAGTGCTGGTTTGCTTGTTCTAATTTCTGCTGTTAAGGAATTGATTTTATCCCTGCTACTTTTTCTTCTCTATATACTAATTGCTGTTAAAAATGTTGCCTACAAACAGGATAATGCTTTAAAAATTGTTGTGTTTTCAATATAGATTGTAATTGTAAATGCCTTCCTGATTGCCCTGACTGCTCTGATATATTTAAGAATAGTAATGGGGATTGCTGCTGCTTTGAATGCTGTCATGATATAGGAGATTGTTGCTTCCATTTATGCTCTCCTCAAGGATGTTGTGAAGATATGTGTAAATGTTGCAGTAAAACTACTTGTGATTGTATTAATAGTGATTGTATAGCAAGCACATGTAGCTGTTGTGTATCAATCAAATCTGTTGAGATAGGAGAGGAAATTGTTAAATTTTTTGAATGTTGCTTTTGCATATTTTTCAAGACAATTGGAGCTGTCATAGAAGGCATGTTAAAATGAATGAATAAACGAAAAATGGTAAATTTATAATTGATTAATTTAATAAAAATGCAAGAAAGAATAGATATAATTTTATTATTTTTTAAACATTTCAAAATTTTAAAAAATCACATTATATCTATAAATATTTAAAATGAGAGATCAATTAAAATATTATTTGCTTTACATTAAGAATTAAAATTTTCATATAAAACCTCTATCTCATTTGTAATTTTATAAAAATAAAAAATAAAAGGATTTATCAAATCTTTATAAATATTACATTTGTTTACTTATTAGTATTATGCTATTTATTTATTGTTTATCTGTTTGTATTTTAATATTGTTTTTAATAATTGTAAATAGTTCTTATATTTATATAATTAATACTTTGTTATTCAATTTTATAGAATAATAAATAATTTATGTTTTGATTAATATATATTATGTTATACTCAGTGATTACCAGAATCTTAAAAACGGTAAATAACAAAAATATTCTGAATAAAGATAATTTTTTATATAAATTTAAGGGTATAGCTTGCTCAATTAATGAGTATTGAAAGTAAATAATTAAAAAACAAAATATAATATATGAAATATATCCTTACTACCTAAATTAAAATATTAAATTTTATTGTTTAAAAGATGTGATTTTTTTCAATACATAACACAAAATATTTTACCACAATAATATATGTAAAATCAAATCAATTGACCTTAATTATCAAACAACGTAATAGAAAAATTTTAATAGGTATTTTCCAAGAGTAGACAGATAGACTCTTAGCCACTCAAGAAAATTAACATAAAAATATATGTACAGAAGATGTTGCTGGAAATGAAATAAAAAGCAAATACCTTTATTTTATTTTATTATTTATATTTATTATAAGGTATATGTGATATTAAATCAATCACACAATTAAGCGAAAAGAAATTGATTATATTGTTTGTTTTAATAACTTTTAGATAATTAAATTAGTTTTATTTATATTCTTTCAATATGGATTACATCTTTAAAAAATTATAGATTTAGGCTCCAACAAAAGAAGCACATGATACTTTAGTAGGTGCGTGCTTATTTAAACTTGGATCTGGATTAATTCTCGCTTGGGGGTCTATCAACCTGTATTTTTATTCCTATTTTTTCGAAATTGAAGAAGGTTTTTAGATGAAAAAAGCATCTGTAACATTTGGACTAATGATGCTTTTTTTAGGGTTTGGATCAGTAGTATCAGTATAGTTAGCAGAAAAATTTGGTTTTGAAAGGATAATTAGAGGATGTGGCATTCTCTATATAGTGAGCATATACTTATGTGTTTTCATGAAAACATTTAACTAATTTGCATTATTTTATTTACTCATAGGTTGCACTGCATTTACAATATCAGCTATTCCAATTTTGAATTGCGTTTGGAGTCATTTTGATTAAAATTAATCTGGAAAGGTGAGCGGACTTTCATTTTTTTGTTTGAGTCTATCTACAATTGTAACCATATTCCTCTTCACAGCTATTATTAATCCTGATAATAGTTCTCCTACAATTACAAAAAAGGAAGGTGACTAAGAAATCAAAATTTTTGATGAGCATATCTCAAGTAGATTTTAACTAACTATGATAATAATAAATACCATATAAGCAATATTTTTAATTCCTGGATCCCTGAAGATAACAAAAAAAATTATCACTGGCTCATAATAAGATGAAAGTTCCTCAAGAATTTAAGAATTACAATTCGTTTAATAAAATTCTTAACACTCTCCAAATTAGTAATATGACTATAAAATTGAAGAAGATGACGAAAATGTTTAGAATTAGATTAGTTTAGATAAAAATAAATCAAACGATAAATAATAACTGAACAAAAATAAAGAAAAAAGTGATTAATCTACAAGAACCTCAGGGATTGTTGAAAGCTAATATTATCCTCCATTAAAATAGAGTATTTTTACTGAGCCTTTTATGATGATTTACTTAACTGGAATTTTGAATGCTCTTTATATAGCATTCCTCTCAATGAACTTCAAGGTATATGCATCTACTAAAATTAATGATGATTATTTCTTGACTTTCATCTTAATAGTAAACTAAATTCTCGGAGGAGTAGCTAATCTTACATTTGGTCATATCATAGATAGATTTTGTTACAAAAAGTGTCTACTGATTATTTAAGTTGTCATCGGATTATTTGCAGCTACTATCCCATTAATTTCTACAAGTAAACCACTTCTCTTAATTTGGTATGTCACAATTGGAATGGTTAGTAACGGGTTGCAAACAATTATGGGTCCAATATTTATAAAAATATTTGGAATTGATACAGGCTCAAAATTATTACCTATAAAAGCTACTTCTTTTTTTGCTGCTGTAATTATCGTCTAAATGGTAAATTATCTTGTCTTCACTTACATGACTTACGACTCTGCAATCACTTGTCTTGGAATAATTATTTTCTTAGGATTTGCTCTTTTAGCACGCTTAAAAACAAGTTACACTTGGTCACCACCACAATGAACAACAAAAATATTTCACTAATTTATTAAACAAAATACTTTATCTTTTTACTTTAATCTTCATTGATATTTTTATCTAGTAATAAAATTTATTTTAAACTATATTTGATAAGAAAAGTATTTCAATTGAGAATTCTAACAAAGAAACTAATTAAAAACAACCAATTTTTTGAGTGGAATAAGTTAAAACATAAATTATATTTTAATTTCAATAAATCAAATATAAAGTATTTATTTCTAAATTTGTTAAAAATAATATAAAAGTTTTGATACATTTTAAAACAAAAAATAAGATTAAGTTGATTAAATTTTTTATTTATTTTAAACACTTTTAATATAAGAAAGGACAGGTTTTATATTTTTATAATTTAGATATCAAATATTCTTGATTTTTTATGGAATAAAAATTTACTTTTTTAGATATTAAGAAGTCATAATGATCTTTGATTTTTATAATTTTCTGATCATTTGTTTTATATTTACTAATATTTTATCGATAGTATTTTAGAATAAATAATTAATTAAGAAAATAAATTTTTGATATCTTAACAAACTAACATAAATTAAAAGAAGATAAAGGCAATAATAGAATTATAAACTAAAATTATAAATTAAAATTTAAACTTTCTTGTTAGAGCTATCGTTGAGTTTTTTACATTTATTGTCTTTCTTTATAAATTAGATTGGAATTATCAACAGTTTTACTCAATTTAGGGCATAAAAATAGTAGAAGAAAAGAATTTATTTTCTGATCTTAAATACGACAATATTATTATAAGAAAATTTAGCTTCATTTAACTAATTACCTTCATTAAAATGATTGCAAACAAAGATAAAAGTATGTTTTAGTAAAAGAATAACGTATTTAATAAAAAATAAATAATTATCATGTAAACTTTAAACAAATAAATTATTTTTGAATATGATCAACATTTTAATTGCTCATTATATCAAAAAAGCAGAAGTAAAATACAAGAAATAGCTTTGTCAAATAAGTAGAAAAATATATTAAGCTAAATAGCAAAGCAATACATTAGAAATTTATAGATTAAATTACTGAAGAGTAAAATAATGCAATTTATAGATGATATTTTCTAAACTATGGGTCATAGGTTATTAGGAGGAGGTTGTGGTGCATCAAAATAATAAGATATCGTAGAAAAAAAAACATAAGAAGTGCAAAATGATTATATTGGTTTTGAGAGTTTGGATCAAAATTTTATTGAAAATTTTAATTAAAGTTAAGATTAAAAGGAAATTGTGAAAAATATTATAGAAAATAAATAGCTAGAATCATAATATAAGTTATTCAAATAAAGTATATTTGATTTCAGTTCTATTATAGTATCAAATATAAATCTTTACAAACCATACGTTTTTGAATTACTTGAGACTTATTTAGCTTACTTTATTACATAGTGTAAGTAGAATGATGATGATGATTCAAAGAATATATGTGCAGAATTAAGCAAAATGATTTCAGAGTTCAAGAATTAGTTAGAAAAAAAGACAAGTGATTCTCCATGCTAAGATGTTCTTTATATGATAGAAATCTTAGAATAATACAATAACTAATCTGATTCAACTAAAAGCAATCCAGATTTGGATTTCTATGAAGATGTTAAAAAATTTGTAGTTATAATAATTAGTCTTAAACCTAATGATAAATAGTAGTAATTAGATTACAATCAAAGCTAAATAAATTAGATTATTTTATAAATCAACAATAAAATTCATAAATTTGAAGACTCACCTTAAGGCTGCATTATTAAGTATCTACTGTAGGTTTGGATATTAAAAATTGAAAAATTTAAAGAAAAAATGTGGGAAATTTCGAATACTGAAGAGTTTCTTTTGTATGTAGAATTATTCAATTAAATGATTTCTTCAGTTAGCAACAAAATAATTATCAATTTAATAAAAATTAACTAAATTTTGCATAAATTGAAATGTGATTTTCAATTCATCTAAAATTAAAAACAATTTATCAATGAATTTTTTACTTAGATATAACCCTTTTAGAACCAGTTCAATACTTTCTTGAAGAACTTAAATTTGAATTAACAGGATAAAGTTATTTTTAATAAGGAATACATTTTACTAAATTTATAAAATATCTGCTTTAAACAGTTAAGTACTAATATACAGTTAAGATTGAAGTACATGCTAGATCAAACTAATATGTTAATAACCGATAATAATCAACTTTTCTTGGGTTTAATATGTTAATATTTGTTTGAAAATACTCCTTAGGCAGAGTAAACATACTCAAAGTAAGTTAGTAATGTAGTGGTAAAGCAGGTGTTTGAATGTAATTCCTATTTCATGAGCTGTTACTAATAAATTATAAAAGACTAGTAATTTATGAATAAAATTATTTAGTTTGATGGTGAAAGAAAAAAATATGTTTCTTTTATAATAGAAAACTTAGACTAATACGAAATAAAAATAAGTAACATTGAAGAAATACAAAAATTAATTTTTTAAAATTCTATTAGTAAATGGTAAACAGACCTAAAAATAAAGCTCAAGCAGACTTAAAGTTAAATATCTAAAAAGTAATTGCAGATTAAATAAATGTATGCAAATTAATAGTTTTAAATTTTGGAAGGAAACAACTTCTTTAATGATATATAGTCAATAGATGTGATTAATGAAAATAGGATTTAATAAATTCTAATTGGATTATTAAATTAATCAAAAGATAGATCTGTTTTAGTTGTTAGCGGAGAGACAGGATATGGTAAAACTAGATTGCTTCATGAAATTAAGAGTATTCTAACTAATAATTTAAATATTTTTGCTTCTTACTAAAGCTATCCAAATTACATTCCTATTTTTATCTAATGTGAACTACTAAAAAAATACAACAACAGCTTAGATTTGTATTTACTTGATGAAGGCCTCAATAAAAATTAGATTTCTTACTTAAAAGAATCAGAAAATTTAAAATTATTCATTTTTGATAATTTTGAAGATTGTATCAGAGCATATTAAAATATTAATTAAATTTTAAGCATATCTTAGTGGAAGAATACCAAATGGCTTCTATCTATTAGAAAAGATAAATTAAAAGAATATAACATCACTAATTTAATACAAACTAAATGTTAACCATCGAACATAAGTTTAATCGAATTAAAAAAACTCAAAAGTTAAACTACTATGGATTACTTAAATTAAGTCATTAAAATTTCAACTTTGGATTCAAACGAATTTAAAATAAATCTTTAAAATAAAATTTAGTAAATTTAACAAAATTTAAATTTAAGAAAATTGATTAAAATCCCAATAAACTTGTTTTATATCTCAAAGCTAATCAAAAATTAAAATATTTCACTGGAGAATATCCGCTTTCAATCTGATATTTTTGAATTATTCTACTAAAAATTGTTTGAAAAGTAGTCTGTTAAATTTATTAACCAAGAAATACACCAATAAACATCGAAAAAAGATGCAAATATTAAATTATAGATAATCAATTCTTATTTTGAATATTATTAACACATTGCTTTGTTAGCTTTTCTTAGTAGAGATCAGTAATCACTTGAAGTAGAGAAGTAGAAAGTGAAATTTACATTTAGTGAATAAATAAAAAAGCTTTTAAATTCTAATATTAGAGACAAATTGCTTTAAACAATAGAAAAATAAAATAATTAAATCCTTTTAAATAACTAGGAATAACACTTGTCAATTAAAAATCTATGCTTATATCACTATTTTGTTGCAAGAGCAATTAAATTTGATTTTTAAAGCCATGAATCAATTTATAAATTATCAATTTCACAGCTCAAAGAATTCAGCATAAATAAAAAACTTTTTGTATATCATAAACTAAGCAATAATTAAGATTATGGTATAATGTAAACATTTTTCCATTTAATCTAACCAGAGATTATGTCAAAAAATTTTATGAGCAGCTATGAAAGTGACAATGTTTCAGAAATGAATAAATATTTACAGTACATCAAAATGTCAAAGATTAAAAAAAGTACAGATTTTAGTGAGATAGATATCGGTGCTTCTAATTTACTATCTGCATTATTTATGAGCAACTTTTTTTATTTCAATCTCAATCTCAGCTTTTGTTCATTTTCAAGTTCGTATATCTCTTAGGCAAAACATCATTCAGTTAATCTTGATAGATCAAATTTATCACAAGCATTTATAAAAGACTCAAATTTAAATTTAGCATCTTCAAATACATAGTATGCATACCATGACAACTTACCAAAAATATTTGATACCAACAATTACTTTAATTTTAATTAAATTTGTTTTTCAGAATCCAATTTAATTTATTCTACAACAAATGATGGGTTTTTAAATATCTTTGAATATAATAACCTCTAATTTTAATTGAAGTAATCTAAGTATATTACTTCATCTCCTTTGACTAAACTATTAATGAGAAAAAATTATCTAATAATGTCTTCATTGAATGTGCTTTTCGTAATCGATAAATAAAATTTAGAAATTTAAAATATTTTAAAATTTTCTGAATCTATCAAAGATTTTAGTTTTTCAAATAGCAAATCAAACAACTGCATTATAAGTTTAGTAAATAATCAATCATTTTCAGGTGATATCACCACCTCTAAAGTTTCTTTGTTGAACATACAAACTCAATACCTTGCTATATCTAATAATAATAAATACTTAGCTACATCTATGCAAGAATCTATTCTAATATATAACTTAGAAAATTAATTAAATATGATTACTACAATAAAAGATTAACATTTTGATCCTATATCTAGCATTGCTTTTTCGAATGATTCCAAATATTTAGCAACAGGTTCACTTGATTTAAGCTGTAAGGTTTGGGATGTAGAAAAAAATTTCCAATTTATTACTTCAATAGAAGACTGCAAATCAAAAATTATCTAAGTAATATTTTCAAATGACAATAAATATCTTTTTATATTATCATTTGATAAATATTGCAGGATTTATACTGTTAAAGATAATTTTAAGTTGGTATCAACTATTTAAGTTAACATGAAATTAAATGCTTTCATTTCTTTTAGCTCTGATGATAAATAAATAGGAATATGTAATGATGATAACATATGCCACATTTACAATAATGATGAAAACTTTTCTCTTTTAACTACAATTAAATGTCATAGAAATCAGATAAATTCAATAAAATTTTCAAGCAACAATAAATTCATGATAAGTAACTCTAGCGATTCTTCCAAACTTTGGAATGTAGAAAACAATTTTAAAGGTTAATTTAAAATTCCTGAAATTCAACAAGCAATCTTATATCAAATTTCTTATGATAGTGCATATCTAGCAGCAGTTTTTCATAATAAATCAGTAAAAATTTGGAATATGGAAAAAGGATTTAGCTTAAGTAAAACGCTATCATAATTAAATGATGAAATAGTTGACATATAATTTTCTTTTAATAATAAATATCTTTGCATTTAGTTAAAATAAGACAAAATATCATTGTATAGCATTTAGAAGAACTTTGAATTACTATATCAATTCTAGGAACCATTTGAATAACTTTCAAATGTTTATTTTTCACATAACAGCCAAAATTTAATTTTACTAAACAATAAATCTAAATTTTTATTGTACAATTCAGATGAAGGATTCAAAAAAAAGATATAATTTGAATTTGAATAAGCTGATAATGTGGCTAATTCATTCGATTGCTAATACTTTGCTTTTAGTTATAATAACATCTGCAAAATTTTCAGTATTGATAAAGAAGTTTAGCAAATATGCAGTTTGTAAAAGCATACTAAAAATATTTCTTTCATGACTTTTTCTAAAGATAATTTGTACTTTGCAACTGCTTCATTAGAATCACTCGAAAATCAAATATATTTTTGGAGTGTAAAACAAAACTTTTCTCTAATATTTTAATTAACACCTCAAAGCAAAAGTTTAAGTATGATGTAATTTTCAAGTGATTCTCAATATTTTATTACAGTAGGTAGAGACTAGATTTGTGTTATTTGGGATATTTATAAAGGCTACTCAACACCACTAATATTAAATCTAAATAGCAATTAAATATGTTCTGCTATTGATATTACATGTGATCAAAGATATTTGGCTTTAGCAAGTAGTAGTAATATAGTTTGCTATAATTTACAGGGAATACAGCTTCCGATAAATGATTAATAAGTTGTTAATAACAAAGGACATACTCATTCAATAAATTTTGTAAGCTACTCTCATGATGGTAATTATCTTGCGACTGGTTCTTGGGATAAATCTTTTAAAATTTGGGAAGCTAAATAAGGATTTGAGTTAGTTAAAACTATTAAATAACACACTGATCCTATAAGCTGTTTAGATTTTTCAAAAGATGGAAAATTTTTAATATCTGCCTCAGTTGATAAGACTTGCAAGATCTGGGATCCAAAAGACAACTTTAAGTTAAAAGCAACAATAAAGAATCCTGATTCAATACAATCTGTAGTTTTTTCTTGTGATAGTAAATATTTAGCTTTGTCTTCTTGGGATGACACCGTAAGAGTATATGATGTTTTAAATGAATTTTAATTATTAAAAGAGTTATAAAACCATTCAAAGTAAGTAAATTCAGTTTAATTTTCAAGTGACGGAAAATATTTAGTAAGCACTTCAGATGATAAAACTATTAAAATTTATGATTTACAAAAAGATTTCTAGTTATTGCAAAATATAAATGCTCATACAAGAGCAGTAACTGCTGCCAAATTTTCATAGAATAATACAGATTTAGCTAGTGTTTCTAAAGATTAAACTTGCAAAATCTGGGATGTTTAAAATAAATTTTAATTAAAAGCCACATTAAAAGGACATACAGAATAAGTGTCTTAGTGTGTTTATAGTCCAGATGATTGCTTTCTTTTAACTTGTTCTTGGGATAATACTTGTAGAATCTGGTCAAAGTCATAAAATTATTAGTTAATTAATTTAATAAAAGCTCATTCTTCCCCCATTACTTCTATTACCTTTTCTCCTGATTAGTAATATTTAATTACTAGCTCTGTTGACAATAAAGCAAAGGTTTGGTCAACAAATAAAGCTTTTAAAATAATCAAGTAGATCTGTTCCTTAGGTGATTTTAATAATGCAATTGGCTAAGTTTCATAAAATAAAAAATACTTTTTGATTAAATAAGTAAATCAAGATTGGTATGTTATCTCTTTTACAGAAGGAAATGTTGTTGCATAAGGAAAGTAATATTTAGATGAAGTAACTCTATCAAAATATCAATTAGACTAAATTTAATTAGAAGATATTACAAACCTGCAATTATTTGACTACTCTTTTGAATTATGATTAAAACTTTTAAATAACCTCAAAAGAACAAAAGAACGAATTAGAGTTCATTTTATTTTACAAATTGTATTCTTACAAAAACTTATTTGGAATCCCGAAAAATATGTTTTACTAAAAAAATTTTAATGTATTTATTTAAAAATTGTTGAAAATTTGCTCATATTTTTTTATTGAAAAAACATATTTTAATTTTTTGTTGCTTTGAAATCACTTGTTTTTAATAATAAATTATTTAAACTGGATTCCTAATGAAATAAAATTCGTTTACTATTTATTTTAATTTCTTTTTATAAACATAAACTATCAAAAAATTTGATTAAATATTCCATCCTAACCCTTTATATCTAACCATTCATAAAAAGACTAAGCTTTTCATTCAAAATTTTGAAAATATATGTATATATATTATCAAACCTCATTTATTAATGTACCCCACACCTCCTTCTTTTTCCCAAAAATATTTACCTTACTAACTCAAAATTAAAAATTTTTCTTTATTTAAATTTCTATTTCCATTTGAATATCAATGGAAATGAAAAAATAGTCATAAAAAAATACATAACTCATATGCAAATAGATGTAGCCAATTATATATTTATGAAAAAAACCTAAATAGAAAATTAATAAATATAATATTAAAAAAGTGAGAAAATTGTAAAAGAACTCTGAGTTGAAATAATAAAAAAATAAAATAAATGAGCTTATCAACTATCTTTGAATAGATCTTATGTAAAGGGAAGCTAAAAAATTTTAATATTGGAAAATAAAGTGTTTCTAATCATAAAAAAAATTTGAATATATAATTGTATGATAGATTTTGATTTTAATTTACTTTTTAATGAAAAAGGTAAAATCAATATTTATATCAAAATAATTATTTTTAAAAGTGCATATTTTATGTTTATATAGTTTTTATTTAAACAAGAAATAAAAATTATATCAATAGCATGATTAATCAAATAGAATTACTGCTCTATTTATTTTCAACCATTAAAATTGAGACTTAACTATTTTTTACTAAATATACCTTTAGATTAAGTAATAAAAACTTCAATTTATTTTTTTATATTTTATCAAATGAATTATAAAATTTGTATTTTCTTCAAGGAAAATAATAATTTAAAAATAATTCGTATAAAGTCTTCTAAATGATGAGTTTAACAAATAAAATAGAATTTTATCATACTTCACCCTACAAGGATATCTTTGTATCTAATATTAGTAATAGTTGATTGATGTTGAATATAATTTTTCGAAGTAATTAAAATTTAGTTCTAATTAAAATCTAATTCATTAAATAAAATTTAAATTTTTGTAAATATAATGAATGGACTAAATTTTTTAAATCAAGATTTAAAAAGGTTTATAAAATATTTTTTAAAATGAAGAAAAACTTTAGACAATTCAACAATAAATTTTAAACATATATAAATAATTTAGTCATTTTTATTTTAAAGGCTGTATACTTTATCTATTAATAATATTTATAGTGTAATTTTGGCTGTGTAAGATAAATTATTATATATCTATGAATCGTTTATAATATTTTTAACCATTAAAATTTGATTACTCAAAACTAAGAAAATAATTGTGAAATTAATTAGAAATATTTGAAAAGTAATATTATAAGTTATTCTATTGGTGACTAAAGTATATCGCTATCATACATTACATGTATTATTGCTAAAATTCTAAAAAATTCCTACTATTACAGTTTAAAATGAGCAAAAAAGAAAAAATAATGTCTATAGACGTAAAGACATATAATAAAACAAAGGGTTTGCGTTTGAATTTATTTAACAAATACATGAAAAATTAAATATTACAGAATAACAGTACTTGTAACTAAACCTAGTGTTTTTATAATATGAAGCAATATGGTGAATATAAAGTTAAATAAGTAAAAAAAGGCAAAATCACATAAAAAAGAAGCATGATACTTAGCAATCTGAGAAAGAATCATTTTATTTATTTAATATTTTGAATATAAAAAGTATGAATATTCAAATAGAGTTTTATAAGCTAAGTATATTTGCTTACTTACTTTTCAACTATACTTATTGTCTTAAAATAAATTAATAAGTTTCAAAAAGTAAATAGAACTAGTTTATGTTTTCTGCAAGTTGAATTTTTAAAATAAATTAGGGTTATACTCGCAACTAGAATATAATAGAATATTGCTTTTATTTTTTATTTAATTAAATCATATAATTTAATTTTTCTTAACCACTTTCTGAATTCCATATTAACATTTTCATTTATTTTAAATATTAATCAAGTAGATTTATTATCAAAAGAAAATTAATAAATTAATTCATTAGAAAATTCAGATTCAATCTGTCTGATTAAGTATGAAGAACTCTACTTTAAATGATATTCAAACACATCATCAATTAAATAAAATACTTACTAGAACGGTAAGCTTTAAATCTTGGATACTTTAATCATAAAATTTATAAAAATTATAAAACAAATAAACCAATAAATAAAAAATGAAAAAGCTACTTATCTCTGCTTTAATTTGCTTAATGATTACTACTCCTAGTGTGTTTTGCTAGGATGTTGAAAATAACATTTACATTTATTTTAGATATTAATCAAGTAGATTTATTATCAAATGAACTTAATAAATTAATTTATTAGAAAATTCAGTATTCAATCTGTCTGATTAAGTATGATGGTTTCTACTTTAAATGATACTCAAACATATCATCAATTAAATAAAATATTTACTAGAACGAACGGTAAGCTTTAAATCTTGGATATTTTAGTCATAAAATTTATAAAAATTATAAAACAAAAAAACTAATAAATAAAAAATGAATAAGCTACTTATCTCTGCTTTAATTTGCTTAATGATTGCTACTCCTAGTGTGTTTTGCTAGGATGTTGAAAATAACATTTCTGAAGACATTAAAGTCTAAGACTTATTAGCATACAATAAATGGAGATTCAACTATAAGAGAGTCTATCTTAATGAAGAAGAGCAGATCTACAGATAGATTGTTTTCTTTGAAAATCTTGCTAGTGTTAACAAACACCCTTCTCATAAATCCTACAGTAAGGGTTTGAACCAGTTCTCTGATATGACTAAAGAAGAATTCAAACAAAGAGTTTTGAATAAGAAGATTTCTAAAAAGGCTAGCAGTAATAAGGGTGGTAGAAATTTAGCTGCTGATCCAGCTGTTTCCAACTTAGTCTTTCCCACCAATAATCTTCCTCTATCTGTTGATTGGAGAAAAAGAGGTGTCCTCAATCCTGTAAAAAATTAAGGTACTTGTGGTTCATGCTGGACTTTTGCAACTGCTGGCATCCTTGAGTCATTCAACTAAATTAAAAATAAATAGCTTCTTAAGTTCTCTGAGCAACAACTTGTTGATTGTGTCAGCCTAGCTGGATATGATTCTGATGGTTGTGATGGTGGTTTTTAAGAAGATGGTGTTAGATATGCAATTGAGTATGGTATTGTTTAATCTTACAAATACCCTTATGTTGGATATCAAGGTAGATGCAAAGTCACATCTCCCACTTCTCGTTCTGTAGGTTTTTACCCTTAAAAGTTCCAACTTGTCAATAAAACTGAAGCTGACTTGAAAGCTGCTTTAGTTTTCTCCCCTGTTTCAATCTCCGTCAATGCTGATACCTGGAAAGAATACTATGGTGGTGTTTTTGATGAATGTGGATATACTACCGAAGAAGATCTCAATCATGCTGTCATCGCTGTAGGTTATGACCAAGAAGGTAACTGGATTGTTAGAAACAGTTGGTCTGCAGCTTGGGGTGAAGATGGTTACATAAGATTAGCTCCTGGTAACACTTGTGGTATTTTGCTTGATGGATTAATAGTTACTTAATGAAAATAAAAATAAATATAAATTAGTACATTTACAATAATATTAATTATATACATTATGTTTTTTTCTTTTTGCTTAAAGCTTAAAATATTTTTAAAATTAAAATAAATCACTTTTTATCAATTACTTAACAAAAAATTATTTACTCTTCCTTCATCAAATTTATTTCTTATCAATGAAATATTACTTATTAATTGAATAAATGGCTGACTGACAAAATTATATTGATATTATTTTACTAATTTTAATTAAATATTTTATTTCACATTTAATTAGTGGGATAGATTAATTTTTTTAAAAATTTCATAATTAATTTATTTTAATTAGATTATTTAGGAAAGATATTCAAATTACTAAAATAAATTAAAATATATTAAAAAAGAACGAATATATGTAGCAATAAAATGATACATTAAACTTAATTATATGAGTAAATATATTAACTTATTTTTTATGAAACACATTGATCTCTTAGTAAATAAATACTAATTGATGAAGTAAAGGTTTAAGTTATAAAGTTTCTTTATAAAATATATATTCAACTAATATGATATGCTTGAAATAAAAAAAGTAAAAATAGATTTATTTATTATTTTTAGATAAAAGTAAGACAAAAGCTAACTAAACTTTAAATTTATCCAAAAACAGTTTGACTCTTAAAAAATATTAACGTAGGTACACTTCTATAAGGAGGGTACAAAAATAAATTATTTTCAAACTTTACTTTCGTTATTGAAAAATAACTTCAAAGTTTTTCCTCCTTATTCAAAAATCATCCTTATAATAGATGAACACCTACAGTAGATCACAAATAGTATATAATAAAATGAAATTTAATATAGAGTTAAGAATTTTAAAAATTATTAATTTATAAATTTTAAATTAATTTATATTATTATTAATGAATATCTTCAAAAAATTAAAAAAAACCTCCATAAAAATAAAATTTTAAGTAATTTCATAATATAAAATAGAATAGAAATTTATATGTATTACTATTTATTACTTTATGTAATACTTCAATAATTGTTTTTTAAGGCAAGCTTTTTTCTTTTTACCTTAGCTATTATTAATTTTTTGAATGGTATTTCAGATTAACTTGAATCGTTTTAAAATTAAATACTGAATGGTAGAATCCATACTAAGTTTGTTAAAAATTTTCAAAATGTAAATAAATAAATATCAATAAATACAAAAACTCCACTAATATTCACAAAGTACAAATACGTCAGAAATAAAAATTAAACTAATATTTACCATTTAATTATATTAGAAAATGGTTGAATAGTCCATTCATTTTTTGTCATTTTATCTAAAGATAATTTAAAACTAAAATTGTATTAAAAAATATAATTGGTTAATCTTTCAAATAAAATCAAGATTATCAATTTAATATGTTTTACTTCTTTATAAGAACCAAAATTATTTGTGCCTTGTAATAAATATTATTAGTATGAATTAATATTGTGTGCATTAATTTGTATTTTACCTTTAAATTAAATTTTTATTTTTAAGTAAACTTTTAATTAATAGACTTTGAACTAAAAAATTAAGTTTTGTAATTAATACATTAAAAAATTTAATATTTTAAAACTTTTAAAATGTTAATCACATTCATTCATACATATGATTTTTTAGTTAGTTAGGATCAATCAATTCATCATAATATGAATAAATATTTTGAAGAGAGGATTTGATATGAATTTATGATTTTAACATTTTTCAGATAATATTATTATGGTTGATTGTTAATAAATATTTATTGAATGGAAAATAGATATGTATTTTTAAAAGTGGTGTATATTAAGACTTCTAAAAGATACGTATGTGTATGTTAATTAAATATAGATTATTACAAATAAAGCATATTATTACGCCAACGATGATTTTATTATATATTTAATGGTAATAGTTATTTTATGTTGAATTAAATTGATCCATTAAATATGATTTAGTTCTATTAATAAATCAATATAGATAAAATAAAAATATAAACTATCTTTCTTTTTAATTCAAGCAATAAAAATACTATAAAATCATTTTATTGTTTAAGCAGGAGTATAATCAATCATAAAAATGAACGTTTAAAAATCAGAAAATTCTAGCTTTCTTTATTTTTGATATTGCTTACTTGTGCTTGAAAAAATTTTATATTTTATATTAAGTGCGTAATATGTATGAGATATTTAACCATTCAATTTTATTGATTTTAAACTCATGAAATCAAAATACTTTATTTAAATTTTGATGGTAATTTAATTAAATGTATTTATTGGCTATTAATATTAATTATTATCTTGCAATATATTTTTGTGATTAATCTTCAACTTAATAAAATTCTTACCAATTGAATTTAAAATTAAAGAAAAGGCAAATTTTTAATCTAGACCACATAAAAATTAATTAATTGGAGGATTTATATGTAAGTTTACCAATCATTAATTAAGTAAAATCATCAAACTAAGCAACTAAAACCTATTTCTTAGAGTAAAATTAAAATAATTCATACAGAAATAAATCTATAAAATATTTTAAGGCTAAGAATCATTAAAAAATGTTAACATAGTGAATAATTTGATAAATTATTTGAAGAAAAAGTTTTGTTTTGTAAATCTAAAAAACATAAATGAATAAAAGGGTATATAGAATTTTATCGATAAAAGATATTTATTTACTTTTGAATTATATTTATTATCATAAATTAATTTAATTGATTTTAAGAGTAACTTTCTAATGATATCATACTTTTAATAAATCAATCAATTACTTCTTTAATAAATGAATAAAAAAAATTATTTTTTGAATATGTAAAGAGCCTCTTTTTTGCTTTGAAGTAACAATGAGGATGAAAATATTCAGCATTAAAACCATTTTTTTTATTTTCTTAATTATTTGAAAATTTGTTTGTTTTCTCATAATACCAAGTAGATTTTTTATCAAATAAGTTTAATAAAATAATCTTATTTACTATTTACAATTCAATCTGATTAAGTAGGTTCATATCAATTTTAAATACTATCCAAACGCGTCATTTTAAAACTAATCTATATACAGCTCTTTGCACTCTTTAAAACCGAGATCCTTCATGGATTAAAATTTTTAAATCAATTCAAACAAATAAACAAGAAAAAAAAAAAAAAATGAACAAAATATTAGTTTCTGCTTTAATCTGCTTGATGATTGCTACTCCTAGCGTCTTTTGTTAGGATCTTGATGATAACATTTCTGAAAATGTTAAAGTCTAGGATTTATTGGCTTACAATAAATGGAGATTCAACTACAAGAGAATCTACTTAAATGAAGAAGAATAGATCTACAGATAGATTGTTTTCTTTGAAAATCTTGCTAGAATTAGCCAACACTCCTCTGAAAAATCCTACAGCAAAGGTTTGAATTAATTCTCTGACATGACTAAAGAAGAGTTCAGACATAGAATTTTGAATAAGAAACTTTCTTAAAAATCCAACAATGCTGATAACGGTAGAAATTTAGCTGCTGATCCCGCTGTTTCAAACTTAGTTTTCCCTACCAACAATCTTCCTCTTTCTGTTGATTGGAGAAAAAAAGGTGTCCTTAATCCAGTAAAAGATTAAGGTCAATGTGGTTCTTGTTGGACTTTTGCTACTGCTGGTATCCTTGAATCCTTCAACTAAATCAAAAACAAAAAGCTTGTTAAGTTTTCTGAGTAACAACTTGTTGATTGTGTTCATTTAGCTGGATATCACTCTGATGGTTGTGATGGTGGTTTTTAAGAAGAAGGTGTCAGATATGCCATCAAGTATGGTATTGTTTAGTCCTCTAAATATCCTTATGTTGGATACTAAGGTAGATGCAGAGTTACTGCTCCCCTTTCTCATTCTCTTGGTTTTTACCCTTAAAAGTTCTAGCCCATCAACAAAACTGAAGCTGATTTGAAGGCTGCTTTAGTATTCTCTCCTGTTTCTGTCTCAGTTGATGCTACCAATTGGAATGACTATATTGGTGGTGTTTTTGATGAATGTGGTGATACTACCGAAAGAGATCTCAACCATGCTGTTATTGCTGTTGGTTACGATTAATAAGGTAACTGGATTATTAGAAATAGTTGGTCTGCAGCTTGGGGTGAAAATGGTTATATTAGATTAGCTCCTGGTAATACTTGCGGTGTCTTATTAGATAATTTAGTTGTTACTTAATGATTAATAAATCATTTATATAAAATTAATTTACATTAAAAGTTTATATTAATATATATAACAGTATTTGGTTATCATTTTCTTTTTTTAATTAAATTTTTAAAGTTCATAGTTCATTTTTCTAAAATTAGCTCAACCGAAGGACATTAAAAAAAAATTTAATATAGCAATAAATTACAAAAAAAAGCTAAGTACCCTGTTCTTACTTGAATTTTTTAAATACATTATTTACTACCCATCTCTAAATTTTATTACATTTTTAAGTATACTTTTTAAATTAAAATGTTATTCTTTTTATTTGATTTGAAATAAAAAAGTAAATTATTTTTTTAATAAATAAAATTCCATAAATTTTTGTTCAATATTTTAGAAAAAATAAATCAATGATATTATAGAAAAAATACTATCAAGATCTATAAAAAGTAGTATTTATTATTTTATGAAAATTATAAAAATATATTATTATTTATAAAAAAGTTTTTGAATTCTTCACTTTAATCTCATTAAGTTCTCCATATTGCTCAAAGGTATATTTAAGTTATTAATATTATTATTATTAATCTTTTTTTTATATTTAACTTTCAAGCTACTTACAATATTATATTTCTTATAGAATATCATATTTATTCATTTTTATTAATTCAAATATTTTTTTAAATTATTTTTCACTATCAACTTTTATTTTGATATCAATTTCTAGTTATTTCATTTTTTTTTTTTCTTCTTCTAACTAACTAATTAATTATACATTTTATTCAATATTTAAAAAGTGGAAAATTATTTGGTACAATTGGTGCATCAGGCTTAAGTTTTGCTTTAGAAAAATGCACAAATGTCTCAAATTTGACACTTGATCTTGGGTAAAAACAGTTTATTGTTTTATATTGTGATATTAATTAATAAAAAAATGAACAATAAAGCTCTGTTAATATAGTTATCTTTCTTTTTATTTTGATTATTTTTTTTCTTCCTATGTTTCTTTGTAAATTTAAATCATTTTTTCTTTTTTAACTTATTCTTTCATTATTATTTAATTCGTTTCTACTTATTTCATATTTCCAATATTTAAAAAGGTGTAATAAAATTGGTGATGAAGATGCCTCGGGCTTAAGTTAAGCTTTAGAAAAGTGCACTAATCTCTCAAATTTGACACTTCTTCTCTAGTAAAAATAATTTATTTGTTTTAGATTGTGATATATTTTGTAATAAAAATGAATTTTAACTTTTAAACTCTTTTAATTTAACTAATTTATAATTTGATTTGTTTTTCTTTTAAATTCTGCTTGTTTTTTCCTCTGTTTTTTAATTTAACTCATTATTAATTTCAACTTTTGATTTTATTTATTATAACAAATTCATTATTTCATATTTTTTCCTTCTAACTAACTAATTGACTATATATTTTTTCATCATATTTACAAAGTGGAAATTAAATTGGTGCAATCGGTGTATAATGCTTAGGTTCTGCTTTAGAAAAATGCACTAATCTCTCAAATTTGAAACTTAATCTTTAGTAAAAACAGTTTATTTGTTTAGGATTGTGATATTTTTTATTTTAAAAAATTTATTTATTAGCTTTTTATTTTATTTTTCTTTTTATTTTGTTTATGTTAATTTTTCTTTTGTTTGTTAATTTAACTGATTTTTGCTTTGATTATTATTAATTCATTCATTTCTTATTATTTCATATTTTCTTTATTTTTTCTTATTAGCTAACTAATTAATTATTTTTTTTCTTCTCAATATTAAAAAAGTGGAAACTAAATTGATGACGAAGGTGCATCAGGTTTAGGTTAATCTTTAGGTAAGTGCATTAATCTCTAAAATTTGGCAATTCATCTTAAGTAAAAATAGTTTATTTATTTTGGATTGTGATATTTAAAAAAAAAAAGTTATTTAAAATGATAAAATTCTTATAATTTTTGTATATTCGATTTCTATTTCTTTTATTTTTCACTTTTATTAATCTCTGTTTTTTTTATTTTAATTGAACTCATTTTTTTATTTCTAACTTAATTTTTTTTTATTTCATTTTTTTCTTTCTAAATAACTAATTAATTACCTATTTTTTTTTCTATATTTAAAAAGATCCAATCAAATTGGTGCAACTGGTGCTTCAGGCTTAATTTCTGCTTTAGAAAAGTGTAATCATCTCTCAAATTTGATACTTGATCTTTAGTAAAAGCATTTTATTTGTTATTCATTTTATAAAATTGAGGATGCCTTTGGATTTTATTTATAAGAAAATATTTTAATGTAGAAAGTAATTACAAAATTTAATTTAAATTTATATACTAAAATCCCACTCATTTTTTACAAACCCAGCTATTTAATGCTCAATAAATGATAAATACAAATATAAAAATATTTAATTGATTAAAAAATATTCTTGAATTGTTCTATTTACCAAAAAAATAAAAAAGGCTTTTTTTTTTTTTGATTAATCAAAAATTAAAATTATGAGATTAAATTAATAGGAAGGTATTTATTTATTTTCAAATTTTGCAAAATATTAAAATTCTTTGATATTACTTACATTCATTTTTTTATTTTCTACATTTGCTTTTATAATCAATAGATTCATTTCTTACTTTTTCTTCATTTTTTTCTTCTAACTAACTTATTAATTATTTATATTTTTCTTTAATATTTAAATAGTAGAAATAAAATTGGTTAATTAGGTGCATCAAGCTTAGGCTTAGCTTTAGCAAAGTGCACTAATATCTCAAAGTTGGAACTTGATCTTTGGTAAAAATAGTTTATTTGTTTTGGATTTTGATATTTTTAAAAATTATAGTGAATTTAAAACAATAAAGCTCTTTTAATTTATTTATTAGCTTTTATTTAAATAATTTTTTTATTCTGCTTGTGTTATTTCTTCTTTGTTAATTAATTTAATTCATTTTTTATTTTCGACTTTTATTATTAATAGACTAATTTCGTATTATTTCGTATTTTTTTACTTCTAACTAACAGACTAATTAATCATACACTTTTTATTTAACATTTGAAAAGTGGAAATTAAATTGGTATAATTGGTGCATTAGATTTAGGTTATTCTTTAGGAAATTGCACTAATCTCTAACATTTAAAACTTGATCTCTAGTAAAAATAGTTTGTTTGTTTTCGATAAACGATAAAATTCTTTTTTTTATTTATTAGCTTTAATATTTGATTTTTTTTGTTTAGCTTTTTTTTTCTTCTTTATTTCTTTGTTTACTTAAAACCTTAAAACATTTTTTCATTTCCAACTTTTGCTTTAATTATTGATAAATTAATTTCTTATTATTATTTTATACTTTTCTACATTTTTCCTTCTAACTGCAAATTAATTATTTACTTTTTCTTCAATATTTAAAAAGTGAAAATGAAATTAATGAATAAGTTGTACCAGGCTTAGGTTATGCTTTAGAAAAGTGCATTAATCTCTAAAATTTTATGCTTAATCTTTGGTAAAATAGCGTATTTCTTTTGAATTGTGATATTTTTTTATATAAAAATGAATTTAAAAATAATTAAATTTTTTAAATAAATTAATTTCTTTTAACAGCTTTTTATTTATTTTATTTCTCTATTTTATTCTGCTTGTGCTATTTTATTTCTTTCTTATTTAATTTAATTTATTTTTTCATTTTTAGTTTTGCTTTTATTATGGATTAAATTTATTATTTCATATTATTCCACCATTTTTTCCTTCTAACTAACTAATGAATTTTTTATTTACTTTTTCTTCAAAATTAAAAGGTCAAATAAAATTGGTGCAATCGGTGCATCAAATTTAGGTTCTGCTTTAGTAAAGTGCACTAATCTCACAAATTTGACACTTGATCTCTAGTAAACAGTTTATTTATTTTGGTTTGTGATATATTTTAATATAAATATGAGTTTAAAACAATAAAACACATTTAATCAATTTATTTATTAGTTTTTTATATGAATAATTTTTGTTTTTTATTTATCTCTTACTATTTATTTATTTGTTAGTTTAACTCATTTTTCATTTTCAACTTTTGATTAAATTATTCTTCAATTTTTTCCTTTTAACTAACTAATTAATTATATATTTTGTATTCAATATTTAAAAAGTAGAAATTTAATAGGTGATGAAGGTACATTAGGCTTATGCTCTGGTTTAGAAAAGAGCACTAATCTCTCAAATTTAAAACTTGATCTTGGGTAAAATCCGCTTATTCGTTTTTAATTATGATAGTTAAAATAAAGGAGGGAATAAAATTGGATATATTTAAAATATTTTTAAATCGAATAGAATTTTAATAAAACTAAAATTTAGAATCGAAAAAAAAAATACTTTAATTTCCACCTAGAGTTATTAATATAAAAATGAATTTTAAATATTAATTTATTTTAATTATTTTTTTCTTTTCTTCTTGTGATTTTAATCTTTTATTGTTAGTTTAACTCATTTTATTATTATTAATTAATTTCTTATTTTTCATATATTTTCTTCATTTTTTTCATCTAACTAGCTATAAATTATTTATTTTTTCTTCAATATTTAAAAAGGTAGAATAAAATTAGTGTAATTGGTGCTTCAGGCTTATATTCGTCTTTAGGAAAGTGCACTAATCTCTCTAATTTGATACTTGATCTTAGGTAAAAAACAATTTATTTATTTGGATTGTGATATTTTTTAATATAAAAATGAAATTAAACAATAAAACTTTTTTTTTATTATTTGTTAATTTAACCCTTTTTTCATTTTCAACTTATGCTTTCATTATTAATAAATTGTTTTTATATAATTTCATATTTTTTCCTTCTTACTAAATAACTAATTATTTAATTTTGCTTCAATATTTAAAAAGTGGAAATTAAATTGGTAAAATTGATGCCTCAGTCTTAGGTGCTGTTTTTGGAAAATGTACTAATCTCTCAAATTTAAAATTATATCTTAGGTAAAAAGTTTATTTGTATTAAATAGCTATTTTTATAAAAAAATAAAATGAATTTAAAACAATAAAACTCTTTTAATCAATTTATTTATAAGCTTTTTATTTGATTCATTTTTCTTTTTTATTCTTCTTGTATTATTTTTTTCTTTTTTTATTAATTTAACTTATTTTTTAATTTCCAACTTTTGCATTAATTATTTATTAGTTAATTTCCAATTATATTTTTTCTTCATTTCCCATCCATCCATCCATCCATCCATCCATCCATCCATCCATCCATCCAACTAACTTAATTAATTGAATATGTTTTCTTCAATATTTAAAAAGAGAAAATTAAATTAGCAATGATGGTATATCATTAGGTTCTGCTTTAGAAAACTGCACTAATCTCTCAAATTTGACACTTGATCTCTAGTATAAACATTTTATTTATCTTTGATTGTGATATTTTTTAAATGAGCTTAAAACTATTAAATTCTTTTAATTTATTTATTAGCCTTTTATTCATTTTTATTTTTTTGTTATTTTAATTAATTTTTTTATTTTTAACTTTTGATTTAATTATTATTTAATTCATTTCTTACTATTTCATATTCAATTTTTCCTTCTAATTAACTAACTAACTAACTAATTATTTATTTATTTTTCTCTAATATTTAAAAAGGTCCAATAAAATTGGTGATCTAGGTATACAAAGGTTTGGTTTTGCTTTAGAATAGTGCACTAATCTCTCAAATTTGACACTTGATTTTTTGTATAAACATTTTATTTGTTTTTGGATTGTGATATTTTATAAAATAAAAATGAGTTTAAAACAATTAAACTCTTTTAATTTATTTATTTATTTATTAGCCTTTTATTGGATTTATTTTTCTTTTTTTTTTCAGCTTTTGTTTTTTCCTTTTTGTTAATTTAGCTCTTTTTTTCATTTTATTTATTTGTTATTATTTCATATTTTTTCCTTCTACAGCATTTATTAAACATTTTTTCTTCGATATTTAAAAAGTGCCAATAAAATTGGTGATGAAGGTTTGTATGAGTTAGGTTTTTCTTTAGGAAAGTGCACTAATCTTTAAAATTTGACGCTTAATCTCAAGTAAAAACAATTTATTTGCTTATGAATTGTTATATTTTTAATATAAAAATGAATCTAAAACAATAAAACTCTTTTAATTTATTAATTTTTTATTATCTTTTTATTTAATTTAATTATCTTTTTTATTCCAATTTTGTTATTTTTTAGATTCTCTTTTAATTTAAATCGTTTTATTTTCATTTTTAGCTTTTGCTTTGATTATTTTAAATTCATTTCTTATTATCTTTTATTTATTCCTTCTAACAAAATATTTAAAAAGATCCAATAAAATTTGCACAATAAGTACATTACGCTTAGGTTCTGCTTTATAATAGTGCACTAATCTCTCAAATTTGGCAATTAATCTCTAGTAAAATAGTTTTTTAGCTTTGGAATATTTTTAATATAATAATGAATTTAAAATAATAAAACAATTTTAATAAATTTATTTATTAGCTTTTTTTATTCGATTTATTTTTCTTTGGTGATATTGTTTTTTATATTTTGATTTAAAATATAATTTTTAATTTAAAATTTTTATTCTCATTCATTTTGATTAATAATTTATGCTAATTTATATTAAAAGTTCAAACAAAATCAATAAATCAGAAGAGTTGTAAGTAGTAAGTAAGTATCTTAAATTAAAAAGATTAGTTGCAATTAAAATAAATTTCAAATGGTGATAAATTAATTTTAAAAAAAGGATGAATAAATATAAAAATATTTGAATAATAAAATTTAATATGTTTTATATTATAATATTTTGTATTAGTATAATTTACCTTAAAATAGTAATAAATTTATGATTATATTTACAATATAAAATTTTTGATAAGTTAAAGAAAAAGTAAAAATCAACCTTTATATAATGAAGTGATAATGTACTAATATATGAACATTTACAGTTATAATAAATTATTAAAATTTTTATTTTTATTTTATTAAAGATTTTTATAATAAAATATTAATTGACTCTATGTAATTCATAAATTTTTTCTTAGCTAATTAATTTTTTATCATAAAATCATTCATTAGAATTTTACTGTCTTGAGATTTTGCTTTAGTTATTTTGAGACATTTTCTTCTAAGAAAGAATCTAAATATGATCTTCTATTGAATATAGTTGATTCTTTTTTTTTATTTATTTATAAAATTAGAAAATTTATTATTATTTTTAAATACTTACAATTCTTATTTTATTTTGTGTATATAATTATTCTTTAGATTCCAAATTTTGCTAATTAATTCAAATAAAATTGTTAGTGTTTTATATTTTGTAAATAATACATATGCTGTATAGAAAAAAAATAAAGTACTTTTAAAGAAAATCTAAATAAAAATTAGTTTATTCATGTTTAAATTAATTTACATTAATCAAGGTTTTAGGAGATTAGACAGTAAAATCATTGCTTAACATATTTTCGTCTGGAATAATTGATAAAATTGAGTGATTAGATGGATTTATTTAGATATCACATGCATTTTTATTTTCTTACTTGTCTTGGTTATTGTAAATATCATTAAATTAAAAATCAACAGAAATTTACTTTTCAATATCTTTTTGATTTAAATGTTTGGTGCTAAAATTCGACTTTAAAATATTTTAAAAAATACTTTTAGTGAATTAAATTTTATTGTCTTTATTTTAATTTTAAGGTGAAATGTCCTAGCCTTAATTCACAGAACCATTAGTACAAGAAATATGTTTTTCTTTTTATTATGTTTCACTTTTTTATCTTCTTTTTTGCAGATCTTTATCTTTAACATATTTTTTATCTCTAAGGTCTCCTCCTTCTTTATCTTTAATTAAAATATTAAAGCTATAAACGGGTAATAAAAATTCATTTATTATCCTTATTTGAATTTCAGGCTCATCTTTTGCTTTAGGAATTCCCCAAATATGAATTATTCCATCAATGATTTCACAGTTAAGCCATTTAGGAAGAGGATTGTTTATGGTTAATTCTATTTTTCTATAATCATCTTTTAACATTTTTTTGAGAGTTAAGCAACAGCCCTAAGATTAAAAATAAAATTTAACTTTTTGTCAAAATGATAAATAAAATTACATTGTATTTTTTATATGCTGTTATGTTATTAATTTGGTGAGGATAGACAATTATCGATTCACCTTTATTAGGAGAAATCTAAAAAAAATTATTTTTAATTCCTAATGCTTCTGAAATAATAAATTCTTATAACAAATAATTGTCATACTATTTTAGATTCTACTTTTTTATATCCTCATTCAAACAATCAATTTTTATAATAATCTATGGGAAAGGATTCAAGTTTTTATATTCTTAGATATCTTCATCTAACTCATTATTTCTTAATTTGTAAATATTATTTTTTGCTTCTTTTTCTTCATATTAAGGGTTATTCAGTGTTTATATATTATCATTTAAACTGAGTTTATTAATTTCACTTTTGTACCTTAGAATTGATTATAAAGGTGTATTTTCTCCATTTTTATTAATAATTCTGAACTAATTCGCTTCATACGAAGGAATAATGTGGATATAATTTTTATACCAATCATTCTTAGAGTATTTTTTTGATCCTTCTTTTTTCAAGAATTTTAATAATTATGTGGTAAACTTGTCTTTATCTAAAAGTATTTTAAGTACATATCCTCTTATTGTTCTGGAGAGTCTGCTATCATCAAAATCGAACTCTCTTGGGTCCAATGTAGAATAAATTTTATGATTTTGATCAAAAATTTAATGCATTTATTACATTATTGTTTGAATATTTATTGAATTTTATTAGGTATATTAGAAAATTATTTCACTTTATAAATTTTTATTTTATTTATTCAAATTTTTCCATAGCTGCCTTGCATGATTTTACACATCATCAAAAAGAACTATTTGCTTCTTATACAATTCACCTACAATAACTATATCGCTTGAATATAAGTAGTAAGACTACATAAAAAGCCTTTTTATAAATAAAAATATAAAATTGATTTTAACCAATAAATTAAATTTAATTTACTAATAAATATTTGATCTGTATTTCCAAATGCCTAGAATCCCAAAAATTGGTCCAACGATTTAAAATATTAATTGCATTGTATACGTAAAAGTCAATTAATTAAAATAAATGGTAAATTAGTCAGAAACTTCAGTAAAACCATCGCTTGCAACCACCTTTATTCTTTCTGTACTTAAAAACGAACTGATAGATTTGAATCCAGTGAATGTCTTTTAAATTAAAAAAAAATTAAACATTTGTAAATAAAAATTTAATAAATACAAGCGTCTGTGGGTTAAATTCTATCCATAAATTAGAAACTTAAACAATTTCCTATGGTAGTGAATTTGAATCAGTTACAATATAAGCTTTGTAAGTGAGTTGCTATTTGTCTAAATCATTGAAAGTATTTATGTCAAAAGTAAACTAAAATTTAGATTCTACACTAGCTTCACCATTAGAGTATGCTTTATTAAATTATTGTTATAATAAAGAACTTTAATTGAGAGTTACAGGATTGTTAAGGTAAATAAAATCCTAAAAAACTGAAAAGCTTTCTTCAAAGTTTATATCATAATTAGATGAATCAGATACACTTCCTTGAAAAATAATTTCATCAAAGTTGGTTGTCAAGTTAGCTATTTGAATTTAACTAGAAACAATTTAATTAACTTTAATAGAGGGACCTTCAATTTTAAGACTGCTTAAGTCATCTGAAAAGGAAGCAAGAACTCCTTCAAATGTTTTTCTAATAAATTTAGCTTTCTAATTGATGCTAAAGTAAACAATTATTTAGTATGAAGGAGTTGAGAATAAATCAATATTTTCCTACTTAAAAGTTTTATAATTGAATTTAAGAGAGCTTTCTATGAAAAATCTTATGGGGTAACTCACTTTTGAGAATGTAAGAATTTATTTTACATAGGCCTAAATTTTATTATCTGTATTTGGATCTTTTACTATATCTGAGTTGTAAAAATCTAAGTAATCAAACTAATTTGGATCAAAGTTGGTGTCTAGGAAATTATAGGTGGAAATCACTCCTTTTACTCTAAGAGTAGATATTATTGCGTTGGCCATTTTTTAATTAATTATTTCATTGATAAAATCAGAAAATAAAACTTCCTAAAAAACTTCTAAAATTAAAACATTTTCACCATTTTTTTCAGTAGAAAATGTATTTAAGGCACCTTCCTTGTCAACCGTAATTTCGATTGTTTTTTAATTACTTAAAAAATTCATCCATGTTGGCAAATTTTTATTTTCATAATTTCTATAATAAAACACTTAAGAAAATTTAATGTCTCTGTTTACTTCTAAAGGAACAAAAACCATTTAAACATTTTAACCAACTTTGAGCTTTTATCCATTAGTTACCAATTAGTAAAAGGATTTTCCACTAGAATTTACAGTTAACACACTAATTTGAGTATGGATTTTTAAGCTAGTTTGAATTGGAATATATCGCAGTCCCATGTCACCTATTTAATTTTTATTGTTTGTTTTGTATTCATTAAAAAGAGAGTGATTAATTTTTAAAGTATTAACAAAAAGTTTTAAAATAAATTTCAAACAAACATTAATAATAAAAATTATTTTTGTATTTTCTAGAAAAATATAAATTGAATTAAATCTTATTTAAGTTTTTAAGGCAAGGATTAAAGTATTTTTGTTAAATTTTTAAGTAAAAAATTTAATTAACATACCAATAAAATAAAGACTGTTGTTATCAGGAGTAATACAAAAGCTTGATGAGCTTTCATGAGGATTACTGACTTTAGAAAATATATATGGATTACTGTAATCTTCAATATTTATTACAGTTAATTAACCTTTTTCCATCTAGGAAACTAAGATATATTTTTAATCAAATTAGGGTAAAAAATGTATGGTCTAGGCTTGCCCATCAACAGTCAAAGTACTTACTATTTTAGGATTAAATTTGTCCTAAATATCAGCAATTACTAAACCTTAAAAACCTGCTGAAGTGAATAGATGAGTTTCATCTGCTGAAAGAATAGGATATTCTGTACCTACTCTTTATATTATTGATACAGGAGTAACTTTTTGGTCTTAGTAACTAAATATAACAACTCCCTGCTCCCTGCATGCACAAAATATATAATCACTTTGCTTACTAACAGCACATTTCTCAAAAGTACATTTATATTAATCTGTGTTAATAAATTCTCCTGCTAATTTGGGATTGAATTTATCATCTTTTATATTATAAACAGATATACCAATACTCCCATTTCCGATTATCAATATGCTATTATCTCTATTCACAAGGACTCTTTATATAAATAAAAATAAAAAATTAATTCATTATTTTGTTCACTTAAATTTAAAATGATTTTAACAAAGTTTAAAAGATAGATTTAAAAATTACCCATCAGAATCATTAATTACGCTGCTTGGAATGATGTGCTTTTTTTAAATAGGATTTTTCAGGTCACTGATATCGTATACATAAAATCCTAATTAGCTTAGTCCTAAATATAGGATGCTTTAAGGCTATTAATCATATAATAGAGTTAATCCATCGTAGGCTGCTCCTTCAATAGAAGGAATTTTTGTAATGAGTTCAGGCTGATATGGATTATCAATAGAAAAAATAAAAGTTGAATCTGTTCCACCTGCAATAATTACATGTTTGTTATCATTAAAGCAAAATATTTCCCATGGCCATGGATCTTTGAACCCACCTACAACATTTGACTGAAAATTATTAAATAAATTAGGAAAATCCTTATTAATTTGAGGCTAATCTGACTAATATATAACAAGAGAAAGACCATTTGATGCAAAGAGATATTTCTCATTAGAAGATAATATTAATTTATAGCACATCTAGCCCCCATCTATGTCTTATATATATTATGGTGAAAAATATTGTTGATCAACAATCTTGAAGAGCTTGAGACCAACGCTTCTGAATCCAAGTATGAAGTAATCTCCGATTTTAGTCATATCAATACTCATAATAAATAGTGGTGACTAATAAATAATCTAAAGATTTAATGGAAACAAATCATCTTTTTCCATAGGAATATCTAATATACCTTATATAGGTGAAGCGTAAAGTCCAAAATAGCTATCGACAGCATATACAACAGAATTACCAGGCATAAAAAGACTATCAAAAACTTTTGAAGCTGTTATTTAAGAAGCTCTAAGTTTAATATTATTTTTATTTCTCACATCAATTATTTAGAGTCCAGCAACATGATTGGAAACTGCTAACAGAGACTCAGTTTCATCTAATTTGATTTTATTAGTAATAGGAGTGCTGACACCTATTTATTTAATAATAATAATAATAATAAAAATAATAAATTTTTTGAAGTTAATTACATTAAATATAAATAAATGTTTTATTAATTTAATTTTTTTAAAAGAAAAGAATGTTAGTAACCTGCCTTTGAAAGTAAAACTGGATTTTTTATGTCTTAAATGTTGTAACAATAAACTATACCGTTCCCAATCAAAAATAGCGTTTTCATATCTTTTGTTACAGTAAGGGAATAAGATTGCATAGGAGTAGGCAAGGTATATATTTTTTAAGGGTTAGAAGGGTCTTTTATATCAAAGATTATCAACCCCTCTTCTAAATCAGATACAAACAAATAGTTTTATCTTATTTTCATATCATATGCTCCTTTAGTTTTTATTATTGTGACTAAAGTAGGTTGCTGTATATCTTCTAAGGATATCACACAAATACCTCCTTATATTCTAGAGAGAAAAGCCCATTTATTGTCCTCTGTAACTTCTTAATAAAATGCAGTAAACTTATCTATACTGCTTACTGAAAAACTAGATATTGGTTAAGGATTAAAAATGATTTCTCTTGCATATAGAAAAGCAATTTAAAAGAATATTAAGGAAATATTTATTATAAGACTTTTCATGTTGAAATTTTGTAAAAAGAGAAAAGTAAGTTTTTGCTTTTTTATTGTTCTTAAAAATATGCTTTAATTAAATTTTTGATACTTATTTATTATTAATTTATGGAAGAAAATATAAGTAAATGTTTATTTTTGTTCACCATACATACATACTCATTCTCTATAGTTTGTTTTGGAAATCAATAATAAATACTTAATAAGCAAATATCTATTTTTGAATGCATTTATATTTGATTTGGTTATAAGTTTTGTTTTTTAATATTTGCATTTTGTGGCATTTATTTTCTAAGTTGATTTATAAAATTGAATTTCTTTCAAATAATTGAGTCAAAAATACAAAATATCCATTCAGCAGAAAAATAAAATTTAACTTAGTACTAAATAAGACCTTACAGTTCTTAAAATCGGAAACCAGCAAGCCTGAATATTTATGTTTGAAATACTAAATCAATTTAATAAAGAAGTTGAACATAGTATTAGGAATTTTCAAAATATATTCACAAGTACTTCTATTAGCTAAAAATAATAAAGATTTTTTAAATTTATTATATTGTATATAAATTGTAAATTCTTTATCCTTTAATAGAAATTAATTAGACATATTTTCTATTAATAGATTCAATTTTTACAGCTTTGTACTTAGCTTTATGTAATTTCAAAATGATTAAATTTTTTTTTAAAGAGTATTTTTGAATTTTATTCAGATACATTTAATATATTTAGAAAAAAATGTGGCTTTTAATTTATGTAAAAAATAGATATTTGCAATTTTTAAAATATGTTAATGTAAGTTCGAAAGAATATTTCTTATCAAAATAATTAAAAAATATATTTATAATTCTAATTACTTTTTATTTTTTAAAATACGTTTGCATTTTATTAAAATATAATCAAGTTAAAAACATTTTCAAAAATAATAAAAATCTTAATAATTTTTGCTTTGAAAATGATTTAAATTGCTCTTTTTTATTCAAGTAAATTAGTAAAAAAAAACTTTAGGTCACTTTTTTCCATTAAATATTTTTTAACTTATATTATTATCATCGACCTATCTTATCTGTTTTTTATCCACGAGTATTCAAAAGTATTAATTTTAATATTGAAAAAATGCAATTAATTGATTGGAAGTGTTTTGATAGATTTTATTGTAATCTCAAAATTTTTGATTTGATTATCTTTTTATTATTTATTAATTAAGAATTCTAATTATTTTTGAAGCTAAGAATAAAAAACCATAAAATCAATAATCGAAAAAACCTATCTTATTTACAATAAATTTCTTAAGTGACTATTGTATTATCATTATTTAATTAAAAAAAATTACTTACAATTAGTTAAAAACTTGACTAATTTAACAGAGATATTAGTAACTTGTAAATAATATCCTCTTTTTTAATAAGATTTTTGTGATTTACAAAAAGATTTGGTAAAAAATTATTTTTTTTTCCCTTAAAGCAGAAAAATGGCTTAAATAAAATAAGTAAAATAAATATTTTTTGTATTTTTCACATTAATTATATAAACAGTAAATTATTTCATTAAAATATTATCAATTTAGAAATTTAGTTTTTAAAATAACAGTTATTTAAATATCAAATCTTACAGTTAAAATATTACCAATAATTCTAAATTTTTTAAATTGATTAAAATTTCATTTGAAAGTGAAGCAATTCTGAAAAAAGATTAATAAGATTGTTACGAAAATTAACTTCAAAATATAAGGATATATTTTTGATAAATAGTATTTTTTATCTATTACTTAAATAAGAAAATTATTTCATTTATTGTATTTAAATACCTATATTTTGCAAAACAGGTATAAAAGAAGAACTTATATAATTTTTTTCTTAATTAATATAATCTTCAACCACAATTTCAATTTTGCATTATTTTTTGGTCATAAATATTTAATCAAATTACTTTGTAGAAAGATCATCATTTGGATATATTTAGATACCTTATAATGTCAAATCTAATATCTTTATTGAATTATCATAGAAAATTATTTTAATTGAGCATAATAAAATTTTTCAAGCTACATAAATTTTAAAATGATGAAAATTATAATTTGATTAATCAGAAAATTCTATCTCAAAAATAGCTAAATTAAACCTACTTGTAAAATTAGCTATCTAAATAATACCTGAAACAATTTAATTACATAGAAAGAAGGAAGCTCTATTTCCAGAATAAATGTTAAAAGTAAATCTTTTTCACATTATAGATAAATGACTCAAAAAAAAAAAATACGTGGTATATCTTTCTCTTGCTCTTTTCGCAAATGGAATTTATCACATAAAAAATAAATTTCACCACCTTTAAAATATTTACAAAGTAAAATTTTTATTCTTTGAATTTGAATTCATTTAATTATCTAGTAATAGATTTATTTATATATCTGGCTTAAATTATAAGATTTTAGTAACACAATTTAAAATAAAATTATTTTAAAAAAAGAGTTTAATAACTTATGATAAACTCAAAATTAAAATTAAATTTTCATAAATAAAAGATATTTTAAGTTCAATTAAAAAGTAAATTATATATTTTTAATGAACTAACAGATAAAATACTAGGGTCTTTCTTTTTTATTAAGTCTCTTAAGAATATTTTTATAATTATGTTGATTTATTAACCATTTTTAAGGCTGTTTATGCATCGATTAACTCACACATGCTTGAATACTTAATCAGCTTTTTCTTTATACTTGTAAAGGTTTTGTATCTTATTAATTACTTTATATTTCTTATTATTATTAAGCTTACTTTTCAGCTTCAGTTCTATTTAATTCAATTTTTATTAGGAATAGAAGGAGAAGTGCTACTCCAAGGCAAATAACTTAAATAATGTATACTAAAATAGCATTTGTTTTTGTCTCATTTATCAGTATTGCAGAATATGTTTCTCCAGAAACAAAACTCATTAATTAACCACTCCCAGCAAGTAATCCTCCAGATATACTTGGATCCACTGGATATGTCATTTCTGAAGATAGCATTAGGAAAAGTGGGCTTGCATGAATTGTTAATATACCAATTACTGCATATGGTAAAAGTAGAAGATTTTTATTACCGATTGGAAGAATAGGTATTGCTATTCCATATCCAATCGTTGTTACTGCTAAGCTAATAATTAAATGCTTTTTATAATCTGGATTTTATTTAAAGTATTTCATTCCTCTCCTTAAACCTATAATACCTGCTATTGTTATAGTATTATTACAATAAGTTGTAACTTCTGATCCATACCCAAAAGGATTTAATATGTAAGATAAAACTACACTAGCTCCTCCAGAGCAACCTGAAAATAAACCAAAAGAAACAAAGAGCAATAAGTAGTTTTTGTTTGTAAGAATTTCTTTGATTTATGGACCAAAAGGTAACTTTTCTTTTGCAGCTTCAATACTTGGGGGAGTAGGAGGTTTTTCTTAAAAGAGAAGGCATCCAATAATTGCAAGAGGTGTTGCTATATAGGCTTCAATGCACATTACTTAATATGCTTTGTCTTTCCCTTCACTATAATTAGTAAGAGAATCTTTTTCATCATCATATCCATTAAACATTAAACCTGGGAGAATACTAGACAGGATCTAGCCGATAAGCAAACCTAGCATGCAAAACAAAAATATTTTTCTTCTATTTTAGGGTTTAAACCATATAGCGGGGAGACTGTTCATCATATTTTGATTAAGGGGAAGACCGATACCTAAGAGTATTTGAGCACCAAGAACAGTGTAATAGTTATTATTTATGAGTAATCTTATCCATACAGCAACTATCATAATAGTGCAAGAAATCCAAATTGTGAAGCGCAAACCTAACTTTTACATCAGAAAACTTGCAACAAAAGACATAGGTAAGAAAGTAATATTGGATGCCAGAGTATTCATAGATACAATTACAGGATTTATATCGTAGATTTTTGATATTTAAGAATTTATTGGATTAAAAGCCAGTAAAACAGAATTATAAGTAAGTGTTATGATTATGTAGCCTGCAAATGTTGCCCATCTTGAATCATATTCTTAAAACTACTAATCATTTTAATCATTTAAATTAATTGTATTTTATTAATTTTATTTTACCATTTTGCTAATTTTATATAAATTACTTATTTATTATTGATTATTTAATTGTAAGAGCAAATATCATTAATTTAAACAATTAAAAGAAATAGATAAATTTCATCAAAATTAAATTTAGTGTCAGAAATTAATAGAAAATTAGTTATTTACAAATTTTTTTTTGTTAAATAGAGAAATTTTAAAATGAGAATTTAACACAAAATAGGCAGCAAATATTTTTAAAAATTAGATAAAAAGTACTATTTTTTTATAAGTTTACGCAATAAATTCTTTAATATGTTTTATTTTTTCAAATAGAGCTAAAAATTTTATCATATTTTTGAAGCAAAACACTTTAGTTTATTAATCTTAATATATTTTTATAAAATCAGCATTAATTAAAAATAAAATAAATAGTAAAAATTGTTTAATAAATTAAAACAGAAATTATAAGTGTTTTACTTTAATGTAATATTCTTTTAAAGAAAAAAAAAATTTAAATGGCAGTATAATTATTATTAAAAAGATATTTAATAAAAAATATATTTTTATACGTTCTAAAATTTCAAGTATAAAAATAATAGGAAATCTTTAGATTATAAATATTGTTTTCAATTTTAATTTGAAAAAACAATATTAGCTCAAAATTAATAAGAAATAAAAATCTATATAATAAATCCTATAAAAAAAGAATTTAAAACAAAACAAAAATAAAATAGATAAAGTAATCATTCAAAATTTTTATAAATCATTAAATTATGAGATAATAAATCATAATTGTTTCATAAGTCATTTTTAGAGGCAAATTTTTTAAAAGAACTTATCTAGTTGTTGAAGTTTTTATATTCTATTTTACAATTATCTTGATTGATAACTTATTTACAGATATAATAAAAAAATCATCAAATAAACATAAATAATTAGAAAAAATATTTCATTTGTTTCAAATTCTTACTAAAAAAGAAAAAAATTAGGTATTGCAAAAAAAATCTTACTATAAAGATATTAAATAAAAATGAGTTTTTTATTCCAAGTTAAATTCAAAATATTAAAAATGATAAATTATCTTAAATTATGAAAATAAATTTTTTTATAAGTTTTCAAATAGTTAAATAATATTTTACAAATATCAAAAGAATAATAAATCAATTTTTATAAATCAACCATTTAAATGAATTTATTTTGTAGTTGAAGGTTTTATTCTTTTTTTAATTATCTTTTATTTAAAAACATATTTATTTGAATAATAAAAAATTAAAAAAGAAATTATTAGAAAAATTAATGCTTATAATATAAAATTCAATAACTAAATATAAAAAACATTTTTAATAACAATATAATACTTATTATAAAGATATTTAAATAAAACTAACTTTTCTACTGATATTTGAATAATAAAAATGATAAATAAACTTTAATTTTAAAAAAATTAATAACTTTGTAATTTATTTTCAAATTAAAATAAAAAGAATTTCATATTATTAAAAACCTAGATTATCATCCAATTATATTAATATTAAAAATATTTAAATTTAATTTAGTTGATAGATAATTAGAAAAGCTAATATTTAAATTAGAGATAGGAGTTGAAAGAAATCTATTTAAGAAATTTCATTTTTATCCATTTTGTCAAACTGATACTTTAGATTTTTACTTCTAATCAATATAATTTAAAAATAATATTATATTGGCTTTTAATAAATAGAAATAAATTTAAATATCTTCTTCCTTTTATATGAAATTTCTAGTAAAAATTAATTTAGAAGTTTAAAATTTAAATATTTTTTAATTAAATTTTTCTCTTTTTAAAAATTTATGATCATAAACATTAAAAAAAATGTTTTTTGGCATTCAATAAATAGAAATAATAATTTATAAATTCATTTTAAATTAAAAACTTTTGTTAATATTCAGATTTTGAAAATAAACAGTTTAAAATCATATATTAAAATATATCAAAGAGTAGTATGTATGTTAGAATGGGATATTATTTATTTTATATGATAATAAATATGATTTTATTTAATTAATTTTTAATAAAAAATGATTTATTTTATATAATATTTAATATGTTATTATAAATAATATGTAAAGAGAGTGAGTGATACTTACTTAAAATACTATGAAATTAGTTCTTTATTCTATTTTTGATTTTTTGATTTTATAATTCATCAAAAACGTTTGTTTTCTCTTTTTTTTTATTAATTTTATTCTTCTACTTAATTTTATAATGGTTATTAATCAGGTCCTTATGCTTCAGTCCTTTTTAATTGCACAGTTAGAGGGAATAAAAGTAGAAAAGCAACTCCAAGACAAATAATTTAAATTATGTAAATTACTATTGCACGTTCTTCTGTTTCATTTATCATAATAGCAGAATAGACTTCACCAGAAATAAAACTCATTAATTATGCACTGCCTTATAATAAACCCCCTGATATGCTTGGGTCTGCTGGATAAGCTACTTCTGATGACAGATTAATGAAAAGAGGCATTGGGTGAAATGATAAAATTCCTATTAGAGCATATGGTAAAATAAGAAGAGTTTGGTTATTTACTGGCAAAACAGGAATTGCAACTCCAAATCCGATCATGCAAACAATACAACTAACCATTAAGTGCTTTTTATAATTAGGATTATTTCTAAACATCCTGCCTCCTCTCATCATACCAATAACACCTGCAATTATCACTATGTTATTACAATAAGTTGTAACTTCGGAGCCATAACCATAAGGAGTTAAAATATAAGATAAAACTACATTAGCTCCTTAATTACATCCTTAAAACAAACCAAAAGACATAAATAGCAACAAGTAGTCCTTATTACTTAAAACTGATTTTACTTAAGGTAGAAAAGGTTATTTTTCCTTGGCTGCTTCTTTGCTAGGAGGAGTTGGAGGTTTATTTTAGAAAAGAATGCATCCAATTAAAGCTAAAGGAGTCCCAATATATGCTTCAATAGACATTATTTAATACAATTTATTTCTACCTTCTCTATAGCTATTTAATGCATCTTTATCTATGTCATATCCATTCAACCATAATCCAGGGAGAATATTGGAGAGAATTAAACCCAAGAAGGAACCAAGCAGGCATAATAAAAATATTTTTTATCTTACTTCAACTCTAAACCAAATAGAGGGAATACTGTTTATCATATTTTAGTTCATAGGTAGACCTATACCTAAAAGGATATGAGCTGCTAGGACACTGTAATAATTATTGTTAATTAATAATCTTATCCATAAAGCTGCTATCATAATAGCGCATGATACCCAAATAGTAATGCGCATACCAATTTTTTGCATCATAAAGCTTGCAATGAAAGCCATAGGTAAGTATAGTAAATTTGAAGCTAGAGTATTCATAGAAACTACTACGGGATTTATATCATATATCTTTGATACTTATGAATTAATAGGATTAAATGCACCTATAACTGTATTATATACTATGTTAATAATAAGAAAACCTCCAACCGTTGCCCATCTTGAGCCATATTCTTTATACTGCTAATCTTCGTTTTAATTCAAGTCAGCGCTCTAAGTTGAGCTATCATTTTTAACTTAATTATTTTTCATGTTTGTATTTTTAACAATTTTTGTCTCTTTTTTAATTACGATTAATTGTAATAAACTAAATAACACAAATTTAAGCAACAAATTTTGAAATAGATTGATATCAATTCATCTTATAATTCAGAAATAAATAGAAAATTTTTTATTTACAAATTTTTTTCTGTTTGTGTAAAGCCATTATTGAATGTATTTTCCAATAAATTTAGATCATTAACCATGAATGATGTAAATATTATTTTTATTTTTAAAATTAAATCAAAATATAAAAATAGAAACAAAATATTTTATCTAAAATTTTTTAAAAAAATTTCAGTAAAGTAAATGCGAAAAATAAAATTATATCATCCCTAATATTATTTTCTTATTTATCAATTTTATAAATTTGTTATTTTACTTTACGTTTATGTAAATTTGATAATTTGAAATAGAAAGTGATTTATAATTAAAGCAGAAATAATCAGAAAAATAAGTGATTTACAAATTTTCATAAGAAGGTGTAAAGTCAAAAAATATATGAAAGCAAGCAATAATCTCCTAGAAATTAATGTGAATAGAAATATCTTAATTAATTTAATTTTAAAATAAGCATTAAATTAAGTAAACTACATGTTCAGAAGATTTAGAAATAGTAGATCAGATGTAATCATTTTAAAATAGATATAATTTAATTATTTGTCTTTAAATTAAATATATGTAAGTAGTATTTCTACTTTATAAATATTAAATAGCTGAGTAAAAAAAAAAATAAGGGCACTAATCATTTCTTTGTATAATATCAATCTAATTTAAAAAATTTTTAAATTAAATTAAATAAATTGTTGTTGTTGTTTTTAATTAATTTTTTTCCATTTTTATAGGAAGGCAACCAATGTTGCATTCAAGGATCAAAATATTTCTTAATTTATAAAGATTAAAAGAAAATTTAAGATAAAGTAAATTTAATTTTTAAAATTTAGAAATAGTGGATAGTTAATATTTCAAATAAGTTTTACTTAACTATCCGTCTCTGCATATAATAAATTTAAATGATGCTTGTATTTAAAAAATATTAATGAATTAATTAAAACAACTATTGCTAAATAATTTTTTTTATAGAAAAGTTATATAACTATTATAATTAGATCTTAATTAATAGTTTTAACTAAATATTAATTCAAGTGTAAATATTTCAAAATAGGTTTTATCTAACAAAATCGTCTTAAAAAAAATAAAAGTAAGTAATGTTTATATTTTAAAAATATTAAATAGTTGACTAAAAAAACAAAATCCTTTTAAAAGTAAATTAAATAGTAGGAGATAATGAAGAACAAATAATTAGATTAATATATATAAATATTATGTTCCAATTTTATTCAATAGTTTAATTTTCTACTTGTAATTTCAACCTAATTTTTTAGCTATTTTAATTAAATTAATTATCGTTAACTAATTTTTTTTACTAGGTAATCATATATTTAACTATGTTATTTCTATATTATTCTTTCTTAAAGTTAAAAATTATGAAGTAAAAAAATAATTTTAAGCTCAAAAATATATTTTGAAAAGATCTTCAAAATGGATGATACAATAAATAAAATATCAAATTATTTAAAACATATTTAATAAAATATACCATCACATATAAATAACACTTTCTTATTTTTTTTTATCATTACTATTTAAATCAACTTATTTTTTACAGAGTTTCCTTAAAATATTCTTATTTTCTTATTATTAATGTATCCAATGGTTTTCGTTCTTTTTAATAGGAAATAAAGAATAAATAGCAATATTAACAAAAATTATCTAAATTATCCATACTATTTTTGCATACATGCTCCTTTGTTTAATTTTCAGAAAACATAAATAAATAACACCAGATACAAAAATAACCAGTTTGAGATGTAATTGGAATCAAAGCTCCTCTTATACTAAATTATAAGCTAAATTTATAATAAGGAAAAATATTAATAATTCCATCTAAAGCTAGCTATATTATTTTAATTATGAATCAATTTATTACTTATAATCAGGAATTTATTAACAAAATTGATTTTTTAATTTTAAATAAATTAATATTATCATTGAACTTTATATTTGAATTATCGTTACTTCAAATAGAGTTATGTAAATAAAAAATATTCATTTATTTCTTCATTAAATTCTATATAAAATAAATTTTTGGCATAAATAATTTACAAATTTTTGTTTTATTTAAGAAAAAGAAGTTAATTTATAAATAATATTGTTTTATGCAATAATTTTTAAATATTTTTTAGTGAAAAAACTAAATATGCAAAAATAATAATAAAAAGACTCTTAGGCTATTGAAAAAATTTATTTTTATCTTATTTAAAACTCATTAATCAAATTTAATAAATAATTTGAAAATAAAATTAATTTCCTTTTATTATTTTCATGATAACTTGTATAACATACCTTATCGATAATACTTATGCCAAAGTAATAATGAAAGAGATAAAATGAAAATTGATTAGAACTGAAGAATTTATAATATATTAAATTTATTGACTAGTATAAACACACACTTTTGTATTTTATAAATTATAATATAGGTGGAAATAAATATAGTAATTTATAAATAAAATAGTTCTATAAAATTAATAATACTTACCTAATAATTATTAATGGATTACTATTTTTTTACATTAAACATAAAAAAAAAAATAATAATAATATTAAAAACTAAATAAGAGTGGCAATCATATTTGAAAAATACACTTAGAAGGTTTGAAAATGTTTATTTAAATAAGGTTAAGTATCTACTTAATTAATTTGTTTTTATTTTGAGCTAAAAAATATAATATCAAAAAAAAAAATAATGGAATAATGGTGATAATTTAAATTCCTGTTATCTTTTATTAATTTGGAATTTTATAAGAAAAATGAATTAATATTTTCTATTATTATTTTTCTTAAAATTTTAATGAATTAGAACATAAATTATGTTTAAAAAATATTTAGCGTCTCCATTTATATTTAGTATGAATTTTGAGCATTTAGTAATATAAGAATATTTATTTATTATAATTAATTAATTATTTAATTTAATGATATTTTTGTAATAGTTAATTAATTATTTTAATCTTGATATGTAAGAATTTTATTTAATATTAAATATTTAAATTAATTTTATTTTTAATCATTTTTACACTAATTTAATTCCTAAATATCATTTTTTTTAAATGATTTTTATATAAATTCACTATTGTTGTTTGGGTTGATATATCAGTCCTTTTAATTTAAAGTCGAATGTAAATTAAATTAATATAATTAAAGTATACAAGTTTGCAAATAGAATATTATTAGATAAAATTTTTAATGAAATATTATTTATTTCTATCTGTAAATTGATTTCATTGATTAATTTTTATATGAATTAAAATATCTAAATTTTGTTAAATTTAAAATAATTTCATTTTTCATCATTTTTGCTTTATGTTATTTAAAAAATTTTTTGGCTTTAAAAAATCTTAAAATTGTTTTTTTTTCTAATTTGATGAAGGATATTACTCAAAGTTAAAATTTTTATTCAGTAGAAAGAAAGGTAAGCTTTATTTTAGTAGAACTATAAAATATTACTAGATTTAGATTGTAGAAATAATAAGCTAAGAATTTGATCAAGACTAAAATTAGATTTAATTATCATTCTATTAATAAACCAATTTAAATATTAATTTTAATATCAAATACTAGCTAAAATAATTAAAATTAAATTGATGCAGCTTAATAAAAATTAAAAAAATTTTATGCAATTTTATCTTTTAATTTAAAATTTTTTTAAAAAACTAAAAATATAAAAACATTTCATTTTTTATGTAGAGATTTTAAAAATTTCATTCAATTTTGATTACAGAAATTATATTTAGTTATTAAATCATTATAAATTGTATTTTATGAAGAAATACTATTTTTTTGAATTTTCAAAATCATTAATTACTTATTACAGAGTAAAGCTTATAGCTCTTAAATTGAATTAAGTAGATTAATTTTATTTTATAATAAATTAGTAATCTAATAAAATTTATTGAATCACTATTATTACCTTATAAAATTAGATTCTTAATTAAATAAATCAATTTTTGATAATAGGAAATGTTGTAAATAAAATCTCTATTTATATCTTTATATAAAAATAGTATTTAAGTAACCTTTGTAATTAAAATATATTTTAAAATTATACCATTTTAAAATATTGCTAAAGAAATAAATAAACAAATCTCAATTCATTAAAATTCATTCTAACTCTATTATTAAATAAAAATATTTTGTAATTAATTGTTGGGATTAAGGCAAATTTAAAAAAGTAATGCATTGATGATATTGATGTTTAATAGCACCAAAGTATAAACGGATACTATTTGTTCATTATGAAAAAATCTTGATTAACCACATTCGTTTGAAGTCTATTAGACTTCATTTTTATATATAAAAATAATCTTTTAATTTACATAAGTTGAAAATGTTAATGCTTGTTAAATACATTTATATGTTGATTTGATTTACCTTAGTTACTTATGGTTATCAATTAATTGCATATATTATTATTATTCTTGACAATAATTAATTGGTATATTTCTAACTTTAGCTATTGCCTTATTAAAAACTTGCTCAGTAATAATAAAATTCCTCTTAAATTTATGAATTAAATTCAAGCTGTTGTTAAAATTAAATAGCTAGGCGATCAAGAAATTCTACTGCCAAAACGCGATTAAATAATTGCTTCTGTTAGGAGCCAGCGGTGTTAGTAAATTCCTTGAATAAAATAAAATGAATATTTCGCAATAAAATACTCATCCAATCTTTGGAAATATGAAAAAATAGGAGAAACAAATATGAAGGCGTTTTAATAAAGTGACCTGAAATGATAGTTATTAAAGTTATTAATATTTTTGCCTAACGATGAAGGCTTTTAAATATGAATAATTAAGTACAATTAATAAAACATCAAATCGTTTTAAAGAGAGAATTCAAAAAGATAGTTAAAGTGATGGTAAAACGATATAAAGATAAAAGCTATAATCGTTGACTGAATTATATTATAATTAAAAAATTGATTATAATAAATAGATGATTCTTATAAACACCGAATTAATTTTTATTAAATTTTCTTTTTTTTTTGTTATTTGTAAACCAATGTATTTTTTTTTTCTTGTTATTTAGCTGTCACTAAATATTTAAAGGTTTTTATTGATTTTTATTTTAATGCTTATAATAATTTCATCTCTTGTGACTTTTCCATTTATTTTCATTCTTTTATTATATATTGAATGATTTATTTATTTATTGATTAATTGCAGTTTAAAGTAAAACACACTTTGATTTCTTTTAATGTTTGTTTGTGATTTCGAAAGGAAAACAATCAGTTTTATGTTCAAAGTTTTATAAAAAAAATGCATTAAAAATAGCATTTACTAAGAGGAAAATTTTATTTATTAAACTGGTCTATGTATGATACTGAATTAAAAGTTTGCATTAACAGTTTATATATTTCCTTCTTGTTAATATAAATTTTTCTATCTGATTAGTAAGTAAAAATTTCAAATAAAGGTATTGCTGATACTATAACCAACAAAATAGAAATAGAAAAAATATATTTAATATGTTAGAGGTATGAAATAATAAGAACTTTAAGAATAAACAATTATTAAAGGGTGTTAAATTCTACCTTTCATATGTTAAAAAAATATGTTTTTTCCATTTTTATCATGTTGCTCCAACAAAATAATTCTCATTTTTAAGAAATGTCTTTAAGCCAAAAAATAAGGCTGAACCTCAATTCAATTCAAATATTATTAAATAACTATTTTAGTGAATAATGATGATGAGGTGATAAGATTAATCTTTTAAGTGAAATTACAAAGAATTATAGAATGCTTGCTTTTTGTTAAATAAGATAACAAAAATATTAAAAAAAAGCTTGTCATTTTACGCAGGCAAGCCATTTCAAATAACTAAATAAAACTAATTTTTTAAAATATAAATTTAAAATTCTTGATGGAGAGGGATGATTTTTTTCAATATCAAAGTGATTTTTTTTTTGAATAGTACAATCAAAAATATTTCGCAAGTTAAGTTAATTTTAATTTTGACAATGAATGTTACCATTAGCAAGCAGCTAATTCCTAAGCATTTGATAATAGAAGTTAGGAAAATAACAGGAATAATAATATTAAAAGTTATTAATTGCAAAAACTTTTTAGAGGCTTGTTTTTTTTTTGTTTGTTTTTATTTGATTTTTCAAAGAGGGAGGACTCATCTATCATAAAGCAAATAAATAAATTAATTAATTTTTGATTACTTAGTAAAGAGGAAAAAATCAACCTTGCGAGTTTTTGAGTGGGGAGAAAAAATAAATTAAAAAATATCAATGTTATGTTATTTATATACATGAAAAAGAAACAAAAACTATTGGGAACAAAAAATTGTATAGCAAGAAATTAAAATACCTCAAGCTAAGCTAAGCGAAGGAAAGAAGAAAAATTGAATGAAATGAATGTATTTTTTTTACTTCAAATATTACTATTTATATTTTTATTAATAATACAAAGGGCAAATCATTTAAGTAATAAATAAAATTGAATATAATCCCATTTAATTAAATTCCAACTGGGCAATCAAAAAGTTAGCCTATAATATAAAAGTTTAATAATCCTATCAAGCTAAATAAATGTTATAAAGGCTGATTGAAAATATTCTATAAGTAATTTTTAGGATCTAAACTGTCTATAATGGTATTTAAGTGCAGGGTTAAGACTGTTCTGAAATTATCTATTCCATTTACGCAAATATATTTTTCACTATATGTATCAATAATAGTTATGATCAGAAAAAAATAAAAGAAATTATTATAATTATTTAGGATAGAGATCGATTATTTATTAATTAATTTGTTTCTTTCTTTGTTTGTCAAGTGATATAGTGCAAAGAAACTAACATATAATTAATTAAAAAGAGATTCTATTTAGAATCTCCCTGAACATGTGTGTTGCTGCAATTTTTACAAATTCTTCTTGTCTATTGCTTTTGATTAAAATCTTGCATTTTAATTCCTTTTTTGATTTTAATTACAATATCTGATAAAAGCTGGGGTAGGTGGTGGGGGCGATTTGCTTTGTCGCAAGTAATTAATTATTGTTTTTATTGTTGCTTTTATTTAAATTATAATAATTTAAAATTAACATTGAAAAAGCAAAGGCAGAGTCAAAAAATAGATTAGCTTAGCCTAATCCCCACCCCTAACATCCTATCTAATTAAGGGCAATTTAAAAATGTGGGAAGATAAAAAATCAAAAAAATATAATTAATTAAAAAAAAAAAGAAAAGTAAAGCAATAAAGAAAGAGCTTCATCTAAAATTAACTTGAAGAATTTCTATTACTTTATAAACTAAGTAAGTTTTTGTTTTGTGACAATTCTCTTTGCAATATATAAAGCATCTTTCGATTCAATCTTGATGAGAAACTATCTTGAACCTCCTTGATTCAATTCGAAGAAAGTTCACACACACAAAACGATCAATGAAGAAAAATTTTAAAAATACTTATTTAAGAAAGAAAGAAATAAGAAAAAATGCTAAGAAAAAAAGACAAAGTAGCAAAATCATATCTAAAATTTGAAAAAATGTCAATAAATTAATAATAATTAAAAGTTCGCTCTTTTGAAGATGAAGAATAAAGATTTTCTCATACTTTTACCTTTGAACTATTTTCGTCCGTATCAGTTTCTACTTATATGAAGAAAAAAGTTTAATTAGAATATCAATCAATCAATCAATCTATCTATCTCTGGACGTCATTCAATTTTTGAGACTCTATACTTTTGATTCGGCTGAATGAAATAGATGACTTAACTCTAACAAATTAAATAAGATGAAAGTAAAATTATAAATTTGTCTGCCCCTTGTTCTGTTTAAGATTAAAAGCGGCTTCTCATATTATCGTGCATGAAGTAACTGACTGCTAAATGACGACTCACTCGCTAACTGACAAGATTTCTTTGACCTAACGAATGACAGTGACGTGAATCTAAGAGCATGAATCAATCTTACTCAGGTTGCTTGGCTTACTTAGATGAATGGCATTTGATCACTTTAGGAAGAAATTTTCAGGAGAACTCAAAAAGAAAATAAAGAAAAGAGAACAAATAACAAGAACGAAACAGCAAGTGAAGATAAAATATGACAATGAGTAAAATTTTTTGCTTCTTTAGCTCACCTATAAAAAAGAAAAAAAAACCGAAATCAATCATGCGCCGCCATCACACTTTTGAAAGACAAAGGTTCAGCTTAAAATAGAGATAAGTCAAAGGAAATTCTAGTTCTATTCAAGCCAGAAGATGAAGAAAAGAAGAGTCATTCATTGTAGTCCAATTTCTCGCAAATACACTTCAAAAAATGAAGATACAACAACAACAAGACAATCAGTGTAAGATTTATTCTTCGGATTGATCTGTAAATAAATAAAAAGGAAAAAAAATTCACACACTCAAGAGACCGAGAGAAGAAGTTGAAGATTTTTATTTTTTTTAATTTTTTTCATCTCATTTCTTTCCGGCTCATTATTGGTTCTGTAGCACAATTTTCCATTCACAATTTGCCCATCATCCACCGCATTCATAGGAAAATGCGCGTTTGTTGCTCCGAAATATTGTAAATTTCTCTCTCTCTTGCATATTTGTTGCGTAAAAGAGATAGAAGAAGAATGAAACAAAGAGTCCATCATCATCGGTCACATCACATGATAAAAGAAGGATCTCTAAAGCTTTGCATGTTTGTCCATGATTTTATGTAACACTTAGAGAGTAGAAAGAGTAGTGGTTGCTAGCGAAGAAAGAAGGCATGAGAAAATTCGATGAGAGATGACGTATATGTTTTACTTTGTAATAAAATAGAATTCCTTTGTTAGTTAAGTAAACAGGTCAGTTTCTGGGATATTTTAAGTCCTCTGTTGTCTGTGTCTATCTGTCTATGTGTCTTTATGAAGTATATGCTTTTTCTGAAGGGAGGGATATGTCTTTATTCCTTTACTTTGTTTTTGAGGTCGTAATATTGTAAGATGAACACAAGCAAGCAAGCAAACAATGAAACAAATTTAACATAGAACTTTAAATAAATGAATCACTAACTAAATTTAAATAACAATGTAAGTTTGATAAAAAATAATTATTGCCTCTATTATTTCATAGGCTCATTAAATTTTGAAGAAAAATGATTCGAAACAATAAGCAAACATACAAATTAAAAAACTACACGCCTACACTTTTGAAGATTTTTAGATAGCTTTTCGATTGTATTTTAGTCCCTCATAAACAATTTGTAAAAGAATCTAAATAAATAAATAAGTAAATTTTGCCTAATTTAAAAACAATAATTTTGTTACTTTAAAAGCTGCCTTGATTATTTTGAGACTTTTCTATGTTGACATTAATTAATTAATTAATTCTTTCTTTGCATGTCTCGATATGTCTGGGTTCTATTTATTAAAAAAAACTATAGATTTTTTGCAGCAATTTTACAAAACATGAATGACGATTTTTGGCATTGAAGATTTCTATGAATTTATTAAGATAATTAAGAAGAATTTTATACCTAAACGCTATGATTTTTAGAAGTAAATTTGTAAATTTCATAAATGAGGGTTTAATTTAACAATAGGCGCTTGAAAATACATACAAAAAACACAATCAATTAAACAAATAAACAAATTATATGACTTTCACACTTTTTAAATACGACACTCTGCACTAGAATCAATAGATAGCTTTTTCTTGTACAAATAAACAAATAAACATACCATGCCAATCAACCATTTTAGTAGTTAAGTTTTGATTTTTCTTTACATGATTACTTTATATCTCTTTATCTATCTTTACAATTACTTGCTTGATCTTTTTGAATCAAATATTGGATCTCTCTCTTTCGCAATTTTCTCATCCTTGCTTTACTTGCCTTAGCTCACCTCTTCTTCGGCAGCACAAGTTCTGATTAAAAGAATTCCTCAATAAGCATGCTAACTTGGAAGGTGAATATATATAAAATATAATTTATATATATAAAAATATCTTTCTTTTCCCACTCTTTTTCCTATTCTCTCATAATAAATCAGAAGCTCTTTCTGATCATTGTGCAAAATGTTTCTGTTCTTTAACAAAAACGAAGCACAATCAATAAAAATATTTTCTACTGCTGCAGAAATATAATAGTAGCCCTGAATCATATATCTTATCTTGATATTATCAGAGTGAAAAAAATATTGAGCAGATTCTTCTTCCCTAATATTAAGAGCAAAATGGCTCAATAATTAATTAATGAATTTTACCCAAAATTTCCTTTTACAATAAAAAGCGCATGGAAGTCCATAATAATTTTATGAGTCTTTGCATCATGCGTGTAATAAGGAGAGAAAATGAGGGTAATAATAACATTATTAATTAATTTATTAAAAATTGCAGCCTGATTTTTGAGAGAAATCGATGAATTTACATTACGTTGAAGACTTGAATGATCTCAACCATATTATAAAGGGCTATATTAAAATATATTAATTATATAATATATATAATATATAAAGAAATAGATTTTTCAAATTAATCCTAATAATACTTAATAAATAAAATAGCTCACCACCAACTACGCACATCATCATCATCATGTCTTGCCCACGCAAGCTCATAAGCCCTGTATTCAAATTTAGTTGAATAAGCGACTCTTCAATCAAAATGCATCGATTCTTCAAACAAACACAAAACAATCACAGTTAAGATTTTTCCTTAATTTAACTATAAATTTAAAAGAGTATATAATATTATAATATAATATATATATATTTATATAAAAAACAATCCCCACCACCTGAGAAAAGAAAGCATATATTTTCTTTCTTTTTCTCAATTCTTCTTCCTCAATGGCCCCCGGAAGTTCATTCCAAGCCTTCTACTCCTCCTCTCTCCATGTGGATAGAGAGAGTTTAAGTGGTTTCTCCATTCTTTTCTTTTCCTTTATGTAGAACCACTTTAGTTAGTTAGTTAATATAAAAAACCCCCCTCAAAATAAGCAAAAATATGATGGATTTAATATTGGTGTAGCTGTATATAAAAGCTTATTGAACCAACACCATCATTTATTTATTCATTTATATATTAATTAATTAATTCTCTCTCTTTTTATATTCTTCTCTTTCCTCTTTCTTTTTCCCTTTTCTTAATAAACTTTGATGCTCGCTTATGCATCTTAATAGTAACCATTTATTACTTGATTCATTCATTTATGAGCCTTTCATTAAAAAATCCCCCGTAATCTTTGCAAGGAGATGTGTTCCACTTCTCTCTCTCATCCACATTGCACAAATAATTCTTAATTCTTACTTAAATACTTTCATTTTAGTTTCATCACAATCTTTGACTTTCCGTCTAAATTTGTTGATGTGTTTTATCAAAAAAAATCTTATACATAAACAGAACGAACACGTAAACATAAACGAACTTTTCAATGTGTAGTCGTATTGCATACTGTTTTCATGTGTTTCATGTGGATTCTTAATAGTATCTCTTAGTGTGGTAGAAAATCTATTATTCGATTATGTATCGTAATGAAGTAGTAATAATAAGTGAAGTATTGTGTTTATTCTACTAAAACATTAATAATATATAAATGGATCACATGGGTGCGAAGATATCAGACAGATAAGATCAGATCAGATGCAGCAGAAAGGAAGAAAGAAAGAAAGAAAGAAAGAAAGAAACAGGAGAAAGACCAAGGAGGTTCACTCTTAGATTTTTTTTTAAGTAGCAAACTGAGACTGATGAAGAAGAAGATGAAGTAGAAGAAGAAGACGACAGAAGTATGGACTCAATCTGTAGCATTTTTCTCTGGATTCAAGTTTAACTTAGAAGAGATTGCCTGTTCTAAGAAGAAGTTGAAGAGATGAAGAAGAATAGCATAGATCAAGAGGACCACTCAGTTAGTCAGTCATTCATTCATTCGTTCAGATTCATTGCTGCCCCATTGTGATCCTTATAATATTTATTGACTCAGCCAGTTAGAAGACGAGAAGATTCAAGATAATTTTTTCAGATACTCATTGATTGGTACGAACAACGACACACATATGATGGCAAGACAATGACAGAAGAAGTTGACAGTTATTTGATCAGTGAGACAAAATGAATGCTAACAGCAAATTAAGAACAAAACAAATAAGAAATATTAATTATTAATAAAATAATTAATCTAATAATTTAGTATGATTTAATTGATTTTGATTAATATTAATTGGCTAAATTTTCTTGGCTAGAGCCCCCTTTACCTTTTCTGAGCAGATCTCTGAAAAAAAAAAAACAACTCATCATTAGAATTAATTAACTAATAAACCCAACACTTTCAATTATTAAAAATTTAAGAGATTTCCTAATTTACTTTTAAGCTCAAAATTATTGCAAACAAACAAACAAATAACTAAATAAACAGACATTAAAGCAAAGCAAATCAAAATTTAAAGAAGAAGTTTTACCTACAAAATTTCCAATTTATTAATTTAAATTAATTAATTAATGCCCCATCCATATTTGAAAGACCTTTGACCCTGATAAGAATTTTAGACTGATTTTAAATGGTTAATTTGTCCAACATAAAACGCAAATTTTCATTCATTTGAATATCTATTCAATTAAAACTTAAAAAGACCCCACGCAACAAAACAATTCATTACCAAAAAAATTGCTAGTAAAGTTTACATGACCCTTTTCAATTTTCTTTATTTTGATTTAAATGGACTTTTTGAAAAATTCATTGGTACTTTTGAAGAGATTTGCTGCTTCTTTTAGTTTAGTTTAGATTGATTTCTTTTAGTTACCATTTACCAAAAACATACCTACTTACAAACCTACTTGTATGCTGTGCTATACTCGTTGTTGTTGTAAATGTATGTTTGTAGATTGCTCGCTTTTTCTAGTAGGAAGGCAAGCGTATATGTTTCGGTGTCCTGTATGAAAATACGCTCCCTCTTTTCCCTCTTTTTTCCACCCCACAAGTAATAGCAAGTCTATCTTACGGCTTTGCTACTTTATTTTAATTTAATTTAATTTTAATTTATTAATTATTTAATATATGTCTATTATATAATTAATATAATTAATAATAATATTAATAATAATAATAATAATATTTATTCTGTATTTTTATGTTTATATTTTTTTTTTCTTATGTGTTGCAAAACACATTTCTTTTTTTTTTGAAAAAAAATCAATCAACTCATTCATTCATTTTTATTTAATATTATTTCTTTTTATTATTATAATTTCTTCTTCTTATATAATTCTTAAAATTATTCATAGTTTTTTATTTAATTTTTCTTAGTTTTATTTACTAATTTCTTTTTAGTAATCTAAACTGACAAAAACTACTTAATAATTATACACAAAATCATTATGAAAAATTTTTACTTTTTTTAATTTGAGTATTTTTTATAAAAATTTATTTATAATAATGGGATACATTCAATCATAACATTAAAAATTTTGCAGAATCGCTAAAATTTTTTTTTTAATATGCATAAAAAATTGGGTAATATCTGCTTGATCTAACCCTATTATAAACTACATGATGAAATATATTGTAGAATAAATATAAAAATAGATAAAGTTATTAATTCATATTTATATTATTTAGATTAAATTTTCAAAATCAAAATAATTAATTTATTTATAAAAATAAATTTGGCTCAAAATAAATAAATGAAATTTATAAAAGTATTTAAAACTCAACTTGAATGAATGATTTTTAAAAATAATTATAAAATGAGTTTTTAGTAAAATACTTAATTAAATAAATCCTACATGTCAATATTGCGTATTATGTATTATCATACGTGACAGTAAATAAATTTATACTTTTAGTATAAAAATTAACACCGTATATTTATTTCTAAAATAGATGAATTTAAAATCAAAATTTTCTGCTATCTACTATATCTTCCAGAAAGAGAGATATTTAATATGTCTATTTTATATTTAAAACTTATCTGATTCATGCTTACTTTTAAAACCAAGTTGATGTTTCATTTTAAAACTTGAAACAAAAAAATATTTTTTTGCTATGTGTGTGTACACACTTTTATTTATTCATGCTTAAAACTGCTGTCTGTATGAATCTATCTGAAATAATTTATTCATTTTTGCTTATTTCATAACTTTATATTTTAATGGATTTATAGAATCAAAAGTTAAAAATAAATATATTTAATTTTTGCAAATATGGAACATAAAACAAACAAACAAATAAAATATTTCATTTAATATATTTTTGAGAATTTCTAATACTTTCATTTATTTTTTGTTAGATTTGTGGTGACTTAGGCATATTAGAATACAATTTAGGTTATCTTACTAAAATTTTTAATAGAATATGCTTAATATAAAATTTAAATAAAATTGAATTGTACTTGTTGTAGGCACGAAGAATCCTTTAGCATCTTCTTATTGAATTCCTGTTATTGCGTCTGATTTGAGCTTACATATTAGAGCTAAATCTTTATTCCCTAACCTTTAATAAATTTATGACTATATTAATAAGGCTCTCTTTTTGAGGGATTAGCTTAATGTAAATCTGGTTGGTTAATCTATTTTAGAAATTTTTGTTATTCAAATAATATCTCATTTTTAAAATTTTACCTTTATCTTATGTGAATATACTTAACTCTTTAGAATCAAGCTTATCTCCCTTGTAAAAGGAGCAATTTTTATCTTCACGTCTCCTAAATTAATATCTAACTATATACCTTGAAAGTCTTCTCCAAAGTCTATTTATTTTATCATGGTCAGCATAACTAACCTATTTTTATAAAATATTATTTCTTAATGGAGATCTTTAAAAAAGTCTTTAATTACTTTGATGATGGATTTTAAGTATGGGAAATTTTCTTTTAAGTAAAAGAGGAATTTTTTGATATAATGATTCAAGGTAATAAAAATATTTGATAGTAAATATAAAACGATGAAAGAATTCACTAAGGCTAACACTATATAGGATAAAATTCTTATTGCTCTGTATTCATCATTATTTAGTAGCACACCTAAAATGAGACTAAAGCCTATTACATTATTGACCTTTATTTCAGCCTATAATTAAAATATAATATTATAAAACGCTAAACATAAAAAATTCTTATTATAGAATAAATAGTAACTCAGATGATTGATTAATATTTTGAAAATTGCGTGCAAAAGTAGTTTAAAATATACTTTAAAAAACAAACAAATTCAAGCAATTAATTATTTTTTCTCTAAAAGGAAATAAGAAATTATCTAAAGACTAAATAAATTAAATGATGAAGGGGTGAGTTAAAATGACAAAATAACAATACTTAAAAATAAATATATTTCTTTGTTTGAAAGAATTATTATAAAATTTCCAAATTCAACAGAATTTAAGATTCTATTATAATTTTCAAGGTGTGAACTTAAAATAGCATTTGTGATAGATAAGTTGATAATGATGTAGAAGAAATAAAAAAGAAATTTCTTCGGTAGCATTAGAAGTAGAAAAAATCTTAGAATTCCATTTTTAAAAGTTTTAATTTTACAACTTGTAATCGAGTCACGTAGAAGAGAAAGAGTAAGTAAAAAAAAATATTAAATAAAAGTAGAAAAATTAAATTTTAGCAGTAGAGATAAATTTTTTTTTTACTGTTAAATTTTTAATTAATTTATTTTAGGTGAAAAAAAATTTACTTAATTCAATTGACCTCTTATATAAGGATTTATCTTGCTAACAACATAACTATATATGATGTTTATGAGTAAGACCAATATTCCTTTAATAGCTATATTAGAGTAGAAAATATTCATAATTAGAATCATTATAACCCTTGTTTCTAATTTTAAAAGTTCCCAGTAGTAGAACTTTTCAGTGTAACCCAAGCTAAACAAACTATAATCAAATCTTACAGATATTTTTTTCAGTCTTTTCTGTTTATTTTTCCAAATTAATATTTTTAAAAATGGCTTCAAAAAAATTACCCTGTTTTTATTCATTAGAGCAAATACTCCTAATGGAATAATTACAGACACTATTACTAGAGTTGGAACGATAAGATTACTGATATAGTATAAATGCTCACTTGTGTAGCATTCCATAGATAAGTTGCTTAGAATATATTTATTCTATCCAAATTTCCTACAGAAAGTCTTGTATTTTAAAAATGTAAATTGTAACTAAAGTGAAAGATTAATTAATCAACTAAGTTACTAATCCGCTTGCAGAACTGACAACAGGAGAATGGAAGAAAATAAAACTAAAGGCTAATCCCTAAAAAATATTTTTTTTAAAAAATGTAAAAATAATTTTTATAATCAATAATTTACTATTGATGTCAAGAATTTCATGGGTATTCTATGCAACCTTAATACTTTCAAGATAAAGCAAAAGGAAATATAAAGAATGAATAAAATAAAAGGTATTATAATCATCCAACTAAATTTATAATAAACTAAAGGCATGTTTTAGTTTCTCTTTGAGAGTTAGCAATCTAAGCTAAATATTATTCCTTATAAAGGATTAGCAACATAGTTCGATGCAGTTTACAAATCACCTTGCACATCCAAATTAAATTACAGTAAAAATACAATTAAGGAAAAGTAATGAATGAACAGTTTAACATAAATAGCTGCGAAATCTAAAGAATAACTTTAATTAATTGAAAATTAATTTTAAATATTTCAAATAAATATATAAATAATTTTTACCTTCCTTTACTACTAACAATAGCGTTACATTCCACTAGCATATCAAAGTAAACAGATGTTGTTATAAGTTTAAGCGTTCTGAATTTTTATACATAAATGTTAAATAAATAAACAAGTAAGTAATTCAAATAATTTTTACTTTGAAACAGTGAATGCGATTATTATGATTATAAGGAATGACAATAAAATGGAAGACGATGTACTTGACTTAGTGTCTGAACAAAGAGTGCAAATGAAATTTGATTTTTAGCCATATCTTTATCCCCACTATATTACACGAAATAAACTTTAATTTTTAGATAAAAAATGTTTAATTTACCACTGAACCATCTGTATCGCATACTTCACATAATGCTCCTATGTATCCTTAATCGCAATAAAAATCTAATTTGTTTTGATCGAAATCTCCGAGTCTGTTTCCAACACAGTTTTCTGGTTTACTCTCACAATAGAATATATCATAGCTACTTTAATCTGATCTCCAATATCCTGGTGGAAGTCTCACTTAAGAGCCACCTTTTGAATATATTTGAAAGAAAATATTAAAATATTTTAAAGGAGTTAAATAATTTTATATTTAAAGTAATAAAATAATCTCAAATATGAAAGAATGAATACTATTTATATAAATTAAATAAAGCTAAAAATAATTATTACCATCACAAACAGCTGCTGAACCGTCACTAAAGTAAGGGCATTCTCTGCATGATTCTCCTGCAACCAAAGAGAAACTACCTGATCGACAAGTTTAGCAGGTTTAAAAACCATCTTAGTCTGGTTTTTATTCTTCTCCTAAAATACAAGGGCGGAATTCGACATTTAAATTATATTCATAATTTGTTATGTTTTTAACTTGTTACATTAGGCTTGAATAAATAGTTAGACTGACATTTTTATTTAATTATTTCACTGTTAATTTCGATTCTGAAAAATTAATCAAACCTCCATATCCATTTTACATTTATGCTGTTATTTTGTCTATTTTTATCTCTTTACTTGTTGAATTAGCTTTTTTGAATTGAAATTATAATTAAAATATTTAAGTTGATTGTCATATTCATAAATTTAAAATTCTTTATTGCCAATTCAAGTTTAAAAAATAAGTGAATTTTTATGTAATTTTCATTTAATATATTGAATATTTATTTAAAAAATTGTTTTATTGTCTTACTGATATTTATTGAAACTAAGTAAGGATCTGTTATTTAAGGACTAACTGTGTATATTTGCTTTATAACAACATTATCTTAATCTAGAAAAGCCAAATAAAAGCTTTCTGCCATATTTCCACTTGATACTGTTATTGAATCTGTGTCATTAATTTAGTAAGTGCCTATATTCAATTGATAATAACTGATTAAGAGTATTATTGAAAATTATGATTTTACTTGGATTTATGAGTTTTAATTTTTAGGGAAATGCATAATAATCTTTTCCATATTATTAAGCTTAATTATTTGATATTATATTTTAATATTTTATTGATTGAAATCTTGGTAGGATATTGTTGCCATATATACCACCTCCTACTTAAGCATAATTGTTGTATAGTTAAGAATATTATAAAGTAAATGCATAGTTGTCCACATATATTCCTCCTCCTAAAAAGGCTTAATTAGATGAAATTAAAGTGTTGTTAATAACTAAATTCTGCACACTATTTAAATACATAGAGCCTCCGCTCTTAAGTGCCTTTAATATAATATTTAATATAAATATTGAAAATTATAATAGTGAAAAATATTACTTTATTTGAAAAAAATTAGCAGTTTTAAATTACTGGCATTGACTGCATACCTATTTACTGTAAATATAATGAACCTCCATTCTGAGATGTGTTGTTTTAAAACAAGGAATTATTGATTGTTAAAGAATCTGAAAATATATAAACGTTCCCACTTACACAATTTACACATTAAATATTGCTAAATTAACTTGATATTATTTGTAAATTAGAAATCTAGAACAAGCAGATAGAGCTATTTATTTTAAGTTAAAATTAAAACAAAATAAAAGAAAAAAAATTTACCAATAAATTTATTAGCTAAGCTAAGCCCTTTGCACATTCATGTTTTCATATTATATTGATTATAATTTTGTGTAGTTAAACAAAGAGTTAGAACTTAAATCTTGGTTCATAGATATTGTGGTATTTTAAATGAAATGACTGATGGCATTATTTATAAAAATAATTTAGCTATTCTAAATCTAAAAGGTACACTAAGTTATATTAAAAACCGAGAGATATATCAAATAGAATAAATTATACTGCTAATTTATTTATGAGTTTGCCTATATATATATATATTTTCATACTTTACTATTAAAAAAACTTAAATTTTAAAAATAATTTTACTCTTTTGCTTAATTGATTCATTACATTTTAGTCTTCAGTAAATTAAGACTAACTCAGTAAAATTTTAGTCTACTAGTTACCTTGGATATTAGTTATCTGATAGAGAATTATTTTCCCGTTGTGTGCATAATTATTGCTGAAAGTGCAGGAAAGTATCTGCATTTAAAGATTATTTACGGGCCTTTAGAATAAAATTATTAATTATTATTTAATTTAGTTATAAAATATTACAAAATGAAAAAGATGGCAGAGTCTTGATAAGCGTAGTTTTAGATAAATTAGGTGTTAATTGCCTAAATCGTAATACTTTGTTGAATGATTGAATTTACATACATAAAACCACCAGAGCTTTACTCTGAGTAACAACCTTAGATAACTGAGTTTTAAATTTACATGGTAGCTAAGTTGTTTGGAAATACGCTAAAACAACCTCCTTAAAAGGCCTATGTGTTTTGTATATAAGAGTTGTTGATGAGTAGAGAATTCACCACGATTAAATAACCAATTCCACCATAGGTTTAAAATGCATTCACTTTTGAACTAGGGTTGAAGTTATTATTTGTAAAGTTAGAATTTTAAATAATTAATGAATACACTTCAGAATAAATTAAACCAATTTAAGAAGTAGGGTATTGGTTATTTATAAATGAACTATTATTAATTGTAACTGTAGAAAACAAGGATTGAATCATCAAACCTAAGTTACTGCTTAAGCTTTATTGATTGTTCGGATTGACATATATGTTATTCTATAAAATTATCTGTGAAAAAGTAAGTTATAGCTAAGAAGACTAAGCATTGACACAAATTAAAGAAATTTATGAAAATTATCTTGATAAATTTAACTAACTAAGACTGATATTTAAATTACTCACTAATACAGTTATTTGTTAAAGAGAAATTTAATTAGCTGAATTATAAAAGTAATTCTCATTATTAGTAATCAATTAAATAGCACTTTAGACATAATTGCAATTTATAGAAGTTATATTATTTATCTATAAATACTACCTAGGATTGATAATCTACATTATTGAAAAGCTCATTTAACTCAAGATGTCATTTTGAATAGCTATATTGTTTATTAGAGTGGTCATAGTATTTTTTATTTAAATAATTGGTATGTTGTCATTATTAATTACTTAGACACCAGATAAGTTGACATTATAGAAGGATTAGATCTATTTTGTAAATATTATTTGTTAATTAAAATCCTCAATAATAAATTAAAAATAGAATTATCAAATGTATTTTAACATCTATTTAAAAAAATTTTTCTCATAATTATTTGCTTTAATTATAAATTAGTATATTCTGAATATTGGAAACTATAAAAAGTGCATAAGTTTTAATTAAATATTCTAAAAAATATAGCCAAAAATCTTAAATATAATAATTTATTTTTGAGCAATAATCAAGTTTAAAAACAAAAAATATTTATTTTTTATTGAGTAACCTTAAAGATTTTAATTGTATTCCAAAAAGATTAATTAAAGTAATTGTTAAAAAAAATATTACCAAAATGTATGAACCTTCTTACAAATAAGGATTTAAAAACAGATTTTTGGAAATAAGCACTCCAGAAACTGCTACCTGAGTTTATGAATATATCATAGTGAATAGCCCAATATTAATAAGGATACCATAACTATTTGTATTGGTTGTTACTGGCATAGTAATGTTATTACTTTGAAAATTTATATTTTAAATGTTGAAGGCTAATGAGTTTGAGCTCAATGTTTAAATTTGTGCTACATTAATTGTTATAGTGTTGATAAAATAAGTCATATTAAGAAGATTTTAAAAGATATTCAAGTTGGTTAAGGACATTTTGCTTGACTAGAAAACAGAAGTATTATTAAGGGTACAATTTTAAATAACAACTCCTTAAATATTTAGTTATTAAATTAAAAAGAAACCAATCAAACCTTAAACATCAGACAAAATAGAATTTTATAATAAAATCTAAGAAAAAGATGCTTGAGTCAAGCTTGGTAATTAAAAAATCTATGATTCTAATGAAATTGAAGAAGATTGGCTCATAAATGTTGCGCCCGAAAGAAATTAGCTTTGTGAAATAGTGATATTTTGTACTGCTATGCTAAATTAAGTTGCTAATGGTATTGAGATCAATGAAGCTTGCTATGAAAGCATGCAGTTGCTAATGACTAAATTTTAGATATTAATGTTGAAGAAAGAATCAATATACCCATTATAGATTTGTCCTATTTGTATAAAATCATTTAATTGCTAGATTTTGTTTTAAAATATCACATTTATCAAATTTAAATTTTATGGAATCTAAGCTAAATATATCAATGAGTTAGTATTATTGATGTTGTTGGATTAAATAAACTAAACATTTTGCAATTCAAGAGAAAGATCTTGTTGAGTATTATCTAACTTTGTGTTTAGCATAACTTTAATACCATTATTCTAAAATTAAATGTTTAATATATTCACTTAATTGAACCCTTATATGACCATATTTTACCCTAAGTTAAAAATAGCATTGCCATTTTGTAATTTCAACTTTCCATTTTAAATGATGTAGGAATTTAATTATAAATTGTAGTTTTTTAAGCTGTTAACATTTTAGTATAAATTGCTAATCAAATTCATACTATTCATCTTGCAAACTCCATTTTAATTGAAATAAATATTAATTGAAATATTTATAACACCTTTTTTTTTAAGATTAAAATTTTTCAGTGTGAAATAATTATTTCAATAATTTAAGGTAAATAAATATAATAAGTTAAATAATTTCAATGAATAATTTAATACCTATTTCATTTAAGATGTATTAGTGCATAAGAATATCACTTTAATTAGTATTGAATGGGAGAAATAAATCTTAAGACTATGCTATTAAGTTTTCAAAAATGAATGGATCTTATGGAGTACCACTTCCTACATAATTAAGGTCGAATTAAGTACCACAAATTACGAAATAATCTTTTGTAATTTGGCTTGCAAAGCCCATTTAAGAATCAGCAATTACACATTTTTAAATAGCTTAATTATACATGATAATTGGTTTTTTTATTAAATATTCAGATAAAATAGAACTAGATTGCACTATTACATTTTATCTGCAATTTAAGCATTAGCTTTAATAAATGTTAAAATCTATTTACTGACTCATACTTGAACTTTGATTTCCAGTGTATATGCATGTTTAACAAGTAAGGGGACATAATTAGCAATCCTATTGGTTGGAACTTGGGTTTATTAAGAAATTAACATCAACTGTGATTTAATTTGTTGATGTTAGATAGAATTGAGAGTTTAAGAAATTCAAATAATCTTATGTAAGAATGTAACCATTAGAATTGGTGCAACTCAAACACTTGGCGTATGTAACTGTAGGGGAAATTTATTAAGAAACACATTAATTGCAAGAGTTACCACAAATAGGCTCACAAATTTATAGAGACTAATTTAAAATATAACCTTGCATGCATTAAGTACATATAACAGATGCTGAGAACATTTTTAGATAATCTATTCTCTAACTATCGGTCAAAACCGTACTAAACTAAGTTAAATAACTAAAAATAAAATAAATAAATGATTTAATTAATTAGATTTTTAATATCAATAAGAATTACTTATAAAAATAAATTTTTACCTTGTAAAGCTGAAATATTTATTTCCTTCGTAGCAGCTTTGACAGAATTATGGGCAGCTTTTACAGCCAGAAATGCTTGGTATATTTACTGTTAAAAGAGTAGGCTAAACTTTGTTAAGGTAATCTATATTTCCACTTTAACTATTGACACATATATTGCTATCATTTAAATAATATCCTTGCTTGCACATCAGGCATTTCTTTGTGTAAACATTACATAAAGCACACTCATTCATACAATTTTAAGAGTTTTAGTAATCATAAAATCCTTATGAACACTACAGGCACTAGTTGTAAGATGTTGTTGTTGCAGAGTTTCCTGTTTTTTTATTACAAAGTTAACAGTTAAATAAGTTATTTAAGCAGCTCCCTGTACATAAATTCTATGTATTATCATAATACATTCCATTTTGACATATTTAGCAGTAGACTTTACCTTATTAGTTTTAAGCACAACTTTAGCAATTAGTAATTGAACAACCCTAAACACAAGATTTTTAATCACTAGAAAGAGTATATCCTTAAACACATTAATAGCAAAGGTGAGAAGTAGTAGCTTGACTAACTAAAGTTAAATTGAAGTATTGTTAATAAGTCATAGGCATCGCTTAGGTTCCAAATGCATCGAATTAACAATTTTAAATTTTGCTCACACAGTTTTACCCATCTGCAGATACTATGCTGTTTATGTCTATGCAACTCAAACATCTTTGTATAAATGAGCTTTTATCAAATAAGATGTTAAAAAATTAATTAAATTAGTTCATCGTGTATTCTATTAAGTTAATTCCTAGTAAATCAGAATATGTATCACAACTTGCACATGTTAATGAGCATTTCAAACATTAGGAAGAATTCTAAATGTCGATCGAGCTACCTTACATGCACTAAGTACATATCAAAACTTATTGATTTCCAGAATATAACTGTTAACATTATAAGCAATTGTTTCCACACTTTACACATGTTCCATTACTTTATAGTGAATATCCAGACTAGCATTAGATGCACTATTTAGTTTTTTAATAGTAAAAAATAATAATTTTTAATATTAAAGTAAAATTACTGTTCCATCTTTGTTGCAAGCTGCACAACCTTAAGAGCAGGGACTTTAAGGGTTAATTTAAAGAGAGTTTCCAACAATTTAGAAATACTAAACACCTAACTGATTTAAGTTATTTGACTAATCCACAAATTAAGTACATTACATATTGCCAACCCTAAATTATCAAATAAATGTTAAATAAAGCTAAATTTTTGTTTAAAAAGTATGTACCAAAGTTAATCCTAAAGAAGACAATTCAAACAAGTATACTTGCAATTATTAGAACATATCTAAGAATTTTAGTCAAACATCGGGCAAGCAACACAATTTAACATGTTTGGAAGTAAGTAGAATCCATATCTACATACCGTGCAGATAAACTAGCTGGGGTTCTAGAAAGAGGGGATGCAAGAAGTGCAATTTATATCACATTCTAAAAAATTTTTATTCTAAAAATTAATCTATGTGTAATCTTTATAACTATAGCCTAAAGCAGTGCTTTGTACTATTAAAAATAAAAATTTAGAAGCTATTCAATTTAATTATATTACCTTATTAACAGTTTCCTGAACTTAGCATTATGTAATTTAAAGGGCAAATTTAGCACTTACCACTTGTTACGGATTAGCATAATCCATAAATATCACTACAATATACTTAATTTTACTAATTATTTTAGAGATCTTATCCTTTACAAGTACTTAAGTCTAAAGTACACTATTTTAGTAATTAATTAATTTTAATATAAATTCAATTATCAAAAATATGGAAGTAAAACTTAAGTTAAGGATGGAATATATACTTGCTTCATTTAATTTAAGTAAACAAATCAATAGAAAAATATTTTAATCTAAAATAAAAATATTTACTTAGTTAATTGGCATATTACATTAGACACATTTATAGGGATCATCTGGCTAACATATTTGGCAGTAATTAGGGCATAATATAGAATTAAAAATGGCTGAAGCTACTAACCCTTGTTAATTGACTGAGGTTTAAGAATTTATTTATATGTTTTAAGATAAAATCTACATTACAGGATTATATTACTCAGATAGCCCGAATGAAATAACTCCATTATACACAAAGCTGTTGATTCCACCGAACCAATTCAAATTATTAGGAATATATTTAACAGCACCCAAATTTAATTACTGCTATAGATTTTTTTGACCTGTCATATTGTCAAAATAAATGTTTGAATTACTGTTTATTTATGTGCTATAAATTGTTGATGGCATTTACAAATTATTCCCTATTCCTATCCATCCAATAGCCAATTAAGAATAGTAATCATTTGTAATTTAGCATTCTATATCTAATTATTATAAAAGTAAAAGTTCATTCAATGAAATAAATAAATTAATTAATTAATTATTTTACTATTTGTAGATGAGTTGAACTGGCAAGAAATCAAATTGAATGGTTATTGTTAAGAATTCATAGATTTAGTATAACCCTAAATGAATAGTATAATGCTCTATGTACTTAACTAAGGGGTTATGCTGAAAACATACTTATTCTTAATTTAATAAAAATAAATTTATTTTTATTAAATAACCTATTAAAACTCTAAAACAATTTTTAGAATATTTAAATCTATCAAATAAATTAATTTATTTATTAAAAATTTTTATTAATTTATATTATTAGATGAAAGTCTTACTTAGTTTAAATATTCTTAAATTGTGTAAGTTTAATAAATTAATTTTACAATTTATGAAATAACGTTTTAAAAATAATTAAATATTTACTCTAGAAACAGGAATACTTGTAGATGAATTCCAAATAACTTATCCGCCATCTTGAATATTGGGATCACAGCTAGCAATATACCTGTTAAATTATTGACATCATTAATTTGCAAATTGTTCAAACAAAAACTAAAAAATATTCTTACTTAATAGCTAGACTTTAAAGTTTGCCTTAAAATAAAACATTTAATAAAAATGAATTTGATGTAGGCTCATCTGCATACATCATTACAGATTGGGTCTAAGAGGAGGCATGATAGTTTTCTTAGACGTTAACAATGCTTAGTTATATCATTGGGGTACAATTCAAAGGATATCTAAATATCACTCTCTAGCTATAGGTTAAAGAACTGCTTTAAGTAACTTAAATCTCTCCAATATTTAATCTCTTATTGGCTACAAATGCTTTTTTTACAATTTTTAATTAGTATCTTTACAGTAAAAAATTATTTCTTACATGGACAATATGAAGTTTCTGGTAAATCAAAAGTGTGAGAAGGGCATTAACATCTTGGAGGGTTGTTTATTCTATCCGTTGAACAAGTATAGCATTGTGATGGTTATAAAGGATTACAGGTTTGGCACTTCTTATCGCATAGTTTAACGAACTATAAATAAAACAACTTTGTTTATAAGAATAAATAGTATTTTTTAAAGTAAGTTACACTTAAGATTATTGAATTTTATTAAAGTTAGTTATTATTTAAATCTGTAGTTGAAGATGAAGGTAAACAATTTCCTTCATACCTATAATAAGCACCCTAACATGTAAAGCAAATTGGTTACTCAGACCCTATTACTATTGCGCAATTGCTAACTAGTTGATTGACTTTATTAACATAAACTCCACTTGATACAGAGAAAAATCCTAAATCAAAACTTCCTTAAGTTGTACTGAAAATAATTTAATCTGAACTATCTTCTTAATATACAGTAGAAGTGAATGATAGATTCTCAAAAGAATTATCATCTAAATAGAAATCAATTTACTGTGAGCTTGTTACTAAGTTAGGGTTTTACTTGAACACCATAATCTATTAAAAAATTGATTTAGAGAAAAATAAAAGAGAAATTTTTTATTTACTAATCTATGGAATTAACCTAAATTTAGTAGAGTTAAGGAGGTTTTTACACAATCAGAGTTATTAGATAAACAAACTTAAATTTAAAATTAATTGTTGCTTCCTGTTGTTAACAGCTGAACTGTTAATAGCTGTTATTGATTAAATTTGCTTAATCTTTGAAAGAACGCCATATTATTTAAATATGTATTAACTCTTAATTGCATAGATATTGTGAAGCTACTTGGGTATTAACTGTTTGCAAACTTGAAAGGCGATACTTAAAGTTAGCTATAACCTTAAAAAGAGAGTATTCCTCTAGAGCTTAATTGCACCTAAGGAGTTGAAAACTCACTCAGCATTCCATTATTCCTGTAGCCGCTTAGATCAGTAACAATATTCCCTTAATATTAAATTTGTTTATTTTTTTAGTTATTAAAAATGAAAATTCAAAAAAAAAATGGAGCATTTTTTTTGAATATTAAAAAATAAATATACCTGAATACAACTAAAAATCATAGTGGAGAAGGAGCCTAGCTTAGCCTTAATACTTTACTAAATCTTTTAGGTCATAAGAGTCATTTGAATTCTATGTTCCAGCTACAAAAACTACATTTTGTATTGATCCACACATATTATATATAGAATTTCCATCAGAAATATTAAGTAGAATTAAGTTAATAATTGTTATATCGTACGTTGGAGGATTATTAACATTTAAAGTGAGAGCATTAGAAAAAGAAGAGTCATAAATATTCAAGACTATCGCGCTTTGCTAAAAAGATAAATCAAACATACTATTTTTACCATTTAGATTTAGATTAGAAACATCAAGGCTGTTTGAATCTACTTAATTTAGTCTCATTTTGACATTACTTAGATCATTTTGTATCAATAATTCATATATCATATTTCCATTACCATCTTTCAATGCTAATATTCTCTACCAGCTGCTAGTTGCTGAATTACTTTGTAAGTTAGCCAGGAATTTTATTGAAAAGTTTTAATCTCCAGCTACTTAGGATTTTGGAATTTAATTTCCTGCTTAGTTAAATAATAAAACATCTGAATTAGTCAAAACATCAGTGCTACATAGGCCTGCTATAGGTTAATCAATTAATTACCTAATATTTTAAGAATTGGCTCTTTTTAGATACACAGTTAAGCAGATTGCAGCTATTATATTACAAAAAAGGCTATTTTTGAATTTTAAGCCCATAATTAATTTAATTGTATACTAAAACCTAAATAAAAGTAAAATGTTTTCTCTAAATTTAAAAAAATCTGAAGACTATTCTTAATTTTGCAATTTTTAAAGCTAATTTGTTTGTTTGATTGTTTTATTGTTTTTTTTAATATATTACTTATTATTAGCAAAGAGAAATTAAGTTAAGTAAATAAATAAATTTTTACTGTATATAAATAATATAAAATGAAATTTGACTTAAATAACTCTTTTTATAATTGTTGTTTCACTGATTCAAGTAAAAGTTAATAAACCTTAAAAATTTAAAAATAGTAACAGACATTTAAATCAAATATCAAATAACAATTTTCCAAATACCAAAAACAAAAAAACATTTAAAGTAAAAATTTCTCATTGAAATATTAAAAATAAAATCATTTGTAAAACTTTTATTTTAAAAATCCTTTTCATATAATTGAATATTTTAAATCAGTTTGTCATTTTATCAAAAAAATATTTCCGTTATAAACAAGCAAGAAAAATTAATTCTAAAATTTAATTAAATTCCACAAAATTAATTACAATTAAAAGCATTTAACTTAATTATATTTTACACTTAAGACACAAAATTTAATTACTCATTAAGTTAATCATTTAAATACTCTTTTTATTTTTTCAAAATTATTTCGCTTAAAAAACAATTTCTTCTAGTTTAAAAAACCTATTTCAAATTTAAAAAGTTATTTTCAAAGAAATTTTTTTAATTTAGTAAAATTATTAATAAAAACATCATCACAATGAAAATATATTTTTGTTATTTATTTATACCTTTAAAATTAGATGACTCACATTTTAGGTAAAACTTTTGACATTAACGTAGATTAATTTAATTGAAAAATGCAAACTTAAATAATCATACAAATCTTTTATTATTAAAAGCAAGTTAGTTATTTAATTAATTTATTAAATAAAGTTTTAATGCATTTCTTTCTATTTGTAATTTATTATTTTTAATGGAATGAAATTTACAAATTTATAAAATATAAATAATTTAAAATATTTTTAAGAATATTTTTGAAATAAAATCTTTTTATTTAAATTTATGAAGTAGTTTATGTTAATGTTATTATTATCGATATTTGATTCAGTGAAATACTTAATCAATAGGAGATATTTTATAATCTGGCTAATTTTTTTATTTAAACTGCCAAGGAAAATAAAATAATATTAAAAATAATTTTGAGTTACTTTTACAAATAATTCAAAAATTCAGTTTGATTTTAATGAAAAAGAGTTAGTTAGATTGAGTTTTATTTAAAAATAACTTTATTATTTTTTAAGATAATTTAGTTTTTTAAGTTAATTTAAAACATTATTTAAGTAAATGAATATTTGTCACTGTTAAATGAATTCATTTTGTTGTTCTTAATTATTAATACAGTTGTTGAAATTTAAATTTTATTTGTTCTAACTATTAAGCCTTTTTGCTTTTTATACATTTGGAGTGAATATTTCTCTAGGAAACCTGTTGTTGCTTGATCTTGCTCTTTGCTATTTATCTAATATATCATTTCCAGTTCCATCAAATTAGCTGTAGAAATCTTCATTTCTCTTACATGAAATAGCAGAAGAGACTTTCTTTTAAGCATAGTTAATGTAATTATTTTAAATATCAGATATTTATTTTTATTAGTGTTTTTAATATTTAGATCTATACTGCATAACCTCAGCTAAAGGAAAGTTATAATGAATTAACAATGTTCCTTAGTTCAAAGTATCTGCATTAGGTTTAGTTATTCCTTAAGAATTATTCAATCCGAAGTTCGTAGTTATAACTGGTATGTTAATTATAGAATTAGGGTTTTAACTTGATAACATATCAGGCCCATCAGTTGATAGTAATCCTGAGTTGTTGTATAATTGTATATTATTTATTTATTTTTATTAATTTTAGTCAATTTAAACGCCTTCCAAAGAATTTCTTAATGGACGTTGATTATTATTTTTATTTGGAAATTGTGACATTAAGTCGTTCTTTTAATATTTTAATTAGGTACATACATTAATATTGTTAATATTGTCATTTAAACTTATCATCAATTGCTTTTAATTATTTTTCTTTTAATTTTCAGTTATTTGTTCTTAACCAAATCTACCTGTCTCTTCAAGAATTTAGTTATTTGCTTAATCAGCTTAATCTGATTCATTGTTTGAAGGCTTTTCTTGAGCGTTTGTTTCATTGTTTTTGCTTAAAAGACTCTTTTTAAGAATTTGTGAGGATGGCTCATTTTGTTAGATGTTATTTTCTAAGATTGTTTGTCTTATTTAATTTGCATTTAAAGTGTATCCAAACTAACCAGCTTTGTTTTCAGTAAAGTTGAGATTTTAGTTTTAATAATTTTTATTGCTTGGTTTTATGACATTCTTTTAGGTATTAAAAGTGAATTTATCGATACATAGTTAAATAGGTTGTGAATTCTGATTTAATTAGCTGTTGGGTTGTATTTTTAATGAACTTAATGTTATTTTTTTAGATTAATTATTATTCAAGCTTTCGTTTCTTGATTTATTTTGTTAATCAAGAGAAGGAAGACAAATGTCACTAAGTTTTTTTACTTAGTTTATACTAGAAAGCTAGTTATTATTCTAAGTTAAACTAGCTGCGAATGTTTATTATATCTAATTAATCTATTAATTTAACATTTATTTATCACTTTTAAGAGCAGTTGTGCATTGAATTGATGCAATATTTTTAGAGTTTTAGTTATTTTTAATTTAAGTAAAGCGAAACCTATCTGCATTATTAACACCATTATTTTATGTACTAGTCTCTAAAATATCAAGAGATTCATTTCTCTTGCCTTTTTACTTTAATACTAATAAGTCATTCTAATTTGTGCTTAAATTTCTCTGTTTATTATCAGAGTAATATTAATTAGAGATAAAATCATCATTTCTCTAATCAAAGCTTAAATTGCATCTATCATTATTTCCTTTGATGCTCTTTAATTCCTTTTACAAGCAATCTTTAAATTAACCTTCAAATTAATTTGTCATCAAAAAAGAATTAGGTTTAGCAATTCTAGTATCTAAGTGATGGCTATTACTTCTATGATGACCTTAAGGTATAGGATAAGGAACATCGATTTGTTACTAACACTGCTAGTTTAGCTATCTTTTAATTTAGCCTACATAGTTCGAAGCTCTTTATTATGATAATTATGAGTTTTTAAGTTGATTTTGGCGATTATAATTCTTTTAACTTTATTAATTATTACTTGATTACTCTAGAAAGTGTATTCCTGTACCTAAATTATTAACTCCAGTATTGGGTAAACCTTAAGATAAGGAGTTATTCTTAGAGTGAGATATATTCTTTTGGTATAAGTTATGAAATTTCATTTAGTTTTTAGGAATTTGTTCAATTTATTCAAATTACTATCCTTCACTTAGAATATACTACTTGCTATTATTGTATTGATTGCTAAAAGAAAAATCAGGTTAAGTTTGAATAGCATTTGGTTCTGTTTGCTATTGGTAAACTTCTACTTAATTAGTATAAATCATTTGATTTTTTTATTAATATTAGGATTGTGGATTTTTTAGATTTATTTACTGATTTTAGCAGCTAGCTCTTCTAGATATATCCTCTACCTTTTAGGAGGTTATTGTATTTTTTTGATTAGATTAGCTAATATTGTATTAACCTACACAGTCGTTTAATCTAATCTTAGCATCATTCTAACTTTCATTATTATTGTCAGAAGAGCTCTTTTTCTTTATTAATTGTTGCTGCATTTAATATTGTGCTTCTTATTAGATTTCGTTTTGGTCATTTGTGGATATTTTATTAACATTTTTTTTAGAGGATTATTTTGGATAAAATGTGATATTTGCTCCATCATAATCTTTATTCTAATTCTAGTTGTGTTGCAAGGGCTTCTCAGTTTGATTAGAATTTTAATTTTATTTTTTTAAATGGTTAAGGATTAATTTTTAATCCTGTATTAATCCAACATTTATATTTGGTGCAGTTTCTAGACCTAATTTTCCAAAATAAAAAGAGATTTATAAATTGAATTGTTGGATGATTGAATTAAAAATATATGAATCAAACTAAATTAAATAATTTCACACTTTCTACATCAATAGTTTAGGAGTCTCTTTTTATTCCCTTATCAGTAAATTAATTTTCCTATGCTGTTTGTGCTCTACTGTAAATATTTTTTGTTTTCTATTTTAAATTCAAATTTAATTATTGTTTATATTCTCAATTAAAAACTATTGCTATTACCTACTACTAAGTAAGTGTGTTTAGAGAAACATCAATATTAACGAACTTATCTTCATTAATTAAGTCTTTTTTTATATTAAAAGAATTTGGCTAGCTCAACTTTTCTTTTAATAAAATAATATTTTAAATTGACTTAATTTTAAAAATAATTATTTAAAAATTTAGTAAAATTTCTTCATCAAAATATTAACGGATTTGTTGTAATTATTTTTAAATAATGTCTTTAAAAAAATAGTACTGTTAGATTGGTTGAAAATTTGAGTCTAATTTCTTCCTTCTTCAATATTATCCTAATAATTTTATGTAAATAATTATGTTTTTGTAAAAATAAAAATGATATGATTAACAAAAATTAAAAAAAGCCCTTCTAAAAAATTATTGGAAATTCATAAATTTTTATTGATTTTAAATTGAGAAACTATTCAGATAGATATGTTATTAAAAGAATTAGAAGTAGTTAGTTATTAGAGAGCTAAATTAGTTACTGATAAAAAAAATTTAATGATTAGTTAGTTTATTAGTTACTAGGATAATTTTATTATTTTCCAAATAAAATTAAAGTAGCATATTATTAAAGATAATAACTGACCCTTTTAATTAATTTGCAGTAATTAATATCTTTAGAGATAGTATGTATATTATATTCTTTGTTCTAATATTAAAGAGCTTTAATATCAAATGAAAATGGTTTGTTTTAAATTGCTTAAAATACTTTGAAATCGTTTAGGCTCTGGAATTGACTATTTAACTGATTTACTGCTTTATCAGAAGGACTAGTTTGTATTTTTTAAAGTTTTTTTTAACTTGATAGGTAGTTGACAAGACTATCCTTTGTGGTAGCACTGTTCTCTTCTCTACTTCTAGGTGTTTACAAATTGTTGTTGTTAAATTATTGGCCACTCTCCATATGCTTTGCTTGCATTTGTTAAATAGATGATTATCTTCTTTATTCATTTTAAAACTAATTTAAGTCTTTGTTTATCATGATATTTCTAACTTGGTGCTATTTTAACTAACTTTCTTTTTCCTAACTAGCAGATTTTCTTTCTTTTTAACTTATTGCTCTATCTTTAAGTTAAGGTAAAACTTAGCTATTCTTTAAGTCAATGCTTTATCTATAAATATTTTCCCTTGCTTAGGTGTTTGATTTATACTAATTCCTATTTTTTTAATTATTTATAATTACTCAAATTTTCTACCAAATTGAACTAATAATAAATGATAGTTTAGAAACTCATGCAACCAATGTTCACAAATCTATATAGGATAATATTTTACTGAGATTGTTAATTTGGCTATAAAATATTGGGAGCATTCACAGATGATTAAGAAAGGATAGATCTGGGATTATCCTACTGACTCATGAAACCGCTTCGATTTCCAAATTTATAATTAGAATTAATATTTTCCTTCTTAGTTTTAAAAATATTTAAATGTAAATAAGTAAACTTTGACTGCATTTTTTTTTCAGTTGGTAGTAAATAATGCTAACATAAAGTATTAAGCAAAAGTAAATAAGAGATATGATTTTCACTTTTACTAATAATAGAATTAGCATAAATAGCATAAATATATTAAATAAATTTGTAAACTCAGACATCTCAATTAAACAAATTTACTTGATGTTCGTCCTACAGCAATCCCAATGTGTCCTTGGGTTTGTCCATACCTTCTGAAAGTAAGTAAGTAAAATTCTCTAACTATTTAAATTAATTAATTAATTCTATCAGTATCTCTTAGTTTTTGTTTTTATAATTGTTTCTAATATTTTTAATGATTACTTATTATTTTTTTTGTTCTTCTCTGCTTTGTTTAATTGATTTCTTAATGATCACTTTCACTAATTTTTAATTATCTGATACATTTTCTAATTTTATCAATAATTTATTTTATGATGAAAGCTACCAAAGCCACAGACCAAAAAGTATAATTACAATAATAAATAAACTCGATTAACAAGGCTAACTAATCACCTTGACTAACTTATTGCTTTTTCCTATTTTTAATTAAAATACAGCTATATTGATTGATTGTGTTTTTAGTATTTTAACTACTCTCACATAGCAAATCATAAAAAATTACTGCATCATAATGAAAAGCTAACTATAAACTAATTTTGTGGTTGCTAATTAATAAAGTCGAATCTCATTGAAATAGTAAATACTTTATTATTGGGATGCTAAAACTCAAAAAAATAAAAAATAAAAATAATAAATTTCTTGTAATAATGGCCAATTATGAATTAATAGAAATATATATATTAACAGAATATAAATAGTACTTAACTGAATTATTATTTTTTTACTGATTCCCCTCGACGAATGCCTCAAATGTTTTTATTAATTTTAAATTATTCTACATAAATAAATATAAAAACAAATGTTATTTTTAAATTATTTTTTCATATAAACAAAAAAATTAAATCTTTAGTTTAACCTTATTTTATTGCTATTTTAACAAAAAATTATAACAAAAAATACAGTGTTATTTAATAAATCTATAGAGTATTAAGTAATATAAATATTTCATTTTTTAGCACTTTCTGGTCTTAGCATCCTTTTTGGATTCTATGAATTATTTACTTAAAGTGTATTTTTATTTTATGTTCCTCCGACAAAAAGTTATTATTATTATTGTTATTATTAGTTTTAAGTATTGTTTCGAACTATTTTGTTTGTAAATATTTTTAAAAAAGTAAAATTAATTTTTTTAAACGTTTAAAAACATATTTTTAAAATTATTTAAAAAACAAACACTGAAAATAAATATTGAAATTCATTAATTTTTATTGCTAAATTAAAATTTTAAAAAATCTAAATTTATTAATTTGATTGTTTACCTGAAGCAGTTTATGGTCTTTAAAGTTTTGTTGACTGAGGCATATTTGGCGTAGATGTATAATGAGCTATATTCCTAGTTTCAACAAACGATGTATTATCATTTGTTATAGTTAAATCTACTTTATAATTTTTTCCATCTGTTCCTCTTCCCTATTTATCAATTTTAAGAAAGAAATTGAGAATATAAACAAAAGCATTTAAACGAATTAAGTGTTTTGTCTATTCCAAAGAATTAAAATACTTAAAATATAACTTATTTCAATTAAATATATTCAAAATAAATATTTATGAATGTTACAGGGTATGTAGCTTGAAGATTTTTGGGTACTCCGCATGAGAGACATGCATTTAATTGATTGAAAGGAGTAAGTTTTTTAGTTGTGATAATGGAATTGATATCCCCGTGAGAGTTATTTTATTATAGAGCTTAAAGGAGCTTTTTGTATAAAATAATTAGATTGTCTATATCTTTTCTGCAATATCCAATTTGTTCACTATTTGTATTAACTTTTGTATCAACTATGGCAAAATCTTTAAGAACATCGTCTTAATCAGCCTTTTACTTCAGTTATTTAGCCATAGTTCCTATATCGAATTCTTTAAATATTCTCTATAACCTTTTTTCCAAATCTTTAATTGATTCCATTTTCTTATTGATATCTTTAACATCGGAAATTAATTTTCTAATTTTATCTTCATCATCACCTCCATTTCTATCTCTCATATTTTACATTTCATTCATTTATTATCTGAACTGATCCAAAAGCTCTTACATTCCATGGACTATTTATTTTAATTTTTTGATATTTTAACATTATTTTAGCATCTAAATGTATTGTATAACATACCTGAACCAGCATTTTAAATAGCAGAAGGTCTGTTGCCATTATTCATACCTGCTTCATAGACGCTTAAGTCGATATTTTGTAATTTTATTAATACATTCTTTTGTATAAAAAGTTAATTCATTTTTAACATTAAATTTGATTAAATACATTTTTGATATCATCTATGTCTATTTACTACTTTTTTAAGTCTTCTAATGCTCTATTTAGATCACCTTCTATTTGGCAAAGTTTATGTGGATCAACATTGTTTGTTAAAACTTAAATCTCTCCACCTTTCTTATTAGAACCTTAATTGTTTAGCAGCTGATTAGTCATATCTTAAATTCTTTAAGACTTAAATATATTTATTATATATTATAAATTTAATAGAGAATAATAAATAAATTACGAGATTTTCCTATAAATCATTTAACCTATCATCTATTGCTTTTATTCTTATATTCTATCTTTCGACTAATGGCATTAAATCTTAGGATTTTTCTAATTCTTTTTGTTTCTTTTAAAGCTCTTAGAGAGCAGCATTAACAACCTTTTTATAATCTTCAAATACAGGCTACTTAGTGCATGTGCTATTAACTCTAATTTGTATAATAAAAATAAAGCAACTATTTATGTCAAGAATCTAAATTACAAATCTTCTAAATCTTTTATTTGCTTTTTAACTTATTTTAATTTATCTGCTTGGCTATCTTCCATAATTTTCATTTTAGAAATAATTTCAGCTGAAAGTCTCTCAATCTTTTCAGTATCGCTTTGAGCTAATGTAATAACCTAATTTTTAATAATTCAAAAATAAATTAAGTTACATAACACACCAAATCAAATATAAGATTTAAATCTCCTTGTAACAATTTTTTTAAAACAATTAATAGAATTCTTAAATAAATGCTCATATAGTATTAATCAACACTCATAAATAATCTCTCTCACCTCTCTTCTGATTTTATCTTCGAGTGCTTTTATTGAATCATCAACATAATCTTCAGTTATTCTTTTCTTCATCATTTCTTCGCAATCCTATATTTTCCAAAGAGTCTTTTTTTCAATGGCTTAAACTTTGTCTTCAAATTAATTGATTTTAGACGCATATTTAGTGTCTAAATCAACAACTTTTTTTTCGAAATACTTTTTTATTTCTTCTATTTCAGTTGTTACCTTTACTTTCAGCTTTTTGTGCTTCTCCTTTACTTCTTCCTTGACAGCTTTTTTTTATATTTCTTTTTCAATCTACAAAAACCTAGCTGGAAATTCTAAGTTTGAATTATAGTTGTAAGCTACTGCGTATCCGAGTCCAGTTAATTTATTAAATATTTTATTTGTTTAGTTTGCTAAATTATCTCCAGTGTTTTCTGGTCTTACACTTTTAGCTATTTAATTCTTAACGATATTCGCTAAATTATTATCCATTATTTTTCCTCCCTCACTTATAATACTCAACTATTCTGGTAACACCTTCCTAGTCTCTCTAGTCTATATTTCAAGTTACAAAGCATTAATTAATTCTGCATGCTAATTTATTGTATTGCTAATCTTATCTAGAAACGACTTTAAGCTATCAAAGTTCAAATCGAAAGAAAAAAGTGGGTTTGTATTCACCTATAAATTTGCAGGCAATCTTGCTTTAAGATATAAATGATAAAATTAACTAAATTTAATTCTGACCAATAGCTTATCTTTATTAAAAGATAGAGTAAATGAAAAATATTTTACAGATTCCATCTTTATCTGACATAGTTTTTGGCTTTTTTTGACTTATTATATGATTTTTTTATGCAAATTATTATTTTATAGGATGGCTATATTAGCTAGCTAGCTTCAGCTAAATTAAATATAGATTTTAATTAGGATAATATTTATGTATACAAAATATATATTTGATTAATAGATAAATAACTCAATCAAAAAACCTTATTTTTACTTAATATTCTTATCTTTATTAATCTCTGCTATTCACTCATGAAATTTGCATAACTTTTTTTATCATTTAAAAAATACTCAGTAAAAAGAAATATCTTCATTTATTCCGTTTAAAATTTTATTCATCACTACCTTAAAATATATAAAATTTAACATGCACTATTTGCATTCAAAATTACATTTAATCTACAAATTTTCTGGTTTTTAAAATCTTCAAAAAAGTTCAGTAAAAATATAAATTATCATTGAATTTGCCTTTGTAAATCATAAAAATTCTTAAAAACGTAGCATGAATTTATTAAATTAATGGTTTCAAATATGCTTCTTGATTCAATTTAAATAAATACAACAATCATTTTTATTTATTAAAAATTATAATTTTCATTTTTAATATTTTTTTTAAAGAACTCTTATAAAATCATTTCTTAATTTCTACTTTTAAAGGATTTTAAAGAATATAAAGAAAGAAAACTTCAAATTATATATTTAAAAATAAAAAAGTTGCTAAGATTAATAGTAAATGATACTTTGATATACTATAATATGGAATAAATGACTAAAAAAAATAATTTTTACATTTTGCTTAATGGATATTTATTGTAAAACTATGAATTATTTTTTTTAAATTTAAGTAATTATTTTCAATTATATTTTTGTTAATTATTTTTTAAGGAATTAATATTTCATATTATTTCTTTCAAAATAAAAAGAACATTTGGACAAGAAAAGGAAGACTTTTGTTATTTAAAGAGTATTTCATTGAATATTTTTTTGTTAGATAAGTTTTATACAATTAGTAATAATATTTGAATTAATTTTTTTAAATCAATTTAAAATTTATAATAATTAAAATTTGCTTCTAAAAGAAAAATTGGCTTTGAAAATAATTAATATTTTAAACATACCTTTAAGACGAACATTTTTAATTTAATAAAAAAAAAAGTTAAAAAAAGAAATTTTTTTAGCTGTAGGTTATTTTGTTCAATTTTTATTTTATTGATAAGTTTTTTATTATTGGAAATAATATTCTAATTACTTTTTTAGTCAATATTTTTAATAATGCATATTCGCTTCTTAATATTATATTTTTATTTGTTTTAAAGTGTTATAAAATACTGAAAAAATAAATAAAATGGAAATCTTGATTTAATATAAAAAATATAATTAAAAAATTAGAAAAAATTTTTTTATTTAAAGACTGTTTTCTTGGATTTGCTTTTGTTAGAAAAGTTTTTTATTACTGTGGATAATATTTTATTTACTTTTTTATTCTATAATACAAATCTCTATTGAGAAAATAATTTATTTTGAAAAATATAAATGTGTATGAAAATATAAAAATAAAGAAAAAAATTAATTTATTTAAAAAAGAAGCAATTAAAAAGAGTTTTTTATTTATTTGAAGATTATTTTATTCAGAATTTTTTGGTTAGGTAAATTTTTATTACTGGAAATAATATTTGTATTAATTTTTTAAATCTATATTTTTAAATAATTAAAAGAAGATGCTTTATCTAATAATTAAATTGAAAAATTATAAATTTATCTGAACATATCATATTAATAAAAATTATTAGTTTAATAAAAAACTTTAAAAATAAATGATGTGTTGGGAAGGGTTTATTTAGTAAAAATTATAGTAAAATTATTATACAATAATGTATGTATAACATAAAACAATGAGAAGTAGTATTTTATTAAAGTAGTTTATATAAAGAATATTATTTATTTTTATCATTAATTTTTATTTAAGTCAATCATTTTGGGAAGTTTCCAAATATATTTTAGTATTGCATATAGCCAGCAGGAATGGTAGAAGGCATTCCAGAACTAAATCTTCTTTGAATTGAAGGTTACTAAGTATTCATTCCATATGGTATAGTATTCATAGAATTAGCTGCACTTCCAATAGAAGATGTGGAATTATTTGACATTGCTTTAGGACGAGGAGAGGGAGTTCTGTCTCTAGTGAATCTGTATTAGAAGCCAATATCGTCAAAGTCAGACATTTTTGTTATTTTTGTGATAATATTTTTTTTAAGATGTTTTTTTATTTGTTAATGTTTTTTTTTTATAATTATTATTTTTTTTATAAAACTTTGAGCTATTTTAAAACAAAAATATTGACAAAAATATAAGAGTCTGATCTGATTATTATGACGTACTTATAAAAATAAAAATTTGATTAATAAAGAAAGAACGAGAATAATAGGTTATTGAGAGAAAAAAATTTATTATAAAATAATTAGAAGCTTTTCTGATAGAATTTTAATAATGTTTATACATTATATAAAAATTATACTTAAAGTTGATTTGATTAAATATTAATCACTCGATCAATTAATTACTTATTTATTATATTTTGCTTACTAATTGTCTATTTAATTTTCCAAAATTATAATTCAAATTTTGAAGATCAACAATAATACTAATGTATCACTTTTTGAAAAAACTGCCTACCTTTAAATTTTTTTTAATTTTTAGCTAAAGATTTTAAAACACACTTTAAAGAATTGAAATATTTTGTGATGAAATAGTAAAATACATCTAATGAGTACACTCAAATAATGAGAGATTTCTCAATAAATTCCTTTCTCTAATTGTTGATTGAACAATTATGAACTATTTATAATCTTTTCCCCATATGTAACAAAAATAATTGAAAAATTGATAATTAAATAGTGTAAATTCAAAAAATTATAATAAAAAGTAATTTGATTCTATTAATAGTTGATTTTCTTCTATTTAATCAATATTAGTTTTTTTCTAAAGTAGTATATTTAATTTACCCAAAAACTTTTAAAAATCCACTAATTTTTTTTTGAATTTTTCGTGTAGTTTCATATCTCTTTTCTGAATTACATCTCACATTAATCTAAATAAATTAGAAATAATCATATTAATCTATTTTTTACAGCATACTATAAACAAGGTCTTTTTATATGAACAATTTTTAGTCTAAAAGGGTCCACTATTTTAATGTTCTATCATAACACAATTGAGTGAAGTTTTAATTTCATTCATTCTTGTACTATAGAAAAGAATTTTAAATTACATGAAAATAATACTTTTTATGTTTAAAAATTGTATCTAAAGTAGTCAATGTTTAAATTTTTTTGTTTACTTTAAAAATATGCAGAAAAATGATTAGCTTAATAAAGTTGTGGTAATAATTTTTTTGATAAATATGTAAAAAAATTATTACAAAATATCTTAAAAATGTACAAAAATTTATGGATACAATGATTAGAAGAGAATTAGTTAACTTTTTTGTAATAATTAAGTAAATGAGTGCTTGTTTTTGTTTTTTTCGTTTTTTTGGTATAATCCCAAAATAGCATTTTGATACCAAAAAAAATTAATTACTTATTAGAATAGAAAGAGGTATAGTTTTTACGTCAATTAATTATTATAAAGTTTTATTTATGACGATGCGCACAAATCCTTAATTTAAATTAAATAGCTATTCTAGCTAGAGCATCTTAATCTTTATCAATTCACCTCCAAAGAAACAAAAATTCTTTGCTGAAATTGTTTTTAAAAGTAAAAACACACTAACAGAATAAAATTTGTATTTTTTCTTTAGGAATAGCCATTTTTAGCCAAGTTTTTGATAAGATAATATGTATATTGTTAGTAATGATATCTACAAATATTAATTCATAATTCACTGAATTTTTTAAGTAGAATTAATTTAGATTTTGTATTGATTGCTACTAAAAGATGAAAAATTAACTACACTTATTGATTGAAACACACATTAAAAAAATAGAAATCTTGCAAAAAGAATTAAGTGTGCTTATTGGTTTATATAGAGTTTTACAATAAAGTTAATCACCAATAAATAGTTCATTAATATCTAATAAATTTTTTGTTTTTTTCAATTTACATACTTTCTAATAATTTATGTCTCAAATAGGTATGAAAAAGCTAGGCGTAAAATATAAAAATCAATATTAATGGATAAATATGACATAGAAAATTAAAGTTGACAAATTTAAAATACAAGATTTTGTAAATTATGCTTAAAAGATTTATTAGATTTGCTAATAATAGCTAAAATATTACAAAATTTAATTTTACTCGCTGCTTAATTGTTTTTTTTTTCTTGATTTTACATATCAGTTAAAGTGAACTAAATAAATAGAAATTTTTTTAAAAGGAGTACATTCATTCAAAATTATCTTTGAAAACTTCAGAAATATAATGAAAACAAATCAATCTGTAAATTTGGTATTAATGTAGTGTTGTAATTAAGTTAATTTAAAAGATGAATGGATGAAATAATACATTTAATATTAAAAACATAGACAAGATAGTTATCAAGAAAATAAATATGCTTTTAGAATCAAAATTTTTTCTAAAAAGTTTTGTTTAGAAAAATCCTTGTTATTATAAAAGAATGATTTTGATTTAATAACTGTGTATTTTTCTTTGCTTTTTAATATTGAATTGATTATATATATATATGATATAATGGAGCTATTATTTTTTTAAAATTCAATTTTACTAATTGATTTATTGATTGATCAATAATAAATAAGGTTGGATGATTAATATAAAACTATGTAAGTGTATTATTTATCAATTGTCTATAATAAGAGAGTTATAAATTTAAGATCCATCAATTTTATTAATTAATTAGTTATTAGTTTCTTGAGTCTTTTTATTAAATTACTAATTTATATTTTGTATTTTTCCTATCTTTCTTTTGTTCATTATTGGTTTTTGATGATTAAAAACTATCATAAATTAATAGAGGTAATAAGTATTTTATGATTGATTAGTCTAATAAGGTAAATAGTTATTGTTATTTTTTGATTAATATATTTAAGCTGCTTTTGTTTCATTAGTTTTAAGATATTATCTCTGATATAACGTTTTTAAGTTAAATTAATTGCTCTACATATCTATATTAAAAATAAATATATAATTTAAAATGTTTGTCGTATGATAATATAAATTAATAAATAAATTGTAATAATTAAAGTTACTTAATGTAAAAGATTATAAATTTAATTATTATTATTTATTATAATAATAGCAGAAATCAAAAGAAAAAAAATTATAATTTACTCTATAGGAAGGTTTTTAGTATCACAAATTTTAAAGATATTTGATAAAGTTTTGATTTGTTTAGAGGAAATCTCTTCATTTATTTTAACTTTAGAGAAATCTTCATCATTTATTTACTCCTAATTTTAATTATTTTAATCAATATCTTTGTAGCCTTAGTTTATTTATTCAGCTTCTTATTAGTTTTACTCTAAGCTATTATTAAACACAACTTATTCTTCGATTGAGTTTTATTAGTTATATTCTATTCTATTTTTTGAATAATCTCTTGGGTCATCTGGTTATAGAGCTTAAATATCATTGTAATCTTCTATATAATTATCTGCTTTGAGTTATTTGGGTTCAAAAATCTATCCATCGTTTTAAAAATTAATCTTTTAATAGAGTATATTCCTTATTGAGTCGTCTAATTCTTCACTAGATACCTTTGTGTCTTATTTTGATCCTTAAAAATTGCATGTTATATTATCTAAATTCGATTAGTTAGCTTATAAATAAGAACGTCCACTTTTTCCATTTGAGGGGTTATTGGTATTGTCTTTCTCTCTGTTTGAAGTATAAAAAATTGAAAGATCATTATTTGACTTTTTTATAAGATTGAAATTCGCTATGTAGCTATCATCATTTTCTTTGTTAGAGTAGCTCTTCATAACATTCGAAGAGTTGATGGCAGATGTTTTTAATTTTTATTGAGAATTATTAGTCTTTAAGCAAGAATATAAGTTAACATTTTAATTTAGTTATTCATTATAGGGTTATTAATTTTCATTTTGTTGATCTTATTAGTTGATCTGAGACATATAAGAGTTGATGTTAATATGTCTTAAATCTGCTGATTATTTTTTAGCATAATTATTATATTAACCTAGCATAGATCTGTTTTAATTTAATAAATTTTATTTTTTATTCAATTTTGTTAAATTAATTTTATAAAAATGTTAAAATTTTCTATTACAAATAAAAAAATATTTCAAAACAAATTTTCTAAATATTTAATAAAATTGCATTTATTCAAAAATGAATGGATTTTATGAGTATTTTTATATAGATTTCTATTTTCATTTTAGCAACAAAATGGGATGATTAGCTTAATTTATATATTTACAATCTAGATAAAGGGACAAATTTTTAGTTAAAATATTTAATTTTTTAAATTACCTTTTTTAAGTGGAGTTGCTGGTTGTTTAGGTTTCTGAAAAAGATTCTTTGAGTGGCTTTTTTTAGTCTAATTAGAGTTAAAATTTCTTTTACTTTTAAGTACTGTAGATTTATTACTCAAGCTATACTTCATATTATGGCTTTTATGCTTACATTTATATTTATTATGGCTGTGATACGATTGGTTTCTATTGAAGTGGAGTATTTTAAATTTTATTTTATACTGAAGCAAGAAATGTTTTGTTTTCAGTAAGAGGAGTATTTTAGATATAGCCTTATTATCCATTGTTGAGTAGTTGAGCACTTTGATTTCTTTTATGCTTTCCAATTATACTATATTGATTTTTATCTGAGTATTCGTTTACTTATGATGTTTTGAGTAGGTTTGAAGTGTTATATTAAAATATATCAACCCTATATAATTTTTAAATGTAATTATAAATTAAATTAACAACAAAAAGTGAATATCTTTTTAAATTTTTGTTAGAATAAAGAATCAGATTTAAAAATTTTGAACTTCATATCAGTTTTATCCAATTGTTAAAAATGATTCATTTACAAAATATTTATTTTTTTTACTTTTTTTAAATTGGTGTATGGCTTAAATAGGCATTTTAACTTAAGTAACCTATTGGTGAGTTTTAAATAAGGTTTGGTGTGTTATTAACGAGACTTGGCGATTATTCCCTTGACATATGAGCTGAAGCTAGTGCTTTTTTTTGCAGCTCTCTTTATCTTTGCTCTATAAATTCAATATAATTATTAGATGTTGAAGTTTGAGCAGGATTTTGCAAAAGCTAAAGTAGCCCTGATTTTTCTTTTTATAATTTATCTTATTTAGAAAGATCAAGTTTTTATTAAGTTTAATCATCTTATTTAAGAGTTGAAGCTATGCTTAAATAACTTGGCTTCCTTGACATACTATTATAATTATTTGCTAGTTCTATTTAATTTTTAGTTTGATTCTCCATAAATTTTATTTCACTATTTCTTCTCGAGTTATATTTTGAATGTTCACTTTAGTACTACTAATCTCTATTAACTCTTAAATTGCTATCTAGGTAATTTTCAAACTTCAATAATAAATTGCTCGTAGAACCTTTTCCTTTATCTGTTTCAGTAGGAATACGCTGCATTTTGTTGACTTACAAAATCTATTCTTGTAAATCCTATAAAGTTTACTGTTTATTAAAAATAATAAATATAGAAATCAATTTTTATTATTCTTTTTGGAGTATAGCAATCATTATTTAATATTAAGAAGGAAGATTATTTTATTACACACTTAAATGGAGATGGATTAGTCTATAAATTAGCCTGAAATTTATAATTAAAAATTATTATTCAAACTAACACAGTAAAAAAATAAATAATTTTACTTTAGAGCGCATTACAATATTTACAACTTTCTTAAAAGTGAGCTTTTTGTACTTTAAAAAACTATAATAATGATAATCTATCTATCTATATTTAAACGACAAATTGTTTTTAACTGAATAAATTAACTTTTTAATTATTTTAAGCCCACTAATATTTTTTTGCAAAATCTTTCGAAGTCGTCATAGTGCTATTTTAATCAAAATTAGATTTTCCCATTCATTTTATTTAATATTTAATAGAATGCGACAATAATGTGTTCAAAAATGAAAAATGGAATGGTAACCCTTTTATTCAAACCACAATTTATTGTATTCAACTTATTTATTTTTTTAGAATGTTTGAAAAAGTTTAAAACACAATAAATAAAGTATTTTGTTTGTTTAAATAATGAACTTTTTAATAAACATTAATTAATAATAAAATGGTATCTGTAAAAATGAATGTTTATTAAATTATATATATAAATTAACCATTTATTTTTTATTTGAAATATAAAATTATAAACATTTTATTTTATTCATTTTAATTAATTCATTATCAAAAAATAAAAAATTACTTTTTATTTCGGAAGAAAATTCGAATTTCTTTTTCAATAAAGCAGTAAATATATTATTTTTCAAATAGGTTAATGCAATTAGTAACTATAAAAATTATTTTGTAAATAATTTAAATTTATGATTTTATTTTTGGTTAAATTTTTAAAAAAATGAAACTCAATGGTATTTGATTTTATTTTGTAAGAAAATTTTAATTGTTAAAACAATAATACATTAAATAAATTAATTTTTTAATATTTTAAGGCAATCATTATCTAAAAAAATTTTTAGGAAATAATTTAAATTTATTATTTTATTTTTGATTGAAATAATAAATAAAATTAAACTCAAATAATTTTACTTTTTATTTTTAAAGAAAATTTCAGTTGCTTTAAACAATAATGCAGTAAATAATTATTTTTTAAATACATTAAGGTAATTCTTATCTAATAAAATTATTTTGGAAATAATATAAATATATTTTTTATTTTTGATTGAAGAAATAAAAAAATACATCTCTATAATATTTGCTTTTTATTTTGAAAACAAAAATTGTTCAAGAAAGATGCAGTTTAAATATTATTTTTGAAGTATTTTAAGGCAATTATTATCTAAAAAAAAATTATTTTAGAAAAAATTTCATATTTTTATTTAATTTTTGATTGAAACAATAAAAAAAGATACTAAATAAGATTAAATATAATATTAAAATCAAAACGTTATCAAATTATCATAACAATATATAAAAACATAATAAAAAATAATTAAAATAAGAAATCATTTTACAAAAATTATGATTTTATGTATTACTTTTAAAATAAAATAAAAAATATATTGATTTATACTATATATTATATATAATTTTAAATATCAAAAGTCAATAGCATTAATTACTCTGAAAGCATTATGAGAGAATACATCAAAACAGCGAACTTAAAGGAAATTAGTTAAAAAGTAACCCATAATTACTCCTAAGATAGTATCAAAAGTAAAGTGGCACATAAAATAAACTCTAGCTGTCATAACAAGAATAACAAATGCAATTAATATCATTTCTAATCTATCATAATCAATTGAAATTCCCATGAAGAATTTCATTATGAAATTCACTTAATTATAAGAAAAGATAATGTTACAAGCAAAGTTGACTGCTTAAATAGAATCTCCACTAGGAAGAGAGCAATTTTATTCTTTTTATCTAAAAATGCTTGATTTATTTTTTAGCCATGGAATAAAAATTGGTCTTTTTCTTTTTAAAAGCTTTTTAGTCACTAAAGTCATAATCAGATTGCAAATTATACAAAACAAATAGAAGAGAGCCTAGATGATTGAACTTTCTTAGCTTCGTTTTAAAATACTAAAATTGAAGGCATAAACCAGGCAAATAGGAACTATAATAAACGAAGGATTAAACATCAAAGCAAATGGATACAATATCATAGAAACTAATTTGCTGTCGAGTTTGTGCAATAACTCGCTTATCGCTTTATCAATTCTATCTAAAAATCCTAGCATAATCTAAAAGTAAAATATTAATTTTTTTAATAAAAATAATAATTAAAATCAAAGATCTGTCTTTCTGTGAGATAAAAAAATGCTAATTAATTTCATTAAATAATATCTAAAACAATTTTGAATAAATTTTAAAAAGTGTTTACTTTATCAAAAACTAAACAATTTATTTATGAAGCTTAAAATTATTTTATTGATAAAAACAAATCAAATAAAAACTTCTTTATTTGAGTAAAATAATAACCCAATTAAATGAAGAAAGATAATTCAAATAATTTTTTTTATCATAGTCATTTAAAATTGAATAAGAATTTGTATTATTGATTTTAATATGTATATTTCAAGAGATATAAATTTGTAATTTATTTTATTTTATTTCTAATAAATTCAGGTAAAATGTTACATTTGTAAAAATCTAATAAATATTTATTTATTTTGTTCCTTTCAATTCAATGATGGATATTTGTTTTCATGAATAAAAAATAGTAAAAAAATTAGAAAAGATTTTTTAATTATTTTAAAATGATTGGTTATTTATTTGCGCATTTAGCATTCAAAACAAAAAAATCTTAGCATGCTTATCAATGGATTTAGTTAATATCAAAAAATCAAAATAAATACCATGAATTTATTATTATTATTATTATATTTAAAGGCTTCATTTAAATAAAGGTTATTAAATATATCTAATTTTTTTTAATTAAGTGCTGATAGTGTATAGTCATTTATAATAAAAAGGATTAGCAACAAAAAAGTGAAGCATAAGTACTAAATATTTTGTAGTCAGTAGATAGTTTTTAAAATGAAGTTTTTTAGTTCTCTTTTAGCTGTCCAAATACTTATTTTAACAAGCTTAGTTGAGCTTTCATACCAAACTAAAATATAGTTTATAGTCTAGCCATATTATCCAGCAGTAATTTGGTAGAAAATCAAATAATTTACTCCAAAACTATTCAAACTCACAAATAAAAAATTAATATATTTTTAATTATGCAAATATAGCTAACCAGATACTCAATCATTGCAGATAACAGGGATCGAAATCGAAATAGTTAGAGAAGCTTTAAGTTATTTAAATTATTAAGGTATTTAAAAATATTTAAAGTAATCTATATTTATAAATATATTTCAAAAATGAAATTAGAAAATAAGGACTACTCTTTTACCTGCGAAAGGAATTTTTAAGAACTGACTAGCTCTATTTAAAATCTAAGCTTTCTTAAAAATACAACATTTTAAATAGGTATTGATTAATCAGGAATTTCGTCTAAAAATTTAGCTTAAGGCTTTAAATACTCCTAGCCAATATTTTCAGGTTATTATGTAGTCCTTTAGCATACAAGATATACAGCTAATTATTTTACATTTACTTTCAAGTAAATATTTAAAATTGACATTTCATTTAACAGTTTAGATATAAAATGTTTTTTAATAATTTCTAATTTTGAAATAATTAGAGCTTATATTATGTTCCTAATAGGAGTTAGTTTTATAGCTACTTATTATGCTCTCAAACATGCAGACTCATAACGATTAGGGTGGCTAGAGTATGCATTTATTGTTTCTTCCTCATTTTTCTTAAATAGAGAACCTCTTATTTCACACGCGAAGGCAAAATCGATTCAATATGGTTTTTATTTTTTGAGTGGATTGGTATTCTTGTTTGGAATAGCTGTATTTATTTACTATTTACTTGAAAACCAAGCAAGTGAAATATTTGAATATTCGTAACTGAATGGGAAAGATATTTATACAATTTATGGGGATTCTAAAGCTTCTTTAATAGTAGATAAAATTAATGCAAAAGAATTTGATTATAAAATCTTCAACAATACTTCTTCTGAGTTTTTAAATTATTATGACACATAAAGAACCTAGTTCACTATTCACAAAGAGTACTAAGGATTAACTCTACTATCTTATTTGTAATAATATATTTTTATTCAAAGTTAATCTTTTACTCTTGTTTAAATTAAATTTTCAAATTATAGATTTTTTATTTTAAGCTTTTGAATTCTTTTAATAAAATCTAAATAAAAGATATAAAATTATTTACTATTAACCTATTTTAGATGTAATGGAGATATGCACATGATTGGTCTTCCTTATAATTAATTTGATGGATTGGTTTATAATTTAAGTGTTCCTGATACCTTAATATAGCAAATAGATTCAGCTTTACTCTAAGTTCTAAATAAAAAAAGTGTTTAAGAAAGAGCTAGAAGCTACTAAACTAAATCTGGGTAGATGTGTTAGGCTACACCAGCTGATTATATTAGGTTCTTTCATGGTATAACTTATTATGATCTTTGGGGCCTTTTCTTAATTATTTGGCTTCTGCCTCTAATATGGATTCTGAGGAAGCTTCTTCTTTCTTATTATAAAAAATATCATCCAGTCTATTATAAAGAAGCAAAATAAGAAGGGATTATAGAGTATGTCTCATATAAAAGAGCTCATGATTGTGGAGTATTAGTTGATGATGAGCTATGTAAAGCTCAAAAAAATCTAGGTATTCAAATTACTTTTGCAATTGATTAATTAAAATTAATTAATTATATTTAGAGTAGGATGTTGCTAAAAGAGACGAACACGGTATAGATCCATTAGTAGAACATTTATTAGATGATAGATAAATAAATATGGATTAAATTAAATAAGCCTATGAAAAATCTAAAAAAGTAGATTTTACCAATTTTAAGAAACTGAATTCTTCAATAAATGATAGTTTTAACAGCAGTAGAAGTATGGCATTGAGAAACCCTAATAGATTTAAAGGCTACATTAAAAATCCAGATGATGCTTGTAATTAAGGTAGTGCTTTTGATTCTTTAATGCCAACAAATTAAGATGGAATTGAACTGACTCCTTTACATGATTATTTTAGACTTAAATTTGGATAAAGTTAGAAAGATAATAACTCAATATTCTTTTAAACATTAAATAGAAAACATTAAAATAATTAAGAGGGTGTTGGATTAATAAGAATGCTTTCTTCTATTCAACCTCCTAATGCAGATTTGAGTTCTATCCATGGATAAATACTTGCAAACAATTCTCATGATGGATCTTTGCCACTTGGGATGCTTTATTAAACTGAACAAGAAAAGAAAAATAGATTTAGGTAAAATTTAATTTTATTTGTGTTAAATATTTATTAGTTACTATGAAAAAGATTCAACATCGTTAAGCAGTCTAAAAATTAACAAGGAGAAGGGCAATTATTTAGTTCTTAGATTAAAAAATCCAACTTGGGAAATTAAAATAGTTTACCTTTAATAAATTTAGAAGAAGATGATGATTATGAAGATGATATTTTACATAATGGAACGAATAAATAATATTACGATTAATTTCATCACTTAAAAAAATAGAAATCTAAAGTGTAAGGTGAAAATCAAAATGAGAGTAGGCTAAAGCTAAAGCACAATAATTTCATGGGATTAGATGAGTTACCATCTCCATAAAAATAAAAATCAGAAACTGTTATTGATATCACTAATCAAAATATAGGTAACAATTAAAACGGAATAATATCAAAAGATGGTTTGAATTCATCAGTATAATATGAACACAAAGGTAAAGAACACATGTTTATAAGAAATATCAAGAGGTCATAAACAGGCTTAAATAAGCTTAACTCGTTTATTTTAGAAAATCAAGAAGATATCGAAAAAGACTTTAATTATGAAAATCCTTCATACCGAGTGCAACCATCTGCAAAAAAGCTTTTAGAAGATTTAGAAAGATAAAACTCATCTCAATTAAAGTAAGAAAATAAATAGAAAAGGAAAGTTATCGAACATTAAAAGTAATTAGTTGATTAGTTCTTTAATCAACATTAGACTTTGGTAATAAAAGATAATGATCTAACTGTTGAAGTGCTCACTTTTAGGGATGATGAAAAAAAGGAGTAACCACAAATATATGATTTAGATTCTCATAAGCAATATTCCTCAAATAAATCAACAAAAAGATGAAACTTAAAAACTAAAATTTTATTGAATAAAATACCATTATTTATTTATTTAAATTTTAAAGTAAAAATATAGATTATTTATTAATTATAATAAATAAAACTTTAAATAAAAAAATTTTCAAGATTTCATACATATAATATAAATATAATTTCTGTATATTAAATGTATTTATTATATCTACAGTTTTAAAATATTTTTAAAATGTAACTGGCTAACTAACTTAATATCTTATCTCAAATATTAGAACTAAATTAATGAAGAAAAAGTAATTTTTGATTAAATCAATAGATTTAACTAAAAAATTAATCAATGTCTACTTAAGATAAATAAATACTTAAAAATTACATCAAACGATTTATCATTTTGTTTCAATTAATTTTTATTTTGAAGTAAAATTAATTTAAAAAAGATAAAAATTTTTGAGTGGTGTTTATGAAAAATTAGAAAAATTTCTTTTGAAAAATGATATAAAATTATGTAATAAAATATTTTTGATATTGAAAAATGTTGAAAATAAAATTTAAATGCCAACCATTTACCATGTCTGTGATGGGCAATTTGTAAAAAATAAATGAAAATTTATTTAGTTAATCTCAAATTTTGTGCCATTAATTTTTTAGAGAGAAATTAAATTAAGTAGCAGATAGATTTTGGTTTCTTGGATTATATTTCTCACATATTTTGTAATTTCAAATTGCAAATAAACTATGAAATTAATATTGATCATTAAGAAGGTATATTTAGTTATTTTTATTTCTAGAACTAATTAAAAAAAAATTGTTTGCGTATTTTGCTGATTAATTAAAATGAACCAATTTTTTTTATTTGATAAAAAAATTTAATGAATTCTGATAATTAGATAAAATGAAAAAGTAAGTGGGCAAATTGATAATTTTAAATGATATTAAACAAATTAAAATATTTATATGTTATAAAAATATATATTTAATCTTTTACAATTTTACATTTTCTATGAAAATATTTTATTTATAGTAATTAAAATGTGTTAAATTTATATTTGGATAAATATCTTGAAAGGAAACTTTTAAATTCTGATGCATATTGCATTGATTAAAATAATGTTATTTTTCTAAAAGATCAAATAATTCAGTATGTAATTTCATTAATTTATTTCATTTCATCAAATTATCTTTAGACAAATTACACATCAAAATTTTTTAAGGTTAATTATATATTTAAATTTTACTTTCTTCTTGAATGATCTTAAAAATTTAGTTAAATTATAAGCAATTATCTCTACTTAAGTTAAAAATTAAAAATAAATTGGGAAATATTTATTTTAGAATCCTAAAAATATTTAATGGGTTAAAAAATAATTTTTTGGAGAAAATAAGAGATTGGCAATATAAATTAATGACAAAGAATATTTTATTGGATTAAAAGAGGGAATTATAACTAAAATGATATTGAATTAAATTAAGAGATCATATTTATACAATTTAATATATATTATAAAATAGATAGTTTTTTACATATCATTATATGATCTAATTAATTTTTTTTATATTCTTTTTAATCATTATATTGTAACTACTACAGAACGATATTTTTCATTGCATTATTCAACTTCTCTTATAAGATCTTCAGAAACACCTAATTCTCTTAAACTTTCAGAAAAATACTCACCTACTTTATCGAAATTAGCATTAGATACTCCCATGTACTTATGAACTTCAGTTAATTTTCTGCCATACCACCTATTTATTTATTTAGTAATTTAGTTAATTTGGTAAATTTAAATATTTTAATTTGAATTACTTTTCAGAGCCACCAAAAGCAAAGATATTGAAGTCAGTCTATTTCTTTGTTTGTTTGGCCATATCAACATTTTTGAAGAAAGGCTTCAAAGTCTCATCCTTCAAGACCTTAGCATAAAAACTTTTAGTAGCTTTAGCAACTACTTCATCACCTCCAAGTCTAGCATTTAAAGACTTCTTCATTGGGCAAATCTAAGCTCCAGCACTCTTTTTTGTGTACTTGGTATAAAAGTAATAGGTGAAAAGTCCAGCAGTAATAGCACCAACAGCTATTTTTACAGCATTACCAAGCTCTACAGGGTTAATTACTTCAGCAGTATTTGACATTTTATAGGAAAAATTGAATTCTTTGATTTTATTTTCTTTAAGATAACTTTAATTGGATTATTTATTTATTATTTAATATTTTAGATTTAAAAATCATATATTTAAATAATATTATATAATATTAATACGAAAGAATTTGTAATTTTTTACTTCTTATGTGTGTCATACACCCAATTTAAAAAACTAGAATTAATCCAGAAAAAACTAAATTTGCTATCAACGAAAGTTTAGAGAAAATTATATTCTTTAACTTTCTGATATAAACTTTAACTGAGATAATAAAAAACTTTTGGATTAATTAAAATTAGTTAAGAATATTTGATTACAATGAATTAAAAGATAATTTAATTATGAGTTCATCAAAAAGATTGAATAACAACTAATACTTAAAGGCTTAATTAAATTATAATAAGCTTAATCAGAATTAATTAAAATTAAATATCTCTTAGAAATATTAAAAATAAATAACGCAAGTAAGTGATTAAGTATTCTTAAATTCAAAAATTAATTATTATTTGATCTCTTTATGATACAAATTTTAATGACTCATTCATAACTTTATTAAATAATCTTTGTATTTATTTTCTTCTTTTTTTCTGTTTAAGACTCCATGTTTAAAGTTATGAAGACAGCTTATAAAAAAGTTTGAGTAATATTCCTGCATATTTTATTTAAAAATTTATACAATATACCATATATTCCAAAGCCTAAGAATCTTTGATTTTATATATTTTTGAAATATTTATATTAATTTAAAATAATTACTATTGAAGAATAGTTTGTAATTATTTATAAAATTACCAAAAAATATTTTACAAATACTCTATAAAAAAATAATTCTTTGCTTTTGTACTACTCTCTTAAACATTTTCTAAAATTATAAGTAAAAAAAATTATTAACAAATAAAGAATATCATACAATTTTTTTTATAAATATAAAAATTTTAAAAATAAATATAAATAAATTTATTAATGAAACAATAAATGACAAAAACATTTTTTTTAGAAAATTAATAATTTTTATAATTCGTTAATTTTAAACAACAAAATAAATTATACAAATTTATATTAAATCATAAAATAAATTAAAAAAATGTATTTCTAATAATGATTCTATTTAATTTAGAATAAAGGCTAATATCTCTATACACCTTTTTAATATATGATATCTTATCTATTAGATTAAATATTATACCTACAATTCCTTTATCAATCTAAAACATTTCTATTTCTAATCAAAATTAAAACATATTTAAAAAATAGATTTTAATTTTAATAAATATTCAATATTTTCAAAAACAAACAAAAAATTTTAAGATATTGAGGCTTAAAAATAACAAAAATCTTAATAAATTAATTTCCTTTTCTAACTTATTTATTAATTTTCTATTAAAAAAAAATATATGTTTATAATCATTTACCAATATTAGTTTAAAATTAAACACAAAGAATAATATATATCTGCCTTAGAGGAGCTAAAGGAAAAAACTAAAAGCTTTGAAAATACTAAATTATTTATTCATTATTTATTTGTTAGTTTGGATTTTAAAATAATTTATATAAAATAAACATAATAGTAACTTTAAATTTATACATTAATATAATAAAAGATTTAAAGCATTAATAATACTCTATGAATTAATAACAAAAGGAAAAGACTTTTGAAAAAATTAAATATTTCAAAAAAATTGATTAAAGAAAAGAAAAGAAAACAAAAATTTAGTATTAAGAGAAAAATGAGAATTTAAAACACTTTATTGATAATATTTGCTCTTTCAGGATTGGCTCTTTGTTTTGATTCCTAATACTGCTTAAATGAAGGTCTATCTAATAAGGATTGTGGATGGTACACTAACTGTTTGGAAAATGCTTATAGCTGTGGATCAGATGGCTATCCTGTAGGATATGGCTTTAAATACTGTAGTAGATTTGTTGAAAAGTACAACAACTTCTCAGCTCCTGCTAAGAAATGGATCGATGGTACTTTATCTTGCCTTAAAACCTCTTTGAAGGATACTCTTGTCAACAAAAGCAAGTATACCTGTGACAATGTTAAGAAAATTGCTTTCGATTCTCACCCTAAATGTTATGTTGAAAATGGTTTCTGCGAATTATTCACTAAAGCAGATATCTAAGAAATCTATTCTACCATCTTATCCCTAACTTCTGTTTACTAATTCATGGATTTCTTGTCACTCTAATCTATCAAGTAAGTAACCGTCGTAGCATATGAATGTCTTCAATCTAAACTTTGATTATAAAATTTATTTAAAGTACAAATTTATATTTATCTATTTGAAATATAGAAATTTTATTAATACACTTTAGTGACGTGAATTGAATCTTTTATTAAAATTTATAAATGCATTTTCCTTTAATAATTTTATCCTAAGTAATCCACTACATATTAAACAAGAAGAAAAACTATAAAATTTATTTTTATATATAAAAATAGAATGTGTTGTAAATGTTTTTCATTTTAGAAGGAAATGTAAACTTAATTAAGAAATATTTTAAAATATTTATTTTCCATTCATGAAATCAAAGAATATGTTAACTCAACAAAGTTTTCAACATAGCTAATTCTTACGTTGGTCATTCATTAATTTTCATTTAAACATTATATTTTTTATGACATTCTAAAAACTTATTCAGACATGTTCTTGTATTTCATAATAAATCATACAAATTTAAACTAATTCAAAGCATAGTTTATTTAATTTGGCTATTTGATCAGAATTAAAATCATAATTTTCAATTTTTGATGACGAAATAAAAAAATTATTTTTATTTTTTAAACTAGAATAAATTAGTAATTTAAATTTAAAAGATTATTAAAAAACTGTAGTAAATTTGATAAATTTATTTATTAGATGGTTATCAGAATTTTTTGATTTTGCTAAAAGCTAACAAAGGTTATCTATCAATCTTTAATTTATATATAAACTTTTTAATAAATATTTAACGTTTAGTCTTTGTTAAAGTTACAAAACTTTAAAATTTAATATTAATTACCTGATAAAAGCAAGGAACACAAAGATCAAATATAATAAATAAGTAGCTAGCTAATATGAAAGAATCTCGTTTAGATAAATTATCTAGACCTAAGACGGCAGTTAATAGCCATATGAAGTAAATGCTCAATCAAAATGAAGATGAGAAGAAAAAAGAACTACAAAAAAAAGAAATGATTAGAGTTTAAGATGAGAATGGAGAATTACCTCTCATTTTTTAAAAGAATCCAGTCTTTTTGGTATTTGAAAATAAATTATAAGCAGAATTATTCAATGCTAGGTGCCATGATACAGGCGAAGTAATTATTTAATAAAATTGAGAAAGATAATTTGAAGAAAATGTCATCAATTATTTTATAGTAAATTGTAATTATTTTTTCATAATTTCAAAATTAGCATATTTCACAAGAAAAAGCTAAAGTTTTTAAAGAAGAATTCAACCGCATTAATCTTAAGAAAAGCAAAAATATCTTAAACTTATATTCTATGCGTTTGGGTGTAAATTGTATGATTACCTTAAGCAATTTGCTCTAGGATCCAAAGCTGAAAGAATTTGACTCTTTGAATTTAGCTGATAATGCTATTTCAGATAATGGTATGCACTCAATTAAATCGATTATTGCAAATACTCGCATTAAACACTTAAATTTATCTTCTAATATGATCAGCGAAGCTGGATTAGAAATGATTGTAGATGATCTCAGTAAAAGTGCTGTGCTCAAAAGTTTAGATTTAGGAGTATAAGAAGGAAGTATACGCAAAAATTCCTTTGGAGTAGATGGAGCTAAATGCATTGCAGCAGTTATTCTATAAAATAAAAATATTGAAAGCATTAGATTATAGGACAATGACGTAGGTATCACTGGAGGTGAGATTATAGGAACAGCATTAAAATAAAATAGAACTCTCAAACATTTAACTATAGCTGAAAATGAGCTTAAAACACCTGGCGCTGAGTTCATTTTAAAATCTGCTACAAACATAGAGTCGTTGGATTTAGGTAAAAATTATATAAAATCTGGTATTGGTCCTACTTTAAAATCATACTTAGAAAGTAATGCTAATCTAAAAAAATTAAATCTTGAATATAATGAGCTACTTGTATCAGGTACACGTGATTTGTCTATGGGTTTACTACTTTCTAGAAATTTACTTTCTTTAAATTTAAAAGGAAATGGAATAAGAGATGAGGGATTGTAGCTTATCAGCAGAGTATTTTTTTTATTAAAATGAATAAAATAAATCTTAATTAATACTTTTTATTTTAAATTAATGAAGGTTTTATGTGATAATTATGTTTTAGAAGAGCTGGATGTCAGTCTCAATGAAATTACTCCTATTGGTATAAATTATTTGGCAGAAGCTCTTCCTATGAGTAATATTAAAGTGCTCAATTTAAGTAAAAACCTTTTAGGAGATGAAAGCTTAATGATTATTGCAGATAAAGCAGAAGGAGCTGAGAATCTTAAGCTTTAGAGGATAGAAATTAACAGTTCTCGTGTTGCTGATGCAGGTAAAAATTAAATAAATGTTTCAGTTTTAAAAAATGAAATTAAACTTAAATAGGCATTTTGCATTTCCTCGAAAGAATAGAGTACTTTGAGAATATAAAATCTATTAAGGCTATTGATAATTTTATATCTGAGAAGATTGAAAAAATATTATTAGAAATATTAGAAAAAAACAAAACTCTTGTTGAGTTTTAAGTAAATGGTAACAGATTATCTCTATGTTGTTTAAACAGGATAAAGAAGATTTTATAAAGAAATAACAAAGAGCTCGAAGAACGTGAACCAAATAAAATTAGAACAGAAATATATAGATTAAAATATGAGTAGCAAAAGATTGAGGCTGCAAGAAGAAAATTAGATTAGTAAGAAAAGGCGATAAATGAATTAGAAACTCAAAAAAATCAGCTTGAACATAAGCTCCAAAATTTAAAGAAAACAGAAGAACACAAAAGACAAGAGTTGAATGGAAAAATTTAAGACTAAAGGGCAGCAATACAAAAAAAGAAAGACTTGATAGGTAAAAAAATATTAAAATAAATAATTAAGTATTATTCTAATAAATAAATAAAAATTAATATAGATTAAAACAATGCTAAATTTGAGTTGCGAAAGAATGAATTATTAGCCGAATTGAATAATTTACAGTAAGAATATGATGTAGCTTAGGTCGAAAGAAATAAAGTTTTCAATGACTTAGAATAATTAAATTCAGATATTAACAAAATTGAAGTAGACTTTAAGGATTAATTAGATAACTTAGAAAATGAGCTTTAAAAGCAAAAATAAAAAAAAGAAGAATATGATAAAAAGAATGCTGATCTTAATAGTGAGTACTCATAGCTTCTTAAATAAGAAAAAGAACTATCAGAGTATCTTAATAGTTTAGAAAAATAAAAGGCTGCTTAAAAAAAAAGCAAGAAATAAAATGCCAGTGTCACAAAATTGTGAAAGAACTATCTATATAAAAAAAAATAAAAGTTTAAACTAAAAATTGCAATAGTATAATTTTATTTCATATTATTTCTATGTAATAACGAGCATAGCAATATGTAAAAATATGTTAAAGGGTCATATCTTTTAGTTTAACTTTTACATATTAATAAGCAAAAAAATATTTATTTTTATCAATTAAATTTATTTTTTTAAATATAAATTTGTTTGGCAAAATATAAAATAATCAATTGTTACTTGTTAGTCAAATTTTATTTTTTAATCATTAGTCAAATTTAAATTTAAGGTGGAATTAGTGAACAAAACTCTATAGATTATTTATTAAATTAGTACTTTATAATTAAATAGATATTTGATTGATAGAGTAGTCAAATATATCATTATTGTAAATTCTTACAAATAACACCCATCCCCTTTTACAAACCTTTATTATATTTTGAGTTTAAGACCTTTATGATGAGCTTTAAATAGATTAAGATGTTCCTTAATAAATGAGTCTTTATGGTATATTTATTGTTTAAATTTAATTCACATAGTAGGAAAATTTAAATAAAATATTTACATAAAGCTTTGTAAAATTTATGTAGTATTTTTAGCCGTAATCTTTACACATTTTCTCAATTTATAGTTTAAATAAATAATTAAAAAAATCAAAAAATAAAAGAATATTTATTTAAGTATATTTGTAAATTTTAATTAGTAATAACAATATAGGCCTAGATGGTAGCTTCCAAAATAGCTAAATGTCCTACTCTCCACTTTAACCCTTTACCTATAGTAATTTTTTACACATTTTCTCAATATATAGTTTAAATAAATAATTAAAAAAATCAAAAAATAAAAGAATATTTATTTATACGTCAAGCATTAACTTATTAAATACTTGTTAGAAATTTTTTAACTCTTATTTGTTAATAATGTTGATATCCATCCATATAACATTTTATATAAAATAAGTTAATTTATAATAAAAATTTTTTGTAAAATTATAATTGAAAATATAATTATAAATAATACAGGCAATACAGAGTTTATTTTTTATTGTTCTTTACTTATAAATTTAGATGATCTTAGTTAATGCTCAATAAATATGATATACTTTATTTTTATTTAATTAATTACACCTTTATTGGTTTGTTCTAGTTTTATTGATATTATTTGTGGTAAAATTTAACTTCACTTTATTTAAAAATTTGTATTACAAAATTAGCAAATTTTAGATTCAAAATATTAAGATAAAAATTTAATAACTAACTAACTAACTATTGCACTAAATATTTTAGTGTTTGTTTGTTTGTTCGTTTTTAAAGTCAAACTTTTTTCTTGTTAAAAGCTTCTAGGATATTTGTTTATTATTTTATTTAAGTTTAGACATTCTTTGTTTGGTTTTTCCATGAGGTTATTTTTTATTAAGGTATTTATTGTAAAGGTAATTATGAATGACTATTTGGTGATACAAGTTTTTATTAGTTGAAAGGGGAAGTTAATTATTGTGGTTGTTTGGTAGGGGATATTATCTAATTATATTAATACTATGATTGCTTTGTAAAATTTTTTAAGAAACTCAAGTTGTTTTATTAATGATCAGGATTCTATGATTAAGGAGGTTGTTAAATTTGAATATTAGAATTATTTTAGTTGTTTGATATCACTCTAGGTGTACTCTAACATGATATTATAGAATTATTGGTCACGTCTGATTAATCACCTTCAGTATTCTACCTTTGAGAAAACAGATTACGCTTCATTAAAGGTAATTATTGTTATTATTACTATTGTTCTGTTGCTTTTTTAACTAAAATATAAAATTTTGTTATTAAAATAAATAAATAGTCTTAAAAAAATTACATTTATGAGGAATGAAGTTGGATGTTTGATTTTCTTGTTAAGATTCTGTTATGCTATCCATATTTGGTTTAATATATTTTGAGAAAGTTGATGTGTTTTAGGCTTAGAAACCATAGTATGATTATCCATTTTTAGCTACATTTTATATTACTGTTGAAAGTTATTGTTGGGCATTACTAGTAAATTAGTATTAGGGGTTTTATTGATTTTATGTAGGGTTTATTTCAGCATCAAAATTAATCATTTTCTTTGAATAAACACTTCTGAGGTTTTGATTACTTACAAGATTTTCTTTTAGTAAAGGAGATTCATTGTATGCGTACAACATTTGTGTTTGAGGTGTCATATGACTTGGTAATTTACTAATTGATTTACGAACGTCATTTGGTAGAATTGATTTCAAAGGTGAAGTAAATATAGGAGTTGCTATAGCAGGATTCCTTGTAATTATTTCACTCTTACTTTATTTATGATTGCTTTAAGGAGAGGATATTTCAGAAATTTAAAACTCATCCTTTAAACTTTTATAAATTTAAACGGCAGCTTCTTTAACAAAGCCTAGGTAAACATTATTATAGTATGATACTATAGTATCTAGCTTGTTAGGAGCAATAGGCATTGCATAAATTAGCTCTCTCATCATAGCCTTATTATGAGAATTTAATTCCTTTATTTAAAATAATAAATATAATAAGCATAAACATTCGGGCTTTTAAATTTTTCTTGATAAATTACTTCATATTTATTTAAGATCTATTTGAAAATAGTTTCAGATTTAAAAAGCTTGCACATGATATAGATAGAGCAAATCACTAATTGATCAATATGTCTTCCAAGAAGGATATCTGATTAATTGGCTAAAATATGTTTCATAATCCTCCATACAGCTTCACTTATTTTGTCATTTAATTTTAATGCACTACAAACTTGATTAATAGTATAAGCACACTAGTGTAAGACTCTCCTGAAGAATTTCTTTAAAATATATTAAAATTTTAATTAATTTTAATCAAAATAAAATCTTTGATTTGTTTTAATTTTTTTTTTTCTTTAATATAATTATTAAACATCAAAAAGAATTACCTCAATAGCACTGCCTTATTAGCGATCATCAAGTAGCTTTTTAGCTTATTCTGTATCTTAAATATAAGCTTTTACAAACTATAAAAGCTAAGAATCTTATCTCCAAGAATAATAAGATACTATCTTTACCTCTAAGTCTAGAATGTGAGCCTTTAAAGAAACAGGCATAGTTTGATCTAATCTCATGATGAAATCCATAATCTTCCATAACTCAAACCAATTAATATCAATAAAATGAACTAACTTTTAAAAGTCTATATAGGATACATTAAGGATAAAGTAAACAGATTCGCAAGCACAAACTAAAACACCTTTTTAAACATTTAAATTAACAGATTTCTCCTCATTGTAATACTCGTTTAAGATTCTATTTTTTATTTAAAAAAAAAGCTCAAATACGCTAATAAAATATTTTTTTACCTATAAAATAATGATTAAATCTATTCCTTTCTTTACTCTTATTGCTACTTATTTTCGAATTCAATTAATTTGTTTATTTAATCATCTAGCCAAACGTCCAAATTTTCAATTTTCTTTTTCAGTTCTAAAGCAATGCTTCCCTTTGTAAATTAAAAATAATAATTAATAAAAAATATAATGAAAATAAATTAATTTACTGTTGAGCAACTGTTAATATTTTTTCTAGAAAGTAGCCAGTTATACATTTCCATAGCATTACTTGTTGGTGTAGCAGCTGCTCTACTCAGTGATGATTACTATTTAACTATGTAAGGGGAAGTAACATTAAGATTTGAGACTTTGAAATCTTATATTGATTTAGATTCACTTAATGATTCTACCATATCATAATTAAGAAGCCTTTATGAAGCATATTTAGCTTTACTATCTAAATGAGTTTAAGGATTTGTTTACTCTTACTTTTTTGCAACTGAAGAAGATGAGTTGCTTGAAGAAGAAATAGAGCTATTTGATGTATTTAAAAGTCCATATTTTTCTAATGGAAAAGGTGCTGCTTACTTATTATTGACTCCTTATCTACTGAAAGGAGTAAAATTATTTGGATTGCAAGCTCTTTTCTTATCAATAACAAAATATTGCAGATCCAAATCAATCATTATATTACTTGTATAATAACTGCTTAAATTTTCTATATTAGATTCAATTAATTTTGGTCCGAATATTTAGAATATATCACCATCACACTATAATAAATTTGAGTCGCAAATCTTTTTTAATAAATTAAAATTAGCACATTATTTATTTTAATGATCTTAAAATTGAATTAAAATTTTCTTTATCATTTTTTTTATTCCTAATTTAATTAGTTAGTTATTTGGATTTTTTTTTTAATTTACTTGAAATATAAATATTTATTTGCAAAGATATTTAAATATTACTGGTTTTAAAGCATTGACAAATCTGCTAACTGTAGCTTCATATTATTCAATGTCTTAAACTTGGAAAAGCTTCAAAAGTTCTTATTTTTCATTTCCTTTAGTTTATTCTATTTTTTTTTTAGTTTAAAATTTTTTGAAATTATTAATAAAAAATTTTAAGTTTAATTAATTTGAAAAAAATTTTAAATTATGTTGTGTTTTTTCTCAACGAATTGCTAAATTCAAAAAGAGAAATAAATAAATAAAAATAATTACCCAAGAATTAGCCAGTAGTGAAGCGCTAAGCACCTTTCAATAGAAATTGGAATACAGCTGGAATAAGCAAAGTGGTCTCTATTACAGTTTCGTGCTATTCTATTGGATTATTTAAATAAATATTCGTTAAATCATAGATTTATGTTGCATATTAAAATTGTGAATATTTGGCGGTCTTTTTTAAATTCAAAGATTGCATAGAACATCTTTAATTTGAAGGAAATAAATAAATATTTAATTAATTTGCAAATCTTATTACATTTAGTGATTATTAATAAAAGCCAACAAATATGCTTTAGTTATTTATTGTATTTTTTTTATTGCATATTTTGCTCTTCAAATTAGAAGTGGCGAAACACTTTTTCAAATTTATTAAATATAGTAAGCATATATGAGAAAGATTCTACTATTTGCACTATTTCTTATCTTGCTTCTTCGTAAATCTATCCAAAAGTTGTCCATTCCTTTAGTGTTATCATAATTTCATCCATCTTCTCAGTTTGGTCTTAGATAATATAAGACAGAGAAGTAGGGAAGCTATTTTAATTGAATTAATGTTTTAAAGTTTTTATAACAATGAGCAAAGCACATTTCAAAATAGTATTTAGCTTTTCTTCACTTACCTAATTTAAATTATGTAATAATTAATATTCTTTGTACTCTATAATAGTATTGCGGTGTTGTTATAATTATTATCACCATATTTTAAAATAGCTATGAAACAAAATCAAAGGAAATAAATAAATAGTACGAAGTATTTTGTCTTTTTCATGTAATCTTGAAATTAAAAGAATGCTAGATCGCATAGTTGTTGCGGATAATTTAAAGAAGAGACAATTTTTTTAATCTCTTATTAAGCAAGTTCAGTAATTTCCATTTATGTGAATGTGTTGGGTTTTTACTCGATTGAAATAAATATAACCTATATATAGCCTAATTTGTATGCAGCTAGTAGGGGTGAAGCGTTTATTCAATAATAAAACTTTTTAAATTCCTTTTTTTAAGTAAAATGTTTTAGATTCCTTTTAATTTTATAAACTAAGATTAGCTACTAGCTATAGTAATTATGTGTGTGTATTTTATTTATTTATCTCTTTGTTTCTAAATATTTATTAGTTGATGAATAAATTAAACAAATAAATCTTTTCTTTCAAAATTTAATTGCTTTTTAGAGTATTTCAATTATTTCTTACCTTTTATTTGATTTTCCTATCTATTTATTATACTTTATTATTAATTAAAAGATATATATGTAAATAAACTAATAAATAACAAACACTCTTTTGATCAAGTATATATTAATTCATTAGAAATCAAATCAAATCAAATTTACATTTAATATTGAATACCTGCTTCATGATGATTATGATATCTTATATCCTATAACGTTTTCAAATTTCAAAAATTTAATTTTAAAATCTAAAAATACAAACAATATCATTTGGTAGGCTCAATTTTTTATTCATTTACACACAATCACATTTTTAACTCAGATGTATTTTTTGTATTCATTTTTCAGTCTTCAACAAATTATTTCCCGCCTTTTAAATTTTTATATTTATAAAATAAAATAAAATTGATATTTAAAATATTTATTTTATTTAAAATTTAGCATGAAATTTAATAATTTGTTTTTTATGATAATTTATTTTTTATAAAATCAGTTAAAATATTTTTTAATTTAATTAAATAAAAATTAATTGGCTTTAATAATAGTGCAATATTTTATTTATTTAGATAATTATTAAATATTCCTTTTTTTTAACATTCTGAATATATTTTTTTCTATTTGTTATTTAATTGATTATAAATGGTTAAATAATGAATTTATTTAATTCTACTATGTTTTAACAAATAATTATAAAATTATCAAAAATAAATAAAATATTTAATAAAAAATAGATTTCAAGTTAATTATGAAAAATGTTTTATTATGATTAAATAAATAGTATTTTGAACAATTTGTCTTTTTACTGATAGTGATTTAATAGCTCAAAACAATCTAAATAGTAATAAATTAAGCTAAAACAAATAATTTTGAAAAAAATTAATGAGGATTAATTTAAAATTTTTATAAAATAATTTTAAAATTATGATTTATTTTATCAATTTTATTAGTTTAATACAAAATTGTTTAGTAAAATTTTAATAATCTTTAAGATTTTTTAGGCTTAAAATAATTATTATTATTTTTAATTGTGCAATTTACAAAAAAATTATAAAAATCTTTGTATTTTAATTAAAAAAAGATAATATTGGTGATTTTAATTAAATTAGAATATTATATAGAAGTATTTAGGATTATTTAACTGGATTTAAAAGCTAGTTTCATAAAACTATCTTTTTGTAAACCATCAAACCATCAATTCGTTTTTAGCATCAGCAAGTTATTTTTATAATTAGGAGAATTCTATCTAAATATTAGAAGCCTTATTATGTTTAGAGATATAAATAATAATGATTTAAATTACTACTAATCTACGAACTGACTGCCAAGTGTTCTTAAATATTTGAAACTAAATTAATTTTTTTAGGAAGAAATGATGTAGGATATTTATTGAAGTAAGGTAGATAAATGTATAATGAAAACTCATTTAAATTAAATAATAAAGAATTTATTCAATTTTTAAATACTCTACTTAATTTTCTTGCTTTTAAATATATATCAGGTGTAAAAACAATCTCTAAATCCATAATTTTTTTGTAATACTGTCTTACACAATTCATTTTTCACTACTCTTATAATAATTCAAAGATACTATGATAAGAAAGAAGAAAAGATTTTCACGAATTAATTATATTTTCTTTCTAATTTCTGAGATTCAATATCTTATTTGAGACTTTAAGGATAGATATTTTATAACGACAGTAATACATATGGATTATGATACTAAGTTCAAAATTATATCTTTAAATTTTGTTTTATTATTTCATAAAATAATTATTCTTTGTTAATAGCTTTTATTTTTCAAAGCTTTAATCAAATAGCCCTTTTATTTATAAAGCCATTTCTAATCCTGCTAATTGTTCATCATTATAATATATAACCTAAATTATTTTAGATATTAAAATTACTTTGATATTTTACTAAATTTAGGATTAATTATTATAAGTATGTATTGAGTTTATAAGAGATGTTTAAAATTATTTTTATATAAAGGAGCAAGGGCCAAATTACATTTATTTAAGTAAAATAAAATATTTAAATACAATATAAATTTGGTTGCTTGATAAAATATATTTTCTGTTAAATATTGAATGTCAAAGGAAATTCAATACATTCAAAACTATTTTTATATTTGGGATAAGTAAGAAAAGAATTTCTCATCAAATTTTTACAAAAATATTAGTAAAGAAAATATATCTTAATATTAGTAACAAATCCATTAAAGAAAAAGTAATAAGAGATTGCCAAATAACGCATTATACTCTTAAATAAATACTTAAAGCAACCAATTCAATCTTTGTATATTCAATATATACATACAAAATAAAATAATATATAATTCATATCAATGCATTTGGTTATAAATATTACAAAACTAGAGATACGATTAAATAAGAATTAGCATCTATATTAAAAATAATAAAACAAATAATATATTAAAATATTTTTTTTTTTAAATATTTCTTAAGACTACTTACTTACATAGAATTTTTTCCTCAAAAATTGGCCTATCTGAATAATATAAAACTCTATTTGTTTCACTTAAAAAATTACGAATTTTTAGATATTTTATATAAAAAACTACAAATATGAGTTTATTAATAAATTAATCCTACATTAGAATTTTGACAGACTTATATTTTTAAAAAAATATTTTTTAATTTAATATCTTAAATTACAGTAATGTTAATTAATTAAGGTATTTTATTTGAATTAACTTATTAATTGTCTTCTAGCATATACAATTTAAATTTAATCATAATTAGGTATAAAATTTTCGAGTAATACTGGAACATATTATTTACATACTAACAATCAATTGATTGATTAATTGCAAAATAAAAGATTATTTTTTTAAATAAGAATTTTTTAGTTTATAAATAAATAAATATGCAAATATTATTGACAAACTAATTTTATTATATTTTAAAATAGCATCAATCACTATTTATTAAAGTATCTCGTTCTTAGATATTTAGAAAGATTACCAAAAATATAACATAAAATTTCATTTAAATAAATAATTTCTTGCATTAATGAATATCTTTTTTAGTTTTTTTAGAAAAACACTAATTTAAATTTTACTTTTAAAAATAAAAACTCTGTATTTATAATTAATTATTTTAGTGGTAGATTTTGACAAAATTTTAAAGTTATTTTAAAATAGCACATACGTTTATTGTTTTCAATTTACTTAATTATTTATTATATTGCATTTGATTTATTAATCAAATTTCACCTGAATTTATTTTCTTAAGAGTATTAAATAAAGAGTGGCACATAATTAAACAAAAGAATAAATAAAGAAGAAGAAAACTAAAAATTGTTCAATAATAATTCATAGATTTTTTAATTAATCATATTAAATTAAATTTATATCACACATTTTCAATTAAATTTGGAATATATTTCTAACCAATAACTTTTTTTGATGTTTGAAATAGTAAACATGAAGTTTAAATATTTTTCTAAGTAATTTTATGATATTATAAATAATAAAGATGAAATTTTTTGATTAAAACAAATTATAATTTTTTAAGCATTTCTAATAAATAAATTTTGAGAAATACTTGAGCTTGATAATTTTCCTATTACTTGAAATGGAAGTAATGACAATAAAGTTTTATCAATACGTCGCAAAATTAATGAGAAAATTTAATACAATTTATACTTTTTAAATGACTATAAACTAAAGCATGAAAACTGGTCTGTTAAATTAATTCAATTAAGATAATTTATTGTTCATATTTCTTGCATTTTTTACATAAAAATATTTTTAAAAAGTCAGAAATAACTTTTGAGAAGAAGAGAAATTACAACTTTATTATTTTTGTTATTGAAGTTTTTATTTTCTCTCACTTCAGATTTTTTTATATCTTTTTTCTCAAACAATTTTAAAATTTTTTTTTAATTTGATGTTTTTTGCAAATGCAAAAAACTTTTTTCTTAAATTGATGACAAAAATTTAAGATTTTTTAAAGAGATAAAAAAAGAGAAAAGATTAACCATAATTTACTTCACTTTTACTGATATTAATTTTTACCTATTTTTTCCTTAAAAATATTAACTCAGTAAAATGTTTTTGAGCTTGATTGAAGTAATAACTGTGTACAAATAAAATCATTTTAAGTTATTTTAAAGAATCTTTAAAACCTAAAACAGGATTTTGAATAGATATTTGTAGGAATCTAACAGATTTTTAATATTTTACTCTTTTTTATAGACTTATATATAGACTAATTAATCCTCTGATTTAGATAGTCTATATTATTTTTATCATATTCTGATATGCGCATCAATAATAATTACAATTAATTAATCAAAAAAACATATTTATTAAGAATCTGTAAAAATGAGATTAACAATTTTAATTATATTCATTAAGTTAGTGTTCTTTAAGATAAGTTGCGAAAAGGATTAAAATATTAAAAACAATACTTAGTAGCATCCTTAAGGTTCAGTTTAAACAAAATATAATGTAGATTTTACTAAGAGTGAGCCAATTAGAGTGACATTTAACTACGCTTCAATCATCTCAAACACAACTATAACAGAGCAATCCAAAACATTGGTTATGAATGCTATAGACTCCTCAGGTTTGCTTATCTAAAATTTATTGAAGGTTAATCCAAGACCTAACCCTATTCCAATAAGAACAAAATATCACATGTGCTTTACGAAAGAAGAAAACCCTTCACTCCAGGATCAAATTCCTAACACTGATTTATTCGTGTTTATTAGCTGGTTCGAAGATAACTCAACTACAATTGCTAAATCAGGTTTGATTTAACTACTTTTAATTTTATTAATTTCAATACAAACAATATGATGATTAAAATTATCTTTATAAAAAATAGCTGCTTGCTTTGTTGATAGATATCCTATAATAGGAAGAATATTTGTAAACCATGCAAAAATAAATGGTGAAAACAAGAGATATTCAAATGATTAATTAATTAAAATTTTTGTTCATGAATTAACTCATATTCTTGCATTTAGTAGACCTATTTATGTAGACTGGATTAATCCTCAAACAAATGAAGCATATGGATAAATTATCAATAAAAAGCTAGAAGGTTCTATTATCGATGATTAGAAGTTTACAGTACTGACAACTCCAAAGAGCAAAGAATAATTTTAATCACATTATAAATGTGTTAATATCCTTGGACTTCCTTTGGAATAGGTAATTTTTTTTCTCATTCAAGCGAGTTTACCTTTAAAAATAGATAATTATCACCCACTTCTAAATTTTTTGTTAATTAATCATTATTTGATTAATTAAAATAGCTAATGAGTAAATCGCATTTCCCATAACAAGTTATGAGAGATGAATTGATGGATAGCAATATTGTCAAATTAGCAGCAGATATGACGCAATTTACTATGGCTATTTACAAAGATTCTAATTTTTACACAGAAGTCAATGAAAATTTATTCACTTATTCTGGATGGGGGTATCATTAAGGATGCTAATATTTTACCTATGTTAACAATACATAGACAAAGATATACTAGCAATTAAACCTTATGACTCCTAAATTAATGGATTCTAAATGCGATCCAGCTGGATATGGCAAGTATAATACATTGTATTTACTTAATGAGAAAAATGGTTTTCAATAAAGTACTTAAACTTATTGCTCATTGTTTTAAAAACAAGATTTAAATCATTCTGGAGAAGAGTTTTCTAATTAATCAAAGTGTTACTCTTCTTCTCTATAAGTAAATACAGTCTTTTCTCCATTCTTTTCTGAATACAAGTATAATTGATTTTGATAATAATTAATATAAATTGATTAACATTTAAATAAATAAAGAAATACAAGATGCTTTAAAACAACTTGCTTAGATAGTGGTTCTCTTCTCTTAAGAACTTCATTTAATTAAACTTTCTAGTGCGATTTTCCTGGTTAAAAGATAGATGTATAAGATGGATAAATTTAGGGTTACATAGTATGCCCAGATAATTTCTAAATATACTGTGGAAAAAAGCTCTTTTGCAAAGATGGATGCAGTTTGAATGGATTTTGCTTGAAGGTAGGAAAAATAAATTAAAAATATTCAATATTTAATCTATTATAAAATATAAAAGGGAATATGTGTATGCAAATAAGGATTTGGAGGATTGGATTGCAGCACTAAATTATAATAAAATTAAATGATTTTTTAAAAGAATATAATTAATGAGTGTCCTGAAAATACTTACTTAAATCCAAACAATGTAAATAAATAAATTAAATAAATAAAACAACAAAAATAAAAATTAAACTTTATTTAATATTTACAAGGTTTGCATGAGTGATTGTGTAGAAGGCTATTATAAAAGTGGGAAAACATGTTAAAAATGCTCCTCTAAATGCAGTGAATGTAAAGGTCCTCCTGCTAATTAATGTACAAAATGCAATATGCAATATCACTTATAGAATGGTGACTGCATAGAAAAAAAAATATGTTCATAAAAAATATAAGAATAAGAGAATTGCTAGGTATGTGCTGGAACTATTTGCACATCTTGCTTATCTGGTTATTTATTACAAGATAGAGTTTGTAAAAAATGTAGCTCAAATTGCCTTGAATGCTTTAAAGAAACAGACTTTTGTTTGTCATGCAAAAGTGGGTTTGTTCTAAGTCAAAACAAATGTATATAACCAATAAAAGGGTGTAAATAGCAAGATTAAAATAATCCTTCTGCGTGTTTGCAATGCTAGGATGACTATTTTTTAGATTCAAATAACACATGCGTTTTTTGTGGAGAAGGATATTTTTATGATTATTAAAAGTAAGCATGCTAAAAATGCAGTAGTAATTGCAAGAGCTGCATTAATTACCCAGATACTTGTACCTCCTGCTTTAGCAATTATTTTTTTAATTTGAAAAATAATGCTTGCATTATGCTCTAAAATCCTCAAAGTTCAAGAATTCTTAATTCTATAAACTCAAGCCCTTTCATATTAGGGGAGAATGACTTCTTCTATTATTGTAATCATCTTATTTATTTAATAAATATAATAAATAAATTTTTTATTTTTAATAAAAGAGGAATAAGCTTCAGAAAATTGTCATTTTTCATGTTAGGTCTGCTCTTCATCTGAATATGATTCTTGTCTTGTATGCAGTTCAAACAGAATATTTACTTAGTCAATAGTTGACTACAAAAATTTTTGTATCTGCCCTCCAGGATCTTCAGATTACGGTGTTTTTGGTTGCTTTAATGATTATGTTTTGGATTAAGTTAAATTTTTTTTCATTACTATAGCTGTTATTTCAATTGCTTAGTTTGCCTTTAGCGCATTTTTTGAAAGAGGTAGTTTGATCTCCTTATTTACTTTAATTGATTACTTTTAGAGTATCAGCTTTTTAAGATTTATTAACAAAATGTATTACGCTAATTTAGATGATCTTTTTAGAATCTTGCAATTTACAAACATTTTTAATATTCAAGTTCTGTTTGAAAGAAATTAAAAGTATGATGATTTTAGTGTTAATTCTAAATTCCTGTTTGAAAAGAAAACATTTAGATTTTTTTAGGATTCTCTGATTCTAGTAGTTATTATGTCTGCTATTTAATTAACTTATTTGATATTATCAGTTAAAATATTTAAGTAATAAAAAACCATGAAAGACATAGCATAAAAATGTATGATTATCTTAAATATATTTGCTGTTTAAGAGATGGCTTTAAATGTTATATTAAATATACAATTCTCTTCAGTAGATTAGATCTCCATTATTTAGATTGTATTTGGAATCATCTTTATGAATTTAGTTATAATATAAACTGTTCATTTCATAACTTTATTATCAAAGTAGAACAAATATTTAAGTAAAGATAACAAATGCGATGTGAGTATTTAAATTCCAAAAATCCCTGCATCTGTGTTAAGTTTGCACATAGAACCTGAACAAAACAAAGATACACAAATGAAGCAAAACTCTATAAAAGATATTAATTAAAATGGAAGTAATCAGTAAGTTGCTTCATCAGACCAAGAAATTAATGAATAAAATTAATAAAATGTAATAAAATAATAAAATTATCAAAAAAATCCTAAAAAAAGTTTTATAGATAAATTTTAACTATAATATTTGATAAGCTATTTTGCTTTTATTTTATTAAAGATTGCTTATCCTATTCTATTAACTTTACAATCTAAAAGTTCTGATCAAGTATTAATATACATTGGAGGAATTTTTATTTTTAAACTGATTGTTGCTTGTATAATACTTAGGAAATACAATAAAAAGACTTTATGCTATATCATTTTTAAGCAAATATAATTCTTGGCTATAATAGGTCTCTATATAACTTTGATCAAATTGGATAATAAGATAACTTCAACTGTTCTATCAGCTTCTATAGGAGTTTTGACATATATAGATTCTGCCATTTATATAATTTCAAAATTAATTACTACAATATATAAAAGTACTAAACACTTCATAAAGCATAAAAAAATGATGCTTAATTAGAAATGAAATATGATTAATTATTCAATAATTCCAAAATTTTAAATATTATAAATTATTAAATTTTTATTCACTAAATTTAGTTAGATATAATGTGTTTGAAATTCAAAAAACTTATTGTAAAATATTTATTTTGAATCAGGTAAATTTTATTTTAAAATTCATTTAATTTAAAAAATGTTGGAAATTTACACTACATTTATATTTATTTGATATTTAATCACTTTATTGTAATAGTATACAGTAAGTAAATCTTCATTAATTAAGATAGGAAAATTGAGAAAATTTTTAATTAATTTTTATTGTAAGGTTAATTTTTGAGAAAAAATATTTTTTTTCAACTGACCTTAATTAATGAGAATGCATAGCATTTCAAAATTTATCAATCTAATCCTTTCTATAGTAAATAAATATAATAATAATAAACAAATTAATGCTTGATAAATTAGTTAAAAATAAATTTTTATGCTTAAAAAGTATAAAATATTTTTAATAATAGTATTAAATTGAATTATTGATTTATTCATTCAACCAAGTTTGTTTTAGTATTATCTAAATTTAAAAATTTTATTTTAAATTATTTATTTTGAATAAATTTGATTTAAAACATATCAAAATTGAAATATTTCAACTAATCAAATTAATTCTATAAAACATAAAGCATAATAATTAAATGCTTTAAAATAAATTAAAAATTAACAATTTTTATAATAAATAATTATACAAACAAAATTTTTCATCTTATTTATTTCAGAAATTCTATTTATTGCTCGAAAAGCTGCTATTAGCTTAATCGTCTTCGTTAATTCCTTTAATGTTGCTTTAAGATAACTATTAATTATGTCTTTTTGCTTTCATGTCAATTACTTTTTGCATAAACTCCTCTGTAGTTTTTGGTTAATAAGATTTATCTCCTTGCTATGATTAATAATTTATTTAAGAAATACTTTCCAATTCATTGTATTATTAATCTCTTCTTAAAATTCTTTATTTTAATTCATTTATTCCATTATGTAAACTTTTATAGTCCATCTACTTTCCAATACCATAACTTGAATTATTTTTATCCTCACTTCTACTATCATCCTTTATTTTCATCAGATTTTATCAATAAATATACAAATGATAAATAATTTTAATTACATTATAATTAGGCTGTTAATAATTCTTTGCTGTGCTGAAAAGTTATGAATTATTTTACACTAAATTTGATACAAAATATTTTTAATTTACAATTTAATAAATATAATAAAATATTTACTTCCTGCTAAACCAGAAACTTTCTTTTGTTAATCATATTTCTCGAGGTTATTTATTACAAATTTAGTAAAATTTTAAGTGCAATCTTGCAAATATGTTTCGATATTTATGCCTTGAATTATAATAATAAATAATTTAATAAAAATATATTTGATTATTAATTAATATTATTTTTTAATAAAAAAATTTTAAATGCAAAGAAAAGTTTATCTAAACCCTGCTAAAAAATATTTTTTTAATTTCTTTTAATACAAAATCAAATAATTTTTGAACAAGGGGGTTAAATAAAATATTTGTAATTTATCTTATTCTACGTGAAAATATTTCAGAATTCAAAAACGAATATTGAAATAAGTTACTTGGATATTTTGTGAGTATTTCATGAAGCTGTGCTATTCCTTACTCGAAAGTATCAGATTATTTAATATTTTAGATAGTTTTAACAATCAAAGAATCAATTTAATCTGGTGAAATATTAGTTAGTGATTGTTAAGTTGCTGATATTTTTCTCTCAAACCTCAAATCTCTTGGAGACACGATTGAAATAGGGTTTCCTGCAGTATTAGAAGATTAAGCAGGCTTTAATACTAAGCCAATCCACCTTTTATAAATGCAAAATTTAAAATTGAAAAAGAATATATTTAATTTTACTCAAAAATAAATTAGTCTTTTTAAGGGCAGTTTTTAATAGAATTGTTATAAACAACCCAAATAGCTTCTCCTTTTAGTTTACAGAGCTCTTTCAAAATAGTTTTAATTGTTTTTACTCCTATATCATCACTCATTGTTGGATTAGGAACTAGAAATTCGCAAATATATTTATGGAAATATAACAGTAACTCATTAAGATCTATTTGGTTTATGAAATCTTCTAATCCTTTAGTTACTTTAAGGATACATTTTATAATTAATCCGAGGATTTTAGCATAGTTAAATTACTGTCTGTATTTAATTAAGAGTTCAAGAAGAATTTTATATATTTATTCGGGTCTTGAATTTTCTAAGATTCTAAGCATAGTTGAGTTTATTAGCTTTATGATTCCACTTGCATTATTTTAATTTTATTCTTCTTTATTTTGATTTTCATCTTCAGCAAGTAATCTGTAGAGGATTTCTTCTGTAAAATTTTTTAAAGGTTCAAATTAGCAGCCCTTTGCAAAGCTCTTAATTGTGAAGCACTTATACATTACATTTAAAAAATATTAAAGATATTGAGGCGATATTGTTTTTTTATTTTCAAAAACAAATCTTAATTAAGTGTAAATCATATCAAGGAGCAGGTTTGTGTTGCTTTCAATCAAACTTAGATATGCTTGATTTTCATGATCTTAAATTATATTATTAATGTAAACAAGCATTTCGATCTTATCATTTGAGTAGGGATCTTTCTGAAGTGATTTAACTTTACTGATAAACACTTCTTCTAAACTAGGTTACTATATTTGCTGTTAAGGTTATTATGTTTGTTGAAATTATTACTAAGGCTATTAAGGTTTTTGTAAGTTCGAAGAAGGTTGTTAAGTTTAATTTTGCTATTAGTTAGATAGAGAAGGACCTTACTGAGTTTTATTAAAGGAAGGAGTCTCATTTAATTTTACACCATTTGCTTACAAAGCAGTTACCGAATTCTTATTTTTTGGTGTTACATTATCTATTTTTTATAATAAAAATAATGTTTTTTACATTAAAAAATTTGCAAATGATAAATTAATTGATTTTAATTTTTAATTTTTTAGTTTTTTAGTTAAGAAATATTTTTAATTTTGTAGATTTTAAGAATAAAATTACCATTGCCAATCTAAGAAGATGGATTGTTAGAAGTAATTGTTGGAGGACCAATAAGTTTTGACTAATTGCTTAAATTATTGTAAATTGATACATTAAATTATTGAGGATTAGGGAATCCAGGGCTCTACAAGGTATTTGATACTTGTTTACTTTATTCATATTAATCAAGGACTGAACTCGTGAATCCTGCTTACAAAAGTGTATCGCGTCCAAATTAATCTTAAACTGCTAATATGAAATCTATAGCTTTTGGAGTTTTAAACTGGATAGAACTTAAAAATTGTAAACTAGTTTAAGGGTTTATGTTTTTAATTAAAACGTTAATAAATAGGTCATACAATTTATTTTGATATTCATTTTAAACAACTTCTAAATTAAGATTATCTGATTCAAAATATTGAGGATGTAAATCGAACACTGAAACCAAGAGCTGATTGAGCCAAAAGTGTATAACTTTATCTCTTTTATCACCTAGCATTTTTAATTGTAAATTAATGATTAAATAAGCTTATTAGAGGAGATTGCTTGATTCTGGTAAATTAATGAAACATTCTCTAATAGATGCATTTATTGTTCCTATTTCTAAACAACTGAGTGTTTCACTAGTTTTTTATAGGACAATTAAAATCGTTCTTATAGTATCAAGTAAGTGAATACTAACTTCTATGTTAAAATTACCATATAATCTCATAAAACACCATTAAAATAATAAGTCACTAAAATATTTTAAGCTAGGCTATTACATTAAATCATCGCATGCGTTTTTAAGTTCTATTTTAAGATAAAATTGCTTGAATTTGTAAATTAATTAGAATTTAAAATACATTCTGTAGCTTGGATCACACACTTATAATTAAATGAGAACATCAAAGGAGTTACAGTGCTATTTAAAAGAAATTTAAGCTCGTTTTAAATAAATTCGAAGTGCTCATTTGAAGGATTTTGAATATCAAAATTTTGGTATAAAGGGAAATTGAATCTTTTATTCTTAAGTGAAGAAATGGAATTTGATACAGGGAATATCATTGAATCATCCATCATTATCTTCTTAGCAGTTTAGTCTACCATCGAGGAGGGTCTATTAGAAGTACTTTATAAGCTAGTTTAAATGGAGCTAACATTTTATTACTATGCCTTCTCTATAGTAAAGTCTTCAATTTAACTTTATGAACTTTATTAGCTTCCTTATTAGAAAGAAGATTTTCCAGCATTTTGGTTGTTGTCTATTAAAATAATATTGAATATAAATTTAAAATATTCAATCAATTTACCTGGTTTAATGTTTATTTTATTTGTAGAGGCAGAGTGATTAAGTCCAAATTTAGACTTTGTAGGAGTTTTATCTCCATTATTGCTGGCTGTATCAGATTTCTCATCATTTACTTTCAAATTCATTGTTGTTGCATTTCTTGTAAGGGTTGTTTTTTCTTTATTTGCCTGAGCATTAGCACCAGTTGCAGGTTTTTAGCCTGCTACTATAATTTTAGGTGGGTTTTTATCATTTTGTTTTTGTATAATTTAAGTTGAGGATTTATTATCCTTTCTTGTTCTATTTTAAATAAGAAAACAATTAATTAAATATTCATTTATACAATAAAATAAATATATTTTTTTTAATTAATTTACACTGTTGGCGTAGGTCCTTAATCAGCATCATCATCTAAATTAGTATACTTTGAAATTATTGGTTAAATTGCTTTCACTGTAGCAGGTTTCATATCTTTGAATGCAAATTTAAAGGGCTCTGCTGTTGTAACAGATATGGTTTTTTCTAATAATTATTCTGCTAAAACTCTTATTTCTTTAGTTTTATCGTCAAGACAAAGAAGGATGGGTTAAACATAGGCATTCAAATCTCCAGCTGCATAACTATCTGGATGACGCAAAATCCATTCTATGATTCCTTAACGCAGTTCTGGGTTACTTTCAGATAAATAAGCTGACATCACATTTACAACATGTTCTCCACCTATAGCTTTTTCAAATCTATCTAAGGCTTGAATTACTTCTTTGCGCATTAGAGATTCTTTATTGCTCAAATTTGATACAATTTAACATAAAAGATTCTTACTGTGAGGTCTTAAATCTTTACCACAAGCTTCTGCAAATCTTCCTACAAAATTAAATGCTTGTCTTTAAACTCCCTTGTTAGATTCTTGTAGAGTCTATTTCAAAGCGGCTAGCAAATCGAAGAGCCCAGTTAATTGGATTCTATTATTGCTTTTTTGAAGAAGCTTGTCTAATTCATCTAACCCTTCTTTACGGGTTTACCATTTGGCATCTGAAAGTTTTTTTAGTATTTTTTCTGCATCTTTTGAAATGTCTGCACGAGGAAGCTGATCCAAAGGATTAGAACTAGCGCTTTTAGCTGTAGCCGTTACCTCCTTAGCTGCTTCTCCAACAAATTTCATAGTAGCATTTGATGCTTTATCTGATTCACTCAAAACTGTTAGTTTAGAAAACTCTTTTTACAAAGTACCCATTATATTTGCAGGAATATCTTTTAAGAAATTGTTTGTAAGTGTTTCACCCATATGTTCGTATAATTTTTTCAAGACTTCTTGACCACCAGCTTTGATTGAAACGTTAGTATTCTATATGCTTTCTTTTCCAAATTAAAGCACATCCATAAAATTTATATACTTTAAAGTAGCTAAATCTATTATCTTAGCAATAGATTTTGATAATTCTTATGCTGATTTAGGTGACATTTTCTTTTCATCTTGCTTGAGCACTCTTATGAGCCTTGAAATTACATATTTAGGAACTAACCTTTCGCAAGACTTTTCAATGATGCTTTATACCTGAGTATTAAACTTTGCTTCTCCTACATACTTAACTATGAAATCTGTAATTACATGGAAGCATTTTTTGTTAAAGCTATCAAAATTGATTGCATTCTCTACTAAATTTAAAACTTCTTTTTGAATAAGCAATATACTAGATTTGAAAGCAACTTTGTCTAAATAAACGAACAATTCCAGTAGGCAGCTTTCATAGTAACTGCTGCTTGCTATAGCCTACAAAGCTTCAACTTTTTCAGGATTTTTTGTTCCTGCAAATATCTTCAAGTATTCTTCTGGCATCCCATTATCTATTAATCTTTACTCACATTCTTCTGAAGTAGGGATACTACTACTGCTTACGTCTTCATCATTCATAGCAGCTCCTCCACTTCCACTGTTTTGGTTTGATTGTTTTTCAGCCTAAACTTTTTCACCACCTGCTTTTTTTAGACCTCCACCCTTGATTGTAGAATTTAATGTAGACTTGTTTTCCTTGACTTCTTCATCATCATCCTATTATTTTATTGGTGGTTTTGAAGCTGTACCAGGTTTTTAAATAACTTTAGAAGCACCTAAATCAGGTTTATCATTGCTTTCTTAAACTTGTTAGATTTTAGCCTTTTTTTAATCATTTAATCCAGCTGTCAAATTATCTTTAAATAAAAGAAATATTTTAATTTTTCTTCCCATTAAAAAAATTAATTATTTATTCTTAAAAAATTAATTAGAAATATTTATTTTTTTTACTAATTTCTTCGCTAGTGAACCAATCTTTTTATTTATTGAATTTGCCAATTAATTTAAGAGAATATTCTCTTATTTCTGAGGTACTATCGTCAAACAGCTTCTTTATTGTTGGAATGCAAGCTTGCTTAAAAGCATCTCTGGATTTGTTAGCATTGGGTCTCGTATCGAAGTACCTCTCTATTGCTTGCATAACTTGCATTTTCATAGGAGGAGCTTTATCTTAAAGAGCTTCTTTTATTTCTTCCATAACTTCTTCAAGTGAAACAGAATACCAAAAGTTATCAATTGCAATTTTAGTTTCTTCAATAATAAGAGTTTTTTTATCTCTAAATTTAATAATTATCTAATCAAACAGCTATTTTGCTCCCATATTAAATCCTTTACGAATGCTCTTGCAAAGGCAACCCGTTAACTTAATTGAATTAAGTTGGACATTAGAATTATTATCGTTGAGTAATCTTTTTATCATTCCTACAACTGGCATATAGTTACTAGGACTTACTTTTGGCTAGCTAGCTGCAGTTATAATTTCTTCTAAATGTTCCTTTTTTTCTTGCCATTTTGATAAAGCTAACACTTTATCACACCATTTATCACTATATTTAACAAAAATATCCACTGCATCAACTATATCGTACAAATCAATATCTCCTCCAGCACTGATACTTGCTCCTCCTCCAGAGCCACCATTTGTGCCCGAAGAAGCTTTATTTTATGCAGCTAATTAATTTCAAAAAATGTTTGAATTAATTTTATTTAAAATCAAAATATTTCTGTTAAATTTTGTTAAAAGAATAATTTTTGAAAGAGAAATTATTTAAAATTAAATTTAAATAACCTTTTTTTTCTTCCTCTGAGGCTCTTAATGGAACCATTGGTAGTTTATCCCATTCAGAATAAAACTTATCAAGCTCGTCTTGCTGGAGTTTTTTTAGGTTTTTAGTATAATTTTTAACTATAGCATCACCAAGCCATTTCATAGCTTCTTTGAAAAATACCATACAGTCTGCTCTAATTGAACTATTGGTTGAAAGACTTTATTTTTCGATTTCACCAAAAAATGGTTTCATAAAATCGAATTTTTTAACTCCATAATTGGTCATTAAATCTGTAATACTTTAAATACCTGCACAAACAACCTTAGCATTCTTGTTTTTCACACAGGTATTCAATGCTTCAAAAAATTCACCTTAATCATTATTTTTTTCATACAATAAACACAAGACATCTTTTGAAATTGGAAGTAATTATGGCTTGCCACTGGCAATACACTTTTCTATAAGAGCCTTAAGAATACTAGAAGTATCGTTAATTTTAAGATTCTTGAAATTGGGATGAAATACAATCCAATTCTTTAATGCATTACAGGCCTACTCTTAAACACTAGGGTTGATATCTGAAATTTTTTTATCCCACTCGCTCTCATATTCACTAAATAAGCTTGCATCTTTTTTCTTTGTCTCAAACTCAGATGCTAATTCTTAAAATGCTGTCTAACGTGTTTTAAGTACTTTGCTAACTAGTCTTTTACTTAAAGGTCCTTCATCTTTACTACCTAAATTATACAAGAGTAATATTGAAGAATATATTTTATAGATTTTAAAAACTAAATTAATTCTATTTCATTATATTTTAATCTATTTTCCTTTAATTATTCATTTCTGATATTTACTGTCTTCTATATTAAAAAAAAGGAAATTACTTGAGGCTCCTTGAATAGACTCTGCATCCATACCATCAGGATACTCCGACATCATATTGCTTTTATTTCCTGCTCCAATAGGCCTTTAGTCCTCATCTACAAATTGATTTTTATTTCCTCCTCCAATAGGTCTTTCATCCTCATCTACAAAATTATTTTTTTTAGCTGCTCCTATTGGACGCTCATCATCTGGATTAAATGTATTATTTTTTTTATTGCCTCCAATAGGTCTTTCATCATCTTAATTATTTACTTGCTTAGTATTTCCTAAAGGTCTTTCATTATCAGGGTATTCCTAATCCTAACTAAATGTATTTTTTTTTGGGCCACCACCTATGGGTCTATCATCATTGCTTGCTTCTTTATTTGATGTTCCAATTGGTCTATCATCTTCTAAATTTTTTTAATTAGTATTTCCACTTACAGGCTTTTCATCAATCTCATTATTTTATTAACTAGATTCCTCGCTTTTGTCACTTACAACAGCTTTCTTTTTCAACCAGGGTTTATCTGCGGCAGTAGAAGATGCTGAAGGCTTTTTATCAGCTTGTTATGAATTATCTTAATTTTCTTATTCATTTTTATCTTTATTCTCTAACCTTGCTTAAAGTCGTTTAGGAATTGCTTTAGGTTTTGGCTTCTCCTCTGGAGGAGGCTATTCTCCATCTGCAAACTCTGGAATTTAAAATTTTTTACCTCCTCCTAATGGCCTTTCATCATTAGGATCATTTCTAATTTGCTTGTCTATTTTAGCAAAACCATCCTCAATTTTTTCTAATTTTAAACAAAAATTATGGCTACGAGTATGGCATTTACATTTTTATATTGAATATCATGAATTTATGCAAAAATTAAAATTACCTTCAGCCTAATCGTTATTTTATTATTATTAATTATCATCTTATCCTGCTTATTACTATTACTATTCCTCATCAACTACAGGCTTATTTTTCGTTGCCAATCTATTACTATTGGTTGGTTTCTTTTTAGGTGGTTCAACAACTGGAGGATTTTCTCCATCAGCGTATTCTGGTATTTAAAATTTTTTACCTCCTCCTAATGGCCTATCATCATTAGGATCATTTCTAAATACTTTATCAATAGTTTCTAATTTTCCCTCTTAATCGTCCATTTAGTTTAATTATGAAAGTTGTCAATATTTAATTTAATAAATTAATTTGCCTATATATGAACTGCTAAAAATAATATGTTTATGCTATGGTTTTTATTTTGTTGAAACAGAGAGAAATTGTTGTTGTTTTAAAGTTGCCAATAAAATATATATAATATTTCCTTGCTTATACTAAATCAATTATTTATTTACTACTAAATAATTAATTCGATTAAAGACACTTTGTTTGATATAATTTACAATTTCAAAAATTTTAAAAACAAACTTGTAATATATTTAAAGCAATCAATATTCTTTCATTTAAAAGCAATGATTCTTTTTACTTTATTTTTATCATATAAAATAAGACAAAGAAATTCATTTTTATCTTAAAGATTCTCTTCATTTTCATATTTAAATAAACAAATTAAATGAAAAAAGTAAGTAATATATTCTTTTTTTATCAAAAATTAATTGTATTTCTACATCAATTATAAAGCTTCATAAGCATTATTCGTTTGTACATCATAAAGAAATCAATTTTTACAAAATTTAAAATGTTTGTTTATAAGCTAATAAAATTTTAAGTAAAAACAATTAAAGCTTTTCAAAAAAATGAATTTATAACTTTTTATTAATTAAATTTTTTAATATAAATAAATTTTGTTATTTTGAAAAATAAAATATTTTTTTTAGTTGCAAATAAAAAATTGTTTTATTTTATCTTCCAAAAAAGGTCAAAAAAAGCAAATTAGTAAAATTATTTTTATTTAAAATAATTTATTTATGTTTTGATAATTTACTTTAAATTTGTTATTTTATTTATTAGTATAAATTTATTAATAAATTAAGAATTAATATGAAAAAGTAAAAAAACATAAAATAAGTTTTTTAGAAACGTGTTTTAGAAATAATTTAAATTAATTATTATAATTATTTGTAATAAATAATATAATTTTTAAAATATATTTTATAAATTAAAAATATTAATAAAAATAAAATATTTAAAAAAATTTAAATATATTTCTAATTTTAAATGATATAAAAAAAATATTAAAAATGGAGTACTCAGATAGCATCAAGATATAAATTGTTAGGATACTAAATGATATATAAAAAAAAAAATTAAAAATGAAGTGCTCTGATAGTATTAAGATACCCATAGTTAGGATACTAAATGTGGAGGAGCACAGGTTCTTTAGGTTTTAACAGTTAGTCAATAAATAATGGATAGCTATTAACAAGGCAGCAAAACCTTTGACAAGATATTAATATATATTAAATAGTAAATTTATACCAATAAATTAATTAGCTATAGCTTTTATGGGTCTACATTAATTTAATCTTACTTACAAATGAAGGTGATTACAATGTCGAAAAAATAAAATTGTTTACAATCTTAAATGAGAATATCAATTCAAAAAATATTTAAAATCAAAATATACATTAAAATGCGTAATTGTTGATCCATTTCCTCATGAGTTTTGGTATTCGTTTGATGACATTTTTACAGCTCAAGTTGGTCTTATTTAGATGTCGCATATTTAAAAATGGAATTTTTGTATTTTATCTTAGTGTTACAAACCACATTATTAAATAAATAAAAAATATATCTTGATTGATAGCAAATTAAGCTAATATTTTCTGTTATATTTGAATACTTTTTTTTATAAATAAATAATTTATTTTGAAGCCATTTTATTAAAGAGTGAGTTAACTAGAAAATTAGTAGAGATTCATAAATTCTTTTAATAATGAATAAAAAATTTTTTGGAAATATATTTTCTTTACAAATTTTAGTTACATACTATAATTCAATATTTTTAGGTATTTTCATAAAATTTAAGAAAAAGTTTGGAAATATCCATATTTAAGTATTCCCTATTCGAGACATTTCTTTATTACAACTTATAAATAAATGCAATTGATTTTACTGCTTGATATATTTTGTAGGTTTTAAAATCAAAAAAAAAAGATACATATAAAATTTTTAATTAAAAGATTTTTAATTTATTGAAAAAAATATGCTTAGTTAGATATTCAGTAGAACTTTTTCATCTAGCAAATAACAAGCTAAAACAGCTGTTTTTATGCTTAATTTAGGTGGACCTAATAGCTTAGAAGAAGTATCTCCATTTTTAGAGAGATTCTTCGCAGACTCTACAGTCATCAGAATACCTTTTGGTTTAGGTTAGAAATTAGATTTGATTTTTAATTAGATTTATGCAAAAAAAAAATGAGAGAGAGATCAAAATTTAGAAAATAAAGGGATTATTTAATAATTATTTGAACTTATTAATAATAAATAGGACCTAAGATTGGTAAGCTACGTGGTCCTGCCAAAGTTACCAAGTAGTATGAAGCTATTGGAGGAAGAAGCCCTATTCAAGATTGGACAAGAAAATAAGGTGAAAAAATGGTTGAAAAATTAGATTAAATTTCACCAGACACAGCTCCTCATATTTATTTTCCAGCATTCAGATATGGACTTCCTCTTTACACTGAATCTATTAAAGAATGTATTGAAAAGAATCCAACTGTAGAAAAATTTGTATTTTTTTCATAGTATCCTTAATATTCTTGCACTACAGCTGGAAATAACATTAGAGAAGCATTAAAACATTTAAAGGAGCAGTATAAAAACCATGGAAAAACCATCCATGTGATTGATAGATGGTATAATCATCCTGGTTATGTTAAAACAATTTCTAGATTGCTCTCAGAAGACCTTAAAAATAACTTTAAAGAGGTTTGTTCAAAAATTAATTTTATTGTTGAAAAATAAAAATATCTTTTTTAATAAAATAAATCTGAATAGGAAGATAGAGATAATGTATTAATATTATTTTCTGCTCACAGTCTCCCATTTGATTTTGTTAAGCAAGGTGATACATATCCATATGAAATAGGAACTACTGCAAATTTAGTAATTTAAGAAGCTAAATTGAAGAACCCACACAGAGTTGTTTGGCAAAGTAAAGTTGGTTTCTAACAATGGTTAGCACCAAACACTATGCATGCATTAGAATAGGCTTCTAATTAAGGTTGGAAAAATGTTATCTTAGTTCCTCTAGGTTTCACTAGTGATCACTTAGAAACACTCTATGAATTAGATTTAGAATATATCAAGGAAAGTTAGGAAAAATTAAAGTTTAATAAAATAATAAGAGCAAGAAGTTTAAATGATGATCAATAATTTTGTGATTCCTTAGCAGATATTGTTTCTTAGAATTTAAAAACTGATGCTTATAAATCTCCAAATTTAAAACTAAGATGCCCTGATTGCAAAATACCTGAATGCAACTTACTAAGTGCAGTTTGATAAAGATAGATTTTAATAAAAATATAATTAAATTAATAAATTTGCAAACAAATTATTATACAAACAAAGCATTTTTAAATATATTTCAAATGAAAAAAAGTTATTAAATATTTTAATTTTAATTAAAAATATTAGTAATAGATTGATTATATTATTTCAAATTAAATTTTAATATTTTTCTAAAAGTTTCAAATTTTCTTGTTTCATTTAAATTTTTCTGAAAATAAAAATAATTTATGTTAAAAAAAATAAAATTTCAAATGTTGAATGACTCTTGATAAAAATCAATAATTTATGGAAAAAACAAATTTAGTTGAAATGTTTTCAACTAAAAATGATAACATTCTTGTTTGTTTTAACAATAGTTGTAAAATAAATAAATTTCTCAGAAAATTAAAAAATATTTTATCAATATTTTTATTAAAAGCATAAATAAATTGCAATTAATTAAATATTTGAATTTGATGTAAGAGAGTATAATGATAATAAATTTTAATTCTACATAAAAAAAATAAAAAATATACATATTTAATAAAAAAAATTAAAAATTCAATATTTATAGTTCTACTTTTTGACCAAGTTCAAATATTATGGCTATAAATTTTTCTAATGTTATGCATAATTGAAAGCCTAGGTTCTCTTTCCTTTGGTGTTTGAGATTTCTTCTTTAATTTAAGTCTATGTATCTTTTTTCTTAAACAGTATTGTACTTCAGAGTAATGCTCAATTACTTTTGTGAAGTTATTATGAGGGAAATAAACATCGAAATGTTTCATTTTTTCAAATTAAGTTTTTAATAGATATAAATCTTCTAAACCTAGTGTTAATTTGGAGTTATTTGTTTGATTGAACTAATTATATTGTGAAATTTAGGCCTACATTTATTTTAATTATGAAATGTAAGTATTAATCTTTTATGCAAATATTTCTTTTTTAAAATCATCGTTAGATAATAGGTTCATTTAAGTATTGTCCTTTGAAAATGTTTAGTTTACAATATCGGATTCCGATTCGAATGGTATACCTGATTTTAATTTATTTAAAATCTAAGTATCTTAGTATGAATTATGATTTTATAACTTTTTGTAATTGTCGTTTGCATTTTTAGATTACTCTAATTTTTCATGAGATATGCTCCTCATTATACTAATGAATTTTTACAGATACTTATTTTGCATTTTATTTTGATTTAAATAATCTTGCTTTTCAACTTTATTGGATTTCATTTTATCTTATTCATTTCTGCTTTAGCCTTTCTTGAGATATTTTTTTAGGCTTGATTATTTTTTAGTTTGTATTTGATCAGCTTACTATAAGCTTTTACCTTTGCGCATATCAACTTAATTCTAATTAGGAGAGGGTAATTTAAATTTAACAGACATACTATTCTTTAAGCTAGGTTTGCTAATAATATGAGATTCTTAGTTTAGTAGCACAGATTCACCAGAAAAGCCTTTTTCTTCTTATTTTATAGGTTATTTACTCTGGTTATGGTTATTCTAATTTTCTGTATGTTAGCCTGCAATTTTTCTATTGTTAGTATCCAAATTAACTTAAATTGTAGTATTTTTATAATTTTTATTATTAAAGAAAGAATCTAACCTATTTGCTTCAGAAGGGATTTCTTCGTTATCAATGCCCTAATCAATATCGAATGCCATTTCTGATATCGAAGGAACTAATTAAATTTATTCAGATTGAGCGTTTTTGATAGTGATTTGGCTTGAATATATCTTATTTTTATTTGATAGAATGCTCTTTTAATTATTTATCTATTTCATTGGGTTAAGAGAATTTTAGTTGTCGATTTATTATGGGAGTTTCTCTTATTCTGCAGAGTCTGAATCACTAAAATCCTCTTCATAAATTTATTCTGGCTGAGAATCCTAAGAATCAGAAGAAAGAACAGAATCTGAGAGATCTTCATCAGTAAATACAGTTTCGTTGAGTAATTTATTAATATGAATATAGTCATCAATTCCATCTATCTCATCACATTAAAATCTTTATTGCTAAAGCTGTATATTTCTTAAATGCCTAAAAAGTTTTAATTTAGTTTACTATTTTCTATTAAAAGCCTATCTATCAAGTATCAGAGGGTCTTATATAAATTTGTACATCAACTAAATTAAAATTTTTTAATTTTAAAATAGGTAATAATGTAAATTATTTGATTACCTTTTTTTTATCAGGATTAAAGTGGAAGAGAGGGCAGTCTTTCTCAAAGTGCTGAAAATCCCAGGCCAAACTTTCTTTACTATAGCAGCAATAAGAACACTTGGTATGAACAGAAGAATAATTTTGATTTAAAAGAATATCATCTCTAATCATGCAAAACTTTTAATAGTCTTATTCATTCTCTTTAACTATTTAGATGAATGTATCTCTGCTAATTTTTATCAATGTTGAAAATTTCAAACTTCTTACATGTTGATTCCTTGGCTAACCAGTAATAAATTCAATTTCACCTTTATTAAATTAATAAAAAATATTAAAAAAGCTTAATAAAAATTGATTTACCAAAAAATTGATTGCTATTTAAGTTAATTATTTGCTTGGTATGATCATTTTGTTCAAAAGGGAAATAGTAGCACTATACAGAACCTTTTTCAATAAAATATATTGAACAGTCGTCTGAATCTCCTTAGTTATAAATAACTTCTTCAGGATGACATCTCTGCTCAATAGATGCTTAGGCTAATTTATTTAAAGTATTCTCTGAAAACATAGCTTTAAAGAATGCAGATTCTTAAATTAAGGATCTATTTGCTTCGATTTTTAAATTTTCCTTTAAGGTGTTAGAAAGCTAATCGACTAAAGATTATTCTTTTTGAACTTACTCTGAGAGACTTTCATTCCAATAATATTGTAGATAGTGACGTATTTGAGTCTACAAATTAATTGGTATTTTCTTCTTTCTCATATATCCATTTACGATTATCAAATTATCTTTTTTCTATTCGTTTTCTTCATTTATTTTCTTAAATATACTGCCAATCTATTTTAATTAAAATGTTTTTTGAATAAAATTTTAAACATATTTATTTCTAAATTTAAAATGTCAATTTAAATAAAACTTTTTTTTATAAAAACCTTACTTCACTTATTGAATATGCAAAAACACCACATCCAGTTAAAATTGTAATAATACTATATATCTTTTCAGCGCTAGAGCTTGGAGTTACATCACCATATCCAACTGTTACCATAGTTACTGCGCTAAAGTAAAAAGCATTTAAAAACTATACATACCATTCTTCTTCTTATATTCCATATTTCTAAATCCAGGTGATAATGCCATCATTTTCATTTTTACCTATCAAAATCCAAAAGCAACTAAAAATATGGATTATATATAGATTCATATAGAGTAGCTTAAGCAACCTCATTATTTAACTTGCTTTTAAAGAAAAGTAGAATTACATTTCGATTCTTTTCAGAACAATTCTGAACCATCTGAATCTTAAGAAAAAGGCTAAAAGAATTATAGTATAGTAGTATGAAGAACTAGTATCTACCCTTACAGATATAAATATTATCAAGCAAATTAGAGAAACTAAATCAGTTAAAAATCCTAATAAATAATAATTAAAAATTATAAAAATTTATAAACAAAAAAAAAATAAGAGTTCACCAAAAATTAATTTTTATTTATTTAAATTTGTAATCTAAAAATCAGATCAGTCATTTTATATAAATTGCTTAAAATTTAAAATAAAGTATCTAATTAATTACCATTTTCTAAATAATGGATCATAATAACTTTTCTTTACTTAATCTCTTGCCCTTACTTGATTACAGAAGTATTAAAATTGCAGAGTATATCGATGAACAATAAGATAATTAGGACAATATTAAGAACAATTTATCCAACCATATTAAACAAATCTTTGTTAAAAGCTATGATAATGGGGATCAATATAAAATAATATTAAAGAATAATGATATGAACAAAATCCCAGAGTCTTCTGAAATTTGATTGTTATGGGATCAATGGTATTTTCTTCAATAAATTAACAAATTAAGTCATCTTATTTTTTTCATTTGTATTTTGATATGTCTTTTTTTCAAACATTGTTTTTTTTGATTAAAAAATAGGAGATCCTCTTTCAAAATCAGCTTGATTCCTTTGCTTTCTATATAAATTTTAAATTTTGTCTTGAGGTCTACTACTCTATTATAATATTTAAAAGTCAGAAGACTTGTCTCCGATTTGATTGAAATAATCCTTCTTTCTATTTATGAAATTAAACCTCTCTTTGGTTATGTAGATAGAATGAAGTAAATTTAGAGCAAATTACTAAACACGGCAAATTATTCTCATTTTCTTTGATTTTTAGTTATTTTAATTATTTTAATCTTGCAACAGCAAAAGATCTGGATAAATCTGACTTTTCCTTTAGCTCTTACCCATATTATTACTATTGTGGCTCAGATTTTTAGATTTTAAATGCTTCTTTTCATAAAGTAATTTAGAAGGGCAAGAGTTGTGGAGCTTTTCATCTAATTCTATTAAATCTTAGCTGCCATTTTTATTATCTCGAAGTATGATTACCTAACTTTACTTTTTTTATCCTGGCTTGTAATTTTATTAATGCTAATTCATAAGTTCCACTTCTACATTTCTTTGTGTTTAACTCTCGTAGTAATTGCTTTGTTCTGTCTCAAATTAAACGGTAGGATTATCTGCCATCTTATGATTTGTTTATTTGTTTTCTGTTATTTCTTAATTTTTAAAAAAATATTGTTTCTCAAATAATTATAATTAATAGCGAAAATAAAAATATAAGTAAGTAAATAGTTGATTATAATTCTTATTTCCTAAAATTGGAGAGATAGATAAATCTTACTGAGAATCATCCATTAAAGTATTATCTGTTTTTTGAACATACTCTAACCATAAAAGATATCAATCGTAAAGATTAAGCCAAAAATTATCAATAAAATAAGTCACATTTAAGCCTTTAGGCTAAAATTCGTTCTTTGATAATATTTTATTATTACAAATAAATATTTTAAATATTTGCTTTAATGGGTATTTTGGTTACTTAAAATCTTACAACAAAATATAATTTATACGTTAGAGATAAATAATTTATTTTGTAATTTACTAAATAACTAAATCTTCATAAATAGGTTAAGATAGACAATAATCCTAAAAATTTTTTCTTTTATTTTTTATTTTCTTTTTCAAAGATGTAAATTAATTTATAACTTAAATAAATTACTACTAATTGTTTCAAAATTATTAAAAGAGTATCCTTTCATCTTTATGAATGAAAGCCAATTTATATTTAGGCTATTTTTAGAAAATTTTTAAGAATAAGGCCAATTATTGAGAAAAAAATGTTTAGTCAACTTGCCTTAATTAATTTATAGGATAACACAATAGCTATTTATTTAGTAATTTAAGTAAATAGTATCTTAAATAATTAACAAATTCTTTTATAATTTAATTCTTCTGTTTTTTAAATAATTATCTTGATATAAGTTTGTAAGCTTAAATAAAGACAAATAAAAATAATTAATTTCATTAAAAAATTAAGATAGAGTTAATTGAATTTAGAAAAAATAAAAATTATGAATATAAATAAAATATTTTAATTAAAAATTATATTTTTAATCTATTTTATCAAATCTAAGCAATTTTTATTTATATTTTAATAAATATACATTTTTATTTGATAAGTATGACTAGGATCTATTATCATTATTGGATTAAAAGCAATTACAATTACAATGACAATTCAAATTATTATTTTAATTAATTAATTTTAAAATTTAGTTGTTAGATTTGTGCTTAAAAATTTACCAATTTATTTAGTTAGAATTGTAAATATTTTTTTCTATTAGCTAGAAATGTCAAATTAATAAGGTAAATTATTAAATTAGCTAAATTATTAATGAAATACATTATCAAAAAAGATAATCAAGACTTATAAAAGTTAGAATCACTTCAATAATCATCTTAACAGAATGTAAATCATCCTTTTTATAGCATGATTAAATGTTTATCATAAATTTAAGCAAATATGAATTATTGTTCAAAGTAGTATCAAATTAAAATTATTATAAAATAAAATTTAGAATATTAAAAGGAAGTCTAGCGAATTAATAGAAGATAGCGAATAAGGAAATGTTGATTAACAATAAAATACCAAGAATAGCTCATAAAAAATTTAAGTTAAGGAAGATAGCAATAGCAGTGAAAATATTTAGTAGAAATGTAAGAAGGATTGTTAAAATTAGAATGGTTAAAATAACGTCTCCTAAACTGAGGATACCAGCTAAAATAATTAGGAGTTACGTTTAAAAGCAAATAATAAGGAGAAGAAGATAAATAGTGATATGAAACATTTTCTCTCTTTGCTACAAAAAGTTGAATAAGCAAAACTAAAAAAAGAGTAATTAACTAAAGCAGGTTAAGATGTGGGATTTAGTTAATAGGACCATTAAAATGAATTTAATTCTAATAAAGATGAATAAGATGATAATTAGCAAAGCTAATTTAATGAATAATAACAAAAAGAATCATAATGTTAAAATAAAGATGAGCAAAAAAATGAGGACAATACTAATGATATTATAGATAATTAAGATAATTTAGTGTAAAGTAATGTGAAGGAATAAAAATAAAATAAATTTGTAAATTCTAAATAGCCAAATTATGAAGGAAAAAGCTAATAAGAAGTTTATAGTCTACATCAAAATGATATAGATATAGGATTTAATAGCTATTCTATGTAAGATTTTGAAAGAAAATAACTTGATGAAGAATATGATGATGATGAAGATGAAAGGCTAATAGAATTTTAAAGATTAGAAGATATTCAAAAATAAGAAAATGACTTTTCTTCAAAAAAAAACTTTGAAGAAATTTAATTGAGTGATAAAATTTAACAAAACTCTTAAGATTAAAGAGACTGGAAAGAAATAGTAGAAGATGAAAATTTATCTGTAATATATTCAGATGCAAATGAAAGTAGAAGATCTACTCATGATAACACTCACTTTAATTAGAGTCATAAAGAAAAATAATTAATAGAGGAAACTATTAATTTAATTACATAAGAAATAGAATAAGAGGATAAACTTATCCCAATCTTATAAAATTTTAAATCCATTCAAGTAAGTAAGTGTATTTCATCTTTAGTAAAAATCTTATCAATAATAAATTTATATTTCAATCTAGATGAATTATATATCAAAGCAATAGCTTTTATTTGAAGAGAATGAGAAGTTAAAATTAAAAGCAGATTAATTAAATCATAAAAATTAGCTTTTAGAAAAAACCATTCATTTTTCTAAGCAACAGATAAAGCATTTAGAATCTCAAAATACCAAATTACTTGATGAATATGTAAATATGTTTTAATCATTTTGCAAACTTTATATAAATTCTTAATAAAAAAATAAATAAATTAAGGAATATATTTAAAGAGAAGTAGAAAAAATGAGATAATTGGAGAAGGAATTAAAGCACTCCTTAAATGAAGCTAAATAAATGAATGTAAATTACTTAATACAAATATTTATTAAATATTCATTATTTTTATGATGAAATCATATATGATAAACATATAAAAACAAAAAACAGACTTAAAAATAAATAAATAAATAAAATATTTTGCCTTAACAATAGTTTTATTAAAGAGCAGTTTTAATTTCTAATATCATGTTTAAATATAATGTTTAAAAATGATTAATTTATTTAAATAATTTTTTTTCTATTTTTATTTTTAAAAATATAGTTAAATTTTAGTGAATTACTTAGAATCAAAAATGAAGAGAATAAATAAAAAGAGTTTTAATCGAAAATGATAATGGAAAATTATAAAAAATTAGGGATATAAATGTCTTAGTTTCAGTAAAATTATGGCTCTTTAAATGAAAGCATTAAGTAATTATATTTCTATTAACAAGAAGTAATTTAAAAATTTTTGACATATTCTTAAGATTAATAGTGACTTAAGTTCTAGAATCATTAAATACTGATAAAGAGATCAATTAAAATAGGCTTTTGAGTAATTTTTCATAAGGTATTTTTATTTTTCAAAATAGTTTTATTTACTTAAAGTTATGTCAAAACAATCATTTTTGTAATTAAAACTAAAGATTCAAATTTCAAAAGCACAAATTCAGATAAATTTCCTTTACAGACAGATATTAATAGCCTACTTGATTAGTAATCCGACTCTTCATTTTTAAAGAATGTTTCTTCGCCAACTTACCTTAATTATTAGTCAGAGAATATTCACAATTAAAATAAAAGACTATCTTATATCTAAAGAGCAGGTAAATTGAATGATAAAAATAGCTTGCATAAATCAAAAGACAGCTATTCTGCCAATATTAAAAAAAAGAGACCCTCTAATATATTAATTGAATTAGGCGATAACCCCAGCATAAATAAAAGTCCTATAAATAAATCTGCTAGTGTCTCTCCAATAAGAAAAAATTTCAAGCCACACTAATTTAGCAATCCTTTTTATTATAGTCAAACAACAAGAAATTCTTAAAATTAGTCTTCAAAAGCAAAGTAATTAAAATTTAAATCTATCTATTAAATTAACTTTTTAAATTAAACTAAATTAGATAAATATAAGAAACTTACAAGAATTACTTAAGTAGTAAAAAATGAAAAATAAAATAATTATTTATTTTATTTAATCTCTTTAAAGCCACAAATTAATTAAAAATTAGCAATAAATTAATAAATAAATAATAAAAATTAATAATAAGTTTGATTATCTTTAGTATATGTAAATATCATTATAAATGTAAGAACAAAATAAATATAAAATTTTTAAAAAATTATGAAATATTTTACAATTATTGATGATTTAAAAATATTTATTTAATAGCTTGATTTTAATTTAAATAAAATTCTCAATTGATTTTATTTGACTTAGTTTCAATATTAATTATCTTATTGACTTTATTATATATTTTATTAAGAAATATTTTACAGCTATTAAGATAAACTATTCTTAACTTTTATAGTTTGAGAAACACTTTTTCTATTAAAAAAGCTCTTTCTACTATTAATTGACTATGTTTATAATGACTAAATATTTAAACGAGTAACTCCTAGAATTTAAGATGATTTTTCATCATTATTATCATTTTCTTCAAATGAAGTTTTACCTTTAAGTTATTTTAAAAGAGGAGGAGACAGTAAATTTTAATTATATGATTTTTCATACTCCAGTAATTTTGAATTATCTTGACTTTCTTATCGATTTAGAACAATTTTGTAAGAATTATTATTATTATTTTACTTTTCAAGGCTATTTTATATTGAATTTAATTTGGAGGCTGAAATTGATTTTCTTAAACTGCGTTAGCTTTTGCTGAAAGCTGAAATTTCAAAATTATTTTGAAATTTATTATCTAAAAATATTTTATTTCTTTTATTTTATGCAAGGAGTTTAACTTTTTTCTGTATATACGGTAGGATATAATCGTAGTTATTAAAAGGAAAATAAATTTCAAAATTCTGCATCTTATCAAAATTTTCTATATCATAAAAAGTTTAATAATGATTACTCTGGTTTATAGAGGAATAATTATTTTAATATTAAATAGATTGATTTGAAGAATATTTTTTGAAATGTTTTTGTGGATTAATATTAAAATCGTCTGATGCTTAGTTATCCATCATTTCTACTATAGAATTTCTATTTATCAAAATAGTATCCTTTTTAAAGGGTCTCGATGTTTTTCTTTAAACTTCATTTTTTTCATTATTATCTATAATAGTATTTCCTTAAATTTAGTTTTATTGATTTTGATCTAAAATATCTTATTTTTTTGTTTGTGATTACAAATTAAAATCAATCTATTGCTATTAAGTTGAATCTTATGATCCTTTGTCTTTTAATTCTAAAATTTTATTTTAAGACTAGTCAATTCTTAGTATTGAATTTTTTTTTGTAGAAAAACTAGGAATTTAAAATGAGGCTCTTTTAATGTTAATCATATTCTTGTGATCAATAGAGTCTTTTTCTATCTATGAATAAATATTTTAAAGAATAAGTAATTTAGTTTAATAGCAGATTTAATTTTAATAAATTTACAAAAAATGATTATCTTTACTAATTCTAATCACTCATCTTTCTGACAGGATATACTTAAATATTATTTTTTTTTGCTATGTTTTATTTTATTCCTAAAGAATTGAAAAAACCATTTGATTTTATGTATTTTTCAGACTAGTTTTTTGAATGGTTTTTAATTGATAGAATATCATCATCATCTTCTTCACTATCTAAATCTTCACTGGTAAATGTTAAATTTGTTTAAGCTTTTTACAATTAATTGGTTTAATCTTAAAGCTAATATATTTCATTTATAAAACTATTATTTTAATCAGTAAATTTTATTTAATCATCTTAAATTTCTCTAAGATAAACTAAATTTTGCTTGAACTTATAGCATTTCCTAGATACTTTTACTCTATGAGTGTTTATAGCCTAATAAATGAATCTATTTTGCAACTATTTTATTTTAACTTGAAAATAACAACTTATAACTTAATAAAAATTACTTTCTTTATGTTTGGAATAAAATGTAAAAAAGGGCAATTATATTCACTATGAGCAGGCTAGTCTTCTGATTAACACAAACAACATTTCCTAGAAAATTATGTTGACCCATTTAAAATTATTTAATCTTTAATGTAGCAAAACATCTCGTAATCTTCTTTTATTTCTTCAACAATTTTTATGAATTCTTCTCTTTCTATTTTTAGTAGTGTAGTAAATTCTAAACTTCTAAAAGTTTATCTTCTAGGATTTCCTGTGAAAAATGAACCCTCACCTTAATTTAATTTAATTAAATTAAATAAATTAAATTATTTTTAAAATTATTTTACCAAAAAATTGACCTTGTTTAAGAATTGATTAGACATTTTTATTTTATCTTTACTAAGTATTGTTAAATCCTTCAAGTTATACTTCAACTGAACCTCTTTCTATAAAATATATAGAACATTCCATATCACCTTTTAAAAATATAACTTCTTCAGGTGTGTATTTTTACTCTTAAGCTATTGAAATGGTTTTCAACAAAGTTTACATTGAAAAATTTTTTTTCAAAATCGGAGATTCTAAAATAAAAACTTTGTTAGCTTCAATTAATAGGTTTTCTTTCAAATTATCTGAAAGTTAATTGATAATTCTTTATTCTTATTTTATTGAAGAAAACTCACTCTCATTCCAATAGTACTCCAAATAGTGCCTAATTTTATGCTATAACTAATAGCTTATTCTCCTTTGCTTCATATAATTGTTAATCACATACATGTTGTTTTTAATTAATTTTTAGCTTTTTTGCATCTCCTAAAAAATTGATCCAACCTAATTATTTATTTTTCAAAATAAAATGAGCCTAAAGAATAAATATCTTTCAAAATTATTTTGAAAAATAAAAGGAAATTCAAAAATAATCTATTTTATTTTAATATGTTTTTCTTTCAATTAAAATTATTTTAGATATAAATTTTAAGGAATTTAAAAAAATTAATTTATAATATATTTATATATTACTTCGCTAATGGAATAAGCAAACACACCACAAGCTGATAAAATCGTAAAAATACTCATGACCTTTTCCACGTGAGTTTAAGGGGAAATGTCTCCATATCCAACAGTTACCATCGTAACAGCATTAAAATAAAAACTGTACAAATACGAAGAAAGATGTTGGTCTTCTCCTACATTTTACTTATCTAGCCAAGTAAATGATTATCCATAAATATGCTCTAGTTTTGATAGTAAAATCCAAGAACAAGCTAAAAAGTGTATGATATAAATATTTAAGAATAATAAATTCCATAAACTCATAAATTAACTTATTCTAGGGGATAAATGAAATCTAATTTCAAGTCTTTACTAAAACTTTTAAAACTTTTCAAGTCTCAAGTAGAATAAAAAGTAAATCACTGATAAGTAAGATTGATATTAAAAGCTTATGTTAAGTTTTTAAAACTTTAACCCAATTAAGATAAAAAGAGGTAAAAGAGTTAGGCAATCTCTCTTCATTCCTTTTAATAAATGAGTGATTATAACAAAATTAAATAAATGAATGAAATTATTGGTTACCATTATTCATATATGTTTGAATGATTTCTGACCTAGTATTTATCACTTTACCTCTATAGAATATAGTAGTGTTAAAGTTAACGAGCAAATCACTTATTAATAAGATAACGCATACAATAGATATGTAAAAAACTCCTATGTATTAGGTAAAATCAAAGCAAATACTAAGAGGAATGAGAAGGAAAAAAAAAGCAAGGGAAATAAGCTAACTTATATCCCAAATAATTCTGTACTACGATAGCTAATCAAATATAGGAATATTCTTTAATAAAGCATAAAACTTCTACTTTAAAAAGTGAGCAAAAATATTGAAATTATTCTAAGCAAAAGAAAATTTTGTTTGAGAATTTTAAGATAACATCTCAAATCGACTTAAAGAGTTTATTTGATCAACGTTGTTAGCTAAAACGATAGAATCTGATTTATCTGATAGAATGCTTCGCATTTTTTTGGATTAAAGGAATACTTATTTCTTAGAGGTTTATAATAAACTAATCATTTTTGTAGTAAATTTCTTTATCAAGAGATGTATTTTAGATTTTTTAAAAACTCTTTGGATTATAAAGGATTTAATAAAATTGGCTTAGGAACCTCTTCTCGATTATGCGTTTTGCTACTCTAAAGTTTGCCTTTTTGAAAGTAAAATATCCCTAATATTTTTTTTCTTTTTCATTTTAATGCTTTAACTTGCCTATTATTAGTAACTACTATTTAAAGAAACATCTGATTTTTATGGCAAATTATTTATCAAAGATGTCTACAACATATTTTCACTTTTAAAGAAATTTAAATCAATTATTGATATTTTATTACATTTAAAAAAATTATTTTTACTTTGAGATCTTGCTTAGTTTTTTTTAAGTCCTTTCAGGGTTTACTTTGGCTTCAGAATCAAATAAATTGCAATATGATGAACTACTTTTTTATTCTTCAAATGTTGTTATGTTTAAGCCTCTATTTCTGTAAAATGTATAAATTTAGGAGGGATACATAAAAATTAAAATATTTTTACGTTATTTAAATTAGATTACTATTTTTATTTTAGTAAACTTGACATTTCGGGTCTAATTTTTCTGTTTAGTTTTTTAGAGTTATATCAGCTTAATTATTCATCGCTTTTGTGATTATTTATCAAATTAATTGTCAAAATAGAATTGTCATAAAATTGAAGAGATTTTGCTTTATTCTTTGAAGAATTTATGTTAGTTAAGATGAAATATTATATTTAAAGATTAAATTGTAATAAGTTAAACGAATATATTAATACTTATTAAGATTGATTACAAAAGATTAATTTAAATTGAAGTTTATATATTTTATATAATTTCCAAAAAATGTCTTATTTATTTTTTTTAGCAGTCCTTAAATAAATTTTATGTTAAATCAAAGTTATTTTTAATTTGATTCATAAAAATTTTATTCAATTATTAATATAAATTTTATTTAAATTTTAAAACATGGTTTTTAATAAATGTTAAATAAATAATAAAACAATAAAAAAACTGATTTCGCTGAGGATTTAATGTAATTTCAAAAGTTGATTATGATTTATAATTTAAGGAAAAATCATTAATAAACATTTAGATAATTTGATAACAGAGCCAGTAAATTCAAGACAAAATTTATTTACAATAATAATTCTCAATTTGTAAAATTTTTATTTTCTTTTTTTTGGTTATATTAAAGAAACAAGGTTAATCTAATGAGGCTTTATCATAATTAGAATGTTGAAATTCATTCAAGGTACTCTATTGATTAGACTGACTTTTAATAAAATTTTTATGCTCTCACTTAAGGTGAGTAAAATTAACTCCTATTTAGTTAAATTTACTTTGTTTATTTTTGCTAACTCATTGTATTTTGCAGACAAAGAGATTCGCTGATAATTAAATCTACTTTTGCGCTAAAAGTGCTCTCATTTTAAGAAATTTATTTATTACTTGTGCTATTTTTACTTTCCTCTTTTTCAAGTTGACTTTAACCATGAGCTTTTTTTCCTAAATTGCTTGTAAGTGTTTCTTGATAATTACTTGGAGAATTAACTTTATTTTGTTTGATTTCAAGCATGTTTTATAATTTATTTTTACTCAATTATTGATCAGAAAAATTCTCAAAGCTTTTGTTTTTCTCCAAAATAATAGTCTTTTTTGAAAAGTCGTTTCTTAAGTTTTGCAATTTACTTAAATTGCTGTAATTTAAGTTACTTGCAAAGAGCAATTAGCTATTTCTTATATTCTATGACTGTTAGATTCTCTACTTAAAAATAGTACTATGTCTAAACTAGCTTGTAATTTTTATTGAGTTTGAATTATTTTACTTAACGTCTTAATTTTAATCCTTTTACTTAGTTAAGAGCTTATGAATTTAATTTTAATGCAAAATAACTTTATCATAATTATTGTGGACAAAGTAAATTTCATAAAGCTTCATTCTATCTAAGTCTTCTAAATTTGTAAATTCAATATTATTAATGTCAATTTTCAGCGATTATTGAGAATTGTGTTCATCATTTTCTTTTTTTTCAAAGCAATCTCTAATGCTTTTTATATTTTGGGAAACCTAATCAATTTAAGTCTCTATTATTTTTTTGATGTCTTAGAGTAAACTCTAATTTTAAGAAGATAAATTATTTTGTGAGTTATTCTTTTATGTGTTTCCAAAATTTGGTTAAATTTTGTTGCTAGAGTTCGATATTATCTTTAATTGGCTATTTCCATTGAAATTATAATTAGTTTGGCTTATTTACCTTTATGAATTTTATTTTTAAATTTGATGACTACCTCTTCTAAGAATATTTAAGTGATTTTTTTAGTTAATCTTAATCCTTTATTAATTAGATATCTATTTGGCTTACTCATTAGTTAAATTTTAGTTTATATCATTAAAAAGTATGTCCTCAAAATTATTTTGGGCACTTAAAGAATGACTTCTTTTTCTTTAAGAGTTTTCAAGTTCAAATTCTTCTTAAATAGCTAATTCAGCATTTTTTATATCTTATTCAATTTTTTTTGGTTATATTTCTTGGTCTGTCGTAAATTTTTAATTCATTCTATTTTTTAAAAGCTCTTTTACATTTAAAAAATCTTGAGAAGAAATATCTGAACTTAATTTTTTAAAAGTAAGATTTTGATTATTGCTTGATTATGAAAAATTTGTATTTTGTAAAGAAGTGCAGTTCTTTTACTAAACTAGCTTCAAAGAGTTAGCCTAAAAGCTTTGAATTTAATTGACTTAACTTCTTTTTATTTTATTTTTATTTTGCTCTTCAAGGCTGAGGTGCTAAATCGAGGGTATTTTAGGATCCTACAGGATATCTCTCATAGTAAAAAATTCATTTTACGAGATGATATCTTTAATCGATAATGATTTATCTAATGAGGACTCTTGTTAATCTAAAGAAGACGATTCGCTTTTAGAAGCACTGTTTTCAGAAGAGTTTTCTGATTTTTTCTATTAAATATGTCTTGAAAATGCAGAAGGCTGTACTTAATTTTTAATCTGAGTTACATATCCTTGCTGAATTTCTTCTTTAATTATTTGTACTTCTGGATGAAGCTGAGTTCTCTTTTTTTATTTTGCTCTCATAGTGAAAGAATTATTTGAGGAACTTAGAGAAGACTTTTTATAGCTCGACTTAATTTCAGAGGAATAACTTTCATCAGATGATTCCTCTGAAGAATACGAAATATTTGTGTTTAAATATGTCTGTGTATTTTCAAAGGTATTTTATTTTATATTATTAAAAATTTACAATTAATCTCCATATTAATTTTAATCTAACTCTTGAAGTAGATTAAACCTTTGGCAATAATTTTAGACATAGTCGTTAATTTACTTTAAATTCTTAGAATAAAAGCAAATTTAATCTTAGCTAGAGCGAAATAAATTCTTCAAAGTTTCATATTAGCTTTGATGTCTTTTAAAGTTCTGCCTAATTGATTAAGATTAATTGTTAGAAAACCTAGCTTGTATCTTAATAAAGTTAGGAATAAAATGAACAATTGGGCAATTTTATTCTAAGTGGTTAGGGTTTTAGCTAGAAACTCCTTCGCAAAGCTAACACTTACGAGTGATGCTTTTTATATTATACTTATTTAAAATGCTGTCGCGAATTAAACAGTACCTTTCATAATCGCCATTATCTTCTTTTATAATCTATAAAAATTTTTCTCTTTCAATTTTTAATAGTGTTGTAAATTCTATACTCCTAAAGCTTTATTTTCTAGGCTATCCAGTAAAAAATTCGTTCTCTCCTATTTAATAAAATAATAATTAAAAACACTTTCTTTCTTTCTATTTAAAAAAATCACCAAAAAATGATCCTGTTTTTAGTGCTATAAAAGACTAAGATTATTGAGACATGTTCTAAGAGGCTTAAAATATTTCAACTTATCCTTTCTCAATAAAATAAAGAGATGTATCTTCTGTTTCATCTTAAAAGTAAATAACCTCTTCAGGATTATATTTTTATTCTTTTATTAAAGGTATTATTTTAAGAATCGTTTTGAGAGTAAAGTTGTCATTAAAAATAGGAGATTAAAGTATAAATGCTCGATTAGCTTCTATCATTAGGCTCTCTTTCAAATTATTGGATAATTAATTTATTATTTTTTTTTCAGCTTCTATGTCTTAGTATTTGCTTTCGTTCCAAAAGTACTCTAAATAATCTCTCACTTAGTACTAAAGCTCATGGGAAATATTTTTTTTCTTCATGTAATTGTTGATAATAAAAATATTTTATTTTATTTATTTCTTATAAAATTGGATTTCTTTAAAGATACTTCCAACCTATTAATTAATTTTTATGCTTAATTAACAATTTAATAAATATATTTTTCGATTTCGATTAATTGATGCAAAAAGCTGCTTATTTTCACTAATAAGTATATTTAAACACAAAAAAAATTAGTTAATTTCAATTAAAAAAAGAAATATGTTTAAACTTGCAAAAATATTTTAGATTTGCTAAATATATTTTTCGCCTTAATTAAAAAAAAACTAAGAAAACGAGCACTTATTAAAGATAAATCAATTATAAGCAAATTCATTGAATTATTTATATTTTCTCGAATTTTTCTTATTTTAAAAAGTCAAAATATACTTAGTCATGTTAAATTTGTAAGTAAAAATATGTATTTTTTTTAGTAAATATGAGAGAAAATTTATTTGTGGTTTATAAATATAGAATTTTGAACTGTAAAAGCTATATTTATTCATATATATATGTTTATTACCTCTGTGATTGAATAAGCAAATACCCCACAAGCTGAAAGGACAGTTATTATACTTAAAAACCTTTCCTAATGATTTTAAGGAGTGAGATCACCATAGCCAACAGTGACCATTGTTACAGTATTAAAATAAAATGAACAAAGATATTAGATGTACCATACTGAATCCGAAATGGAAAGTATCGACATCCATGATATGTTTATATTTTTGTCAGCGATCATAATCCAGATACAAGCTAAACAATGAATTATGTAAAGATTCAAAAATAATAGTTTAGCCAATTTTAAAACCTAGCTAATTACAGGAGAAAAGTGTAATCTTATTTCTATTTTTTTGAGAAAGCTCCTGCAATTTTAAAATCTCCAATAGAAAAGGATTAAAAAGGAATCAAAAAATCGTTTTTATTATTCGTAGGAACTTGTTTGACTTATTATAATAAGAAACAATAAAGGTAAGATTGTGATGATATCTTTTTAAAAGCCTTTTAAAAATAAAAAATAATTATAGAAAATAATCTGAATTAAAATAAAATTACTCACCTTTCTTTTTATAATTTTAGAAGATCTGTAACCTGTTTTCAATTAATTTGCCTTATAGAAATAAACTTGTATTACAAATAACTAAAATGTCCAAACATATAAAAATAAAAAATAGGATAGCTACTATTAGAGTATATTCAACGTTTGCTATAAAATTGCTAAATGCTATCTAAAGAGGTATTAAAATAAAATAGAAGGACAGCATTACCAGCTATAAAGTATCCCAAATCATTCTATTGATAGAAAAAGGTAAAAAAACAGGGAATTTATCTATTATTAGTAGTAGCTTTTCCTTTAGCTTTAACTTGCTAATTAGTATATCATAATATGAAGCATTTTGATAAAATTGATTTGCAAATATACCTTGTTAGTTTTAATTTACTGATTCTGAAAACTTAAATTTTTGACTGCTTGAGTCATAATATGATGAGGATTTATCTATGATTATTTACTGGTATTAGGGGTTATTTTAAAAAATTATATACTGCTTTTTATAAATTAATAGAAGCAATTTCTAAACAAAAAATTTGATATTCATTGACAGCTTTATTTTATGAAAGATTGACTTGATTTTTTTCTTTTGCTTGTTAATTTATTTAACTCTATTAGATGCTTATTATTCATTTTACTTTACAACATAATTAGTTGATTGTCTTTTTTTTTCCTTATTTGCTTATAATCTTTATTCATTAATTTTTTAAGAATGAATATCAACAATTAGCCCTAGCCTATCAGTCATATTATCTATTGGACTCATATCTGAGCATTAATCTTAATCACCATTTTGAACCGATGAATCTTTATCGTCTCTTGCGTAAGGATTTAAGCTTTTATTAAAAGCTTACGAACCGTCTCTAAATGTTTCTGATCCATTAAAGCTAAGTCCCTAAATAATTAACTTGCTTTTTCTGGTTTCCTACTATTAATCTTACTCTTAGTTCTACTATAGCTTTATATCTGTCTTTTAAGATCTCCTATTGTAAAAATTATTAGGAAATCCGCTAAATATAATTTTCCATAACGATCAAGTATTTACACATTCGTGATTTAAATCGAGTTTGATGAATTCTCATCATGCTTAATTTTAAAAAAATCAGAATTTCTATTATCTAAAAGCATATTTGTTTAAATAAACATTTAGTTTTTTATAAATATATAGTTATAATTAATTTTATAAAAAAGTATTAGAAAATTTAATCGAAATAGTCAAATTAATAATATTTTTATTTTTAATTAATTAATTAATTAATTTATGATGCAGTAAAACAAGATTAAATATGTAAATTATAAAATTACGGATAAGATAATAAATACATGATTGATTTAGAAAGCATTCAATTTTATCAAAAATAATTTTAAATTTTTGAAAATAAATGTAAAAATAGCTGTGTTGAATAGTATTATTTAATATTTATGTTCAAGTTATTTCAACTATCAGAGAGATTTTGTAAAAAGTAAAATTTCAATTCGTTTTGAGAGCTAACTAGGAGCAAAATCAGTATTAAATCAGAATCATAAGGGTCAATTTGCTCCTACATAGTTAAATTTTGATATTAAAATACAAATTAAGGAGAAAAATAAATTTAAAGCAAATTTATCTAAAGGGGTTTCGTCGTCTTATATATTCATATAGTAATAAGAAAAAAAAGAAATTGGCTTTGATAATTTTATATTAGCACGCACTACTTTTTAAATTTAAAAATGAGCAAATCAAATACTCATCCAGCACCTCAAATGAGGAAACCAGTAAATATTTAATAAAATGTGGGGTCCCAAGTTAAGAAGGCCCCTTAGGGTGAACAAATCAGTTAAAAAAATGATTCAGCTAATCATGCTTAAATGCAAGAAGATGAAGAAAAAATTTATAGAGTTCTTAGTAGCTGTTACGACGATTATCTAAAGGTAATTATTTTCGTTTTAAATCACTTTACTTAAATCAAGAAATCATTTTAAAGCTGATTTATCTCTCTGATCCAAGATTGTTGTTAAGAAATTGTGAAAAATAATGATGAATTTATTATTAGATGATATAAATTTATGTACTCACTTATATAATATGACTCACTTTTATTATTTTATTACACTTAGGGTAATAAGGTTTTAATGAATAAGATCGTGAATGAAATGTCGAATAGGCACAAGGAAAAGGAACATATAAAAATGTGGTTAAGGGCATCCACTAAAAAGCTGATTGATCTATTTAAGAATAAGCAAGATGTCAACTTTTTGATAGAGGTAATATTGTACTAAATGCCTTGGTTTGAAGCAGGTAACGAATATGAGATTTAGTTGCAAGAGCAAGAGTAGAAAAAGATACTGTAGCAATAGCAAACTCATGCAAACTAGCAATAGCAGCATGGAATCGGAAGTAGTACCTCGCTTTTCAGCAATGCATCAAGTTCAAAGAGAAACATTTAGTAGTAGCATGGACAATAATTAACAATAAAAAAACCATCTCCTCACTTCGATTTGTTTTCAGAGCTTTCTAAATTTATAATGACTCTGCTGTCTTTCAGTAATGCCTTTGCACCATAGATTATTAAGTTCCTCATTTCCAATATTGTGCCTATGTATTTTATTCTTTTTCTTTATTATACTTCCTTCATACATCTTTCAATTTTTTTGCTTTTCTTCTACCTTTTTTCGTTTGTTTCTATTTTCCATATTTAATGCAAACGCTAACCTAACCTAACCATCCAAGCAATCAAGTTTTCATTAATTCATTCATTCATTCATGCATACTTCTTTAGCATATTTTCTTTTCATCTTCACATCCAATCTAGCTAAATGGTTCTCATCATCATTCATTCAGTCAATTATTCATTCATTTATTCATTCATTAGTTTAGTCTTGAGTTTCAATAATACCTTTGGAGTATTTATTAAAATTAGATTTTTCTAATATACAAACATAGAAGATATGTGTTTCAAACACCTAACTTAATCAATGTGTGTCAAACCATCGATTTGACATGAAGATTGAGTGTGTTTTGCAAAAGATGGCGGAATCAAAATTTTGAACGAACGTATGGTTTTTAAGCTCACAAAGTTTGAAAGTGGAACGGAATGAGTTTAGCAAACATCATACTGTAATAAAAAGACATATTCTTCAAAGTATCAGGAGACGTTTCAGGGTTCTTTCGGTCGGTCTCTAGATAAAAGTAATGTAGTGATAGAATTTGTAGAAATTTCATAATATTATAATACTAAAATCAACAGAATAATCTTAGTATGAACCAAATAAATAAGACTATCTATCTTGATTAAGAGGAAGTTAAATTAATGATCGTTTGTATTCCCATAATCTCAAAGTATTTATAAGTAAGTATGATGAGAATCAAGAATGACAAGAGCGATCAATCGATTTCATTGTTCTAGCTAGCTAGATTTATTTATTTATTACAAAGCTGACATTTTCTTTTTATAAAATTTTAATAAGAAAAGCAAAAATATAATTTTGTTATCTTGAACCTTGCAAAGTTTTTTTTCTAGCAAGACTTACTTAAGGCTTAATTAGCCATTTTCCGAAAATAAGCGAAATGGAATAATTATGCTTTAAGTAGCAAGATACATTTTTAGATGAATAATAGGGATTAAATGTTAAGAAAATTATATAAAAAATAGGGAAGTGAAGGAAATGGAAAAAAATAAGAAATCCGAAATAGAATTAGAAGTTGAAGGAAAGGTTTTTGAAAACCAAAAAAAGCTATTAATGTATATCAGAGACATAATGAATAAGTATATTCTTAACAGTATAAATGACGTCAAAGAATTAAACAAAGAAGATACTAATTTTTTATTAGGAGTCCTCAAATACCATCCTAATTCAAAAGAAAAAATGTAAAGATACGTCAAGCTAATTATTGGTTAAGCATAATTCGATGACAAAATCTCGAAATGCTTATACATTCAAAACAAAGAAGGTTAGAAGATAGATATTTCTTATGTAAAAAGTGTGTTTAATTTAGTTGATGAATAATTCTAAAAAATTGGATTAAAGCAAGGCTCCCCAAATTAAAAAAAGATGATGTTACAAGTTGTTGATTTGCTAGCAAAAATAATTAAAATATATCCTCTTTACTAAAATGACCTATGTCGCATTTTACAAGAATCTTATCCTCATAGAGTGCAAGGAGAATAATTCCATAAAATATATCTTACTAACATTTTATAACTCGCTATTAAATGCCCATAGCTTATGCCTAAAATACTGATAATTGCTGTTTAAAAATTGATTGAAATAGACTCAGAAATCAAGCTTGATCATGACGTAAATAACATTTATTTGATTATAATTAATTCTTCCTAAATTTGCTATATATTACTTCCATTCATTCATACATACATTCATTTTAACTTTATTGATAACTTATTTTCTACATCAATTTAAATTAAATCCTTAAAAAAATATACTGAGTAAATGGTCATTTATTGCTACGCGGAATCTTTTTTTATAAATAATTTCAGAATTTATTAGTAAAACCGCGAAACTGAAGATAAAAATTATTTAATATTAATGCTGTAAAAAACTCATCACATAAAAAATAATACACTTTTTTTAATTTCTTCACAAAAATTTCTTTAAAAATCTTAAAGTCAATTTTGTTTTACTTTCTTTATTGTTTGATATTTGAAATTAAATTAAATTTTGCAAACAATTATTAGGATAAATTTAAAAAAATTAATTTTGTAATTAAAAAAAAGCAATCCTTTTAAATGAATGGATGAAACTTAATTAAAAAATTTTAATGAAAATATTTATTTATTTCTAAATTTTGAATAAGTATACCATAATTTTTCATAAACTCCCCCATTTTTGTTGAAAAAAATTTAGAAATCCCCCACCCAAAACCCACATATTTTTTTTTAATTAGACTAGTTAATAAGCTCAATTATTAAAAAAAAAATAGATTAAATGTGAATATTATATTAAATGTTTTAAAATAAATTTTTAATTTAGTAATTTATTAAAATTAAAAATTATAAATAAAAGGCCTAAGAAAATGAGAAGAATAGTTAAATTATGGCTGAAAAACTTGATTGGCTGATGCTAATAATTTTTGAATTCATAGATTATTAATTAAAAGATAAAGTTAGTAGCGATTCTTGTTTTGGACAAAAAGAAGAATTAAAATAAAATAGCTAAGATAAAAAAGATAAATCTTAAATGGAAGACAAATTTTTTAAAATATTTTTAAATGTATTTAGTGAATAAATATTAATCACCCATTAAAGCAAATATGTTTAGTTTATAATATTTTATCTTTGCTCACTTCGTAACTCATTTTAAAACGCTTTTTTAAATCACCTTGTAAAAAATATAACTGAGAAAAATCCTTTGATTTACAAATCAACCTAAATCAATTCTATTTATTATCTTGGCAGCTACATTGCTCGTGCAAAATACATCGAAAATGAAACTATTAGAAAAATATTTGAATACCTTATTACTCATTTAAATAGATATATTCAAAAATTTGATGAGAGACAAAAAGAAGAAAACTATAATGAAGGTCTCCATAAAATTCACTTAAATTTATACCATCTTTTACAAGCAATGCTTTATATCTTATGCTATCGTTTCAAAGCAGTCTTAGAAAGCAAAGAAAATCTTTTGTAGAAATTCTACGAGATTATGGACAAGGCCTGTTCTAATTTTAATGCATTATTTTTTATTTCTCCTCATATTTAAAATGTTTTTAGTGATGTTTGCGTTAGCTACGGCGAAGATTAATTAGTAGAACTTTTTGAAAAAACTAGCTAAACAAGTTAAGCAACAGAATCAATATCAGCTGCTCTGCAACAAAGAGCTTAGCTCTTAGATAACTACTTTCCATTTGATCCCTATTGCTTACAATATAGTGATAAGTTTATTTGCGAAATATATTAAAATTGGTAAGACACAAATTCTTTATCATCTCAATCTTTTGTTGAATAATAATTAGAAAAGCAACAACCTTAAACCAATAATAATAAAAAATCCAAAAAAATGTCAAAAGGTAATAATGCTAATAATGCTAGCTCTAACTTAAATATCAACAATCCTCCAATAATTTAAAATAGTCCTCACTTTAATAATAGCCTAAATAATAGTTTTATATGCAGCCAATCTCATAATAATCCTAACAATATAACAGGAACTTTATTAAATACAAGTAGAAGCAACTATGGTTTCACTATTGATAAGCTGAACAATATTAATGACTTAGAATACGACAGGGATAACATGATTTATGATGACGAAGATGTAAAAGCTAATAATAATAATCATATTTTAGATTTCATAAATGAAAGTGATCCTGAATTCTAAATATAATAAGCCAAATATCATAAAGACAAAAAATCTTTAAATGGAAAACGTAAAAACCCAAGTACGACTGATAATTCTGTGAATAACACTCCAATTACAAATAATGATGAAGACAGCAACAATTAACCTATTGTTGACTCAAAAAAAATTAGTAAAAAATCTAAAAAATCTTCTGATATTGAAGATGATTTTAACAATGCCTCTTTTGGTAATAAAAAGTTGTGCATATAAGAAATGTAATTCTGAGGAAACTTAAAATGAAATAATTTAATTGATAAGCTTCGCTACTATTAAATAAATCTTAGCTTAGATATTTCAATCTATAATAATAATAATAACTATAAAAAAATAATAAAAAAATTTACTAATAAAAAATTTAAATATTTTAATTCATTATTTGCTTTGAATTATTATCACTCGTAAATCAAGAAATAAAAAATAAATAAATAAATGAGTGAAATGTTTCTAGCGGGATTAATAATTTAGCATACATACATACTTTAAGCATTTAAGACAAATAAATAAATAATAAGTAAAAAACAAACTAATTGAATGAAAGAATAAACGAAAAAACTATAAATAAACTATACATAAATACATATTCAAAAATATTATTTAAACCCTTAATATATTATTGTTAATTAAAACTTTTCAAATTTTGTCTGTAAATCTCTTTATTTTATTCTACATAAATCACTTTAAAATAATTTAAAATTATCATAAATTAATTACTTACTATGTATCTTTTAAAATTAATTAGTAATTTTTAATATCCAGCCAACCAAATATTCTTTTGAATATTGTAAATTTTACAATATTTTAAATTTTACTTCATTTTTTGAAAATACTGTTTAATAGGGTGTTTACATTAAAAATATAGGGCTTAACATATTGATTTATAAATATTTTTGTTAGTCTCAATAACTTAACTTTATCTATCTACTTTACTTAACTTTTTGTACGCCCTAAAAAAGAAAAATTTGTTACTCTTCATTTCAAGCCATAGGGAAAAGAGTATTAAAATTTATCTATGTTAATTTTAATTTGACTTTAGCAAAAATTATAATAAAATTTTAAATAATTAAATTAAAAAAATTGAAAACTTTGTAACAAAATGGATTAAAACTAGCAATTGCTCTCTACAAATGAAAACTCAAAATTAAGTTTTGAGTAATTTATTAAAGAAAAGTATTGCTGCTGCAATATTTTTAAAATTTTTATTGGAGTTGCAAATATTATATGCGCTTTGATTGTAGGCATTTCTTTTGCCTCTATGAAATCAGCTTGTAAGGATGGAGGATCAATTGCAGGTGCTGTAATTTGTTTTTTATCTATCCCTTTAGTTGCAGGTGCTCTGTTTTACAATTAAAAGAAAAACCCTTCATGTGCTACGTCTTTTTTTATAATAGCAGGTGTAGGAGCTACATGTTTAATAGGTTTAGTAATATGTGTTTCTACAGTTGGCTACAATTATGATCTGAAAGTGGTTTGCAATTATCAAATATGCTAAAATAATGAAGAGCCTATTTATGGACCAGCTAGATTAGTTATAGATGTAGAAACTGATAGTTCATTCTCATGCACATCTGCATCAGAGCAAAGTATTCTAAATGAAGTCTAAAAAGTGTATTTATATGAGTGCAATAGTTGCGATAAGGATAATATTGTAATTTAAAATGCTAGAACTTATCTAATTTTATCTCTCTTCCCAACTATATTAATAGCCGTAATCACAATAAATACTTTGTCATTCACACCAGTGTTCAAAAAAATTATTAATGACAAATACTCAAAATATTTATAGAGCTAAAATAATCCATTAAGTTAATGATTTACACAATAAATACACTTAATTAAAAGCAAAGAGTTTGTATTTTTAGAAGTATGAATTTTTTAATATTTTGTGTTATTTTTGTTTTATACTTATTATATTGTGACCTAGTTATTAATTTAGTAATTTTTAAAATTTTTTTGTAGAAGGAGGTTATATATAATATTGAAGAAAATAAATTTAATTATGAGAAGATATATTTTTTATATCAAATTCAATCTGGAATTTTATTAATTTAATAAAACTGATTAATCTTAGTTAATTAATCTAAATTATTGTAAAATAATATATTTATAAATTTATTTATTATTATTTTTTTAATATTTTTATGTTATTTATATTTTACTAAAATGATTTCTACCTAATTAATTAAATCTGATAAACAAAATAATTTTTTTAAATATTTCTTTAAAATAAGCAATTTATTAATCAATCAAAAAATAATTTTGGATAAATTTAAGTTTGAGTAAAATAATATTTTTTAGAATTATTTACTTAATTTAAATTAAAGTTGATTAATTTTTGAATATATTTATATTTTTGACCTTTTATATTTAAAAAGCACCTATCAATTCATAAAATTATTTTCAAAAAACTTTATTAAAAAATTAATCAATTAATTATTTTTGCAAAAAAGTATTTATTTTTTATTTTTTACCTTATTAATTTTTGAATATATTTTATATAATTTGTCATTTATTTTTATAATAACACCTAATTAACTCAATCAAAATGATAAAAAAAATAATTTTCTAATGTGATTATTAAAAAATCTATTAATTATATTGTAAAATAATATATTTTTGATAATACTTACCTTACTAATTAATATTGAAAATATTTATTATTATTTGCCTTTTATTTTTATAATAACACCAAATTAATTAAATTTTATAAAATAGATTATGAATAAAAATAAATTAATCAATTAATGAATTGTCTAAAATTAATTTACATTTTTGTAAAATAATTTTAAAATTTTTATGCAAAAGTAAACTAATTTTATTATATATATTATATATTTTTTTATAACACCATATTAATTGACTTTTTAAGAAATAATTTACAAAAATATGTAAACTAAGTAAAAAATAGTTTAATTTTTAAAATAATTAATCAATTAAAAGTAAGAATTAATCATTGTTAAAATGAAATAACTGTAAAAATATAAATGCATATCAATTATAATTATTTAAATTATGATTTAATTTATCTATAAAAAAATTAGAAGCCATTCAGCAAATAATCTAATGCAACTTTAATTTTTATTTTAATTCCCTTGTACTTCCTCATTCAACCAGATTAATTTTTCTCTGTTTGATTCTATTACAAATAAAACAATAGATAGTTTTTTCTATTCTTAATTTATAATTTTTTTTTTACCCATCAAATAAATATTTTGTTTTGATTTTTACTTAAAAAAGTGGGATAAATAAGGAGATCTATATTGATTGTTACATTAGTAGTAGCTTTAATTTTGTTATAGATTAAAGTGCTATTTGATTTTGGATTTAAGAGAGTTTTGTACTTTTGTTTTCTAAAAACTCACCTGCAATTTTTTTATATAATATAATTTGTTTTGTTTTGTTTGTTTGTTTATTTGTAAACTACTCATCAACTGACTGAGTAGATATTATTATATAATTTATTGCAACCATCAAATATTAAGACCTACAGCCTCAGAAGGCTCTTAAGGTTCATATTCATCTACTTCTTCTTCTCTTTATTATTCTGATTAGTCAACTATATCTTCGTTTCCTTTTTCCTAACCTAAAGGCCGCTAAAGCTCGGTGCTCTTTTTCCCTTTTTTGTGCGTCTAATCTTATTTTTTTGCTAAACCTAGTTCTTTTTCATACATTTTGAGCTGATTAACAAAACCTTTATTAGGTTGCACAACATTACGGATTCTCTTTATGTGACTATAAGAACGATCATAGTTCCATTTTAAACACTTCATCAAGAAAGCTATAACTATTGTTGCGCTTCTTGAAGCGCCTTAATGACAGTGAACAAGCACATTTTATTTTTATTCTAAAATCTTTTCTTTTAAAAATAGTGTTGCTTGCTTAAAGAATTATTTAATATCTGCTGTAGGCGTGTCATAGATTTCAAATTTAATGTGATCGTCAACAATACTTCTATTTAAGCCAGGAGGTGTCAACTTAGCACCAACAGTCATTAAATATCTGATTTTATGCTCTCTGAGTAGATCATAGTCTTTAGCCCACTCTAAGTTAGACAAGTACAAACCTCCTCTTTCATGATTAGGTTCTAAAATGCAGTGTCCAGATTTTCCTAGATACATTATTTTTAATTTAAAACAAACTTTTTAATAAAGCAAATAAGAAGTTTTGTATGTTTGTTTGATGATTAATTAATTGTATTTTTTCTTTTAATAATTAATCAATTATTAAAACAAAAATGTGCACCTCATTTAAAACTATAATTTCAAATATGCTTTTTCTTTAATGAAAAAATAATCAATAGAAATAGATTGATAAAAGTTCTTTTTCGAAAGTAATTATAAAGAACTTTAATGAATAGTAAAATTCTTTTTTAAAGAGAGAAAAGTCTTATTTTTTTCAAGCTTAAAATATATTTATATTAGAAATCGATTGCTAGTTGAAAATGAGTATGAAATGTACATTTATATCTGTATTCTAATAATAAATTAAATCAATAACGTACTTATTTTTTATATTTTTGCAATCTTTTTTAAGATGAGTTTATGAAATTCTTTAATTAACTTATATTTATATGTATGTATGTATGTAATTCACACAAAATATAAAAGCTAAGGCAATAATATATTATTTTATTTAAAAATTTTAATTTATAATGATCTTGTAAGCAGGGTTTATCTGTACCATAACAAAATAGAGAAAGTTCATCACTTTTCTATGATATCTTAATATATTATTTGTAATTAAAAATTAAAATGTATTAAAAGAAATTTTTCATTGATTAAACATTTTGACAGGGTCTATCTGCACCTTAAGTGAGCAGAGGAAGTTCACAACTTCTCTTTGATTATCAAATTGTTAGTATACTTATGATTGTCTAATTAATTATATATTATTATTGTAAGGAAATTCTAATTAATAGTTAAATTTAAGAAATGATAAATATCTTTTAATTTTGTAAAGGAGAAAAATTGAAATTATTATATTTTTAATTAAGAAAGGGAAATTTCAATATTCATCAGTATAAACATTATTATTGTATACGAGAATATCGCTTAGGTAATTAAATAGAGCTATTTTTATTAAATTATATTTAATTAAATATAAAATTTAGAAAAGATATTAATTAAATAATAAAAAAATTGAAATCAATAAAAAAAAAATACAAATTCTAATAATGGTAGCAAAAAACAGCTTTATTGGACTTTTTATTTTTTTAAGCTTAATTGTAAGTACACAGGCCTCACTTTCAATCCCTTTATATTATAAAAATATTTCAATTAAATATAGTATGGGAAAATGTGCCGCTTTTTTATCTGTCTTAATAGATTCTTCTCATTCTCTCTGTAATAATAACATTTATCTAAACGGTTAAACATAATAATGTGGAGTTGTATAATTACCTGGTTCCTAAAATTCAGTTGCTAACCTTCAATTTAACAATTTTGAAGCCACAGTCGTTTTTTCAACTAAATATTTATCTACATCTAGCGATAGCGAGAATTTATGCTTTGGAAATGCTCAATAAGAACAATTATCATTTGTGAAGTAGCTACAATAATAAAGATTGATTTCTTAATAAAGAGTCTACATTACTTTATTCGATAGATACCTTTAATAAGACCCTCCATCTAGCATTATTGGATACATTAACTTAGAAGAACCAAATCCAGACTATATCAAATAAGGTTCTAGCTTTGTAAAGATATTAACTTCTGACAGTCCATTTTTATTTCAATTAAATGGATAAATTACATTTTTTGATTAATTAATTAGCGTCGCAAGCAATAAAATCTAATTAAAATTCCCTAATTAGGTAGATAATTAATTTGACTAAGCTACATGTGACTAGGTATTTAAAATTTTATAATAAAACAATTTTAATGTTATAAAAGATAGTGGTAAGTACTATTTGCTTTATATTTAAGGCTTAGGACCTATTAAAATTGCATTGTAAACTGAAAATAATAATCCTTACATATTATCTATAGACCCTTCTTAATATATTGAAGAAATTATAAAAGGATATTATAGGTTGAGGATCTAATGTGGCAATTCTTTTTGGCTCTCTTAGAGTGTTTTAACTTCATACTATGTTGGATGGGATCTAGAAACTCAAAGTACCTATATTGCAGAAAGAGTTGAAGGTTTAAATCCTTAATATGCAGCTTAAGATGCTTAAAGTTCTTCTAATTTGAGAAGTTTAAATATTTGAAATAGAAAATAATTATATAAATTTTACAAGGACCCTGTTTTTTCTTATTGTTAAAATCAATATACTGTATTTCCTCAACAACTAATACCAATCGCATCCCTTATTTTTTACCATTTTATTTGGTAATAAATAGAAATATAATATTGTTAAAATTAAAATTTTTTTATTATTAATTGTTGTGAATTTATAAGGTGTATAATCTGTTATGAAGAGTAAAGAATATAAAATTTAGAAAGAATATTATAAACTGTCATCAAATAGAAGAATTTTAAATTTATTTGTATATTTGATAAAATTTAATAAAAAACTATCAATAGCATTCACTAGTAATGTTATAATAATTTATAATGAACAAATCCTTATTTAATTAGAAGTATTAAATAAATAAAAAATAAATAAATTTTGTTTCAACTTGTTAAAAACAAAAATGTTTAGAATTAAAAAGATGTTAGTATCAATCAAAATATTTTAAAAATAAAAGATAAAAACTAATTTGTAAAAATAACTTATTCTTATTTTAATCTAAAATGAGTTTTAATATAAAACTTTAAGGAGATACCAAATATATAAATTAAATAAACTAAAATATTATTAACTAATTAAATTCAAAGGCAAATTAATTATTTTTCATAAATAAATTTAATAAATGATTAATTTAAATCAAAAAGTAGAAATTTTTTTATTTATTTATTCATTAAATTTATGTCAGTATTCACTTATGAAAAATATTTTTAATTTTCATTCTTAATTAATTAATTTTTTACTAATAATGATGACTTTTAGATAATTAACAAAATATTGATAAATAAAAAAGTTAAAACATACATAAAAAATGCATTTTATAGGATGATTAGAAAAAATTTATTAATCAATATGAAATTCATATAATATTAGCTTGTGAGAGCACTCTAATTCCCTTAATATAATTAAATATTCTTTTGTTTGTTTTTATAGAGAAAATAAAAAAATTGATGAAAAAATCTTAAATATTCTAATTAAGATAATTTAAATTATTCATTGATAAATTGATAATAGCGCTTATTTATATTAAATACATTATTAATTAAATTAATTTGCAAAGATTTCACAACAAATTATGTTTTTCCTTAAGAATTTCGAAGGTCTTATCCTTCAAGATAAGTATCTATTTAACAAGTAAATAGGTAGAGGAAATTAAGGGGCAATATACTTGGCAACTGTGCTAAATTAGAAACCAGTCATTTAGGGGGAAGAGTAAGCTTAAGTAGCTATAAAAGTAGTCTAGCATTAAGCCCTTAAAGCTAAAGAAAAAGAACTACTTTAAAATGAAATTTAAGCTCTTAAAGAAATAGACTCCAACTATGTTGTCAAGTGCATAGAATGCTTAAATGATCAAGAAAACACTTATATAGTGTTAGAATACTGTTAATATGGCTCTTTAGAAGAATATTTGAGAAAGAATTCCTTTAAATTTATCTCTGAAAGGTTTTTAAAGGATTACTTTAAATAAATATTGTTTGGACTTCAAGAGTTACATTCTAAAAGAATTCTTCATCGCGATATTAAGTTGAGCAATATTTTAGTAAAAAATGCAAAAGAATTTAAGATAGCCGATTTAGGATTTTGTAAAAAACTTGCAGAAGATCAAAACATATGTCAGACTGTATTAGGTATTTATTTATTTATTTTGGCTATTTATAATTGATAAGATATTCATAAAAATAATTTTATTTTTAAAGGAACAAAAATGTATATGGCTCCTGAGCTCTTAAAAATGGAGAAATATGGGATAGAAGCTGAATTATTTAGCGTGGGTGTCCTATTCTACTTGTTAAGCTAAGGAAGGTTTCCCTTCGAAGCAAATAGCCCACCTTAGCTTTTAAAGGCTATTGAGAATTAATAATTAAAATTCGATGACATATCTAATGAGCTATAGGATTTACTTAGAAAAATGCTTAAGTATGAACCAAAAGAAAGAATTTAATTCAAAGACATATTTAATTAACCCTTTTTCTAAGAAGAAGATGATGTCCTATTTATGAACTCCTCTCATTGTGAAAGCGAAGACATAAAATTAAAAGTGGAAAATCATATTAAGGTTTATACTTAAATTGAAAATTAAATAAAACCTATTCCTCTTGATGAAGAGAGTGAGGTCGCAGAGCAAATTAAATAAGTTAATAAACCTAATGAATAACCACGTGAATTTGGTTTAGTACCTCTCAGTTTCTAACCTCCTGAGATAAATAACATTTAGAATCCTATGAATTAGTAACCCAACAATAATTAATTTAGAGCTTTCTCTAACTAAGGCAATCCTCTCCAGGATGATCAAAATAAACAGGTGTAAAATCAAAATAAAAATTTATATCCATAGTTAAATAATGTGAATAGCTAGAGTCAATAACAAAACTAAGCGAACAACTTTTTTAATTTAAATTAATAGCCTAACAACTTTGTTCCTTTTTAGAGACTGTCTCTATAATAACAATTAAATAACCCTGTAAATTAAAATAATTAGAGTGATGCAACATAGTAGTAGTAAAATCAGCAATAGTAACAGCAATTCTAGAATTAATATAGAACAGGAAATAACAACAATAATAACAATTTGGCTCCAAATTAAATTCCAAATATAGCAGGGTAAAATTAAATCTAAAATATAAATAATAATTAGATAAATATGATGAATCAAATGCCTTAGTAAAATGACATTCTAAAAAAGTCATCATAGTACTAATTCTAATAAGGAAATCAGATAAATGAGTTGTAATAAAAGAATAAATAGATTTGTGACGCTTTAATGAAAAAAGCTGAAGATATTTAGGAGAACTATCTTTATCTTTTCCTAGCTATGAGAAATTTGGCTTATTTGAGTGGAAAATGTCTTGAATTTAAAGTACCTTTCTAATCATATATAGGAGCTTCACTATTCATTCTCAAATAGAAGTGCTTTAATATGAATAAAAATCTCTAAACTTTAGTTGAATCCTAAGAATACCAACCTTTGAGAGAACTTAATCCTTAGCAATATAGGAAATTAGTAAAAAATATTGAGAATAATAAGCAAGAAATTGATGTCTTTGATTTCATAGCAGACGATGAATATAGCTAAGTTAAAAACTGTATCTATCCTATATTCTAAGAATTTATCAAAGATTATGTTAAGAATATTAATAGGATGTTTGATACTGCTTATAATAATGATTTGCGTGCTGTTCTTATTGATATGCTACTGGATGTATTAACTCCAGCCAAAGTAACCTCTAATCATACAGAATTAAATTACAATCAAAAGGACGAATTAAATAAGCTCATTAGAAACTGCTGTATTTATTTGATTATTTCTATTCACGTAGGTAAATATTTACTCGTTTTTTCCATTTGAATAATTTATCAAAATTTTATTGAATTATTTTATAAAATAACTTTTATAATAGATGATGCAAACGTTAACATTTAAGAACTTGAGCAGCAATTAAGAAGGGACAACAATAATTACAAGTAACAAATTTGTGATTAACTCAAGAGACTAATAGAATAAGTTGATGACTCTTTGTTAATTAAAGACATATAATCATAATAAGATGATTAATAATCAAGATATGATTAATATTTGAAAGAACAATATGAAAAATATAATGATGAAGTCGATGATTATGAAGATTTTGATCAAAATGATGACGAAATTACATTCCCTCTTAAGAAGCAGTTTTAAAGAAGATTGGAAGAAGCAAAAAAATAAATTAATAAATAAGGTTTAAATTGAATCATTCATATAGTAAAAACACTATTAATATTAATTACTAATATTTTGTAAATTTCTTATGCTAAAAAATTAGATTATTAATTAATTATCAATTCATTTTTGTTTTTAAAAGGATATTTATTTGGCTAAATATCTATTTTAATTTATTTTTCATAATAAAGCAAAAAAAAAAAAATTATTAATGTAAAAGAAATTTAATTAATCTATTTTTTTGATTAAAAAGATCCAGCTTAAAATATGTTTCTATGTACTTACATAATGTGTTTAAGATAAACAAAGTTTTTAAATAATAAAAATATGACTGATCCATTTTTTTGATTATGAAGATAAATTTAAAAACATTATTCTGCCAAAAAAAATTTTTTAAGAAACATGAACTTGTTATAAAATAACATAGATTTAATAGTGTTTTTATTAAAAATATTTTGTATTCACCTTTAAGAGATTTTGTTTATTTACTTCCTTCTAAATTTTATTTTGCTTAATTTTATAAAAGAAATCAAACTATAACATAAGCTCAGAAGAAAGGTATTTGCTTATTGTCTTCATTTGTAAATCTTTTGTCTTTAATTAGACCATTTTCATAATCTTTCCACCATTTTGATAATCTATTGTCAATTATTTTACGGAACCATGGAGTTGTTTTTTAACCCTATGATAATTTTAAAATATGTTTAATTAATTAATTATCTTTAATATTTATTTTTACTAAACTTTCTTTGTGTTTAAGGAATTCCTCCAAGTTCTTTAGATCAATCCATTCATATTCTTCTATTTCTTCAGGATTAGGAGATATTTCTGAAAGATTTTTTCTCATGAAGAATATGTAGTCAACTATAGTAAATATTTATTAAATATATGTTACATATGCTTTAATTATATTTAAGATATTAAATTGAGCTTATACTTATAAGGTAAAATAATCATTCAAATTGTAAAAATTAATAAAATACGTTCATATTCACCCCAAACCTTATCAGAAGCTGACTTGTAAAGTAGTTTGTCTACTAAAGTAAGATCAGTAAGCTTGTCTATTTTTATGTTAAACTCAAAATCTAATCTTCTCTAAGCTGCAAGTTTAGTGCCTATTCAAAAATTGTAAATTCTTAATATTCCAATATTTATTAACAAAAAAAATACCTTCATGCTAATCTCTCTCATCAAATTAATCTAAAGGATGAGAGCAGCATGTGTTAGTCCAGTGATTGGGAAAAGTTATTTTTATTTGACTTCTTTTTTAAAGCAACAATTAACTCTTATCATTAAATAAAAATATGGAAAAAGCTCTGTGAGGTTTTGCCTCTTATGAGAAAATGTATTCGTTCAAATGAGCCTTTTTTTTATCAATCTAACCCACAACATCATCCTAATAGTTAACAAGGATAAGCTTTTAAGAAAGAGTTTATTCTTATGATTGATGCATAGCTTATGAAGCAGATTTAGAGGTAGTGCTAAACATGTATTTCAACTAAGCACGTTTTATTAGAGAGTTAATCATTTTTATTATTTATTTTTTTTTTTTTGATGTAAAACTTAAAAAATTAAAAATCTAATTAAATATTATTTTTCAAAATTTAATATTAAATATCTTATTGACATACACACTTTAATAATATTATTAATTTAATTTTCTGCTTTAATAATATTATTAAAGCAATATCTTAGAATTCATCAATTTTCTACATTAAATTAAATATTTATTATATTTCATCATTTTACAAATTTTTTGAATGTTAAAATTTAGAATAATGCTAAATATTACTTAATATTATTTATTAAATGCGATTTGTTTTTGGCTTTTTATTTTGATAAATAGAATTTCTTTTTCTATTAATTGCATATTTTAATCTATAGAAGTTTATCATACATAAATAATTTACTTTATAAATGGAATAAGAAGAAGACCCTTTTGAAGCAATCAACCACATTTAGAATTAGTATTATGTACAAGGTTATTAAAAAGCTAAAAATGATAAAGAATTAGAACAAGCAGCTGAAAAAAAGTAGTATTATGATCAAGGATTTATAACAGGAAAGCAAGTAAATCAAATCTAGTTTATTACAAGTTGGTGTAATCAATAACTTTATTTTTAAAAATGATTAGTTAGGTTTGGAATTAGGATACTATTGCGGGTATATTGAAGATCTTAAATAAGTTCTGCCAATTTTAGAAGAATATAAAAAACACTAGTAAAAGTAAGAAAATTATAGCCTCCTATTTTAATTTCCGTCTCTCAATTATTTTTTTTTAATATTGTTTTAGAGTGGATAAATTGATAGAAGAAATTGAACAAATAATTTTGAGCATAGACCCAGAATAAGGAAATGTGGATTTAGATGAACTGCCAAATACAATTTTAGTCTTGAGAAATAAGTTTAAAGTAAATTGTTGAGAATAAATACAAAAATTCATTTATCCATTTATTAATTTTAAAGATATTGCTTCTTTCACTAGGATTTAAGAAACCTGACTTTAATTTTAGCGACTAACAAAATACAAATTAAGTTGTCCAAAATGATAATTTTTCATTTTGAAACAAAATGTATAAAGAGTGCTCATATTTAAATAATGAGTAGAACAACTTAAAAAAAAATAAATAAAAAGTTAAAATGTTTGAGTATCCTTTTTTATCATACATAAGTGTTGTTTAATAAATTAAAATATATTATATACTTGATTATATCAAATAAATAAAATAGATATTTATTGAGAAATAGATAGATACATCTTTATGTATATTAGTGTATTTATTAATTTATGCGAATTTTAACACTAAAATTAAGGAAAATTAGATTAAAGTTCATATTTTAAGTAGTGTTTTGAGGAGTATTTCTTAAGATTAATGCTTTAATTATTTATTTTTTTGATGAGTTTTGATTTATAATAGTAATTTGTTTAGTAATATTCTAAAATATAAGCCAACAACTCATTAAATAAAAAGCAATTAATTTCAAAACTTTAGTAAGCAAGTCTATCAGTATATCTATGAATAAATCAGGTATTGAAATAGAAAATATGGCAAATATTTTTTATAGACAAAAAAAATTAAATAGCGATATAATAGTCTCATTTTTTTATTTAAAGAAGCTTATTTTGTTGAACTATAAATTAGTTTTTTTAGTAAATTTTATTATCGTTTAGATTGTTTGAGTTAATTTATTAGGCATTACCATAAAGTAAAATATTGTTAAAATTATTAGAAGTGTTTTTATTCTACAAGTTTCCTTAATAACTGTTCATGTTAGATGTAATTATAAGAGGTTATTCTTGATTTTTTAAGGCCATTATATTCTATTAATCAATATTTTTACCTTATGGTGATATAGCTTGCAAGATTGGAGTATTATTTTAGCTAATTATTTAAGCAGTTTGATTTTAATTGCTATGATTTAATCCACCTATTGTCTAAGATTCAATATTATAGGAATAATTATTTTAATTTGTAAAATTATCAATTGAATCTGTTGTCTTATTCCTTATTTAAGTATAGCTTGGAATCATAACTTAATCAGGTTTAATTGAGTGCTTAGAAAACTAATCTGCTTTATAATTACCAGCTATACTCTCATTCATAATCATATCTTTTACGTGCTTTCTATCTATGCTCTTTTTTAATATTCTTCTTTTTGAGTAGGACATTTATACTTCTTATTAAATGATGTTCTTTCCATTTGAATAGTTAGAAATGTTATTACTATTATTATTGTTGTAATTGAAAGAAATTTATGTATTTAAAGTATTTATGTTTACATTATTATTATTGTTGTTATTATTACTATTTATATTGCTGAATATGGTGTTATTATTTATTTGATTATTTGATTATTAATTATTTTGTATGTTTATTTAAAATGGAGACACAATAATATTATTGTTATTATTATTAATATTTTAGTTAGTCAAAAAGGATGGTTAATGCAACTCTTACCTATAATTTTTTGAAGGCATAGAATTATTTTTAGTCCTTTAAATTATTTATTCGGCTGCTGTATAATCTACTTATTTTTAACTTTCTAGATTTTGTTAGTGTGAATAGTGAGGATATTTTTAAATTATGTTTGCAGCTATGTTGTTTTTTCTTCCACCCAAGTACTTTGGCTAGGTTCCGGCTTATATTACAGAATCATTTGCAATATTAGACCTAATATGAGTTTGTATAAAAAGTTTTAAAATAAGTTATATAGAATTTAAAATAATACAGTTTATTTCCATTGTTGCTTCTATTTTCTCTTTGCATCATATTTTGTAAGTCTTGCGATAAAGGTTTCAGTTAGGCTTTGTAAGGTTTTCTTGTTGAGTTTCGCAAATAGGCTGGTTTCTAAGTTTGAGAATACCAAGACTCATTTATAATTTATTCAGGAGAACTCATTCCTAAATTAACAATATTCAACTTTCTTTAGTTTTCTAAGGATTAAGGCTATTACATAGCCAAGAAAGGATTGTATTACAAAGCAGAATTTTAAATTTAGTCTAAATTAAAGTTGTTAAATTTACTATGCTTTAGCTAAATAGCATCTTCATTGAAGTTGTCCAAATTTTTCTAATTAAAGTGATTGTTCCTTGAATATTAAACTGTAGGATTCAAGTTATTATTATTTTAGTTAATTTAATTTTATTATTATGGGATTTATACTAAATTAGGATTATCTTGATATATTAAACCTTTTCCAACAATATTTCCTAGCACTGAAGCCTTGCTGATATAATTAATAAAGTAAATTTATCATAGATTTATATTTAATAAATGTTACTATTGATCTTAAAGATGAGGAGATTAATTGAGCTTATTAGATGAGTGTTATTGAGTCAATGGGTATTAAAATGATTAGTTGTGAATAAGATATTGTTTAGAAGAATCCTATGTCATCTTAGCATGAGACTCAATTTAAGTCATAGATCTTTTTTTGCCAACTATATTTGATAGAATATCTTCTTGTTAATCTTTTTCATTTGAAAGTTAACAATTTTCATCGTCAAAATTATTCATAATCATTTAACTTTCAACTTATTTATTAGCATCATTTCTTAGATAAACTTAACTTAAACTAGGGATAATACTAATTGGATTGTTCTCCAAAAATGTTGCTCCCTGCTTCTACCTTAATGTAGTGCCTCCAGTGTTTTAATTTTCTGTTCCTAAATTTAATATTTTTAAATAGTTCACTTAAGCAATAAAATAATTTATTTAGTAGTCTGTGAATTAAAACGATATTGATTTGCTTACCTTTGTTGGATAAATTTGGGAGAAAATTTAAAAATGATTCTTGAGTTTTATCTCTTTAATCATCAAAAACTTAGGAAAGATTTTTTTTAGTTGAGTTTGGAGCTTTTGTTTTTTATTCTGACTTAGCCTGACTTACTTGAGTAGAGTTTAACACTGAGTGTGAATCTTGGCTTACAGGTTTTTTAAATGGTGTACTTTTAGTATTTTTTGGATCACCATTTTTTTGAGTAGAGCTACTTGATTAAGAATTATGATTATTTTAAGCAGCAACAGCAGGATTTACTTTTTTAGGAGATACTGTTTCATTCCAAAGATTGCTTGCAGTTTTCAGTAATTTATCATAATCAGCTGGATCATCTTCTGCTGGGTATATTCTTATAAATGCTCCTTTATGTTTATTCTCATATTTTATTATCTTTTCTTAATCTACTTTGTTATTTTCTGTTTCAGCTGAAGCCTTTTGATCTTTTTTTCTGTAAGCAAACTAAGCTTAGCTTTTAATGTCTAAATATTTTTTTTTCTCCTTTGAAGAAACGTTTAGAATATTCAACGTATCAAGGATAACATTTTTTTTAATAGAAAAATCTAATGGTGAATCACAATGGAATGAAGCTGAGTGATTTACTTCTAGCAGCCAAGGCTTTAGCTCTTTATCTATCATAACATCAAATCTGTTTTGGTAAAATATTTTTCAATTAAATTGAGAAAAAACTGTTAATTTTTTACCCTAAAACTTCAAAACACATTTCATTTTAGTATTCTTTGGGCTAGCTTGATCTATAAATATGTGAAAGTTATGGTTAAACACTTATTACAGTTTTTACTATAAGTTGCCTTATCTCCATATACAATTTAGGAATATCTTTTCCCATATTATGCAATTACTTTAATAAATTAAAATATAATTAATCTAAACTAAAATTAATATTTGAGAAAATTTGTTAAATCATTTGTGTAAATTTCTTAAAATATTTATCACAATAAAAAAAATAAATTATTTTACTAAAATTAAAACAAATTTTTCAAAATGAAAAGTAAAATTAAAAGCCTAAAAAATAAATTTTAATTTCAATCAAACTTTAATTTAAAAATAATTAAATTCATTGAATTAATTTCTTTTGTAAATCAAAAGTAATTAAAAATAATCATTTAAATATGTGAAAAAAATGAAATTAATTAATTATCTGATAAAGGAAATTTCTTATTTCTAAAATTACCTTGAGGACAGATGAAAAGCTTCTTTTGTGGCCTACATCATCATTTTAATCATTTTCGTTGAATATAAAATTTGGGTTTTTTTTATTGACTGCATAATTAGTAAGATGCATAGTAAAATTTTGGCAATTTTTTTTGTTAGGCTTTTAATACTTTACTGTAGCAAATCTTGCTAAGCCTTCAGGATACATAAATATTTTAAGTGGATTTATGTTCTTAATTAAGACATAAATACGAAAGTCAAATTTAAGGCCATCTATGAGAAATGGGTTTTTTATATACTCCTATATCACACAATGATCATTATATGAAAAATTCTCTACTTTTTTGGTTAAATAAATTCCTCTACCCTTTTATTTAATTTTAAAAAGAAATATTTTATTAAAATATGTCGATTCTTTTGTAATTACTTAGCAGGAGCTTTCAGGTTTCACTATATAGTAAGGTTTCTTAGTTTTAATATTCTCATTATACCTAATATTTATTTATATAATTTGTTTATTTCAAGAGTATTCTTAAATAAATTTAATATAAAAAGTTTCTGGATACATAAATTAATTAATTTATTTATTTATTTGTGTCTGTTTGTTTGTTTGTTTTCCCTGCTTAATAATTAAATAGCTTCTGGGTATTTGTGGCTAATAAAAAAGATATAGCTGTAGTTGGGAGATTTAATATTTTGTAAAAGTTGAATATCAAAGTCACTTTTTAGATTCGGCTAATAAGTTTTAGTGTCAAATAATACAGTTTATGTTTATTGGAGCACGCACTTACTTATTTGGAATTTTTCATGGATGAATAGCTAATAAATTAGAATATTTTTTATGTATCTAAGAAACTATTTATTTTGCCATGTTAAAGTAAATAGAATAATTAAAAAAACCTTTTGAAATCCTCAAACTATAGAGGCAAAGTCCATGTTTTAGGAAAGAATGAATATTCGTTTTCTAATACCTTTCTCATTCTTGTGAGATTCGCAGCAAGGTAATTCTTTTTACCCAAATTATGACTCCCTGGAAAGTGGTTTATTTTTTGATAAGGCAACATTCTTCTTAGCACTTCCTCTGAAATGTAAGTATCATACCAACATATGTTCCATTCTTCTCTGTTTTAAGGAGGACTAGTTATTGTAGTCCACCCCATAGTAACACTTCCTTAATTCTTAATAACCTTATAAATAGTATCAGTAACATCAAAAACTATTTTTTTGTTCTTTTTGATATTTCTGGTCATTTTAACTACCTCTGATAAACACATAAAGGGATATTATTTATCATCTTATTCCTCTTCAAGATTTATTTCTATTTCAGCTTGCTCTTAATTACCTTCTTCAATTTTTGGGTTATAAATATTTTCATAATCAATCCCTTCTCTCCCTTAATCTATATTTACAATCTTCTAATTAAATTGCTAGTTTTATTCTTCTTTTTACATTTATTCATCATCTTAAATTAGCTGTTACTTATCTTAATTGATTTTATATAATTTATTATATAAGTATCATAGTGATTTCTAATTGTTGAAATAAAAACCAATAAATTTTATACCATTTAAATTTTGAAGACTCATAATCTTGTTTTGTTATATCAAAATATATTTTGATAGAATTAGATTATTGAATACAATTACAATATTATAATCAATGAAAGATCTTCTTAGAAACTCTTAGATATATCAATAGTCCTAATAATTAACACTATGATTTTGCCTTACAATTTATTGGAAGTCTAGCTTTGAATCTATTTAGACTTGCCTAATAAATAAAAAATAGAATTAATTGTAACAATCACTTATTAGTTCAGATTTATACTAAATATTTATTAATTTATTAATCAAATCAAATCAACTTTGAAAATTGTTATCAAAGTTAATTAGATATAATTTAAGAAGAATGGTAGGTATATAAATTATTTTTATGAATTAGGATTAAATACAATTTTTATTTAGTCAGTGGCTATAATTATTCATAATTACATTTTAAACAGCTTTAAAAATGCCAGAATAACCATAACCTTTTATCGATTAGATAGAATCTAAATTATAAAAATGCTAAATTTAGATTAATTGACAACATACATTTTCACTTCTCCAATGCTTAACTAAAACAACAATTAAGTTTGATAATAAAAGTTATATGAACCACAAATTAAAAATATAAAGTGTAAAAATATTAATTTTCTCATCAATAATCTAAAAGTCTATAAATTATTATTAAGAAATAAATATTATTTATTATAAATGTATAAAATTTATGAGTTAAAAAATAAATACTTTATACTGATCAATAATTAATCATGATCCTTATATTATTTGAGCTACTAATACATTATTTTTTATTAAAATTAAAATGCTATTTATTTTTTATCATCTAGTCAGTATATTTATTAAATGACTTTAAAATTTTGAGGTAATAGAAAATATTTTAATTATTAATTATTAAACAAGTATAAAAAAACTATATGCTGTCATTAATTAAATTCTATAATACATTTTAATATATTATTTATTGATAATTTTTATTAACAGTCAATGCTGGCCTTTATTATGTAACCAGTATTTATCAAATTAAATTTTTTTTAATTTAAAAATGACAGAGTTTAAATTTAAATAAACAAAAAAAAGCTTTTTGATAACTGATTTAAAATTAAATGAAAAAGGTACTTAAGGTACATCATTTTTAATATATAATTTCTTGTATTCAAAATAAAATTTTTGCATGGTTTTTCATATTTTTCTAGAAATTTTTAAAGTTAATGAAATTATTTTAAGTAAATTCTGGATAAAATTATTGTAAAAAAATATTTAGTTTATACAAAATTATATACAATAATATATAATTTTTAATGTATCTATATATATTTTCTTTCTATTATATTTAAAAATATTCAAAGGGAAATTTATATTGAAGATATTTTTTTATTTTATTAACGAAAATAATTATTATTATAAATATTATTTATTTGCCTATTTAATAATTCAATTTTTTTATTCAGCTGGATATTATAAAAAAATCACTTTGGATTATAAAATAACTATCTATGAATAAACAGCTTTTTTGAAGTTGGATCATAAACTGAGCTAGATTATTGAGGTTTTTAAGATAATAAATTTTGTGTTGAATTATAGTTATTAATCTTAATTTTAGTATTTTAAATTTTATTATCATCACTTTCAAATATCAGTTTGTTCATTACTTCAAATGCACTAGTTTAATTTTTTTACCTTTTTAATTAATTTTCGATAATTTTTTTATGATTTAAAAGCTCTTCCTCATCTTGTTTTGATGCTATTATTTAAAAATAAACTATTAAAATACAAGTTAGTATAATAAACTTACTTTATGGTCTTGAGCTAACTCTTGAAGTATTTGGTATTTTTGATTTAGCTAAAAGTTATTTTAATTAATTTTGATTATTTTTTTCTTAAAATCCTGTCGTTAAAGATTAGAATTTATAAGAACTAGCTGCTGTTTAAGGTCTCAACGTAAGAAAATTTTGAGATGAATTCATAGCAAATGAAGATTTCTTTATTCTTCTATGCTATTGTTTGGGATTATTTTAAATCGTTTGTGTACTTGCTTATTTTTCATTAATTTTTTAAGAAGAATTTGATGTAAATATTTAAATTTTTTAAGATTCTTGCAATTAACTTTGGTTTTTAGTATTTTCTTATTACTTTTATGCTAAAAGTTCCTATTTTTATTTTTACTTTTTAGATTAAATGAAATTTAAATCATATTCTTCAAAGTGAGGTTTTGGTGAATCAGAATTTGATTCTTATTTCAAATTATTTAAAGCTAATTTTATTTATTCTTACAAATATTTTTTTGATTCATCTTCTTCCTTTAATATTTTAATATAATCTATTGTTCTTTGAAGTCTTGGACTGTTCACTTTATATTTTCCTTTCTTTAGAAAGAGGTTTAAAATAAAATCGTTATTTTATTTTTGAATCTCTTAGTTCAATTAGCTTGTAATTTGTTGTCCCTTCATTGACAAAGTCTCCATCATGTCTTTTTCTAAAATGCTCATTTAAGCTGATAAATTATTATCTAAAACCTAAAGTTTTATATATTAATTAAATTTAGAAATCAAAGTAAAAAGACATTAAATATTTGTAAATTTTAACTCATTTATCTGTAAAATTATTTTCAAATGTAAAGTTCAAAAATAATTTAATAAAATTTTAAAAAATAAAATAAAATTCTCAAAAATTAATTAATAAATTTTAATTAATTTAAAACATTAATTTTACAAAAATTTTTTCCTATTTAAAATTAAAATTTAAAAAATTAATTGTAAAATAATTTAAAATGTTAATAAAATAAATCACTTCATCGAATTAAATTTCTTAATATCTCAATCTTTCTTATTCTTCTTTGGAAAATTTTGAATACTCATCTTCAAACAAGCTAAACTGATCAGATGAAATACTACTTTTTTTTGCTTTTTAATCTTAGTTTTAGCTTTTATTTTGATTTTGATTTCTGGGACTTGAAAAATTATTTTTTGTTAAATTAATAGACTAGCTTTTCCACAGTTTCTATTTGTTTTTTTCTTTATCAATGTGATAGTCTAAGCTTACTCTTTTAGTTTTTTGCAGACGAGTCTGTTCTTTGTTTTCTTCCAAAAACTTTCTTAGATATAAAATTTTTTTTTGTTCCTCTTCTTCTCCCATAGACATTGTATGAAAAAAATTTTATCTTTTTTGAGTTGCTGAAAAACCCCTTAGTAGTGTAGATTTATTTTTGATAAAATCTTTTTACTTTTTAATTAACTCTTTTTCTTCAAGAGAATTTTCTATTTTAGATCCTTGATGCTGCAATTTTGTATTCCTTTATGTTTATTATCCTTCAAAAGAAGCTTATTTGCTCATTTTTGGTGTAGTCTATGAAGAAGTTGGTCTGCTAAGCTAATTCAAACTTTAATCAAACAAGTTTTCTTCAATTTTATTTGGTTGATTCGTATCAAAATAAGGTATCTTTGAATCTGAACTTCTTTAAGATTATGGATAAAATTTTGAATGATTGGAACTCGTTTATAAAAGTTAATTTAATTCCTCAGTAAAATTACTTTTTCTGTTTTGATGAATAAAAAAATTAGTAGGTGAATTTGTTACACTTAGAGAAAATTTTTTTAATTATGTGCTCTAAGCCAAGCTATTATTCGGAGAATTACTATTTTCTAAAGCTTTAGTTTGCTTATTTTAATTACTGTTATTTATATTTTAAATATTTTTTATGTTTGTAGATTCTGAAGATTTAATTTAGCCACTTTTAATTCTCATGCTAAATATTTCAGATCTTTTTTAATCAATTAAAGATGTCATCGGTCTTAGTTTTTATCTTTTAATAAAATAATAATAAATATTTTTGAAAAAAAGATTGAATTATTTATTTTAGAAAATGATAATTTTAATTTATTCTTTAATACTGTAAACATTACAATTATAATTTATTTATATTTATTTATTCATAAAATATGCTCCCATATTTTTATTTTATAAAAGTTAAAGTAGAAAACTTTCTAAATTTTTAGATAATTAATAATAGTGCAGTGTAGTTTATAGTATTTATGAAATATAATATAATACATGTTGTCGGAAATTTTAGAAGTATAAGATGTCTAAAATGTATCCTTTAAAGTGACTTCTTACTAACGAAGTAACCAGGCAATAGGAAATTATTTGGTAAACTTTTATTTAATTACTTCTTTATCTATTTAATTATCTTATTTTGGAGTCTTAAGTTTAGTATTAACAACTAAAATATTTTCGTTTGTCTTTGAATTTTTATTTTTTGATAAATTTAAAGAGCTTTTAGGAGAAAGAAATTTTTCTTCCAGCACAAATTATTTATCAGGAGTATCTATAATTTTTTTGATCTTAGGCTTTACTTTATAACTTTTTTAATCTAATTATTCTTTCTCTTTGACCTATTTTAAATGCATCTATGTTAAACTATGATATCTATCAGACCTCCATTTTAGTTTTTAACTTGCTTACTGTAAGAATATTTTCTTAGAGTTAGGATCCCAAAGCTAATCTAAAAATTTTTATGCATTAATTTTTATTAGCTTAAATTTTTGGCTTTTTACTTTAGCAGAAAAGCATCTGGTTGATTCATATTAAATAACAGCTTCTTCTCCAAATATTTCTCCTTCTTTCAAGCATGCAATTTCAATATTTTTCTATAAATTCTTGGGTCTACTTTCTTCTAAATTTTCTACTTAAGGTATTTAAAAATTAACTTCCTTTTGAATACTGATTTCACCTCTCTTAATAATATAAATATTTTGGCTTTTATCACCTTCTTTAAAAACATATTCTCCCTTAGCAAATTTATCTTCGTAAAAATTTTAACTTAACTATTTTATATCATGATACTACCATCCTTCTAAAAATTTGAATTCACTCAAGAAATCAGTAATTTTTTCTATTTATTATCTCTAATTTATTAGCAAATATAAAATTTTATGTAATAAAATATTTAAAATTTAATGAATTCTTTAAATAAATACTTTTTCATTGCCTATTATATTCAAGTAATCAGCTTTAGACAAATAGATTAAATGACAATCTTCCTTAGCTTAAACATAGGCTGTCCTTTTGTGAAATTTGCTTAAAATAGACTTTTCTCCAAAAGTTTCGCCTTTAGACAGAAGTTTAATTATTTTAAGATTTGGTATAGAACTTTTAAATAAAGAATGGATTAGTGATTCTCTTCTAAAAGAAGCATCAGCTAATGGAATTTTAAGGATAGAATTTCGTTAGCTTAAAACTGATTTTCTACTAGATAGCTAAGGAGAATTTATAATAGAGTTTTTCTTTGAAGATTGGTTTTTAACAATTTTATCTTCTCTATCTGAAGATATATTTTATTTACTGTCACTATGATTACTACCATCATTGTCATTCCTATTACATAAAAAATAATCTCCTATATTAGGTTATTAATATGCTAATTAACATTTTTTCAAGCTCTAGAAAAGAGTTGTATTAAAATAAATGCATAAAAAATTATAAAATATTTAATTAAAATATTTGAAAATTATTTTTCATGTTTTTTTTTTTTGCACAAATATCTTTTAAATTATTTAATTTTACCATGTTTAAAAAGCTTATCTAAAGTTAGAGAAGCCAGCTCTAGATTTCTACGCCTTCCTGTTAGAGGAGGAAGGAGATTTAGCAGTATCTAGTAAATTATTCATAAGATTTTTTGAAGTAATTTAAGCTAACTTTTATGAAGGAGTAAGAGAATCATCTTCATCCAAAACAAAACAAGATCCTTAAAATATAATGTAAAAGTCATTACCTATTTCATTTTTACGGATAATAAAATCATCTTTTTCAACAAATTTGTATGAAAGAGCATTTATTGCTTCTCTGTATCTTAACTCCTTACATCTCTGCTTAATTATCTAGAAGTATTCCAACTTCTCGAATTCTTGATACAAAAACATTAATTCTTAAAATGATCTTAGATTTTTTGGCTTTTAAAGTATTTTTATAACTTTTTCTTCATCGCTTATACTCTTAGTGTCTTTTGTAGAAATATGTGAGTTTTAATCATTTTGTTATTTGTTTGTTTGAGGGCTTGTCTCCTAATTTTTAGCTTTTCGTGATATACCCATCAATTCGTCCATGCAATATGATTAAACATTTGCTAAGGGTGATCTGCAATGAATTGAAAGACTTTTGTCTCTTTCTTATTATTAAATTAAAGCTCCTACTATCATGAGATTTATTTTATATTTGAAAATTATAAATTTGGTATTTTCCTCGCTGTATATATAAGCAAGCTTATATTATGGTTAAGCTAAACCTACCTCTACTTAGTAATAATTATCTATAAAAAAAATATTTAGTTCTACTAACTTTTTAATAAATTCAATATATTTATTACAAAAATAAAAAATTTTATAGACCTAATTTTAAATTTTTGGACAATAAGGATTAAAATTTTACAAATAGCCACTACTTTATTTAGTTAGGATTATTTGTTTATTTTTTTATTTGCATTAATCAATAATTTGAGTATTAAATTTTGGATTTTTATGAAATATACAAATTAGAATGTCATATACAATTACAATACATTTGATTAACTTTAAATTGAATATTTATTTAAATTAAAACATTTTTGAAACAATTTAACAATTAATTTCAGTTAAATAAAGTATTAGCATGAACACCTTTAACTTCGAAATTTAATCTTTAATTAAAAATTTATTTATACAACTCAGCATATGTTGGTTTCAATTTAATCTATTATATTATATTTTAGTTATTACTATTTGTTTTTAAAGGACTTTGATTAATAGGACGATTTTATTGATTGTTAGTTGATTCTGAGGTCTTCATTTGCTTTTAAGATTCACTTTTGTAGAGTTTGTTGACTGTTTGCTTGTTTATCTTCAGTACTTTTTTACCTGAGCTATTATTAATATTTTAAGGTTATGTCTGAACTTTTTCAGGACTTTATACTCTAGTAAGAGTTTAAGCCCTCATAATTTAAGTAGATGTTTTGTTTAGTTAAGCAATTTAGGAATTTTTATTGCCAAACTTTGAAGTTAATTTAGATGCAGATATATTTTTATTTAGGTTTGATTCGATTATGGCATGGATTGAATCAAATGATAATCTCTTTTAATTGCCTAAGTTTTTTATTTACTATGCTGAATAATTTTAAGATGTATTTGGTCTCTATTTTTTTTATGGTGATTCATTATCCTCTTCTTCTTCACTTGTGTCTTATATTTTATAATGAGCAGATTACCTCATAGAAAGAGTTTGTGTTATTATTCTCTTTGGTTCATATTTTTGTGTGCTCAATTATTCATTATCTAAGAATTTACTTAAATCCTGGTCATCTTTTGATGACTTTTCTTCTTTAAAATTTCTGGCAGAGCTTTCGCTTTTCAGAATTGAACTTTTAAAAGTTTCATGCTTAGATTTTATTTCTTTTAAGAGATCCTCATTATAATTTGATTACTCAGTCATAAGTTTCTTAGAAGCACTCCTTGATAAACTAATATCCTCATAGTTAGAATAAAAAGATTTAGATTTTGATGATTTAAAATTTCTGCTATTTTCTTCTTAATTAATTATAGCCTAGCTATTTTCTGCGTATCTCTACTTAATATCTTAAAAATTTTTATTTTATATTGCAATTATTTATGATTTAATCTTTTCTTTCAAAGGAGAAGATTAATCTTATTCATTATCAGATTCTGAAGATACTTTTATGGCATCTCCTTCTCTATTTTCCTCAGAGTATTAATTATTAAGCTCTGAAAGTAAATAGTTCTTACGAGAAAGCTCAGCCATTTATTTTTTAATTCTTTTTTACTCCTCTTTCCAATCAGATTGGTATTTTTTATCTTATTCTGTTTAGTATAGTTTTGAGTAAAGTTTCTCTCTATCCTCCATTTCTCTAATAAGAGTCTTTTGATCAGATTAAAGTTTATAAATTTCTTCTTTAAGATTATCACATTCTTAAATGATTTGATCGCATTAGATCTTATAGTTGTACGTGTCTTCAAGAAGTAAATCATATCTCTTTTTGAGATCTTCATATCTTTCCTCGCTTAAATCGATAAAATTATTATGCTTGATAGAGAATTATTTTACTAATTCTTCTTAATCTCTAACTAATTTTTAAATTTAATTCTCATATTATAGTTACAATTCCTTTTCTTATTACTTCCTCAAATTCTTTTCATAAGTTAGCTCGTCAGTTAAGAAATCACATTAAGTTTCAACATCTGCTTTTGACTTATTCAGTTTTTCAATTAAAATTTCTATTTTTTTCCCTAAAGCATCATTTTCTTAGCTTAGCATATTCCTTTACTGCTATGAGTGCTCTAAATCTAAATTCAAGGATTTTACTTTATTTTTTAATTCAGAAATTATTCTAATATTCTCTTTTTGTAAATCAGCTTCTTCACCACTTTTACAGTGCTTTAAAATTTCATTAATTACATGAAACTCTGAATCTTCTTACTTAATTATATTCATATCTTATTCTATCTTATTTAATTCTTCCTTGTAAAACTGAACTTATCTTAGCATTGGTTTTTTTACTTCTTCTTCATACTTTGAATGAAATATTAAAAATTCAATAAGTTAAATTTTGAAATTAAAAAATTTAATTAAAAACTTCTTAAATAGTTTATTCAAACATTAAATATAAGCAATTTATTTGTATTAAATTTAATAATTTTAACAGTCATGAAATTAAATATTTAATGATTAATTTAAAAACTATTTTTAAAATATTAAATGAATGATTAATTCAAATGTTTTAAATTAATTCTAGAAAATACAAAAATAAAGAAATTTACCTTAAAAATTAATGAATTAATTTCTCGAGTGTGTCTCTCTTTTAAAATTTTAATGTCTCCTTCGTATTTATCGACAATTTATTATATCTGAGTCTAGTATTATTCTTCTATTTTTTATATTTTTAATTCTTATTGAATGAGGAGTTTGTCTACTTTAAGAAGAGATTCTTATTGGTAATCAAAAAATTGAACTTGAACTAATTCATTTCTGGTGTTAATAATGTTTTTAATTTTATCAAATTCATTTGATAAAAAGTTGTTTTTTTCTTTGTATTTTTCTTCTATCCTGACAACTTTATTAGTTAATTCGATTCTTTATCTTGAGAGTTCATTAACTCTCCTATCTTCTTCTTCCATAATTCTCTGTTCATACCTCTTGCTTAATTCAAGTATTTCTTCCCTCTTTGATTCATCCCATTTCATTTTTTCCCTTTCTAATGAGAACTTTATCTCCTTTAACTCAGTATTCTATTTTTCAATAATTTCATCTTTATCTTTTATTAACTTATCCTTATCAATAATGATAATTCTGTATTCATCTATCTTTTCTTTTAGTCTATCTTATTCTTTTTCTTGAAATTTTAAATTCTTGTTCATTTCTTTTATTTATTCCTCAAAAACTTAGCTTCATTAATAGTTTAAAATATTTTAATTTAGATTTTAGAATAAACAATTTAAGTATGTAATTACTCATCAGATCCTTTGTTTTAAGTTATGACATTCATCTGCTTCATGATGTTTGAGTATTTTAATGCATCTTACTACCTTTACCTTTCCTATCTTTGAAATAATAAAATGAATATTTATTAATAATATGAATGATTTACTGTTAAATTTGTTTCATAAAGTCTATTTCTTTTTGTCTTAATGCCTCAGCTATTTTAATTTTCTCGTTTCTAATAACCTGAAATTCTATGTTGTGCTTGTTTTTAAGTTAAATCATTTCATCTTAATGTTGGTTTTAAAGTCGAATATATTTTTTCAATTCATTTTCTAATTTTCCATTTAAATCAAATATTTCCTTTTTATAACTCGTTTCCATCTTCATCATAGCTTACTCCTTTTACATTCTCTCTTCTCTTTTATTAATTTAATACTAAATTGCATATAATTATTGAAAATAAATATTTACTAATAGTCTCTAGCATTTTTTTGTATTAAGTTATCTAAAATTAAAAATTCATGACGAATTTTATCTGTTTCAAGTTCTTAGTTATGCTGCCTGGCTTCATATTTTTCCTTTTATTCAGCAATATTAAGATTGGCAGCTGCGTACATTTGAGAATAGTGGTGTATTTATTTTTTGAGAGTTTCAATTTCTGATTACTTTTGATCTGTGAGTTGCTCTATTTCTCCTTGGCAGTTTATTATTATCTTTTTATTTTCAATTTCTAATTAATCACACTTACAAGAAATTTCTTCATATTTTTATTTGTATAATTTGATGTCATTCTCTAACTGCTCATAATAATCATTCCTTTTTGTGAGTTCATCTTTCAGCTGTTGTATAGTTTTACCTAGCATACTTATCTTTAAAGAGTAGTTTTTGGGAGATAGCTTTTCTGAACCTAATTCTTAAATGTGCTTCAGTAATTCCTGATTTGTCATTTCAATTTCAGGGTTTCTATATTATTTCTATTTTTCCTTCTATTCTTCTAGTTCTTAAGATTCCTTGATATTTTGTTACTACACTAATAACCTTAAATGAACAGTGCGTTTCATTATATCCATCTCAGTTTAAAGCTTTCTCTTTTGATTTTCAGAAAAGAGAAGATTTTATTCTAACTCTAATATTATCTTTTGATACTATTAAATAAAAATTAATTAGCACCATTTGAATATATTCACAGTTTATGATATCATTAAGATAAATAAATATGTTGTACTTTTTTAACTTCATATGGAGTCTTTAAATTGCTATCTAATTTGACTTACAGCTATCTATTTTCAGATTCAAGCTTTTTAACTTTGTCTTAAAGATCTAACTTATCCAAAGTCAGTTAAGAGTATTTTTCTTGATGTTCTCTAACGTAATTTTGAAGAGATATCTCATATTTCTAATGTATAATTAAACAACAATAAGAATCAATCTTTTATTGTAAATTTTAATTACTCTAGTCAATTCATCAATATGAGATTATTTGATTTATCTATTTTAGTTGACTGTTTAATTTATTTCAGTATGAAAAAAGTTTCCATGATTTGCTTATGACTCAGTTGAATATCTCACACATTAGTTATCTATCATTGGAAGTCTACTACTTTTTAATTATTTTAATTTAGTTTCATAAATATCTAAAAATAAATTATTCTATTAAATATACGAAAGCAAAATTAATTCAATTTAATTAATTAAATATTATTTGTTTTTCATTTATTCATATATTTCTAAGCTATTTACAAAAAATCTAATAAAGGTTTCTTTGTCTTTTGCTTAAAATAAATAAAGAATGTTCATTTTTGTGGTTAATATGCAATTTTTGAGAGAATTAGCAAAGAGGTATTCCTAAAACAATGTAAAAAGAAATCAATATTATCCAATCATTTTTATTTACAATATCTCAATTCAAAAAATGGCTATATTTTTAAATTTTTATTTTAATTAAGAAAGAATTTTAAAAATTGAAAATAAAATGAAAAATTGACAAACATTTTAAAATAATTATTTCAAATTTTATAAATAGTTTTGATATTAAATTTATTACAAAAATAAGTAACTCATAAAAAACTAAATAAATTTATTTATTTTAAATAATTTATTACAATTAATATGTTTAAAATAACAAATATCGAATCTTTCTTATTTCTTTTTTAATACATGCTCAAATCTAATTTAGGATTAGCTTTTAGGTTTTCATTACTTGTTGAAGCTACTTTTAGGCATACCTGGGTAATGAGAATGGCATGATGTTCTTCTTTTGGGTGGGTTTTCTTAACTTATGCTCTGCATCAAGTTAAGATCACTTTAGTTTAAAATTAAAACAAAAATATATGAACGATTTAATAAGATAAATAAATAAAATTTACATGTTATTTTATGTAAGTATATTCTGAATGCTACTTACAATTTAGTAAACTATGTCATCATGTTCGGCGTGAATTCTTTTTTATTAAAATGCTTATTTTCTATCTATTCTTTCTTTTATTTTTGCTCTTTAGGTCCATTTATCATGCTCATCCTCATTATATATTTCATGCTTTATGTGCTCATTAATATTTTATTCTTGAAATTAAATGAAACTATCATTGGCAACTTTAGATTAAATTTTTGATCCCATTCCTTATCTAATTGCTTTAATTCTTTCTTTTTCTAATTCATCAATATTTTCATTGTTTTCATCTTCATTTTTATTATTCATTTATGTAGATTTTTTAGAATCCTTTTTAATTTTTGTAGGACTAGACTAAATTTTAATAAAAATATATTTCTAAGTATAAAAATAGCTTAAATTGATGTTTACTTCTTCGTCTTCTATTTATTCCTTGATTTCTTCATTGTTTTCATTCTAATTAAGTTCTTAAATTTGCACTTTTTTGTCATCTTAATTTATATTACTGGAGCTTTTTTTTAGCTCTTACTGTAGCTATGAAGAGCTGACATGATCCTAACCAGCAGTTTATTTATTTTTGAAGGAAGTATTTCTTTGAGTTGTAGTTCTTTATATATTTATTAATTAATTTATTTATTTTAAATAATTAGATAAAAATATAAGTTTATAAATAATTACGTCACCCTGATTTGTGGTACATTTTATTGTCTTTTGTCTAACATAGTTTTCTTTCTACTCATTAAATCACACTCCTCTATAATATGATCTGTAGTTAAGCAATTGTAGCAATATAAACCAAATTCTTCATATCTTCTCTCTTAGATAATTCTGTTTTAGTAAATACTCCAAAGTTTCTTTTTAATAAATGTAAATTAAAAAAAATCTTAATTAAATTATTTAAATAAATAAATACATAATCTTAGTCAAAGTTTTTAATTGTATCCAAGAACTTTTATCTTCTGATAATAAAAACTCGAACTGCTGTTTTGCAGAATAAGACTTCTTTAATAAGAGTGCCAGTAACGAATGGATATAACCCAATAAAATTATTTTCCTAATTTATTTTAAAGTTTTATAAAGATTTTTAGAAAAAAATTAAAAGATTATAATGATGTTTACAGTTACTACATGTAGCTTAATACCTTAACCTTTATTGAATTAAGGTAAATCAACTTTAACTTCTATTTAACCCTTGGCAACATAAAATAAGCTAATGTCATCCTCGCTTTCTACATAGGAGGGCTTTCATAAAGTAAATAATAAATTTAAAAATGATTTAAATGATAACAAATGAATTTCACCTCATAAAGTACAGTTTGTTCCATGATATTAACTTCTTCTATTTCATAGCACAAAGCACTAATGAATTAATCAGAAAATTTGTAAGTCCAATCAAAATTTTTAAAGAAGTAGCCATTAATTTCATAAAAGAGCTCTGCTCTTAAATTAGGAGGTAACATTCCTATTATATGCTATTCTGTGTCTAAATCTCTTTCTTTGTCTTCCATCAATTGATATTCAACATAGTGAACGACTCTGTATCTTAATTCTTGATTTACATTTTTATTTCTCATATATCTTTATATAGCTGTGATTTGTTTTCTTTTATTTAATAAATTACACAAGATAAACAAAATTATAAAATGATTTTAATACAAATTTATTACTCTACTTTTTCTTTGCCTTGTGTTATGTTTGAAATAATTTCTATAACTTGGTTAATTGTGTAACCAAACTGTAGAGTAGCTCCAGCCATAATAAAGCATGCATAGATAGTTTCAATGGGATTTTTAGGAGTGACATCACCATAAGCTACAGTGGCCATAGTAGCAAAACTCCAATAGATAGAATAAAGATAGATCCATTTGATTTCTCCATTAATGTTAGCGTAAGGAATACCTTGAATCCAATTAGCACCATAAATATCTAATGTTTAAATACCTACTTGATAGAAGATACAAGCTGCTAAATTTACATTAAAATAAATAAACATTATCAATCTAAATAGCTTGTAAATTGCTAGAGTTCTTCTTCTGAGCTGTAAGAATTGTAGAGCAAATATATCAAACTCCCACATGAAAACAGCCTTTGAGTAAAAAAGTAAATAAGTCAGCCATTTGTAAGAAAAATTAAAATTAAAAGTATCTATAAGTAGACCTAGAATGCTAATGCAGTCCCAAAATAATCTTCCATTATAAATTTATCTAATATAGTTGAATTTAATAACTCTTCTGTCAGCTATTTCTTTACCTCTTATTATAATGCTAATATTGAACTTAAGGATTATTTGTAAGACAAAGCAAGAAAATATCAGTCCTTTAATTGTTTAATCTACTGCTCCTTCAGGCATGACAGTCATTTCATAAAATGACTCTACTATATAAATGATGAACACCAAATAAGTGATCACAAAGATGAAAAACTCAAATACTAAGACAAAAGGATTTCTCAAGCTGAAAATAGGAATTTTACTGTTTGGATCTAGGTGAATAAAAATTTAATTAAAATATTTCATATTAGATTATATATTAAAAAATTCACAAATATCTAAAAATCAATTTTTAATATACTTCCTATGCTTTGCTTGCGGCTAGCTTCATTGCTGCTCTTTCCTATCTTCCTAGAACCGAAAAAAGAATCTGCTTCAATATAGCTTTATTATTCTTAAATGCTATCTAATTTATTGATGTCATATTGCCTATTTATTAAAATCTAATTAGTCCATTCACTTAGCTCAAAGAAAAGAAATTAAAAATATCAAAATGAAATTATTTTATTTGAGCTATTTTAGTATGCTAAAATTCTTACTATTCAAGTAATTTCCTGTTGAGCTACGATTTTTAATCAGACATTTTACAGACTTTATATTTATTAAGGCTATTTATTCTCCAAAAAATCTATTTGGTATGAGTGCTTTTTTGCTTAATAATTTAATATAAACGCTTTTCTTTGATATTAATTTTTTTCCTTTCAAAATCTAAATTTTTAATAAATAATTAAAGTATTGTTTAGGAATTGAATTACTTCTTAGTATTTTAAAATAAAGAAAAATAAAGATTCATATCTGTTTAGTTAATAAAAAGGGAATGTAAAATTCAATTTCAAGTGGAAACTTTATTGTTAAATCCACAGAAATAATTATATTTCAAGCAAGCAATTCATAATTAGTGGTTTTTAAGCCACAAATTCAATAAATTAAAGTAAGCTTTAATAATTTCTAGAGTTTTTTTAAGGTGAGATAAATGAAAAGTAAGATACGAATATATAATTAAGATATATACATATGCATATATTTATTTTTTTTTATTGTTATAAATATAAGTTTAATTACAAATTATTATGTTTGGAATAGCAAAATTTATTATCATTTTACAATGCTAAAGTTTTAGTTTTTTGTTTTTTTTTTTGATAAAGAAAATGTAGAAAAAATTATCATACTTTCAAAGGAGATATTTTTTATTACTTTTTAGTAAATTAATTGAAAAATTAGAGGAAATGGAAAATTTTGTTTTGGAAGAAAAATGTTAAGCTTTTTGTACAGTTGAAGTGAGCATTTTTGAAATGTAAACTAATTTATCAAGGAGCATTCAGCCAACTGTCTTTTAAAATCTAATAAATTAGTAAAAGAATATTTAATCTTTAATTGATAACAAAAATTTTAGATGTTAAATAAAATTTGTATTTTTCTTACAAATTTAGTAGTCGGCCTTTCGAGTGGATTAATTTTCATGATTGTTTTTATCAGGTTTTGTGCGCCTAAGCTTACATCACTACTTATTTTATATTCATTTTTGCATATTTTCTTGAATAGCTCGTTGTCATCTTTACCTTGTTATAGTTAGGGTAAGTGTAAATTTTAGATTGTAGTTGATAAATAAATAATTAAAGTTAGGTTACAACTTTTAATAGCTTTCAAATCTAAAATTTTTCAAATAAATATCCAAAGAATAAATAAAAAATCAAAACAATTAACCAAATTTAATCAAAGAATTTCTAATATTGAAAGAAAATATCTTACCTTTAAAAGGGAAGCGACCCTAAAGTAAAACAAAAAGAAGGACTCCAAGTGCCCAAACATCAGTTGGTTTTCCATAGTAATCCTATTGCTAAACTAGTTCCGGTGACATGTAAGAAGCAGTCCCGCAAAACATATTTAGCTTTTTATCATTAGGTGCTTATATAGAAAATCCAAAATCTATTAACTTGATTTCATTTGTTTCTTCAGAAATCAAAATATTCTCCAGCTTCAAATCTCTGTGAATTACATCGTTTTGATGGCAATAATTAACAGCATTTAAAATTTATCTAAAATAAATATTAAGAAATAAATTATCAAAATAGTGATTTTAATCTGATAAATTTTAGACTCCTAAACACAAACAAAATAGGAATCTTAATTCATTCTTTCCTAAAAATAGATAATTATTATTTAATCAAAAGTTTATTTTAATTACCTAAAAATGGTCTTTGCTTCTGATTCTGGGAGACGGTGGTTCGGCTTTGATTTGAGGAAATGCCTTAAAGAAAGACTGCTTACATACTCCATAACTAAATTCACAGTAGTTCTAGTATCAACAGTCATGAGCAATTATATTATATTTTTATGCTCTAGCTTTTATAAGATGTGCATTTCGCGCTTTACATTATTTCTCTTTTGAGGATCAATCAATCGAAATTTGTCATATATCTTGATAGCAACTATTTTATCTGTTAAAACATCTTTAGCTTTACGAACAACTGCATAGCTTCCCTATCCTATCACTTAGCCTATTTCAAATCTATCTAGATTATTTAGTGTACCTTTAAATGAGCTGCTACTCCCAATAATCCCATCTATTGTTGTGCTTTGCTCTTTGCTACTTGTAATGGTTGGAGTTTTGAAGTTTTTAAATTTAGCGAAATTCATATTTTAGGTTGTAAAAGGCCTAAACAATACGTTTTGAGGATTACTGGTATCATTCATATTGCTATTTTTTGACTCATCTTTCTCTGTTATAGTCTAATTTGTCCTGCTTAGCTCTTTCTATCTTAAGCTTTTTTCTGAATTTACTCTATTTATTTCTTTATTTTTATTTATTTAAAACCTAGTATTAGGATTACTGCTACTTCGAATCATATCTTATTACTGCCCTCTTAATTTATAAACAATTCTTTCTAACTAATCCATTTAGTTTACTGTCCTTTGCAAATGCTTACTATTTAAGGCTCCACTACTAGTTAAATTAGGCTAGCTAGATGAATTTAAGACAATATTCTAATTACTATTAATATAAATACCATTTGAAAAATTGTTAGTAGTTTAATTGAATAGTGCTGCAGGATTTGCAGTATAAAATCCCTTCTAGTTGTAATTATTATTACTATTATTTAAACCTCCACTTATGTTATTCTTCATATTTTAATTTATTGGCATAGCTACGCGTTTAGGAGAATATCTTTTATCGAGACCGACTCTTAATATTTCATCATTATTTCTCTGAAATTTATTTTCATCAAATTTATCAAGTTATTATATAGATTCTGGATCATCTTATAAATAGGCAACATCTCCTAAATCTTCGAGAGTACCTGCAAAATTTAATCTATTTGCAGTTTCTACTAAATTATTTTACTTGATTTTTCTAACTCTAAATATATTTGGAACTTCTTCCTTGCTATAGTTGATATCTTAAGCAGTTTTAACATTTTAAATATTCCCCAGAGCTTTTGAGTTCTATATATTATTATTCTAAAGGTTTAATCCTACGCTAGTTTCCATACAAGTACTGCTTTCTTATTTTGGATTATTGATAATTTAATTATTCGTGTTATAAAAGAATTATTCAGTCTTTTTACTAATCATGTTTTCCTTTTATTTCAAAGTAACTCCATATGCAGTTACATTTCCATTTATATTTGAGTTATTTCCTTGATTTTCTTTAATTTTAAAATCTTCTCTCCTTTACGAATCATAAGTTCCAGCTTTACTCATGCCCATGTTATTACTATTATTATTTGAAGCTTAAGTTTAGCGTATATCTTTATTAATTCTCTACATCAAAAACTGTTAATATCTATTACCAAAATTAGTGCTAGTATTCTTTTAAAAAGTTTATTGCTGCATATATTGAATTTTATTTTCCTCTTCTTTCAGCTTTCTTTATATCTTATCCACCATTCCCTCTACCTGTCTTCTTAAATCACTTTTTTCAGATTTATAATTTCTAACAGTTTCATAATCGAGCTTATAAGCAGGGTTTATTTATGATTATAAGTTTTAATTTTTTTCTTTCCCAATTACATCTAATAAGGCATTGTATTTACTTTTTAAGGAGTTTGGATTAGACTATTTATTTTCTGAGTGCATTCTTTAATATTTTGCATCTTCAAGAGAATTATTATCTATTTCGGTTTTTACTTTTCCCACAACTATCAATTTCTATTTACTAGCACTATTATTTACTTTAAATAATTTTTAATTATAAAATTAAAAAAAATAAAATGTTATAAGTTTATTGTGATTTTAATTTAATATGGTTCGATGGTAGTCAAAAATATTAAAAGATTAATTTTTTGTTAATTAATTATTGCTTTTATTTTGAATTTAAAACATTTAAAATAATATTTCTTATAAAAAAAATAGTAAAATAAGTATTAATGAACATGTTTTTTCTATTTTTCTAACTTCTCATTAAAAAATACTTTCTAATCATAGTATTTGATTTTTTTTCTTTCAAAGCAAATATTTTTCACAATTATTGTTGAAAAAAATATAATTTAGACTTCTGCGCTAGTAAAATACATTGATTAAGAGGAATAAGTTTTTAATAAGTAAAAAATTAACTATATTAATAGATAATCTAACTAACTAACGCCTTTATCAAAATTTATCGATCAAAATAATCACATTACTTTATGTTTTGTTAAATAAAGAAGAGAGGTCTTTTTGGATCTTTTTTAAACTTTTCTATCGATCTGTTACATAATTTTCGTTTCTAGCAGTGTTAGAGTTATTGCTGTCACAATTTAAAGTGTTTATAACTGTGTTACTGCTTGGTATTCTTGAATTAGATGTGTTTTATTTATTTGATATTAATTCATTTAATCTCTCCAAAGAGCTTCCCTTTTTCAATGATTGCAGCTAGCTTTAGCCAGTTTAACTTCCTTATTAAGTTTTTTTATCTGAGTTCCATTTATAACTCATTTTCCCTGCTTATTCCTCCTCTATTAGAGGAGCATTTTAATACCTAATTGAATTAGACCTCGAAGTCATCTTGTAGTCATTCATAGTTATTTGATAGAGGATTTGCTGATCTGAGTTATCTCTAGCTCCTAATTCAAAGATAAAATGTATTATTTTAACTATCTAAACAAAGTTTTTATTGAAAAATATTTTGATTCTAGTTGTATGTATTTCATTTTCCAATAATCAATGCTAGTAAAAAGCAAAGGCTTACCTTAATGATTGTTGATTTTAGTTTAGTATCTCAAAGTTTGAATTGGAGATTCATATCTTGTAAGCATGAGTCGAATAAATAGAAAAATCAACCAACTTTTAATTTTTCAAAACTCGTCAGTGTTATGCTTACTTATTATTGCTGAATATTGTATGGCAATTTCAAATTTATTGGCAGTATCCTTACAAAAGTATGGAGAAGATACTTTGCTTTGAAAAGACTTAAGTAAAGTTGTATTACAATATAATTAAATTAGAAGTAGCTTTTATCCTTCTATTTATTTCTTCTAATAAGTAAAAATTATTACAAGTATTGATAAATATATTTAATTGTAATTATGTACTTATAATTAATATATTAAGGCAAGTAATTATGTAATACAATTATCATAATTATTTTCATTCATATTAAGTTAACCTTAAATTAATTTTGATAGCCTTATTGAATGTAATTTCTTTGATTAGTCCATAATTATCATGTATCAATTACCTGATATTCTAAATTAAATAAGTGATTTAATAATGCTCTACAAATTTTATCATTCATACATCTAAGAAATCAAATTATTTAGTTGTTAATTCTTTATCATTAGTTTAATTTATTTTATTATAAACTAATTTGATTAATTAAGAAATAAATTATTTACCAACCTTTTTTATTCTCAAAAACTAATAAATTATTTGCAACCTTTCAAATTTATTAACTAATTTTTCTTTTAGTATATCAAAATAAACAAATAAAGAGATATTACAATCCACTTACACCCTCATATATTGATTACTTTAATTGTAAATATTTCTTTAATTACTTCTTTTTCTTTGTATTTATCATATTTGCCAATTTTTTGATATTTCTAAATAAATAAAATGCAAATTTTAAAAGCTAAAAATAATTATGTTAAAATTCCCTAAAAATTAATTAATTAAATCATTAAAAAACGTAATTTTTTATTCTAAATTAGATCATTTTTCTTTTTTTCAATAATTTTAATATTAAAGTTATTTCTTTACACAAGAGAGTAAAATATAAATTTATAATAAACAAAATAAAGCAATACAATACAATACAATTCAAACTCATTAAAAAATTTATATTTATTAAATAATTATTTTATTCAATAAAACGAATCTTTTTAATAATAAATTAAAAAAATATTTATTTATAAATTTGTATCAAAATACTAAAATTATTTTTTATCTATCTTAAATTCGAAAACAATCTCACATAAAAATTTATTTTTAATCAATTTTAAGTTTTATGATTCATAAATACTTTTGTAGTTAGTATTTTAAAAGTTAATTCTAATCCTAAAAATATAATTTCTTTATGCTTTTTAAAAAGATTAAAGTGGTTAATTAAACCATCAACTTTTCTTTTTCTTTAAAGAATAAATATATACCTTTAGTTTTTTTATTAGATATAATGTTACAACATCAATAAACTAAGCATTTTGCCTAATCATTTATTATATCAATTTTTAAGCAAATTATTTTTTATCAATTTGCAAAACATATTTTTAATAAAAAACAAAATTTTGAAAGATTATGGTAGATTTATATATCAAAAATACATAAATATACTAAATAAATCTTGTTTTTTATAAACATTTTTCTTTATTACTGATTATCTTTAAAATAATAAAATAAGTAAAATTTAGAAGATTAAGAAATAAATTTTATAGGATTATTTTTTTAATTTAAAAAAAATATTATTTTGATTTAATAAGATAAATATTTATTTATTTACATATTTTTTATAATTGATACAAATAGAAATCTATTTATAAAAAATACAAAAAAAAGATAGAATTAATATTTACTCTCATATGCAAAATTTAAATTTAATATTGAAGTAATAAAGCAAATAAATCTCCAATAATTAAAAGAATTTAATATATATTTTGTTAATAATTATTTTATAATTAAATATTCATCTATTTATTTTAGTTAAAATTTTTTATAATGGGTGATCGAATTATTAGATTTTAGTAGGTAATTTATTGAAAACTCATACTAGGATAGCAATGCTTCCAAAAATAACTAAAAATGATCCTATTAAGCTAGTTAGATAAATTTATTCATTAAAAAGGAAAATATCAACAAAAAATGACATGATAACCTAAGTGTAAGATAAAGGAGTAATTATAGAGGCTTATTCTAGAGTATAAGAGCGAGACTAAAACATCTAGGCAATGAACCCACTTAGACCTATGATAGTTATCAAAATAAAATAGAATTGGTTCACTTTAAATTCATTAAACGGACTTTATAACTATGCTAAACCGCTAAATAAGGGTGTAATATAATGACTGAACATAAGAAGCTAAGCATTATTAATTTTCATTTAGAACTGCACTTTTCTTTATATAACCAATACAAAAGACATAAAAAAACTACTTAGCAAGCCTAATAAACAACCTAAAAGTTGATTTCTTCCTTCGATTTCAACAGTCTTAGAATTAAACAAAAAAGCTGGTCTTACTACTAATACAATTCCTATGAAGCTTAATAGACTATAAAATATTTGTTTTTTAGTTAATTTTTCTCCTAGATAAGGGACTGATAAAAAGCATGTGAAAAGAGGAGTTGTATTTGTAACTACGACTGCATCAGATAAAGTTAGCAGTTTATAACTCGTGAATGCTAAAAGCATGACAATTGCCCCTAGAATTCCTCTTAGTGCCATTAATTTGAGCTCTGTATAATTTTTAGGGAAAATAGGAATATTTTGGATATAGCAAAATAGGTAATTTAATATAATTCCAATGCACATTCTCCCTTAAATAATCTAAAAAGTAGAATATCCCTTTCTCATCAATCCTACACAAGTAAACATAACAATAAAGAATACATTTCCAGCAATTGCATAAAGAATTGCCATTTTCCTGCCTTTCTGCTACTCTTAGTTTAAAATCTTTTAACTTATTTAAGCAAAAGATAAAAATAAATTCTGTATCATTAGCTTTTTTTATATTGAAAAAATTTATTAAATTTAAGAAATATTTATGATTGAATTAATTATAACATTTCAGTAGTTAATTTAAAGTTTTTCACAAAAGGTCCAGGCACATGCAAAATCAACCAAATTAATTATTTGTATATTTATATTTAATGTAAACTAAAAAGGTTTAATTAAAAAAGATATCAATAAATCTAATTTGTAAATTTATCGCTTGTATAAAAATAAATAAATAAATACTTAATATAAACCATTGTTTTTTTCATAATAAATATTCTTTCAAAATAAATAGTTAAAATAGGGAATAACAATTTCAACATTAATTATTTCATATATCAAATAAATTATTTAACTAAATTTAGATTACTTAAAAATATATCATGCTATTTTTTTGCATTAAAAGTTAGTAGAATAACCATAAATCTTAAATGCATAATACGCTAAAAGTATAAAATTAAATATATTGAGTGTTGATAAATCATTTTTATTTAAATCTACAGATTAAAATTTAGAGTAAACTATTACATATTTAGATATATTGTTTCCAAGTGTCTTTCATTTTTTATCTGGCTACACATTTTTATGCTAATCAAGTATTTAGATGTGTAAATTAATTAATTTATTTTTTTGCTTTTCCATTAAATTGAATTTTGTATTTATTTTTCAAAATCAATCAAAGTCAACAAACAAAGAAATAAATTTTTACAAATATATAAAGCCTACAAAAAATGATATTATAATTCAATATTCTATTTCAATAATGTAAGAATAAAATAATAAAAAAAGTAAAAATGAATTATCTTTAATCAAATAAAATCATTATTATGTTTTAATTTAATAGAGAGAATTTTTAAAATGTAGTTTGAAAGATTAAATTAACATTTTTAGTTTTAAAAATTTATGCTTATTATTTAATTAAAATATAGACATGTTTTATAGCAAATATGTGTATTTTTAAATTTCATCATAAATAAATTAATAAATAATGAAAATATTCTTTATTATATCTTGAAATAGTTTTTGAGAATTTCATGTATTAAAATTCAATAAAAATAATAAATTAAAAATTAAAATTATTCTTTTGTAATTAGTAGAAGTTATAGTGAGGATTATTAGAGCATAAATAAAAGACATTTTTATTGTTTTTAATGGGGAAAATATGAATTATTAATTAATTACTTATGTAATTAAACATCTTAAAATATACCAAAAAGTATGCTTTTTGTTTAAAAAAAAATTAATTATTTTATTCATGCTCCACTCTCTGTAAAAATTAAATTGAAAATATTGAAAACACATCAATAATATTTTGTTTAATTTGGATATTTTGATTAAAATAAAAATTTTTCATTTATTGAGCAAATATTTTTAAAATAACAAGAGAATTAAGAATAAATAATTAAAATTTAACTGTTTTTTTGAAAAAAAATATTTATGTAAAGCATAAAAATTTTAGTAATTAAACAAATATCATCCTATGTAAAGCAAAATATAAATGATTTTGTTTTTTTGAACATTCTTCTTAAAAAATACAAATTTTAACCGTTAAAAATAATTTTATTTTTTTGACAAAAATTAAATTTATAATTAATTCAATCATTTTAATTCTAAAATTATAAAATTTATTGTATTTCATAATTTAATTGAAAGGAATTTATCATCAAAAATAAATATTAAATATTATTTTTTAATTAAATTTTGTCAGAAAATCTTCTCAAAAATATGTTTCATAAAAATTATACAAATATAATCTTTTTATTAATTATTTAGTTCATTAAAAAATTATTTAAATTTTAATATCATTAATCAAAATCTATCTTAAAATAATAAAGAATTTAAATAAAAATGTCATAAAAATAATTGCTAAAGTAACATTTTTTTAATCAAATGATAATGAATGACAATTAAAAATAAATTATACAAACTTCTATAATTTATGATTAAAATTTCAAGATTTTTCTTTTTCTAATTTTTATTAAAATTCTTGTTTGTTGTAAAATGTGGCTCCAGTGTTCATAAGGTAATCCCAAAGAGTCAAAAGTTCACTGAAGTGAATTTTAGTTTTTGAGTGATGGAGGTTATGGTGGGCCGATGTGTTGATGAATAGTTTTGGAAGAGTATTTTCTATGAAGTCAAATGTGTATCCACAGTGAAGGTAAATATTTAAAACTATAAAGAAAAGGATAACACTTCCATGAAGCCATGTGCAGAGCTTAAATTGATTGGCTATTTCGAGTTAATCAAATAATAAGGGACCAAAAGTAAGGACAGATTCAAATGGTGATACTCCAAAAGAAGCAAAGCATGAAGGATCAAAGAAAGAGTGGTGATTTCTGTGGAAATACCAGAATGTACGAGTATGTAAAAGGCGATGTTTCCAATAAGTGTGGAAGTCAACTAATAAGAAGAAAAATACCATAAACAGAGTGTTTAAAATGATAGAGTCTCCTACAAAACTCTCTTTTAAATCCATGGTATAAGCTGTCAATTCACCATTAAGATATCTTTAGACAGGCCATGCTGCCAAAAGAGAGACTACCCAATAGCAGCGAGTAGTTTCAAAAATTTCTTTTAAATATTGAGTGGGTTTTGGAGGATCTTATATACGCTTACCAAATATTTTACAGAATAATGTCACTAATCCAGCAAATGGCATAAGCACAAGGTTGAGACCTATATAGAGTTTAAAGAAAACTTCATACCATTATAAAGGATTTTTAGATATTAAGCCTAAGGCGAAACCTCCAAAGACTATAGATTGATCAATTATAAAACCTACTTTTGGTGTTATAACAAAACCCATTACTTTTGAGAAACTTTTGATAATTAAATTTTGTTTGCTAATCAAATTAAATAATATTATAAATAATATGTAAATCTAGATAATCACTTCAGAATTTAAAGAGCATCAAGCTCCAAAAACAGCTGCTTCACTGAAAAAAAAATAAAATTAAATAAAATTTTTCTCCCCAGAAACATTTAATTGATTGATTTGTTAATTTGTTTAATAATATTATTTAAAAATATTGTTTATTTTGTTTAATATTATTAATTCAAAGGAGAAAAGATTGTTTGAAAATTTTAAATTACTGTCATAAACAAATAAATGACATCACTTTGCATAAACACCCTTTAAACAACCTTAATCGAATTAAATTTTTAAATTGTTTGAGCATTTATTAATGAATTTAATTTATTGTAAATTAATGTAAATATTATGTGAAAAACTAAGGTTACATTAAAACTTCAAATAGAACTAGATCTATCAAAGAAAATTATGCAAAAATAGTTCAAATAAATACTTTTCATACTTTTAATTCTAGGCATTTTTTGCATTATTTTTGATGTAGCAATTGAATAAAAATAATTAATTTTTATAGTTTATTTTCTTCACCTTTAATAATATTATCACTATTCTTCATAGTTTTAATTTTTAATAGACTACTAAAAACCTAACTATTGTCATCAATACATTTATATATTTTAAGTTGATTTATGAGTATGAGTAGCATTATCAGCATTAATTAAAAATAATAGAAAACTTGTAACACTAATGTTGTGTGAAAGTTAAGCATTTATAAAAGAATATATATGATTATGTGCTGTGAAGATTTCATTTTTTTTAAATTTTAAGCCATTTATATAGGATATATAATACTTTTCTAAATTAAGTATAATTAGAAAAAATGAAAATAATTTAGGAATTAGATAGCTTATAGATGATAATGATTCGAATAGCTTGAATACTATGGCAGTTAAAATAGGAAAACACAATTTTCTTATATTGAGCAAATTGTATTTTAATAATTAGTGAATTTAAAAATAAAATGAGTATGAAGGTAAAATAAAAATTGAGATGAAGTAAATTACAGATTGTTAAAACTTTGTTTGTTAAAGCCACAAATTAAAAAAGATATTCGACAAAAAAAATTCCCCAGAAAATATTTAAATATTTTTTCTTTAGCTTACAGAAAAATTATCAAAAAAAATCAAATTATATCGACTAAATCTTCACAAAAAGATTACATATTTTTTTCAAAAATTTTAAAATGAAACTCAAGATATTAAAAAAATGATAATTTGCAAGTAAAACTCACTTGTAATTATAAATCACATCCTTAAATATTCGAATTGAAACGTTTGCTGCTGCTTTTTTATTGCTTTTTGTTTGATAAATAAATAAATTGCTTTAAAAATAAATATATTGCATTATAAATAATTAAATTTATTTATCAGTATTAATTAGGATTATTTTGATAGAGTTGGATTGAGTTTTATTTAAACTAGTCTTAGCTTTGATTTTCGAAAATCCTCTTTTTTACATCGTTAGCAATCGAAAAATCTTTAATTGACCGTCCTTCTGAAAACTAATTCGATTCAGTCGACCCTGATTTCTCTTTATTTGATGTATTGTTAAATTTAGAGTTGTTACTACTTGAGTGGCCGTTTATGTCTTGTATTTTCTTTTCCTAGTTTGTCCCTGTATGATATCCAGAGAGTTATTTATTTTCATCTTTGTTCGATAGCTATAACGATTTTCTCATCAAGTACTTCTCTCTCAAGCTTGGCATCACATAGTAAATGTTGTCAGGATGCGAGGTCCTTGGAATATTGGTATAAGATTGAGGTGTGACACATCCATCAGAAGTATTTGCATCGCTTGCTGACTACTGCTTTTTGTATTTAGCTTGTGTATTTTGCTTTTATTACTTTTCTTTTTATACTTTAAATTTGCTATTTCTATTGCTGCTTGAATCCTATCCGCTTTAATTCCACTTTTCTACACTCTCCAAATCTAATGAAGGCACATTAACTTTAGAACTACTTTCTTCATTCAAAGGAGGTCTTACTATATTAATAACAAAGATAAATTTTTAAATAAAAAAAACTATCAACAATGTTTATTTTTTAAAAATGAAATATAAATAAATAAATCAGTTTGTTTTTATCCAAAATAAAGAAAAATTAATACAATTTTTTTTTTATTTTGCACTCTAAGAATAATTTTTTCTGTTATCACTTGAGTTACTAGATCGCTCAGGTGCCGCCTATAAGTGATTAAACACTTTTTTCTAAGGAGGTGTCATCTATTTATTACGTTACTTATCTTAATCCTACTCATGTAAAAATTCTTGTCTGTCTCTACTTTTAAAATAAAAATTTAAATTTATTTTACTTTGAATATAAATTTTTTCTTACTCTTTTAAATATTCGATATTTTGTTGTTTTGAGTGTTTCTCTTCAATAAAATCCTGATAGTATCTATCTGATTCTTCCATTTTTTAATATTTAGGTAAGTTTTATTTATCATTATTATTCTTCTAATCCTATTATTGAGTAAATTTCTATTCACTTTATTGCTATGAAAGTTACAACTATTCTTCGTATATTTTAGAGAGGTGGGATTTCTATATATATTATTATTATTATTATTGTGGTTATTTCTAAACATGATTCTATTATTTCATATTTTATCTATCTTCAAATATATTATAATTTTCATAGTAAAGTATTTTGTTTTAATGATCTTAATTATTTCTAATCTAATCCTATTTACCATTGTTAATTATTTAATTGCTATTTTAATTATTTGTTTTGGGTTTTTAGTTTAAATTATTGCTGTTATTTTTGTCAAAAAAAATATTTTTATTTTAGAATACAGTGTTTCTCTCTGCATTATGTGTTTTTTAGTTATTATAAACGTGAGAAGAGCTTTGATTGTTCAAAGTAAAATTATCAATTTTCTTCAAGCTATCTGCTTATCTTTTAACTGTTTCTGGAGATTCTTCATATTCAAAATCGTCCATTATCGTGTTAAAATTATTCATTGTACCATTTGATTAGGTAGATTATTTATGGGAAGGGCTTGTCATTGTTTAAAGCTAGCTCTTAATTGTTTATATATTTCGATTAAAACTTGTGTTCTCATACGAAGGCATAGTTGTGTAATCTTTGACATCAGGAGTAATCTATTTCAAGCTTGGTAATTCTTGAGAATTAAATTTGGAAAACAAATAGCTTCCTTTATTTTAGCCATTGTGTTAAGTATTCAAAGATTACTCCAAAGGAGTGTTAGTAGACTACAAATTTAAATCTTGCATGATATCTGAATAGTTATGATTTGATTAATTATTTGCTAAAAAACTATACTGATTTTTTGTAATATTTGAAGATACTGGTCGCGATGTGTAAGGATAGTTAGAGCTGTCATTTGATTTGTTCTTTTAGTGTAATTACAAAATTTACTTTGTTGAACTACTTTGCAACTGTGTACTATGTCTATAAGGTATTTATTATTTTAACATATTATAGTCTATTTTATATTGCTAAGTATTTTGTTTATTTTAAGCTTAATCAGGTTGCTACTACCTTAAAATATAATTTTAAGCACTCTCTATTGAATTTTACTTGTAGTGATTTGTTTGGTGCAAATTATTATTTCTATTTTAAAACTCCTAGACTATTTAATTGTGATAATCTAGCATTTTGTAAAATAAGTAGCTGTACTTTTTATTGTCTAATTTATTATAGAATTCAGATTCATTTTTAAATTTCTGTCTAAAACAGAAAAGTTAATCTTTGTTCATTCTGACATTTTTAAGAAATAACTAAATTAGCTATTTATTATTTCTTTTCTGCATTTCTACTTTTTGTTCTTCCTTGCTTTTTTTTTCTTAGACCCTATCTTGATCCTACATTTTATCTAAATTTATCTTCGAATCTTTTAATTAAATTAATTGTTTCAATTTTTAATATAATCCGTTTTTTAGTTTTATTACTATCCTTGCTGGTATTTGATGTGATACTGCTATTACTACTACTTCTACTATTGCTTTAGCTTTAATCGCTGCTAAAGTAACTATCTTCTTCGCTGCTACTATCACTATTACTACAGCTTTATTTTATGTTTTTCTTTTTTGACATGATTTTATGATTCTTGTCTAATTTAGTTTTTTATTCTTGCATACTTTGCATTTTTAACTTTATAATATTAAATAATATTTTATTTTAGATAATAAAAAATATTTTTATATTACATTTAGCAAAGCTAATTAAGACGTTAAACTGTTGATTTCCTTTTTCATAGCTTATTACTTCTCTTCAGAATCTTTTTATTTATTTCTATTTATTTGGTAAAATATTGTTGAATCTTTGATTTTCTTTTATTTAGAAAATAAGTTAGAATTACAATTAAGATCTATATTAAATATTCTATTTCTATAAGCTGTCTATTAATTCAGATAGTGCCTAATAACTACTATTAGAGTTATTTGTTATTGAAGAAGGCTAAGTCAATTGTGGAATGCAGTCTTTGTTAGCTTCGCTTATTCTATTTAATACTTATTTTTAATACTAAGAAGAAAAAATCCAAAAATTACTCTAAATTCTCTTGAATTTTTAGTGCTTTCGGTGATATTTAATGCTGATTGCAATTTATATTCTATTCAATATTATGCTAATTTAAAAGTTAAGCCATATTTATTTTATAATTCTAAGCTGCTTGAATATTCACATTACCAGTGCTTTATGCATTAGTTCTTTGATTTTAATTGTATCTATCAAAATAATTGTTTCCTTAACTGCACTCATAAAACTCTAGTTGATTCTAATGTTTTAAAATTAATCTGATTTCACTAATAATAACAAAAATAATCATAAATTTACTTAAAGATTTAGCTTATCTATAAGAAGCGTATCTATAGCATTTTTAGCTTTATCTAAACTATCCTTTACTTCCTTTATAATTGTTTAAATTATTTATTAGATAATTCTTTCAAAAAATATATAATATTTTTTTTACTGCAAACGAATAATTGTTTAACAGCTATAAGCTTTAATTCTTGCTTGAAGTTGTATGAAGTCTTGAAGTTATCTAGAATAAGGATTAATTTTATGAACTGTTTTTGAATTAAAGCCCAGATGACTAAGAGCCTTTACTATCTACATTGACTACTTTAAAAGGCGATGAATATTGGTTATCAATTTTTAGATTCATTTTACATAAAATCTATATTTATATATCTATCTATCACTTTATGTATAAATGTATTTATCTATATTCTTTTACCTATATTTTATTTTAAAATTGTTAATTTTATAATTAGATTTAAATGATTTTTAACTTTTTCTTATACTTACTTCTCTTTCTACAAAAAAGAAATTTATCATAAATTTACTAGCAAAATACTTGAATATTATTATTCAATTTAATTGTATAATTCCTAAGTAAATTTATTATTTTTATAAACATAAATAACTAAAATCATTGAAAGAGTGTTAAATAATTCATTTCTTTTATTTTTTTTTTGAGTTAGAAAATAGTTAAATTTTGATATTTACTAGATTTTAGTCAAAAAATAAGATTATTATTAAATATCTATTTTATAGTAATAAAAATTTAAAAATAAATTTATCAATTTTATTAATATTTTTACATTATTTTAAACAGGTAAAATGTTTTTATAAAAAAACACAAAAATCTTTAAACCTCAAAGTAATTATTTATTTGTTTTACTTTTTCATAAAAATATTGTAAAATTTGTTTTTTCTACTGTCTAATTGTATTTTTACTACTTTAATAAATAAAATTTATATAAAATGGCATAAAAAATTAAAATGATCAATAATAAATATTAAAAATATTTAAGCTTAATTTAAATGGTAAAGGATTTATTTAATTTATTCTCATAAAAAAACATCTAAAATTTGAATTAGTAAAATAATTTTTATTAATAACTTCCCTCCTTAATAAAGGAACTACATTTAAACTTGAATTAAAATTTAAATTATAAGCTTTTTTTAAATGATAAAATACTTATTTTAGTATGTAAAATTACAATTTAGTGTTATGATAATAAGATTAATTATTAAAGGTTTTTTTTAATTAATAATGATAATAAATAGTAAATCTTATAGAAAAAGATATTTCTTAGAGATAAAAATGAATTTTGGTGTCAAAATATTTATTAAGTTTTAAGAGTTTTAAAATGTAAATAACTCAAAATTAGATTAATATTTTTTAATTTTATTTGGATTTATTCATCAAAATATAATTTTTATAAGACTAAAGCATGTATAGAATTAATTTATTTTTTATTAATATTTGTGTTACTAAATTTGATTAAATTTTTAAAATATCAAAAATAGCTCAAAGTTTTTTTTGATGACAAAATTAATGAATATTAATAGTATTGGCTCATAAAAGATAGATATTTATGAAAATTCTAACAAACTTGCTTGTAAATTATTTTTATTAGCAATCAAAGATGATTAAAAATTTCGAAGGATGAATTAAACATTTTTGAAATAATAATAAATAGCTGATTTTGAAATATGAAAATAAAAGTTAAATTAAATAGGGTTTATAATTTTATTATCTTTAATAAATTTTTAAATATGTAACTTAGTAAATTATAAAAAACCAAACAAAATTGGAATTCAGTTTGCATCAAATTACAAATTTACTATTCTGAATTTTTGTTTATTAATATGAAAATGTCACTTCTTTATTTATTAAGTTTTGTGAAATAAATTTTATGAAACATATTAAATTATGTTTTTAAATTAAAAATGAGATGGTTTAGGATATATTAAGATTGGTTTTTTATTATTCAACAATTAATTGTCTTGCTAGCTTTATAGTTTTTTAAAATTTATATTTGTATTTGTGAATGTAAATGAGTACTTCTTTATATATATCTTCTTTAAATCAAACCAAAATTATTATATTATCTCTAAAAAAACCTATTAATTTTGAAGAAGATACTTATCGTAAAATATTATTTTGATTTCAAAAGTTAAATATTATTAAATGACTAAAATAGATTTCAAAAAGAAAATTAAAATTTCATATTTCTGTTTTAAATAATATTTTTAGGGATAAAAATTTTGATAAATATATATTCAATAGAATATTTAGCTAGTCATAAAAAGATAAAATAAAATAACTAATCAAAGAATCTTAAAGTAAACAAATAAAAATAATTGAAATCAGCTTGAAAAAGCATCAAAAATAATTAACCAACTTCTTTAAATCAAAGGAATATATTTGTAAAAGGTTATTTAGTTTAGCTATTTTAATTAGGTATTTAGAATATGTATGATTTTTATAGAAAACCAAGTAGCCATTTTTATTAAAATTTTTCTAGATTTACTCACAGTTATTTAAAAAATATGAAATACTATAGATATTTTTTAATTTCTAATTGTTATAATATTTTTGAATATCATAAAGCATAAATAAATATTCATAAAATTCTTATTTAATTCTATTAATTTTATTTTCAAGTTTTAAAGTACAATCTAACTTGTATAAATTTAGTGGGTGCTTTTGGATCTAAATTTTTAATAAATATGTAAAAATATATTTACAAGCGTTTAAAACATAAATAAATAATTGTTAATTCTAAAAATTATTTTTTTTGCATAATTTATAGATTTTACTCACTTAATTGATTTCAATTATTAAATTTTAGTATTTATTTTAATTTAAAATTAGTTTTTAAAATAGATTTAAATAAATTACTTTTAAAAATTAGTTTTGAATAGAATTATTGAAATTGTTAATATTTTATTTTGTAATATTTAGAATAGCTTAGAACGTTCTTATTTATCTTTTGGAGATTAATAATTAAGGATATAAATATAATGATGTAAGGATTCAAGAAATGAGCTAAATCGAAAGCAAAGTATTTTAAGATTAAATTGAATTAATTACTTTACCTTTCTTGGGTAATATTTAGGAATTTTTAAAAATATATTATTATGCATCTTTTAAATAATTAACTTTTATGGTAAAAATGAAATATCTGACCAGAATTAGTTTTAAGCTAATGCTCAAATAAGTAATTTATTAATAAATTTTTAATGTAATTTTAAAGTACTTTTATCCTTATCATCATCAATTTAATTTTATGGCTATTTTACTTACAATTATAAATTTAAGTGAGTTAAGCAAATCAATAATACGTAATGATATTCTTTTTTTTAAATTTGTTTATAAATTTATGGAAATAATGTAATCTAACAAAAAAAAGATGTAATAGATTGATTTATATTCACAAATTAAATTAAATATTTATTAATTCTTACAAAAAAGTAAGCTCTTTTATTTTTTATTTATTTGAGCTTGTATTTTATTTTAGAAATTTCTATTGTTATGGCAAATTAATGAAGATGAGAGATAATATAAAGTAAGTTGATATTAAATAAAAAATACAGGCATGATTAATTAATTAAGTAATTTGCTTGCTTACTTTCTTACTATTTAAGCAATTAATATTTCATTTTTTTAGTTATATATAAGGATAAAGATATACATTTAGGACAAATAAATTAGAATTATCTATATAACTTTTAGGTGTTGTTGAAGTAATTATTTATATTTATTAAACTATTAATTATTTACATATTATTATATGTGAGAAAATTTTTAAGATATCGTAAGGTAATTTTGCAATTTTAGTTGACGATTAGTTTGTTTGGTAGTAAATTATGAAAGAGTAAATGGTAATAGCTCATAATCATCATTAGTCATTTATGTGATTATTATGATATGTATTATAAATATTTGTTTTTAATTAATTTTTACCTGCAGCTTCAATATTTAATTAAATTTTAAAGGTAGAATAAGCTTTGAATTAATTTATGAATCATCTCGTTATTTAATTTTTGTGATAAAGAAATTATATCCATGGAATAAGAGAGAAGATTAATAGTAATTTTTTTATTTGTTTGTTTGTTTAGTTGGTGATCTAATTGCAAATTAAAGGATTAATACTACTTTAGTTAACTAGTTATTAAGTAAAAGATAACCAATCAAAGAAAAAGAGAATATTAATTTAAAATAGCATAATAACTTAGCATTTATCTTCTAAAATTTAGTTTAAACTATTTGAATTTATAGTCATAGGTATTTATGTATTTATGCAGTAACTTAGAAGTATATCACATATTTTCTTTATTGACAAGCTTAATTGTGTTAGCCCTTGTTTTTCTGTTCATTAGTAAGTTGTTTTTTCCTAAGCTTAAAGTGACTGGAGAAGGATGTTTGAGAGAAGTATTAATTTCTTCTTCTGTTTATCTAGAAAAAGCTATAGCGTTTTTGGCATTGTCATTTGGTGAGGAATTCCTCTATTTAAGACTAATTATACCCATTTTTCTTTCTTTGTAATACTCATATTATTTTTCTATGGGATTTACCTATATTATATTGTTGGCATCTAGCCATTGAGTGATTTTTTTTTCAAGGCAATCAACTATATCATCAGTGATTGGAAGAGGATCTGGATCGCTTAGGAGATTCATTACTTATTGAGGGAAAGATGGTATTTCAGCCTTTTTAGACTTTTATTTTTTTGAATTGTTGTTACATTTTTGATCTGTTTGATTCATTTGATCAGAAACTATGTACTTAGTGATTGGCATATATTATATCTTTTCTATTTATTATGAATCTATCCTTATTTGCTGTGAGCTTTAAGGAATGTAAATATGTCTTTAGGTGAAATTGTCTTTTGTCTTTTTTTTAATTCTTTGATGTTCTATTTTAAAGAAATTAATTATTAAATTTTGATTAATTCAAGATAAGAGTTGATAAATAATAAGTAGATAGATAGATAGATAAATAGATATATAGAGTGATCATTGCATTACTGATTAAAGATAATTAAAATATTTGAGGGTTAATGTTATTTATTTATTGATAAACAAATAGAAAAAAAAAATTGTGGGGAGGTGAAATTTACAGCAAATACTTATATTACAAGCATAAACATTTTAAATGATCTGATAAAATTTATCCATGTACTTGAATATGCGATAATTAGTTGTTGATACTAATCAAAATATCTATATCTATTTGCATCACTAATAAGTAAATTATTACTGATAAGTAAATCTCTGGTTTCTATTTTTTTGTGTCATTTAAAACTTGTAATCAACAAATTCAGTCTTGTAATTAACATTTAATTAGCAGACGTAATTTAATCTGCTAATCCAATCTATAATTTAGGTAGAAAATTCAATTTTGTATCTAGAAATTATTTTCTAATTTAGTTTTGATAGTAAAAAAATATATCAAATGATGTAGATAGATAATTAGAAATATTGGAATTTATTTTTTAAAAATTTTTTAATTGTAAATTAAAAATTTGAAATTTCCGAATTGATTTAATTACTCTAAATATAATTTTTTTTTACACTAATTTTAATTAAAGTTATTTATATTATGTTTTTATAACTTGCTAATTTATATTGATAAACTATTTTATCATTCTAAGAATTCTAAATTCGTTCACTATTCGGATTCAGCACTGCTGTAAGGCTCTTCTGTCTATTCTTTAGTTTTAAGCTCCTCTATTTAATCTTATAGAGGTTTATTAAATGTCTCTCTTAAAAATATAGATGCTACCAGACCCAAAACTCCAATTATTCCTACAAATACCATTTATCCTAAGCCTATTGAATCAGCCTTTGAAACAACATATGGAGCGACTACACTTCCGAAGTTGCCCAAGCCAAAAATAATACCAGCTCCTACTGATCTTACTTATGTAGGATATCTGTTTTTGTGAATAAAAAATGAATGATGAATATGAAGTAATAAAATATTTGTTTTTACAGTTCAGGAATATAAACTTAGAATATACCAAGCTAGAATATATTAGAAACTCTTAAAAGACCAATAAAGGCTGTTTATGTTTCGTTATTTTTTACAATCGAATAGCTCAAGCAAATTAAGATAGACAAAAAAGTTGCTATAATAATACTTCTTTTTCTTAAGAATTTCGGTATTATAAAGTTACTTATAATTAAAGTAATTAGTTCTCCCGTTCCAGCTACTAGCTGATTCAAATACAAGTCATAACCTATTAAGATTAGAATAATTAAATACTTTCACGTAAATTTACATAATTTGTTACAAATAAAAATAGTAGCTCATTTTAAAATTACAGAAACTAAATTTAATCAATAAAATTGTTTGAAATAAAAACTTTTATTTTAATAGCCAATTTTTAAACTAAATGTGTAACTCAATTGAAATGTTATTCATAAAAACGTTTAAAAATTTTAATTTAAAGTTAGCGAAGAATATTTGCTAAAATTAGAGGTCACTTTTATAGCAAAATAATAGTGAATAATACACTATTTGAATGAAGAGTATTTATTTGTGTCTATTTTGTAAATAATTTTAATTATCAAATAAATGAGTTAAATATACACTTTTTTAGGCTGCACATACTTTTCAATATTAAAATTATAATTTGTTACAAAGATTCAAGTAACATTATTGATTAAGGGTAAATTGATAGACTTTGAGATATTTTTATAAGATATAATTAAAATTGAAATACCGATTCCAGAAAGAGCGAATTAACAGCCGAAGTAGAAGACTTGAATAGTCATCATAACTGTACATGAAGCTACAGTGATCTTTCTAAGAGATTTGTACTTGAATAATGCCAGAAAATTAAAAAGTAAGTTATCTTCAGGCTTTTTTTCATTCTCAAAATCATCTCCCAAAAATGTTTCTGAAACTTTTAGATTTTGATAGAATTGAAATTAGTTTATTAATAATAAGAGCCAAAATATATTTTGTGATTCCCAGATAATTAATTATTAATTTTAAATTACTTATTAGCTCTTTTTTATTGAATTTTGAAATCTTCTTAAGGGAAAGTATAGCACTGTCTATATTATTCCTTGAAATATAATAACTAGGTGATTCAATAACGAATATTAAAGGTATATTTAGAACTAAAGAAGGAATCATGATCCAAAAGATTATCATATTTCTGAAATCCTAAATAAGATATGCAATTGGTGAGAGCAAGATTTCTCCAATTGCCCAAGCTATCATCAACATCAAACTCGCCATCTACCTTAAAAAATTTAAAACTTCATAAATTAATTTCAAGCAAACGAGTTTAATTTGAAAACTTTAAAAACTGCTTTTAATTATTTCAAATTCAAGCGAGTATCATTCATTTTTAATTATTTTTTTTTTTTTCATTTTACATGTCTGTGGTTATTTTAAGCAGATATTATTGTTAATATATGAATTCGCAGTAAAAATAAAAATGAAAACAAATTATAAAAAGTATATCTGAACAATTTTATTCCAAGTCAAATAAAAGTTGAAGAAAAATAGAAATTTAAATAAAAATAAGCTATTAAACTAATCGTTTTGCTAAAAATACTTTTATATTTTAACTCATTTTAAAAATTGCATAATTTGTCAAGTTAAATATGTTTTTTGAATGTCTTTGATTTATTTGTTTATTATTCAATAAAAAATGTATTTTAAAAATCCTAATTTCATCTAAGATTTAACAATATTAAATACAATTTTCTATTTCTTTTTTCAATACAAAAGACATTTTAATTTACTATTTTTTCTTTAAAGTAGAAATTAAAGATTTTTCTTCTATTAAAATATCTAATTAATTATCACTCAATCAATCGAGTTGATGAATTTTTATTTTTAAGATTTCATACTAACTTTAAAATCAATCATTGAATAAAAATTATTTATTTATTTATTTATTTTACATTATTTTTTCAAAATAATATATTAGCCAACAATATTATTATTATGAATATTAGATTTTAGAATCTGTAATTTTGTCAGAATCTTTTAATATTTATTGAGTTAAGTGTAAATTAATAATCTTTCGTTTAGTATTTATTTCAAATTTACTAATCTTATAATATTTAGATATCAATGTAAGTAATAACATCCAATATAAAAATTGAAAACAAAATCAAATTATGTGAATGTACCTGTATTATTCTGATGTTTCTTCATTTAGCAGTAACAAAAGTAGATTCAGAACTGGCCAAGAAAAGAAACCAACTATAAAATTCATAATAATTAATACAATTTAGCTGTAGGTAAACGCAATTCCAATTGTGCACATGCTTGATATAAACCACGAAATCTGTAAAACCAATTTACGTCCATATATATCTCCCGCAATACCTAATAAAATGTTGCCAAAAATGCTTCCTACAAAAAGCATAGAGCAAGCCAAGTCTCTTATATTAGAATTATTACAATACATGTCAAACTATATTGAATAAGTACTTTTTTAATCAGGATCCAAGATTTATTTATCGCAGCCACCATCATTTTCATCGCATATTTCGTTTTAGGGATCTATTTTTTTATAATTAAAACAACATAAAGCATTTTATATGTATTTTTTTAATTTAAAAAAGCAATAAGATTTTTTATAAGTTCTGGTTTAAAGCTAAACTTTTAATATATTTTATTGCTATAATATTACTATCAGGATTGCTTTAGCATAAAAATTTAGGAGGAAGGTAAATAAAAGTAGCGCTAAGCATAAGCATTGATATTTCAATTAAGATCAAAACAAAGAAAAAAAGTATATATTTTTAGTATCTATTAAATCCACCAGCACTTTTCAAATACCGTTCTATGGTTTTATGAGTATCTTCTATCGTAAAACTACCTTTTTTATCATTCAAATTTTAATTAAAATCAACTTAATTCAAATTTTCTGGTTAAGCTAAAGACGACATTTATTTATTTAACAAGTTATCTTAGCAAATTAAATAACCTTAGAATATTTAGATCTTATATATATAAATATAATTTAGATGATATATTTCTAAAACCAGATTTACATAGTTTAACAAATCTAAAAAGTAATTCTTTAAAGTTTATCCTCAAAAAAATATGTAAAGTAAAGTATTTTAATAAATTTGTTGCAAAATTAAAAGCAATAAGAAATATTTGAATAGTAGAATGAGCAAATATATTCTAAATGAGCCTTATTATAATTGATATAAAAATTATAGCAGTGAATAATTGATGTATTTACAAATATTATAATATTAATACACTTTTTATTATTAGATATAATTGTTAAAATCTATATATTCCACAAGATCAAAGTTAATAAACTGGTTATTCAATTCAAAAAGTTTAAAAGAAGCAAAAAGAAAATGTATTACAAATTTAATAACATTTTCAAGATACTTAACTTTTGAATAATTTTTTCATTTAAATTATTTAATTTCCGTTAATCATTTATTAAAATCTGTGAATTAATTTTTAAAGGTTTATGCCAATCAGCAAAAATAAATAAATAAATAAATAATTCAATAAAATAATTTTTTAATAATAATAAGTTAAAAAATAGTTCATTTCACATTTTCTTTTTTATCAGAACTAAATATGTTTGTTGATTAGTCTTAGTTTTTTAATTCTCTAATTTAATTTTCAAGAGGTTTATTTAAAGTTTCTTATAAAAAGAAACATGCTAAAAATCCTATCACACCCACCAAACCTATCAAGACCATATTTGGGAGTTCAATTTTACTAGCTTGGCTAACAATGTAAGGAGCCAAGACACTCCCTAGATTTCCTAGTCCAAAAATAATACCTGTACCAACTGATCTTACTTGTGTTGGAAATCTTTGCAAAAATATAAATTAAAAAAGAAACAAGTATAAAAGGTAAATTTACAGCTCAGGGATATAGACTTAGAAAATACCAAACTAAAATCCATTAGAAACTCTGAGCAATCCTACAAAACTTGTTTATAATGCATTATCAGAAAAAATAGAATAGCTCAAACAAATCAGGATGCAACCAATATTAGCAATTATAGAACCTACCTTCCTTCTTATCTTTGGAATTATAAAAACTCCAACTAGTAAAGGTATTAATTCACCAAAGCTTGCAACTGCTTAGTTTAAATATAAACTATACCCTTTTTAAAAATAGAAATATAAAAATTAAAAAGATTCTTTTAGAATAAAAAAGGCACAATAAGAATGATAAAAATAATTTTATATTTAAAGCAATACCAACTCCTTCTAAAGCAAATTCAGAACCGAAATAAAAAACATAGGTGCATATCATAATCAAGGAAGAAGCAATTGTGATTCCTCTTAATGATTTGAACTTAAACAAAGCAAAAATGTTAAACCAAATGCTTTCATCTTTAAAATCCTTATGAAAATCAACTTAAAATAACTAATCGCCGACTATTTATTTTAATAATAAATTTTTAATAAGTATATATTCATAAAATTAATAATAAAATTGCTACTTTCAAATTCTTTCTTATTAAACTTAGCCAATTTTTAGAAACATTATATCGTCTTATCCAATAGATTCTTAGAGAGGCAATAACTTGGAGATTCTATTACAAAAAATAATGGGATATTTAATAAAAGAGAAGGGATCATAATCCAATAAAACATTAAATCCCTATAGTCATTTATAAGATATGCTAGAGGCAGTAAACAAATTTCACCTATTGCCCATGCTACCATTAGCATTTAGCTTGAAAATTGTCTATAAATAAATAAAATATTTTACTTTTAAAAATTAATTTGGTTAATTTAACTATTTAATTATTATTTAACTCAGTGGTAATAGAGAAGCTATTTTGAATAAAATTCAAATTTTTTATAAAAAAAAATGGAGTATTTTTTAGTTGATAAATTTAAAAATAACTCATTTTGTTAATAAGTTTATTCAAAAAAAATATTATTTCTCTTTCTGATATAGAAATTTTTTGATGATGATCTTTATTTGATCAATAATCTGGGTGTATTAATTAGTAATTCCTAAATAGTAGCTAATTATACCTATGAGACTCGGATGTTTCTTCATTAACCAACAGTAATAATAAGTTCTACACAGGCTAAGAAAAAAATCCAAATGTAAAATTCATTACAATCAGTAATGGAATGCTCTGTGCTAAAGTTATCCCTACTATAGATAGGCTTGAAGCTGCCCATGACATAATCAAGATTTTTTTACGCCCAAAAATATCTCCTACAATACCAAGTAAAATACTACCAATGACACTACCTACAAAAAGTAAAGAACATGCTATTTCTCTAAACTCAGATTAATCACAATACATCTCTAATTAAATCGCATAAGTAGATTTTTAATTGGGAGCTAATATTTAGGCTTTACACCCTCCTTCAGATTCTTCACATTCCACATTATTCTAGATGTTCTCTTAGTATGTCTGCTTTTATTCAGAGTTATTTATGTCTGTTTAAATTTATCTATGAAGTTTATCATAATATTCAGAATTAATATTAGTTTCTCCATATCCTTATTTCACAACTTTACTAAAAGCCTTTTGCTCTGATTGATCGCAAATGAACTTAGGAGGAAGGTAGATAAATGATTAGCTTAGATTTACCATCGAAATTATCATCATTACAAAAAAGAAGAAGATAAGCATGATCTTCTGATATCTATTAAAACCTCCAGCCTTTTGCAGATATTCTTCTATCAACTTATTGGACTAGTCTGAAGTTTAATTTTCATGTTGTTATATTAATTAATTTTCAAGCTATTCTTATTGCTCACGTGTATCTTAGCTTTCATTTTCATAAGTACTGCTATTGTTCATCAAATGTAATATTTAAAATTGATTTTGCTTTTTTTTTAATTACTAACTATTTATTATATGCATTGATCTAGCATCAAGTTAATTGATTGAGTAAACAAATTTAAATAGAGTATTTTTAATAGATATTTATAGTAAATCTATTTAAATTGAATAAGTCCAAATTATCATTATAGAAATTCCACATATTTGTCTGTGATAAAGCAAAACATTTTATAAAATCATTCATTCCCAAATAGTTTTGAGTTTAATTGAATTTTATAAAAATTTATTTATAAGAATAGAAAGTTGCTTAAAATTAGTTGGTTGTATTTAAAAATATTAATTAATATTTTTTAAATTTATCCTGTTGCTAGAACAGATTTCTAACTTCTCAAAGTCATAACATTTAAAATTCAAGAAGTATGAGTAAACTGTATAACTATAAAATATCTTCAAGTGTTGTTGTGTTAATTAACAATTTAAAGTGAAAAATTAAGAAAAACAAAAATTAATTAATTTTCTTTTAAAGTTGTAAATATGTATGCAGAGCTAAATTTCTTGTTCATTTAAAATTCATCTTACATTTTATTTAATAAATAATGTGTAAAAATTAAATTAAAAATCAATTTTAAATATTTTTGAACAGATTTGAAGACACTATAAATTTAATGTATCTATCTATTTTATTTCTTTTATTTTAATCCTTCACTTTATGTATGTATGTATTTATGTATAAATAACATAGCTTTTTCAACTTTTTATTGTACTTTTACAAAAATTCTTGACTGTAGTTAAAATTTTAGAAAATTGATAGGTAAGAAGGTGAAATGATTCCCCATACATACATATATAAATATAAATTAAAATGAATAATTTTACTAAAAAATAATATTTTTAAATTCTAAATATAAAATTAAACTTTAAAGTAAAATAATTAATTTTTTAAAGAATTAGTATGCTTAATTAACTTTTCTTTGCTTAAAAAATCTGGTTAAATAATATTTATATAACGAGAATATTATCAATCGAAATAAAAATCTAAATGAGAATATTCATTTCTGTAAATAAGATATTACTAAACATGCTTTTAATACGTAATTAATTATAAAACTTGTCTTAAGTTATCTAGCCTATCATAAAATAGTATTTTAAAGTTTAATGTCTTAACTTAATTAGCAAAGTTATTAAATTTTGTGACAGCTCCTTGCTCTTATTATTCTATTAAGTAAAGAGCATAAATTTATAATTCTATTTCAGATTCATCTATTATTTTACATACTTAGCTTATATTATAGTTATCGTAATTTTTATAAACATAATTTGAGGCTTTAAAGAAGTGTTTGAGTGAGTTTTAATATAAATTTTCTTCTAAAAAACATCTACCTAGCATAGAATGGGCTTTATATTATATATAAGTATCATTTTTAGATAGCTAGAGGCAAACAAAGTAAGAATGTATTGCATTAAGATATTAATTATTAGCTTTTTGAATTTCTCCTAAAGTCATATAAATTTACTCGTTTTCAGGCTGAAGTTCAATACTCTTTAAAATTAAATTTTTTGATAATTCAATATCAGATGAAGCTAAATGATAAGCTAATTCTATATAATTATTTATATATTGAGGATCTAGATCTAGGCCTTCTTAAAACTTTAAAATCCCTTCTTCATATTCCTTTTGTTTACACAAAAATTTACCATATGCACAGCACGCCCTCGCTTATCTAGGCATTACATCATAGCACTTTTAATAATACCACTTGGCTTTTTCTTTATTTTTTCTTGATTCATAATATTTTGCTTAGTTGCTCATAATAAAGTTATTGTTTGGACAAAGGTTTTCAGCTTCTTAAAAGTATTTTTCTGCTTAATCAAAATCCATCAACTATGAATAACAAAGAGCTACATTATTAGAAATACTTGGATATTAAGGATTTAATTAATAAAGCTATAAGGAGAATTTTAAGCACTACTATTACTTATCAGAATAATAGTAAGAAAATCCTAAAAAGCTCAAAACATCTTATTTAAAATCTTCTAAAAGGTTTGAAGATTCTTATAGGGCTTATAAAGCTTCTTCTAGTTTATCTTAATCCCTATTGATAATTAAATAAGTTCCATATCCATACAACTGGACTCCTTTTTAAAATTCATCTTTATTCCCGCACAAAATATTTAATTCTTTGAATTTTTCATACACTTCCTTTAAATCAGGAGCAATTTTCCTGCATAAGTACTCATTATAATAATAAACTTAAATACAATAATTAATTCTCACTATTAAGTCAATAGCATCTATTAAAACATCTTTTTCCTACTTCTATTCAACTAAAAGTTGTTGAAAAATTTGTATCCCCTGATTGACCTAACCTAATTCAAAGTAACTTAATCCTCTATAAAGCTGCAAAAGTTGGTGAGAGTTAAAGCTCAAGCTTTAATCTAACTCTTCTACTTTTGCAATACATTCTTACAGTTTATAATTTTAATAAAGGCTACGTACCTCTTTGACTAAAATACTATCTTACATTTTTCTCTTTTTTATATATGATAAAATTAATATCTTTGAGTAGTAAATAAATAAATTAAGCACTTATTTGTAACAAAAATGAATGAATATTATTTTTAATAGTATTTAAAAATTGAATACTTGAGTTTGTAAACATCACCATTTATCTTTCACTATAATAATATATTAAAAGTAAATTGGAAAGGAAGGAAAGAATTATTTAGTTATTAATTATGATTAATTCTAAGATTTTTTAATAAATGTAAATCAAAAATTTAATGTTAAAAAACACAAAAAGAATAGTAAATTTGTTACTTTTATAAATCATTTTTCTTTGTAAATCATAAAAATCATTACCAAATTTTAAAATAAAAATGGTGTTTATAATAGTAGGCAGGCATGTTTATTTTTAGTCAATATCAGAAAAGCATAAATTAAATTTCTTTGATATAATTAAATTAATTTCTAAAGAGTCTAGATATTTTTGTAAGAATAAAGCCTCTATTAAGGATTACCATAACTCTTTAACTTAAATACATTTTAAAGACATATTTGTTCTCTTAAATTCATTAGATAGACGATATTTAATGAATTCTATTTAAGTATTTAACCAACCATTGATATTAAATTTTTAAAAAGTGATAGATTGAAAAGTAGAACTTCACTATCTCCATTAAAAGAGCAACGTTAAACTATATAAATATTAAGTATCTTCTATAGTTGTTAAAAGCATCTACTAAAGTAAAAGAAATAATTACATCATTGTCGTAATTTAATAGAAAAATATGCCTTTAAATATAAAAAATTAAAATTCTAATCAGATAAGAATAATTATAAACAAACAAATAATCAATAAAAAAGTATTTATAAACAGAATCTCAAAAATTATAAAAGATGGAAAATAAACTCTATAATATCTTTAGAATCCCTTAAGTTAGCACAGAGAAGGTGTCTTCTGCATTGATTGGTGTTTTAGATGCGTCTGGATCTATGAGCTCATACTGGCCTTTTGCTGCAAGAAGCTGGAATCAAATATCTTAAAACCATCCTAATTCTGTAAAAAATTGATTTGAATAAACTACCTCTTATTTGATAGAACCAAATAAATATCTTTTACAAATCTTACTCCAAAATATTTAAATATTTTTTTTAAAAAACAGTATTGCATCACATTCTCAACTAAAGCTGCAGAAAGAAAGCTTCCTTTGTCAGAGAATATAAACCAATACGACTGCTCTTCAACAAATATTGTTGGAGGATTCGAAGTTTTAAACGAAATGTTGTAAAGACCATCTATGGGCAATAATGTTACTGTTGTTTTTATAAGTGATGGTCAAGATGACAACAATTCAACACTCCCAAATAGAATTACTAAACTTAAGATTACACATTAAAAAAAGATCAATTTCATTTCTATAGGTGTTGGATCTGGATTCCCTACTTTCGTAGCCATGAATCTTAGAGATATTTATCACAATGGAGAGTCTTCTCTTCCTCCTGTCTTTTTAATTGAAAATGTATATTTTGTTATTCTGAACACTTTTAATATAAAAATAATTAAAGCAATAAATTTTGATGAAATGCTAATAAATTAAATTCAGCAACAAATATAAATTATAAATTAATTTGATTTCACTTAATATCTTAGTTTTTACATAATTTTTAATAAGTTAAATTATTTAAAATTATATTATTAATTAATTAATTAATGAAATAATTATATTTTAAATTTTAAGTTATTTAAATATTCTATATTTAATAGACTAATGAATAATCAGTTTGGTCATCTACATTTGAATCCTTGCTTCCTTATACTTTCCACTCTGCAAAAATTTCAATTAGTCCTGCAGTTAAGGTTCTCCCTTGGCTCCCTTCAACAAAAGAGGTAAAAGATACTATTTTAAATCTTGTTTAAAGAAGAAAATAAATTAATTTTCAACACTTTATTTATATTATACCAACCACCAAATAACTAAACTTTTAAATTTGAATTTTAGGTTTATGAAAACTCTTGGGTGATCAGTTACGAAGATAAAATCACAGTTAACAGCACTACTTAAGTTGAAAGACAATAATTCCTTTCACCTACCGAATTGATTGACATAGCTAAAGGATGGCTTAGTGAACTTTAAATTTCTTCTTTAAAGAAGGAGGCTAAGGATAATGCAAAAGAAGCTCTCAACATTTTGAATGGATGGAAATGCTACTTCATTGATTCTAAAAATCCTACTACTAAAGAAACATTCAATCAAAGACTGATGAAAAAATAACAAAATACTATTAACTTCAACATCCAAGTCATTTTCAAAGAAATTAAATCTATTGCTGAAGATGTCATTTTAAGTAATTAAATTTTTTGAAAAAAAAATTTAAAAATTTTTAATTTAATTTAAAAAGGTCAACTCAGTGATGTTGAGGCTGCTAAGAGATTAGCAATTGGTACATAAACTGGTAAGTATCATAGTGCAGCTTTGTAATTGAAAGGTATTACTGTTTCAGATTACATTCAAGCCAGAGATCACTTCATTAATGTAGCTATATCTATCATATAAAGATTATTCATATTAATTTATTCATTAAAAATATATAAAGGTTTTCTAGCAAACAACTTTTTCAAATGAATCTGATTAAGAACCTTCAGTTATATCTCTCTAGAATTAGAAAGATGTATTTAAGGAGGCTGATTTGATAGAAGGTCTCAAGGGTTGTCCTAATCAGTATGATTTAGTTGAAAATTTCCCTCTTGTTGGACACTCCGTTTAGTAAAATTTTATTGGAAGTTATTTTTTTTAAATGCTAAAATTAATATAATATTATAGGATTAAGAGAAGTGATGGTGCTATGATTAACCCCTATATGCTTAAAATCAAAAGCATTGCTATGCATCACAAAGTTTGTGATACAGTTTCTTTGTAGGCTGGTAATAATGAGTTAAAGATGAAGATTGGAGATGATGAAGAGGAAATTATAAATGCAGTTATTCCCCTTTTCAGCAAAAAGGATTTAGATTTAAAGCCTTTGATTAACACTAAGCTCTATCATATTTTGATGACATTCAATGTTATGGGTAATGCAGATACCTGTTTCGAAAATGCCTACTTGGGTTTACTTGCAAATGCTTGCTATTTCTTAATTAATCAAACAGCTAGTGAATGGCGCACTCATATGCTTGATTTAGTGGCTAATACCCTCTCTATGACTTACGCTGATCGTTAGGGTTATAAAAGCTATGCAAAGGCCTTGGTCGAAACTCCTAGAACAGCACTAATTACTGAGCATCCAGAAATAGAAACTAAATGTGAAGATTTAACAAAAGCAATTTTAGTTCTCTTCTACCTTGTTTATAGTAAAGAATTGACTGATATTGAAAAAATTTAAGAAATTGTCTATGCAATTTATGCCGAAGCCTATGGCCGTAACTACCCCTCAGAGACAGCACTTGAGACCTTCTTCAAAATTCAATTACCCGAAGGCGTAAATTTAATTAATTATTAAAAATTTTACCAAATCTCAAATTAAAAAAATATATTTAATGATCATTAAACTTTAACTAGAACTATTTTAAGTAAACTTTTAAAATGTAATTTTTGCTAATAAAATATAGGCCGTCCTCCCTGAATTTTTGGAAGAATAAAAATAGATAATTGATAATTTCCCTCCCGTCGAGACATTCTTTACTTAATACGAAATGAAAAATGAAATTGAAAATAGAATTAGTGCACTTGAACTTAAAGTTGGGTTTGAAATTTCAGCTAAGTTTATGCATTCTGATTGCGAATTTATGAAGTACAATAAAGTAGGAATCAAGGGACTCAATAAAGTTTTTAATTACTTCCTTCCTGATAGAGAACTCCCTGAATACGATAAGTTGATGTGCTGGACTGTGCATGCTTCCAAGTATAGAAATTCCCATGAAAGAAACACAGTAAACATATATTTTAACATTTAAAAAAAAAAATAAACAATTTATTAAAAATTGATCAGAGTTTACATTAATTTATTTACATCTCAAATTATAATATAAAGACCGACATTAATTACAACGCTGCTGAGATTCTTCAAGAGGTGAAAAAGTAAAAAGAGTAATCCCTCATTAAAAACAACAAGATAGCAGAAAAAGTATTTGAATCTCTCAATAAAAAATTTGAGGAGTATATGATCGCAACTCATCATGTTGTTGTTCCTATGACTGCTGAGGACTTAACAAATTACTGTACAGAAAAAGGATTGGATATTACCCAGTATTCTTTTAATTAAGTATCAAACTTGCTTAAAAATTCTTGTATGTCCCCTGCTTGTCCTTACTACATGAAGCCAACTAAATCACTTGCATAACATTTAGAATCTAATACTTTAAAATGCCCTGCCTTCCACAAAGCCATTAAAATGCACTGTAAACTCCCTGCTGAATAAATTTTAGAAAAAGTTTTAACTGGTGAGTGCTTAATTAAGATTGGATTATTAAATCCTGCATTTATGATATCAGAAAATGTCAAAAATGATAGCAAAGAAAGAAAAGAGTTTTATATTGAATAAATCAATAAATTAAAGGAATTTTATCAAAAGGTTTGATCAAATAAAAATTCTTTTGAATAGAAAACGTAATTTGTTATAGATAAATAATAATAATATTTTGTATTTTTGACAATTAAATTTAAACTAGTACTGTAAATGTTTAATAAATATATTTTTTATTCGTATTCTGATTGCATTGCATTATCAAAAAAAAAAAAATTATGGTTTTTCTACTTCAATCAATCTTTTAATTTATCTTTTTAGATTTAATATTGATTTAAATTAATATTTTTTTAAATTTGTAATCTATTTTTGTAAAAAGAAAGATTTTTTTTATTTTTGAGATACTCTATGGGAAAGTTTACAAAATATTATTTGTAATCTATTTTACTAAATCTTTTTTTACCATAATTATAAAAATAATTCGAAAAATACAAAGTGTATGAATAAAATCAAATAGTATTTTTATGAAGCGATTTTATATTAAAAATTATAGCTACTATGAAATATAATATGCAAAAATATTTGAAATAGCCTTCTCTTTATTTGTTGATTTCATACCGATGTTATTATATACTTTTTACCTAAATTAAATTTTTAATGACGCAAAGATTTTGTTCTATAGATTTTTATGTAGAGTATAATTAATAAAGTGTAATTGGATAAAATACACCTATCTTCATTTCAATCAACTTTTGTTTATTGTTGGCTTCGCTTTTAGTGTAAATTTTCACCACAAAAATTGTGAAAAAAAAGTAATTAATTCAAATGCAATCGCTATTAATTAAAATAAAAAATAAATTACCTAACCACTTCATTTACAAACATCGTATGTAACGCAGGAGACTAGAAAAAAATTAATATAAATAAGTAAGGTCAGGAATATAATTAACAGATATTTCAAAGCCTTCTTTATCTATTCCGATAAAATCTTTTATTAAAAATAATTAAGATAATAACAAATAAACACCAAAAAAAAAATCTTAGTTGAATTTAAATATTAGAAAAACATATTTTAAAGTGATAAAATCAAGTAAAATCTATATTCTTATCTAATCAGCTTATATTAAGTAAATAATTTGTTATTAATTACAATCTACACCCTCAATTTGCTCTTCGTAAACAATAAACGAATGTATTAAATTTATAATGTCATGTTATAAATATAAATTACACTTTTTATTTTATAAATATACAACTCTGCTTTTCCCCACAAATATAAAATCATAATTTACTTTGAAGGAGTTACAGTGAATAAAATGTAATATATTTAGTAATCATTTATTTTAATTTACTAGAAAATGTATTGAGTTCTTTTTTTCTGTTTACTTTAGTAAGCATGAGTGTAAAAATTATTTTTCCAGACTAAGACATTTTAGAGATTTTTTTGCAATTGAAAAAAATAAGAAATATAAATTATACATTGCTAATATTTTCTGAGGCTACTTACTGAGCAAAGAATAGGAATATTTTAATAATATTGCATATTTTTAGTAAATTTCATATAAATAAATAAATTAGGTGACTTACTCATATTTATATTAAATGATTCAAAAAATTTTTGATTTCATTTAACATTTTGTAAATAGTAAAAATTTTATCTTATTTCCAGTAATTTAAAAAGAAGGACGCACAGTCTTTTATCAATCAATTTTAATTAATTGTCTTATGAAATAAAACTTGCCCCTATAAATATTATAATATGTAAAAAAATGTTCAGTGAAACATTTGTTTTCTTAACTAAACATGTATAAAATTTAAGAATTCTAATTAATTTTAAATTAAGAAATGACAATTGCTAATATTTTCTTTTATGATAATCTAAATTAAATACTATATCCTTTTTGTTACTTTAATTTTATTGTATTTATAAAAATATTACACCCTAATTTTTCTTATTAGATTTTTTTATTTTTTACACCTCACTCTCTCTATTTTTCTCAAACTCATATAATTAAAGCTGATTAATTATAAACATATCAGACACAAGTTACTGAAGAGCAAATTTCTTTAGATACCAGTGTAAATTAAAATTTTTAAGAAATATCAACCAATCAGATGACACATAATAATTACATAACCTTTCCATGTGATGCATAAAATAGTTTAGGAGAGCGCTTAGAGGTATTGAAATAGTCATACATATTAAATAGCTGATTATATTTGATATATTTTTTTAATTTTTTGTTGCTTGCTTACAATCGAGGATTAAAAATAATAGATAAATTTTTGGTTTTAGAGAAAGTAAAAATATAAGAAGAAATTCTCTTTACAGAGCACTAAATACTTAACTTTTCAGCTTACATTATTCAAATATTGATTTAAGAAAAGCAGAGCAAATAATGAAAGTTTGAATCTTGTTTCATAGAATAATATGTAAGTGATTAATGATACTTTTTAAAATACCCTATTTAATTACATACTCAAATTTTACACATAAAGTAGCAAGTAACGCATAAATAAGTAATAATATTATGAATAACAAAAATTAATTTCTCAATTATTAAATTTTTATGTGCTATAGAAATAAATAAATTTTATTGGATGGTATTTTTAGAAGATAACATTTATTTTATGTATCATACTCCTATTAACTCTGTTTGATTTTGGTAATAAGAATATTATGTATGTATGAATTTTTTCTTTTTTATTTGCAAGGTAATATTTTATTTATATTTGATGCAAACAAAGATTATTGGGAAATACAATTTCACATTTAAAAATTGCTTAAATATTAAATTAAATTTATTATTTATTTAATTGAGTGTAAGTAATTCGATCTATTTTGTATAATTTTAATTACTCTGACAAATGGCAGGGATACTAAAATGAAATATCTTTTTAGTCATTTTTTTTGTAAACAAGATTTAAAATGAATTAGACAAATGCTTACAAATTTATGCAGCAAATATATAAATTGATCATATGATCTTTATTTTAAGTGGTTAATTTTTGTTTACAAAATTATTAATAACTTCTTCTAATAATCATAATTGCAAATCTTTTTTCAATAAAATTAACTTTATCATCAATCTTTAGATAACTAACAGTTTGTTTGATGCTATATAAATATGTTATTTCAATATCTATTCTGCATATCTCCTAATTAACTCTCGAAAAAAAACCTAAAAAAGAATTAATTAAGAATTTCTTAACTAATTGGCATAAATAGAATTGAAAATTTTGGATTTTGAATAGGTTTTACATTTAGTATTTTTTCAAGTTAAATCTGTTAGTTAGTTTTTATTCACAAATTTTTATACATTCTATTCTAAAAAATGCAAAAATAAAGCTTGTTTGCAGTAGAAAGTCATAAGAATTTTGATGAAAATTAAAACTATCCAAAAAAATTATCAAAAATTAACACATATACTTTCTCATGGATAAAATTAAAGTAATTTAAAGGATTTGTAGGCTCAAATTTTTGTATTTACTTTATTAATTTTTTTAAAGTTAGGTAATAATGAAGATTGTGACAGAGTGGATTACTTTATCAGCGAAGCAACAAGAAAAAGATTTTATAAAGTATTAAGCAGTAATAACAAGTAAGCTAATCAATCGCCTGATTTTCAAAGTATGAAATAGAAAAAAATATTTAAATAGATTAAGGAGATGAGAAAAACAGTAAGTATATTTTAGGTTAGTAAAAAAATTTAATTAAGAGATGAACTAAATTACAAAAGTACTTATCATTGGTGAAAACTTATCAAATAAATTAGTCATAAAGTAATAAATTGGCTAAGGAAGTTCACTTGTTTAAAAAAAAAAATTTCAATGTGCATAATTTATATCAAATTTCTAGTTAATTCAATTAATTAGAAGTAAAATTTTGTTTTAACCTGACATTTAGAGACCATTTATAATAATAGATTTAAATTTAGTCTCCTCTCAATTTTTAATTTGAGATTAAGCAAGCAAGTTTCTCAAATGATTGATTGCAATAAATTATAAAGTCTCTATGCAATGTTTTATATCCAAAAGAAATAAATTATTAATGTTACAATTTTGATTATGAAAAGGTATCTAATTTTTTAAATTTAATAAGAAAACTAACTAATACACACAATACTTTTATTTTTAGAATCTCTTATTAAAGGAAATCGTAAGTACCAAATTTGTGAAAGCTAAATTTTAAATTACATTTTTGAAATATTTGGATGAATTTTGTAAAAAATTATTGAAGGGGTAGGTAGGGAGGAAGGGAATTCAATTGAGCAAATAATTTGAGAAATCTAATCTAACTCGCTAAACCTGCTTTTATTTGCTAGTAGGATATTTATTAGTTTTTTTTCCTCTTGGTAATTACCACAACAGAAAAAATAGAGAAGATATAGAGATATTAAATATTTAGATTGTTAATCATTTTGCACGAGATTGTAAATTAAATTAATGTAAAATTGTGTGCATCTTACAGAAGACAAAATTTATTTTTTATTTATTTTATAAAAGCATGTTTTGTTTAAAATTTGTGCATATTAGCAAATAAATTGCAAATTTGGTTATAGGCAAAGCGTTTCTTACCATAATGTGGTTTATACTAATAGGTTATGTTATTTGTTAATTAGTTCGAGTTAGAAGATTTCAAAAAAGAATAGATAAATATAAGTTTGTTGATCTGAAATAGTTAGCAGTAGAGCGGGTGCCTAATTAAAAAGAAAAACAAATTAATGATATCAAATCGATTTCATGCATTAGAAAGAAAAAAATTAAAAAGGTAATCAATAAACGTTACATTGAGATACTGGAAAATTCAATCAGCAAAAATAAAAGGAAATTAACTTTATTAGACAAATGTCGTTAAAAGTAGGAAGAGAGTTAAGATAAACAAACAACTTGATGATTTTCTTGCAAAATGAATCTACAGAATTAATTCGCTGGTTATTGATTTTATGAAAAATGCATCCAAAATAGACTAACAAAAAAATAAAAGTGAAAAGAAAGAATCAGAATTAGTATAATTTAGGTTAGGAAGGCAAACTGGTGAATAATTTAATAAAATTTTTATCAAGTGATATGAGGAGGAAATTTGATTTGATGAAGATTAAAAAACAATTAATGATTGTGATTTGCGGGTAGATTTTGATTTGCTTTTATCTTTTTTTTGTTTTTTTACCTATACTTTTAATTGATAAATAAGAGGGAAGAATAGAAACTGAGATAGGTAAGAAATCAAAGAATTAATAAAAGAAGGGTTATTTTAATTAATACAAATAAGTAATTTTTCTGATTCTGAATCTTAATTAATTTTTCTTTTTATTTTAATACGGCATAAATCACTCTCTGCATGATTCGCATTTCTTGATTATGTATCTTTTTTCGCAATATATTAAATTTATTAAATCTTGCAATCAAAGTTAAAGACAACGAAAAAACAAAATATAAATAATTCGTTGACAAAAAAATATTAATTGCACAAACTTTCCTGAAAACTTTAAAAATCTATATACTACACACACTAACCAACTAAATAACTTAATCACTCAAGAAACATCAAAAGGGGTTGCACTTACATCTAAAGAAACCCAAAATTCTATCTTTTCGAACAGTGTTAAACATATCTCTCTTTACTTTTATTGATAACATTCACCGTCATAAAAGAGCCTAAATTTATTTTTACTAACAACATTTTAATCACAAACAATCAAACAAACTAAAACACCTCTATTTTCATAATATACTTTTAACTGTTTATTATAACTCTTGAAAAATAATAAACACAAAGTACAAACTGAAATTCTCAGAGTTTCTCTTCCAAAAAAATTTTCCTTTTGAAAGTCACTCTTAAACACACGCTTAATTGACGATAACATACTTTTAAGTGATATAATAAATACTTTTAAATAAAAGAATATGATCAACTTATTGTAGTAAACAATCAATCTTTAGCAAACAAGCTAAGAATTTAATGAAAATAATAAAAAAACTGAAATGGAATGGAATTGCCTACTCAATTATTTACAATCACCCTCTCAATCTGGGATGATTAAGAGTGATAGCCCAATCACCTTACACACCGATAAAAAATTTGAAAAAGATTTATCAGGCTAGTGGGTTTGGTACAAGAATTAAGTATTACCTACCCTAAAAATTAAGCTTATTCCTTCTTCCTACAGATAAATAATAGTTGATGAAGCAGACATTACAAATTTAGATTATTTTGTAGCAATACAATGCTTTGCCGTTTTTTCTAATAATTAGATTCTAGAAGTTAAGCTAGAAGGCACTACTCTTGTCAAGTTTAACAAAGAAAAAGTAGCCGATATGCGCTCAATACGTCTTACTGAAACAATTAATAGTCTTAATGTACATACATTTAATTATTTAATACATAATCTAAACACTCTCACTACTCAGACTCTCTTCATATTATACTCTTAGAAATACTAAATTTTACAATAGAAAATGGAGAATTATTATAGATAAGAAGAAAAAAAAATCACTAAAAATAAATAGATAAATGATATTAATTTACATACATACTGTTGAAATTATTAACTGCAAGTTTATCACACACAATAATTTATTGATGTTTGCGTTGATTTTGATTTTTCTAGATCAATTATTTTTCACAAAATCAATTTTACATCGTTAAATATATTCTAAATGTAATATCCTTGCTAAATTTCTAAATATTTAAGTAAGCTTACGGTTGTTGCTATCGAAATCGCTTTTACAATTTTAAATGCTAAAATAGTTCAAAATCGAAGCTGAAATAGAAACTTTATTATCATATTTTTACCCAAATTATTTTAAAATTTATTTATTAATTTGTAAGCAAATCGGTGAATAAATTAAATTATGAAAAACAGAGAAAGAGTATTGAGAGATAATTAAAAAAAACTAATTTTATCAAACAAATATTAAATTTACAATACATGTTAAAAAATAGTGCAGATATTTCCTATTTACTCTGACTACATTCTAAGGTCGTGAGGGAAATGAATAGAAATCTTTCGAATTATTGGAGCAAAAAATTCAAAGAAGCAGTCACGGAGACGATATAAGATTAAGAGCTTTAAAGAATACTCTGATTTCATAATGTATTTCCATCCAAACAAGAAAGAAATCCCTTCATTAAAGAGTAAACTTAGTTAATTTATTTATTTATTTATATATTTCTTCGATATTTTCTTTCCTTATGTGAGTCTGCCTTTCTTGCTTTAAATTAAAAATAATCTTTTAAATGTTAGTTAATTTTTAGAACATTTTTGTTCATACATACTGTTCTATACCAAATATCAAATTTAACTCTTAGGTTATAATTTTACCTACATTCTAAAAAAATTAAAAACCATGCAAAAAGAGTTTCGAAACATATTTTAATTTCTTAATACTAAGCTTATCTATCGATTAATAGAAAAATTAATAATCTATAACAGTGATTATAGCTATACAAAAAAAAAAAAAAAATATCAATGAAATGTACAATTAAGAAAAATCACTCAGCTTTTGCCTCTTTGTAATAATATAAGAATTAAAACAAAGATAATTGAGACAGCAGCTGCTGAAGCATCTTTTAACAAAATTTAACAAAAAGTAAATATAATTATCAATAATGTAAAATAAAGAATGTACTTTGGTTTACATTAAAAATGCAAATACTGTTTAAAGATGATTAATTATAAAATTTTACTAACACCAAAAGTTATTTTTTTCAATTTGTTAGCAAAAAGCTATTTAAATCTAAAAAAATTTCTAATTAGAATAAAAATAATAAGATATAAGAGTTGATAACAAATAATTCATACAAAAAGAATGATTGATTATACTTCTAAAACTTTATCATTATCACATATTCTTAGATTAAGCTAGCTATTAATTAAATAGTTAACTTACTAATTTAATAATCCGCTTCAAAAGCAAAAGCAAAATATATACTTTATTATTTTCCCCCTCTCTCTTACAATAAAAATAATGCAGTAGGCAGTAAAGAATATTTCAATTTTATAAATTTTATACATAAAATTGAACAAATTTTAGTACTATTTAAATAAATTTTTACAGGCAAATTAATTTATTTATACTCACAATCGTTATTTCTAGATTTAAAAAATATCTACATCCTCATGTTAAATAATTTTTAGCAATTTTTATCGCTGTGAAGATAAAATTTGTCAAAGAATTTATCTAAAAATTTTATTAAAATACCCATTTAGTTTATCGAATCTAGCAATATTTTAGATTTGTAAGCATTTGAATAATTTACATTAAAAAAATATATTTAATTATTAGGTTTCTCTTTTGTGCTAATTACATCCTTTCGTTCCCAATGAATTCAACAGATTACTACAAATGCTCCATGGAGAAAATCCTGAAGAAATTTTAAGCAGCGACATTCGTGGACTTTATTTCTATTTTTCTAATAAGAAGATCCGTCACAAAGTACTTTTTTATAATTTTGATTTGTTGATATTTTGATTTTGAAAACATAATCGATATGTTTTAACATTTTTTTTCTATTATTTTCTTGGTTTTTTATGTCTAAATCCAAATTTAAATCTATTTGTACAATTTGATGTTGAATAGAAGAATTTGTATTATATTTTGAAGCAAAATACTTGGAAGTGTAATACACTACCAGTTTGCATATATATGTAATTAAATATATAAAAGACGTCAACCAAATTAAATTTAAAGGATTTAGATATCTTATCTTAAAAAGTAATCTTAAAAGTGAATTTCTTCTTTTCATAAAAGTTAAGAAATAACTCTCTAAAAGCGCATCTTAATTTTCAATTTATAAAGAAAAAGGAATTTAAATTTTATTTTTATAATACTTAGATATTCCACCCATTTTATTTGGCTGCTCGCTTCAACAAAGCAATAAGACTTTACTATCTAGACAATGGAAACGATAAAGACGCAGACCTTTCTGATGTATTTTTGAAGGTTTAAAAAGAAGTAGAACAAGCACTTTTGTCTGAGTAAAATGATGAAGAATGCTACACCAACCAAAAGAAAAAAAATCAAAGGACTTTAGATGCTAAGCTTATTGTTTAAATCTTAGGAAAGAAGAGTGCTAGTAATGATCAAGCTTCATGCTAGAAAACTACTAAACCATAAAATTTTGAGCTCTTCAAAAGCAAGGTAAATATAGAAAATTAATTTTTATGCATTTGACAAGTAAAATGTGCAAATTACGAACAAACAATTTTGAATATTGGAGAGAAAGATAAAATTGAAATTTGATGTATTAATCAAGCAAGCAATCAATCAACCAATTAATTAAATGTTTCTATTTTAAATAAACAACCAGTATAATCGATGAGTTTTGAATATTTTTTTAAGGATTTATAATTAACTTTTTTTTACATTTAAATCAACCAATTCGAGTGCTAAGCACATAAAATTAAATATTTCGCAACTTGATTAATAATTGATAAATTAATTAATTAATTGGGGGCTTGCAAATTTCATAAATGATTTCTTTAATTTTTATTTTTCAAATTATGATCAATTAGAGTTAATATTTTTAATATAATTGGATTCTGTGGCCAGCCTTACTTAATTTTTCTTCACTCTTCTTCAGAATTTTACTGCCCCTATAAAAAATAAATATTTATTATATTCAGCTTAAGTTTTGAAAATAAATGGTGGAAAGCCAAGCTAATAAGTAAATTAGCTAGTCAATCTCTTTTTACTCTTTCTACAAATATAACTTTACTCCAATATTTTAAGAGAGAACACTGATAAAATCCTTTCCTTCTTTTCTTTTATTTATAATGCATAATAAATAATTTGAGTTGTTTATTTTTTTGAAAAAAAAACAAGAGATTGAATAATAACATAAGCAACAAAATCCAACAATTTCAATCAGCTTATTTTTAGAATTTATTTACAATCATACATTTAAAAATCTATTCTACATTACTTATTTAATGATTTTTTTAATTAAAATTTCCTTTTAGGTGTTAAATTACTTGATGCCACTCTAGTCAAATGCAATTAAAATAATTGACGAAGATGATGTCATAACTCCTCAGTACAAAAGTATCAACTATGATGTAAAAGAATTTAAAATTTCTATATATTTTTTAATTGAGATGCCCTATTAAAAACATAATATTTTTTTAAAGAGCTATTACATCAAATTTGTTTTTATTGCATTTTCAAATTGTAACCTTCATTTAAGAAATATCAAAAACGTCTTCAATTTATTACAATTTTCGTTTATTAAATATAGGAAACACTCTACGGATTGGCATACACTAAAATTTTCCCTAAAATTCTTAATACTTTGTTTGAGTATTAAGAAAAGAGAGCCTAATACCCAAGCTATTTGCACTCAGTTGGTTACAGTGCCTAAAAGGAAGAAGCTACTGACTTCAGCAAAGAAGCAAACAAAGAAAAAAATAAATAAATAATTAAGTATAAAAGCACCTTAATACACAAATATGATGAAAAGCTAAGAAGTAAGCTAACTAAAATATAACTTAACAGTGATAACTAGCAAGTTAATATTTTGAAAAGCCGCAGCAATATCTTAATATAAGAGTAGTCTTAGCAATTCACTTCTTTTGGAAATAACAATATGGTAATTTAATAGCAAGAAGCTTCATAATAATCAGGTTTAACCAACGCTATGATGATGAAATTCTGTGGAAATATGGAAGAAACAAATAGAAAATCATATACCTCTACAGCCTCAGAAACAGTTCCTATAAAAAATCAGAATAGCAACAATGTAAATTGCAAGCAATAATAAAATAATGTTGGTATGAACAACAACTAAAAACTTAATGATGATGCCCAATCTCATATTTCAGATTAAACTGAACGTAATGAAGATAATATAGATTACTTCACCCCTGGAGACAATAAAATAAAAATAAGAAAAATGAATGTAAATAACTCCACAAATAAAGATAACTGTTTAAATCATTAATAAAACAGTGTTAATCTTTTTGGTCTCCCAGATAATAAAAATATCTCTGAATTCAAAACAATAGATCCTATCTTCTTCCCCTAATAAAATAATTAATCTAAACCTTTAAACCACTTATAGGATCTTAGCTATGCTAACTTACTTGCCCAACCAACTGCTGAAACTTAAAACCAAACTGATTTAGCTAACTACTAATTAATTTTCTAACAAATAGCTAATTAAAATAGCGCTCCCAACAATGTCTCAAGTCTAATAAATATTTCTAATTCTAATCAAAGTCAATAAAATCTTATCCAAAATCTATAACAGTTCACATAGCAAAGCATGAACTAACAATAATTTTTACACCAACAACAGCAATAGCATTAAAATTAGGCAGTTTTGGGAGCTTAATTGAACTAAACCTCAAACAATAATAACCTCTAAAGCTTACTTTTATTTAATAAGTTAAACTAAGTTCAAAACCCATCCCTCAACCAATTAATTTATGATAATAATATTTTACAACAAAACCAACTGATTTCTACAAAAAACTCTGCAAACCTAACCTTTAATAACAACTCTACTAACTTGTAAAATCTATAACAATTATTAATAAACTAAAATAACTTTTCTACTATTATCCCACAATAAAATATATTACAAAATTAGTAAAGTTAAGATCTATTAAATTTGATTCAACTCAATCAATAAAAACAATAGTAACAACTATAAATATAACAAATGATACAACAATAACAATAGTAATAGATCTAACCTATGAATGAGCAGTTTAATTAATAAAACTAGTATTTCATGAATCCATTAATTAACTAAAGTAATTAACCTATATTTACTGAAGTATCTCGCAAGTCTATTCCTCTCTAGCCACAATAGCAAAATATAATTTAAATGCCTCTATAATAGCAACATCAGTTATAAGCAAATTAATTTTCTATAAGAAACAACAATAATAACCAATTTGACAACTAAATGTTAGCAGATATGTGTTAACAAGTCATGATGCCACAATTTTAATGATTAATTTGATAAATTTTAATTGTAAAGGCTAAACTGAAAGTAAGCCAAATCAGTTTTAACAATCTGAACTTTGCTTTGCCTAAAAAATAAATTTTAACATTTGTGAATTAAAAGATTGACAGCAACAAGTAAATCAATTAATTAATCAAAAAATAAATAGATAAATAATCAAAAAATCAATCAATAATTCAATCACAAAATAAATTAGTAAATAAAAAAAACTATTACAAATCAAATAAAATTATTCAATTATTATTTTCAAAAATAACAAAAGTAAAATTATTAATAATAAATAAATATATTTATAAATATAAATTCAAACAAAACACCATCATTTTTTTGGGGGCTTCTTCTGGAATGAAAAAAATGTTTAAATAATTTTAAGAAAAGCTAAACCAAAGAAAAGTGAAGGAACTTAATTTATAAATTAAAATTAATTAAAAAATGTAATTATGACAAAAAAATAATATAAAAACGAAATCAATAAATTTATATTTCTACCTATCTATCTATTTATATATTTATATTAATTTTCTATTTTTAAATAACTTCAATAATTTTAATGTTTTCGATAATATCATATCATATTTTCAGTGTATTTTTTAAATCAATTATTCCAATGTTTTTATACAAGGGTTTAAAAATTTATTTTTTAAAATATCACTAAGCCAAGAATTTATCATATTTTGTTGCTTAATAAAATTATTTATTTATTTTTATAGTTTACTCTAAATACAATAATTTTGAAAAATAAAATAAATTTAATGAGTATTATATTATTAGACAAAAGTATTATAGTCAAAAAACTACTTTAAAGACCAAATTAATTTTATTTATTTTTAAGCAAGTGTAATAGTTAATTTTAATAAATTTTTTCCTAATTGTTTTGAAAAAAATGTAATTACATTTTTTAAAAGAGAAAAGCTAATATATTTGTCAAAGTAAATAATAAGAAATTAGAAATAGAAATAATGAGTTTTTTCAATATATTTTTAAATTTCAAAAATATTGCTTTTAATTATTGCTCACAAATTTTTAAATAAAAATTTGGCATTACTACTGTATATACTGATGATTGTATCTTTTTTATTACACTATTATCATTATGATGTTATTATTTCTGTTGAATTTGGCTATAGTTTACTTTTTTCCTCTTTTTTTAATATCAGATTATTGATTTACACCTTCTCTTTTTGCTTTACAAAGTTAATCAATCACTTTCTATTTAAATTCATTTTTTTTATAGTTTTATTGTTTCCATATTTTTTTATGGTGATTTGTTAGTCATTTTTATAATAAATAAAATAATAATAAAATAATTTTCTTTAATAACTCTTATTCTTTTATACTTGCCTTTAATATAATAAAATGTAGAGAAAGTAGAAACGTGATAAAAACTATTTTTTATCTATTTATTTACCATTAAATAAAAATTAAGATGTATAATTGGAATAAATAGCCAATAAAAATAAATAAAAGTAATTCTAAAAAAATGTAAAAGGGTGGTGTGGTATTGTTTAAGTTGTAAACTATGTTTGAAATATTTATTTATATATTTGAGTTGATAGTTGTTTACAATCATCAAATAAATTACACAATATATTCCAATAGCTAATTTAGAAATTGACGCTATCAGGAATGTAATCATAACAGGAAGTTTTTTTCTATTTAAAATAATCAAATGTTATATTTAAATGAGAAAAAGTTAAAATTTTACTTTGAGTTGCTTACCCAATTAAATTTATAATTCTAAAATTTCTAAATTAAAATCAAATAAACTGTAATCAATATTAAATTTATATGGTTCTAGTCTAAGATTGATTATAAATCTATAAAATTCAATCATAATTTATAAATTTAGCATCTAAGCTTTGGGAAAAATATTATAAAACCTGAAAATAATACTGTTAGTGGTTGTCTTAATTTACATTTACCCTCTTTTATTTTGCTTATGATTATATTTCCTTCTATGAAGGTATTTATTTATCTAGAGAAAATTTTGATAGTTTGCTAATTATAACAATCTGTTAATTCGCCAAATAAATATTTGTCTAAATCTATGATTGTTTTTCTAACTAGACAGTTTATTTCCTTAAATATCTTTATTTAATAAAAATTAATAAAAAAAACGTTCTTATGTTTTTATTCTACTTTGTTTTTGCTATTTGTCTGCTTCTTAATTTACTTTCTGCTCATTTACCTTTCTCATCAGATTATCTTTAAATATCACTTCGCTAATTTATTGTTAGTAATTAAGCAAAATCCTACACTTGAAAAGAAACTAAAATTTGTTGCTGATTGACAGAGTGACAAAACAAAAAATAATCGAAATTTAGTTTCTCAAAAATCTTACTAATTACACTTATTATTAATTTTTTACACCATTTAGTTGTTTTGATAAATATATTCATTTGTTTATTCTAAAACAGACATGTTTGTTAGTTTTTAAATTAATATTAATCATTCGAAGGTTTGAGAATCTTTAGTTTGCTTAGAATTGAAATGAGGATATTAAGTAGAAATAATTACAATGATATGAATTAATATCAAACAAAAGCAAAAATATTTTTAAAATTAACTAACAAACTAATATAAAATGTAAGAACTAAATTTAATAATATATTAAAAATTATGTTCAAGAATAATTAATTTAAAAAGAAATTTAATTCATTATTTTTTTTTTGCTTATAAACAACTTTAAAATTGTAAGCTCTCTTAGTCCGTCTATCTTATAAATCTTACAATCAATTAAATTTATTTGTTAACAATTATTTCAATTTACTCCCAAAATAAATTGGGCAAAAAATATTTCACCTCAATAAATTCAAGTGATTATTTTTGAAGATGTGTTCAAGTTTTGAAAAGCTAAATGCACTTAAAAACGTTGTACCAAAGTAAAAATATATTATTAATTTTATAATTTTGCATTTTTTAAATATTTTTAAGGATTTGAAGTTTATTTATTAACAAAGTTAAGTCAGTAAGTAATCTTGATTATCTTTGAAGTATATTTCTAAATATATTTTCATAAAATCAAATATTATTGATTTATTTTGCTAAGGCACATTTACTACACATTTCGTTCGTATTTATTCTTTTAAAATTAGGCAATTTCAATAATCAAATTTGAACTAATCTAAATAAAGTAACAAGTAATAAAAATATTATAAAATTTATCAATAAACTTTTTAATTTACTCTGATAAAATTCATCTACTTCATCCATTAACAAAAAATAGATTTTTTTTATGTAATTTGAAATACAAATAATAAAAAGATTTGATATAATCACTAATATAAGATGTCTATATTATTTATATCAATATTCACTGTTTTTTTCTTCTAATTATTATTATTGCTAATCTTATTAATTTCACTCTAAAATTAAAATAATAAAAAAATCCAAACAAATAATTTATCTTTTATTTAATTTATTCATACTTAAAGACAAATATAATGCTTGATATATTTTGTTATAATAAATAATATTATTTAAAAAAATCTATATATTATAGAAGAGATTTGACTTATAGACATAAGAATAGATTTTTATAAAATTTTGTTAATTATTATATTTTCTTAAATTTATTTAATTTTATAAAATAGTAAATATAAAATTTATAAGTTTTTATCATTAACAATTTGTATTTAAGTTGTTTCAAATACTACTTCATCCATCTTTTTAACTTATTCAAAAATCTTTAGTTTCTTATTAAAATTCTAAAATATCATCTTATAATGGCTCTCCTTTTGTTTCTTTAAAAAATGATATTGTATATATAGCAGGAATAGAAATTATTCCGGTTGCTAATAGAGGGTTTATACCCAATTTTTTAGCTAAGTCAATTACTATTGGAGCCAAAGAAGAACCTGCCACTCCTATAGACATTTGGGCTCCAACTCCTAAAGACCTTACTGTAGTTGGGTATAATTCTTCAACAAATAAAGCTAAAATGCAGAGAGTGCCACAATTAAAAATCCTCACTAAACAGGCTAGAATTGTTTAATTTATGTCAGATTTTACAAACAAAAATAATAAACATAAGAATATGCTAGAAGTGTAAAAAATAAAAGTAAAGAGCTTTCTCTATAATTTATGGGCCACTTAGTTGCATAAAAAATAAGCTATTGCTTCACCAGCTCCAACAACTAAAGTGTTTATATAGAGACTAGACCCAACAGAGCCTAAAGAATACTAAGTCGAATAATAAATCATTTGTGTAAAGAACATTACTAAACAGCTAGCAATAGTTATTAGCCTCAAGCTTTTATACTTAACCAGATCTAAATAAGTATATATCTTCTAAGCTTTACTGCTTTCTAATGGATTAATAAAGCAATCTTGCTCAGTTATAGCTTCTCTTTTATTTACTTTAGCAATTCTATTTAAAGTTGAATACATTTCATTTCTTAATTCTTTTGTTAACAGAAATCTTGGAGACTCGTAAATATAGAGGTAGTTAAGGACAGCTATTACACAAGAAGGAAAAAGTGTAAAATATATAAATATATTACGCCAATTATAAATGTATTTTGCAATTGGAACCAAAAATATTTCAAAAACTGCCCAACTCATTAGTAATAGAGTGGTTCCTCTCTAACGAAATGCTTCACCACTTTATTCATTGACCATAATCAAATTTAAATTATTGCAAGGTACCAAACTAAATCCTAATTAAAAATATTAAATTGATAATTAATTTTGATTTAAAGTAGAATAAAATTCAATTATTTTAATTTATTTACAAAGTAATTTTAAGTTATTTAAGCTAAGAATTAAAAAATATAAAAATAATTTTTCAACTAGAAGTAGTCATACTCGAAAAGTTAAATATAAATCAATTTATTTGAATGTACAATATAGTTACCTGTTATAAAGATCATCAAGATAAGTTGGTAAATATTTTAAGAAAAAGTTATTCCTAAGATTCCCAATGTGTTAAGACTCCAAGCTGCAATCAAGCTTAGCCTTCTACCCTTCCAATCAGCGATAAAGCTAAAAAAAATGTTACCGAAAATAGGACCCCAAAATAAGGCACTTTATGAGACACTTCTAAGGTTCCTATTATCACAATATAATTTATAATCGCTGGTAATAGTATTATAAGGCGAGGAAATTAATTTTTATTCATTGCATCCTCCACTGTCTTCAGTGCAGGATTCTCCATTTGAGCATTAGAACTCTGGATCTGGAAAATAATAAACTGGTCCAACGAATATGAATACAGAAACCATCCATTAAGCAAAAAAAATAAATAGAAGACGCATTTAATAAAATCCATCGTCTCCAACTTAATGCAAGCCTTCTTCAACAAATTTTGATGATATTCTTGTCATATCATCTAATTCCACAAGCAACTTATCATGTGAATTTTTAAAATTTTCTCCCATTTTTGTGGTTAAGAGTTAAAAATAATTAAATCTAGTTTATGTTTAAATTGTTGATTACTAACAAAACTATCTTTTTTATCTAATTTTTTAAATACTTTAATGTGTTTACATAATAAATTAAAATATCTAAAATTATTATTTTCATAATTATCTTAATGAAATTAATAAAAATTATTTCATTTAAAATAATTGAAAAAAAAAAAATTTATTTAATAATATATTAATATATAATTTGCTAAAGAGTTTTGCTAAATCAAAATGCTATTTTAAAATTTTATTCAATTAAATAATTATTTAAGATATTTAATTAAATCAAGAAAAAACTTTTTTTAAAAATAAAATTATCTAATTTAAATTAAAAATTATTCATATGATAAAGTGAAGTGAAAATAAAGCTGTTAAAATATCTAAACACTTATCAGATTCAATAAAATTTAAATACTTTTACTTATCTTTAATTAATATTTCTAACAGATAAGTAAATATTTTATACTAACCAGTTTTTAATTTAGGTTATTTATGTGAGGCTTTTATTAATTTAAACAAAATTTATTAATAAATTTAATTGTTTTAAAGAAAACTAAAAATTCAAATTCTGTAGTTTAATTATCCAGAATAATATTTCCGCTAAAAATATATTACATAATCTCACTTTAATCTTTTTTCATTCTTTGTTGAACAATTTAGCAAAATGATTAAGCTTGCTTAGGTATTTTTGAGATAAAAATGATGTCTTTTTTGCATTTTAAAATTGTTTAGTTAATAAATTATTTGTAATGTTATGTAAGTAAGTAAAAAAATGTGGAGTAATTGTATGATAAATAAGTAAATCAATTAATTTTAATAGTAAATTTGTTTTTATTTTTACTGAAAATGAAAGATTTATTTTGGTGCATTTTAAATCATGGTGCTGACGATTAATTTTTTGTTGTATTTATTATTTTAGATGGTAATCAAAGATAGAAAAATTTGAGCTGATAATTAATAGATGCAAAAATTAGAACTAAGTTAACTAACAAAAATTTAAATAATAAGAAGTTAAAAGAAAAATATATTTTTAGATATTATTCAAAGACAAATAGAATTAAATAATTAAATAGAAGTATATTAGGTATTTTTACAAATTTCCGTAATAGCTAGCAAAGCACTGATAAATATTCTATATTTTACTTTTCATCAGTTGAAAGATTGCTTATAATATTAATAATTAGCACATAAATTGTATACAAAACGCTTTTAGAATGGATTTGAATTTTATTGTTTTTCCTGCTCCTAAGTGTTCTTACTCAGAAGATATAATCAACGGTTAACTGATATTTATACCAAAATATGAAGATAAAGAGAATATTCTGCAAAGAGGGTTATCATAAAATAATCCTTCAACTAGCTCTGATAGTTAAAGCCCTGAAAAAGAATAAGAATTTTCAGCTACTAGAAATAAAAACTTTGGATCTCATACGAAACCAATTAATTATAAAAAAAAATTATCTAAGTAAGCAAATTATTATTCCAACAATCAATCTTTCAACTTTGAAGATGCTTTTTACAACGAAGAATCTTCTCATAGGATTTTTTACTCAACTTCTTCACAGCGATAGTCTAAATATAATTCAAATCAAGCAACAAATACAAATTTAGAGAACTACCCATAAAATTTAGCTTAAGCCTAAAGCAATAATATCCTGATTTAAAAAGTGGATAATGTAAAGAAAGATAAGGACTATATATAAATCATGTAAAAAACAGCAGTACTAGCTAATGAAAAAAAGAATACATAAATATACGAAGATAGTAATAAAAGTTGTCATGAATTGAATTCTTGTGATTTAGAATTAAAGGAGGAAGATGATGAGGATTTTATGTAGAAAGATTGTAATGAATTTGATGAAATGTACTCTAATATCCAGTGCAATATCAAACCAGATTCAATCACTTAATACAGTTTTTCAAAAAATCAATAACAGTAGAATTTACAAATGAATGAAAAATAAATTGATTCTGGATCATCTAAAAATTCAATTCTTCAATAAAAAAATGATGCCAACAATTAATGTCATCCAAAATAAAATCAAAATTAAAATTTTAAAAAAGCTTAAACTATGTTTTCAAAAACAACTTGTAATAGTCCTACAACTAATTCATAGAAACAGTAAACATGTAAATATCTCCCTTGCTTGTATTTGAATTCGGGTAACCACTCACCTAATTATCTTCTATACTTTCATGGAAACGGCGAGGACATTAATCTTTCTTATGATCTTCTTTCCCACATGAAGAATAATTTGGAGGTATATATAAATATCTATCTCTTCTTAATGAATTACAAAATTAAATTATCAAATATTTTAAACCATTATTAGAAGAATTTGTTTTTGGTTTACTTTTTAATATTTTTATTTACTAAAACTTACTGAATTAGAATCAATCAATCATACATAAATATTTTTCCTTATATTGATGAAAGATTTTAATATTTGTTCATATTTTTTTAATTAAAATCTATTTGGTTTTATTCCTTCAATAAGAAGCAAAAAATATTTACAAATCATAAATTAAAAATATTTAAAATTAAAATTTATTATTAGATAAATGTTATTGCAATGGAGTATCCTGGATACGGTATTTATGAGGAGTATGATACTTCTGCCGATAAATCTGAACTAATCCTCAAAGATGCTGAGTATCTCTATGACTATTTGACAAATGTTTTGCATATAGATGAAAAGAAAATTATAGTGTTTGGAAGATCTATTGGGTCAGGGCCTGCTACTCATGTTGCGGCACATAGAAATCCTGGAGCTTTAGTGCTAATGAGTGCATTTACTAGCCTCAGATAAGTTGCTTCAGATTTAGTGGGCAAATTTTTATCTCTTGCACTTAAAGATCGCTTTAATAATCTAGAAAATATAAAAAATGTTACCTGTCCCACTTTCTTAGTCCATGGGCTTATAGATAAACTCATTTCATACAATCATTCTCTAAATCTTTTTTGTATTAATTAAATTAATTAATAATATTCTACTAATTTTTTTTCAAAAAATTTTTTTCCATATAAAATTAATATTAAATTTTAAATTTAATATAGAAAATTGTGGTGGAATTTGTTAAATTAGCATCCCAAAAGAAATGACTCATGTTGAATTTGATTTCTATGAAGATTTTTCTAAACCATTAATCGAGTTTCTTTTAAAAAATAAATTTAATCTATTTAATTACTCTCCTAGATATAATTTTAGTATTCCTCGCTTTTTGTTTACTAATCCTAAAAGTTAAAATAAGATTATAGATCATCAAAATGACCCTTAAAGCTCTCGTTCTTTGAATCAATTTGAACCTTAAAAAATATATAGCTAAAAACTGAGATCAAGTTTTCAGTGATTTAATCAATGATAAAATCACAATTAAAAATTAAAAAAATCAACTAACAAATAAATAAATCATCAAATAAATTAATCAAAATTTGAATTAAAATAGAATTGAAATTAGTTTAATTTAAATTGATTGGAAAAATTTTAATTAAATGCCTTTTTATAATTAAATTTTTATTTAATCTTAACTTTAGATTTTAAATATTCAAGTCAAAAAACAATAAAAAACAAATTAATGTAAATAAATAAATAAATCTATCTATTTTTCAAATGTATATTTGTAACAAATAAATTTATTTCAATCTTGCTGCTTTCAAAATTAATAAACTTATATTTTAAATTAAATTAAGATAAAAGTTTTAAATAAATATAGCATAATCATTATGCAATTACTATGTCCTTTTTTTTCTCATAATATTTCATATCTTTTTTTATCAATTATTTGATGACTTCACTCTAAGCTAATAACATATATTTATTTCACAATATTAATCAATTTCTCTTTAAAATAGTAGAAGTTTTGTTAAAAACATTTATAAAATATTTGAAATTTACAATAAACTATAATATATTTAAAAATAATTCTTCTAAATAATATATTCTAAATAAAAATATCTCATAATTTTTATTACCTCAAATATAAGATCACCTTAATTTGGAATTCATGTTAATTTAGAAACTGACAGTATTTATTTTTTTAATAGATTAAAAATATTTTGCTGTTTTTTTAATTTTCTATTGAATTTATTATTATTATCTTAGGTTTTAATTTAAATTTAATGAAAAAGCAGTTTCTAGAAGTGTTTCTTACTCTGCCTCTCTAAATTCTATTAGAATTCTATTAAATTAATTTCCAAAAAATTATTAATAGATATTTCAAATAAATAAAAAAATAAATAATAAAAAGTGTTAACTTAGCTTTTATAGATTTTTTTACAAGCAAGTATAAAAAAACAAACAAATAAATAAATAGAAAGAAATGTTTCACATAGCTAGGAATTTTTTAAAATTTAAAAAATATTCACAACTATCCTTATTATAAAATGAAGGATACTTATAAAAGCTAATGGTAATTTTATAGCTAGCTATTGATTTAGATTGTTGAATATTTAGATATTTTAGTAAATAAAACAAGGTTGTGGTTATCCGCTTTTGAAGAATAGTCACATACATTTCTTCTACTCAACAGCAAAAATGAAAGATTATTATAAAATTTTAGATGTACCAGAAAATGCTACTTAGGACTAAATAAAAAAATAATTTTACAAGCTTGCTAAGCTTTACCATCCAGATTCTGGAGACAGCAAAGGAGATGATGTAATCATATATTTAAAGAAAGAGATAAATAAATAATTAATAAAATTTTAAATATGTAATTAGGAGAAATTTAAAGAAATCTCTGAGGCTTATAATATTGTAGGAGATGAAGGTAAAAGAATTAAATATGATTCAGATAGGAACCTATATAAGCAGCAATAAGAATAGAATAAACGTCAATACAATTAGTATTAGTCTTCCTAATCAAATTAATACACATATCAGCAATATTAATCTTTTAAAGACCATCAAAAAAGATATCATCAACAATACTAACAATAGTAATAATAATAATACGAAGAATATGAACCCTATAATCCATATACAAGATCGAAATAGCAAAGTGCTTAGGATGATTAAAAATATAAAACATATAAAGATTATCAAGGATTCTAAACTAGAGATTTTGATAGAGGGTAATTTTTCTTTTTTATTCTTTTGAGAAAGAAAGAAAGATTTATAATTCTAGATTGTCAAAAGGGAATTCCTTTTTGATATATCCAAAAAAGAAATGAATTTACCTAATACATGTAATAAAAGCTAATAAATATATTTGAAAATAATAGAAATATGGTAAGAGAAGGTTTTTTTGAAAATATGAAAGATGCACCAGAGTTATGGGTATTGACGTAAGTAAATTTATTTTAAAAAGAGTAGAATTTTATAAATTATTAATGATAAAGAGGTATTATGCTTCTTCTTGTGTTAAGATGGTTTTTCTTGACAACTGTAGAATAAAAATAGAAAAACTATACTGGTGATGAAGACTTTGAGTATGGCTAACCTAGAGGTCGTATTGTCTTAAGTGAAGAAGATATTCAAGGATTAACTCTAGTTAAATTAGAAGAACTTGATGCAACTGGTAAATACTTACTTCCACCAAAAGCTAAAGCCTCTGTTGAAGAATACAGAAGCATTGCAAAATCAATAGATTATGACATTAAAAAGGAAAATTAAAAAAAGAAAAAAAAGGCTTCCGATTTAGGAGTTGAAGATAAGTTTGCTGATGATATTCTTGAAGAAGAAGATTTTGAAGCAAAACTTGAAAAATTACACCAAGAGAGAAAGCAATCGATCCTAGAGTAGGTTATAGAAAAAGCTGAATGGGAATAAGCTGAAAAGGAAAAGAAAGAATAGCAAGTAAAGAAGGCAAAACCTCAAACATACAGAAACGCTTCATCATAGGTAATGTATGAAAAAAGTGCTAACCCTAATTTGTATTCTAACTTCAATTATGCAGATAGATTTTAGAAAAAGAAAACATAGGAAGATAAGCAAAGCAATGAGAAAAAAGATAAATAATTAAACACATTGAATGAGTAGGCTTAATAAGCATTAGATACCCAAATATAAGAAAAAGCATAGCTAAATTAAGCATAAATAGATACAATTTAGTAATTAAATCCTGATTAATTTTAGGTTTTCGGATCCAAGAAGAAAAGCAAAAAATAAAGTGAAAATGATCAAAATATTAAATTAGTCTAGTAAGAAAGTTTAATCAGCACTGAAAGTTCTTAATAACAAGAATTATCTTAAAATTATCAATAAGAAACAGTAAACGAAAGGATTGAATAGAAACAAGATATTTAAATTGAACAATTAATTCATTAAAATGAAAGCTAAAATGTAATATCTGAAAATCTAGATTAAACTCAATCAGTACCTTAACCTTGATTGAAATTACTAATTATGTTCTATGTGTGTCTATAATTTAAGAAATATGGTTTGAGAAAAAAACATAATTTAATAAATATAATTATTAAACTGTAATTATTAGTATATTTTTCATTTAAGAATATTTCAGTGAACACCTTTAACTTCGAAATTTAATCTTTAATTAAAAATTTATTTATACAACTCAACATATGTTGGTTTCAGTTATATATTTCTGGTATGAATATAAAAAGTGAATAAAATAAATCAAATAATTACACCATATTTTAAAAATAATAATCAATCGTAAGTAAATATTCTTTAGTGTTTTTGGCTTTTTATGTTTCTTTTTAATAACTAAAAATTTTGTTTAAAATACAAGTAATGTAATTAAAAATAAAAAATTTTTTATTTAAATATAATAGAAGAAAAAAAATAAATTAGATAAATTAGAATATTTTAATTTAATTTTTTAAGTAGTTTTATCGTTTTTGCTTTTTATGTTTCTTATTAATAACTAAAGATTTAATTTAAAATACAAATATTGTAATTAAAGATAAAAATTCTTCCATTGTTAATTGTAAAAATAAATTAGAATAAAAAGAAAATTTTTATTTGATTTTTTTAAGTAGAAATATATTTTTTATTTTTTCAAATTTTTATTTTTTTATTTTTTTATTTTTGAAAAATGAATAATGAATAATGTATATTTTCATAAAATAAAATTTCTATCTTTGAATGTAAACAAGAATAAAATAATTGGACTTTAATTTACAAATGCTAATAGATTCTAAGTAAATACCCTTCAATTTTTTTGTGTTTGTTTATCTTTGTTAAGCAAAAATTTAATTTATAAGACAAATATTGAAATTAAATATAAAATTATATAACACTTCTTTTGTTGAGCTTTAACAGAAAGAAAAATAAAATAGATTAATTAGAATATTTTACTATTAAAACTTACTAACTTTAAGTATATATTTGACTATTTAATATGTTTCTTTTTGGAAAATAAAAACCTAGCAGTTAATTTTTATTAAATAAAATATTTTTTTATGAATTTAAAAAGGAAAAAAGGTAAATTAGTTTCATTACAACCTTTCCATTTAAATAGTAATAAAATTTAATCAAAAGACATTGATTATTATTGAATTTTTATACTTCTTTTGAAGTGGTAAATTATTAAAAATAAAAACATTTTAAGATGAAAAAATCATTTTTTTATTTTTATATTCTTACAAAATTTAATTCATTTTTTTTACTTTACTTTTTTTTATCTTACAGTTAATTTTATTTTGACAAATTTTTATGAAATTAAGAATAAATTAATTTAGAATTTATTTACTATTCCTACAAATTTTTTGCTATTTACATCACTAAAAGTATAAGAATTCGTTTTAGTGAATTAAGAGAAATATATGAAATTTGATTTAAAGTATTGTGGGAAATTATAAATAAATAAATAAAATAAAAAAATTTGATGAGTATTGAGATAAAATTTTATTTAGATGTAGATTAAAAGATGAATAAAAATTATATTTAACATACAAAATATAGATTGTAATAAAATAGTATTATATTATAACAAAATAGCTATAAAATAAAGATATTATATGGTTAATATTATTATTTTAATCATTATCATATTATCATGATAATTTGTACTTTTCATTCATTTTAACCTATTTTTTTGGCTTATTACTTTTTATTTAAATCAAGCATTTGTTTAGGTTGAAATTTTAAAACTATATTACTGATTTAACTATTTTATTCTTGAGAACAATCTAAATGAGAAAAATGTTACTAAAAGTTGTTTTAAGATGATTCATCATATATATTGCTGTTTGGGTTTTAATCTTGCTATACTGATTATTGTAGAATTTAAACTACAGATGAGACTTGTTATTACATTTTTTACTCCATAACACAAGCGATAGTGGACTAGTCAGCATCCTAATATTACTATAACTGAGGATTAAAATTATTAGAAGATGGCATGTAGCTTTACTCAATTTAGTTGTTTCTTATTTGATCAAATATTTTGTTTGTAAATTAGGTTTTTTATAATAGAATACTGCTGTTCTGATATATAAAAAATGAAAATTCGACCTATTCTTCATAACAATTAATGTCCATATAATTATATGGCGATGTTTTATCAAGTATCTTTTAGTTTACTTTTAAACCAAGTTAGGTTGGCTTTAATGAGGTTTAAGACTGCCATAAGTAATTTGGGTTATTTAAGTCTCTTTCAACTCTAAGGGAATCTTTGACAAGGAAAAGTTCTTGCTTGGAGTAATTTAGCTCTGTGCTGTTGATCACTTTGATTTAAATAAGATTTGATTATTCATCACTTCCCTATATTAAATCAATTTTAAGCTGTACATATTTTTGGGTTGGTTTTGATTTTTTTAAAAACTCTAAAGCGTTCTCTAATAAATTGATAATGACTTAGTTTATTCTTTACTAGTCATTATAAGTTTCAATAACACCCTTGAAATCTTCAAATTTGTTGTATCCACTATCATTTGTGATAGGATTTTAATTTTCTGATAAAATCAAAGATTTTTTAGGGAGCTCGCTGTTATTTTGCTTTTCATTTATATTCGAACATGAAAAAAGATTTAATTTGCCTGAGATAATGTCTGAAGGGAACTACAAAAAATCTTATTAATTTGGTGATAAACATTCATTTTATTTATTTTTTTACTAGCCAATTAATATGGAAAATTAAATACCTTCAGAGCTAAAAATAGGTGAAAAAATAGAGGAAATGTATTTGAGAAGATTGTTAAACTAAAATGGAATGTATTTCGCTTTCAGCTTAAGGTCTTATTTAAGCGATATTAGATCTTATAGATTTCTTAAATGATTTAAGTGCAGAAAACTGAATGCTTAAAAAAGTACAGGATTTTTACATGAAATAACTGATTAGAACTTTTGAGCAATTCTGAGGAAATGCTCTAAGTATAGATTTTCTTTAATCTTAGATTACCTACTAATATTTACTACTTATTATTTTAAACCTTCGTCAATACTTATTGAGCATACTGGCTAACTAGTATAATAAAATACGATTTTGACTAATACCTCTTACTTTACATTATTTTTCATAATAAAGGCTTTAAATTCTTCAACATTGTATTTTTCTTTTTTTTATTAATCTTCTTCTTCTTTCTCTTGTTATTTTTATTTAATTTCCTTTTTTTCCTTATTGGATTTGGAATTTGGGGATTTATTAAAAAAAGATTATCTTTTATTAAGTTTTTAAAAATTTAAGCCATCATTTTCTTTATTATTATTTGATTAATCTGTGGGTGAATAATCTTTTTACCTACTACATGTAAAATTCACTCCAGTTAAATTGCAAGAATCTTTAGCTTATTTAAGATCATTTGGTTACAACGTATTAGATTGATCAATTTATTACGAGTTTTCTTCACTTATGTTAAATAATTTCGTTGTTGGTGTTTGAGACCTATTATTTGATTTCAAAATTGTACTTTTTTAAATCATAGTCTTAAAGCGATAGTAAATGAATCTCTCCAAAGTATCTGAAAATCCATTTTAGAAAGAAAATCTTTTATTCTTTGTTTGATTAGAATTTTTCAATACACTTATTCTAGTTACAGAAGTAGTACTTTAATTATTATTTAGACTGTCTTTCTAAATTGTAGTATTTCTTAAAAACTAAGTCAAGCTTTGGTCATCTTTGATATCATAGTCTGTTTAGGCTACCCTGTTTACAAGTTTATTTTAAATTTAGTCATTAGCAGTATCATATTTAACCATTATAACACTTGAAGGTAATACATCGCGTACAAATTAACTCCACTCTTTCTCATTTTCCTGTAGAATAAAAACCTCTCTCTAGTACTTTTCATTTGTATATTTCATCCATATTAAAAAGCACATCGAAAAGAATAATAGCCCATGGAAAGAATTTAGCTATCCTGGAAAAAATACGGCTGAGTAGGAGAAATTTTGAAAAAATATTACTGCAGATGTGAGCAAAAAATTACTTCCAATCGATAAAATAAAGTGGAACATGTATTGCGAACCTTTAGTTTATATTATTAAATCAATTTAATTTTTGAGTTTTCATTATAAAGAATTAGGCATGAAATAATAACAAAAAAAGCATATTATATTTGATTAATAATTCTACCTGCGAATATAAACATCATGTTGTTTTGTTAGCCTTATGCTCCTATATTTTTGTTGGTAATCAATATAAAACCTATATTTAGGACAACAAACCCCGCATTGTATACTGCTGTTACTATATTGAATGAGTTTTTATAATATCTTACTATCAACAAGCTTGAAGATGATGTAACTATACACCAAATGAATCCCAAATATTATAAATTTCCAGTAAAATAAGTAAATAGAGAACAAGGTAGAGAAATCAGTAGTAACACTTTGCACCAAGCTGAGAATATGGTATTATAAAAAGGAAAAGCAACTTTATTAAAATATTATTCTTCCAAAGATTTGTTTACAAACTATAAAGTATATTTATTCATTTATTTATTTAGTGTCTTTACTTTTTTTTATTAAATAAACAATTATTTTTTATATTTATGTAAAATTTTGTTTTGATTTCTAATTTTTACTAATTGACAAAGATTATTTTTTTTAAGACTAAGCTATATCACTTCCTAAAAAACTAATTTTTAATATATTTACCAGAAATTTATGGCTTAAGTTATTTATAAATTAATTTTTAGAAAAATACTTCAACTTGTATTTTTTAAAAATCTTAACTAACGCACAAAATTAAATGCTATTTTTTTACTTTTTCTTATAATTAATGTTTTCAAGAAAAATAAAATCTCCTTTTTTAAAATTAAAGAGTAATTAATTAATAAAATACAGAAATTTTATTTTTATAATTTTTTAAAGTAATTTATTATTAAAAAATATTATAAAAAACGAAAGAAATTGTATTTATTGACAGACTTTCTTTTTTATTTATTTAAAAGTTAAAATAACCAATCAATAAGCTTTATTTATTTCAATAAGATTAATTTTTTTTAATTAGATAGTTTTTTAAAGGAATAAATAGCATTTTGCTTTTTATAAAATAACATTTCTAATTAAGCTGGTCTAATTTTACGATTTCATATTTAAAAAAATAAAAATATCTAATAATAAATTATTTGTTTGTTTTTCTTCATTTTTAATTTCAAATTTCTTCTTAAATTTTAGTTGGTATAAAAATAAATTAAGTGAAACTATGTAAATATATCTTGTTTGATAAAAATTAATCACATTTATTGGTTATAATCTACCAATAATTTCATTATTTTAAAAATTATAAGCTCCTCTTTAAAAAAAAGTAATAATATTAATGTAAAGAAAAAAAGATCTAAGTTAGTATTTAAATAAAAAAGCGGTAAATAAAAAATTGTAATTTAAATTGTAGCAAATATTTTATTCCAAATAAATTCAATAATAATTTAGGAATTGGAAATAAGTTTTTTGTGTTTTAAATTTAAATATTTTTTACTAATTTTTTAATTATAAATGTATTTTATTAAGACTTTCTTAACTTTTTCAGCAAATAATTTAATTAATAAATTATTCTAATGAACATAATTATTAGATTTTTAATATTTTAAAAGTAAGTTTGATTCAAAATGATTCGTTGATTATGTTTAAATATTTAGAAATAATCTTGCTGAGGTAGTCAAGATTATCTTTAGAATATTTTTTTGCATATAAATATGGACAATTATACTCAACACAAGGAACTTCTTCAATTTCTTTATTTTCTAATGAACTACAGTTTTTGCACTTTCTTTCAATTTCTTAATACTATGAATGTATTATTTGCTATTTATGACTAAGTAAGTATGAAAGAGTAGGTATATCAGAAAGACATGAATTACAAATATCTTCAGAGCATCTTTCATAACAAATTATGCATACTTCTAATCGATAGTAGTTTTCTATATGCAACTGACTTCTTAAATCTTAGGTCTTGCTTTATCTCTAATTAAAAAATAAATAAATATTTATTATAATTTATTTAAAAAATTTTATTAATGTTACTTGTTGAATAAATTAATGATTTTTTAGGAAATTCACTTTAATCTTGCCTTTTGGCATATTGAAAAACCAATCCTTTTTTTAAAATTAATTATATCAAGCTACTTTTTTTGAAAAAAGAAATACCTTTATATCCACATCAAAAGTTGAAAACAATCTTCCTATGGATGAATTAATTTATCTGTTTATGTAATACAAGCTATTCATTTGATGATTAAATTTATTGAAAAACTCTGGAACTGATACAACCAAGTCTTTTACTTTACTTTTTTGCTCACCTTGTACTACCAGATATTTAACTCTTTCTCCATACTTAGGTTTTGCTAATTAATCTTATTCCGTTATTTTTAATCCTACTATACCATGTGCAGGTACTCTATCTTCTTTGTATTTTCCTAACTTAACTTCTTTTGCAATACAAAAATCTTTAAAATTAACATGACCATGAAGTATCTTTGCCCATTGTTTATTCAAGTAATTTTTTAATTTGGATAAATTTTTTGTTTCAAAAAGAATGTTTAAACTTTTTTTCATTAATTTAACAACTGCATCACAACCATCTCTTCTTACTATTTCAATGCCTTTTGCCAAAAATTCAGGCTTATCAGTAATTTTTTCCATTTTATATCCAACATATCTCTTTTTTGAAACTAAAATTAATTCTCTAAATACTTTTTCAAATTTTAGTTCTATCGGATAAGGATATTACTTTGTAATCGATTCTGCTATCTCTTTACCTATCCTAAAGGCTTCTTCCACACTTCTACCTTTAAGTAAAACAAATACTGAGTCTGTATCACCATATACAACTTTTGCATACCAGTCTTTATTGCTATTAATGTATTCGCACACTTGGTTTAAAAGATATCTTCCTATTTTAATTTGAAGCAAAATTTAAAGTGATTTTTGATAAATTAAAAATATACCTGTCTCAACAATAGAATCTGCTATATCTACAGAAGGCATTCTACCTGAAAAAGATGCTCCAGTATATCCATAAACAACGCACATAAAAAGTTTTATAGACTACTATTAAGCATCAAGTAATTTGCTTAAATATTTATCGTCCTTATAAAATCCAGCTGATTTTTTAATCATAATTCTTGTGAGTAGGAATTCGTGCAATATTTATGGTAGAATTCCTTCCCTTATAGTTTTTCTAACATAAGCTACTTTATTTGGGGCTATAAATATGTCTTGATGGTATTGATCCATATCTTTAGGATTAAATTTTCTATCTTTTCCAAATAATTATTCAAATTTTAAGTGTGCATCTTAGTTAACACCGAGTCTTCCGCTTCCTCCATTATTAAACTGTTCATTAATATTTCCCAAACAGGTAGAATAACAATAATTATAAGCAATCATTACTGAAGGGTAAAGAGATTGAAAATCCATAACAATAACAGGACTACATAATTAAAAATTATTAAGCTAAGCAATTTAAAACTAAAAAAAAATAAAGTTTTTACTCAACAAAAAGCATTTTCGGAGGCTCCATGACCAAAGGCATACACTCAAGTATTTTTTAAGAAGCAACTTGCATTCTACTTGCAGAAAGCATCAAATATCCGTATTATTTAGTTACTCTAACTAAAACACCTTCTACCCTAAATTAAGATCCTCTTGTTATCTTAAAATATACATTAATTGAGTTTAAATTTATTTTTATTTATTTAATTTACAATGCTCTCGAAATCGCATCCATAAAGGCGAGCAGAAGATGTAGTTCTTTATATTATATCAAGTTTATCTAGGACTATTTGATTAATTTTTAATTTATTAAAGTAGTAGTCAAATACTAGGGTCTTATGTTTAGCTGATTCACTATTAAACCATTTAGTAAGTGTCCAGTTGCTATAAACTGGATTTCTTATTTAAAATAATTCGTAATACACATTTTCTGCATCAAAATTAGTTAATTTTAATTTATCTCTACATAATCTCCAAATATTCCAAATGATTCTTCCTAAATAATTATGAGAATTATTTAAATTTTATCAAAACAATTATTTACCTCTTATTTTTAAATTTAAATTATGGTAAAGTTAACCTCTTCGTAATTCTTTGATATTTTCTTTTTATTAAGCAGATTAAGGATCATTTTGTTGTTTTATTGAACTCTGATTAGATTAAGTTTTTTTGCTCATTTTAGAATCTTCTTTTAAATTTACATCAAACTTTTTCTGTGACTTTTTTTATTATAATTAAATATTTTATTTATTTTTTAAATTTAAATAAAAAAATACATTTAAATCAAATTCCTTCTTTTTAGAGTGTGATGTTTGGATAAAGCTATATTGAGTACCTTAGTAGAGCATTCCCTACTATGAAAATTATGATTTTTATGAAAAATGCTAATTTTAAGATTTATTTGAAGAATGGAATGAAGGTGAAGATAAATCCATTTCAAAAACTTTATTTTTTTACTTTGATTAAATGTGTTTTGAAATTGAAGAGCTTAAGGAATTTGAATTTTAGCTTGTTAAAATTTCTTTTTAAGGATCTTCTTCAGTTTCTTCATTTTCAGCAGCAAAAAATTTAACTTAATGCTCTTGATTTAATTCAGGGATAGAAACTAAAACTTAACTATCAGCAGAAAGTGTTCTTTTCATTTTAGAAGGTTTTATAGAAATAGATGAGCTTATGCTAGTACTTTAATATAAATCTAAGCTGTTTATTCTTAATCTTCCTTTTTATTTACTGTCTACTTACTAACCTTCATTTGGTATAGGAGATTAATCAGGTAAAGAATCACTCTAAAAACTTTAATTAAGTTGACTGAAGCTAGACAATGAAGAATTAAAGTTTAGAGTATCATTTGAAAAAACAGAAAATTCATCATTCTAAGTTTGAAAAGAATTAAATTGTAATACTTAAATTAATTTATTGATATTTGAAGGGCATCTACTTAATAATTCGAATAGTTAAATACCAAGTATTTAGCATCTTTAGCCTAAATAATTTAAAGAACTCTTTTCCATATCCCATCCACCAAATATATCTGGATCTATTTTTTAGGTAATAATTATAAATACCTAAATTAAGTCTTCTTCGTTTTCTACAACTATAATTTCACTGATATTTTCGTTTGTTTCTATATATTTAATAAAAATAGTTAATATTTCTGTTCTAATAGTATTTGTATTTTACAATAAAATGCTTTGAAGTTAACTTCATTCTCTTACAAATAGCTAAAATTTATAGGATCTACTATTATCATTCCTTGAACTAATATGTTTTACAAATAAAAAATAGTTAAAAAAGATAAATTCTAACTTAATTAAAAATAATTTTCTTTTTTAAACATAAACATTATTAATGATTTACTTGCTTTTTATTCTTCACTGTTAAAGTATCGAGGAGAAACATCGAATTTTCCATTGTAAATACTAAAAAATAAGGCATCAACTGAATCAGTGGCAGGATTAGGCAGTTTGTGAGGTGAACTTCTTGCAAATATTTCTACGAGCATTAGTGTTATATCTCCGACAAATTTGTTTTAACTTATTTAAAATTATTTAAATCAAAAGAAATTTAAATTTTCTTTGAATACTTTTTTATAAATTTACATTGGTGATTTTTGATTTAAAGAATTTCTAGTTTTTATTGGAGATTTATCTTTGAATGGTGAAATAATGTTAAACTCATCAGTAAGTCGACTAGGTTATTGAGGAGTTTAATTCTAAAAATCTTTTAAGATTTATTAATATGAAGGTGGTTGCTATTGATATTTGAACGTTTATTTATTATCATACATTGATATTTTAAACGATTCATAGTCATCAGTTAAATATATCCTGAAAAATTTAGGTAATTTTAATTCATTTTTAATATCACATGCATATAGTTTATTTATAGGAGCTTTTATCAATCCATGACTTAAGATTTGAGCTTATTATAGCTTGTTGACTACATTTTTATTTTTCATTTGATAGTGATCAAATAAATCAACCATATTTTCGTAATAAGGGCTTTTGAAATTTAATTAAACTATTTAAATAAATAAATGAAAAAAAAAATAGGTATAATTATTTTACTATTGATGCTCAAAGAATGAGTTTGATTATTAAAAATTTTTGACAATAGCTTCAAAAGGAGGTGGTTTCTTCGAATATGTAAATTAAAAGGTTTCAAAATAAAGCTAATTGCTGTTTATAGGCTATTCAAAAAAAGTTTCCTCAGGAAATAAAAATGGTTTATCTTTAAGTGATTTATTAATTTCAACCTAGCATCGACAAATATGAACAGGTTAGTTACAGTATTTACATACATCAAAAATAGAATCAACGTTCTACTTCAAATTATTTTTATCGACTTTGTAGCGATTTCTCCAGAAAGCAACATGATTTGGTTTTTTCATTGCATTTGATTATATCACATCAAAAGCATTTTTATTCTCTGTACTAGATTTTAATAGCTAATTATCTTTTAAGATATCTTCTAGGTCTATCATTTCTTTTTCTTCTTCCTCTTCTTTATCTGATAAGCACACTTCAGGATCTTCATCTCCATCACCCATATACACCTCAAAGTCTATTGATTGCTTATCAAGCTACTTTTTAAGATATTTATCTTCGGCTTCTTCATCATTTTGCTAAAGGAGCATTTCCAAAATACCTTTTTTCCTAGTTTTGTAATCTTCAAATCTACCTTTTAATATATATAAAACAGCCTTTTTAATATTAAATAGAATTATAAACATTAATATTACTAACTACTTTAGAATAAATTTCATTTTTTTAATTCTATTTTTGCTTGAAAAAATTCTAAATCACATTCAAGTTTAAGAAAATTTCATCAGGGTCTTTCAATTTAGTTTGCGACTTTTAGAAATACTGTAAAATGTGTTGGTTAAACTATTTCCTAACTTTTTCATCATTCATGTGATTTACAGAATTGTATATATCACATCTACCTGTCCTAAATTCTAATGATCCCTCAATGTTATTTTCTAGAGAAATTCGTATTGTGTTAGGGGAGTTTATTTAAAAAATTTATCTTCTTCTATTTTCTTCCAACCACAATTCTTTAATGGCTTTTGTGATTTGCACAGTTATTTCAAAACTAAGAACCTTCCCTCTTTCAAAATGAGTGTATTTAAGAAAAGGATTTTTATCTAAAGAAAGCATTTAAAAGTTATTTTTTTAACTTTAATTAGCTTCATCATCACTGCTTTCATCATCTTCTTTATCTTTATCACAGTGATAAATAAAATTAATCAGATTTTTACTTTCAACATCTGCTTCTATATAACAAGTCGAAGATTTCTATTACCTAGAAAAGTATTCAGGAAACTCTTCGTATATTTCCAAGAGATCAAATTCATAATTGTAAAGATTTTATTTCATTTATCCTTTAGCAATTTAATTAAGAGAAAGCTTTTGAAAAATATTAGCATTGTTTTCACTAAAATCTTTTCTAAATTTATAGTTTATTGCATACACTTCTTTCATTCCATAAATGTAGTTATCACTATAAAAATGCATAAAGTAACTGATGTGACCCTTTAAGATTAATAAAATTAAATATTATTTATATGAGATAGATTAATGAGTAAAATTTTCAGTAATTAATTTATTATTACATCATAAATTTAGAATCTTAGATTCATAATTGCTCCTGCTATGAGTATTTCTTGTATCTTTTTCCCATGACTTGGATTGTAATAAATTATCTTGATAAAAGGTTCATCGTAAGCATGATATCCATAATAATCTTTTTTGTATACTATTTCAGCTTTGTGTACTATTTATTATAAGTTTTTAAATCCTGCATACTTTTAGGCTTTATTTGGTTAGTTTTTAGCATTTGATTAAGAATAGACCTTTTAGAAGCATTCTTCTACTTTAGAGCAAAATTCATATAAAAAAGAATCTAACTTTTCTCTATCTATGTAATATAAAAATAAAATAGATTTTAGCATTATCAAAAATTATACATCAAGTGGAACCTTTAGATTCAAAAATATGTGAAATTCTATCAGCTTTCACATAGAAGTAAGGAAAATACTATTGAAAATTACCAAATAAATTAATGTTTTAGTGTTTGATTTGCAATAAAATTTACATTATGAACATTTAAACAGCACTTTTATCCATATTTATTTGCCCCAAACAATCTTATAATGGGAACTTGTTAAACTTTTTATCCTTTATAGTTTGTTATGTTCTTATAGAATTCAAAATCTTCATAGAAATACTCTTTACCAAATGAAAGTCTTACATTATCTTAAGGTAGCTTAATCATAATGAAATCGTGACTAAATGCTATAATGTTTAAAGTTTACAGCTATCCCTTCTTTTTTAAATGCTCATCTAAGAAGTTTTCATTTAAAGGAGAAGCAACATTTGTCACTTTCATTAAACGGTGAGTAAAAATTTAAAAAAAGTAAATTGATCTATTAAAATCTAGAAATAAAATTTAATATGTTGCTAAGCTAAATAGTAAGAATTAATTGTAAAGGAATAATTGATATTGATTTCAAAAGATTTCTTAACTAGATTTTAGTTGTAGAAACCCTTTTAAGTTTCTATTTTATTAAAATTTTTAAAAAAATTGTCAGAACTATTTACTAATTTTAATGCATCAGAATTTTAATTGTTAAATGAATAAAGTGCGCATTACTATTTTAGTTAATAGAATAAAAACTAATTGAAAGATATTTATTAACTTAATTTATAAATAGAAAAGCAAATTAAAAACTGGAATGTTTAGGAAATCTTATAATTATTAACCCACAATAAATTAAATAATTTAAATTTTTTTTTGCATATAAAGCAAAATAAATAGCTGAAAAATAAATGTCAGTTGGTTCAAAAGATTTGATAACAGATCTTTTTTCTTAATTTGATCTGTTTTACAACAAGCATATAGGACCTTTCAATTAGGTAGTTGCTCCTATAAATCAGGTTTTAGAAAAGATAGCTAAAGAAGTATTTGATAATGATGTAATTTTTTTTTAACCAGCAAATAAGTAGAATCAAATTAAATTTATTTAAAATTTTAGGTTACTTCTGACTAGATTAAGCTTTTACTATGTTTTGTAGGAATCATTCCATTAGGATTTATTCTATTCTAAATAAAATCTCCTCTTTTAAGACATGTTTATAGTTCTCTATTGGGTTTTATTTTAAGTTTTCTTGTGTACGGTGGTAATGTAATATCCTCTCATGTAATGACTTTAGTTACTTATATTCTGTGTGCTATATTTGGTAGACACTCATAAAAGGTTGTCTTTGTATTCTGCCTTACTTTCTTATCAGTCCATCATATTTATCGTCAAATTACTGATTACGGTGGCTGGAGGATGGATGTTTCTGTCATACTCATGATGAATTTCTGTAAGCTTGTCTCATTTGCATTTTGTTATTCTGATGGTTTCAAGGATGAAAAATAATTGTCTGAGGACTAAAAAGAGCGTAGAATATAGAAGCTTCCTAATATTTTCAGCTTTTTTTCGTATATTAACTTTTTGGGCAGTGCAATTGCTGGTCCTACTTTTGATTACTATGAATTTGACAATTTCATCAACTTAAAGAATGGATATGCAAACATTCCTCACCCTATTTTAGATACCTTTAAAAATCTAGGAATAGGTATGGTTTACCTCTTTATAACAGCTAGAGTTCTTCCTAAATTCCCCCTTGAACATGTCCTCACACCAGAGTATGGAGATCTAAATCTACTCTCAAAAGTTGTTTACTATAATTTAGCAATTATTAAATTAGAGTAAGATATTATGCAGGTTGGTTGATGATCCAATGCTCATGTGCCTCAACAGGTATTACTTATAATAATTTATCAAAGAAATTCGATTAAATTGTCACAGTAGAAGAAAGTTTAGAGCTTAGTCACGAAGTTAAAGTTATAGTAGATAAATGGAATAAAACAATTTAAGTATGGTTGAAGCGTTATGTTTACTTCCGTCTTTATTCAGAATAAGAAATTAAGAATAGCAAAACTAAAGCTTCATATGCATAATATGCAACTATTTTAGTCAGTGCTTTTTGGCATGGTTTCTATCCAGGTTACTATTTAGCTTTCTTATAATGGGCAGTTTATATTTCAGTAAGTAAATTTATGTGGAAGGCTGCTACTAATGGAAAGAAAATCTTTAAAATATTTGAGAAGTTTGGAATAGTCCATAAAGTACTTAGATGGTTTGTATGTATGAGTTTCTTCAATTCCTTTGGTGTTCAGTTTGTTCTTTTGAGTGCAGAGAGTGCATGGATATTCTCTAAAAACATTAATTTCTATACTATTACTATAGTAATATGTCTATTTGCATTCTTCCTTATCACCAATTGGGGCCAAAGAACTCCCAGAAACAAATAAGAAGGATAAACCAAAGAAAGTGCCAAAAATATCAAATAAGATTGAAAGCAAAAAGATAAAATTGAATAGTTTAATTAAATCTTTTGATTAATATATAAAATTAATTAATGTGCGTATTATTCGTATTTAATGTCCTTAAATTACTCAAATAAACACTTTCAATTTTTTTCATGATAAAAATTAAATAAAAAGAAAACCAAAATTATAAAATCTATTTTTTAGTTAAGATTAATAAATCTTTATTATTATTATTATTATAATTATTATTATTTATATTATTATTATTCTAAAATAAAATGATAAAATATACAAATATAAAGATTATTCTATCTAGTTTTACAAGAATTTTAAACTTTTACACTTTAAATAAAATTGTAAATCTCTCTCAAAAATCAAAATGACGACATATATGTCATTTAATTTTTTTATTCGAAAATACTTGAACTTAGTCCCACCTTTTAACCTCAATTAAAAGATTATTTGTTTAGTTAAAGTTAAAATAAAGATAAATAGTTTAATAAATTTTAATTATATTTAATTTATGTTCAAATAATCTATTTAATTAGATTAAAATTGAATGACTAATTAATTCAAATATTTACTATTATTTATTTAATAATCAATATTTTTTATTGATTTTTACAAGAATTATATAGATAAAATTTTATAAACAAAGGTTGTTAAAAAAGACAGCATAATATTTTTCGCAATTAAAAATAAATATTTAAATTCTAGATTAAAATTAAAACTAAAAAATTTATAAAAAAAATATTTTAAAAATATAATTTTATTATATTATTAGCTGAAAATATGATAGGAATTAATAATAAATAATTTTTCTGGATTATCTTCTCAATTTTTTTGAACTAAAATAATTTAAAAAATTGGCATAAAATTAAAGCTTTAAAAATAATATTTAAAAAATATTACCTCTTTATTTAATAATATTTTACTAATTTAGTTTGGTGAGAATATGATAAAAATTAGAATTTAATTAATTTTCAAATAAATTTTAATATTAAAAATATTAAAACATTGAAAATATTAATTATAATTTAAAATATATTTTAGTTTGAATGATATTATTTTACATAATAAACTAAAACTAAGCCATATTTACTTCAATAACTGAAAAGCAAATAAAGAATATAAACAAATAAATAAGTACTACTTTTAAAAGCTTTAAATTTATTATTTAGTGCATTTTTAAATTATATTTCTAACATCTAATTTTATTTAAATGTTAATTTATAATATTCGTTGATTAATTCAACAGATTTCATCTGTAATCATGAGATTTCTTATTAAAGTCAACTCTATTATTTTCTAGATCTTGATAGATAGAGAATTGCTTCTCAAAGTCTTTTCTTTCAACTTTTTCTTATATCATCTTTTTTTTAAACATATATAAATTTATTAGCATTGCGATTTTACACTCAAAATAAATATTTTACCTTTCTATTTTAATTCATCATGTGTCTTTCGTATTCTCTTTTTGCAGCTCTTGCTTATTCTTCTTTCTTTATTTTATTTTAAAAATTCATTTTAGAGGAGGCACTTGAAAAAATAACTTTTTACTCTGGCATTTTCAAGGAAATATTTATAATTCTTAGCATTCTCATATTCATTAAGCTTTTTCTCTCTGAGTTAGTAGCAATCTTTAGCATCTTTAAGGAAATCTACTTCTTTCTTTTAATGTTATCTGTAATTTAAAAATGTTTTAAAGCAAATTAAAATTTATTTTGCTTAAGATAATTTAAAATGTTACCTTAATTCGTATTTTTCTTCCCTACTTCCATCAAAGAAGGCTCTTCTATGTTCATGGATGTTATTATATAAATTTTGCTTTGATTGCATCTTTTGTGATTCTTTTTCATGTTATAGATCCTAATATAAAATTAAAAATAAGTAAAAGCAGCAAGCAGCATTTAATATAAAATGCGAATTAATTGGTATTTCATTTTAATTTCATACTAGAGTTGTTTAATTACGACCATGATATTGTTAAACGGGTCTGTTTAAGATTCCTTGCCTGACTTTATTCATTTTATTTAACGATTCCCTATTTTATTTTTCAGATTAAATTTTTATTATTTCTTTTTAAATTATTGCAAAGGATTTCTTGTATGAATGTTTTAATTTCTCATTTAAATAATAGAAACGACTTTATTTTAAATGCCAACATTTAAATAGAAATTATAGTGATAATTAATTAACTAATGCTTTTAATTCTAATTTCATTAGCTTATATAACAAATATTTTCTATTTATCTTTAAAATATGCATTCATTCTACTTTATGTGTCTGTTAAATTAGATATTTTTCATTAATTATTTAAGGTTAAAAATAAATTTTATTTTCATTCATTGCTTTGGCACATTTCTAACAAATAATAACTAGAATATTCTTTTTTTTAGTGATTTTAAAATTATAAATTATACTCTATAGCGCATAGCTAATTATATATATAATAAGTAACAAAATATTTATATTAATTATTTCATTTTTTTCCTCCCTTTTTATTTGCACTTTTAGTATTTGTTGGCTTTTTAGATGCCTTACTTGTTGATGATGTATCTTTAGGCTATACTTTAAAGAAATCATTCAGTCTGGTTTAAGAACCTTTATGTTCTTTAGCATTCTATGATTAATTTAAAATAAATTTTTATTTAATTTAAAAAATATAATTTTACTAAAACTTTTTCCATCTAACTGGTAACTCTTTACTCGCTAAATCCTTTTTCTTCTACTAAAAATTTCTTTAATTCTTCTACATCTGGTTTCTTCCATTCAAGCTTTTTATAAATAAACACAGTTTATATATAAATATTTACATAAAAAAGATCAATTTTACCTAAATAGTCTCTGGATCAGTAACTTCAGGATTAATAAAAAGATCTCTTGCTGATACATAATCATAAGAACTTGGTACTGTATATTTTTATTTTTTAGTGCTTTGTTTGTTAACTTCTTCCATGTGTTCAAGAACTTTCTCTAGAGATTTGTGCTCTGTTATAAGTTTGAAAGCATTAACTGGGCCAACACCTTCTATACGTCCTAAATAATCGCATCCACATAAGATACACAAATCAACAAATTCATTATGAGATAACTTTAATTCTTATAGCATCTTTTCGTAGTTTATTTCTGTAATTGGTTCCTTTTTACTATTGAGATTTCTCAAGAGAAAAGGTGTAGCAAAAGTGAGAGCATCCATATCTTCAGTAACAGTAGCAAAAACTTTCTTAGCTTTTGCCAAAGCAGCGCATTATGCTTCTGCTTCACATGGGGCTAAAATCACTGGAACACCAACCAATTAAAGTAATTTTATTGCATCAGCTTTCATTTCTTTTGTAATATGCAAATTACGTTGTTCTTGCTTTAAAGCTTCTTACATATCACCAGTTTCTATAGCAGTTTTTTACTTTTCAGCAGCTTCGTCTTTTGCTTTTTGTCTTCTTGCAAGCTTATAAATAAAAAATATTTTTAAATATTTCATTAAGTTCAATCTTTAAAAAATGTTGAATGAATTTGTTTATTTATTTATTACTTCACCACTCTTGAATTAAGGAGGTTTACCATCGAAAACCCAAACTGGCTTGAGACCATTTTCGATAAGCATTACAGTTCTATTAAGTAAACCAACTAAATGTCCTGTTTTATTGCCATCTTTATCTGTTAAATTTTATATCTAGAAATCAGAAGCACTGCTTGTAGTTGCTAAAAATTAATACATTGCCTATTTATAGTAAATATGAATAAAATAATTAGATTATGCTTAAATTAGTTATTGATTACCATAGAGGCATCACATGCAATCATACGGCCAGCATAGAATTTTAGATCTGATGTCTTAATGCATCCAGGAGCTTTCTCCTTTAATAGATCCATCAATTTATGAATTCCCATTTTCTCTCTCTATTAATTGCTTTAACCTAAAATGAAGATGACCTTTTTTAATTATTTATTTATTTTTGTTTGTTTAATAATTATATCAAATATTTATTAAAAATTTGCAAGTGATTTATACAAAAAAATTCTTTTAAGTGAATTATTTGATATATAAATATCATTCCTATATGTAAATTTATCTAAAAATTCTAGGAGCCTAATGAAATTATTAGCGGCATATTCTATTCATTAAAAGCAAATGCAAATTATAATAATTCCGGTTAATTTGAATTAGGAAAGTTAGTAATTTTTTAAGTTTTGATTTAATAAAAAATAGCGCTAACATTACTTCAGATTTATAGTGATCAATTTTCTTTTTCATTTTTTATAATAAAGTATTTTATTGAATTACATCATGCAAAATTGTTAATACATCAAGAATAAAAATAGACAATTAAATTATCTGCATTAATATTATATTTAGTAAGAAAAAGTATTTGAAGGCACTCTACTCTAATTATGTTTTATTTTTATATTTTGCTAATTAATAAAGTCAAAATATTTTAATTAATATTCAGGACGGACTTGAATTCATTTAGATAATTATTACTATTTTTGAATTATTTTAAAAGCTAAATTTTTAATTTTATTTTCATTTATCAAACTCTTTAAAAGGCACTGATCAAAAAAAAAAAAATCCATAAATTTTACTATTTTGAGAAAAAAAGTATTTATATCTCTTGTATTTCTTTTCACAGAAATCAAAATTAATTTAATAACTAAAATAATAACAAATTTTCATTAATTACATCAAGCTTTAAATCAATTTTTGAATATAGTTTTTTAAAAGTTTAGCCCATAAAATTTATGTTAATATTTATAATCAATCAAGACTTCTCAAATCTATGGATCTTAATAAGAAAAAAATAAATATATGTAGAATAAGAATCATAATAGAATCAATTCATTTCTCACTTAAAAATAATCAAATTAAATTAATTGAGGAGAACAGACTATGTTTAAATAATATATTTATTTATTACTTACCATACATTTCTAAAATTTTAAATACACTGTAAATTCTTACATATTGCAAATTAAATTTTGGCTATAGTTGTTAAAAGATGTTTTTACTATTTTGGCAAGCAATAATTCTACAAAATAAGGTCTTAATTAATTAAAATTTCCAGTAAATAAGAATTTAAATCAATATAAATATTGCAATTAATTGAAACATAATTAAATTTGAATATTGAAATAAAAATTTAAACAAAATAATAATTTTCTTTTTGATTTTAAAATTTAGTGTTTCATCATATCAACTGATGATTAATTAATTCTAAATTGACTCCAAAATCCTCTTATCAATTTTATTCAAATTTAATTTATTTTATTAGCACTTTTCTAAAAATTTATGTAAGTACTCTTATTAAAGCTCTTCAGATCTTTATATTGCTTACTGCATTTCGTAATGGTTTAGATCTATACCTTATTTGTATTTTTTCAGAATATAAGAAATTCGTTATTTATAATTTATTTACCTTTTTTATAATCTAAAAGATTTGATGTACATCCAACGACTTATAATGCAGCTAATTAATCTTAATCTAGCAAGAGAAATATAGCTTTTTTCAAAAATAAAATATCTTTGTAAATTCTAAAAATATCAAGCTCTTCATCAATTTAAGCTTGAATCCTTTTAAATTGTTATAAACTAAAATGATCTGTGATTTATTTTGTTTTTCTACATCTTTTAAATTAAAAATTTTTTAAAATATAAAAATAATTCATAAATAAATAAATAAAGAATAACCTGAATCCAAAAAGATATCTTTAAATTTTAGAAGATATATTTTTATTTTTGATTGCCTAGAATTTTTATAAAATTTAACAAAACTCTCTTTTTTTGTGAAAGTTTTATTCATCTAACTCAACCATAGCTAAGTTATTAGTATTTAAGTCATGTATATTCTATTAGTTTTTTTTGTTTTCTTAAAAAAAGTTGCTAATTAAATTGTGATTAACTGAGTTTTGAGTTTGTTACGGAGAAGATTACTAGTATGGTAATAATTCAATTGATTTTTCAAATGCTTGTTTAAAATTTTGAGTTTTTTATTTCTTATTTATTTCAGATTTTTATAGTTAAGTTTTAAGATTTGAATTATTTTTAATGTCCTAAAAAGAGTATTATTAATCATTATTCCCTTAATTTTTATGATTTTATTTCTACTACTAAAAAGGTATCGAATCAATTATAAAATTATTTGGTTAATCTAAAATTATATCTTATTTATTTTCTATTAGAGACAGATCTTTTTATTTTATCATAGAAACTCTTGAATCTAACATTTATTTCATTTTAACAGAAATTGATGGTATTCTAGTATTAAATTTGAAAGAGTAACTGTCTATTTCGTCTTATATTTGCAAATTATCACATTCTTCTTCTGTATCATTTTAAAGTTACTTTTGTTTCGATAGCTCTGTTTATGGGGACTGGTAGTTTTATTTCACTAGTTTAACATCTTTAGATATTTGTAAATAAATATCTAAGTAATGATTTTATAAAAAAAGCATGAAAAAGTCTTTTTTGATAGCATTTAAAGATGCTTTCTTAGCTATAAATCCAATTAGCATCAACAAATTAAAAATGCTGATAACAAAAGAAAAGATTTATGAGATTAATGGATATTAAATGTCAATACGCTAGTATACTTAGTCAATTAAAACATTTATTGAAATAAAATAATTAATTCCTACTAACTTATATATAGATTACCTGTCTATAGTTTAATTTTCTAAACTATACTATAAAGGAGAACTAAACTAATTTTCTGATTAAATAAAAAATCCTTACTTCACATGAGTTATTTATTCTAATATTTTTAGATTTGATAGCACTTGTTAATTGCTTAACCCAAAAACTATACTGCTCATATAGCTAGTCTCTATTTTTTAAGATGTAGTGTTGTATTAAGAAGTCTTTACCCTAATTTTAACTGCAGCATTAAAACCATTTATCAGATTATCTATTTTTTCTTAGCTTGCACAATTATCAGGAATAGTTGTTTTAAATAAGTCTAAATCATTACAACCATAAATATTTATCTGGATTTAAGACAAAATATTATCTTTTTAATTAGAAATCAACGTACTGTTTGGTAATTTAGAGATGTCTAAACAATAATATCCTTATAAATCAGGATTGACACATTTTATTATATCTATAGGCAATAAAGTATAATCACTCTATCGTTGATATAAATAGTAAGCCATATAAACAATATATGTTTAATTTGTTTATTATTCCAGAACATCAACGCTCAAGTTGAAATTAGATTCAAATCTAAATGAAACAGTATCTTCTTATAACTCTAAATTAATAGAACTATCATTTACAAAGTTTTGGGCTTTATAGTTTGGAGCAATTAAATTGTTGAAATATTAATTCAGAAGATAACCTAAATAAAAAATAGTAACTCCAAGAATTATAATGGATAAAAATGACCCACACAGAGTTCCTTTCTTTCTCGATTAATTTTTTAAGCTAAAATTAAAATTTTATGAAAATAAATCAAGACTTGAAAGATTCATATTTTTGCTAGTAGAAGTTTTAAGTTAATTTCTTTTAGAACAGTGTAAAATTTTTAATTCTAATAAAAATAATAACTACTTTATTATTTGATAAAATTTAGTTTTTGGTTTAAAAGGAAAAAAAAAATGAAATTTTAAAAAATGCAAATTAAATTTTTAGCGATTCTCTATAAAATAGGTTTTAATTAATAAAAATTTACAGAATATAAGAATATAAATATTAACATTAATTCAAAGATAATTAAAACTGAAAATAAAATTAAGAATTAAACAAAAAAATAGATTTCTTTTTAAATAAAATTTAGTTTTTCATATTATCAATTGATGATTAATTGATTCTAAAATCCTCTTATCTATGCTATTCAAATTTAATTTATCTTATTAGCACTTATATAAAAATTTATGTAAGTACTCTTATTAAAGCTCATCAGATTTTTATATTGCTTCCTGCATTTCGAAATGATTTAGATTGATACCTTATTTGTATTTTTTTAGAATTTAAGAAATTAGTGATTTATTTTTAATGTATTTACCATTTTTATAATTTAAAAGATTTGACGTGCATCCAACTACTTATAATGCAGCTAATTAATCTTAATCTAACAAGAAAAATATAGCTTTTTTCAAAAATAAAATATCCTTGTAAATTCTAAAAATATCAAGCTATTCATCAATTTAGGTTTGAATATCTTGGAATTGTTTTAAACTAAAATGATCTGTGATTTATTTTGCTTTTTTATATCTTTTTTAAATAAAAAATTTTAAAATTATAAAAATAATTCATAAATAAATAAATAAATAATAACCTGAAACTAAAAAGATATTTTTTAATTTTTGAAGAAATATTTTTATTTTTGATTACTTAGAACTTTTATAGAATTTAATTAAACTCGTTGCTTTTATGAATATTTTATTCATCTAACTTAATTATAGCTAATTTGTTAGTATTTAAGTTATATATATTCTATTAATTTTTTTTGTTTTCTTATAAAGTGTTTAGGGTGTGATTTGGCGATCGTAGAATTGGTTACGTAGGTGATAACAAATATGGTACTAATTCAATTGATTTTTCAAATATTGGTTGACTTTTTTATTTCTTATTTATTATAGATTTTTATGATTAAGTTTTAGGATTTGAAAGATTTTTGATATTCTAAAAAGGATCTTACTATTCAAAACTACTTTCATTTTTATCATTCTATTTCTGCTACTAAAACGCTTTTTGATCAATCATAAAATTATTTGCTTCAAAAAAAAATCTATCTTATTTATTTTCAATCTGAGACATATCTTTTTTTATCATAGAAACTCTTGAATCTAACGTTTATTTAATTTTAAAAGAATTTGATGGTATATTTTTATTAAATTTGAAAGATTAATTGTCTATTTCATCTTATATTTACTAACTATCAGATTCTTCATCTGTATCATTTTTAAGTTATTTTTACTTAGAGAGTGCTGTTTATGGGGATTAATAGCTTTATTTCACTAGTTTAATATCTTTAGATATTTGTAAATAAATATCTAAGTAATGATTTTATAAAAAAAGCATGAGAAAATCTTATTTGATAGCATCTAGAGATGCTTTCTTAGCTAAAAATCCAATCATCATTAGCAAATTAAAAATACTGTAAACAAAAGAAAGGATTTATGAAATTAGTGGATATTAAATATCAATACGCTAGAATACTTAATCAATTAAAATATTTAGTTAAATAAATTAACTAAGTCCTACTAATTAATACACAGATTACCTGTCCAAAGTTTAACTTTCTAAATTATACTGTAAAGGAGAGCTAAAGTAATTTTCGGATTAAATAAAAAATCCTTACTTCACATGAGTATTTTACTCTAATATTTTTACAGTAGTTAGTATTTGCAAATTGCTTAGCCCATAAATCAAACTGCTCATATAGCTAGTCTCTATTTTTTAAGATGTAGTGTTGTATTAAGAGGTTTTTATTCTAATTTTAAGTGCAGCATTAAAACCATTTATCATACCATTTATTTTTTCTTAGCTTGCACAATTGTCAGGAATAGTTTACTTAAAATGGTCTAAATCATAGCAACCATAAACATTAATCTAGATTTAAGACAAAATATTTTCTTTTTAATTAGAAACCAAAGTATGATTTTATAATTTAGAGATTTCCAAACAATAATACCCTTATGAATCAGGATTGGTACATTTTATTATATCTATAGGTATATAAGCATATTCATACTAATATTGATATAAATAGAAAGCCATATAAACAAAATATGTTTGATTTGTTTATTATTCCAGAACATCAAGGCTCAGGTTAATATTAGATTCAAATCTAAATGAAACAGTGTCTTCTTATAAATCTACTTTAATAGAACCGTCATTTACAAAATTTTAAGCTTTATAGTTTGGAGCAATTAAATTGTTAAAATACTGATCCAGAAGATAACCAAAATAACAAATAGTAATTCCAAAAATTACAATTGATAAAAGTGATCCAAACAGAGTTCCTTTCTTTGTCTATTAGTTTTTTAAGCTAAAATTAAAATTTTATGAGAATAAATCAAAATTAGAAAGATTCATTTTTATGTTAGTAATTTAGTTTAATAAAGAATAATTTATTTATTAATTTCCTTTTTTACTTTTTAGTTCTAATATATTTAAATTATTACCAGAAAACTTGTTGCTTGAGTTGATTTTGATTTATGTTTTTTAGTAATAAAAATATATATATAATGAATTTATCTTCATTTAATTCATTTTTCACATAATAAATCAAAAATAATACCACAAAAAATTAGTTTTTTTCAATGCTCAAAAATTTTTTAATTATCACCTATTTTTTTTAAAAAACAAAATATTTAAAAAAACTTACCAAATTAGTGGTAATAATTAGAGGTATTACAGTAAGTAAATAATATAAAAATTACAAATTAATTAATTAATCTTTTATTTTAATTTTACAAGTAATTTGCTTGATATAGATAAAATATACTGCAAATAGCTATACAAATTGTTTTAAAAATTTTTTAAATAATTATTAAACTATCTATATACATATGTACTTTTGAAAGCATTTACTCCTTTTTTTGATAATTTCAAGAAACATCTTCGAATTTTTTTTCTCTATCCCATACAACTTTACCATTTTTTTTAATTTAAGTTACTCTGTATGATTTTACATCAGATATATCAAAAGTATCAAAATCCATTTCCAGATCTTTCAAAAATCTATCTTAATACACAATGCTGAAATCTGATTTATCTAAAGCAGGATCCCATTTGATTCTGTTTATAATAGAGAGAATTGGAGTGAGCTTTTTTTTATATTCTTCTTCATCATCTTCCCCTATCTCCTATTCAACTCCTCCGCGCTACAATTATGCCAACTTTTTATTATCATAGCAATTTCCTAAAACACAGACAGTATCTTTAGCACAGCTAACTTCGATGATTTTATATTTTCTCTTATCCCTATGATTGTAAATAAAATTTATTCAAATATTTTACAAAAAAAATTTTATATTTAATTACTTGAGCTCAGTGAATTTGTCTGTTATCTCAATCCATCTTGTAGTCGTTTCTTACTATTAATTAGCTTAGGAAGAAGTCTTACTTGTTTAAGAGTTGCTGTTTCCTTATTTCTGATTACCTTTAGAATTGTTTGCTTTTTATCCTTTGTCTTTACTTGTTAAATCCTCTGACTCTTTTTTATTTTTCTTTTATTTCTTATTATTTTTGTTTTCTTTCTTTTCTTCTTCTGAATCAACGTCTGCTTCGTGCTTCTCTGGTAACTTTTTCTCTACCTTTCTTTCTCTGTTTTCAGTAATAAATATCCTTTTTTCTTTGGTAATCATTAATGAATTCCTCCATCCAACTTTTATAACATCTATCTCATCATTTACTGAAAGTGAAGGTATTTCTATTTCTTTAGGAATACTAATATTACTGCATTTAGCTTATCCCAATTAACCTGAGTCGTTTTTTCCCCATCCATAGAGCTTTTCAGGTTTATAGGTAGTTTCTTTGTATTTAATAATCTCTGTTTAAATCTTAAGTTGTAAATCATCTCTAATTATAATAATTTAAAAGAATTTAAAAAATTTTTAAATAAAGAGAGTTAATATAACTTTCAATATAAAAATTGCAATAAAATTACCTAACCAATCCAAGACGATCTTTCATAAACTTTTTATTCATATTACTTAGATCTGATCCCTTAATGCCTTCATATTTAACTATATTAATATAATCTTAGAATTCCTCAAATGAATTCAGGAACTGAATAACTTATTCTGTATTCCACTGATCCATAGGTGGAATTTGTTCTCTCTCATAAGCAAAGAAACTTGCAAAGCCGCTAAAAACCTTAGTTATGTACTTCTTAGATAAGCCTTCATGTAACTTGGCAGGTAAAACATTTGGTTAAACACCTCCAATATTGACATAATTAGATAAATCGACATGGTATAATCTATTATCTAAACCAACTAGCAAGAGCTGATGATACCCAACAGCAAAACTAAGAGAATCATTAAATTAATATTCAGATACTCTCTTCATACGCTAATTATTTGAAATTGGATTATTGACATCCTCTGGGATTAAATCATTGATATGATAAACTACTATATTCAATTTTGTGTCATCTACTCCCATTTACTAAGAATTATTTTTAGAACCAATTTCTTATCCTGAGACTATTCTATTTAATTAGGCAGAGAATACAGGACGTTAAGCTTCAGTTTCTTTAATCAAAAATGCAGCCATTCCATATGAAGCCTTAAAGTGATTGACAGGTATTTCGAGTGTCCATTCAAGTACAATTTCTCTCAGCTAACTGCATGGTTTTTCTTCTTCATGAAAGACTATATAGACGGCTCCTGCGCCAGTTAAGTAAATGAAATTACGAGGAGAAGTAGAGAATTTTGTGACGTTTGTTCTCCTAATATACTCAAAATCTTCATCACTTGCAAAATACTCTGTAGTTTTACAGAAATAGAGAGCATTTTCGTGGGTTTAGAATGCAGTGAATTTGGTTCCAATAGAAAACTTTTTAATTCCAATGTTGAAAAGCTTTTTTTAAGAACGACTTCTATAAACTTTTAAATCATCAACACTTTGCTTATCAATAGGGAATTGAGAGATGTTAGTAAAAAGAACATCACGGTTGTAAATTTGCCTATAAATTTTTCCGTAGTCAGTGTTTTAAACATCTTAGAATTACTATTCTGTGATGTACCTCATTTTATATAACTTTTAACGGAAATATTCTTAGCAATTAGACAAAATTTGTTTGTTTGCGCGCATTAGTTTGCATAGCTCACTAATGTTTAAAAACTCAGATATCTTCAAGAAAATATCTTTATTTTAGATCTTCTTAGATTGCTCCTATTTAGCATTTTATAACTACAATTGTTATGATGACTCGTCACTCATTGGTCTTTTTGCTATCTTTATCTATTTATTATATGATGATATGTATTTTCTGTTTTTTAAGATATTTATAAACTAACTAAAATGTTTATTTTATTGTAATTAAGTAATAATAATTATTAAATCTTAAATTCCAATTCTGGATTTAAATCATAGTTTTTAATTTTTATCAAAAACACATACATACATATATATATTATTGATTAAAAGAAAAAAAGAAAGATAGATAGATATATAAGAAGAATAAATTATAAATCTTATAAATTCTTCCTATATCTTTACTAAATTAAATCTGATGAAAAATGATAAAAGCAAATAATAGTTCTTTATTTAATAATCTCTTAATAATGTCTATTATCTTCATTAAGGCTTTTCTATTTTTAATTTACAAAATAGTTCTTTAATACAATTAATAAATTAATAGACAACTTAAAATAATTTATCCTAAATGTTAAATTCTGAATAGAAAGTTCATTTCTAATGTTAATTATCTATAACATCATTACTTATAGTCTATTTCTTACAATTAAAAAAAAGTTATTTGAAATAATTGAGTAGATAAATTAAGTTTAAAAATTATAAAATGGCTGCTATTATTAAAATAAATTTAACCTAGTTTTAATAAAAGAGAGTTTAGTTTATTTTAAGTTAATCTTAAGAAATTCAATAAAATTTTAAATAAATAATAAGTTATAACTTACAATAACTTAATTGCATAAGTTATTTAGAATAAACCATAAGTAATAAGGAGCTATTATTTGGTGATTTTATTTCTTTTCTGTTATTTGGGTAATGTATGAAAAAGAATAAATAAAATAATCTTAAATATTTAATTAATTGAAAACATTTTTTTTTTAGCATAAATTTTAATTTGTAGTAGAATTTAAATGAATTGATATTAAATAAATTTTTCTATTTTTTGGAACTAAATTAATAGACTGATTGATTTAAATTCAAAATTGCAAAGATACTTTTATATGCCACTAATTATTATCAATTATAAAAATTAATTTTTTAAATTAAAAAATATCTTTATTGTTCGCACTTAATTAAGAGAAAGAAGTTTAGAATAAAATGAATAAGTAGTAGGGAGATTCCAAAGTTTAATAAAGAAACTTAGATTAAGAATAAAAACCTTTAATAAAAGAAGAAGAAACTGAATAGATAGATAAGAAGGATTTAGAAAAGAGATAAGCCTCTTCTTTACATATTTTGAATAAGCCTAGTTTATCTGGCTTTAAATATGATGAATTCCCTATGACTTCAATAGTCTTGCATCTAACATTTTTTATAATGCTGGCTATTTATAAATTTGCTGAAACAAGTAATTTAAATTGAAAAAAAATAAACTAAATAAATTAACTTATTGTAAATTTATCTAAAGATGTAGGACCAATGGGTATTATCATTACATTTTTCTATATAGGCATTCAGATAGAATCATTATTTGGAGATATTCCAAATTTTTTCAAAATAAAGCCAGTTTTAAGAGATATAACTCCCATTTTAAAATAATGGAAAGAAAAGTCCGTTGATCTTACTTATGATGTTATATCTTATCATTATTAATCTTCTAGAGTACATGGTTAAAAAAGAAGAAGTAAATCTTTTTCCTCCTCAGATTCTGTTAAGCTTGATTACTTAACTTGTGAGGATGTCACTGAAGATTGTTCTGAAATATTTAAAAAGTACAATATTTTTGTAATATACAGCTCAATTATGTTCACTTATGGTAACTAAAAAGCTGAATAAGAAATAACTAATAAAATTAAGACAATTAAAGAAGAATAGTAAAAACAAGATAAATATGTCGATGACAAAATCAATATTTAATTAAAGGATATCTAAAATGAAGTTGTAGATTTAGTTTATGCTAAATCTGGCTCAATTTTTATTAACAAATTTTTCTTCTGGCTTACTTCGCTTTTACTTTTAACAGTACCCTACAGACTTTACGTAAACAGCTAAACTGCTCATCTCTAATATAAAATCCACAAAAAAATTTATGTCTGAATTAGAATAATAAATTAACAACACAATATTTTATTTTTAGTCTACATTTAAATATTTATTGCATATATCAATCAATATCAAATCAATAATCACTTTAATTTTTATCTCAAGCATCAAACAATTTTTATAATTTTGATTTTTTTTATATGAACTCAACTAATAAAATTAACTTTTAAAAGAACACAAGAATTAAAATGAACCTTTTATAGAAATCAAAAATTAAAATGAATTTTTTATTGAAATCAACGAATAAAATGAACTTTATATGGAATTCAATTAATAAAATGTACTTTTAATAAAGTCAACAAATATAAAACAGATTTTTGTTATTTCTTCTTCTTCAATATTAATTTTTGAAGAAGTAGAATAATAATAATATATACTGTTTAAAATGCAAATAAACTTATTTTCAAACAATTTCAGCATTTGTTTCAAAAGCTTCTTTTTATTTATTAAATTCAATATTTTCATTTTATGATTGCAAAAATCTAAATTTTTATCTCAATTTGAATTTTTTTAGAAAAATATTTTTATAATTTGAAATTGAAAAATAAATTAAATTTTTTAATATATTTTTATAATGTGTAATTTAAAAAAAAAATTTTTAAGTTGATTAGTTTACACTATTAGCAGTAAATTAATTAAATTACTACTTAGTTAAGTGTTACAGATTTTAATGTAGAACTAAAACATATCTTTTATTTAGTATGGAAAGTAAGGATTAAAAATAATTTTTAGATACAATTAAAGATAAAAATATAGCAGATAAAAATAAATAATATCATGAAGTTAGTTCTAAATTAATTTTTGCTTCCTTTGCCATTCTGATAATCATGGCAGTCTTGACTGCTTTTTCAGCAGCTTCGTCTAAATCTTCAGTGAAGATTAGATTAAAACCTGAGTTTTATATAATTTCTTTTGCAGCTTCTACATTGTTTCCTTTTAATCTAAGAATTATTGGCTTTTTCATACCCAAAAGGGACATACCTTTGATTAAACCAAGACAAATTATATCACATCTATTTTAAATATAATTGGCTTATTTTTTATTGCTACAAAATTAATTTTATTTACTTTGTGATACCTGCGAAAATATTAACTAAAATAGCTTCTACATTAGGATCATTATCCATGATTTTCAAAGCTTCTACTACCTAAGTATCATCTGCTTTGCCTTTATTATTAAAATTTCATTTTTAAATGATTTCCTATCTATTATAAAAGATAAAATTTTATACCACCACAATCTAGGAAATTAGCAGGCATGCCATTCTTTTGCTTGATAATGTCCATAGTAGCCATAGCTAAACCAGCACCATTTACCATGCAACCAATGTTACCATCTAAAGCAATATAGTTCAATCCATATCTTTGTGCTTCGATTTCCTTCCAATCTTTCTGTTTAATTTTATTAAATTGTTAATATAATTTTTTTTTTAAAATCTGCATGAAAATAACTATTTACTTGTGTAATATCTTCCATTTGAGATAACCTTGGCTATCTGTATGATGAATTATCGTCAATGTTCATTTTTTGATCACATAACTTGATTTAATTATCAATAGTTAAACCCAAAGGATTTATTTCTAACAAGGTTGCATCATTGTCAATAAAGCATTTGTATAAACTAGTTACAATCTAATTTATTAAATAATTTAAAATTTAATTGAAGTAAAAACTTTATTACATTTTTAAGCTACTAATCAAAGGCTGAGCCTAAATTGTAAGCTGCAATAATTTCATTTAATGTTTCGTTAGGTATTTCAATACCAGGTTCTAAAAAGAAAGTCTTTATATGCTTTGGATCACCCTCTTCGATATTGACACCACCTTTCTCGTTACATATGATACATAATCCACCTCTAGTTCTATCTAAAGTAATTGAGAAATACATTTCCTTATTTTTTACAAAGTTTATTCATTAAAGATAAGTCATTCATAAATAAATATTATTTAAAGAATTAAAAATTTATTCGTTGCTTATTGTAAATCATTATTTTTACTTTTCTTAAGAAGATACGCTCTGTAATCATAACTGAAGAGACGTTACGTCCTCTTGAACCAGTTTATTTTGTGATCAAAGTCTTTCCAATCATTTTTTCAGCAATTTTTCCTACTTCTTCTGGAGAGTGAGCAAATTATACTCCTCCTTACAAAGAAGACTCCTTGAAATAACCCTTACCTCTACCACCAGCATGCACCTTATTATAGAATTAAAATTGATGTAAATAATTTTTCATAATGATTGTTATATAGTTTACTTAAGCTTTAACGACGAAGTCAGTGAATTGAGAAGCGTTATTTCTAGGTTTTTATCTTTCTAATTATTCGGCTAACTTTATTGCATCTTCAGGGTGAGTAGCTCTATATGCCTAATTGAGTTAAAAATTGAAAAATGAGAAATTTAAATCAAATCTTATAATTCTGCTTAAAACTAAATTGATTATTTAGATCTAAAACTTGTAAAATTTCATAGTATATTAGTTTATTTTACTGAAATAAGTGTTTGAAGACTTAATTTTCGTTTTTTCATTTTTTTAAATTTAAAAAAAGCAATCAAATGTAAAAGGAGTTTAAATCTTACTTAAAGAAGAGGAAGTTTATATTCTTTAAATAGGTTATGAACTTAATACTCATGCAAGATAATGTTATTTTGTGGAATGGTTGTGAGTTTACTAACCTTTGGGACAAGCTTAGTGGATTTCTTAAGGAAGCTATGTAAGAACATTTATGGATATTTTGGAGTTTTACTAACAACAGCAAATAAATAGTGTAATTTTTATGATTTTTGATATTATATTTTTTTACCTCTTTGTTTAAAAAAAAAATACACAATTGGAAGAAAAGATTAATTATTTAATTAAAAATTTAGTAATATAATCTAGTAAGTCTTTAAACATAAAGGTATTGTAATCTACCAAAATAATCAGTCATTTTATTTGTGCTAAATAAAAATTGTAATGACTAATGCGATAATTGCGAAATTTCAAAAGATTATTACTCTTCTTCTAGTTTATGGATTGTTTCAAAATTAAATCCCCATTATTTTTTTTATTAAAGTTAAGTAAAATTTTAATATAGCTAACTTAAGCTCAAAGCATTCATAATTTGCATGTGTTAACAAAATAAATATTCTATATATTTCTCTAAATGTTCTTTTGATCCTAATATATGATCAGAGTAATCCTCATGAATAATATAATTAAATTTCTTGAGAAATTTGACAATATATTTCTTTCTGGAATATCTTAAAAATATTCCAAACAAATTTTTTCAATTTATTGAAAAGAAAAATTTATTTTCAAAAAGTATGTTTTAAGTAAGACTAAATTAATCATAAGTGTAAATTAAATATAAATTTTCTTATGCTAATTAAACAAAAATAATATTTAAAACTATTTAACAATTATTTTATAAATAAATTCTCAATAAAGCATGTTTATAAATAAATATCTAAATAGGTTATAATGAGCTATTTACAAATTCAATCTAATTATTATTTTTTTCCAAAAATCAGCTGGCTAAAAAATTATTGCTTATTTAATAGAAATAATATTTAAAATATGAATACTTTCTAACTTGCATGCAAACTTTATCAAATTTAATAGGTTATAAATTAAATAATTGTAAATAATGATTAATTAGTTAAAATATTCACATTCAATCTTTTATTAAAACAATTAATAATTGGTATGTAAACATAGTCGATTGAGTGAATTTGATAATATATTTATCTTATCAAAATTAATTGAAATAAAAAAAAAATTTATAATTTAAAAAAAATATGGCTTTTTTACTAACTTAACCCAAATATTAATTATCTAAATAATTGTTTATTAAATAATTTAAAATCTAAAATTATTTATAATTTTAGAAAATAAACCTATAAAATTTTTAAAGACTGATTTAAATATTATTTTTGAAAAAAAGAGAATGGAGTTATTAAAAATATTTTTTAAATTAATAAATAATTAAAAAATAATAATAAATTAATATATGTTCATAAATAAAATAAATTAAACATTATTTTTGAATAAAAAACGAGAATGGATAGATTCAAAATATTTACAAAATAAAGAGTTAATAAACAAATAAATGAAAATTGATTCATCATGAAAAATAAGAAATGAAATAGTATTTTATTAAAATTATTAATTATTATTTTTACTTAAAAAAAAAGACATTAATATTATTTAAGCTTAATTACCTACAAAATTAATTATTCTAATAATTAAATTTTTATTTATTTAAAATGATGAAGTTAGAAAGTATTTATTTAAAGTTTGTTAAATATTAATTTATACAAAATATAAAATGTTTTATTTATCATTAGTTCATTTCTTTATTGGTTTTTGTATTTCTTCATTTTTATTTTAAGAATTAAAATCCAAAAGACGATTATATTAATATGCAGTCATTTTTCTTATAGCATATCTTAGAGCTTCTCTGCTGAGCTGATTATAGTGATTTTCAATAAAAGAAACTGTTCTCTTTTTATCAGCTAAATAGAGTTCTCTTAAAAGCCATCCAACCCCAAGCTAATTAAATCTTTAGTCATATTGAATGACTCTTTCGCAGATTTCAAAGAGAAGATCAATATAACCTTAAAAGTTTCCTTGATCTCCTTTTTTAGCTCTTGTTACTTGACTAACACAACAGCATCTTCTTATCCATAAGCATTCTTCTTCTTTAGACCATTCAGCGATATACCTATAAACATTGAATTTAATAATAGACATAAAAATATTTTCATTATTTTGTTACAAACCTTGTGTTTTGTTCTGAAAGGAGAGTCCATTTTCTAATTGGTCTTGACAATATATCACAAGTAGCCCACTCTTATACATATCCTTCTTTGATCAATTTTTTTATAGAATCAATATCAGCCTCAGTTAATATTTTATAATTTTTTTCATATATAGAAATAGAAACTAATTTGTCTTCTCCGTACTCTGATTTCATAAGCTCCTCAGCAACTTTTAACTTCTCATCGTTTTCTAAACTCTTAAAAAGTTCACTTTTCATTTGATCATTTGCTAGTTGATAAACTTTTGGATGCTAAACACCCCTATGTATGATTACATTCTTCATGTAGTTGTTTTTAATTTAAGCTTTTGCTTCATCTCCTATCAACTGTAATCCCTTTTGAATAGAAGAAATAACTAATTAAACTCTTTGCATAATTTGTTATCTATTTTATATTTGTTTGTTATCTATTTCTACTAAGTATTGTTATTTTTAGAATAATATTTTTTTTAAAGATACAATCTAAAAGCTATTTAGAGTATTATCAAATTAAATTTCCAAAAGAAATTTGATTTTTCAAAATATATTAATTTTGGAGGAATTTTTATGAATTTTTGATATAAAATTCTAATTTGTTAATCAAAAGAAAACAAACCACCAAAAACAAAAATAATTATTATAATTTTGATAAAATGTTATTGATATTTTTTATTTAAAATTAGATTGCTTGGGAAGTATCCTTTAAAATTAGTATAATTAAGTCTACTTCATAAATAGATTCTCTTGTAATTCTAATTTTATTAAAGTTAATTTTCTAATCAGAAATACATGAAATAAATTAGGCTTAATCATGGTAGAAAGAAAAACTAACAGAAATCTTTTCTACACTACACAAACAGCCTTACTAGCTAAATAATTATATTACATCATTTTTTGATAATAGTCCAAAATCTATTAATCTATTAACTGATTTAACTTTTAATAAAGCTAAGAAATTAATCTAAGCCAATTTAGGTTGGTTGAGTGGTTGAATTAATTTTCAATTTTTTTTAGCATTTAATATGAAGATTTAAATTATTAACATCAATTAGCTTTAGTTGAATTAAATATTATAATCAATTTTTAAATATTTTTTCCCTTAAAGAATTCTAATTTACTTTTAAAAAGAAAGTTTTGGAAAATAATAAAGTTTTCATAATTTGATGTCAGTGGGATTTATATACTAAAAATAAAGCAATCTATCTATCAATCAATAAACCTGTAAATATAAACTAAAAAATAATTCGTATAATTTTTAAAAAATAATTCAAAATTTAAATATTATTATAAAACTATGAAAAAAAATAAATAATAATTTTTACTACTTAGCTTAATGATCGATTTTTATTTTTATATGCCTTTTTTATACTTTTTTTGATGCAAACATTCTAATAAATTTAAAGCATAGTTTTTGTTAATGAAATGAGTAAATTATGTATTGAAGAAACAGAAACCTCGATTGAGAGTATAAAAATATTTAAGTAGTAATATATTATGATAGTATGTGTATAAACTAATATATAGGAGTAATATATAATAAGTACAAGGAAATTTGAATAGACAATTAATTTTATAAATGTATTTTTAAATTAAACCACCTTATATACTAAGATGGAATTGAGATTTGAAACATGAGATATTAATCATTTTGATAGCAAGTAACAGTAAGGTATTTAATTAACTATGCAGTTTTTTTGCTGTCTTCGGTTAAGACCGAAATAATGGTAAATGACAATATATTATATTTATCTTTCTCATTCACTTAGACTGATTTTTCTTTAAGAAAATATACATATTCAAACTGAAAAGCAAGAGAGATATTTTTTATTCTTCACTCAAGTCAGTGTTTATGGGATTTTGCTCAAAGATGTCTTCCCAAGAATTATCAATCTTTCTTCCAGATTTAGGACTAACTCTTTGAAGCTTTGAGCTGTTCATTCTTTCAGCAACTCTGTTTTAGAAAGCACTCTTTTGTGAAATTTATCTTGAGTTCAACATTTTGATTTATTTGCAGATTTTTATTTATTATTTCAATTTAATTTTCTTATTACAAAATTATTTATAAATGGATTTTATTGATGGCACGTGACTTTATTTAAATCAATTATTTTTATAAATATTATAATTTTTCTTCTCTTAAATCACTTTTTTTTTTTACTCTTGGCTTGTTTAATCTATGATAAGTCTAGTCTAGCTAATTAATTAATTAATACATCTTATCAAGATTTTTTTGAAGGGTTTGAAGAATTAATTATTAAAATTTGATATAGATTTCTAAAAGGGGTTCTAAAATAAATAGATAAAAATAGCTAGTTATTTAACAAACAGTATAGCATCTATTAACAAATTAATTTTTTTCTTATTTATAATTATTTGTTCTGATCAAATCTAAAATTATTATATTACGCAATTCCAAAAGCGTATATTAACATAATTACAACCCATTTCTAAACCCAGGAAAATTGTCAATTAAAAGAAATGTTTAATTTATAAATATCTACTATATTTTTTTCTATCAAAAAGTTATATTTTTGTAAGTATTTAGGTTAAAATAAAATAATTATTTCCCATTAATTTAAATATATTGAATTATTTTAATTGAAATAAAAGAATTTTTTATGAAAAACATTAATTTTCTACACTACTTTATAAGAAATAGACAAAGTAACATTATGATGTAGACTACTTATATTAAATTTTCTTTTTCTAAAAAAGTATTTCAAGAAATTAAGTTATAGATTATTTAAGATGACAAAAATAAGGAAAAATAAAAATATTTTATTTAACTTTGATAAAATCTAAATTTAAACTAAAAATCAACTAATATATACACAATTTTTGATCATAAATCTTTAGTATTTCTTATTCGATATTTGATTTTAATAATTGCACTAAAATATTAAGCTATATTAACAATTTTTATTAGTTAAGCGATTCCTTAATCGAATAACATGGTATTATTTCTTTCGTAATATCTATTATACAAATTATAAATCTGTTAGATGATTTTTTAATTAACAATAATTCAAAATATTTCATCTCAATAAATATTATCATTAAATTGATAACTTTTTTATCTACCTTATATTTTTTATTTATAGTTAATTAGAATAAACTATGGTAAATAGTTATCTATCTCAAACAAATATGTTTTACCTTCTTGCAAAAATGAATCCATTTAATTAGATTTTAAATAATTAGATAGTATATTAGATTATATTAATTTTTGGTCTATAAAATAATAATAAAAATAACAAACAAAAAATACATTATTTATACATGTAATTAAATTTTAATCACTCTTCTTATTTTTGTTTGACATTCTAAAAGTTATTTTTCCAGTAGATATAAGCTCTTCTGCTAAAGTAAACCATAGTTCCTAAGAAAATAACTCCAAAGAAATTCCTGAAAAAGCGACTATCTAGTAAATTTTGCTTCATATTAAAAATATATTAATTTTTATCGTTTACAAGTGCATCAGGAAGTTCGAATCTAAACTTTCCAGTTTCCATATTGAAAAATATTTGACCATAAACACTTGTTATCGAATCAACTTTTATGCCTATCTCTTTTTCAGTTATTCCAAGTCTAATACCACGAATAGAACGAGACAAAGGTGAAGCTGTTCCGCAAAATAGATCAACAATTATTTTAACAATCAGTATTATAAAGCCTAAAAATCTTTATCCTAAAGTTGCAGTTATAAGCTTATCTCTTTAGCCAATTAATTGAAGAGCTCTTGTCATATCTAATTCATCAGTCACAGGTACATAACAATCAATTGAACCGTTTTATTCCTAAATTGTAAAGCCTTTTACCTTTTAAAAAGTTGCATTTATTGGGAAATGCGATAACTTATATTCTTTTTTTGTGTTATCAATAGGATCCAATGAGTATTTATCTTCGTCATATTTGATAGAATAAATCAATCCTTTGTTTACAAATTCTAAATTATTTCCATATGAGTTATTAGAATAAATTGGCTTATCACACTTAATAACACCATTAAGAAATACTCTTCCTGAAATCTCTGTTTTATTAGAGTTTGAATATGAAAATCCCCTTAATTTTGAAATATCCATTAAGTTATTTGTTCTTTCTTTGATTTTCATTAGGAGTTATTCTGGAGTGTAAGTTTTAGCTTTTTCAGCCTAAATAATTGCCTTCTTCTGTTTGTAAGCCTATATTTAGTATTTACACATTTAAGTGAACGAATACAGAGAAATTCCTCCAACTAAAAAGTTAAAGTAGTATCTTCTATCTTTTATTTTGTCACTTTCAGTACTCATACTTTAAATCTTTTTAATCAAACTTTTGCTTCAGTTTCAAGTTAAGAAATTTTGTTTTAAATAAATTTTTATTTTGATCAAAACAAACAAGCAAACTAAATATATAAATAATCAAATTTGTTGTGAATAATATCTGATGCTGAAATGCTGAATCTAAAAATTATCAATCTTTATTATTATTACCTACTAATTAATAAAAAATTTCTTCAATTTATTAATTCACTTATTTATCCTTCATCTATTCTGATAAATATTCATGAAATTTCTATTAACAAGCATATTCGTCTCCTTTAATAGATAATAAATCTATTTTATTTGGATACAATAAGCTGCTTTCCCTACCCTTTTTATTTAATTACTCATTAATGCACAAGAATATTCTTTTGGAAAATACTAAAGTCATAAAAATGTAATTTTCAATTAATTAAAAGCTAGTTGAAAAATTTATTTAAATATTAAAATTTTTAAAAATGGAATTAAAAAACCATCATAATTTTATTATCGTTAATTATTATTCTTTGCTTTTTGTTTTGGAATAGTTCTAAATAGTCTTTATGATATCAAATTATTGTAAAAATAAAAATCACTTCATAAATAAATACCCTTTTAATTTATGATGGTTTTAAATAAAAAAGGTTATCGACACTGGGACTTCCCAAGCGGTCCCCCACCTTAGTACTAACCCAGCCTTAAGGCGCTTAACTTCGGAGTTCGAATGGGATCCGGTGTTTTCACCTTAGTATGGCCGATAACAAAACTTACTTAAATCTAAATCTAAATATATATATGTATATTATTTAATAATTATAAATAATAATTTCTAAATTTTTGGATAAAATAATAATTACTATTACAAATTATCTATCAAGAATAAATAAAAAGCTAAAAAGGTTATCGACACTGGGACTTCCCAAGCGGTCCCCCACCTTAGTACTAACCCAGCCTTAAGGCGCTTAACTTCGGAGTTCGAATGGGATCCGGTGTTTTCACCTTAGTATGGCCGATAACAAAATTAATAAAATAAATATCTATTTAATATAAAATATTAATCCATATTCTAATTAAAAAAAATTAAAAATTTAAGAAAATCTACTTATTTTTTAAAATAACCTACATAAAAAAATAAAATAAAATAAAAAAGGTTATCGACACTGGGACTTCCCAAGCGGTCCCCCACCTTAGTACTAACCCAGCCTTAAGGCGCTTAACTTCGGAGTTCGAATGGGATCCGGTGTTTTCACCTTAGTATGGCCGATAACAAAATTAATAAAATGAATGTATATTTAATACAGAGCTTTGATCAAAATTCTAAAAAAAAGATAATAATGTAAGGAAATCTACTATATTTTTTAAAGCTATCTATATAATAAAATAAAAATAAAAAAGGTTATCGACACTGGGACTTCCCAAGCGGTCCCCCACCTTAGTACTAACCCAGCCTTAAGGCGCTTAACTTCGGAGTTCGAATGGGATCCGGTGTTTTCACCTTAGTATGGCCGATAACAAAATTAATAAATTGAATGTATATTTAATATAAAACTTTGATCAAAATTCTAAATAAAAAAGTTAATAATTTAAGGAAATCTACTCTTATTTTTGTTTATTTGTAATAAAAACAAAAAAAGGTTATCGACACTGGGACTTCCCAAGCGGTCCCCCACCTTAGTACTAACCCAGCCTTAAGGCGCTTAACTTCGGAGTTCGAATGGGATCCGGTGTTTTCACCTTAGTATGGCCGATAACAAAATTAATAAAATGAATGTATATTTAATATAAAACTTTGAACAATATTCTAAAAAAAAAGTAAATAATATAAGGAAATCTACTATAATTTTTATAGTTATGATTATAATAAAATAAAAATAAAAAAGGTTATCGACACTGGGACTTCCCAAGCGGTCCCCCACCTTAGTACTAACCCAGCCTTAAGGCGCTTAACTTCGGAGTTCGAATGGGATCCGGTGTTTTCACCTTAGTATGGCCGATAACAAAATTATTGATAGATTTGAATAATTTATATTTAATTAACATTTATTAAATCATAATAAAAAGTAATAAATATTCAGACAACATTCAGACATATGTTTAAAAATTTTTTAAACTGAAAAAGAAAAATAAATAAAATTAAATAGTATTTGATTGATTAGACTATAATATAAATTGTTTATTAATGAGTTTTTAGTTTAAAATAAGATTTGATTTGAATTTATATAAAATGAAAGCTAAAATATATTAAATTATTGAAAAAATAAAATAATTTAGAATAAGAAAAAAGATTAAATTAAATAGATATTAAAATAGATGTTAATATATAAAATGAATCAGATTTATTAATTTTAGTTATAATTTATGCATAAGAAGCAAATAATATGTAGAGATTTTTTAGTATATTAAATAAATAAACACTAATTAACAAATCTTTTGTTTCTAAATTCATTGTATAAACCAATAAGTATACAAATACAGTTATTAATAAAATTAACTACTTGAATTTTAGTAAACATATTTATTTTATGAGTACAAGTCCTTAAAAAGAAGACATTCTTTAGCAAGAGAATGGTAGTGAATAGATATAGCAAGATGTCCTCTTAGGCAAGCGTAGTCTTCCTAAAGATGCAATCACTGAAAATTAAGTTAAAGAAAACTTAGTTAAAGATGATGGAGATGTTGCAATTGGAGATTAAGAAAATGCTGAAGCTGAAAATGATGATAACGATGATGAAAATGGATCTGAAAAAAGCGATGGAGAAGATATTTTTGAAAAAGATGATGTAGAACTTGAATGGGTTTGTTTGAGAGGAGTTGAGAGATATGATTAAGAGAGATAAGTCTTAAAGATGCTTCATCGTAATTTTGCAGATGAGAAATTCCAATTTACAAAAATTAGCAAACCAAAAAAGAAAAATATGGCATTCATTTAATTCGCTAACACAGAAGAACGTAATCGCTTTATTTAATCTTTAAAAAATAAGAAGTTCTCTAAGAAGTAAAAACGCATGAAAGTACGTCCTGCATTTAAAGGAGATAGAAATTTGAATGGAGGAGTAGCAGTTAGTCAATTAGAATAATAGAATAGTGCTTAACATTAACAATAATAACGTTAATAGCAACCTCCTAAATAAGCTTCTAAGGAAGATATTGAAAAGGAACTTTAAATCCCTCTTGAAGAGAGAGTTTGTCCTCTATGGAAAACTCCTTATGAAGAATAATTAGAAATCAAAAAGAAAGATTTTATTGAAATCATCAAAAATTTCCAAAAGCGTGCTAAAGATAGCATAAGAAGCGATGAATCAACACCAATTTGGGTAACCCGTGAACCAAAAATAACAGATTTTTTGGAGTGCGATGAATAATATAGATTCCATTATAGAAACAAGACTGAATTCACAATTGGTTTGAATCATTTAGGAGAAATAAAAGTTGGCTATAACCGCACAAATTTTGATAAGGGTATTGCATTTATAGATGATGCTAATAAGAATTGTGTTTCTTCTAAAGAATCAGTGATTCTTGCTTAACAACTTGAAAATTATATCAAGGAAACTGGACTTCCTGTATACGACAGATTTGTCCATTAAGGATTTTGGAGATATTTTGTGGTAAGATAGAGCTTTAAGACAAAAGAAATCCTGATAAATATTGTAGCTAAAGGCTCTTACTGCTCTGACGCTACTTAATTTGAATAAATTAAATAAGGCTTGATAAAAATATTCCAAAAAGAAAGTCTTCCTGAAAACTTTGAATACAATATAACATCAATAGGATTTTAATCATACGAAGCACCTTCTGACAGCATCCCCTAAGATGGATAGATTGATATAATTTATGGATCTAGATCATACAAAGAAAATATTCTAGGTAATTTAATCTCTTTAAGTTTGTCTTTTAATTTATTAACTGAATCAATTTTACTTATTTCTACTTATTGTTTATCTTTTGTTAGATTTAATCTTAAGGTAGACACTTTTCAGCAATCAATCTTATAAAAATTTATTTAGTTTAAATAAAATTTATTGCAATGGAAAATAGATTCATAAAAAATTTAATTTTATCTAAAAACATTTTTTTTATTCAAATTTGAAAATATTTCCTTAATTAATTATATAAAATAAATATAAAGGTAAAACATTTGATATATCTGCTAATGCTTTCTTACAAGTTCATACACCTTAATGTGAGAGATTGTATAAGTTGATAGGAAGCTTAACAGGAGAATTGAATGAAAAAACTATCTTTTTGGATATATGTTCTGGTATTGGAACTATAGGTATTTGCTTAGCTAATTCTGCTAAGGAAGTTATTGGTATTGAAATGGTTGAAACCGCTTGCAATGATGCTAAAATTAATATAGAATAAAATGGAATTACAAACTATAAGGTAATATTTCAAAAAGTGTAATAGTAGTTTTTAATAATTATTTTTTAAAAAAGGTAATTTGCTCAAAAGTTGAAGATGTGATTAATGAAATCGTTGGCCCTCTTGCCGGATAATATAAAATTATTGGTGTTGTTGATCCTCCTAGACCTGGTCTTCATGCTAATGTAGTTAAAGCTATGCGTACCTGTAAAGGTCTTGACCATTTAGTTTATGTTGCTTGTAACCCAGTAGCTGTAACTGATAATTTATTAGCTTTATGCCTCCCTGAATCAAAGCGTAGAAGAGCACCAGCTTTTCATCTCACTAAATATTATGGATGTGATTTATTCCCATAAACAAAACATTTTGAAGGTATCTTTTATTTGGAAAGATATCCTAATTATGATGAGTATAAATGAAAATTGTTTTATTTATTTATAACTAGATGTGTAGTAATTGAATTAGAATAAAATTCTTATCAGCATTTAATAAATTTTCAAATATTTTTTTAAGATACAAAAAATAAATAAATAAATAAATATGTAATCAAGCTCAAATTTAATTTTAAAATTATTTAAATATTTAATTTGATCTTAATTTATAAAAATTGTTTATTTTAATTTTTTTTGATGAAAACAATTTAAATATTATTTATAAAAGTTATTTCTATTTAAAAGAAATATCCTAATTATGATGGATGAATTTTATAAAAAATATTTCATTTATTTGATTTTAATTTGAATAATAGTAAATTATCATCATTTTTTAACCAAATTTTTTTTGTGGTAAGATAAGTTAGTGAGTAGATCTATTTATAATTAATTAATTAAGAAGAAATATTAGTATTTGTAATTAATACATCTATTAATATATATCATAATTTAATTATTTATTTATTTATTATATTTTTAGCCAATTAATTTATTCAAATAAATAGTTTTTTAAATTGATAAATAACTATTAAGATAATTTTCTTTTTCATATTTTTATTTAATTTAAAATTATAGAAATAATTTATTTAATTAAGATGTAGATTATCAAAAAGTAACTATGGATTTGCACCTTAAATAGAGAGTCTAAGGAACTAATTTTGTTTATTAATTTAATTAATATAAAATAATTATCAGCGTTTTTGAAATTTCAAAAAATTAATATATGGTTCAATAATTAAGTAAATAAATTTAAAATTAATCAAGAAATGAGAGTCATTTTTAGAATTATTCAAAACTTAAATTAATGCATTACATTTAATAAATATTTAATATAATTTAAATTATTTTTAATTTTTTTAATTTAGTTAGTATGTTTTATATCTATCTTGTATAATAATTAAATTATTTAATTTTTTTGTTTGAAATAGGTTTAAAAGTTATTTTCAAATTTTTTCAATTAAGAATGGCTGGCCGTATGAAGATTTAATTGATTTCTTTTTTAAATAGTCAATCAGTGTATAAAATTTAAAGAAAAATCTAACTTTAAATGGTAATTCAAGACACTATAAATTCAAAAAAATTCCTTCTTTGTCATCTTGAGGGTTGAAAATCAGTATTTTAACTTTATTTTAACCAAGAATTGAAAATATTTTATTTTTATAGATTGCTTCTCTGAAAATACAGTCTCTATCTCCAAATATGAGAATGTATTTCTTTTATATTTCTTGATTTTGAAGGCGGTTAATATTTTAGAATTAGAGAGAGGCCTTTTGTAATGCAGACAAGAAAAACTATTGTTTTGAAGAAATATGTTTGAACCTCAAATATTTCATTATGTTATTGATAAAAGTTTCTTTGCCCTTAAAGTTGAGTTGGTTTATTGGTGCTATGTATTACTCTATTTATTCATTTACCATAACTAAACTGAAAGTATCTGATAATTAATAAATATCATATAGTTATTTTGACACACGCTTTAGATAATTCGGCTCACAATTAACTATAATTGATATTTTCATTGTTAATTACTGAAATTTTTAGGCTTATTTTTATATGAGTCTAAAGTCAATAGATTTCTATTCATAAACGTATTGCAAAATATTTAGCATAGCCATTCTATCATTTGATAAATATCTTGGGGAAAATTCAAAAGCATCAGTTAAAAGTGTACATCCTTTCTAAAAATTCCTTTTATGTATTTCTATTAAAGCTTCTTGTATTTATAATTTAGTATAAAGAATATCTATTGGATAATTGTAGCTAGTTTTTTAATACCAAGAAGTTTAGTTGGTGTAAGGACTATTATTAAAAGCTTCTATTGCATCATCTAAAGCATTTAATTATTATTTGGTATAATTAATTGGCTGTTGCTCTTCATCAACTTTGATATCCTCAATAAAATTCTCTGTAGGATTGTTTTACAAATACATTTTATGTATTGGGTGCTCATATGATAAGCTCTGGTTTGTAAATAAATTTTATTCAGTAGTTGATGTCCCAAAAAATGCCTTAGGGGAATATCCTTGAGATAAGCATATCTACTAATTGTAAGAGCCAACAAAACCGTTTTGAAAACTTAATCTCCTTTGTAAGTTAGTTATGCTAGCAGTAGGTGTATTTTAAATAATTGAAGAGCTAAATTTTTTGGTGAGATGATTGTATATAGTATTTATTTCGCCCATTGAGCTATTTTATCTTTCTCTCTTGCATTTATCAATTTAAATGCTTTTTTCTTGAATTTCCTTATTTTTTTGATTTATATTATTAAGATGAATTTCTTCTTGAGATTCCATATGATCTTCTATTATAGGCTGAATATCATTTAAGGGAGTTGCTTATTAAGGAGAATTGCTGTTTGCTTTGCTTGACTTTCTTTTTTGCTAAGATTAATGCGAATACCCACTATTGTTCAAATTGTTTTAAGAGCTATTTAATTTTTATGTTATGATAGACTATTTTCCTGGAATTGTTTTAGAAGGACTTGATCTATTATTTATATTTATTTCTTCATTGACTTCTTCAGATGAGAACCTTTTTACTAAAATTTGGTTCAAACACATTAAGTATTAGTTGTAAAAATGAGCGGAAGGTTTATTTTGAGCAGAGAACAAAGAAGCCTTGATCCTTTTATAAAGTTCCAAAAAATTTTGAAATGCATAATCTAAGTACTTCTAGCTGAGCTTGATTTTCTTGCTAAGTAAAAATGCTTTACTAATTTCCAAATAAATTAGTATATATCTGGTATAATCATTATCTAAGTTCTTAGCTATTTTTAAAAGCTTTTTCAAAACTTAAAAGTATTGAGTAAACATAGCTTCATCTTTGACTTTTAAGCTTTATGTTTTCTGAGCAGTTGATTTTAAAGAATTTGAATTTTATTCTGAGTTGAAATCTATTTCTTGTAATATTTAATAATAGTATTCTTATTTCATTTATTTATAAATCTTTTTTCCATGGTTAAATATTTCATGTTCCATTCTATTTTCTAAATAGCATTACAACAAAACTTATGAATATGCAAATAATCTATCAAATTTCAGGCTTTCAAGATTTTTTTAAGCATTCTGCAAGACTGGTTTAATTTTAAAAAATATTAGACTTTTAAATTAAAATATTTAATTGATTGTTATACCTTATATTTTAGAAGAACTTTATTAGTTTCCATCTAAATATCTGCAAAGATACTTTTCTATCCATGGAATCAAAGATTTTTTCCTAGAACCTGCTAATTAATTATTAGAATTTACTGAATCTGAGAATTTTTTAAATGTAAATATTGAATCTTTTCTATTATGAGAATTAGCATCGCTAATCTATTTTTCAGTTTATTGTCCTTCTATAAGTTCTGCTCTTTCTTATTCTAGATAAACTATAGATTGGTTGTAGCAATCAAGAGCTTCAGTATATCTTTAGTTGCTATATATAAATATTATTTTAAATATAAAAGAATATCTTAGTTTGATAAATAAATAATTAAATTTAAAAAAATTTAACACTAAAAATTTTGATTAAATTAATTTTTATAAAATGAGAAATTAGAAATTGTTTACTTAAAATGGATATTAGCTATATTGTTATAAGCTGATCCTAAAGCTTTATAATCTTCGACTTATTAAAAAGTTTTTATAGCTTTAATCCAAGTAAAAAGAGCAGTTGTTTCATCAATTTTTTCATTATAGTTAAAATTAAAGTTAAAAATATCTTGTATATTTGTGATGTATCTTTCTAAATTTGTTAGTTCAGAGCATGTATGCTGATATTTTCTGCTTTTAGAATATTTATTATCAAAGACAACAACTATTTCATCTTAAGAACTTATTCCATTTCTATCAAGCAAATGTTGATTCAAAGAGTGGAGTTTATCTATCAAATTCTAAATAGGTAATTCAATCAGCTAACTAAATTTCTTAGAATAAAACATAATAATAAGTAGACAAACTATTAAAAGAATGAGATAAAAAACAGAATTAGCTATGAATGCATTTCCTAAGTAAAAAAAGAGAGTATTATAATTCTAAATCAATTCTTATTTTCTGAACGTGTACATCATCACCATTATATTTGAATAAATTACTTATTTTTATCCATTCGGGATATCAGCTATTTAAATTGGTAACATCAGGGAATATCTAGCATCTCCTTGAACGAAGTACTCAAATCCATAAATATTTTCGAGCTAATTTAAGTACTACTAATGTGTTAAAAAATTATTCTCATTCATATATTTTAATTAATTATTAACTGTTTGTATATAAGTTTTTGCTTCATTTTGAGTCATATTTAAGGTAATAACTTTATCCCAATTATATAATTATTAATAATCCTATATTTGCTCAGAATATATTAAATTTTTTGAAGTAGGATGTATCACTTCAAACTATCCAGTCTGTATCTCCAATTTTTAGAATACAGCAGCTAATTGTTCTATATTAAAAGATTAGCAGACAACACTATTTATATTGTCAAAAGCATTGTTTCTTCTACATAAACTAAGAGACATATATGGTATTTTTGTTGTCAGGACTTTAAAAGGTGCTGGCATGTAATTTGCTGTTTTATTTAATTAATAAAAACATAATTAATAAATAAATATTTTACAATCTAAATAAGTGATTTATTATCGATATTTTGTATGAATTAAATATATTCTATGAATATTTAATCATTAATTTTGTTTCTATAAAATAATTGATTCAATTCTATAAATATCTAAATTTTCATATAGGCTGATTTTAAAAATCTATTTAATTTTAAAGTGTTTAAATCTAAAAGTACCCTTTTTTATGATTAAGTTTTTAGTGGAAAGTTATTGTTTTATCTTGAAAATTAAATTGTTTATTTAAAAATTTTAAAAATAAAATACATTATTTCACTGAAGCCTACTAATACCATATTCTACATCTCGGATCATAGTATTTTGCTTCGGTACAGAGAGTTTAGCTTTGAAAGCTCTGAGACATAGACTAATTGTAGGCTGGATTTGCTATTAACCCACCATCTAGCTGAAATCCTAAAAACTAATCCTATTTGTTTGTTTGTTACAAAATAAAATAATTTATTTTAGTTTTATTAAGAAATTTTAATAGATTGAATAATATTTAAAGACTAACCTTGTATTGGAATGTTCTCTAAATATTTAAGACATTATAATTTCTAATAAGAACATCCAAAACAGCAGATTTGTTTAGCTAAATTTGTGACTCCTCAGGCATTTAGCTGAATTAACGATAGTTTTAATTTAACCTAATTTTTATTATAGAATATCATTTTAGTACCGTTTAATATTTTGGAAATAAATTTATATTAATGATATCAATGTATTTATTACCAAATTGTGACTAAAATAGGATTTTTAACATAGAGCTTTACAAGAGAAGAAGTATCTTAATTTTCAAAAAGATTATCTAAATTCAAATATGATTTCTCAAATTTAAGATTGAAATTTATTTTATTTTCGTAAACTTTAGTGACAAGGCGAGATAGAATATAATATTCCTGACTTTGCATTCCCATACTTTAGTCAAGATGAGCTTTCATACCCATCAAAAGTATCTTTTTGTTTTGCTACTACTCTAAATATATGCTAGATTCTTAATTATTTGTAATAGATTTGAGCTGCTCAAATAGGAGAATGTACAATCCGAAGCTTATAAATGTAATAATAATCACTGGAGAATAGTACAAGCAAAATAGTTAAGTTTCTAGCTAATACTTTCTCATTAATTGTTTACGCTTATGCTCTCAAATTTTCAACAAAATATTTTAAATTTGAGCTATTTTGAACTAATGCAAAATTTTGTATTAAAAAAATTACAAAAAATATAAATGTTGCGGATGGTAAATATTATATCAAAAAAATCCATCTAATTAATTATCAAAATATTCTCTATAAATTACTTTGATTTTATATCTTAATTAAACTATAAAAAAAAATCTGACACTTTTTATTTCAAATCTGTCTGTCATGTAAAATATATGTCGCTTTAATTAAATCAACTTTCTTGCTTTGTATTGACAAAATTTTGGTTTTATAATTGAAAATTGTTCTTTGATTAAATTAGTGATTATCAAACCTTAAAAAGGCTTAATCTTACATATTAGCTTTATGAGAAATAAGTTATTAACTTTCCTCATACATAATAAAAAGATCGTCGTCAATATTTGCTCTAATGTGAGGAAAATTATTAGCCAAATTTTTACGCAAAATTATAAACAAAAAATACAGAAATGATGTAATTTTACTATCAAAAACTTATTATTTTTTTTTTAAGTGAATATTTTGTATTTTATTCTACAAATAAGTTGCCCCATTTTTATAATATTTTTAAAAAATTTATTATTTTTTTCAATTGAATTAACTGATTTAAATAACTTCCTTTATCAAATAAACTTGAATCTTTGTGTAATTTTAAGAATTTTATGTAATAAAAAATGAAGTCAATTGCATGCATATTTACTTTGACTTTCATAAATTATTGATCAAAGAATATAATTATTTTAAACATTATAAAGAAAGAATAATAAATAATATTTATTATATATATATCTGATACGAATCTGTGATTCAAGAATAGAAATCTGATAACACACTTTTTATATCTATTTTGACAATTAATCAAATATAATGGGATTATTTATAACTTTTTAATTAACTTTTACCATCAGTAACTCATAATATTTGAAAATAACCATTTAAAATTTTAGCTAAGTAACAAAGATATTATAACGAATAAAATAAATATGTAAGAACTATCTGCTGAAGATAATCTAAAAAATTGGTTCACATTAAAACCAACCTAAACATAAATACTGTAAGCTAAAAAATAAATTTAATCCAAAATAATTTAATGAATTATTTATAATTAAAAGTAAATTATGTCTTCAGTCAATGTTATTTTATCTTGTCTTTAGGTTGAAAAGTAAGGGATTGACAGGTTAGGGAAGTAAACCATATTTAATTTTTAATACATAATCTTTTTGTGGTTCAATATCAAAATAGTCAAAAAATTTAAATAGAATAATTCGAGCTTCTATCATTGCAAGATGCTGACCAATACAGTTTTTTTTTCCTGAACTAAATGGTATAAACGCATATGAAGGCAAGTCATTAGTTTCTTGATTAATCCATCTTTAAGGTCTAAATGTATGAGGATCTTTGTAGATTTAAGGATCTCTATGTACACTGTTAACGTATGAAGTAAGAACTATATCTTTCTCAATTTTAATATTGTTGATCATGATATCTTCTGTAACCTAATTTTTTTAATATAATTACTAAAATCTTTAAAATGCAAATCATACCTTTTGATCAAATGATTTGTTTCCAGGCCCATAAATCCTTAAGGTTTCTTTAATAACTGCATTCATAAAGGGTAAATCTTACATAGACTTAGATTTATCTTACTTATAGTAATCAACTTCCTTTTGAGTCATTGAATAAAAATGTTCATTCTAACATACGTAATAAATTGCCATTGCAATTAAATGACTTGTGGTATCAGTTCCGCCTATGAAGAATGTCATCAAATTATCTAAGAGATCCGAATCAGACAAATTCTAAATATTATTTTCCTTAATTAAAATACTTAGAACACAATTCTACTAGATATCGCCAGTCTCTTGAAATTCTTTTTACAACTCTTCTTTCTTAGATTTAATAATATCTAAGAAAAAACTTTTGAATTCCTATAAATAGTTCTCTAACTCTCTATGCTATTTAAAAATTCCTAATTTCAAATATTTAGCTCCAAACACCAAATATCCTAACTCCATAACTTAATTTGAAAGAGCACTTAAAATATGTGTAATAGCTTAAGCGAGGGATTTTCCTTTAAATTTAATATCTTACAAATTATCTCCTAAAAATGAAAAGAAAACTACCTAAGAAGTCATATCAAATATTAAGTTAATTATATTGACATTCTGAAGCTCATCTTAATTTATATGCTCCAATAAGGCATTGTCTACAATCTTCTCTATTGAAGAGCTTAAATTCTTTAAATACTCAAAATGGAATGCAGGAGAAAACATTTTTCTCATATTTTTCCATCTCTCTCCTTAAGAAAAAATTAATCCATTTCCAAATATTCTTTTAAAATTCTAAGTGTAAAAGGTATCGATAGTTAATTTATCTCCTAAGTAGGAATAAAAATCCTTCATCATATCAATGGATGTCAGCTTTATTTTGATATTTTTTCCTTTATAAAATATGAGAATGAATATAATAAATCAATTAAAATTTTTAAATACCTATATTTTCAACAAACATCTTTTTTTAATTTGCAGGATTATCATTAATGTGCTTATAAATGTAATCTACATCCCCAAACTTTTCAAAACAGCTATTTTAGAGTAAAAACTCACCAATCAGAGGAAAGAAAAACCCTTCACCTTATTTTTTATACTTATTAAATATCTTAAATGGCTTTACAAGATAGTAATAACAGTAAATTCCTAGTGCGATTAAAATAAAATAAAAGATCATCAATTAATTTTCTTCAAGATATTTTTTCTATAAATTTAATGATACTCTGTTTTATTTATCAATCAATTTTTATCAACAAATTTACATAGAAAATTGTAATTTAATTAAAACAACCATTTTGTAAATCCAAAAAATCTTTGAAAAAAATATATTTTTAATCTTGCTTGATTATAATTTAGTAGAATTGTTCTCACACTTACAATTAGTTTAATATCATTAATATCCAAAAGAGATAAATAAAATATAGAAGCCCTTTTTCACTTTATATAAACAAATAAAATAATATTTATAAAATGTTTGTTACATTTAATTATTAAATCTATAAGTGGATTAATACAGATAAATTAATAAATAAATATATTATTTCATTTTAAATAAATTTAAATCTTATATTTTAGATTAAAAGGAACAACTTAATAATTTTATAACTTTTTTTACAACTATTTAACAATTTTATATAGTCATAAATAACTTTAATTACAAACTTTCATATCTTTTTAACTAAAATTTAAATAAATATTTCACTATCTCAAAGTTAGTTTCAGACATAAAGGATCTACTGGCTCAGATAAAAATTTAAATGCCATTACAAGTTTATAATTTTCAGGGCATGAAAAATTAAACTTTTTAATGAATTTATTTAAAATAATTTTAGTTTGCATCTATGCTAAATGTTAACCAATACAATTTCTTTAACCTGAACTAAAGGGAATGTAAGAAAAAGAATTAATTTCACTAATTTTTTTATCTAACCATCTAGAAGGGTTATAAGCATGAGGATTTTCAAATATATTTTAGTTTCTATGCATAGAAATAGCAAAAGGGGTAATAATCATTCCTTTTTTAATAGGTATGCCTCCAATAACGTGATCTGATGTAGCCTTTATATTAAAATAAAATAATTATATAATGTTTTGCAGTATTAGGTTTCTTAATATGTTTGCAACATTTTAAATTAACAAAAATATTACGATTCTATCAAAGAGAATATTTGCTGGTCCATAATACCTCAAAGACTCTTTTATTACTGCATTCAAATATGGCAATTAAGAAATACATTAAATGCTTTAATCTTAATTTGTATCGATTTCTTGTTAAAGCTTTGAGTAAACATCTTTATATTGAGTTAAATAATACATAGTCATTCCCAACAAATGGCCAGTAGTATCCATTCCAGCCAAATAAAAGGCTTTAAAATCTTCAAATAGCTATTGTCTTGATATTTAATCGATTTGAGATGTAGAAACTAATTGAGCTAATATACTAAAATTTGATGTGTTTCCGTTTTATTTGATATCATTTTAAATTTCTTCTATTTTGGATGCTATTTTATTTTACAAGAAACTATTGAATTCTTCTATTAACTAATTGATTTCTCTTGAATGTTTTGTAAGTCCTAGTTAAAAGAATTTTTTTCCAAAAATTAAATATATTAATGTTCCTGTCTATCGAGCTAAAGCATTTAAAATATACGAAAGTGTTTCAACAATAGTTCTTCCTTTAAGCCTTTCATTTTCTAAAGACTCTCCAAAAAATGATGCAATGACTACTCTGCCAGTTAACTCCTACATACAAGTAATTGAATTAAAATTTTACAACTCATTTTTGGCTATAATTTCATCGATTATAGTATTTGTGCTTTTTTCTATCAAAGGAGCGAGCTTCTGAATGTAATCAAAATGAAAGGCTTGTGAAAATAGTTTTCTGCTTGATTTCCAGTCTTGTCCTTCTGCAGTAATTATGCCATTAACAAACCTCATTAAATTTCCTGTAAAAAACTCAAACTTTTTATAATTATGCTGATTTTAAAAGAAATCCCTTATGATTTCAGGCTCAAATATTCTTAATTTAATATAAGGACCTATTTATTTATATATTTTTTAATAAAATAATTTCATTTGCTCATAAATAAATAAATAATTTACCAATATTGGTTACATAAACTTTTTAATAAGGATCCTTATCAAGTTAATGCTTTAAGGAATACTCCATATCCTAATTTTTTTATAGATTCTACTGGAATTCTAAGATCTCACCTAAAATTGGAACGAATTAACCTTATCCATACTTTTTATATTTTTTATGAAGTTTGTATGGCAAGATGAATAGCTTGACTATTATGAACGCAGCAAGAAACAACACTAAAATTAAAATAATGTTCATTTACTTATTTAATATTAACAAATTTGATTCTTTCTTATTTTATTAAAATTTTACTTACTTTTTTTTTGATTAATTATTAATTTTAAATAATTTTTTTGTTTGTTTGTCAGTTTTTTTGTTTTTAAATTGAAGGTTTGTTGTTGAAAATTATTTAAAAGCAATAATTAATTAATAATTAAACAGAATAAATTATTTTATATATTATTTTATTTGATTTTTTTATTTATTTTATAACTAAAATGAATAAAAATTATTGATTCAGCAAAAAACTAAATAAAGAAATAAAAACTCAAATTTATTGCAATTAATTGTATTCATTTAATTTCATATTTAACCAATAAAAATAAATGAAATTATTCAATGCTTTCTGACTGTTAACCTTAATGGAATTGGATCTAATGGCTCTGACATAAATCTTTGAGTTATCACTAGCTTATAATTAGGATCACAAGAAAATTCAAACATTTTGACGAACTTGTTGAGAGTTATTCTTGCAACTATCATAGCAAGATGTTATCCAATGCAATTTCTTTGACCTGAACTAAATGGCATATATGCATAATTGTGAATCTACTTTTATTTATTATCCAACCATCTTTCAGGATTGTATCTATGAGGATCTTCATAGTATTTTTTATTCCTATGGGTACTTTAAGAAATTGGAACTACAATAGTACCCTTAGCAATAGGGATATCTCCTAAGTAATGATCTTTAGTTGCCTTTTTATTAAAAAAATAATTAATTTGTAAAATCACATTTTTTTAAATATTTTTTTTGTTTTAAAATTGTTTGTTTACAATTCTATCAAAAGTAAAGTTAGCTGGACCATAATATCTTAAAGTCTCTTTTAAGAAAGCATTTAAATAATTGAGTTATGCTAATCCCTAAGGTGATTGATCTTAGTTTGCATCTACTTCTCTTTGCAAAGCCTTTTAGAGTTCAGGATTTTAGGTTATGTAATAAAAAGTCATAGCAAGGAGATGACCTGTAGTGTCTGTTCCAGCAGCATAGAATGTTGTAAAATCGTCAAATAAATATTTTTTTGATTCTTCTGTTATTTCTTAAGTGGAAACTATCTAAGCTAAAATGGAAGGAACACTTATTTTTCCTTATTCTTTCAATTCTTTTTGAAAGCTTTCTATCTTTTCCTCAATCAGATCTTTCATGAAAGAACGGAAATCTTTAATGATATCATCGACATATCTTTAGGATTTAGTTAGTCTTAACTTAAAAAAGTCTGCTCCAAACAAAAAGTATTAGAGGCTCATTGATTACTCTCCAAGTAGATTTAACATATGTGTCAAAGCTGAGACTAAATCCATACCTCTAAACTTTTTTTCATTTACTTGTTCTCCAAAAAAGGTAGCAATAACCACTTATCCTGTTATCTTTTATGAATATACAAGGGGATCATAATTGGCAAGGATTTCGCTACTTTCCATAGCTTAGTTAAAGACTTTTGAAGCTATTTATTCTATTAATGGAGCTAGAGAAGTGAGGTATTCAAAATGGAAAGCTTGAGAAAACATTTTTCTGGCTTTTTTCCATTGCTCGCCCTCTACAAATGCTATACCTTAAGGTGCGCATCTTAGGACGTTGCCAATGTAAAAAGTATCTTTTTCATAATACTACTGATTTAAAAAGAAATCTCTCATTAAGTCGGGATCTACTAATCTAAGCTTTATCTTAGAGCCTATTTTTTAAGATTACATAGTAAAATTTAATACTTTTAAGTAATTTTATTACCAAGATTGACAACATATAATCTTAAGTCTGGATTTTCATCGCATTAGTGACTTACGAAATAGTCTACATCCTCGTACTTTTTAATAGCTTCCTTTATCTCTACTAGTTCTCCTAATAATGGAACAAATCTGCCATCCCCATATTTTTTGTACTTAAGGAACTTGAAATAAGGGATAATTACTAACCTTAAAGCAGCAAAAAAAAGAATAATAATTAATATTTCTATAAACATTTTATATTATAGCAATTTGATATTCTATTTAATTATTATAAAAAATTAATACTAATTAAATTCCGTTTAAATTGTGTAAATAGCAAATTTTTAAATCTTATTTGATTCTAATTAGTATTATTTTTTCTAAAATTAGTTTTTGATTATTGACAACCTTAACACAATTAATTTACTTAATATCGCAACTTTTTATTTAATTCTATCAAAAAAAATGTAGAAATCACAAAAAATTGTAATTAAATTTCAGATATTCACATATTTTTTTTCAATTTTCTAATAATTTATTTTAATTAAAATCTATCTATCTATTCAACTCACAAAATTAAGAATTAATAATTTAATCAGAATATTCTTTCCAAAAAATAAATAAAAATTTTCGTGTTACATTAATATTATTTTTATTAATTTTTTTAAGTTTGCATTTGATAAATGTAAACCAGTTATCGCGATCTTTATATTTAAAAAATTTTAATTTCTCTAAAATTTCATGAAATTTTTATGACTTCTTTAGACTTTCTCTAAATGATGCTGCATTTTGCGATTAGGTAAAAAATTATATTGATAAGATTAGTATTATAATAAATATCTTATAAAAATCTATCTTGCTAAATAAATAAATATTAATTTATTTACAATTAAATAAATAATTAATAATTTAATAGAGCTTATTATTTATAATTTTTTTTAGTTTACAAATATCTTATTTTAAGTCATTTTTTCCTTTTAAGCTCATTTATTTCCTCCCGTCAACTCATTAATTATCTAATCTAATCCTTTTATTACTTCTTAATGAGTGTTTCTGTATTGTATTTTCATATTATTGTTTACAGATCCGCCAGTAGAGTTTTAAAGTTTATTATTGTTGTTTTACTATTTTTAGCTAGATGCTCTATTTTTAATGGGAGTCACATTATTTTATTGACTAGAGTCAGCTCTCTTTTCCCTTACTTTGATAGGTGTTAAATTTTAAAATTTATTATTTCTTTATAAGTAAGATTCTTATGGCTTCTAGTTAAGCAGATTAATATAAAATTTTTAAGGTTATTGCTATTTATTTTATTATTTTTATTATTACCACTATTATTAAGATAAGGTAGTGAATGTGAGGTTTTCTTTTTCTTAGGATAATTTAGAACTTATTGTATTTTTTTATTGAGATCTTTATGAAAAAATAGAAAGTGATTGTTTTAAAATGTTGTTATTATTTTTATTTATTACAGAAGCTTACATATCCATTTCATTCGCTTTTGGAGTCATTTCATTATTAACAGATACACAATCTTCATTCAAATCCAATCTATTTGCTAATTCTTCTTATGCTTTCTGCATTTTTTCTTCTTTAGAATCATCTTAAGAAGTCTTAGACAGCATACTTAAATTTCTATTATATTAAATAAAATTTGGATTAGTCTGATTTTTAAAAATAAATTACCTCATAAGAGCTTTTGTGACAAATAATTTATTATTCAGTTTTGCCCAATTTTGTCTTGGAGCTGAGTTCAGCTAAGTAACATCCATTATTCTTTTTATATATTCAGGAGCATAGTGTTTTTTAGCTTGCTTTTTATCTTGTTCCTTTTGCTTTTTAGAAATAGGATTTCCGTCTTTATCAAACTCCATGCACTCAATTAATTCTTTATATCTATTGAATGATTTTTGCTTATCTTTTTTATGATTTTTAGCCCATTGCAGTGTGCCTAATTACCTTAAATAGTCTTGAGGATTATCAACAAATTTAGATTTTTTTTCATTATTTTTTTCCCATTTATTCATAACCAAGTTTTTTAGGTGCATTCTTGTCTTTTCATATTTCTCAATTTAATCTTAGTCAATTAAAAGCTAATCATATTCTATTTAATTATATTTAGTTATTTCTGTTAAAAAACTCTGCAAATAATTACTAAAACATAAACTAAAATATTTTTTCAAATTTAAAAACTCAAAATTATTCAAAAATATTTTATTTTTTTTAAATGTTATTTAATTAAATTGCATTTAGCTTACCTGAAGCAGAAATATCATCTGATAAATTATCTATTTATTGATCCATACCAGTAAGAGACTCATATGTATTTTAGACTTTTTTTTAGTGAAATGAGTTGTTTTATTGCATTGTTGAAATGTCATTTTTAAAATGTGTGTTGGATTCAAATAAATCATTAGATTTAGATTCTTTTTTTGTTTTTGCATCTGTTTCATCAGAATATCTTATATCTTTGTAATCTTTTTGAAGTCTAAAGCAAGATTGATCATAGGAGGTATATCTTGCTTTCTATTAATTATCTTAATTTTCTTATTTAACTGTAGTCTTTAATAGATAATGATTCTTCTTTAGACTTTTTAAATTGTAAAAGAGATTAATATAAAATATAAAATCTCACAAAAATACTTTTTATTATTTTAGTAAAATGTTTGGTTCTTTGACATATGAAAACCCATTGAAGGCATCATATGATGATCTATTTTGATTTCATTAATAAATTTCTCATTAAACTATTTATGGACAGACATTTTTAATTAAAATTATGATTAATAAGTTAATTTAATTTAAAATTTAATTTTAGAAAAGCAATTAATATTATAGTAAATCATTTACATTTTTTCTTTGTTAAAAACTATTGTTACTAGTTTTATTTCTTTCAAATTTATTAAAAGGATTATTTGTTTCTGTGAATACTTAATTTGGTAGTTATTTTTCAAGGAAATACTATTATTAAATGCTATTATTCCTAGAACTACTTCTGTTTTATTATATAGTGCTATTTGAGCGATAATTTTTTATTTTCTCAACTTTAGGAGTCAAATCTCTTAGCTCACCTATAGAAATACCTCCATTACTATTTCCTCTTTCTTTTTTCTACAAAAAAGGTTTGTTAACGTATTAAAACTCTTCTTTTTTTCCTTTTTAAAAAATCATAATCAATATGCTTAACTTATATTTAGTTTATGTTTAAATGCTAATTCTATACTTCTATCAAGCTAGTTACGTATAGATGATTAATCTACTATCTCTTAAAACAAGCGCTATTAAAATAAAAGAAAATAATAAAAATAGTTCTATCATAAGCTATACTAATATTTAATCTATAGCTGATAAAATTTACATTATAATCGATTTATTGTTATTAATCTTATCTTTGTTGTTGGCTGAAGTATTATTACAGACTAATCATTTTCATTTTAGGATCATAGCCATAATCTAGATCATTTAAGTAGTCATTTAATGTTCCCTAACCCTAAATCATTGAAATATTTATATAATGGATTATGCGGCTATATTAAAAATTTTGTAGTTTGTTGTAAAAATCAACTTCGAAAAAAAAAAATTGTTAAATTAGACAAAATTTTAATTGAATAATATTGAAATTTATTTGTTATTAATCAAAATATTTTTTTTTTCATAAAGCAAGCTCTTTCTTAATGATATAAATGTAAATTAATAAAATTAAATTAACAAAATAGAATTTTTATAAATAAGCAAAGAGGATATTAAGTGCAATATTTGAGTAACATTAGAATAATAATAACCTTTCGTTTATAAATATTATTAACATTAATTTTATTTTTATATTTTTATGTGAAAGCTAACTAACTTACTGACTATCAGTACAATTTTCTTCATATATTTTAAGTAATCCTAACTTAACAATATGATATTATTAATTTAAATAAAAAATACTTCAAAAAAAAGGAAAAGTACAATATTATTTATTTTAATTATTAATTAAAAGATAATTTAATTGATAGTGTTTATTTCGAAAATCTTTTACAAATTAGAGCTTCCCATTTTTTTCTTTGTTTACTCATAGAGGTTTATTGATTGACTTAATTTTTTCTAAAGACTTTTTTAATTAATTTTCATAGACTTACTTAGCTTGTGGATTTATGTTTTTCTATTAAAGTATTTTTAGAGACATTTACAAATACTTCACACTTTCTTCATAATTTTGAAGCTTATAATATGTCATTCCTACGTTTCCTAACGATATTGCCAAAGAAGGATGATTATCATTTTAGAATATGTTCTTTTTTATTTCTAGAGATTCTAATTGTAATTTCAAAGATTTATCATCTTGAAAAAGTCCTTCGTATGCTAGTGCCAAATTATTAAGACAAACACTTATTTAATAATCTTAAGTACCTTAACTACCTACTTCTTAGTGGGCTTTTCCAATCCCATTATTTCTTTATGAGTGCCCTTTTTTTATTTTTAGAGATTTTTCTAAATTTTCTATAGCTTTTTCATACTCTTTAAGCTAGTAATGAATGAGCCCAATTTTTTCCAGGCTATTACTTGTGTACAAAGAATCCTTTCCACTTATTTCTTCATTAATTTTAAGAGACTTTTGTGCATATTCAAGTGCTTGAGGGTATTGCTATAATTCTCTATAGTAGTCTCCTATATTCCCCAAACAAGTTGCTATAAAATTGTGCTTTTCTCCTAAATGCAATTTTAATATTTCATACGACTCTAAGCAGTAATTCAAAGCATTATTTATGTCACCCATTTTTTACTAACATAATGACATATTATTAAGGACATATCCAACATTGATATGGTCACTTCCTTTTAAATTAAAAAATTTATATTTGAATAATAATTATTTTTATAAAAAAGTTCTTTTGTTGTTTGAATTAATTTTTATATAAACTATTTTTTTGATTTGATAATTACCTAACAGTTTTCTCAAATTCAAAAGAGACTCTTCACATAACTTGATAGCTTCACTATAATAACCAAGTTTCTCTTTTATAGAAGCTAAACTAGATAATGAGTTATAATAGTCAGGGGTTCCTTTTTTCCTTAATTCTAATGATTACTTTTGATATTCCTCTGCTTATTAGAAAGAATTAATATTTTTAAAGAAAATTGAAATATTTTGATATGCATTAGCCAGATTGGTGTTATCAGAAGATACTGCATTTTAGGCGTTTTGTAAAGCCAACATGTAGTTCTCATATGCTTTATCAAGCATTCCTACTTATTCGTAACAAACTGCTAGCTAGGTAGAAGGTATATAAAGAGGAATTTATTTATCAGTGAGAATTCGAGCTATTTGTATATTGGTAATCCTGTATTCTATGGCTTTTTCAAAGGAGCATTTCCTCTCTAATAACGAAGCAATAATATCATTAATTATAAATGCTTCATTACTTATTTATTTTATCATACTTTTAGCTATTTCCTTACTCTTATTGATTATCAGATCTATATTAGTATTTTTTTGGGCAACCATAAGAAGTAGTTCAAAGTATTTTACATTTTCTCCCATCAATTTGCTGTTGTTTTAAATAATATTACTTAAATCTTAAATTCCTTGAACTTCCATTTCAAAACGAGTTTGCTTCATTATTAAATCTTTTTTCTCTTCATCAGTAAATTCATTAGCATATTTATTGAGTAATGTTTTTATCGTTTAAACTCCCTTTTTATAAGCATACATCTGCTCATAGAAATCTATTTACTGCAACAAATAATCTTTTTACAAATTATTTTAGGTTTGTTACAGTTTCTCTTATTGTACTTTTTTTACAATATCCTAAAAATCTTTGATGTTTTCAGACACTTAACTATTTTTTTCTATTTCACTAAGAACTTAATCACATGTCCTTAGTTCTTTTTTAAATATTTTGTATAAAATTTACTTTATTTCTTTGTAGGAATCATCTATCTAGTCTATGCTATCAGAAAAACTCCTCTTACAAAAAGTATTCATGCTAGGATCTTTAAGAGCTAGTTTACATAAAGATCTAGCGATACAATATAATTCTCCTTCAATACAAATAGCATTAGTTATCTACTCTTCTTATAAATTCAAAATATCTGGATTTGAAAAGGCCGGTGTATAGCATCCAGGATAATCCTAAATACAATCAACAGAACCACCTAAAAAGATTTAATTAATAAATCATATTATAAAAAAAATAGAAAATTACCAAAATCTATCAATTTGATCTAGAAAGTCTAATAACTTATTGAAATTAACACTATATTTTCTGGCTTAATATCACAATGAAAAATGTTAAATTTTTCTTAAAGATGTTTTACATATACAACAAGTTGCTTGAGAATGTAAAATAGCTCAGATTGCTAATACATGACTAAATTATTTGTTTTTATATAATTATCATATTAATGGAGAGACAACTCTCCTTTCTCACTTTATATAATAAAATTTTTATCATCGTAGCTAATAATAGGTGGACATATTTTTGAAAATTTTATTTTTTCTAAAATTTATTTTTCCTATTAGAAACTGTCTTAAAACCCTTTGAAGAATTTCTTAAAAACAATAGTTTTTTTATCAGTTTAGTCATAATAAAGCCAAACTTCACCTTAGCCTCCTTTACCTAACAACTCTAAAAACTAATACCTATCATTTGACTTTTTATTAAATAATATAAAGGTAAATAAGCAAGAGAGTCAGTGTGTATAGTTAATTATATAAGTAAATAAGTTAATAACCAAGTATAAATAAAAAAGCTAATTCAAAATAATAATAATATCTATCTTACATTATCTTTTGCTTTATCAACTTTTGAGATATTTTAGTCAAGACAAGCTAAAAGGTATTATTAATTTTCTTATTAACTGCAAACTAGATTCTAATGTATTAATATAAATATTAATTGAATGAATTTGTTTTAAATAAAATTTTACTTTAATATTTATCTTGAGGAAGGTAAAAAAAACTTTTCTCGATGAAGGATTTGAGATAATTTAGAAGAAAAAATCAGTCAAATAATCAATATTTAAGTTTTGAAGCTTAATTTTTCTACTTAATGGTTTTTATGTAGATTGTAACACTTCTTCATTTTGCTTAATTTCTTAAATGAGTTTTAGTAAATCTTGCTGAAGATCAAAAATATATTATTATTATTTTTTGCTATCTGACTGATTATAATCTTCAATAATGACTCTCATATCATTTAACACAATAAATCTCAGATTATATTTCTTGTTTACCTTTTTGAAAATAATTTATTAATATAAAAAATAATTGAAAAAATAGGTTTATACCTCCTTAAACTCTAAAATAAACATTCCCTAAGGTGAATTATTCTCTGAATTTTCAATTTTCTATTCTTTAACTTTTTGAGATAGTTCTTTAGTTGTTTGATTACTCTATGACATTTAAGAATTTTATTATAATTATTTCTATTCTGTATCGTTTTTTTAGATTTTTTCTATGCGAAAAATATTTTAAATGAATAAATAAATATTAATATCTTATTTTTTAATTAAAGTATTTTTACAGTTAAATCCTCTTTTTGGTATTGTTAGATCATCGATATTATCATTAATTTAGTTTTAATTCTTTTCTTTCTATTCTTATTGCTTTTAAGGATCATATTTTAATCCTTTGTTATAATCCTATGAAGGCTATATTAACTATTCTTATTGATTAAAATAGAAAAATATTATTATTAATTTTATTTAATTATTTAAAATACTGTCTTTTTTTGCAATCTTTTCGTTTTAGTATTTATGTTAGGATTCTAGATTTAATTTCTATTAATTTATTTGATTTAAATTTAAAGATTTCCTTTCATATATTTATTAATTTTATTGCTAAACACTACTATTAGTCTATGAAGGATTCGAAATCGACTTAGTTCTTGCTTGCAAATAGCTTTAAGATTCTTAATTTTTTTATACATTTTTCAAAGAAATTGCACTTTTCTATATCAGATTATTAGCTTTATTTGGATCTTTATTTTAAAAAAACTATTTTTAGCTAGAAAATAATTGTAAAATCTACATTTACCTATAGCTAATGCCTTTATTTTGTTTTCTTATGAAGCTTTAAATACATTTTATTAGGCTTGGGGTGAAGAAATTTATTTTAAGTTTAAAGACGGTTTAGAATTAGGGCTATTTATTAGAGGTAATTTTGTAATATTATTCTATGATTTTTATTTTTAGGATAAAATTTAATTAGAAGAAGGACTTTAAGTGCTTTATTTAAGAGAAGATTAATAGTAAGAAGACGCATTTGTGCTCTATGTTTGAGTTGATGATAAAATATTTTTCTTGTCTTATTAATAAACTAATGCTTATTTCATTTTATTTATAATTTACTTATTGATTAGGAATTGTTTAATAATATATTAAGTTTGCTATAGTTAATTGATTGATTGATTGATTGATGTTTTATAAATAAGAAAGTACAAACTACTGATAAGAATAGATATTATATTATTTATTAGTATTTCAAAAAGATACAATTATAAATTATTTTAATATTTTAACTAATCCATTTTTTTTTTTTTGAAAGATAAAATTTTTATAAATATTTTAAAGTCACAAAGAATATTTGGAATTAAAATAATAAAATATAATTAATTTGTAATTTAAAACAAAATAAAATATGATAGAATTATTTATTTGAGATTATTTTTTTTTGTTAAAATTTTAAAACTGAGGCAATGAATCGATTTGTAAAGAATCACTATAAAGTTAAAGTTTCATTATAAAATTTTAGATGTTGTTATTTTAATTAAAATATTGTGTAAAAACCATAAATTATAATAATAATCAATACTTAGCTAAATTTTTTATTAATAAGATTAAAATATAGGTCTTTAAATAGATTTTACGATTTTATTTAAGAACTCTTTTATTAGGATAGCAACAAAATTTTAAGTTGTTATGGGTTGTGGTTCTTCAGGGATCAAATAAGATCCACAAAAAGATATTAAAAAGCGGATTGGTAAGCCTACACCAATAGATACATCAGTAGGGATGCTCCAGTAGCAGGATTAATTGAATTAAAATAATTTAAATGAGAGTAAAAAATAAGATGGCTTGAAAAGAGAGGATAACTAGGATATAAAATAAGAAGAAAAAAATGTTAATGATGGAATAAGTCTCACCACTCCTCTTAATGCTCAAGCAGCTATTAAATAGATATTTATTATCCCCCCTTATGATAGCGAAGGTAATTTGTAAGAGGAAATTAAAACATTAGAAATTAAAGCAGATGTTTAATCATAATTGAAAAAATAAAAAATTATCGAAGCAAAAAAGAAATAATCTTAGGAGAGCGAGCAATCTAATATAGAAAAATCACCATTACAGTAAATTCCAGAGTAAAGTAGCTAAGAATCTCTATCAAAAGATATTTAACTATAATAATAGTCAAGCGATTAAGTAGATAAATAGAAAATTTAAAAAAAAAGCTAATTTGAACAATCTAAATAGTAAGAAACAGAGATCAAATAAACTATGAGTGACTAAGTACATTTTGTTTTTAAATTATACAAATTTTTATTAATTGTATTAAAAAGTAGAAAAACAGTTAAAGTGGTCCTTCGTAAGAATAGACTGTATAAAGTAATACGATAGAAACTAATTCACTTAAAAATTAAGAATCAAATAAGATACAGCAAACTAAAAAAACTCCTGAAAGCATACCTAATAAAGTAAGTAATCTTTCAAAATTTATTTCAAATTATTTTTAAAAATAAAATTAAAAAGATAGAATAAACTATACGGGCTAATAATGATGAAAACAAAGAGAGTAAAGCTGATCAAACAACTAGTTAAATAAACTAAGTTCCAACAGTTTAAACAAGCTAACATAATGGCTAGAAATTGACAAATTAAAACAAATAATCTTAGCAGTAAATTTCGGGGGTTAATTAGTAAATAAACAATCAAAGTCAACAATAGCCTTAAAACCAAGTAGTTTCAAGCAGTGAAACTAATGGGCAGCAAAATTAATCAGGATAAAATCCATTTTAAAAGATGTTAGATATAAATAAATAGTCATAATAGTAAAGCTTACCAAATAATTAATACAAAAGAAGTGTTGTTGATCAGTAAAGTTAAAGCACACCATCACGCTCTAAGCCAATAAAAGGAATCTTGGAATTCATGAAATAAGAAGACATTTTAAAAAAGATAAAAACGTAAGAGCCTCAAAATCCATAGAATGAGTATTTCTCTTAATATATAGAATAATATAATTATGATAAAAGCGACTATTTTATTGAAGATGATCTGATTCCCTCTGATAAGCAAGATAGTCTAATGGACTCGTAGATTCTTATGCAAATTGAGAACGATTATTCTAATCAAGGAATTCCAGTTAAATTCGATTTTACTCGTAATTTACTTTCAGATTTCAAAAAAAAACAAAATTCTTATTAATCGAATGGATCTCCTAGTAATAGTACTTGGAATAACGCCAAGCTTATGGAAAAACCCATAAAATAAGTCAATCCTGTCTCTAACAATGTTAATTTGTTAAAAATAATAAAAAAGTAGCAAATGAACTAATCAGATTAAACTTAAGTTAAGTAGTAACCATAAAAAGTTACTCAGAATAAATTTGAATCTGTCTATTCTTCTTAGTTTTCTAAACAATAATCAGAATAATAAGCTAATTAGAAAGAACAAGAAATTCAAAAAATGCCATAAATACCAATTTAAGAAAGGAGAAATACTATTTTATAGTCCCTCCACTTACCCAAAAAGTAAACAGCATAGGAAAGTTAGAAAGAAGAGGAAAATGCCTCAAATATCGAAGAAAATTAAATTCGCAAAAGAGAAAGTACTAAAAATGAGTATAAAGAATAAAGTAAAAAGCTGCAGGTGCAGGAGGAATAATCTAAACAAATTATAGCTTAAACCCCCAACAATCAATAAGAAGAGAAATAAAATTAAGTCTTTCAATAGCCAACGAATTTACTGTCTATTAAATCAGATGATTATATGAAGATACCTACTATTCAATAAAAAAGGCTTGAAAAAACAAAAGCTCAAACAATAAGCTTAACAAACAGCAATCCATCATAATAAAATACTCCTAACAGCAGCAACAAACAACCACCATAACCTAGTTAGCTAGGTTTAATATAAAACTTGAATAGACTCAATACTTTCGACACAGTGAATGATACAATTTCAAATGCTTCCCCAATAAATAATTCTCTTTTAAATAATAATGGATCAAAACCTGAAAACAAAGAAAAAAAATACACTTTCAATACTGAAATTTAAAAAATTAACAAGTTAAAAAAGCAAGAAACAAATATGACTGAAGAGTTAGAATAAATCGTCAAAGGCATGGACGATAAACATAATATATTAGCACACAATAACCTAAGAGCATAAAAGACATTTGATGTTCCTAAAACAGATGAATTTGCTTTATAAAAGAGCCCTCTTTCTATTTTGAAAGACTTAAATTTAAATAAATTTTAATCTGAATAAAATGGGGCTAATTCGGCTTAAAACACAAGTAATTTAATCTGTGATTTTGAAAGAACTGAAAACAGTAGGAGTAGTAGAAATAGTAGTGCAAGTAGGGATGAATTTTAGATTAGTATTTCATCTCCTCTCAAAAATAGCTCGAGGGTCTTACACACAAACTCTATTCAGAAAGAAATAAATAAAGAAGGTTAAAAATAAATCAATCAGTACACACTTATCAAAGAATTGGGAAGGTAATTTTGCAAAATTCAAATGAGTTTTTAAACAAAATTTTAATCTCAAATTCAAATAAAATATATTTCCATTTTTAATTCCCATCAAATGCCCTAACAATATTTCTACAAAACATAAAAATTTTTTTTAATTTATCAAATAATACTTTAAAATCAAGAAAAACAATACCTTTTTTTCAATGAATATTTTTAATTTAACTAAGAGGAGCTTGCGGAAAAGTAAAACTTGGATTAGATGAAATAAATTAGAAATACTACGCTATAAAAGTTTCTAACAAAAATAAACTAAAGAAAAAACTTGTTTCACAAAAGATTAATGCGTTTACTCTTTTGGAATAAGAAATTGCAATAATGAAGAAGGTAGACCACCCTAATATTGTGAAACTCCATGAAGTCATTGATGATAGCGAAAATAACAAGCTCTATTTAGTTATGGAATATATGAAGAGAGGAGCTATTCTTTCATCAGGATATTTTAAGGCAACTATTTAGAGCTAAGATCCTATCAGATATTCTGAGCTATATGATGATAATGGTAAGCTAAAAAATAGGTAAAACGAACCTAAATCAATTGATCTTAATTCTGCTCTTAGATACATGAGGCATATGACACTAGCTCTAGATTACAGTATTAAAATTTTAATCATAATCCATGACTAACTTATAATTAAAATAATAAATTAAAGTGCACAACTTTGCTCAAATTTGCCATAGAGACATCAAACCAGATAATTTATTAATAGATGAAAATGATAATCTAAAAGTAGCAGATTTTGGTATTTCAACTCTTATGGAAAAAAGTGATGAAACTTCCTCGAATGCTGGTACTAAAGCATTTATGGCTCCTGAATCTTGGGAAAGTACTTTTATTTCTTTAAAAAGCAATATATATATATAATAACTTTAATTGTTACTGACAATTATTAGAAAAGGTTTTTAAAGCACCTCCTTTAGATATCTGGGCAACAGGAGTAACTTTGTATATAATGATTTATGGAAGTGTACCTTTTAAAGAGAAAAAATTAATAGAACTGAAGAACGAAATTTGTCAAAAGGAGTAAATAAAAATACATTTTAAAAAATTACTTAATAAATTTATATTTAATAGGATTGTTTTACCTCCAATCCCAGAAATACCCGAATAGGCCAAAGATCTTCTATTTAGAATGCTTGATAAAAATCCTATGAAAAGAATAACTGCTAAGGGAATGCTTGTAAATATATTTTATAGTAAAACTGTTTAATTTTTTTTTGTCTTTTCAAAAGGTGCATCCATGGATCACAGGTGATGGGGAGTTTATCCTAAAAAATGTTATAGATCATACCCTCACAGTAGAAAACTCAGATTTGGAAAAAGCCATAAGAAAAACTACTAAATTTACTGCATCTGTTATGATAGCACTAGGTCTTAAAAGAGTGCTCAAGAAAGCCAGAAAATCTCTAATGGAGCAAAAAAGCCAAAACAGCCTCTCCATTTCAACACCAAATAACAACCAAAGAAAGTTAAGTGTATAAAATAAAATAGAAAATATTTCTAAATTCTCTTAGAAACCAGGTGATAAGAAAGAATACAAAGAACCAGACAGAAGATATTAAAAGTTAAATGTCTCTCAATTACTAAGAGATGAATCTTTTAATAGTTGATATACTTGGATATAGTTAGCGAATTAATTAACTGTGCTCCATTAGATAGATACAAACAAAAAAACAGCATTAATTACATTATAAATTTTTATTTAAAAATAAATTTCATAATATTAACCTAAAAAGACATAACGAAATCAACATATTCTTTTGAATAGACTGTTTCTAATTTGTCTTATTTTATACTAAATATCAGATAGTTAGTTAGTAAATTATATATTCTATATTCTTATATAAAAATATTTTGTTATCTTAAAACAGCTTTTTTTTAATACCTTATTACTTTAAAAGCCCATTTAAATTGTTTTTTACTTACCTTTCAAATTTATTTATAAAGTTTTAATTATTGTTAAGAGTGGAAATTCAAACAATAGAATACTTACCAATAAACATAATGTGAATATTTATATTAGATTATAAAAATTGTATAATTGGTATTTGATAATCTTTAATATGTGAATTTTTTTAAATTCATATTCATCAATGTTTTGACCTAACATTTTTATTTTTAAGGTTTATAGTATGGCTAACACCTACTATTTAAAATAAAGAACTACAGTATGTTTATTTTATAAAATTTAATAATTTTTATAGATTAAAAATGAGAATAAACAATATTCTTGTAAAATATAAATATATGACTTAGTAGAATTAATAAAGATACAATGCATAAAAGAAACTTTAAAGAATAATCTAAAAACCTTAAGTAAGATTTTGTTAAATATATATTTTGGCTTTATTTGAAATAAAAAAAAATTTGTCAAATATTTATTTAGATTATTTACTAAAATATAATCAACTCAAAAAAATAATATAAATGATTCATTTACTAAAAAATTCATTTAAGAATTCTCCAGTATGGCTCAATCTTTCTAATGTAGGGAGGTTTTAATTTGCTTTTAATCCTCAAAAAGTAATTTAAGACTCAGCTAAATTTGAATTAGAAACTTCATAATTACCAAATGGATAATAAATAACTGATAAATTATATGATTTAACAGTGAAGCTTGAAAATTAATCTCCATTTAATGAATCTGAAAAAGCAATGATGACTATGATGACTCTTGCTGATTATAACATGAGATTTAAGAATACAGATTTAGCTGATAAAATATTTACTACACTTATTAGCCATCTTGAGGAATACCAAAATAATAATATGGCATTTTACCAGTATTTAAATCCCAGTATTTTTTATAGAAAGGCTCTTATGATTGAAGAAAAGATTCAAAATACTAACAATAACAACGAGCAATTAGAGTAATAAATATTAGAAATGTATAAACAAGTTGCATCTATGATTGAAGAATATACTGAGTTTTCAGAAACTCTGATAGAAGAGAATGTTCATCTTTTAGCTAAAGTTTATGAAAAATTAGGAAATATCTTTAAAAAGAAATAAAACTTTGAAGAAGCTATAAAATATTATCAAAAAGGAATTAAAGTTGGATAAGAAGTATATCACAAGAATGGAGTGTATTTGATAAAAATGAACTGTCTTGTAGGAGATCTTTTAAGCAGATCTGAAAAAAATTATGTAGACAGTATATCTTATTTACAAACTGTTTTAGATAACATATCTATCAAAACACCCTAAGATGCTTAAATATTTTCAATCGCTTCTAGCTCAATTCTCAAAGTACATCTTAACTATCCTCAAGTATTTAAGTCTGAGTAGACAAAATAATTAGTAGATAAAATTGAGAAGGTAATTTAAACATAAGACAAAGATTAAAAGCTAATAACTCCTTTATCTCGCTCAGTTATTTTGACTATGAAAGCAGAAAATGAATTAAATATGAACGAAAAAGAAAAGGCAAGATAAACATTTGACGATTCATTAGCTTTAGCTCTCAAAGTTTTTCCTCCAAATCACTCATTTGTATAAAACATCTTCAAAAAAATGCAATAATTATGAAATGATAATATATTAAATTGATTTTTTAGCAGTATCAAATAGAAGAATACAACAGAGTTTCTAGAAAAGATATAAATCTATTAATAAAATAAATAAATAATAGTTAAAAAATATAGAAGCTTTTGTATCAAATTTTTGTCTCAAAAGAATATTTAATATCTAATATAAAGGACATATATATATAGTAAAGGGAATACATAAAAAGCCAAAATTTTACAAATATTTTTAACTTTTTACAATTTTTTTTAGATAAACCTTTCGGGTTTACCAAAAAGAATTTTTTTCTAATTCTAGCACTGCTTTTAATCATATATTTTTATTTTTATTTAATTTAAAATGATTGAATTAAAACGAGCAGAAGTATTTTTTAAAAGATTATTTATTTGACAACTAATTATCAACATTAGGAATAGTTTATAATTACTTGTTAAAATAAATTTACTATTTTTTATTACATAATCAAAATAATGAAAAATTTCTAATTAAGTATGACATATACAATTTTTAATGTCTTCTTCTCTATATAGTTAATTAAAATAATATTTATTTTAATTATAAAATGAAAAAAATAATAAAATTTAATATATTATATTTATGTAACAAGAAATATTTATATTTTATTTATAATTAATTACTTATATTTGAATTAATTATTAAATTATTCACTTTCATAAATCTTTTTTATCATTTTAGAATGAGAAAAGATGTGGATGTAGCTTTTAAAACTCTCTAATAGCATGAATGCTAACTCCATGTCTCATCCCATTAATTTCATTCCAGCTATTATGGATGCCTATAACTTTTCCTTAGAGGTTGATGATAGGTGAACCACTATGACCCCAATAAGTCCAGCAAGAATGCTTCAAAGGACCTAACCCTTTTTCTTATACTCCATAAATGGGATCAAGAGTATAACCTTCAAAATATCCTTTTGAAATGTAAAATGGAGGATAGTTAGTTTTTTATGATCTGACACTCTCCATGTCATGATACGCTGGTTAACCAATACATATTAACTCTTCAAATTTTTTTAATTCCCCTTCTTAAAAGATTTCAATTTAAGGATATATTTTTTCAGATATATCTGTACCTCTTTTTATGATCTTTAAGATTGCTATATCTAATTTTTTATTATATTTTACCAATTTGCATTCTACATCCTCACCATTTGCAAATATCAAATGAAATATTTATTTGGGTTTAGTTTGCTGCTATGGCTCCTAAATTTTTTTAGGTCTTCCTCTTTTTTTCTATGGTGATACAACACTATTCTAATTTGGCTAATCTTCAAAAGAATGATTAATATTATCATCTTTATCTTCATCTTCATTCTCAATAACACAATGAGCACAAGTCATAATATAACCATTTTTTCCATCATAGCAAAATGCACTTCCAAACTCATCAGAGATAAAATGTAAACATCCATAGATAGATTTCTGAACACACTCGTAGTATGGATTATCAACTTACCAATTCTTTCTATCTAAATGGTTCAACTTCTAAACATTTTTGATAATCTATTACTATACAGCAGAATACTTTTTCATGTCCACTCAAATTCAAAATTAGTGATTTATAAATTTTATATTTTAAAACGATTAGAATGTCTCGATTCTCTCATTTTTATATCATGTAATAGCATAATATCTAAAATGCTACAAATTCCTCATTTTTCTTTATTACAAAGGCTTAAAATAGAATAAGTACTAACTAATTTGAATGAAAATACAGAGCAATTAATAAAATATTAATAATTCTAAGATTTATTTTTAATGATTCATATAGTTGGATTTTCCTTTCAATATTTTGATGTAGAAATGAATAACTCGAATTTTTTTCATTCAATTTGTTATTATCTTAAATATATTGAGTAAATTAAAGTAATGCGAGTTTTTATTATTCTATGAAATTAAATTAAAATTTAAATTTTATTAAAAATAATTTTATTTTAAATTTAAAAAAAATAAAGATTAAAATATTTTTTTAATTATTTTATGAACTAAATTATTTTTAACTCTATTTAAAAAATTAACAATAAATTTTAATCATAAATAAATCCTAAATAAATCTTATAAATAATCATTTTACAAAGATAAATTTTAATTAAAAATATTAAATTTAATAATAATAATTAGAAATATAAGGAAACTGTTAAACTGGACACCTATATAAATTGAGCACTCCTTAATCTATAAACTTGGAATCTCTATATTTTGGGCATAATTTTTGTCTTATAGATACCCAGTTTAGAAAGGTTTTGCTGTGTGAGTTTAAATTAAAAATATCTAAAACCAATATTTTAAAATTATTTTTTTTTGCCTTACTTCTATAAATTTTATCAGTAAATTCATTTTAAATAGTAAAATAATCTAAAAATGTATCACTGTAATTAGAATAAAAAGTATTTTTTTTAAATATTAACTGAATGACATAATTGTATAGAGGCAATAATATTAAGATTTTCTTTTATATTTCTTTATGATTTAATTTTTAAAAAGAAAAAATTAGGAAAGATTTTTTTAATTTAGATTTTAAATCTCATAATTGTGCTTAGCAAGCTTGGAAAATTTTTTTATAAAAACAAATTCATCATAAGTTAATTAACGTTTTTTTATATTTAAATTTTGGTTTAATATTTTAAAAATTAAAAATAACTATTTTAACCTTTCCTAAAATATTTACATAAACTGAACTGCATCCATCTCATTTTTTTATACAACATTAAAATAAATAAATTTTTAAATGAAAGAAAATATATTATCTCCGAATAATATTCATTTATACTATTTTGAAATAATAAGTATGAAGCTTTTAATGAGTTCTGTTAAATCCTTATTCATCTTTATTTAAAATTTTCTTTATACATCCGGGAAAACATTTAAATAAATAAATAAATTAATTCATTTCCAGAAATCTTTCTATAAATTAAATTAAAATGCATGAAATTTTAAATTGAAAATTAAATCAGGCTAAATGAAAGCTGACTATAAAACTATGAATTATATTTTACATGCTTTTTTAATAATTTCATTATATGATTTGAATATTATTCTCTGTTAAATTCTACTAAATTAACATAAAAAATACTTTTTTTCTGTTTTTTCATTCTTAATATTTTGAATTAGCATTAATGATGATTATTATTTAATAATTCTTCTCTACTTTCTAAACCATTTTATAATATATGCATATTTATTATTTAAAAAATACAATTATTTTTAGGTTAAATAAATAAAATCATTTATAAAATTACAGTAAATTATACTTTACCTTATGATTTCTTTAACAACTTGTTCATTTATTAATTCAAAATTAATTAATTAAAATTTTTCTAATAATTAAAAAAAGCTAATTTTAAATATTAATAGCTAGTTATTTAGTTAGTTATTTTCTAATTATTGTTGGAAAGTTATTTCATTTGAGTATCTTTAAAAAGATAGACATTTATAATCAAGAAATACTATAAACGATAATCATTAAAAAGATATAAAAAAATAAATAATAAAATAAAAAAATGAATAAAATTTTAATATTAACTTTGGTCATTTTACCTATTGTACTTTCTTAGTGTCACAATGGTTGTGCTACCTGCAATGGAGATATTTGCTTATCATGCAGTGCTGATAATTCTGAAGTAGAAGCCAACTAAAGAGCCTGTGTATGCTCAAGTGGCTACTATGCTTCTTCTCTCACTCCCCTCACTTGCAATCAATTGATTTCTGGTAGTTAAGAGGATGGATGTAATGTTGAAATGGCTTTAAATATTGCTAACTTCAACGTTAATACTGATTGTTATTATTACACTGAAAATGCTGGGTAATCTGGTTCAGAAGCTAACTACATCAGATCTGATATTTCTATTGATACCACTCACTCTTAATTTAGTGATGCTAATTGTAGAGCTAACCTTGTTACTCATGTCTAATTTTAACCCTAGAATAACAATAGTGGAAACGAAGATTAAGACTATGTTGATTTGTCTGCTCCTGCTAATGGTGGTTCTTACCTCAGCGATTTACCTGGTGGTAATATTGGTGATCAAAGAATCTAAATTCCTCTTATTGATGTTTATGGTCTTGCTCACAGCCAAACTGTAAGTGCTGATGGAAATCAAATTGTTCAAATTTTGAACTTCAGAATTTTAATCGGATTCTAAGGTACAGTATTGAGGTCCCATAGATGGTAATCAACTGTTTTCACCAACAGAAATTAAGTTTAAACCTTCACCATCGATGTAGATATCCAAAGAACTTAAGGTTGCTAACCAGGTCAAAACTGTATCATCGTTGCTGATTTGGATGTTACTGGTAAATAATACGAATCTGATTGGGTTACAGAAAATAGTGCTGCTCAATACACTGTCGGTGATATCTTGTACTTAAGAATATGGTTTAAAGATGCATCTTATACAAAATAGCTTTCATTCTAAAAGTTATACTACTTAAATGACTAAAATTAAATATTTGATTACACTGCTCTTTGTGATCCTGTAGCAACTGCTTGGAATCATAGTGACAAATCCCTCCATGTTTAATTACCTTTAGTTGAACCTTCATTAAGTGCAACTATTCAAGTAAATATGCTAATTGAAACTGCAGATGCACGTTTAAGAAGATTATAAAGCTCTTAAACACCAGGTAATAGTGCTACTCAACAATTCTCTCTTTCAGTAAGCTCTGCACCAGCAAGCACTTCTAATTAGACAACAACTAATACTTCTAAGTTAGTTTTTATTATGTTAAATTTGCTTTCGATTATATTTTTAATTTGAAAATTAAATTAATTAGCTTAATTGATTAATAATGTTTGGTTTTTACTATATTTTAGCATTTCTGATTAGATATTAATTTAATTTTTGTAAAATTATTTTTTTAATTAAAATAAAAATTTTATTTAAAGATAAAAGCAAAATTATTTTTTTTCATAAAATACTAATAATTGGTTATTTAAAAAAATTATTTTCTTAAATTTATTTTTAAATATAAAAAATATTTATTTTATTTTAGCATTAATAAATTCAATTTATTTTGGTTTATTTTATTAGAAAAAAATGGAGTCTTTTATTTTAAAATAGTTAGTGAGGTTTTTTTTAAAATATAAAAAGCTGTTAAATTACTGCGTTAAATCACTTTTCATTTAAATTATTACATTATTAATGATAACATAAGAAATTTAAAATAGAAAAGAAATATATAATTTAAACTCAAAAATATTGTTATTAATTAATTAAAATTCAATTTAAATGCTATGAAATTTTGATTAATTCTATTGACAAGTAAACTGATGAATTCTTAATTAAATATGTTGGGCTTCTAGAAACTAAGTAAAAATAAAGAGTTAATTTACCCTTAATAATACTAATTTGTATTTATTAATACTAGAAAGTATTATTAGAAAGTAAAGAAACATATGATCATTTATTTTGTTTTATTTTTATTGAAATAACTTCAAGGTTTATTCAATAAATGAGTATGCATGTTCAAAAATAAAATATAAATGAAGTATTTTTTTAATATATTTTAAATATGATATTTCCTCCTTTCTTTAACTAATAAAACAAAAATATTATTTTAATTATTTTTAGAAAATTTGTATTCTACTTTTTATTATTATTAAATGTGAAATGTAATATTTTTTAACAATGAGATAAAACCTACAATTGAAAAACTAAATGTTATTTTGATTAATATGTTGCTTTCTACTATTTTTACAATTACTTCAGTTTACTGATTAAAAGTAAATAAAATATTTACATCTTCTTATTCTAAAAACTAAAGTGCTTCGTAATTCAAAAATTAGCTATATTAATTTTTTTCTTTTTAACTATTTTGAAATTTTAATTGATTAGTTAAAATAACGCAAAAAATTTACTTCATAAAACAAAACCAATTTTGCTATTTATTTTTCTTAGATTTTTAAAAGTATAATGATAAAATTATTAACAAAATGAATTTACATATACTAAAATTTTTTCATTGTAAAAATGATTTATGAAATATTTAAATTGAAATTTTAAATTTATATTTTTAAATAACGTCCTTTCTTAAAATACAATTTAAACAAACAAACCTATCAACATAAAAAAATACTTCTACTTAAGCTCAGTAAAAATTCATGCTTTTAATAATTATTGGAATGTTAGTAATCAATAAATAAATCAGTTAAAAGAAATTTAAAACTTTCTTTTCATACTCATTCATTTCAAAATTATAAAAATAAAATTTGTTGCTAAATCTGATAGATTATATTTAATTTATCTAGTGAATTAATAAATTTGATATATTAGAAATGCTCTCATCAGCTAAACTTTTACTATTCTCAAATATATACTTTTATTTTTGTTAATAAAAAAGTCAAATTAATTTTAAATATTATAATGAATATTTAAATACAAAGATATGCACAAATAATTAGTTTACATTTGTTTTTTATCTAATATTTTATTTATTTATTTATATATATATTTTAGGTATATTAAGTTAATATATTCTTTCAATATTTATTTGATTAGCTTCTAATACTTGATTTAATTAAAAAAACTGATAATTATTACTAGAATTTGAATTTTTTATAGTGAATTTAATGTATTTTATTCTAATGATATCTATTCCCTTATTTCATAAATATAAAGTGCGGTTATTTCACTTATATTAGTTTAAATGCAACATTTTTGCAAGCTAATAAAACAAAAAAACAATAAATAACAAATTAAAAAAAATCTTAAAATGAAACAAATATTACTCATTACTTTAATTTTAATACCTCTCGTATTTTCTCAATTATGTCATAATAGTTGTGCTACATGCAATGGAAATGTCTGTCTCTCATGTAGTGCTGATCACTCTCAAGTAGATCCTAACTAAAGAACTTGTGTTTGTTAAAGTGGTTACTATGCCTCTTCTCTAAACCCCCTCACATGCAATCAGTTGATTTCTGGTAGTAAAGATAACTAATGTCATATTGATATGGCTTTGAATATGGCTAACTTCTATGTTAACACTGATTGTTACTATTACACTGAAAATGCTGGATAATCTGGTTTAGAAGCTAATTACATTAGATCTGATATTTCTATTGATACTTCTCACTCATAGTTCAGTGAGGCTGATTGCAGATCTTATGTTGTTACCCATATCTAATATTAACCTAAAGGTAATCATAGCGGTAATGAAGATGTCGATTATGTTGATTTACCTGCTCCTGCTAATGGTGGTTCTTATCTCAGCAATTTACCTGGTGGTAAAAGTGGTGATCAAAGAATCTAAATTCCTCTTATTGATGTCTATGGTCTTGCCAATAGTCAAACAGTCAGTGCTGATGGAAACCAAATTGTTCAAATTTTGAACTACAGAATTTTAATCGGATACTCAGGTACAGTATTAAGATCTCACAGATGGTAATCAACTGTTTTCACCAACAGAAACTAAGTTTAAACCTTCACTGTTGATGTAGATATCCAAAGAACTTAAGGTTGTTAACCTGGTCAAAACTGTATCATCGTAGCTGATTTAGATGTTACTGGTAAATAATACAAATCTGATTGGGTTACTGTAAATAGTGGTGCTCAATACACTGTTGGAGATATCTTATACTTGAGAATATGGTTCAAGGATGCTACTTATACTAAATAACTTTCATTCTAATAATTATTTTTCTTAAACGACTCAGGTTAAGTATTTGATTACACTGCTCTTTGTGATCCTGTTGCCACTGCTTGGAACCATAATGACAAATCCCTCCATGTTTAATTACCTTTGGTTGAACCTTCATTGAGTGCAACAATTTAAGTAAATATGAAAATTGAAACTGCAGATGCTCGTTTAAGAAGATTGCAAACTGGCTCTGACACTACTTCATAACAATTCTCTGTTAGTGTTGCTTCTGCACCTGCTAATAATTCAAACACTTCAAATACTAATGCTTTAAATTTAATTTTTGGATTAATTAATATTTTTGCTTTAATATTATTAATTTGAATATAAAATTATTTACATACTTTGTATTTTAAAAGTTTATCTTATTATCTACTTACTACCAAATAAATAAAATTTAGAACTAAAAATATATTTTTTCATTTATTAAAATAACAAACATAATTTTATTGTGAATTATTTTAATCCTTAATAATAAAAAATAAATATCATAATAGTAAAAAAAAAAGAAAAGTGAAAAAAATTTAAATCAGTGATTTTTTAAAATTTAATCAGATTAAAAAAAATAATTTTAATTAAATTGAGGAGAAAAAAATTAAAAATGCATTATTAAAAAATTAAATTATGAGTAAAACACACTCTTTTTTTATTATCTATTAACTATTAAATTTAGAATGCCAAAATTTATTAAAGTTTAAAATTAAAAAAGATAAATATTTTTGGATGTTGAAATTTAATAAAAATAAATAAATTAATTAACATATTATACTTAAATTTTTTACTTGTTAATTTTTTAATATATCCGCACCATAAATATACTTAAAGTAATTAAAAATGAACTTGATTAATATATTTGGTTCCAGTAATTATAAAATAATGTAATCCTTAGTTAAATTTACAAAAAACTGAAAAATTAAAATCTGTTATTTTTTGGCAATTGAAATTTATAAATAATTTGTTTAAGTTAGTTTAACTTTATTGGAGCATTTTTCAATAATCATCATTATTGTAAATTGTATTTAATTTTTATCAAATCGAAAAATCTAGCAAAACGAATAAATTACTATTCATATAAAAAAACATAAAAACTAATCAAAATGTTTTTCACTTATTTGAGTTATCATTTTTTATCATATTTTAGAGAATTGATTTTAACATATTTTAACTACAAATATGCTTTTCTATTTTTCTATCAATATTTCTTTAAGCGTTAAGAATATTAAACAGTAAATATCAGATTAATTATATTTATCAAAGTATAAAAAAAACGTTTTTTTACAATAGGTATACTCATCTTTTATGTTATCAATAATTTAATTAAATTCTAGCTAACAAATTCTATCAGATTTTAAAAAGTTTTTATTTTTCTTCCCAATATTTAAATATACAAATTTTAATTGTTATTAATTTGATTATTACTGTTAGTTTACAAAAAGAAATAAATTAGTAAATATATACTATTAATTTAGACTTTATTTAATATAAATACGTATCTGAATTTTTTTTAAACTTATAATTTAATCAATTAAAAAAAAAATACATTATCAAAAAATGAATAAAAAAATTATTATCCTCTTAATTACTATTTCTATTGCATTTTCTCAATTATGTCACAATAGTTGTTCTACATGCAATGGAAATGTCTGTCTCTCATGTAGTGCTGATCACTCTCAAGTAGATCCTAACTAAAGAACTTGTGTTTGTTAAAGTGGTTACTATGCCTCTTCTCTAAACCCCCTCACATGCAATCAGTTGATTTCTGGTAGTCAAGATAACTAATGTCATATTGATATGGCTTTAAATATGGCTAACTTCCATGTTAACACTGATTGTTACTATTACACTGAAAATGCTGGATAATCTGGTTCAGAAGCTAATTACATTAGATCTGATATTTCTATTGATACTTCCCACTCATAGTTCAGTGAGGCTGATTGCAGATCTTATGTTGTTACCCATATCTAATATCAACCCAAAGGTAATAATAGTGGTAATGAAGATGTCGATTATGTTGATTTACCTGCTCCTAAAAATGGTGGTTCTTATCTCAGCAATTTACCTGGTGGTAAAAGTGGTGATCAAAGAATCTAAATTCCTCTTATTGATGTCTATGGTCTTGCCAATAGCCAAACAGTCAGTGCTGATGGAAACCAAATTGTTCAAATTTTGAACTACAGAATTTTAATCGGATACTCAGGTACAGTATTAAGATCTCACAGATGGTAATCAACCGTTTTCACCAACAGAAATTAAGTTTAAACCTTCACTGTTGATGTAGATATCCAAAGAACTCAAGGTTGTCAACCTGGTCAAAACTGTATCATCGTTGCTGATTTGGATGTTACTGGTAAATAATACAAATCTGATTGGGTTACTGTAAATAGTGGTGCTCAATACACTGTTGGAGATATCTTATACTTGAGAATATGGTTCAAGGATGCTACTTATACTAAATAACTTTCATTCTAATAATTATTTTTCTTAAACGACTCAGGTTAAGTATTTGATTACACTGCTCTTTGCGATCCTGTAGCCACTGCTTGGAATCATAATGACAAATCCCTCCATGTTTAATTACCTTTGGTTGAACCTTCATTGAGTGCAACAATTTAAGTAAATATGAAAATTGAAACTGCAGATGCTCGTTTAAGAAGATTGCAAACTGGCTCTGACACTACTTCATAACAATTTTCTGTTAGTGTTGCTTCTGCCCCTGCTAATAATTCAAACACTTCAAATACTAATGCTTTAAATTTAATTTTTGGATTAATTAATATTTTTGCTTTAATATTGTTAATTTGATTGTAAAATAATTGTTTTGTTTATAATTTTATATTTTAAAGGCTTTGCTTTTATTTTAAATTAACATTTCCTTCAAATTCAATTATCATCTAGAATAATTTTTAAATTAAAATTATTAACTTATTTTACATTTTAAATTTTATAAATGGAAACTAAATAAAATAAAAAACTTTAAAGAGAAAGCAATTAATAATTTAAAAATTAAAATATTTATAATTTATGACTTAATGAAATAAATTAAAATTTATTAGAATAATAAATAGTATAAGATAAAATTCATTTAATTGAATAAATTGCAAACTAAAAAACAAAAATTGATTAAAATAATAAATTATCTATTAAAGTATTTCAAAATATATGTTAGTCTTTAAAATAATTTTTATTTAAAATTAAGAAATATCGAAAAAGTTGTTGAAACTTAATAGTTTAATCAAAATAAACTTTGATAATATACTTTGTATTTATTAATTTAATTTTTAAATTTATCCCCCACCTTAACAATGCTTTAAGAAATAAAATATAAGTCTAAATAACTGACTTGAATTTCAAGAAATATAAAATAATGTAATTAATAGTTATTCTTACAAAAAACTGAAAAATATTATTTTTTATTTAATTTTGATAAAGTATATTTATGAATATTTTGTATAAGTTAATTTAGTAGAGAATCTCATTTTTTAATCTGCATTAAAATATATTTTTTATATTTACTAAATAGTACTAAACAAAAGATTTCTTGAAATGAAATTTCATTTTTCTAACTCATATATCTTTAGCCAATCTAGAAATATATTTTAAATAAATATTTTGGGTAGAAGTAACAATTTTATGTTTGTTCTCTAATTATTTCTTAAAACTGATAAAAAATCTTCAAAAAATGCTTAATATTATTATTATCTAATAAAGTATAAAAAAACCGTTTTTTTATGATAATTAAAGACTCCTATTTTCATTAGCTTAATTAAATTCTAGTTAATAAATTTTATACAGTCTAGAAGTAGAATTCAAAGTTAAAAAATTTTTCTGATATTAATTTGATTAATGCCGTTAGTTTATAAAAAATATGTAATAATTTATATATACTTATTTGTGTTTTAAATTAGTATAAATACGTATCTGAGTTTTATGTTAAACTTATAATTTAATTAATCAAAAAAAAAAATACATTATCTAAAAATGAATAAAAAAATTATTATCCTCTTAATTACTATTTCTATTGCATTTTCTCAATTATGTCACAATAGTTGTTCTACATGCAATGGAAATGTCTGTCTCTCATGTAGTGCTGATCACTCTCAAGTAGATCCTAACTAAAGAACTTGTGTTTGTTAAAGTGGTTACTATGCCTCTTCTCTAAACCCCCTCACATGCAATCAGTTGATTTCTGGTAGTAAAGATAACTAATGTCATATTGATATGGCTTTGAATATGGCTAACTTCTATGTTAACACTGATTGTTACTATTACACTGAAAATGCTGGATAATCTGGTTCAGAAGCTAACTATATTAGATCTGATATTTCTATTGATACTTCTCACTCATAGTTCAGTGAGGCTGATTGCAGATCTTATGTTGTTACCCATATCTAATATCAACCCAAAGGTAATAATAGTGGTAATGAAGATGTCGATTATGTTGATTTACCTGCTCCTAAAAATGGTGGTTCTTATCTCAGCAATTTACCTGGTGGTAAAAGTGGTGATCAAAGAATCTAAATTCCTCTTATTGATGTCTATGGTCTTGCCAATAGTCAAACAGTCAGTGCTGATGGAAACCAAATTGTTCAAATTTTGAACTACAGAATTTTAATCGGATACTCAGGTACAGTATTAAGATCTCACAGATGGTAATCAACTGTTTTCACCAACAGAAATTAAGTTTAAACCTTCACTGTTGATGTAGATATCCAAAGAACTCAAGGTTGTCAACCTGGTCAAAACTGTATTATTGTTGCTGATTTGGATGTTACTGGTAAATAATACAAATCTGATTGGGTTACTGTAAATAGTGGTGCTCAATACACTGTTGGAGATATCTTATACTTGAGAATATGGTTCAAGGATGCTACTTATACTAAATAACTTTCATTCTAATAATTATTTTTCTTAAACGACTCAGGTTAAGTATTTGATTACACTGCTCTTTGTGATCCTGTAGCCACTGCTTGGAACCATAATGACAAATCCCTCCATGTTTAATTACCTTTGGTTGAACCTTCATTAAGTGCAACAATTTAAGTAAATATGAAAATTGAAACTGCAGATGCTCGTTTAAGAAGATTGCAAACTGGCTCTGACACTACTTCATAACAATTTTCTGTTAGTGTTGCTTCTGCCCCTGCTAATAATTCAAACACTTCAAATACTAATGCTTTAAATTTAATTTTTGGATTAATTAATATTTTTGCTTTAATATTGTTAATTTGATTGTAAAATAATTGTTTTGTTTATAATTTTATATTTTAAAGGTTTTACTTTTATTTTATCTAAAAACTCATTTAAATTTATTTATCATTTTCAGTGAAATAATTTTTTAAATTTAAATTAAAAATTTATTTTGAATTTTAAATTATATTTATTGTTTTTATAAAAGAAAACTAATTAAAAAGAAAAACTTAAAAAAGATAAAATTAATAATTTTAAATTAAATTTTTTATAATTTATATAATAATGAAATAAATATTTATTTGAAAAAGCATAAAATAAAATAAATTTAATTTAAGTAAATTTAGAAATTAAAAAAAATTAATTAAAATAATATTACAAAAAAAAAAACTTTTTTGAAAGTGTTGAAGCTAATTGTTTTAAAGTTATAAACTAATTTTTGTTTAAAATAAGAAAATATAGAAAAAATTGTTGAAATTTAATAATATAAATTAAATAAATTTTGATAACATTTTTTAATTTTTAAATTTATTCCCCACCTTAAAAATGCTTTAAGAAATTTAAAAAAATCTAAATAATTGACTTGAATTTCAAGATCTATAAAATTATGTAAATAATTGTTATACTTACAAAAAACTGAAAAATATTATTATTTAATCTAGATAAAGTATATTTGTAAATAATTTGTATTATTTAATTTTGATGGGAATTGTATTTTTTAATTTATATTAAAATATATTTTTTATTTTTTATGTTTACTGAATTCTACTTAAACAAAAAATTTATTGAAATGTAGTTTTATAAAATACATCAAAATTTAACCATAAAGTATATTCTTTTAATTATGAGTGATCTTCTATCCTAACTCATATCTATATAGCCAATCTCGAAACATATTATAAATAAATATTTTGAAAAGTAGTATTGATTTTATGTACTATCTCTAATTATTTTTATAAACAGGTAAAAATTATTTAAAAATAATTAAAACTTTTTATTATCTAATAAAAGTATAAAAAAACCGTTTTTTTATGATAATTAAAGACTTCTATTTTTATTAGATTAATTAAATTCTAGTTAATAAATTTTATCAGATTTCATAAAATTAATCAACTCTCTGGAAATGGAATTCAAAGTTAAAAAACTTCTCTGCTATTAATTTGATTAATGCCGTTAGTTTATAAAAATATGTAATAATTTATATATACTTATTTGTGTTTTAAATTAGTATAAATACGTATCTGAGTTTTATGTTAAACTTACAATTTAATTAATCAAAAAAAAAAATACATTATCTAAAAATGAATAAAAAAATTATTATCCTCTTAATTACTATTTCTATTGCATTTTGTCAATTATGTCACAATAGTTGTGCTACATGCAATGGAAATGTCTGTCTCTCATGTAGTGCTGATCACTCTCAAGTAGATCCTAACTAAAGAACTTGTGTTTGTTAAAGTGGTTACTATGCCTCTTCTCTAAACCCCCTCACATGCAATCAGTTGATTTCTGGTAGTAAAGATAACTAATGTCATATTGATATGGCTTTGAACATGGCTAACTTCTATGTTAACACTGATTGTTACTATTACACTGAAAATGCTGGATAATCTGGTTCAGAAGCTAACTATATTAGATCTGATATTTCTATTGATACTTCTCACTCATAGTTCAGTGAGGCTGATTGCAGATCTTATGTTGTTACCCATATCTAATATCAACCCAAAGGTAATAATAGTGGTAATGAAGATGTCGATTATGTTGATTTACCTGCTCCTAAAAATGGTGGTTCTTATCTCAGCAATTTACCTGGTGGTAAAAGTGGTGATCAAAGAATCTAAATTCCTCTTATTGATGTCTATGGTCTTGCCAATAGCCAAACAGTCAGTGCTGATGGAAACCAAATTGTTCAAATTTTGAACTACAGAATTTTAATCGGATACTCAGGTACAGTATTAAGATCTCACAGATGGTAATCAACCGTTTTCACCAACAGAAATTAAGTTTAAACCTTCACTGTTGATGTAGATATCCAAAGAACTTAAGGTTGTTAACCTGGTCAAAACTGTATCATCGTAGCTGATTTAGATGTTACTGGTAAATAATACAAATCTGATTGGGTTACTGTAAATAGTGGTGCTCAATACACTGTTGGAGATATCTTATACTTGAGAATATGGTTCAAGGATGCTACTTATACTAAATAACTTTCATTCTAATAATTATTTTTCTTAAACGACTCAGGTTAAGTATTTGATTACACTGCTCTTTGTGATCCTGTAGCCACTGCTTGGAACCATAATGACAAATCCCTCCATGTTTAATTACCTTTGGTTGAACCTTCATTGAGTGCAACAATTTAAGTAAATATGAAAATTGAAACTGCAGATGCTCGTTTAAGAAGATTGCAAACTGGCTCTGACACTACTTCATAACAATTCTCTGTAAGCGTAGCTTCTGCCCCATCAAATTCATCAAATTAAACTAATACTTCAAATTCTTTGATAGTTTTATTCAGCTTGCTCAATTTGTTAGCCATAGTTATTCTTATTTGAAATAAAATTTAAAAATAAAATTATTTATAAAGCAAATATAAAATATTTAAGGTAAATAAATTTGCGTAATATATTTTGTAACTTTAAATTTAAGAAATGACTAATTAATTAATAAAAAATAATTTTAAAAGTAAATAAATTTGATTATTTTAAAAAATTAATAATTAAAAATAATAAATGAAAGAAGGGAAGATTATATGATTAGTATAATTATATGTATACCACTCACTCACTCAATCCTTTTCTATATTTAAAAAAAAAATTAATTAAATAGAATATTTTATTTTTATTTGAATTTTAATCAATACAAAACATTATGACTTTTTTTGAATGTAAGTATTAGATTTTATAAATAAATATATAAAGTTTAAACGTCTAAATATGTTTAGATTACTTGATGAAATAGAAAAATAAGTATTATTTGAAGAATAAAAGAAAATTGCAGTATTTCGTAAATTAAAAACTTGAAAGTCCATAGTAACTTTCGCATTTGAAATAATTAAAATATTTAATATAAAATAATTCGATATTTATAAGTACTTTGAGTAAAATATATTTTTTAATTTGAAAATTAAAGATATTTTTAATAAAAATATTTCAGTTTATTCATTTAAAATTTTAAATGAAATGTTTTTTTGCAAATTAGCTAAATATACTAACTACCTTATTTATTGATTTATAATAAAAAATAATAGTATATTTATCAGCTTAAAATACTTAGATATACAAAGCAAAATAAATATTATTTGTAAGCAATAAAAATTTGCATTAAAATATTTATTTTTTATATTTTTGTGCATTAACTAAATTAAGTTAACAATAAAGAAAATATTTTGTTCAAATATTTCTATTATCATTTTTATGTTTTTTCTTCATAAATTAACCAAAATTTATTAAACATACTAATTGATTAAATTCTAATACTTACAAATATTATTTTTTAAGTACTTCCATTTTTTTATTTTTTTGTTAATCTAAGTTTTCTAAATATAATTTTAAAATGTTGATGCTCAACTCATATTAAAAAGAAATAATTTTTAAATAGTTAATTTTAAAAAAATGTTTATACTTCAATTGAATTGAGCTAAGTAAAAAACGATTAATTTATGAATAAATCAATATTTAATTATACAAAAGTAAAAAATTGTAAATCAGTTATTCTAAGCTATTTTTAATAAAAATACTATTACTACAAAATACTTCAATCAATATAATTCTATCTGGTTAGTTATAACTTTTTTTGTGACTCAGTTTAAAGATTTGCACAAAAATTATTTTAAATAATTTACAAACAATTTTTTAATAATAAAATTAATCATTTTAATCAAGTAATTTGATTTTAAATTTATTTTATTATATTATTAAATTTTTTTAAAAATAAAGTTGAATCGTAAATATTTAAACAATTTTATTCTATTCTTCTAGATTATATCTAAAATACCTATATAATTAAAAGTTCATATTCTTATTTATACTCTCTTCCTATTTTTAGTTAAATTTATCAAATACTTTCTCTATAAATACTTCATTTATTTCACCAATAAAGTTTAAATAAATAATAAAAAATTAAAACTAAATAAACAAAAATTAAATAAATATGAATAAAAAGCTAATTGTCTTTTTACTAACAGTTTCTCTTGTCTTATCAGGACATAACTATGGTGGAGGTTCTGGTGGTTCTGGTGGTTCTGGCGGTTCTGGCGGTTCTGGCGGTTCTGGCGGTTCTGGTGGTTCTGGTGGCTCTGGTGGCTCTGGTGGTTCTGGTGGCTCTGGTGGCTCTGGTGGTTCTGGTGGAAGTGGCGGCTCTGGTGGCTCAGGAGGTATGGGAGGTAATTGCTGTTATAATGGTTGTGCAACTTGTAATGGATTAATATGCCTTACTTGTTCAGATCCTAATGCAATAGTTGATCCTTATTAGAGAACTTGCATCTGTAAACAAGGATACTATGCTTCAAACCTAAATCCATTAGCTTGTTCTCCTTTAATATCAGGTGGCCCTCAAAATGGTTGTGAAGTAGAGTTAGCATTAAATATCTTGAACTTTGTAATAAACACATAGTGCTATTATTATACTGAAAATGGAGGAAAATATGGATAGGAGGAAAACTTTGTTAGAACAGACATAACAATAGATACCTCTCATTCATAATTTAACTGTCCTTAGTGTTTGGCAATATTAGTTGATAAAGTATAATACCAACCTTCAAATTATAACTTCACTTCTGATGATCTAAACTTTATTGATCTTCCTACTCCATCATCTGGAATACCTTACGTTTCTCCTTTACCAGGTGGAAATAATGGTGATTTAAGACTTTAAATTCCTCTTATAGATGTATATTCTTTGGCTTACAGTCAGAGTATAAGTTCTGATGGATCATAAATTGTCTAAATTTTACATTTTAGACTTCTAATTGGCTATAACAATACTTATAATGTTACTTGGTTGGATTCATACAAATGGTGTACCACAGTATTAACAATTAGAGGAGTAGTTTAAACCTTTACAATTAATGTAAGTGCTCAAAGCGAGAATGGTTGCGTTGAAGGTTCAACTTGCATTGTAATAGCAGACTTAGATGTTACTGGAAATTAATATCTTTCTGATTTTGTTACTATAAAGAACCCTCCTAATTATACAGTAGGAGATTAAATTTACTTGAGAATATGGTTTATTGATACAAGCTATTAGAAGCAGCTTTCATTTTAGAGTTTGTACTTTATGGATGACAATGGAGTAGTGTACGACTATACTTCACTCGTTAATTCAAGCAATACAGGATGGAATCATGCTGACGACTCATTACACGTTTAAGCCACTTTAATTGAACCCTCTAAAAATGCTGTTCTTTAAGTAAATATGTTGATTGAAACTGCAAATGCTCGTTTAAGATCACTATAAGGTTCTTCAAGCTCCTCAACACCCTAGACAGCTACTTAATAATTTAGATTTTAGGTTGCATCTGACCCAAATAACCCAACTGCTACATCAACTCAAGCAAATACTAAGACAAGTTCAGTTGCTTTACTTTATGGCGTTTTAAATATTTTAATCTTACTTATGTTAAGTTGAATTATTTGATTATTAGACTATATAAAATATAATAAAATATATTAGTTAAATGTCGTCCAATTATATATTAATTTAGAAATATTATGAATTTATTAATTAAAATACTTACTTCATTCTTTATTTATTTTCTTCAAATTTTAAAATATTTTCATAATTTCTTAATTTTAATATTGATTTATTGATAGGTGTGTAGTAAGTAAGATAGATAGATACTCACTCAAGTTACAAAAATTTAAACCATTTTTAATTAGTTAAATCATAGAGTGTATTTACAATTTATTTGAAGATTTTTTAAAAATTGTTAAATAAAATTCTTTTTATTAATCAATAAAATTTTTTTTTGACATAAATTTATAAAATTTTCAAAAATATAATGAATATTTAAATTAAAGTAAGGATAATTAACTCTTGTGTTTTGTGTCAAAAATAAATTCAAATTTTCTAGTATCTTATATAAAAATAAAAATTTAATTTTCATTACTTACATAAATTAAAATATTAATTTTGAGAGATATAATCCATTCAATATTTTTATCCAACTACTAAAGCGATATCTCTTACTGCTCAGTAAAATATCATTCAAAAATGATTTTCTGCGTACATTCTACACATGTGCGCAACCATAAAAAAATACACAATTTTTGAACTCAAGAATTTTTGAGAACATACATGTCAATAAGGTCAATCTATAAGTATAAACCAGTATAAAAAATAATATTTGTACTTTTAGGCATTTATAAATACAAACAAAAAATGATTATTTAATTAAATTAAATAGATATTAATTATGGAATATCGCTCTAATTATACTTATCTTTGTTTCTACTAAGTGTTTAGTTGTAAATAAAATATATTCTTTAAATGTTAAAATTAAAATGAAGAGCAATCCTAATTTATAATAAATATAGCTTAAAAACTATTTAAGAAATTCATTAAAATATATTATTATATTAAAAGTAGTTATATTAGCTGCTTTAGGATGCGTTTGTCTTAAGATTTTCTTATTTTTGTGTTTCTTAATTATCTAATTCACTAAATACTTTTTACATTTGAGGCTACTTATAAAATTAATTATAGAATTTATACTTGATTGTATCTTGTTTTTATATTGGTTAATATCTACTTTAATATGATGGTGATGTATGAGCTTCTCTCTGAGAATTACTGCTGTTTTTTTATTTAGACCCTTTTTCTACAGTTTTGGTTGCATTTTGATTGTGATATAAACTTTTTATGTCTTCTTACTAAACTTAACAAATAGAATTTTCAGTATTATTTTATGTTATTGTATGATTAAACTAATCTTTGTTATTATATTAGTTATAAAACTGCTTTGATTTGTAATCAGATTTACTCATATCTTTGAATTGTTTTTTGTCAAATTTTTAAGAATCTTTTGAAGGAAGTACTATCCTTTCTGGAGTTACTATAAATTAGCTTTATATGATTTTTTCCTCGAACTCTTATATATATTTTTTTTCGCTAGAATTATTTACTTATAATTCCGATTATGAGTTTGTAATTGAATTGATTTGATCTTTTGATATCTATGCTGATTGATTCATAATTTTTTAATATCTCTCTCTTTTTGTGATTGGAGAGTTGTAATTTGAAAAAGTTCTTGTCCCTTTGCAAATTAAGGAGCTTTAGATTGGATTGTAACCATCAAAATGATTTTTAAAAGCTGATTATGAGTTAATTATACTATCTAAATACTAGTCTTTGTTAAATGAGGAATTCAAATCGTTTTAAGTATATTAAGTCATTGATCTAATTTTTTCTTTGGCTTAAAAGCACTCTTTCTATCTTTGTTCCTTTAAAACTTTTTCAATAACATCTTCTTTTTTGAGCCTATACTTTCTTGTTTTTACTGGCATATTTGCAGGAAATTAATGTGATGAAGCATTCTATGCTTCTAAGGCTTTATATAAATCAATTTATAATTAAATTTATGTTGATGAAGTATTGTCATTAAATGATTAATTCTGCCTTGAAGTTGAGTCTCTTAGAGTTTAGTTTAATTTATTTTTACGAAATTAGCATGGAGAGTTACTTTAATGAGATATTATTCTTTTTTTGATATCTAAACTATTTAATACTGTCTTAGGTCTATTTTTTAAAAGAGAACCTTAGGTTTTTTTGTCCTCCTCAGATTCGAATTGAATGTTCCCTACAAATGCTTATTTTAATCTAAGATTTGATAAGAGAATTCCTTTATCTTCGCGCGGAGATGATTGGCTTTGTTTTCTTTAGTTGATTGGATCATCTTTAGTGCTAGAAATAATTTTGTAATGTTTATTATTAAAATCTGTTACTATTAAAAACATCTTTTTAGTATTAGAAGGAGACTGTTATTCTTATACAAATGTTTTATTGAATTATCCTTATTTAATTTAAGATTTAGGACTGGAGCAAATGTTATCTCTAAGAGGAGAGCCATTAAAGGAATTCAAAGCTGATTTAAATGCTCTATTATGATGTATTTATTATTTTAGTAATTCTTAAATAGTTCTTCGTTTTTATTAAGAGGAATGGCAATTAGTAGAATTTGATCTATCATGCTAAAATTATTAAAATAAAGTGGCTGAATGCTAACTCTGATCTAAAGGCAGTTAAAATTCTTTTAAAAATGACTGCATTATATTTTGTTTGTTTAAATTTATGGTAAAATAAATATTATTAAAATTGAACTAAAATGTGAATAAATATAGTTTACTTTGTAAATTTATTTATTTATTATGTTTATTAAAAACTTATTTTACAATTATTAGCCAACCGTATACAATATTTTAATAAATATTTCAAACATAAATACCTTCAATGAAATTATAAACAAACAAACATAATTTGTAGATAAATAAAATATTAAAGTTTAGCTAAATCAAAAATAATATTAAATTGTATCAAAAGATTAAAATTTTATCTAGTAATTTAAGAATAAAAATAAGTTAAGCTTATAATATGATTTTTGAATTTGAATTAAATTTTGAGCCATAAATGAAATGCATTATTTTAAGAAATTAATCAAATAAGTAAATTAATTTGTAAAAAAGAATTAAATAAGTTTTTCTAACAAAAAATAAAAAGTTTTAAAATAAAAAATCATTAAAAACAAATCTTTTTAATGAGCTTAAGCAAATTTATTAAAAGGATCTTTCAAGAAAAGAAAAATCCTAAAATTAAATAAATTTTTAATTTAATAAAATAAAATATAAAAATAAATTAAAATACTGTTTTAACTAAAAATAGAAAAAATAAATTAATTGAATACAAATGAAGTGTTTTATTTTTTATTAAATATCATTTCATCAATGAATTTAAACAATTAAAATATCATTAAACTAAAATAAATTTAATTATTTAAATGAAATAATTAAAAATTGAAGCTAAAAATTTATTTACTTGTTAATATATTGAAGAAAGAAAAAAATATTGAATGAATTAAAAATTTTTATTTGATTTAAGGGATTAATTGATTGATAAAGATGAATATACAATATAATTAAAACATGAATTAATTTACAATATTTTGAAAATAATTTAACATAATGTAATAAATAATTTATATTTCATTTTTTAATAATTTTTTAGAGACAAATAAATGTATAATTTATATTCATTTTTTATAAAATCTGATTATATATTTGCTAAAAGCTCAGTAGGTGAGATAGAGAGAGAGGAATGAGCTTTCTGTATTTTTTCGATTTAGTTCTTTAGAATTTTAATATAATTGTATAGTTGGTTTGTTTTTTTTTGTTGTCATTTGATAGCATTATTAAAAATATAGGAAGGTTAAAGAAATTTTTATATTTAGTCACAGTCTTAAGTTAATTTGAAAAATTAATGAGCATTCTTATTATATTAGAAGAAGGATTTTTAGTTTTATGCTCAGTAGGTAATTCTTATGAGCTTATTTTCTCTCCAATACCCCTTCACTATTTAGTTATTTGATTTATATAGAATGCATTCTCCATTAATTTTATCTTCTACAAAGTCTGCTTGTATAAAGTCACCATTGGAAAAGTAAAGTCTGCCTCTTCCATTTTTTGCATCATTGTAGAATTCTCCTTCATACTTGATCCATTTATTTCCGATAGTACTAAAATCGTGGTAATATTTGTCATCATCCTCTCTAAGGGTGTAGTCAATTATTTCATTGTTCAAATAGCCATATCCTTAAAATTTATTTTCAGCAAATTGACCTTAGTAAGCAAGCTAACCACTTGAATAATATAGCAATCTATTTTAAATAATATAAGTTATTTAAGGGTTTGAAATAGCTAAAAATTAAGAAAAGTTAAATGAAACTATTAATTTATTATTTTAGTTTTTTGCGTTATTTGAGTTAATCTTAAAAGATCTTTTTTAAATTTATAATTTATTTATTTATTTCTTCTTGATTTTCATATTTTTTTCTTAAGATTGAAAAATTAATTAATTTGTCTATTTTCTAGTTTTCTTTCATTTCAAAATTAATTTAAGAAAAATAAATGGTAAGTTAAGTAAAGTAGATTTATTTTGCTATTGTTTGATTTTTCTACTAACTAAATATTTTGTTAGCTTCGAGGTTGCTTCAAGTAAGAAAATTATTTTAACAGTTTTTTATTCATAGATATAATCTTACATTTTTAACCTTTAAAATTAATAGTGTCCAATTATAATTAATATTCAATGCTTGAATATCTAATATTTTTCTTTTCATATAAATTTAAGTAAAAATAATATTTACCCTCTTCCGTTCATTTTGTCTTGGCTCCAGTTTCCTTTGTAGCATGCCTTATTTGAGAAAATAAAAATTCCATATCCTTAACGGAATTCACCAACTTTTTCTCCTTCATAGGTAGATCCATCAAGGTATGTTTCACGAACTGAATAGACTTAATCTGAGTTGACAACTGCAGCAAATGTGTTATTGTTATGAACACCTGCGACTTATTAAAAATTGTCTAACTCATAAGAACTTGGAGAAGTTACGTAATTTCCCTAAAATGATCCGTATTAATTATTTGATATGGAGGGCTATGAAGAGAAATTATTTAAAGTCTCTTGAGTTGAGTTGTATTAGGTATTGTTTGAATAATATTAGTTAGTTCCATTCACATTGTTTCCTTTTACATCAAAAGATGAACGAATTTGGTTGTTGTCACCAGAACGCTAAAAGTTAGATTCCTAAAGTGTCTATGAAGCGGTTGACCAATTTCTGGAATGGTAAATAGAATTGCCTTTTGCGCTCTCAGGCTTTGCTTAATTTTCCTCACATTAAACTTTATGAAGCTTTATCAACTTGGATTTACGGTAAGGATTGAAATGATTAGTATCAGCTCCTAGTATTTATATGGTTTCTCTATTAATTTGATAGTTGTTATCAAATATTCTTTCGATTCCTATATCAGCGTGCTTTTATTTGCAGCAGCTTGCTTCTTATCCCATTTTATTTTATTTATTTATTTATTTATTAAGCTAGTTTTTAGTGTGTTTGTTTATCTATGTATGTTATTTGCTAATTGCAATTTTAAATGAAATTAAATTATTATTTTTTCCTTGAATTTTTTTTCTTTTCAATAAAATAATTCAGTAGTGCGCTTTACTAAATTGACTGATTAATTGTTTGATTTGTAGTTCAGCTATTTTTACTATCACTTCTTATTTTAATTAAGTTTTTATATAGAAGTTAGCTAGGTGTTGTTTATACCTAAATTAAAAGATTTAGTTTTTGGATCATCAAATATCATTCACTAAACAATATTTTTGCTCTATCACATAAAATCTTTATTTCATTTAATTTTGAATAATATTCTGCTTGCTTTTGAAAATTTATTTGCTTTCTATTTTTTATTTTATTTTTCAAAATAGTTATCCCTAAATCATAGTGAAAGTAATCATATTTTTATTAGCTCTGATTGTTAAATAAATTGATTTTATTTTATTAGAATGTGGTAAAATTTTGCAGATAAACATGTAAAAAGCACCCTTTCTAATTTTTGAATGAAGTATACTTATAACGCTTTGAAATTTAAAATCACAAAAAAATAAAATTTAGAAAATATCCAACTTTCAATGTTTTTTGATTTGATTATAATTAATTTCAAATTTATGTGTCTTTTAGTGGCTTGAATTTTAATTCAAGCTGCTAATAAATTTAATTTTGCGCAATTGAATATTTTTTATTAATTCATGCTCGAACTATGATATTAATATAAGAAATTTTTATTATAAAATTTTACTGACTACAAACATAATTTAATTAAGTATACACAAAGTTATAAAATATCAATATATAAAAGAAAACTCTGTCAGTCCTTTACTGAGCATGTTAATAATAAATTTACAATTTTGTTACTATTATAATCGTATTAGATAACTGATTGTACTTTCTTGAGAAATTCTCTGAGAAATATAAATAGGAAATAGATTTTTTTTAAAAATCAGTCATCTCATCTCAATCATCTTTTTTGGAATTGCTTTTATCATCTAAGAAATTACTTACTTTTACAGCTAATTTTGCATTTATTTATGAATAATTATTTCTCTAAAAATCAGATTCAGTAAATTATGAGATTTTAGCATCACTTATTAGCGGTGAGGAGAAACTAAATGATTAAATTCCACTGCTCATTGGTGATTATAAGTTTGATAATGGAGTTTTATCTTCTTTTGTGAAAAAATTTGATAAGAATGGAGCTTTTTATTTAGTTAATTAGACGTTTTAATATTAAGAAAAGGATTTTTTTATATTGTTCGCTAAGCTTGTATTATTTTTATAATCACTAATTTGATCTTTAGTAGTATTATAAAACCCTACTTTCTTTTTTTCTTAGTTTCCACTTGCAAAATTTTGAAATTATTATCCTAAATTACTATTAGGAGAGCGAGGACTTGTCATACCTACTGATGCAGAGCCATTTTCTGATGTTAAGCTCATCTCAAATATCTTTTTCTTGATAGAAGGAGCAATCCTAGGCGAAAATAATTGAAAAGCATCTTACAGTTGATTTGCATCCTAATAGTCTACAGATCTCTTAAATTAGTCAAATGCAGACTATCTTAACGATTAATTATTTTTGATTGGATCTAATACTTTTTCTGTTAGAGAGTAATTATTTGATCTATTTTTTATATGCATATATCGATTTGTTAATTAATACGGCAGAGATGATGTATCTGGAGTACTTAATTTTCTATTTGAAATACTCCCTTAATTAGAATTACTCCCTTAATTAGAATTACTATTGCTATTATTTTTAGGAGATTCCATAACAGTTAGCTTACTAGCAGCCTGTGTTTAAGTATTCAAAAGATTGTTCTTAGCTATGATATTGGCTTATGGTCCAACAGCTTTAGAAAATTAAAATGTCTTATTCGAATTTATCAAGTGCTCTATTTTTACTTTTCTCCTTTCAAATTCATAGAATAATTTCTCTCCTTCATGAAAACCAAATATTGCATAAAAAATATTTTTGCAATCTTTTTTTAGCTTCAAATATTTAGAACATAGTCTTTCAAATTCACTTTATTTCGTTTCTTCTATCTATTAAAGAAGATTTTTATATTATTCTTCAGCAAGTTTGATTTCTTTGAATTAGTTATCAATTTATTATTTAGAAAGGGCTTATGAGCTAAAATTCTACTGATCATCAATCTAGAAAATTACTTAATTTGAATTAATGTTATTATCATAAACTAGCACAGGTTTCTTTATATAAGAAAGTTTATTAGTTGATTCTAAACCTGTGTTCAGAGAAGGATTTATTGATGTTGAAGAAGAAAAAGCTGTTAAAGATGAGTTATTTCTTTGCTTTTTTCCACTTGATTAAAATTGCATCATTTTTTATTAATAATTTTGCTATAAATTGTGAAATCTTTGCGAGTTTTACATGTTTTTCATAAAAGCCTGCTTTTCATTTTTTTAAATCTCTAAATTTGCCATTTATATTAAAAATTGAATATTCTTTTCCTCAAGATAATCAGGAAAAATATTATAAGTAATCTATTCCTTGATATTTAACAGCTTAACAACTATCCACACTAAACTTTTAGGGTTTTTTTCATTTACTTCTTTACTTAGCTGTTGTAAAAAATGCTATTTCATTAAAAATTTAACTTCGTTTTTCTTTTCTTTAGCATTTTGGTAATCTTTTTGTGCCTATTCAACCTCTTCTTATATCTATTTCAATTCATCGTCTTTTATTTAAAAAAAAAGTTATTATTATCATTGCTTATATAATCATATCATTACTAGATACAAATATTTTAATATTATTTGAGATTTATTTTTTAAAAATGAATTAAGATTTGTTTTGAAAAAAATGTAAAGTTGTTAAATTATACCTAATTCAGCTATCTAAATTTTAATATCAGCTAAGGCATCTAATTTCTTTTCTTGAAGAATCTCAATTTGATCGTTGAATGGATTGACGGCCATTAATGTTGCCCTTTTGTTTCTCTTTCCTTCTATTTGCTTCAAGAGAGAACTGACATTCTCAGATTCCATCTTTTTTATTTAATTATCATACTCTTCTGCAACAATCTTAATTTCTTCGTTTTTAACTTTTCTCTTTTAAGAATTTATGTTAAGTAAAACTCTAAGTTTGTTAAGAGTTTCTTTGCTTGATCTATTATTCTACAAGTGATTTTGATAAGCTGCAAATAAATTTTTCTCCTTTTCATCTAAATATTTTCTTTGCGAGATAAGTTACTATTTTTCTTTTTCTAGCTTAATATTTTTTTTTATTAGCTTGTCTTCAAATAATTCGCTGTACAACTTTTTATATTCAATTGTCCCATATTTAGGATGACCAGGATCTCTTAAACTATTAACCATAGTTCCATTTTCAGAATTGTTTAAATAATGAAGACTTTTAAAATGAGCTAAGGTTTCATTCTTAAATAGAGCAGTTTAGTTGTTGACTATTTCTTGATAATCTTTTTTACTTTAGGGCTTTTCACTCTCTACAACTTTACTCAACTTATTTTTAAATATTTAGTTTATGATTTAATTATTTTGTTCTGCTTGCAATTATGCGTCTGTCTTCATAACTACTTTATTATCTTAGTCTACTACATATCTCGACACTGTTTTGTGTTTAAAATCATTTATGTTCTTGATTTTTAAAGAAGTTAAAGTTACAGGTCTTGTTGGAATTTAACTTAAAGATTTTGGAAAGTTCATTATAATTGAATTCCTTTTTTCATTCTCTTTTTATCCTTTTAATTATATTTTTCTTTCAGATATATCATCATCAATCAGATCAATACTTTTAATTTTTAAATGTTGGCTATCATTATGTTTAGCTTATTTTTAGCTTATATTATAATCAATATGAATTAATGGCTTTTTTATCTCTTCTTCAGGAACATTTAAAATTGAATTTACTAGACGCATGTCAATTTCTGGATCTTATTGTTTTTTTTTATATTAACTTTGAAATTCGGGATATTCTAAACAAATTTACTGCTATTCGCTCATAGCTTCAATTCTTTTTTTATTTTTTAATTCATTATTCCACAAATCTAATCCATCAATTACTTTCTTAAATTATATTCTTTGTACTTCTTCTAAATTTTTAAGCTTTCTTGTTGATGCTGCTTGTATTTCATCTTCCTCTAAATATCCTTCTAAAGGCATAACTAGTTTATTTCCCTTGAAGTATTTCATTGATTCAGGTTTTGATAAATTAAAATCTTATTCAATTCTTAAATTCTTTACATCATGCAAGTCTTTAGCTTTTCCCTTTTAAAAGTCTTCCAAACTCATCCAAACCGTTTCCTCCTCAAACCTCACTTTATCCTTCTTTCTTTTCATATCTTGACTCATCTACTTAATTTTTTTACAATCAATCTATTTTCCTATCTATATATTTGAATTAATCCTATAAGCTAAAGAGTTGAATTAATCAAGATAATTATTTATAAACAAACTTATTTTTTAATTGAATGATTGTTATACATCAAGAATTAATAATTTAATTAATAATCAAATCTTTTTTAATGTTAAATTAACCACAAGACATAGAACTTTTTTAAATTAAAAAAATAATATCAAATCTTATTTTCAATAATTTTAACTAATTAAATTATATTTTAAAATAAGAAAAGGATTTATAAAATATTATTTTTATTTGTTCATTTAAAAATAGTTAAATTTAGCTTTCTTAGCCAACAAATAAAACTTATTTACCATGAGTAAAAATGCCTATTTTTGAAAAATAGATACAAATAATGTAAATAACATAAAAAATATATCAGTCGTACTGATACATAATTTCTAATTTTTATGTAATCTATTAATTAATGCTTTTTCTTATTAATTTTACTTAAAATATAATGAATGCTATACTTTGGTAAAAAGCAATCAAATAAATAATATTTTTTTGAAGAAAATGTTTATTTAAAAAATAATTTTTAAATGTAGCAAAATTAATAAAACTGAATAATAAATCTATTCAAAATTTCATTCTAAGACATTAAATTAAATGTTTTTGAATTCACCATATAAATTATGGATTTTTGATAATTTATGAGGTTACAAATAATTAATTTTATATACTGTAATCCATCCAAACCATTAGCTCTACTAATTGCATGGCGAGTAAAAAACATCACTACCTTAATCCAATTATTATACAAATTTTTGAAGATGGATGACAACTTATGGGGTTTGAGGAGATAAGGTAATCTATCTTACAATAAAATAATAAACAATAGATATTATTAGTTTATATCTAGATTTGAATATCATTCATAATTTATCAGAATATCTTTTTTATTATAATTCTTGTAGAATCAGTCCTTTAATGGTAGTGAAAATGTAAAAATATTTTTATCTGTTGTATTTCTTTTTAAGTCAACAGAAGAAGCATTTATGAAAGTTGTATTTTCAATCTTTTCTAAGCCAGCTGCTTCGTGAATGTGGCCAAATATATGATATAAAGGTTTGATTCTTTCTAATACAGTTTTGCGAAGATCAGGACAGCCAGCTTACTAACCATTTCTACAACTAAAAAATAATTATTAATAAAAAAATGTGTTAAAAAGTGATTTTACCAATCTAAAATTTTATGGGGAGGACCATGAGTAATCAGTATATCTGTATTACTAGGAATTTATGCCCACTTTTTTTATAAAGGTTCTCCTATATTCAGATTAAAAGCCCAATCATGGTAAGTAGGAGTAAATGGAGTTCCATAAATTTAATATCCTCTTATCTTAACAAGTGAGTCTTCCAGATAAATACATTCTTTTAATAATGCCTTTGTTTGAATTGGATCAATAGGATTTTTTAATTTCTGATGGAACCTGTTTGCTAGACCTTTAGTATAATTTTCTACATCAAAAGTTATATCATGGTTGCCTGCAATCACTATTTTAGCTTCAAAAGAGCTATTTTTCAAAAAATCATTAAACATAGCTATCTCTTCAGGAAATCCTTTGTTTGAGAAATCACCAGCGTGAATAAGAATGTCACCTTTGGGTAAGTTTAGTAATTAAGCCTTATTATGTGTATCTGATATACAAACAAATTTTATTAGGTTTTCTTAACTATCCATTTACAAAACTTTATTAAATATATTTTGTAATACAATTTATTGTTTTAGTTATTTATTTGTAATTTTACAGAAAATTAAATTTTCAGCTTTTAAAATAATTCCAACCAATGTTAAATCTAAATATTCAGAAAGAAATTTAAATAATGATTTTACTACTTGATTAAGTTTTAATTTTGAGAAATTTATTCTAGATTCTGATTTTGAACATATAGTAATCGATAAAACTCAGATAAAAGAATTTAACTTGTTAATAATATTTTACCATTCATAAAATAAATAATAGAATGATAACTTTTAAAATTCGAATTGTATAGAAAAGCAATTCCCATAATTATTTCTGTATTAAAATCATTCCTAACTTTATTTTAAATAAATATTTAATATCAAAAAAAATTAAAAATCAAAATGAGAGTCCTTAAAGAAATACACGAAACTTTAGTATTTATTCAGATATTCAAATCTCTTTATTTTTTAAATACAATTTAAATAAAAATAATCTTGAAATTTTAATAATTATTTCTAAAAATGAATTCATTTTCTTTTATTATTTGATATAAAATTTACTTTTTAACATACTGTAAATGCTCGTTAATTAAGGCATTTTTTTCTTAAATTTTTTTTTTCGACTAAAGTGTGTTTACGCACTTTTTTTTGGGCAAAAAAGATACTGAGGGAATGCTTTAATTAATGAGCATTTACAGTATATAAATTTCTACTTTATTAATAGTGATTTAATGCAATTAAAAAATATATGCTCTCTTTATTATTTTTATTGTGATCCTATTTTTTTTAATACAATTTAGATAAAAATAATGTTGATTTTTTAATAATTATTTGCTTATTTAATTTTCCTTTAGGTAAAAAATTTGCTAATCAAACAAAAAAATGGATTTACATTTTTTTTAATAGTGATTTAATAATATTTAAAGATGTATGCCATCTTTGTTTTTATTGTAAGCCATCCTAATCTTATATCAGGTATGGCCAAATACTTATTTTATAATCATTAAATTTCGTTTTATAGATTTAAAAATAGACTATCTAAAAAGTTAATATTAAATCAAGATAACAAGATTATGAATATCAGCTATTCAAAGCTCATTTTTTTGTTTTTATTTGTATGCCTTTTACAAAGCAAACAAATAGAAATCTAAAGAAAGTAAACTGGTAACTCTGTGTATAATGAAGCATACAATTAATCATAGATAAATACAGATTTTTCTTCAGGTTCGTTAGAATAATCCTATAATTTTATCACATAAGAATTAAATAATATTGATGATTACTAATATGTTGTTTAGATTTATATAGGGTAATCAAAGGAGCCTTTTAATTTTTTATTAGATACAGGAAGCAATATTCTTTGGATTCCTGGAACTGAGTGTAATCTGTAAGATAATCATTGCCATACGAAAGATATCTATGATTACTCAAAAAGTCAGACAGCTATTGTAAATAAAGACAAAAAAATTGAAATATAATATGGATAAGGTAAATGCGAAGGTTACCTTGGCTCTGAATATATACGCATCTATTAAGAAAGCTAACCATTTAAAGCAGAAATTTTGTTTACTAGCAGTGACAAAGATATGGATGGTATGTAATCACATGGTATCCTAGGGCTAAGCAACAGTAAATCAACAAAAAACTACTTAGAATATGCAGTAGAATAAGAAATTATATCCTCATCTGTATTTGCTCTTGAGTTAAAAAATCTTCCTGATATATCTTATTTTTACTATGATAATATTCCTGAATATAAATTATCGAATACTATATTTGTAAATACAGCTAGTAAAGAAAGGTGGTTAATAGATGTGATAGGGTTTTATATGAATGACTCAGACTACACAGATTCAAGCAACTAAACAGTATTAATCGATTCAGGTGCTTCCTTTATGCATTTAACAAAATCTTTATATGACAAATTTATACATAATTATGCAAGTAATGTTTGTTTCTACCAATATGGGGAATATGTTTGTAGCTGCTAATAAGAAATTCTCAACTAAAACTTACCAATTATAAAATTTTATACTTAAGAAGGTATACTATAAATATCTCCTCAAGACTATGTAATTAAAAAAGGCCAAAAATGCATACTTGCTATAGATTTCTAGGATACTTTTGATTTTAACATTTTAGGTGACGTTTTGCTAAGAAAATATTTTGTTATTTTTGATAAATAAAAGCAGCAAATGGGTTTTGGAAATGTTGAAAATAAAATTCAACATTTATAACCACTTAGTATGCTAATAGTATTTTCTATCTTCTCTGTTTTCACTTTTATGCTACTCTGCGCAGTAATTTATAAAGTAATAATTCTTAAGAAAGGTTAATATTAATAAGAATAAGATTAAGAATAAATCAATCAAACTCTTCTAGGTAATAACATTCAATTAAACTTGTAAGATTTGGAAAGGAGAAGTAGTTATTCAGCTAGAAGTTCATCTTGAAAAGCAAAAAAATATAAAATATATTTTCGATGATTATTTAAAAATAAGTAGTAAATTTATTATTGCTATATGATTTGCTATGATGCTTAACATTAAAATTATGATATTTATGCAAACGGCTTTTTATTGTTTTGTAAATTTATTTATTAACTCTAATGAAAGAAATAATTATAATTAATTATTTATTCTCAAATAAGTATGTTTGTTTTGAGATGAAAATCATTTTATTAGTTGATAGCTTTTTTTGTTAAATATCATTTATTTTGATTTAATGTTAATTAAATTATTCTCATAAATCAAAATCAAATTATTTATTTAATAAAAGAATAAGAAAATTACATTTTATTTCTGAAGCTAATCCAAAATATTTTCTTTATTCTCTTTCTTATTATATTTTAATTCTAAGTTTATTGATTATGTTAAAAGCTATACAGATCATCTTTATTGCAATTTTTAAAAATTAAGAAAATAAATAAAAACCAAAGAGTAATCATTTGGAGGTTTTATAAAAGAAAATAAATTGAAATGAAAAGAAAAATTAAAAAGTCTTATTAAGTAAATGCCCAACAAATATAAAATTTATATCAACTTTTTATTTAAATAAAGTTATAAAATGAATTATCAATAATAAAATACATTAGTCTTTTTATTAACATTTTAATAATATGAAAACTTACTTGAAAGAAATAAAAGTTATAAGTTATTTGAATATTATCAACTATTCCAGTAATATCTTTTTTCATTTGCAAATTAAAAAACATATAAAATTTAACATTAGTATTAGAAATAAGAAAAATATTTATTTTGAGTATAATTTAAATAAGGATTGAATAAAATGGTAAATCGCTTTTATTAGGCAGGTTTCTTTTCATATATAGGTTTTATTTTCTTTTAAAACCAAAATTAATTGTTTGGAAATATTTTTTTGGCAAAAAAAGTAAGATTCGAATGACAAATTATAAAAACAAAATTGTATTTGATGTAGTCAGGATGTCTCTTTTTAAGATTTCAAATAAGATAACTTTTAATACATTTAATCTGTTTTACAAAATTAATTCTTATATAAAATAAGTAGTTGCTTTCATTTTTCAGACAAAAAATTTAATTGGAATAAATTTATTTTTTTTTAATTTTTGCTAAAATTTAAAACATATAAAAAGTAGTTAATTAAGAATTGAATATTTTCAGGAAGATTTTAATTGAATAGTTTTAGTTTATATAAGGATTTAATAAAATGGTAAATCACTATTATTAGGCAGACTTCTTTTCACATATAAGCCTTAAATTTTTCACTTAAAACCAAAATTAATTGTTATGAAATATTTTTTTTGGCAAAAAAGTAAGATTTGAATGTCAATTTAAAAAAACCAAATTGCATTTGATGTAGTCACGATAACTCTTTTTAAGATTTTAAATTACAAAACTTTTAATACATTTTTTACAAAATTAATTCTTATATAAAATAAGTAGTTGTTTTCATTTGTCAAACAAAAAATTTAATTGGAATAAATTTATTTTTTTTAATTTTGTTAAAATTTAAAACATATAAAAAGCAGTTTATTAAGAATTAAATATTTTTAGGAGCATTTTTAATTGAATTTTTTAAGTATCATTCCATTATTTTTACAAAAGCAGCTGAGTATTTTTAATTTCTTTTACTATCTAAATTAAAAATATAAAAGAAATAATTATTATTTTATAGTAACTCCATTCTTAACTTAATATTAAGTTTTAATAATTACTTTTATATTCTTTTTTAATAAAATATTCAAAAATTTAAAAACAAACAAAATCGTCTCTTTCAGAATATAATTAAATATAATTACAAAAAAATTAACATTAAAAATGAGTAAAACAATTATTGTCCTTATTTTAGCCTTTGCTTTATGCTCAGCCTCAGTTATCCGTATTCCTATCAAGAAGAGAGCTAGAACTGAATTATAAGATGAAATCTTATACAAAAAACTCGAACGTAAAGAAAGAGGTTTCTTGGATCAAGTAATACTTTTCTTTAAACTTTTATTTAATATAATTTTTTTATATTAAAATTAGATTTTAAACTCTGATGAAGATATACCTAGTTATCCTGAAATCAAGGTTTAAAACTACTTGGATATGTCATATTATGGTGAAATTTCTATTGGTACTCCTCCTCAACCATTTGTCATTCTCTTCGATACAGGTTCTTCTGACTTGTGGGTTCCTGGAAAAGTATTTAAAAATATTATTAAAAAATATTGTTTAAATTAATTAAAATTAAAAATAGCCTTGCATTTCTTTACCTTGCTTAGTTCACCCTAAATTCAATACTCAAAAATCTAGCACTTACAATGAAAGCGCTTAAAAATTCTCACTCGTTTATGGCTCTGGTGCAGTAACTGGTCATTTAGCTACTGAAACTGTTACTCTTGGACCTCTCTAAGCTTAAAATGTTACCTTCGGTTTGGCTAAAACCTTGACCTCTGCCTTTGAAACTACCAAATTTGATGGTATATTAGGTTTAGCTTATAAGGAATTATCTGGCTTCAAAGCTAACACTTTCTTTGATGAGTTAGTTGCTTAAAAGTAAGTTGCCAGTAACCTTTTCTCTTTATATTTGAGCGACAAAGAAAACAGTGATGATTCTGAATTAATTTTGGGTGGAATTGACTAATCTTATGCCTCTAGTGAATTTAAGTTCTACCCTGTTATCCTTAAGGCTTGGTATGTTATTGCTGCTAACTCAATCTCAGTTGGCAACCTCAACTTATAACTTGATTCTATGATAGTCGATAGTGGTTCTAGTGTTGTTTTTGGTGTTCCCGAGGTTATCAATCCTATCATTCAGCTTTTCCCTAAAAACATTGATTGTGGTTCCATTAGCTAATATCCTAATGTAACCATTAATATTTCTGGTGATGACTATGTTCTTGAACCTGTTGACTATATTGTTCAAATCGAATATAAGGGAAGAACCCAATGTTAACTCGGTTTTGCTGCAACTAAACTATCTAAGCAATTAGGTAATGCCCTTATCTTAGGTGACACTTTCTTCAGAAAGTATTACACAGCTTATGATAGAGAAAATAATCGTGTCGGCTTTGCTATTGCTAACCATAACAATAACAAAAAAGCTTAAAAATTGATTTGATATTTGTTTAAACTATTAAATATATATTTCATATTTTTTTCTATAAAAATCTAAAATATTGTGAATAAAAAATCTAAATCTAATAATAAATAAAATCTATAAAAATCTTATCCAAAAAAATACTTTTCTATACTTATCTTTTAATTTTATAGTACTAATATCATAAAATTCGATAACGAGTATCTATTATAGTTTCAAGTTATTTTAGTTTTAATTTAAATTGCTAATTTTTATTAATTTTTTTGCATTATTCTAAAACGTATAAAGTATACCATTTCTTTTAATAAATTTTATTAATATTATATTAGATTCTATTCAAATACATTTGATTTGTAATATAATTTATTGATTATTTTAGTAAAACAAATAAGTCGATATTTGCAAATGAAAAAAATGGAATATTCAAGCATATTTTAGATTAATAAAAAAAGTTTTTATTTTTGTTTTCTTTATGTTGAGATTTGTTTTTTGTTTTAATTATTCTAATTATACTTATTAAAAAGATAAAAAAACATAATCAAAAATTTTTATTTTTAGAATAATAATTAAATTATTTATTTAAAATATTTTATTGACTATGAGTTCGTTATTTTATCAAAATCTAATTAAAATCCATTTAAATTTTTTTATATTAGTTATTTATAAATTAATTCTATTTTTTCTATGAGCAGTTTTTTACTTTTATAATAAATATCTTTGGTTTAAATATTTAAGATATTCATTATCATAATATAATAATAGAGATTTGATTACAAAGAAAGAAAAACCAATAAATTAAAACTTAAAAATTTTATTAGATAATTAATAAAGAAAGTTATTTATTATTTATATTTAATAAAAAATATTGTTTCAAAAATAATTCAATCAATATAGTATTAAAAACTAATTGTTTTTACTTATTAAACAAGTCCAAATAATACATTAAACACCTTTAGCATATAAAATGCCTCCTAAAGCCAAGCCTAAAAAATTAACAAAAAAAGAGCTTGTAATTAATTTAAAATTTAATGTTCATTCATAGTGAAGGATCATTTATTTACCATTAGAGATTAATTTAAAAAATTATGTTAGAAACATTAATAAATAAATAATAATTAAAATGTAAAGCTCGCCCTTCAAGAAGAATAGAGAAGAAAAGATGAAGAAGAAAGAAAAAAAAGAGAGGAAGAAGAAGAAAAATAAAGAAAAATTTTAGAAGAGTAAAGACGTAAAGAAGAAGAACGTTTAGCAGCTGAAGAGAAGGCTCGTTTAAAAGAAGAAGAATAAGAACTTGAAGGTTGGCGCAATTAGATTCTGAAAGAAAGGTGAATTTCATTTGAAGATTTATATTTTTTGCCAAAAATCTAAACACTTTTCATTTTATGAACAATATTCCAAATATTTAGATTTTTATTGATTTTAATATAAATGATTTTTTATTATAATAGAGAAGAATAAGTTAGGGAAATGCGTAAAGTTCATGAATGGGATAGGTATATGAAATGTTCATCTAAACCAGATGCAATTAAAGAAAATGAATTATCTACATTCATAACTTAATATAATGAATCACCAAGAGTTACAGAATTGAAAATTGATGAGGCACTTCAATAAATTTAATATGCTGAATCGGTTGTAGAAGATGTGATTGCTTTTTAGCAAAGAGCATACGCAGAAGGTAGAATGGAAGACAGTTAAAGATTGTTAAAATAGGTACTTCAAATCAGATAAATAAATGATAGAAAGATTGAAGAAATAAGTTCTCATCTTTGCATTTATGCTGAATTCTTGTATGAATAGAAACTTGATGAGATTTCTAAAAGGTTGCAATCTGAGTCACCAAATAAAAATATTAAATCAACTGATGACAAATAAAAAACTGAAATATATAAGATATACCCTCCTCTTCCAGATATTAGGTTTATATTTTATTATAAATTAAAAGGAATTATACATATTTAATAATAGATTCTTAAAATAATATCTATAAATTTATTTTTATTATCAAATTGTTTCTGAAAGATTGATAGAATTATTAATTTTATTTTAGATACGGTGTCTGGATTAATCCTCATAGCAAATCATCATATCGTCACAAGCCTATTGACTTCCTTGGTATTGGAATCCAATGTGAAGTAATTAATTAATAAATATATTATTTTTTATCAAAAAAATAGTTTTTTAATCGATGAAATGCTATTTATTTTATAATTTTTATTTTTGATTAAAAAAGGTTCCAAGAAATTACATGTCATAATCGATTATAATGAAAGCTCTATGGACTAGTTATGATAGCTTAACAAACCCAGAATATAAATAAAATTCTAAAGATATTGTTATGGGAGGTGTTTTGAATGTCGAGTGTCTTGAATATTTACCTGCTAAAGTTAAAACTGCCAATTGGACATTAAAGTTCCACTATGATGTGGAAGAGTCAATTAAAAGATTACCTTATCCAAGTTAAGATAGCAATGCATAGACTCACTAAAATATTTAACCAGTAAAAGTTAGCTACACTCTTCCTCCATACCTTTTAATATATCCTAATGACCATCATAGAGTCGTTGTTTATGACAATTAATAGTAAAAATGGACCTCTGAATATATTGTTGATGATGTAAATATAATAAATTATTTGATATAATAAAATTTTATAATAAATTTAATTTAATCTTCTAGGTGAAATATGAAGCTGATAAAAAACTTTTGAATTTTAGCACTATTAGATTAGCTCCTTGTGCTTATGTTCAGGAAAAATGCACTGATTATCCTTATGTTTCATGGAAGATCCGTTGTGTAAAGCCTGATACAGCTTATATTGATATTTAGGGTAAGAGAGATACCTTTAAGTTTGAAATAACTCCTGGATTTGTTATGCTAAGAAATAGAAATGAACCAGAATTGAAACATTTGGTGAATAGGAAAATGCCTACAGGCTTATTACTTTCATAATTAAGTAAATCAGGTATACATCTATAACCTCACGAAGATGATGCTAATGACGAAAATATTGTAAAAAAGAATCCTGCTGCAGAAGCAACAGCAATAGCAGAAATCGTTTTCGCAGTAAGAAGCTTCTTCATCTAATCAAGCAGATTTAGTGGTTAAATAAACAAAGATAAAATTTTGGTTAGAATCAAAGAAAATTTAGAATATGATGAAGAATTTTTAGAGAATCAAGAAAAAGACTGGAAAACTATCTGCTTCTAACCTGGTAAATCTTCAATTATTAAATCAAGAGATTCTTAAGCTACTTGTAACGAAAACTTGCTTGAAGAAACTGTAACTCACGCTACTCTTGAACTATTATTGAAGAAGCATGATTTAGCTGAATAAAAAGTGCTGGATAAAATGAGAGATTTAAAATCAATATTATTTATGGATACTTTGAGTAGATTTTTGAATTTAACTAAGCTGCTTTCATTTACATCTGGAATACCACCTGAAAATCAACCTAAAAAAGTATACCAAAAAGCAGAAAGAACTATTCCAAATAACAGTCTCTTAGGCAATACTAGCTTCATTATGAATAACTTAAATCCTACAAGCTCATCATAAATCTAAGGCACAGAAGAAAAAAAATCAGAAGGAGTAATTTAAGAATAATAAGGATAACCAGCGGAAGGTGAACAATAAAATAATACAAACCAAAGCAATCCCTAGCCAGATAACGAAGAGAAAAAAGAAGAGGTTCCTGCTAGTTGATAAAAAATTAATTTTTGATATCAATAACTTATAAATGCTATATGATAAAAAAAAATAATTTAAATTTAGTTTTGCAAATTATTTCTAGTAATCAATCAATATTTGTCTGAATTTTTTCAAATTCTTTAAAAAGTTATTAATATATTTTATTTTAAATTTAATTATTCCATTTGATTATATTTTTAGAGTTGGTTTAGTTTATTTTTAAAATAATTTTAAAGATTATAAATTTATTAATAATTAACATGGATTGCTCTTCATTTTAATTTTTCTTTAAACAATAAATATCATTTATTAATAACCAACACCAAATAGGATACAAAGATAACTATCTTAAAGTAGCAATATTTAATAATTAAAATAATTATCTAATTTTTTAAATATTATTAATACTTAATAAGTTTTAAGATAATTATAATAAATTTAACTAAGTTTGTAAAATAATCACAAATCTTAATTAAAAAAACTTTTTTAGCAAGTTTTAATTTGATTAAAAAATCTAAAATCTAATTCATAAAAAATTGTTAATTTACAATTTGAACGTTATTGATAGTAAAATAAGGTATTAAGTGCCTTTGCTTTTTATTTTTTTGTTTTTAACATAGCAAGAAATTAAATTAATTAAAGTATGAATTGAAATAAATAAAATACTTTAAATAAATATTTTAAAAACTGATAAAGTAGATTGATTTACCAATATATTATTTATATTTAAATATAAAAAGTCATAAATATATATATATTTTTATATTTATAATCATTTGTTTTATTGTTGTTCAGAAGCTTTGATTTCAAATGCAGAAGTAACCTTCTATAATTCAATAGCAATTTTAACTGCTTCGTCTATGTCATGTTGGTTTTAAATAAAAGTTTCTGATTTTTGTAACATTTTTTCTTCCAGTTCTTCAATATTATAGGATTCGTAATTTTCAGAAGAAGCTCTTAACAATTTTTTGTTTGAGCAATCATCATAGTACATAGGGAAACCAACTCCTCTACCATACACTGGTTTAGTGCAAGAAACACCGATATCAACTGTTCCAGAGGGGCAATCAGGAGAGCAGATGCAACATCCAAAATTATGGAATCCTTATTGGCATTTAGGATATATAATCAACCCATTTTATTCACATCCTTATGAATTATCTTTTTCGCATCTTTTAGTTGCATTATCGAGATTGAAAGCATCACCAAATTGCCAAGGATATCCAGCTCCTCTTCCATATGCAGAAGGCTTAGCACAGAAAAACCCATCATCTCTAAAACCAGGAGGGCATTATGATGCACAGAGACAACATCCTACATTGAAGAACCCGTTATCACATTTAGGGTACATAATTGCACCATATTGCTCACAAGATTTACCAGTAGATTTTTCACATCTTAATTGAGCTTCAAATAAGCACATAGGATTTGAGCACTCTTCCATTAAAGGTTAAATTTAACCAGCAATTTATCCAACAGCTCTAAGTATTTTAGCTTTATCTTTCTTTTCTTAAATAGTAGCTAGTAAGTCTGTGACTTACTTAACAGTTTTACCTATTTATCCTAAGCAACGTAAGAGGTTTCCTTAGAGTAGATCAGGCTTTGAGGTGACAGCAATAATCAACAAGAGAGCAATAATAAATTATTTTTACATTTAAGATTCTTTTTTTAATTTGTTTATTTATTTTATTATTTATTGATTATTTTGACTAAAATATAAAATTTATATTCTTTAATCTATCTTAAAACAAATAAATATATATTTTTTATATTTGGCGAAATTTATTTTTATGCTTTTCTTCTGTTAAAGTTACTTACATGTAAAATTAAAAATTAGAGATTTTATTTAAAATTTTTTTTTGAGTATGACTGTAACACGCTTAAATAATTGTTTAGACCAAGTATAAAAAAATTTAAAAGCAAAATAAAATATTAAATAAACTAATAAATATTCATCAAATTTATTTAAAACTTTAATGAGCTAAAAAATAATGGAGAATGTTTTTTTTTATAAATTAGATAATAAATTAAGTTGAATATGAATTTCTCTATTAAAGTTGATTCTGATTCTTAATTTATTGAAGTAATATTTAAAATGAAACTATTTAAAATAAAATATAATAATTGATTGCAACTAAAGTTTATTTTTTAAAGATTTTTCCTTCATTTATTAGTTAAAATAAACTTTAAAAATTGGTGATAATAAATATATTTCTTATTATTAGTTCTAAAAATAAAGTTTTATTTTATCAATTTTTGTCAATAATAATTTCTAATTTTAAAAAATAAATTTAACTCAAAAAAATGTTGAGTAATTTTAGACAAATTTTAAAAATAGCTTTATTTATTATTCTTACTCCAAATTAATCAAAATATTTTCATTATCACATTTTTAAAAAACTTGATTTTTTATTTATTTATTTTTTCAAAAAAGGTAAAGTGTTGATCAGTTTTTATTACTTTTGTTATTGATTAAAAATTTGTTACAAAAATAATAGTAAATCTAATATAAGTTTAAAAAACATTCAGCTAAATTTGTTTTGAAATATATAATAATTATATGAAAAAAATGAATTAGGATTAAAATTATTATTTAAGTTATAAACTAAAAATTTCATTTAATTTTGTCTCATTTTGCTAATATTAAATTTTTAAAGGTGGGGTTGTTTTTTAGTATGCTTTAAAATAGTATAAGCATTTTCCTATTACTTCTTATGTTTTTTTTTAATAAAAAAGCTAGGTAAAATAAGAAATTCTAAGTAACAACAAAAAATTTAATAATATGTAATGATGAGGATGAAAATTTATTATGAATATATAATTAGCATTTGTAAATTTATAATTTTTGTTAGAGATAATTTAGCTATTACAATAAATGCTTGAACTGTATGTAATCTATTTTAAGTTAGGATAATTTAGTTCAACTAACTTTTCAATAATTAATGAGTTAATACCTTAAAATTAAATTATTTAAATAAAATATTATTTAACTAAAAAATAAATATTTAGAATTTATATTTATATAATAATCTAAATTTATCATAACAAATAAGTAAAAAAATAGGTTTATGAGAGTGTTAGATAAAATTTTAAAATAACTGTGGATCAATGAATGAATACAAATTTATACAGATGAATTTGTGTCAATTTAATAATAGGTGTAAATGGAAAATAATTATCATACATAAAATTAATGAATTTATTGATCTAATTTTACAAAATTTATCAACTTTAACTAAAATAAAAATAATTTTGATTAAAATGAAATTTTAAAAAAACATAAAAAGATAAATAATTAAAACTTTTTTTAAAACAAGAAAAATTGTAATATTAATGATAAAAATACAAAATTATTACTTATATGAATTTTATCAATTTATATACAATATTTCCTCTCTAACTCATTTCTAACTATTCCTAAAAAAAAAAAAATTACTAGATATAAAATTATAAATTCATCATAATTTACTTTTTAAATTCTCAATTATCCATGAACAAATACAGTATATTTTTGTTTGTAGTATTAAAATTTAGAATATAGTTTTAAAAAAGTGCATATTTTAATTATTTGCTTAGATAATCTAATTAAAATTAATATTCTAACTATAAAATGGTTTGTTTCATGAAAAAAAAAAGGAAGAGCTGTTATTAAAAAGTATTGAAAACATATTATAAAGTAGTTTATAATTGCATTTATCTAATTTAAAAGTAAAAATTTGGTATTTAAGCATTTCTATACAATTAACTATTTTGATAATTTTTTGCTTTTACCTAGTGTCTTATTAAGTAAGCATTAAATTAATAAATTTGTAATAAAAGAATGAATATATCATCACTATAAAACTATAATATTAATCATACTAAATTTAGCTTACATAAATTAATTAAATTTTGTGGGCATAAATTAAATTCCAATATCATTATTAGGTATCAATTTTATTTAATATTTACTTTCACACATTAAAAGCATATATTATTAACCAATAAATGAATGTTATATTATTTAATAATTATTTCACTTTGACTTCATTAATTTAATTTAGAAGTTTTAACTTCGAATGCAGCCATGACCTTTGATAATTCAATAGCTGATTCAACTGATTTGTCTTAGTCTTCTTGATTGCTAACAAAGTTTTGAGAATGTTCGACCATTTTTTATTTTAAATCTTCAACAGAGTAAGATAAATAATCTTCAGAAGATGCTCTTAACAATTTTTTATTTGGGCAGTCTTCGTAGAACATGGGATAACCAACACCTCTACCATATACAGGCTTAGTGCAAGAAACACCAATATCAGTAGTTCCAGCAGGGCAATCTGGTGAGCAGATGCAGCATCCAAAATTGTGGTAACCTTAACTACACTTAGGATAAATAATCAAACCATAGGATTCACAACCTTAAGAGTTATCATGTTGGCATCTTTAGGTAGCACCATTAAGGTTAAAGCCATCACCGAATTTCCAAGGATATCCAGCACCTCTTCCATAAGCAGAAGGTTTAGCACAGAATAAACCATCATCTCTAAATCCAGGAGGACATTAAGATTCACATAAGCAACATCCTACATTGTGGAATCCATCACCACATTTAGGATACATAATGGCACCATATTGTTCACAAGGTTTACCAGTTTAAGCTTAACATCTTTATTGGGCTTCAGTCAAGCAAATAGGATTAGAGCATTCTTGCATTAATGGCTAAATTTGACCAAAAACATTTCCAATAGCTTTAAGGATTGATACTAAGTCACCCTTTTCGGCAATAACAGCAATCAATGAAGTGATATCCTTGACAGAATTGCCAATTGTTCCAAGGCAACGTAAGATGTTTCCTTAGAGGAGATCAGGCTTTGAGGAGACAGAAGCAATCAACAAGAGTGCAATAATTAAAAATTGCTTTTACATTTAATTTATCTTCTTTTTATTTTTTTCAGTAATAAATTCTTTATAATTTAGTAAATAAAAAATTATTGATTTATAGGCTAATAAATTTAATTGTGAGATGATAAAATTTAAATAATTAGTAACTTGATTTCTCTTGTTTAAACAATGTTAAGTAAAAATAGAAATCCTTAATCAATAAAGTGAAGTTAGAATCTGTCTATTTATTACATCCATTAATTTAGATATAAGGTGAATTTAAGATGATGTAAAAATTATTAAATAAAAATTGTAAAAGAATTAGATACTCTTTAACTAGACTAAATGAATAATTGAAAGTAACAAATAAAGGAGAATCTAAATTTTTAATTTTTTATTTCAATATAATGACGCTATTTTTCTCATTTACGATTGTAATAACTTTTTGAGGTAAATTGTAAGCTATCATAAAGAATCAAAAAAAAAGCATTTGATCAATATTTATTTTTTGAAATACCTATTTTTATTAAGAAGTAATTAAATATTGAGATGCTCTGAACAGTATAGAAAGTAAAGAAAATGAAAGAATAACTAAAATTATTTTAAAAAGCCATAATTACATTTTAACAGGATTTAATTTCCTAAATTAAATACATTCCATAAGTATATATAAATAATATAAAAAATTAATATCTCATATAGAAATATAAATTATATTAGATTAGATTACACCATATTTAACTAAATAAGGTCATTTACTATCACATTTTTAATTTTTTTGATTTTCTTTTTTAAAATTTACTATTAAAGGCATTTATTAAATGGAAAAAGCATATTTTATAAGATAAATCCCCAAATATTTCTTATTTAATTATTTCCATTTTTAATAATTTTTTATGATTGTACGAATATGTAAAATACAAATTAATTCATAAAATTATTTAAGCTTATGAGAAAACAATCAAAAAAAAATTTAATTTTGAAAGATCTGAAGTATTTTTAATATCAATTTCAGTACTTATTTTTTGTTTAAATTAGGCTTTAATCTGAATTCAATAGTTAATTTATTTTTATTCGCAAGCATTTAATCTTTTTCTATTTAGCATAGGAGCAGCAATTAAAATATCTTTTTCGTTTACATCTATTTTTTTTTCTTCGCTTGTTTGAATATGCATTGCATATTTGAAATATTTTTAAATTCTTGCTGTTCTTTTTAGCAATATTTTATCTTATATTTTCATTCTCTAAAGCATCCAATAGCATTCACTGTAATAAGGAGCAAAATTCATACCAATTATATGGACAACTCTAATATCAGGAAATATTACTTTAAGAGGTACTTTATTTTTTTTCTTTTTCTAAAGATTCTATTGAGATTACTCGACACTTTCTTAAATGTGAGTGTCTTACTCATTCTCTTATGAATATAAGCTTTCTTTTAAAAATTATATAAAACTATTTTCTATTTGACTTTTAAATTGAGTAAAAGGCACTCTTAACTTAACTTTTTCTTTTTCTACTACACTTTATCTATTCATATCATCAATACTATCATTTTCATCATTTCCACTATCATCATCATTCTGTGAGTTATCAATATCTGACTCATCATCATCGTCTTCATCTTTCTCGTATGAATAATCTTTTTTATTTTAATAAAAAATACAATTAAGTAAGCTAAATTATTATATCAATAAAAGTTTTACCAAAAATATCATCATCTTTTGTATCTTTAGCAACTTCATCAAAATGTTTATCTGCTGGAGTTTCAAAAGGATCTGGTTTATCATTTTCATCTTCCATATCTTAATTCTATAAGTTATTTACATTTTCGTTTTAAGGATGTTCCTACATGTTACTGCTTTCAGACATTGAATACTAATCTGCATTAGACTATGCTTTATATTTATTTGCCATCCCTGCTACATCATCGGTTTTTTTAATCTATGGGACTTTAGTCTTATTTTAGTCAAAGTCAATATCTTTGTCCTAGATTTAAACTAATTTTTCATCAGCTGCATTCACTTCTTCTATAAGTCTGTCACCTATTTCAAAATTTAATTTACTAAAAGGAGTAGTATTTTATTCATTTTTATTTTAATAATCAATATCTTCTTATTCTTCTTCTTCCTCATCATCATAATTATCAGCTCCACTATCATCTTCATAGCTATCATCATACATATCATTAATGGAATTCAGATTTTCATTCTTTTTTTTAAGTGCTTTTTCTATATCCTTTTTGGACTCATTACCAAACTTCATCTTATGATTCAAATCATTCTATTATTAATAAAAGATTTTTCATTAAATAACAGTTCAAATAAGTTGAATGCTTTTTATTTTAAAACCAATTAAAAAAATTTTATTGAAAAAAAATAATCTCATTTCATTCAACAAATTTTAAAGAAATGAATAAAAATAAACAAAAAAATTTTTATTCTAATTTAATTTAAAATATTTTCTTAAAATATTGAGATATTTTTTTAATATTTATTATTAATTTTTAATTTAATATGAGCTTCCTTCCATTTATTTAGATTTATATAAGATAGTAAAAAAATTTATTAATAATATCCTTAATATGAAATAAATGAATTTGAAATTTCTTACCTGCACACCTTATTTTTATTTTGTATTATTCTTACAAAATTCATAAACTTCTGGAAAAAGAAATGACATCATTGGATTTTTTTAAATGCTTGGAAAGTTTGGTGAGTCTTTGTAAATACTGACTTCTGTAAATTGAATATTTTATGCTGCTGTACTTTAGCCCTAAGCTTTAAATTAATGAAAATTAAAGTATACTCTAAAAGATGATAATAATTTTAATAATCAGTTAAAAAGATTATTCCAATTTATTGACTTACAATATTTTAATTGCATCAAACTTTTTGCAATACTAGAATTATTGTAATCATCAGCATCTTCCACGATAGTTTCATCAGTTGCTTCAGTGTTAACTGATGTCAAAGTATTATTTTGAGTTGTGTACATTCTATCTTTAAATAATAATATATTATAAATTAAATATATTTATATCTATAAAACTTACTAGTTTATAAGGTATTAAGTTCAGACCCATTGTTCTTTTTTGAAGTAAATTTTGGTTCGAATCTTTCTAGGAAATTAGTATGAGCATTATTTGAATCTTAAGGTTAAAATCTTTTTGACTAGCTAGTTACAATATTTTTTAAGAATGGTGTTTCAAATTTTTCTTCCACTGGCTGTTGGGTTGATTTTTCAAATTTATTCAATATAGAATCTAAAACTTTTGAAGATTCATCATTCGAATCAAGTACTTATTAATATATATAATTGATTTCTTTAGCCTATATGAACTCAATTAACTTAATGTTTGGGTATTTAGTAAAGTGTTTTACAATGTTTTTGATAGTTTCAAAAAGAAGATTCTAATAATAGAAATTTTATTATTTAAAAGAATTTGAGACACCAGATGAAGGTTTACTGTTTCTTTAATTAGAATCTAAAGCACTATCTATTTCTAATATTACATTTTCTAAAAATAATTTAAGACCAGGCAATTTTACATGCAAATAATCTTTAACCTCTTCAATTGACTTAGATTTTCTATGACCATCCTTTTTTTTGAAAAAAAGAAGTTTAATTTTACTTTTCATTCATTAGTTAGCTGTATTTAATTATTTATTTTTAATTTATGATTTTAATCTTTTTATTAATTTAAAGTGAAATTTTTGATCAAAACCTTTAGATTTTCATTTTTTGCATATACTAATGTGCAAACTTTAATGGTATTATAATATTTTCATCTTTGTCTATTGAAAAAAAAATGTATTGTTTACCAATTTATAAACGGCTTGCTAAAATGCTTCCAGAAATTTTAAAAACCTGACGTAAAACGCCCAAATTCTTTTTAAACAAAACTGATTACTAGTGTTAAATCTCCAAAATATTAAGCAATAATATTTTTCGATATTAATAAAGAGCTAAGTTCTAATTACAAATTCAACCCATTACTAATCTGTAGAATATATATCTGGGTTATTTGGTTAAAAAAAGTTGATCAACTCCCCAATAATATTTGCTACATTTATTTAAATATCTTGCTCTAAAGGTTGGCTTGATAAATGATAATCTTAAGGAATTTCTTTAAATTTTGGTAATGACTTAATAAAATTGTCATATTTCATAAAGTTTATTTAATTATAATTTTTTCTATTGAACTCTTAATCATACGGTATAAACCAATATTCATTCTTGCGCATTTTAGTTTTGAGAACCTACTTCTAATTATCTATTTACAATAAAACTTTTTAGCTAACTAAATAAATAAATTAAGATTTGTTGTATTTGATTAGTGATTATATTACCTTTTGTATTTTACTACTTCCTTTTTATTAAGTCTTTATATCAGTTAAAGAGAAAATTAATGAATACTTGCAAAACAAACACAATATATTTTTGATACAATTAATTTTTTTTCTAATTTATTATTAAATTAATTAATAAAATCATGTTTAAAGCCATAGGATTATTTAATAATGCTAAGTTAAATAAATATAATATAATTAATCATTTGTCATTTTATATAAAGTCATTTAAATATTCTAACCTATAATCTATTTATATTTTTATTAAAAATATTTATCAAATTATTCTTTGAGAGAGAAAAGATTTAATTAAAAATAATTTAAATCATCTTATAATAATAACTAACAATATATAAATTTATAAATATATATACTATAATTTCAAATTTTAGTTAATATATAGTTTTAAATACTCCAAAAATTCATTCATTCATTATAATTTTTCTAACTCTTTTTTAATTTATTAGACAGCTAGGATTTATGGTCCAGCGAGTCTAACTCCTATTTCGTATGCTTTTCCATAGAAAATTATAGCTTATTCTTTAAGGTTTTTATTTTTGAAAAGACAGGCCATATCATAAGTTACTTGTATGACTTATCTGAAAGCAGATAATTCACATTTTTCAATGAATGGGACAGCTTTCAAGGCTGAATCAATAGCAGATTGTTCATCATTTATTTCAAAGTAGAGCTAAGTCTATTTATATATGTATTTAATTTATTCTTAGTAGTTTTAATGATATTCCTGCAATTATAGTGCTAAGCTAACATAATGTAGGGATTGAACTGTATCATTTAAAGTTTATTTATACAACATAGATATAGCATATGCCATTTTGGAGCCTTCAGGATCCTGCTTTAAAACATCTATTTCCTGTTTTACATGTAAACTTTTTAACATGTTATCTAAAGATTCTTGAAGCCTGTTAACTTTAAGCAGACTTATTGAGTAATTATTCAAAATTGAACTGAGCATCATTTTATTTACTTCAGGTGACTCATTAGTGTATTTCAAAGCTTATTCAAAATATTGAATAGATTTTTCAAAAGAATCTTTAGAAAGTTCATTAACTCCTTTATTATTGAAAATGTTTGTCATGTATTTTGTTTCAATTTAATCAGATTTTGTACTGATAATCTAAAATGCCTTTTCAAAGTATTCTTCACTCTCTTATTCTTTTCTATATTTGTAAATAATATTAATTTTCAAAATATTAAATAAGATTTAAACAAATTAATTTACCCTAATCTCCACAAGATTTCTGCAATGTAGTGAAGCTATTCGATAGATTAAGGAATCTATTGCAAATTCTTCAAATAGTCTTAGCACTTTAAGTAGAGCTCTTCTAATCTTGGTAATTGACCATCTTTATATTATATAAATAACTCATCACAAAGAGCCTATTAATATTCGTTAGACTCCTTTCCATAAATTTATTCTTTAATCTAAACTAAAACAGAAAAAATTTGGCAAGCATCTTTAAGTTAATGTAAGCTTTCATAAGTTCTGCCAATTATTTTCATTTTACTGCATTTTTCAAAATCTGATGCATATTCGTATTTAATTGGTGAGAGGACAACATCTAATTATGAAGAACCAAATATATTTTGATGAAGAATTTCTAAACATTCATTCAAGGTAGCTTCACATTAATTACTGCAGAGCTTTTAAATAATCTTATATGAAATTGATTTATCTTTTATATCTACTTTCTCTAATACTTATTTTGATTGAGCGCGATCTAGAGTTTTCATTTGAGCAAAAACTATAGCTAAATTTACTAAATCTATCCATACGGGGTGAGATTATTATTCTCCCTTGATCATAAATTTGTCTGTTTTAGTATCTCTTGGAGAGAAATTTCCTAAATTGTAAACATGTGCTCTGCTTAGTGGCATAAATTTAAATTTAGAGTCTTGATAGGAGTAAGCAATTTTAGTAGAGTTAATGTTCTAATGAACAATCTAATTTTAAATTAGCTGTTAATAATTTACTAGTATCTAATAATAAGAGATAAGTAAATCAGCCTCACTAAATTATTTATTATTCAAATTCCTAAATGCAATTATTTCATCTAAAGTATCAAACTTTTCAAATTCAACTACCAAAGTATCACATTAATAAAATTCTTCATCGTGATAGATACCAATATATTTAATATCAATGCAGCTGCTTTCTTTAGAGTCTCCTTTAAATATTTGCTAATTTAAGAATTTAGTAATCATAAATTCTTTAAACTCTTCAATGTTGTATTTTTCTAATTATTTGGTTAATATACAACAATCAGAGCATTCGAAGAACTATGTTATGTTGTATTTGTTCTTTTCTTATTAGAATTATTTATTTGTGAGTAAATTAACAGGTAATTTATGTACATTCATAAGTCTCTCTATTAAATATATTCTTTCCTTTTTGGCTTCAAATTTCTTTATGAACTTAAGCTTTAAAGTGTCTTTATTTAACGAATGCTTATTTCCGTAAGTTATATCGCATTTGAATTCTCCAGTATACCTATTTACATTCAGTTACAGCTCAAAATCTTGAATTTCTTCCTTTGTGGAATCTTTATTTAATTCTTTTATTATTTCTAATAAAGGCTTATTCATCTATTATTCTTTTTCTTTCTTTTTTAATTCTTGTTCTTTAAGTAGTCTTTACTCTTCAGCAGCAGCTGCTTCAGCTGCTTCCTTCTAGCGTTAGGCATTTTCCTTTTCTTAAGTTTTCTTTATTTCTTATGATTTTTTCAACTCTTAAGATTTTTTAATCTCTTGTGATTTTTTCAACTCTTAAGATTTATTTAAGTCTTACGATTTTTTAATCTCTTGTGATTTGTTCAACTCTTTTGAATTACTAAGTTATTATTGAGCTTCTTCTAATTGCTCTTAAGATTTTTCTACAGCTTAAGATTCCTAAGTTTGCTCTTTTTAGTCCTAGCAGATTTGAGATTGGTTTTGAGATTTTGGGGGAGATTAAGATTACTGCCTAGAAGCTGCTTTGGATTATTACGGAGATTATCTAGAAATGTGCTATGATTATCTCTAGGGACTTTTAGATTTCTCTTTATTATCACTATTTCTAGATTTGTTTAAAGATTACTCATGGACTTGGCTTTATTCATTAGGAGTAGGTGTATTTTCATCTTAGTTTTATATTTCTTCGTTCTGATTTTTCATTTATTCTTATTAATCTTATTAAATTTAGGATAAATTCTAAGATTAATGTATTGAGGGAGAATTTTGAATTGTATTTTAAGATTTTCTCTATGGTGTTAGTGATTTTTGTGACTAAGCTTTAGATGATTTGAGCATTTTTTAAGATGATTTATTGTTTTCTTTTACATTCTAAGAATCCTCTTCGTTATGTGCTTTGTTTTATTAATCTCCTTTTTCGTTACTCTTTTAAATAAAAGAAGATTACGAAGAATTGAGTTAAGATTTCTTAGGAGAGATGTTTTATTGAGAAGACTTATTTTAATTGTTTTTTGACTTTTCAGAAAGATTTGACTTTGAAAGAGATTGTTTTTATGAGTTTGGTGGTGACTTTTTGATGGAACTATTTTAATTAATATTGTTGCTTTGTTGTGGCTATTTAGTTTTTGGAGTAGTTTGCTATGAAACATATATAGATTAAACTTAACTTTGTAAAGGTGTAAAGTTCTTTAATTATTTTTCAATTTCATTTTAGCTATGATGCTTTTCTATCTATCCCTCCTACCCTTCTTACTGTATATATTCTTATATTTAACTATATTATTGCTATTCTTCTTCCTGCTCTTTTTACTAATTGTATTACTCCTCTTCTATTTCCTACTCATAATTCTAATCTTCTTAATTTTCATTCTAATTTGGTGTTAAGTTATCTTAAGGTAATTATTGCTGTTCTTGGATATTTGCTTTGTATTGTTCAATTATTTATTAGTCAACGGGTTGCCCTAATTAAGGTGTCTCTGCAATTTACTAAATTTCTATTTGAGAGCTATTGTTAGGAGACTAAACATGGCTTTACTTATGAGATTGCTAATTGCTTAATTAAAAGCTTGCTCTTAAGTATTCCTACTGCTACCTTTAAAGTATTTCTTGGCTTTTATTATTAGGAGTTTAAAAGTTAGAAGTTTTTTTAGTTTGCTCAATTACAACTTAAGATTAGTTGAGAGATTAAAATGATGGATTTGATTAGTTTTCGATGATTCTCATTTACTGATTTTAAATCGAATTCTAATTTACAGCTTCAGTTCTAGACATAGACTGCTCTTAGACAGGAGACAACTATGCACCTTTGTATGTATTTTATGAACTATGGCATTTTGAATTTTAGTTTAAACTATTCTTAATCGTGCTGTTATTCTATTCGGACATTTGCTATTCGAAGTCATCTTTGTATTTCAAGTCTTCAATAGTCTCTGGAAGCTGTCTCTCAAGTCCAGGAACTTAGTAAGAAAAAGTTTTAGAATTAGTATTGAATTCGCTTGCAATGATAGCTTCATCTTATCTCAATGCAGATGAAGATCTAGATTTTTAGTTTCCAAAAGGATTAGGACTTGTTTGATTCTCCATGGTAGGAGAATTTCTTGTGACATAAAGAGATGGTAAAATCATTTTTTCAGTATATTTCTTTTTAACTTTGCCATCTTGAATCATAGTCTTAGAAAATTAATCAACCTTACTAGAACTAATAGCTTATACTTTTCTTTACATATAGTCCCCCTTTGGTGTCTTTTTATTATTCATACTTAATACAATATTGCTCAGATTAACTTAAACAAGTGATAATAATTCCTTGCACTCTTTGTATTATTTCATTAACTCATTACCATTTTATTGTATATTATTTGGTGCTTAATTTCTGTGCAAAGAATTTGAATAATATCTATTATTAGGGCTTTTTAAATCTATTTTTTACTAGAACTATTAATTATTATTATTATTATTACTATTATTTTACACCTATGAAGAATATTATTTTTTTTGAGGAGGTTGTGAAGAACTCTAGTTGCTCTAAATAATACTGCTATTGTTGTGGTTATTGATACCTCTCTCAGGAGTATGATTTGATGATAAATTATTGTTGCTACCCATTTAGGCCCTGGTTTAATAAAAACTTCTTTCTTACCTATTAGAGTTTGCTTAGTTATCTTTTAAATAAAAGCTTTCTCTAGCCTTCTCTTTGACAGGACTTTTAAAATTGGTTTAAGTTTACATTTATTATGACTGCGAAAACTATTAGAACTGCTTATTTTAATTTATCTAAGGAAGAGGTCTCTAGTTAATGCGATCAAGTTAGTTAAGTGTTTGATAATATTCTGATGCAGTTAAAGAGTTGTCAATGTTGTTGTAAAAAACTCTGCTTTCTTGTTACGTATTCATCTAAATTAATTGCTATGGGTAAACCATTCCGTTGTAGTTAGGCTAAGAGTGCTATCTATTATTCTTCAAAAACTTAGGTTTTTCGAGGTAGGGCAAAAGACGATTCCATAACAAACGATAGTTTTCTTACCTAATATAAATTTCTTTATCTTATTTTTCCATGTCTCCCTCTGTTTTGACTCCATATCCAACAGGTGACTAACATTTTGGACTATTCTAGCTTCTAAAATTTTATTAACCAATATTACCATTTGAGTGATTTGGTGCTGTCTAAGTGGAGTAGTTGATGCTACTATTAACTACATCACTTTTTACTTTTTCCTTCATTTAAGGGAGAAGAGTAGCAGCTTGCTTATATACTTTTCTTTATGGAATTTAACTATCTTAGAACGGACGAGGTTAATTTTATTCAATAAGATTTGCGTTGCTGTTGCTTTCTGTAAAGCCCAAATTTTCATTTAAATCTTATTTAAGAAGCTTCTGAAGATACATACGTTACTCATGATTTAAGTACTAATTATCATTTGCATAAACCTCTATAGATTGCTTGAGACTTTATTCATATTGCTGACCAAATTACAAACTTGTTTTATTAGGAGAATTACTTTAAAAGCGCTTTTACTTTGAATGGCTATCAGCTTCATGCATATTAATTCTATAAAATATTCCTCTACTATTTTTTTGATCAGAATAGGCAACCCATTTTGAATCTTAATTTTGTTTTCTACTTGTCTGCATCAAATTTTGCTTCAAAGGATTTAACTAGTAAGGTTGCTATTAATATTATTGAGTATTTGGATTAAAAAATTGTTTTATTTTTTTATCTAAATTATGGTTTTCAACTAGCTAGACTTCTTCTATTCTATCTGGTGTAGATTAGCGATTATTATGATATTCTGAGTCCTAAATATGTTTTGAACTATTATCAAATGAATTTATCATTACTACTTTATTATTTTAATAATTTATTGAAAGTAATAATTGTGAATGAGCAAATCAATCTATAAATAAATGAATGAATTAATTAATAATGAATAATTAATAACTTTTTGATTAAATATTATTAATAGTGTTAACCAATAAATAAATATAAGTCAATAATAAATATAAATAATTATTTATAAAATACTGTGTGTATCACTTAAATCAAATAAAAAATTTAATTTGGTTAACTTTATACTAAAATTTATATGATATATTGGTAAACTTGTGGTATATCTAAATGATTATTCGGTTACTAATACAAATAACACATGACTATACCTTGTAATCAAGTAGCATCAGTATTAATAACTCCACAAAAATTTAGTAGCTTATACTAATCTTACTAACTAAGTAGTCTTAATCATTTAAAATCGCATAAAATTATTCATTTTGTACTAGTCCTCTGTATTAAATAAATACTTTTTATTAATTTGGCAAGCAAAATTTTATTTTCGATTTTATTTTTGCACTTAATTTGTTTCCATTTAAGTTTATACTTAAAATAATTGGCTTACCTAACCTTACGCTTTTATTAAAAATATTCAAATTTATTACCATCCATTTTAAAATTTATTTTTTCTTAGATTAGATATTTTAAAAGTTAAATTTGAATTTTTTGCTGTTTTGCAGTGATTGATTTTAAAACTCATACTCTTAATAAAAAAGCAAAGTAATAGTTAAGTGTTTTTATAAACCATTGAATTAAGGGCAAATGCTATTTTCAATATCTAATTTATATGGATATTTTGATTTACTAGTTTTAAGAGGACTTAAATACTTAGCTTTAATTATTAGCAATACCACATATTTAAAAATTATATTACATACAAATTACACTTACTAATAATAAATTAACAAATGTAATCTTTTAAAACAAATCTTGGCAAATCAAAGAATTAAAAGCCATTTTAATTAAAAAATTTATTTTTTATTGATAAAAATAAGATTCTTTAAAAATTGAGTTGGATTTTTTATTTTAATCTATGTATTTCGATCAATTTCATAATTTGTTTTATGTTTATTAAAAAAAATAAATCATCAAGATATTTAAAAGTTTTCAAAATATTTTTGATGATAATAAATAATTAACAATAATAATAATGATAATAAATTCTAAAAAATTATTAACATAATCTACTCTTTTTGTGTTTGTAATTTTTTTATGTGTTTTTATAATATTTGTTTTATAAAATTATTAGATGAAATAAAATAAATATAAATTCAATCAAAAAGTAAGTTTTAAAATTATTATTTTAAAATAAAATCAATAATTGTTTAAAATTATTTTTATAATTAAACTAATAATTATTTAAAATAATCTAAATAAAAAAAGAATGAATCTTACACTTTTATCAATTTAACAAATTAACCAAATAAACATTCTTTGAGGGATGAACAAATCAAAATTTTTATATATAAATCTGTTGATAACTTATAAGACAAGCAGCAAAAATTAATTTAATCAAAAGAAGAGTTGATCTCATGATATTGTTTTAGTGTTTATAATTATAAATATATTTTTTTAATATAGCTGTTTCTGATTTTGTGATTTTGTGTTAATATTTAGATAAAATGATTATATTGCAGTTTAAATGCCTTTTTTATTTTTTTTAAATCAGAATTTATCTGGCTTATATACCTAAGTTATATAATCAAGCAAAAGTATTTTTAATTCATAACAAATAAATAAAATTTTCCAATTAGCCTACTAAAATTAAAAGGCTGGTTTAGGCTCATTTTTCATTCAATTTTATATGAACTGTAAAATCATCTTTTTTCGTTAAGAACTTTCAAATGAATCTTAATATGTTCTTCCTGTATCTATTATTAAATTTTAATCTTACGTATCTAAATTAAATTAATCTAAACTATTATTAGCTTATGTTATATTTCCTTTAATAACATATTATATTCCTTGAATATTTTAAAAAAATTTATTTACCTGAAAAATTTTTGTTTATTTTAATAAACTTGACTTACTCTTATCATAAATAATATCAAGATATCAATTGATTTAGAGTATAAAAATTAAGATGATAATAAAAAATCATTTGAGCATCTTACTTTTCTCAAATTGGGTAATTTAATAATTATTGTTTCATAATAAATTATATTTATATAATAACTCTTTCTTAAAAATATAAAGCCGTTATGATAATCAATATTAACAAAATTTAATGCCCAAAAATGAGATATTTGTAAATTATATAATAATGGTGTAATTTTTTATGTATATACTAATTATAAGGTTCATTCAAAAAATAAAATTAAAATGAGTTACAAAATAAATTTTTTTAATTTGAAGCATAATAGGAAACATGTAATTAACAAAAAAATGTTTTATGAAAATTTTATTTAACTTCTTTTTAAAAAAATTAACTTTATTTTATTAATAAATTGAATATGAAATATATTTCTACTTTTTTTTGTAAATAAATGAAATAAGAAACTAAGTTTATTTGATTTTATTTATTTTATATACTGTATTTTTAATTTTAAGTTAAATTTTGACTATTTAATATAATTTTTTATAATTCATTTTAAAAATCAATTGGCTCAGTAAAAATCAAATTAAAAATAGATAGACAAATCTCTGATATTCTGATATGTTGATTTTACTGTATTTTAATATTTAATATTTATTTTTTTTGAATGAATTTTTATAATTTATCTATCCTTCCTTTCATTTTTGAATGTAATTTTTTATCAATTTATTTTATTTTAAATCATTAAATAAAATTTTTATTACCACAAGATGTTAGATTTATTAATTAAAAAAGCTTAAAATATTTTTTTAATCAAGTATTTGATTTGGGAAAACGTTTTCAATATATTTTATCAAAAAATAAAAATAATTATCGTAATGTTAAAGTAACATTATTTGATAGAAAAGTGAATAAAATATTGTTAATTAAATTTGAGATAACTTTAAACAAAATTTATAATTTTAGCCAGTACTGCTCATTATTTTATTGGAGAAATTAACAAATTCTAAATAATTTTTTTAAAATGTAAATTATTTTAAGTAATTTTTAAATCAGTTTAAAAATAAAAACGAGTTTTACTTTATTAAAATAAAATATTACATAAATACATAAAAATAAATATATTTGAATTAATTAAATTCATTATGATATATATAATAAGTTATTTTAATTAAAATTATGAATTTATTAAGATCGTATTTTCTTTCACAGCTAATTAAATGCTTTTATTTTAAAAAATTATTATTTAAAGATCTTTTTAGCTTTTTAGTAAGATAAAATAAAATATTATATTAGTTTAAGCTTTATTTTAATTTGATAATATAGTTTTTTTGTATTTTAATTTTTATTTATTTTTAAGTTAAATAAAGATTCATTTGATTGTTATTTTGTAATAAAAAATTAATAATTATATAATTATAATCTAACTTACTGATGCAATTCATATAGTTGAAGTATACATAAATATAAAACTATAAGGAAAATGTAATGAAATAACTTTTATTTCGAACTTTATAAATATAAATTGAAATACACGATTTGAAGTAACTACAGTTAAATCCCTAAGATTTATACTTACTTAATTTTAAATACTATAGGAATTGTTGATATATATTATTAAGTTTTTTTAATTTTGAGGCATTTGTACTGTTGTAGAATTATTATTAAAAGAAACTATTCCTTTTATCATAAAATGAATCAGCCTATTATAATATAAATAATTTAACAATTCGAAAATAAATATATTTGGTATATTTAGTGGTGAAACATGATAAATATTCATAGTTTATGAGGAATATGATATAAATACTTATTTTTTTTAAAGTTATTTTAAAGAAAAATACAGACTTATATTGTTTACTTTACTGATCAAAAAAGGGAGTAAACCTCATTCAAAATTAAAAAAAATTTGATTTAGGTAGGTCATTACTATAATTAGTGGTAGCAAAAAATTAATTTTATTAAATGCGTTAATAAAAAGTAATCTTAGAAATAATTAATAACACCTTTCATTATTTAACTTACTTAAAAAAAAAGTAACTATTTATTAAATTTTACATAATAGTGATTTTATGAATACTTTAAGTGAGTAAAAATATTTTTAACTTTTATTAGCATAATTTTAATTAACATTTTTAGGTTTTAAAAATATAAATATGAATTATTTTAACACCTATTTATTTTATTAACTACATGTTTACAATTACAGTTAGAATTTGATTTAAATATTTTATTAAAATTCAGAAATTTCCTTAAATGTTTTTTCAGTAATAAATTATAAACCATAATTATAAAATTTATTAAAATTTTGAAGTTACATGTGTCAGAATGCTATTTAATTTTTAGCAGAACACAATTAATTAACTTTTTGACCCACTGAGGTTTCTAAATGTTATTTAATCGATTAGAAAAACTATAAATAAGTTTTTATTTATTTTACATAATAACACAATTTAATCAGTAATAATTTTAAAAAATTCAACCAGCTTTTTACAATTTACATTTTTTAATTTATTGTTTGCAGAATTTTTAATCTCTACAATTATGATGATGGCTGAGGATATTTGCTATTCTAATTCGCTGAAAATACAAATTAAATTATACTTGAATTTTATATTTTAGATGGAATGTGTAAGTAAAAAATAAAAATATCTTGATCTGAATAATTAAACTATTAAGTTTTTTATTTTTGATGTAGAAAAATTTTTGTGTAAAATTTCTATCATTTAAATATATTTCTCCTTTTACTACATATAAAATGAAACTATATATTAGAAAATCTACTATATAACAAAAATAGTCTCTTTTTATACAAACCTTAAGGTAAAAAAATAAAATCTAGGAATGTTTGAATAACAAATTTGATGAAAAGTTGAGAGAGATTTTAATATTAAAGTAAAAGAAAATTTCTTCATAAATTCATCATTTAAGTAATACATTAATTGTTATGTTGACTTTCTATAAATGCCTAAATTATTTAATTAATTTTTATAATTAAATTAAAATAGTTAAAATCAACATAAACAGAAGAAGAAAAATTATTTATGAGCTCCTCTTTCCAAAACTCTTAACAAGTTAGTCAAATCCAGCAATTCAATCTTGAAAAAGATATATAGGATGGTTTTTCTATTGCTCTCTTTCTTCAAATTGCTCAATAAGTAGCTGCTGAGAATATTTCTGAAAATAAATCCCAATCCTATTCTACATAATCGGCGAGACAAGAACAATCATTATCTAAACCTCAATTAGAATCAATGAGTTAAATTAAAAATAATGACATGTTTTAGTCATCCTATGAAACAGATAATAGCTCAGACATCGTAGTCGAGATAGAAGAGTACCAAGAAGATACAGAAAGAGAAAATGATGAAAAATGCTATGAAAGTGATGATAACGACGATTAAGAAGATAGCAAATATTACTTTGCTATAAAAAAATCAAATATAATGAAGAATATACTTAAATCATTCTAAAGGTATATTGAGAGTGAAAAAAATTAAGAAAGATAAAAGGAGTTTTGCAGATTGGCAAACAAATCTTACAGTTATTCTTAATTGAAAAAGCTGATTAACAGAAATTTAAAAGCTTATGGTAAAAGATGGAACATGAAGGCTAAACACATGATTGAAAAGGCATCTTTTAATATGCTCCTTAAATACTTCCTTGAAAACATTAATTAAATATGGCTAGAAAAGAGCAAAGTTTAAAACAAGGACGAGCACTTAAAAGTAGTATAATTTATGTTGGATGCAATCGAAAATCCTTCTTCATCTTAAAAATTACACTTTTACTAGAAGAAAAAAACCATCCTAAAATGAGAAAATTAAAGTATTCATGTAGAATACAAAATAGTTTGTTTATTTAATATAAAATTTCTGTTTTACCGATAAAAATAAATAGCTCTATATCAATACACAATACCCATCTATATAAATAAAAACACCTTGGCGTAAAATTAAGAAAGAATAATGTATTTAAATTTATAAACAAATATTCTTTTTTAATGTTTACTCTATAATAACTCTAATCAATAATATATATATAACATTCTAATTCAAATGTATTTGCTTACATATTACACATTTATACAACTATTTTAATTATTAATTTACGAAATGCAATTTTACTTTAATACAAAGTTATAAATCCTTACTTTTTATAGAGTAGAAAATTTGAAATGCATTCAAGATTAAAGTAATTTATTTTGATAATATATATATGTATTTATTTATTTATTTTCTATCATCTGAAATTCATACTTAATTACTTTCTATCGATAGCAATGAGTTTTTAAAAAAACAAATTAAAAATTTCCAAAATTACAGTATTTAGTTTCAATTTAGTATTCCTATTAATCCTTAATACTTTTGATTAATTTATTAATTCAAAGGTAAATAAGTGAACGGAAAAATCTAAGAATTTCAGGTCGGGTAAGGAAAATAAATTATGTAATTAAATTCTCTTAATGTAAGAATTTAAAAAACAAAAAATTACAAATAATCTGAATCTGATTACTTTAAATTGACTTATCAAATAGAACACGTCACCTAGAGAACTGCAACAATCATCCACAAAATTACAAATTATTTAAGTATCTTTTTCAAAAGAAGTTTCTGAAGTAAAGAGGGTTTTTTTTTTGACTATAATTAGATTTTTCTAATTATATTCAATAAAAGTAATATTACAATTGTTGCAGTAAATAAGATTTTAGTTGATTTCAAGCTTATAAAAATGAAAATTAAACTTTAAAAAAATTTGTTGAATAATAATAACGAATTTTTATAAAGAAGTTTAAGTAAAAAATATTTTAAACCCTAATCAAGCCTAACAGAATGCTACATTTTTTATATAAAATTTTTCCAAAATAACAAAAAGAATGTTAAGATAACACAAATTCATGCCTTAAACAAAAAATTATTGATTTTATATATCATTTAACCAAGAGTTGTAGTCCAAAATATTTTTTAGTTTATATATTTTAGTAAAACAGTTGTTTTTTTTGCTCAATTTTTGCATCAAGTTGATAAACAGGGCATTTTTTTGGTTAAAAATATTTCATAGTTAAAAATTTTTTAGTATTATTTGGTAAATTTCAAAAGGTTCTATTAAACGTAATATTTACATTTTAAAATATAAAATAACATCTTGGTATATGTTTTTAAGTCAATAATTTACTCAATTAAAAAATATTTTATAGCTTTTGAATATATTTTTTAATTATATTATTTAACAAAATTTGCCAATTTTTAAAAATAGCTAAATATATTAACAATATTAGCGCGTAAATAAATTTTAAAGCAATTTTATTAAAGATTAATACAAGCAATAAAGTATTTTTTGAACAAACAATTATTTTAATGCTTGATTTTAGAAAGAAAAAATGAAATAATTCATTTAGATTTGTAAAAAATTTGACAAACAAAAAAGTAAAATAAAAATTACATGAAAGCCTAATTTAGAATGAATATTTGTCTATTTTAACAATTATAATTGATATTATAACAAATTTATAATATATTCACATGGATAAAAGGAAAATAAAAAATAATTTAGCTGCTATAGTAAATATATCTTTCAATAATATATTTTAATTAAATAAATATTTGGAAAATTTTCATTCAAGTCAGTATTTTTCTTAAATTTTTATCTTGAAGATTTGTTTTTTATAAATATTCAAAGAAAAAAAAATGAGTAAACAAATGATTCATTACTTATTAAATAATTTTTTTTTAGAGCTTTTCTTAAAATGGAAAACAATCTATCACAAATATAATTTGTCTTTAATAAATTCTGATGATAGTTTAATTACATAGCAAATTCACGATTAAAATTTCTCTTTACAAAATTTAATTGGTTTTAATAAAAGGATCAATTTTTTAGAAATTTATTAAAATTTACTAATTTTTATGAAGATAAATTACAATTTTTTAATGTAAACTGTAATTTTATTGTTAATTTATAATAGATATTGCTATTTATTTAACTCCTTTTTATGTTAAAAAAATGTAAAGATATTATAATATCTGGCATATAATTATATAAATGATTATTCTAATTTATAAATTTTACACTTTTTATTCTATTATTAACTAATTTTACTTTTTTCAACGATTTTTGATTATTTTCTAAATTTAAAATACTTGTTTGAAAATACATCAAATGCTAATTATTTAAAATAATATCATATTATTATTAAATTAAAATTTAATTTAGAATTTAATAAATCATTTTATTTTTACCTTACTTGCTACAATTTTAAAAATAATTCAAAAACTTTTGTAATTTCTTTTGTAGTAATAAAATAGAAAACTAAATTTGTATTTTTCATTAAGCTAAAATCTGGTTGATTAATTATTTAAATTCATATGATATTCAAGCATTTAAGATCTAATTAAAACCAATTCATATCTAGTTCTTCTTGAATGTTTTACTAAAAATACTACTTTTTTAAAGACTTCAGCTTAAAATGTTTTTTAAATATTTGAAATCTTCAGCATTTAAGATTGTTTTTTAACTCTCAAATTTAATGTATATTGTTACTTAAAAATTTATGGTCAAATTAAATTTGGTTAAAACCGCTTATTAAGATGTAATTAATATTAAGGTTTAGTGCTATAAAAAGGAGATTACAAATCCAAAGATACTTATCTTTTAAATTAGCTAATTTCTTAGATTGCACTGTAATTATTGTTAGAATTTATCAAATAGTATTTATTTAAATAGGAATACACTAAAATATCTTATGAACTATTTAATATCCATATTTAATGTATTTCAAAATAACTCCTAAGCTTTAAACTAAACAGTCATTTTTATTCATAATGTATGTAATTTAAGCATAAAGTAATACAAAAATCACTTTTTAGTATAGCTTTAATTAGTAAAAATAAGATACTGAAATTACAGTAATTAATTACAAGAGACTATTAAATGCTGCTTACTTTGATGATTTGATTTAAACAAATTTCATATTGATCAGTATTTTTTATTTGATATTTTTAATTACAATATTTTGTCATTTTTTGTGGTAATAAACAGCTAAAATAAACTAGCTCCAATAAATTTTATTATAGTTACTCAGAATTTTTAATTCATACATTTAACAGATAGTTTTTTACAAAAATATACTTTTAATACTATTTTCATTCATATCCTCAATAATGTTTGATAAAAATTCAACTATAATTATTTAAATAAACTTATTTCTTAATAGTTTAGAATAAAAGACTCCATATATGTATAATATAGCTGAAAAATTAGCAGTATTTTAAATTACTTATTTACTTTTAATTATAAATTATTTTATGTAAAAGAATTAGATATTACAAATGTTATTTTAATGAATAAGATTTATAGGAATGGGTAGGTAATTTTTCTAATTAGAGCTATCGATGAAAGATAATCAAATCTGAAATTAATTTTTACAATTAGATTAATTGTAACAATTTTTTATTAAAAATTTATTAATTATATAATTAAATAATTATTTAAATGTAATCATATGCTAAACAAAAATTTTTAATCATAATTGCAATAATAATCGTGGAAAAAAATACATTATTAAGTAGTGAAGAAACTACTTTAATAAAATTGTTTTTTTTATAATTTTTTAAACTCAATTTCTTGTATTTAAATAAATAATAAAACTAATTTTTAAAATTATTATATTAACTACCATTTCTTCAAGTAAATAAAAAACCTTAAAATAATCTAATTAAATAACATATATTATTAAGTTCAGTAAAAAGGAACAGAAATCTCTTCGAACATTTAATTAAGTCATAATTCTGTAAAAATACGAAATTATGTGTTAGTTTTTGTAATTGTTTCTATTTTAAAATTTTATTTATTTTAAATCTTTATTAGCAATACCAAAAAACATTTTTTAAAGTTTATTGCTCATAAAAAAAATAAGTTTGCTAAAAAATGAAAATTTTAACTTAATTTATAATCTTTTACAAAATAAGAATTAGACAAGAGACTGTAAATTTTAAATACTTAGATATGCAAACATTTTTAAATTAAAGATTACTGTGAAATATAAAAATAAATTTTTTATTTAATTATTTTTATAGTTTATTATAATAATCTATATATTTAACAAAATTATCATCTAACATAATTATAAAAGCCCAAAAGTAACTTTAATCATTTAAAGATATCTTTAACAGGGGTGGGTAAAAAAATTGACAGATAATATCCCATTTCATAGCATAGAACTCTAAGCTTGGTGGCTGCAATTTTAATTCTAAGGAAAAAAAATTTTGACTCCCTCCCCACCCTTATTAATCTTTTGTCACTCACAAAAATTTGTGATAGCAAGTTTTTGGAGTTTTTATTTTAGATTATTCTAGCTATCTTATATCATTATTGGAAGCTATCACATAACAAAATTTCATTGAAATTATCATAAACCTATAAAACCTTCTAACTTTAACAGTAAGTAATTACTTGAATAATGAATAAATCATTTTTTGTAAATTTAAAATTTAAGTTTTTATTAATTAAAATTTTTTAATACGTTTATAACTTTTATTTATGATAAAGCTTGATCAGTTATTAAATATTTAAAAAAAATCAAAAATTAGTTTCTTGTTATTTTATATTATAAAAAATGATTAGAGATTATGACAACTTATTAATCATACAAAGCTATCATTCGTTTTTTATTTAACCATAAAAAATTAATATGAAATTATAAATATTTATTTGTAAAATCCCTACATTTTATGGTGAATTGTTTGATCTAAACATTTAAAGCCTGTTTTCTAATAATATAATTCATATATCTAATTTTTATTTCAAAATATAAAAAATAAATACTAATTTTTTAATAGCAATAAATGATTTTTCAAAAAATATAAAGTAGTAATTGATTATTTTAAATAAAAGAAATATTTTTAAATTTAAATTAATATGCTATATTTATTTACAAACATATTCTTTTGTAATTAAATAAAGAATCAATCGATATTAACAAAATTAAATAGTAGTAAAATTTATAGCTAGCTATTATTTTTAATCAGATTATTTTATTCAAATATTTAATGTATTCTCAGTTTAAAATATTATTAAAAAAGAATTAAGATTATATTAATAACTAACTAATGAGCCACATGAAATAAATAAATATTTATTTTTTATTGAACCATAAAATATTATTATGATATTATCAATCTTTATAACCAAAAAAATAATTAAATTTTATGGTGTGTAAATAATCTCATAGCTTTAAATCCTATTTTCAAATATTATTATGATTTACATGAATTTATTAAAGTTATTTTCTGGTTTTTAATCAAAATATACAAAAGAAGAGTATAAAATAAATAAAACTTTAAACAACTTTTTATTTATAATAAATAAATTAATAAATTATTATAAAAATATTAGAATACAAAAAAATGATTTAGGTTGGTTTTTGATACATACTCTAATATAATAATTAATAATTTTGTATTCAAATTAGTAATAAATAAATTATTTTTTATGAAATAATTATTCTTTTTAAAGAATAATAAAGGGTTTTTCAACATAATGCAAAGTAGAAATTATAAAAATTATTTAAATAAAAAAAATCTTTATTAAAAATTTAAAATTAATATGTGATAATTATTTACAAGCAATATTTCTTTATAATTAAATAAATAATCAATAAATATTAGTATCATTAATTAGTAGTAAAATTTATAGCTATTATTTCTAATTAGGATGAATGTATTCGTTATTTAAAAGCATTTGCGCAGTTTAAAATTATTTTATTATTAAATTAGGATAGAAAAGATGTTAATCAGCTGATTAAATAGTAGTGTGTGAGAAGAATATTTCTTTTAATTAAGAGATTATCACATAAAGCTTTATTAGAAGGTTTGGTTAATATATAATAATATTCTAAACTGAATTTTTCAAAAAAGGAGAAGGTTTTATAGAAATTGTCTGAAATAGTGGAATATAAGCATTAAATTAATAGATTAAAACCTAGTTATATAAAAGTAAATGAAAGCATCAAGAATTATTTGAGTTAAGAAAGAGAAAAGCAAAATAAATTATAAGGAATACTATCAAAATTAGTAAACAATCAAAGACTTAAACTATCTAAATTTTTTTAAAAATGGAAGTTTTAGAACTAAAACTCATTAGATTTTTTTAAAAAAACAATTAATAAGTAATATCAATAATCCTAGTTAGGAAATTTAGAAGTAAATTTTAGTTGCTGCCTCTATATTCTAAATTTATTCTTTTGTTTAGGTTTTTAGAAGAATTGTCAATTTTCAAATTCTGAAAAAGATAAGTACTGCTTATTATTAAATTCTTTTGGTATCTTAAAATAACCAAAAAAACTAGAGAGTAAAATAATAGAAATATGTTTATAAATAAGTACAATATATTTCATGTATAATAAATAATAAATAGAGCCAACAACATGTTGAACAAGTGACAAGAATTATAAATATACTTTTAAGAAATAAACTACAGGAGTTAAAAATAATAGCTTTTAATAAATTATGTAAGTAGCTCAGCATAGGAAGACAAAATGAAATTACTTAAAATTAAAATGAAAACTAATCTATTCAGAACGAATAAAGAAATGTTCATAAATAAATTTCAATTTAAAAAAGAAGTGATTTGTAAAAGTAAATAGACAAAGCAATCATCAAAGAATAAGTAATTTATTTTTTATCTTATTCAATAATTTATATTTTAATTTTTTAAATAAAGGCCTTGTTTGGATAGAGATATTAGTAAAAAATAGATAAAACATATAATAAAATGAATTAAATAAAGCCCTATTTTAGGTTGTTTACTCTTATAAATAAATGGAAGCATCAGAATATTCAAAATGCTTTTAGTTTATGGAGCTAACTTTTAAGTAAATAAAGCAAAAATGAAAAATTCGAATATAAAAAAATCTTAGACAAGGTGTATATGGAAGTGGATGAAGTAAATATTAGCAAAACCGTTTTATTTTTATTTAAAATAATTTATTTTTTGTAGCTTTAAAAGAAAATAGATTAGTTACAGCCATAGAATAACTAGATTTCGCCTTTAGAATTCAGCTAGCATTCTAATCCAGTTTTGAGATAAACTTTTTCTCAAGAGAAGTTAGAATTTTAAGATATGATGTTTATTTAATCAAATGGCATGAATTTAGCTAATTATTAGTACCCAAATTTTTACCCTTATATGATGGTTGAAGAGCACAACCCTCATGAGCAGGAAATGGAAATAGAAGAAAATAATATTTACACATTAGAAAAGGAACTTTTCATAATTAATATGAGAAGGAAGCTAATTCTTTCTTTAATGGAAAATAAGCAAGTAATTTAATTTATTTGTATATAAATCAAGGATTTTTATTTAAACTTTTTCAAATAAAAAAATTAGAAACTCAGATAAGACATTTAGAACTATTACTATTAAGAGGGATTCCCTCAAGACTAAAACTTTTACTCTTACATAATGTTTAATATAAAAGACAAAATAGAAAAGCTAAATTGCTCAATATAAGAAATACAAAATACTGAATATTTTGATAGATTTAGAAAAGAATTGTTTGAAAATGTCAAAGACATAAGCAGTAAGCATTTATTTATATTTAATCTTACTATACTAATTTATCAAAATTTGCATTAAAAATATTTTTAGGTAGTTTATACTAAATCTGCAGAGATGAAGATTATAACCCAATACAAATTATTGAATATTTAAAATAAAAAAAGGATGATTAAATTAATTTCTAAAACAATAGTTAGATTTTCATGATTTGAGTGATTAACTGATTGATTAACTGGCTTTTTTTATTATCAAAAATATTCGAAATTAATATTCACTAAATTATTTATTTATATATTTTATCAATAAATGTTCAATTAATTTTGTTTCAAAATAAAATTAAAAAGTAAAAATTTATTTTTTTAAAATAAGTTTTTTAAAATTTAATATTTTAAAGTTCTAAATGTGAAATTATGTTTTTAAGCCTAATTTATTAGCTAATTTTACATACTTTTTATTATAATTAAATTATTTTCAAGGATATTATTTTAATAGTTTATAAATTATCTGCATTTAATTTCAATTTAAATATAAATTAAATGTAAAATTTAATATTTTAGTTGAATTATAAATGTAAAATAATGTCTTTAAGCATAATTAATTAATTAGTTGTTTTATTTATTTTTTCAGGACTACTATTAAATAGTTTACAAACTGTATTCATTTAATTTCTAATTTTTTTCAAAACATACTTTATAATAAATGCATTTAAGCATAATTAATTAATTAGTTGTTTTATTTATTTTTTCATTACTACTATTTAAAATAGTTTACAAACTGTATTCATTTAATTTCTAATTTTTTTCAAAATATATTTTATAATAAATGCTTTTAAGCATAATTAATTAGTAGTTTTATTTATTTTTTCAGGACAACTATTTAAATAGTTTACAAACTGCATTCATTTAATTTCTAATTTTTTTCAAAGTATATTTTATAAAAAATGTTTATGAGCATAATTAATTAATTAGTTGTTTTATTTATTTTTTTTAGGACAACTATTTAAATAGTTTACAAACTGTAATCACTTAATTTCTAATTTTTTTCAAAATATATTTTATAATAATGTAAAATAATGTTTTTAGGTTTTAATATTTAGATAATTAATTAATCTATCATGTTTTTTTATTTTTTATATTTTTTCTTTAAAGGTTACTATTTAAATAATTTATGAACTATTTTCATTTAATTTCATATTAAGTCTATCTATATTTTTTTGGTTTATTTATTTTTGATATTGAGCTATTTATACAATAATATAGATTAAATTTATAAAATATAATCCTGGTTTTCATTAAATTTTTGCTTAGATTAATGATATGACTCATTAATACACAATAATTTATACTCATAATCAATTTTTTTATGGTAATAAATTATGTACCATAAAGTTTTATAACACACACTCGAATATATAAATGTAAATGAATGGTTTTTAAATATAAATATAGCTTATAATTAAAATAAGTAGAAAAGATTGTAAAAAAGTACCTTTGATTAAATAGAACATATTAGAGCATAAAGTATATATATAAATGGAAACCAAGAATATTCCTTCAAATTAAAAAGCTAAAAATCCATTAAATAAATCATTAAAATAAATATTTGCTATATCTCCAGAAATCAGTAAACAAAATAGTTAAACCTCATTTAATAAAGATCACCTAAGTACTTAAATAAATGAGTCTTTAGATTTGACGATTTCAGCTTCTTTACGCAAAGACTTTAAAGGAGATTTATCTCTAAGTTAACAATTAATACAACAATAAAATGAGAGTATGCAAAAGCAAAATAGATTCAAAGTTCTGTAGCAAAATTTAATGTTAAACGTCAAAGGGCATTCCCCAATATCGAATAAGGGATAAAGAGCTTTGTCTTAGCTGTCTACTTGTTCTTCTACAGATACTCCTTAGGATAAATGTGAGAGCTAAAACTGTCATAATATTAATTCCACTTAATCTCTGAACATCAGCAATAATCACCAAATTTTATGCAAGCTACCAAAAATTTAAAACAAAAGCGAACTATGCTTACATAAAATCCACTTTTTTCCTTAATAAAAAGAGCTTGATAAGCTATTTCACAAACCAGTTAACTAAGAAAAAGCGAAATTATATAGTTTCATTAACTAAAATTAAATTAGTAAAGATAACCAACTTCACTAATTAGTCTATAAAAAGCTAGCTCCAATAACCTCTATTTACAATTAATCGCAGATATTTGAAACCAAAAAACTAAGCAATTTTGATTAAAATTTGAGTCCTTTCCCTAGATATTACTTCAAATAAAATAAATAGAGAGTTGAAAAATAATTTGGAAATTAATATGCTTACTAATTAATTAATAACATAAATTTGTAAAAAAAGCTGAGTTTGATAAAAGCCATTTCCACTAGAAACACCAAGTTGAATTTAGATACTTTACAGAATTTGAATTAAAAATGAAATAAGAATCTATCTATATGATAATTCAATAATTTGCTAACTCAAGCTATTAATAAAAATTTAGCTTTTAAATGTATTAAATAACATAATAAAATAAATTAATTACATTTATTTAACAATTAATTTATAAATAATATTTTTAAATTTTTGTTTGCTTTTGTATATAAAATTAAAATAATATATTAGAAAATTAAATAGCCATGTAATTTATTAATGATATATTTATCTAATTTCAAAATATTTTATTTATTCTAACAACAATAATATTACTTTAATAAAAAAGAAAATAAATATTAGTTTATTATTTTTAAAGTCATTTATTAAAATAGCTATCAACTCTCATAAATAAAAAACATTTCCATATTACTTATTTTAAAAGGAGCAAATATATGAAATATTTTATCAAATAAAAATTTTCTTTTTAAATAAAATGAGCTAATTATTTTAATTTATTTTTATCACTTTTAATTTTTAAAAAGTAAAATTATTTAATTGTATTTAAAACATTTGTAAAAAATAATTTTAATTTTTCTTTTTAAATATATTATTTGGATGGATAAAGATTTTTTATTTAAATTCTTAGAACTAAAAAAAATAATATTGTTCTATTGAAACAAATTTTTATATAAAATCTTCTTAAAGTTAATACTTAAAATATAATTATTGAATGAAAAATAAAAATATTTTAAAAGTAAATAATTATTATTTAAAAATATAAAATAAAAAAAAATCATCAAAAAGCTTATATTTTTTTCTAAGACTAGATAAAATAATTCTTTGATATTAAACATTTGTTATAATTTAAATACTTCTACTTAAACTGACTGAACTATTTAAAAATATTTAAAAAAATGAATGAATTAATTAAGATTCAATTAATTTGAAATTATTGGCAAAAAGAGGGCTTAATTGCAAATTATAATTCTGTTTAATTATATTTTTATTTCCCGCGCTATTCTGATATGTTTATAATCAATAAATAATGGAAAATGTTTCTTTTAACAATATAACTAACTTTATGTAATTTGCTTTAATTATTTTAAAATTTAATATGCTTTCTTTGATTGCAACATTTTATCTGCAATAAAATACCTTTTTTTCTATTTTTAAGCAAATATTTATACATATCTATTGCTTTAGAATAAGAAGAAAATATTTTGCCAAAATATTTTTCTTTATATGATTTTCTTATTAAATTAAAAAAAGAGAGAGTTGAATGCTAACAAAGAAAGAATAGTATAAAGAAGAAGTATCGAGATTCAATTTATTAAATACAAACAAAAATTAATTAATTAAAGGTATTTTCAAAGTTCAAATAGTTATTATACAAAATAGATATGTTTTTAGCGAGTACTCCTCCAAAATAAACATAAAAAGCTACTGTCAATGATTATTTTGATTCAGAGTCAGATTGTTCAAATCACAAAAACAATGATAATGCTTTAATCGAAAAGAATTTGATATAATCTTATTCAGTTGAAAGTTAATCTAATTTAATAGGCAATAGATATAATAATATTAATCAAATAGAGATAGAAAAGCTAAGAGGATAAAACTCTGTTTCTTAATAGGTTATTGCTGAAAAGCTTCAGTAGAAAGATTTTTTTAAATTTTAATATTTTAGTTCTGAAAAAAAGCAGCTCTCTCCTGATGATTAAGATTAAAGTGACGAGGAAGATTTATAGTAATCCAAAAAAAACTCTCACATTTTTACTAATAAGTCTGTTTTGGCGGAAAAAAAATAAGAATTTAATAATTAAACAGATATAATTAGGAATGATTTTAACATAGACAGAAACATCTCAATTTAGGGCGAGAAAGAATTAAAATAATAAAACAATAATTAATAATCTGCTTAAAACAACCATTTGGCTTATTAATTAAATAGTTCTTTAATACCTTTTGCAGCTGAATCTGAAAAAATTAGATAAAATCAAGCAAATTCACAAGAAAATAATTAAAGTATTAAAATTAATAACATTTTTAATTAGCAGAAATAGTAATCAATTGATAATAATTAAATAAACTCAATCAATCACTTACAAATTAATATCAACAATATTCCTTTAAAATAATAATCAGAAGAAAAGGGGATAGTTAATATCACTCAAGAAGGCCAAATGATAAAAACTTAATCTCTACTTAACTTAGTAGAGAACTAAAAAATGTTAATTGAAGTTAAACCTCATCTTAAAGATTTTGACCATTAAAATTTTGATGATAATATTCTAGCTGAAGAAATAGAAATAGAAATCGATAATTCTAATTACGACCGCTAATCTATTTCAGATGACGAATTTAGTTAACATAATCAAAAAAGTAATACAAATGTTCAATTTTAAGAATCTAAAAGCATATTCAAAGATGAGGAATAAAATGGTATGTAAATAAGTTTATCTGAAAAATGCAGGATTATCGATTAAAGTAGTAATTAATCTAGAATAGGTTTTTTGAATTTGAATAATTCTGAAAATTCAAATTAACAACTCACATATTTCAACAATTTATAAGAATCAAGTAGTGAATCTGAAAATTCAAGGAATTCTTTCATTAAGAGAGCATAGCAAATATTTAATTAAAACAATAATACTAAGTAATAGCCAAGCTAGGTAAATAAAAGCACAATTGATACAAATAATAATAATTATGATAATGGTCTACCAGATCCATTTTAAAATGAGAAATTTTTTTAAAAGAAAAAAAATGATTTATAATTTTAAGATTAAGCTTAGTTTTCCTTTGCTAAGGTAAAAAAAAATGAGGGAAAGATTGCATAAACTAATGGTGCTATTTTGATTGATCAAAATAAAAGGAAAAATCTATTCTAAAACGAACAAATTAATTTCTCTGTTCCTTAAAAATAAAATTAAAATTTTTAGAAATTTACTATTTAATTTGAAGAATTTGATGAAAGTTCATAAGAAAACTCATCAATTTAATAGAACCAAACCGAAAAAGGCTAAAAAATTATTGAAGACCCCTCTTTTAAAAATTTTAGTATCAAATAAGAATTGTAAAGTAATAAAGGAACTTTTGAGAAACCTCAATTACCTAAAAAAAACAATTAAATCTCAGAACATTAACTTAAAATTGAGTAAGAAAGAAAAAAAAATTAACCTAATATTTTACAAGATAATTTTGTTAATGGATTTAAAATATCTTAGAAAGTCTAAAAAAATGATAAATTTTCCAAATTTGTTGGTTTGTTTGAAGATATTAATGACGAAGATGAATATGATGAATAATTTAATAATTAATAATCTATACCTGATATATAAATTGTTAAATAGAATTCCTTTGATGAAGGTAGCATTGCTTTGAATAAAACTAAACAATAATGTGTAGTTTAAAATGATTAAATTGGATTTAATTTTACAAAACCAACATTTAGTAATGGTTTCACTAATTCATTTTAGAGTTCTAGGGTTGGACTTGATGTAGTTAATACTGAGAACTAATAAGTTAATAAATAACAAGAAACAAAAAATAAAACTAATGTTTTACATGATACATTCGTAAGTGGATTTAATATATCTTCTAAAATATAAAAAGATGAAAAGTTTTCAAAATTTGTTGGATTATTTGAAGACATGAATGATGAAGAAGATGAGTAAGATGAATTTTTAAATAATAAATCAGAATTAGAAGGATAAGTTGCTTAAATAAACAGCTAAAATAATTTCAATTAATAAATACAATAAAATGAAGATATTGGATTCACCTTTAAAAAGCAAAATTCTAATTCTAATGTTAACTTTAAAAACACATTTTAAAGTGCAAAAGTAAATTTTGAGAAGCCTTCAATAAAAAATAAAGAAGATTCTGAAAATTTGTATGTAAAATAATAATAAGAAACTAAAAATAAATCTAATATTTTATAAGATTAATTTGTTAATGGATTTAAAATATCTTCGAAGGTATAAAAAGATGAAAAATTTTCTAAATTTGTAGGTTTATTTGAGGATATGAATGATGAAGAAGCTGAATAAGATTCGTTTTAAGAAGAATTCAACAATAAAAAATCTGAGTTAGAAGGATAGGCAGTTGTTTAAAAATCATCTGAAGACAGCAAAGTTGAATTCCAATCATTCAAATCAGCAAAAGTGACAACAAATGTAGAATTTGGATTTACTAAGCCTAAATCTGTTTAAAATGACTAAAAAATGTTAAACGGATTTAACAAAGCAAATTAAAATATTATTCCTACATTAAAAGAAAAATCAAATTTAAAAAATTTACTAGAAGAGCTGAATTAAGAAGATGGAGATGCATAAGATTAATACTCTACAAATAACTATGATGAATTTTTTAATAAATAAAAGAATGAAAATTAAGAAGAATTTATTGGATTCAAAACAGCTAAAAATAATAGAAAGTTAGAAGTAGATGAAAAAGTCATTGAGTAATTAACAAAGATATTTGATAAGAATGACAAAAATGTTCAATAACCACCTTAGTAAAATCAAATTAAAGAAGATAACAAGAAAAAAGAATAGAAATCATAAGATTACAATGACTTTTTTAACACCGCTGGGGATAACAACAATGGATTCTTTGGATTTAAAACTGCTAAAAGCAATAAAAAACTTGAGGTAGATGAAAAAATACTTAAATAACTAACTAAAATATATGAAGAAGATGATAAAAAGCATGAAAAAAAAATATCACCAAAATAAAATAAAATTGATACTGAAGAATAAACTAATTATGATGATTTTTTCTCAAATAAAACAAGTAGTGATGCTGGTGGATTCTTTGGATTTAAAACTGCTAATAATAAGAAGAATTTAGAGGTAAATGAGAAATTATTGGAACAGATCTCAAAGCATTTTGATTCAGATGATACAAAAGAATAGAAAAATGCCAATTCTAAAATAGAAAAATAATATTCAGATAACGATGAATTTGACGATTCAAAAAAATATGAAGACTTTTTTTCAAATAAATCGGATGCATCCTTTGGTGGATTTAAAATAGCTAAAGGAAATAAAGAAATTAAAGTTGATCCATCTAAACTAATGCAATTTGAATAATCTTTTTCATTAAAAGACAACGATTCTAATTTTAGCAAATCATCAGTCTAAGGTAGCAGAGTTCCTAAAAGAAAGATGAATATAGATGATGACGAAGAACATCAATAATAATAGCTATAAAAAGAATTTGGAAATAAAATGCTTAAAGTAGACTAATAAAATAAAATAAAACCTATCTCAGGGTCAGGTATGAAGGATTCTTATTCTTTTTCAAATGGATTTAAAAATACCCCTTAAACCAAATCAGACAATAAAGATAGATTTAATTCTAATAGTAGATTCTAAAACAGCGAGTCTTCCTTTAATTCAGGCTTTCAAAAATCATCAAAGTCAGATGTAATTTAAGAGGATGATGGGGATGACGATGATGCATTTTCTCGCTTTATAAGATAAATTAAAAAGCCTGAACCAAAAAGAAGTCATCCAAAGCCATTCAGGTAAGTAAAAGTCGTAGATTCTTCAAAGACAACACCTATTGCTAAAGAAACGCCTAATATTAAATCTACTAAGATAGAGAGAAAGGCAAATTATAAAAGAGGATTGCTTAATTCTGAGGAGTCAGCTAACTCATTTCTTTTTGCTAAAGACTCTGTAGAAAAATCAGGACAGGTAAAAAAATTGTTTTTATATTTAAATATTTAATTGTATACATTTTAATTAAATAGAAAAGTGGTAAATCCTCTACCTTAAGCAAAAAGTTTAAGCCACAAAGTATAGAAAGAATTAATGAGAGCATCAGTAAAGATTAGGCTAAAAAAAGTAAAGACACATTGAAGCAAGGCAACAGGTACTCATTTATAGATGAAGAAGATGAGGATGGTAACACCTCATATAAAAGATAGCTCTTTAATAGCTCATCTAAAAAATCTAACTTAAGTAGTTCCATGAAGCAAATACAAATTGCTTTAAATCACTAATACCTCAACAATCCTTTAATTTAAATGAAGTACAACTATGATTCATAGATAGCGAATTCTAACTTTATTAGATATGATGAACTTAAACCAAAAAAAAATTAGATGGAAATTGAAAATGATAATTAGACAGGAATCATTCAGAATATGGCTAAAGATATAAATTAATGCTTGTATTATTCGACTATGTGCAATTGTCTTAGAAACAACTTAGACAATCTGTTAAATTTTTAAGAAAATTCATTTACTTAGCGTATTGAGTGCTTTTGCTCTCTGCCTATTCCTTCAACAGAGCCTGTTGAAGAAGAAAATGCTCCAAAAAAGACAAAAGAAGCTGATGATGTACTTGAATACAATAAAAATAAACTTTAAAAAGGATTCTTAAACTACTTAAACTTTTTTGCCAAATTGCAGCAAAAAGAAAAAACTTTGGAAGAAAAATGGGTCAGAAATCACTTTAGATAAGTTGTTTGGAAATTATCTTGCTATGAAAATAATTTGGATTACTGTCCAGTTAATAAAAAGCTAACAGTTGAAAATATTTATTATGAGTTAGAGTACAGATTATATTCAGAAGTGTATGCATGCAAAAGATCTATCTTAAAATAAATTTAAGAACAAGATGCAGTAAAATCTCTTAATATGGTATTAATAGTAGCTAACATTACAAAAGTAAATCAGTACGGATGCTATGTTCTTGAACTATCAGATGGTTGGTATAGTTTTTTCGTAGTGGTCTTAGATCATAAGCATGTTATTTCCAATGATCTTTATCAACAAAATAATAAAATTCTTTAGCTTGACTTAATTAAAAGAAATAAGATATATATTGGTATGAAGATGTATGTCAATAACCTAGCAAAACCTAGTGTCGGCAACTTAGAAAATATGATCAATCCGAAATAAAATATACTCTATTAAAATGTATATGAAATATTTTATAATAACATAATCAAGGCTCCAGCAAACTCTAAATTAGGAATCTGCAGCAATGCTTTGTAAAAATATTTCCCTCGTTCTTTGAAATCCATTAAACCTTGTGGAGGTGACACAATATAATCAGTAGATGTTTTTATTGTCAAAAAATATCCTCTTTGCTATGAGGCAGGAAATGTCAAGGTCTCCTTCTGCAATCCTAAATAAATGGAAGATGAGGGTATGGATGGTGGAAAGTAATTAGGTTTTACAGTTTTGGTAGTAGATTCGTTAAGCTATTATGACGAAACATTTAAGATAGATGAGCAACCTTGGGTTTATATCAATATTCATTCAGTCACTCATGATCTTTATGACTCTTTGAAAGAAGGCACTCGAATCAGGCTTTATAATCTCAAAGTAAATTCATTAAAAAATTTTTTTTAATTTTTGAAGAATTTTTTATAAATAAATTTAATTATTTTTTAAACCACATATAGATAAATAACAGAGGATAGCAAAAAATGAAGTTTAATTATAAGTATCAGAAAATTGTTAAGGAAATATTGTATTTGGAAACAAACAAAAAGACTAAAATTGAAGAAATGAGCACTTTTATAAAAGCAAAAGAAGATTAGTAAAGTATGAAAAAATTCGGGTTGGAGCTAACTGAAAACTTTAAATTTTTGTTAGAAGATGTACAAGAGAGTATTTTCAATTTATAATATGATAAAGCTTTATAAGAGAGCTTTCTATAATAATACAAAGTAGAAATGGATGTTATAATGTATATAGTTAAAATAGAAGATGGATCTTACTTTGGAATTAATCAAAATTATTCTGCAATATGCATTTCTCCTACAAATGAAATTAGATAGAGCACTAACAGTGTTTTTAAAAAATAAAAACCAGATGATGAGTATTCTTTAGAAGATGCTCATCTCTATGATAAACTGAGTAAAAATAGAGAAATCAAAACAGCAAATTAGATTTCTGAAAAATCAAATTAGATAAAACCTAAATTACAAAATCCTGAAGAAGGTAAGATAGGTGTTTTCCTTAATGTTTAGCTGAATACTATTAAATAATCAACTTTAAGCACATCTAATTTAGAAAAATATCATTTCAATTTCACTTTCAACACTTACAAAAAAACATATTCAGTGGATAATTTAAATGCTCAGACTCTTCCCTACTCTGATAAATATAAAAAATAAATTAATGAATTAAACGAGTTTTTGGGAATCAGCTCAGATAAATTTTTAGAAGTATCCAATTATCTTAGAAATTATATTTGAATTTAAATAAAAAATGTATAAATTTTACAAAAAATATACAATAATTTATATAAAATATATTTGTAAGAAGTAAAATTTTAGCAATATTTCATGAGTTTATTTATTAAAAATGTAAGTATTTTAATTTTTTTATATGGCAATTTCTTTTCTACATCTTTGAGTTTTTAGTTTGTTTGAGTAAAAGCTCAACTAAATAAAAAATAAAAATAATTTTGTCAAGAATTAATTAAATTGCAAGGCAATATTAAACTTTGGTCATAGTGTTTCTTTAATCAAATATTTAGTAATCAGATACTGTTTAATGAATAAATTTTCTATCACATATTTTTGAAATAAAGCAGTAACTTTTTATATTCCAGTAATATAGAAAATAGACAGAAAGAAATAAAAAATTAATAATTTTTTTATAAGAAATATTTTAGTCTAATTTGAGTAAAGTAAAACTTAAAAGGATGTTTACTATTTATGTATTTATTTATGTCAGATATACATCAGAAATAAGTTTAAGGAAGGAAATCTTAGAAAGGGTATATTATTTTCTGATAGGAACTCACTCTATTTTTAATATTATGGTTAGTTAGAACTAACTATTCTAATAATTTATATTTGTAGACACTTCTGCTTTTGTTTTTATATATGGTAAAATAAGAAGTCTATCCCATAGGGGTATTTTTGACACTCATTTTTCAAAATTTTAAAACATTTTAAAATTTTGAAAAATGAGTGTCAAAAATACCCCTATGGGATAGACTTCTTATTTTACCATATATGTTTTTTTCTAAACCTTAAATATGTATTTGCATTTAAGTGAATGAAATATTTTTTAAAAACATATTATATACAAAATAGATAGAGGATGTTTTATTATTAAAATTTTACTGCACCATTTTATTTTTATTTGAAGATAATGATTTATGAAAAAAAAATATATATATTTTGTCAAATCTGTTTTTAAATTTGATTTCTTAATGTTATTGAAATATTCAATGAATGAATAAATAAATGAATATGGTAAAGGAGAGAGAAATTTAAGAGAAAAGATTGTGACTCTATTTTAAATTAAAAAAGTTAATATATATGTTATAGCAATTTATGTTTAAAAAAGAACTGTAAAAATTTCTAAAAAAAACTAGCTATATAGTATAGTCTTTTTGAATTATTATTTTACGACAATGAATGATATATTGTTAATTCATTTATCGAATATGATATTGAATGTTTTATTCCAATGATTTCCTTACTAATTATTTAATTAACTTTCTAACAATTGAAAAAGCGCTGAAAAAAAAAGAAAAAATACCAATTTTTAACACATAATCAAATACATACAAATTTTTATTAGTTTTTTTCGTATTTCTGCTGGTTATCATCATAAATTAATAGAATTCTATTAGAGATAACACATAAAGTATTAAAAAGTAAAATAAATTAGTAAAAAGCTCATAAAAATTAATAAAGCAAAAGCAACCATTTATAGAGAAAAGTAAAGCAAGGTTTAAAATTGGAATGTCATCATCACAACTTTAATCTCAAAATTAAAACAGTGGTGGTAACTAGAATGGAATGCAGAATAATTCAGTTAAACAGACAGTTTATAAAAAGATAGGTCCTTATTCATTGATCAAAGAAATTGGATAGGGATCTTTTGCTAGAGTTTACAGAGGTCGAACAGAAACCAATGGAGTTTAAGAAGATTTTGCAATAAAGATGATTTCTAAAGGGTATTTAAGGGAAGATAATTAAGAACTCATTGACAAAGAAATCAGCATTCTACTTAAATTGAGACATAAAAATATAATCAGATTAGTTGATTTTAAAAAAACAACTAACAATTGGTATTTAATATTTGAGTATTGTGAACTAGGAGATTTAGAGTAGTATATGAAAGAAAAGTTTAACGGGAAATTTCCACTCAGCATAGCATTAACATTTATATAATAGCTTAAGTCTGCTTTTTAGGAGATTCGCAGGCTTAAATTTGTTCATCGTGATTTGAAGTTAGCTAACATTTTACTTACTAAAGATCTTACAGTCAAGCTAGGCGATTTTGGGTTTGCAAAGCATTTTGATGATAACTCTCTTCTACAAAGTTACTGCGGCACTCCTATAACAATGGCTCCTGAAATTCTTAAAAGAGAAAAGTATAATGAGAAATGCGATATTTGGAGTCTTGGTATTATTATTTATTAGATGATTTATGGAAGGCCACCTTTTAATCCTCACAAAGGAGCTCACATTTAAGATTTGATTAACTTGATTGAAAAAAATCAAATTGATTTCTCAGCTATTCAAATCCCCCCTGAAGTCAAAGACCTAATTCTTAAAATGTTAGTCGTTGATCCAAATTAGCGTATAAGCTTTGAAGACTTTTTTGAACATCCTTGTATGCAGCCTTAGTACTTGTTAAATCTGGCTCAAGAAGGTCTTAGCGCTCTAAAAACTAACCAAAATTAGTCGTAGTTGTTGTTATAGTTTTAGCAGCTATAATAGTAAAATTTGGACTCATAATAAACCAGCCCTTAAGATGCCCCAGAAAATTAAGCAAAAGAAAAAGTTTTAGCAAATAAAGGCATAGAGATAAATAATAATTAAACAAACCAGACAGATAGTGAAAAGTTGATATAGCTCTCACCCAAAATGTAAAAGATGCAAATCAATTTACAATCAGAAGAGCTTCTCGAAGTTAAAGAAAAGTAAAATAGAGCTTTAGAATACATTTGGCAAAGAATGCATGAAATTTTAACAGAAGAATTAAATAAATATTTAGAAAAAATGGATGATTAGATGAAAAATGCTGAACAGCTCTCTTAAGATATTAGCACTGACTTTAGCTAATCTTGCTCATGGGCTTCAGTTCTCTTAGCATTACTCCAAACAGTTAAAACGATAGAGAACCATCTAGAAATTACTCTAATTATTTCTGATTCAAGCAGTAAATCTTTTTTGGCTTTCTACTTTAATAAACGAATTATAGATTTATTTTAAAACCAAAAACTTAATTGAGTATTTTTAAATTTCCCTTTCATTTTTCAAATTAATTTTTAAAAATTCAGTTTTTTAATTTACCAAAATTTTTAATAATTGAGAGAAATTAGAATATTCCAATCCTATCCTGTCAGTATTTGTGGTTTTTTATAAAATAAAATAAATTATACAAAAAAAAATACTTTTTTAAATAAATAAAATGTAAATAATTAGAAAGGAATTTAATAAAAAGCTGTAACCAGATTAAAAATACCATTTTTACTAAATTATTAGGACAATTTCTTAATTAAAATAGAAAAAATTCAAAAAGTTATAAAATTATTATTAAAATAAATAAATTAAATTTATGAACAAATAAACAAAATAATACCACAGAATAGATTAATAAATGATAAAATATTATTTAAAAAGAGTTCAAACGATTATAAAAATTATTTATCTGCAATTTTTTTTCATCTTTTATTAATTTTTTATTGATTTTTAACTAGATGGTTCAGAGAAATAATAGAAAGAAGAGACCTTTAAAATAGCTTTTCCAAAGTTCATTCAAGAGAAATTAAAAGACTTAAGCAAATAACTGAATACTATGATCAAAAATATTAAGATAGAAAATTCAGAACAATAAAAGAACACTGATGTTTATAATATGCTATTTGGTAATTTGCTGCATTATGCTGATTACTCCTTACTAAATGAAGTACTCACTTCTCCTTAATAGTAGCTAAAGTATTACTAAAGATGTATAAAGCTCTGCTAGTAGTTGCTTTCAGTAAAAGATAATGCTTTTTCAAAAATTGTTATTACAATCAACGACCCCAGCATGGAAATTACCAAATAAGATATTTAAAAAATAATTCAGCTACCTTTCAAGGATAAAGAAGAATAACCTATAAGAAAAAATAGCAACTCTAAGAATGAAAGAAAGATAATTTCAATAGTTAAAAATTTAATAAACATACAAAAAATATATACAATCTCAAACTTCTTGGAATAGATGAACATCGTTGAAAAAACAGAAGAACTCAAAACTTAATATGAAATCTATCAAGGAAGATACGATGCTTGTTATTAAAAAATATCTCAATAAAGTTGAGATTCAAAAATTATCTTTTTAAAATCAATTTTAAATTATATTTAAATACAAATTACAACTCTCTTGATATAACTAAAATCATAAAAATTGTATTAGAAGAACTAGTAATTTACATAAAGTCTACCTACCTACCCACCTAACTACTTGCCTGCCTTCCTGCATACCTATTGCCTCTATTTTTATAACGACTAATATTGATCTGAATAATACTAATCAATTAATATTTTTAATACTTTGTTATATAACTTATATTTATAAATTTATTTTCTACTACAATCAACATCTTAAGTTCTCAACACTTTTTATAAAAGTTGAGACACCCAATATCATTACTAAGCTCAATCATAAGAAGTTACATAAATAAATATGATAATAAAAATCTGAAGGAGCTTCAAAGTTTTTAAATAATATTTTAATTACTTTTATTATATCTGATTTAATTTACTACCTAAATAAAGCACACACAAATATTAATAGGTGATAAAATCATGAATAAATTACTTTATAATTAAATTTGTTAACATAAACTATCTAACTTGTATCTACTATTGAAGGTGTATATTCATTCTTATATCAACTCATTTTGTTGTTTAAAACCTAAATATTTTTACTTCAGTTTAATTCCTTTAATATGATAATATTCTCTTTATATAAATATTAAAATTGTAGGCTTACTATAATATTACTTTTTATATACTCTAAAAATTAATCGAATCATAACTTGGCATAATATTCTAACTAAAAAATTATTTAATTAAAAAATTAAAATTTTTATTAAACTTATTAAAAATTTTAATGAAAAACATTAATATTATGGTTAATATTTAAAGTAAGAAATAATTTTTGCTATTTATAAAATAGAATCAGATGATCTGATAATCTTATTATTAAAATATATGAATACAGTTTACAAAATAATATTATTAGAGTAATAAAACTTTAACTTAAAAATAATCAGTTATTAAAGTTAAATAGAGTAGAAATTAATTTTTTTCCATTAATTTAAAACTTTTAAAAATTATTTTCACACACATTTTATATTTTTCTTTCATTCTTTTTCACTAGCTTTTTTTAAATTTTAAACACTAGATTCTGTCTAAACAATCCATTGATGACTTAAAATTTCTTAGATAGTAAGCCTATCAGATGGATTTGGAGCAATTAGTTGATTTATAAGATCTTTAAGGAGTGGAGATGGTTCAATCGCAAACAAATTCCAAAACTTAGACTTGCTCTTTGTAAGAGTTTAAAAGAAAAAATCACTAGAATCTGCTTTTGAAAAGGGCTGCTTACAAAAAACCATAGTAAAAAGTAATACTCCTAAACTAAATACATCAGCTTTCTTCAAATCGATAGCATCAGGTTTTCTTGGAACCAACAAATTATCAGATTTCTATCTAATCAATTCAGGTGCTCTGCAGCATTATGTACCGGCACTTGGAATAAATTCTAAATCATGAATTTACTTTAAGAAAATGGCATTTCCAAAATCACACAAGTAGGCATTATAATTTTCATCTAGCAATATATTTTCTAATTTAATGTCTCTATGAACTATTTAAGATGAGTGTAAAATCTCAACAACTTTAATTATTTGCTTGAAGAAATAGTGAGCTCCTTCTTCGGTTAATCCGTTGTTATTAGCTACGAATTTAAAGAGAGTTCCATTAGAGGCATACTCTAAGAAGATTGCCTAAGTTGGTAACTCATCTATGAAACCTTTCATTTTGATTACATTTGGTATTTTTTCTAAAAATGTAAGAGATTTGAGCTCCATTTTAAAAGCAACTTCTTTCTTAAATATCTTAATTGCTGTATTTTTGGGTGTGCTACATAAATGAACGTCTGCCGTTTCTGAGGAGCTAAGAAGAGTTTAGAGCTCGTATTTATCCATTATTTTGTAGTCTAATTTTTTAATTTTTGATATCTATTAATTTATTTGCTAACAAATATATAAGTTAATTGTTCGATAGAATATTTAAATTGATTTAGTTTTACATTTTATTTCACATTATAGTAATGATTTTTGTTTTAATTTGTAGTGTAAGATTCTGATTTTTATTTGAATTATTTATAGTACTGAGCTAAATATTTTCCATTTACTTAAGATATTTACTTTAATTATTGGAAAAGAAAGTTCATACTAAATACTCTGTAATTTCAATTGGTTATGTGTGTTATATAAGACAAAGTAACCTATTTTTCGATTTTAAATAATTTATCTTATAGCTTACAATTAACATTAAGATCAGATGAAAGTGTGTTTGTTAATTATGATTCATGTTTTTAAAAATATATCTTGTTTGAGGCTCTTCATTTTGATTTCTATTTAAAGTTATTACTAATATTTGAAGATGTAACCTTTTATTCAAATAATAAAATTTAATCATCTGAAATAGCTTACAATAAATAATTGAAAGTAATTAATGATAATTAACAAAGTTTTTAAATTTTTTTCATAATTTACATAATCAATCCTGATTTTTACATCTTAAAAAATAATCAAAATTTTTAAAATGTAAAATACCAAAATAACATTTATTTTATTTAGAATATTCTATTTATTTTTATGTTGTTTTAGCTAATTTCTTAAGTAAAAAGCTCTTTCTAGAAATTAAAAAATATAAAATTATTATAATCAGTAGTAGTTTGTTGATTACCAGATAAATTTAAGATTTTTTATTTAATAATTTTGAATCGATAATCAAATTTAAATTCAAAGAAAAAGTATTAAAATATTTAATCATTATTATAAAAAGAGAATCAACTATTTTTTTGTGTTTCAAAAATAAATCTCCTTTTATTTATATCCATAAAAGTAACCAATTTTTTTAATTTTAATACTTCTTAACAAAATTAATTTTATTGAAAATTTTGTATAATTTTTTGAAAACTTTAAATGGATCAGCTATTTCTATTCATAAATAAAACTTATTACTATTATTTTCTTTCTTATTATTATAAAATTTAAAGGATTTATTCTGTTTTTTTATAAGAGTATTATAAATTTAAAATTCTAAGGTAATTTATTAAAATGACTTTATCAAAAGATAGCCATTTTTACTGCCTTTATGGATATTTATTTGAATGGAGCGAGTTTATGATTTGTAAAAGTCAAAAAATATTTACTCTTTTGTTTAATAATTTGTTTTAAAATGTAAAAAAAAGTAATCTTTAAATGCCAACAATTTAATAACAAATAACTTAATTGAAAGTCAAATAATTAAATTTCTTAATTAATTTTCATTACTGCTACATTAAAGTATGAAAATTTGCTGAAAGATATGAACTTTGAATTTAAATCTAAATTTTCTAAATTTTAAGTACAGAAAAAAAGTATATATTCTCCACTGTAAGTTTATGATATCTTTGTTATTAAATATTTAATTTTTGAACATATAGAGGAGCATTCGATGAATAAGATGATTAAGGTGGAGAAGATGATTATAAAGATAAGCTTAGAAAAAAATTTTCTACCATTTATAATGATTCAAGCAGTTCTTAGATAAAAGATGAAAATGAAGATGAAGAAGAGGATGATGATGATGAAAATGAAGATGAAGATAATGATCATTTTAATAATGAAAATCAAAATTAAAATGGAGTGAAGTTGCTGCTATCTTCTTAAAAAATAATAAGCTAAGCTAATGTATAATCTCAAAATAAAATAAAAATTGAAAATCCTTCTGAAAATTAAGTCATCGATTTAAAATTAGTAAATTAATGGGGTTAGAGAATTATTGAATAAAAAAAATAAAATTAAAAGCTTCTTCCTGTAGATAAAATCACTGAGCAAGCCCTTTTTACATTTGGCAGGTTTGTGTCTCATGGATAAGAGGTATTTAAAAGTAAATAATCGCTTAATATTTTACTTATTATTTTAAAAAGAAAGGAGAGAATTAGAAATTAAATTCTACTAACATTGAAAATTACAGCATTTAGAAATCTCAAATTAGTAATTAAAGGCATATTTATTTAGTTAACTTTATTGATTTCCATTCAAAAATTAAAATAGATAAAACTTCAATGGAGAGTAGGTTTAATCCTGTAAAAGTAATTAATACGGATAGATTTGTAAAAAGGCATTAGGACAGTGACATAAAGAAATAAAAAGAAGCTCAAAAGCAAGGAGAAATTATGTTGAATAGATCTTTTCCTCTTCCTTCCAAAGCAAATTAAACAGCCAAAGAATACAAAAGAAGCAATAGCCCTCCTTCTTAAATGCCTTAAGTTATTTTAAATAACTCTTTTGACCCTTCTTATAAACTAGATATAATGAAGTTTGATATTTAATACCTTCAATCTATAAAATATGTATATAAAAAATAGTAAGAAGGAAAAAAAAATTGAATTCGTTTTATTTTATTTTAAAGATTAAACCAGATGTAGTCATACAAGTAGAAGAAGAATAAAGAAACAAAATACATATTTTCTAAAACTCTTTTAAAATAATTTAGCTTAATTGTAAAAATAAAGAGAGCCCTTTAACTTTAAAAATTAAGATTTCAAATTCATTTAGCTTGCATTTGTTTGTTGGATAGGTAGAGGATTAGTGCTGGTCTAATTATGATTAGTATTACTGCTCATTCGATAAACCTATTCATTATAATTTTTAAGAAGATAAATAAAAAATATATATAACTATGCTCTCTTAAAGTCCTTTTTGTAATCTTGAGCTTATCTACTACTTTACTACTCATAATGATTAGCAAATAAATATGTATTATTAGCCTAATATCTAAGATTTTTTACCTCATGTGGAGGAATAAAATATCTAATAGAATGTGTAATATAAAAAAGAAGAACAATCTGCAAAACACATTTCTGTTTTACCAGCAATAAACTAGAATTTTATTTCTAAAAATATAAGTATACTAGATGAATATGCAATTAAAAAAAATTAAAAGATGAAAGATTTTCATAATTCAAGCACAATTAAACTGGTTAGATATCAAACAAAGAAAAAATTGTTAATGTCAGAAAAATAAAATAAAACTTTATTAGAAATATTTAAGAAACAAGAAAAATTTACTGAAATCCACAATTACTCAAGGATTCAATCAGAATCTCTGATTTTATTAAAAATGTTTTAATAAAAATGGTGTTAGATAATCTGTTTCCTCTACTTTATATCTGAGATAGAAATTATGTAATTTTTTTATCCAAACTTTATTTAAAAAAATATTTTTCTTTAGTACGGTTTATAGTAAATTAATATTTATGTTTGAACTGCTACCAATTATAAAAAATATTTATCTTTATAAATTTAATAAATAGGATAAAATAAAAAAAGATAGAAATAATAAAAAAAGAAAAGCAAAACATTTTTATCAGAAGAATTTTAAAAGATTATAGAATAAAGTAAAAATTTATTTGTTTATTTATTTATTTTATCAATTTATAATAAATAAGTTTATTTAAATCTAATATCAAAACAACAGGCATTCAGATAATACTTATTTAGAGAGAATAGCTATTTAAGTTAATTATGGTTTAAGACTGATATGCTTCTTTGAAGAATAAAATCATATAAAAAGGAAACGAGATGAGTTAATTAGTTTATTTTTCTAAAGATATTACCAGCGTAAGTAATTGTATGAAAAAATATTAGAAAAATCTTAAAGAATGTAAAAAATAAGTAAAATAATAATAGAATAGTGTCTTGAAAGAGCTAAAATTTTAAGAATATTTAAAATAATGTTCAATATTACACTAGAATGTATAATAATAAAGGAATTTAATCTATTTGAATAAAATTAAATTCCATTTAAAATTTTTGCTTTTATGAAAGAAGACATTATGAAATGCTAGTTAGAAGTCATAAAAGAATATTATCAAAAAAAGAGATTTGCTTTCTTAAAGAAATATAGTGTTTATTACCAAAACATTACTCAGCTAAATTATGTAACATAGAATTAAATAAAATATTTAATTTATATTCAAAATTATCAATTTTCTCTAACAAAAAATAATTAATTAGACTCATAGGGTTTTGGTTGATATCATAAATACAATAAAATTCTACATTCACAACAAGAAGTAATCTTTTATTTAATAAATTAACAGTGATTTTATCTATTTTAAAGGTATAAAAAGGCAATTTATGAAAAATATGAGTCTTAAGAAAATTGTGAATTATCTAATGAAGCAATTAATATAATAAAGTCTAACCAAATTTACTTAGAATGTGAAGAGAATAAGCTTTTAGCAGATGATATTAAAAAGTATTTCATTAATAATTGCTGGTAGTATAATCCCAGCAAGCAAAATTTAAATTAACTTTTATACCAACTTAAATAAGCTCTTAATTTAAATCAAGTTGGTTATAGGAATGAAGACAATATTAGGATTTATAGAAGATAAAATTAAATGTCTTTTACAAATATTTAAAAAAATTTATACAACAATAATGGTTAAAAATAGCATTAAAACCTTGCTTAATAACAATAACATACAACTAAAAATACAAATATGTATCATAAACAATATAAAGAGATCATATCAATACAATAATCTTTGTAATAATAAAAATAAAAGTAATCTTAATAGTAAAAGGCAGCTCAACAAAATAATAAACTAAGAGCAACAAGTATGAATTTTATTTTTTTCAAAAATTTTTATTTATAATTATATCTAAAAAGATTAAGAAATCGAACATTTAGATGGCAATTAAAGCAACTAGTCTTACAATTAAGTAGATAATTCTATGAATATTCTTTCTAGTTTAGCAATAATTTAAGAAAATTAGCAACTAACTGTCTCTCAAACAAATTACACTCACAGACCTAGTATAATGAAAATCTAAAAAATTCCATAAAATACAAAAGGAAAGCAAAATTCTAAATAAGATAGTAATAGCACAGGTGTAAAAAAGAATAATCAAAAAACAAAATTAAAATTAAGACCTACAAATTTTGATAAAATATTAAAAGAATCCTTAAAACCAAATTATGAGCCTTTCATCTACCAAAAGGAGTTTGAAAAAGAGATAGTTTTACATTCATACAAGTTGATAAAGAAGATGATTGAAAATAAAAAGAAAGATTTTTTATAAAAGATAAATCAAACTTAAAAGTAAAAAATTGTAGTAAAAAATAAAATTAAAGTTACTAAACCAAACTAGGATTAACACTGACTAAACCCAGCCATAAAAATAATCAAATCAGTTGTAGCATTTGATATATTCTTAATTATATTTTTTTAAAATTCAATTGTAAAATTTACTTATTTCATTGTTTTCGTGGAAAGAAATCTAAAACAATTAACTATTACCAATCTAATTTATATCAGTACTGCTAATCAGTCAGCTAAATGACTTTAAAATAATTTATTATGAAAATACTAATTTTCAAATAAAAGTTTATTTAGTTAAAATTTATTTTAATTAATGAAAAGTTACAAATTGGTTTTATTTTCTAGTTACCTTTTTTACTCTAAAATGAAAATTGCTAAATTAATATTTTTTTAAATATTTTTTTTTAATTTTGAGATTTAATAACATAATAAAATAAAAATTTAATAGGATATTTTATAATCATTAGGCGAAGTATTTATAATAGTTGTAAAATAATTTAAAAATTATATTAATAGTAATTAGTTCATTTAAGCTTACTTAAAATTTTATTACTCTAAGTAAATAAAATTAAAATTAAAATTTATAAATTTGCAATTACTTTTAAGTCATTCATTATTTTTTCTTCAAAAATTATTTTAATTCTGAAATCTAGCTTATTTAGAATACCATTTTAATTTAAATTAGAATGAGGATTTGAATATTACCTCATTTTTAATGAGATTAGGTATAAAAAAGGATTCTCATATTTTATAAAAACTATTTGATAAATATTGAATTTTGGAAATCTATTTGATTATTTAAAGAAAAAAGATATAATGAAAAAAGTAAATAGTTCTAAAAAATATTTAATGAAAAAAGGATTATGATTATTGTAAAAAAAAAAAAAAGTTTAGTATTTAAAATTGTAAAAAAAATCGTATAGATTTTTGCGTCTTATTTCTAGTAATCTTAGCATACTACTTTGTAGAAAGTTAAATTGTTTTGTTATTAATTTTAGTTTATAATTGAATTTTGTATGGATTTTAATTTTTTTTTACTGTTTATAACTTAAAGTTGCGGAACTAATTAATATTTAATTAAATTTTACAAACAAGCTTTAGATTTTTACAATAATTATCAAGCAAACTTTAAATATGGAAAAGCATTTAGAATATCTCAATTAGCTTGATAAAAATGAAATCGATAATTTTAAGAGGACTTATATGCACAACTTAGTTACGATGAAATGGCTAAAAATTAGGTATTTAGATAAAGCTAAAAAACAATACCTCTTCTTTCCTGATGAGCTACATAAACATTACGAAATAAATGAACTTTTCAGAGGTTTTGATGCAGATCATTCGGAAGGTATTGACATCCAAGAACTTATTAATATGTTCAAAGATAATAAAATAAATCTTGATAGGTAGGATGTTGATTCTATCTTTAAAATTATAGACTTTAATGGAGATCATACACTAAATCTTAGTGAGTTTAAATAGAGTGTTTTTAGTGATGAAATTAATTCCTAATTTGCTAAAGTAATGAGAGAGTTGAGAGAAAAAATTGATAAGAAAGAAGAGTCAGAGAGGAAGAAGAAAGAAGCAAATTATTTATCGTAATTAGGTTTAGGCGAGAGTGTATCGACATAGGAGATAAAATCTCAAAGATAACTCGAGTAGAATAACAAACTCTAAAAGAAGCTTACAAGGATTTTTATAAGATAACCTTCCTTAACAAATAACTAGTTTGGTAGCAATAGCAGTAACAATAATTAAAAAGAGCAGATTTCCTCAAGATCAAATAATGAGAAAAATTAATCGGAGAATAAATTAGAAAAAAAAGATGGAGAGGAATTAGAAGATAAAGTTTAAAGAGTTGTGCCCACTACATTTTCATCTATGGTGGAATTTTTTAGTTATAATTTTTAAAGAAAAGAAATGATTAAAAAGTGTAAATAACTCCATTCAACTTAGGTAGGCTAGAAACTAAACGAATTGTCAAACTTACTTACACTTAATTCCAAATACTCAGAGCATACAATTTAAAAGATACAAAAATTTACTAACAAAAATCGCTTCCACTCCTTCAATCTCTTAAGTGATATTGAAAATGAGCACAACGACAGACTCAGTGATGATTAAACTGAAACTGGAAAAGATAAGCAATTGGATAAAAATAACTCTTCGCAAACTAATTAAGAGAAGAGTTTTAGAAAAACGATTTCTTATAGCCTTAGTCCTAATAAATATCAAAATAATGACCAGTAAATTTAAAGCATCCCAGAAATAGACAGTTTTGAAAAATCGAGTGTAAAAAATAAAAATAAAAATGAAGAATTCCAGATATCTTAGATCATAAGCTCTCCTCAGTTAACTTCTGAAGCCCTAAAATCATCTCACAGACTGAATGTTTCCTAAAATGCCTGTCAATCAAAATAAACTATTAAGAAAAAACATTTGAGCAGTGATATATCTCATTCAACTCAAGATAAAACAAACATTTAATCCTAGTAATAGCTTAATATCGCTTCATTAAATTTCTTATCTTCAGTAAATTAATAACTACCTCATGAACAGCCGCATATATAAATTACGTAATTTACACCTCAAAACATATAAAAGTTAAATTTTAATAAAACTAATCTGAAGTTGAAATTAAATAACTCAAGTTTATATTAATAACAACCCAATCAGTAAGATTAGTAAAATAAAACTGTAAACTCTAGTCGAAATAGCCCTGCAAAGCGCCAACTTAACAAATTATAAAAAATAATAAATGAATAAGAGTAAATGAAATTAGCATCAATTCAAAAATTTATTCAAAATAAACCTAGTAGAAAACAATCATAGACCAGCTATGGTTTAAAAAGAATATAAATATATAAACCTCAAAATTTCAATATAAACAATAATAAAAATAAACAAAGTGATCATAGCAGTACCTAAATGTAAAATAGTATGATAAATTCATAGATTGAGGACTATTATAATGACACTCACCTATTAAATGGATCGATTAACGAAAATAGTAATAAATTATATTTATATAATAATCCTTTTAGTAAAAAGAAGAGATCAAGTCATTATATGAGCTAAACAATTACTTCAAGCAAGCAAAATTACTATAACTCTCTATAAAATTCTCCTAGAATGAATTAAAACTCTAAATTCGGAAGCTAAAAGCCATCTTAATCTGAAACTCAAGCAACATCTTAGGTATCTCTTCTTGATGAGGGAGTATAAAATGATAAGAAAATTTAGAAACAACAGTTTATGTTCAACTAAGGTAACAAAATCTAAATAAGGAGTAAATAAAAATAAAATTCTGATATCTAATTCCTTAATTAACCATAAAAAAATGAAAGTTTACCTTATAATTTAATTCTAAAATAAAGAAACGCTTCTCTTCCTCATTTTGTTTAAAATGCTCCAATAATTTAGCAAAATAGAAGTTCATAAAATATTAGTAGTTCTTAATTAAAGAATTTGCTCCTATTTGACAAAAAGGAATAACATTTAAATAATGAAGGATATATTAAGAGAGATCAATAAAATGATTAAAATTTGTCTAATACAAATAATTATTTCTAAAATAAGCAAATATATTTTTCAAAGTTAAAATAAGATAAAGAGGATACAATACAAGGAACAGAATAGAGTAAATAAGGAGAAAAAATGAGAAGATAGTAATTATATTATTAATAGTTACAAAATATTAAATTACCTAATTAGAATTACAATTTAAATCTAGGAATAAACAATTTTTATCAAAATTATAAAAAAAAGATGGATTCTACAACCATGTTTAAAAGTACAAATGGTTAGACCACTACACCATCAACAATAAATGAAAGCCTGATGGCTACCTTGAATAATTTTAATTGCCTATAGAAGAATATAAATAGTAATTAATAAGAATAAAATTGATTAATAAAATTCTCTTTTTTCGATACATTCTTAAATAAAAAAATTTTATTACTTTAAAATTTTTAAATTTTTTGTAAATAGAATAAAATAATATAAATAATTTTTTAAATACTATTAATATAATTTATATAAATACACTTTTAGCTCCTAATCTAATTTATAAGTAAATCCTTTAAATATAATCATTTATTAAATAAAAATATTTCTAAACTATTTATTTTTGAAAATTATTATGACTTTTTGGAATCACTTTTAATTTATCTTACAAGTAATTTCCGAATCTAATGTATAAGCAGGGTTTAAAAAAATGTCAACTTTGTATACTTTATACTCATAAGGTAGTTAGAAAATATTTTATGATTAAGCTGATTAATAAAAAATAAAAATTTGAACCCTACTTGTAAACAAACAATAAGAATATTATCATTTGCTTAATATAAGCTTTTTTAAACTTTTTTAAAAAAAATAACTATTTTTTTTTATAATATTGATTATCAATTTTGTTTAGTTTGTTTTACAAAATTTAAATTCATAATCTTACTTAATTGATTTTACACTTTTTATAAAATTATTTTTTAAATAATATCTTAAATAAATTTATTTGATTGTTATTTTTAAAAAATTTTAATTTGTAAAGCTTATTTTTATAAGAATTATTTTTGTCTTTTTTAATAAAATGAGCTTGAATCAATTATTTTTTATATTGGAAAATTGTTTTAATAATTTTTTATAATTTGGATTTAATTTTATAATTTTATAATGAAGAAATTTATTTCACTTTTTGGTATTTTCAATTGTGAAAGAAGAATCTGATAAAGACTCTTAGTCCCATGGATCAGGATTTGTGAAAATGTTTGTATTTTCTTGTTCTCTTTTTTATTTTTCATGCAGAATTTTTAGCACGCTTTTATTTGAATCATCTGCCATTTATTAGTCCTATTTACTTTATGCCGCTTAACAATATTATGATTATATATTGCTCAATTAATATTATGTTGTTTAATAATTATATGACGAATCCTGCTGCATAGACATGTTAAGCTTGTGATTTTGTTTTATCTTATTTTAATAGGAATCAGAAGAAACTTTTCTTTTGTTATTGTCCCAAAATTTTCCATATTTACTTTCATATTTGAGATCATAATACTATTGAAGTTTAATGAGTTTATTAGAATTATTATTCTATCCTTTTTTTATTGATGTGCTAGCCTGCGTTGTTGTATCATTTTGATCAATTTATTAATTATCTGTTTTTTGTATTTTAGAGCTATAATCAATATCCTTAACTCTGTGGATTTGTTACTTATTTTTATATTTAATTTATGTTTAATTCATTTCTTTTTTATCTCCACCTTCTTCTTTTTCTGCGTATTGGTTATTTTAATTTTATTGTCCAGTTAAAAACACATTCATCTATTTATAATTTATAGCTTTAGACATATCAGTATCTATTTAGCTTATACTGTTCTTCTTCTTTACTTATTCTGATTGGATAGGAGTGTTATAGTAATCTTCTTTATTTAAGTATTATTATTGTTATGTTATTGGATTACTCTCACCGTTTTTTCTCCTTAACTTTCTTATATGCAGAATTTGTTACTTTTAATCATCTAAATTGACAATATACGTTTCCTCATTAAAAGCTTTGAATTGTGTGTCTTAAGCACTTTTTGCTCTCTCTTATCTTTGTATCGGGTCTAACTTTATCCTGTTTTAAATTTGATAAACTCCTTAAACTTTATTGTTTTCACAATTCTGTTCAGTAGTTTTTATCTGAGAGTTTTTGCTATCACTCGAGGCTTCTATAGGCTTTTTGAATACTTTTTTTTAAGTTAAATATACATTTGCTTCTTGGTTTTATCTTTCTTTGTTAAAGTCAACCAATATTTTATAGTTATCAATAGCTCCTGTCTTATGAAATCCATTAACTGCAAGAGTGTTGCTTTCAATTTTTTAATGATTTTCTTACTATTAATGTATATCCTTTTATTAAATACTATTTTGTGCTGATCTCAGCATCATTCTCTAATACAAAAACTAGCTTCCAGATTATTTTTGGATTGGAAGAAATTTTTAATTTTAAATTGATATGAGATTCTAAAACTGATAATTTGTTTAGTAAGATTAGTTATTTTCGGGTGATTTTTGAGTAGAAGAGGATCTTTTCTTTCCTATTAAACTTTCTTCTTGTTCTTGATTATTCTTGTTGTTATCAGAAGGATTTATATTTGTAAAATCTAAAGTGTCTTCTTACTAAGCAAATTCTGCTGTTTATAATCTGCTTACAGCTTCATCTTATTTTTTAAAACCTCCTATTTTTTATGGCGATTGCCTATTAAAAATACATTCATAAAGTGAGTTCTTGTTTTTGCTTAAAAAAATATGACTTTCCTCATTTTAAGACTCTTGCTGCTGTAATTAATTCTAAATTTATTAAACGTAAAAAGGATTCTAAATGAAGGTTTATGGGATTTTAACTGAAGTTAATAACTAGTAATTATTAATCTTTAGCTAGCTTTGTTGATCTTTTAAGTTTGTCAAAGCTTAATTGGCTTAATCATTTTTTTAATTACCATTTTAAACAAATACTTAGCTGCTATCATTTTATTTATTTTCTTACTTTTAGTTAACAATAGAAGTAATTTTAATTTTATTTTGGTCTTGGCTTTCTAAATTCTTAAAGTCATAAGTATTTTTCATAATATTAAACTAGCGTTATTAATTCTAAATAATTAGAGTTGACAGACTTGGAGAGTTTTATCTAGAATTATTTTCAGTGATAGTGTTTTGCTTTATAGGAATTATTTCAGATTTTTATGTTGAATATGTTTTTTAATCCTTCTATATGAATGATTATGTTAAATCCCTCTCATTTTCGTACTTATAAATTACACAAACAGATGAATGCTCTGATTACTTTCTATAATTTAATCTATTTTACTCTTAATTTATATTGTTAATTGTCATTCCTGTAGGGCTATTTTGATTTTATTGCTATCTATCGTTTGTAATGACATCTGTAATTACATTTGTATTTGATCTCTTCTTTTTGTTAAAGTTATTTGTAGTAAACTTAAAAACTTCTTAAGATTTTGTTTCTACATGTTATGCACTACTTTAAATAGCCTGAGCTAATGAAACTATGTTATAATTGCTTGTTTAAACAACACAAGAAGTAGTATTCTGCTACTGCTTTAATTGGTTTTGTTAATTTTTGCTAATTATCTATCTCCAATCATGCATTGTATTTTAAACTGAAGGCACTTTATCTGAATTTACTCTAACTGCCTTTAATTTTTTTCCAGGCATCATATTATTGTATTTTTAAGGACTTTAATGAGGTATACTTTTAATTTCTAGCTAGTTACCGTTAACTATTTAAAATGTTTTGTAATCATATTGAACTTAGTTCTTACAATTCTCATTTCTAGGAGATACTGACAACGAAAATTCTGGAGCATGATTTGAATGATGAGCAATAGTATTTCCGTTTCTCATCTTTTAATTCCAAATTATTATGTATATCTATTGATATATATAATAAACAATTATTTTAATAAATAAAAAGAATAAGCGCAGTCCATACATTTAATTATTTATCTATAAATTATTAAAATTTATGACCAAATTATTTTCCTTAAAAGGCTTTCAAAAACTGTAATCAAATATTTCGATTTACATAAGATTCTTAATAAGTTAGTTGTATAGATTTTAAATTAAATATTTTAAAATTTATTGGAAATATAAATTTATATTATTTCCAATAAATTTTACCTTTAATGGCATCTAAAAACGATTTTTCAAAATAAAAATTTAGATTTTAAAATTTGATTAGTTTATGTTTTCTAGGTTTATAAAAAAAACTATTGAAGTTATTTAAAAGTTAAATAACATATTTCTTAAACAAATTTAGAATATCATATTGAGAAAAAAAGAGTAATCAATTAATTCATTTAACTTTGAGTAATTTATTTTTTAAACTAAAATTTTATTTTATAATTTTAATTCTTAAGTTTTTTAAGCATTTTTAATATCTAAATTTTTAAATTAAATTAAAATAAATAAATTATAATAGTCTTTGAATTAAAATAAAAGGGGTTGGGGTTGGGGTTGGGGTTGGGGTTGGGGTTGGGGTTGGGGTTGGGGTTGGGGTTGGGGTTGGGGTTGGGGTTGGGGTTGGGGTTGGGGTTGGGGTTGGGGTTGGGGTTGGGGTTGGGGTTGGGGTTGGGGTTGGGGTTGGGGTTGGGGTTGGGGTTGGGGTTGGGGTTGGGGTTGGGGTTGGGGTTGGGGTTGGGGTTGGGGTTGGGGTTGGGGTTGGGGTTGGGGTTGGGGTTGGGGTTGGGGTTGGGGTTGGGGTTGGGGTTGGGGTTGGGGTTGGGGTTGGGGTTGGGGTTGGGGTTGGGGTTGGGGTTGGGGTTGGGGTTGGGGTTGGGGTTGGGGTTGGGGTTGGGGTTGGGGTTGGGGTTGGGGTTGGGGTTGGGGTTGGGGTTGGGGTTGGGGTTGGGGTTGGGGTTGGGGTTGGGGTTGGGGTTGGGGTTGGGGTTGGGGT